CATCTGTTCGAATTTGCGTGCGTATTCAGTATCGTCAAGTTGGCATGAAGCGCTGCTGTCATTCATGTAAGGGAGTTCCTAGCCGCCGTGTAATGTTCGTTCCAACACGAAGGGCTGGGATACACTGAAGTTTGCCAGCGTGTCATACTCTATCTCATGCGCAAGGCACTATCAATTGAAGGTCCTCAATTGGCTAACCGATGGCACGTCTAAGAATTCTCATGTTTGTATGGACCTTTCCAAATAACGCCCTGCGTACGATGCTGATATTGGACAACATCGATAGGCGAGCCGGTGTCCGAAATCCTTTACGAGAAACTCAATCGCCGTCTTTTCTTTAACTACCGGACCCGAAAGCCGTTTACCATCTTCTCGGTAGCATTCTGACAGATGTCTTGATAATTCGATCCTCGATGCGCAAACATGCAAATCGCTCTTAGCCCCCTCACCTCCCTCGTATGGCCCCCCGAACGTCCCATAATATCGAGTCGGCCGAGTCCAGTCCATACTACTTAGGTAGCTACGAAAATGCCGACATTGCAACAAGAACCGCATAGATGGAGAGGAGAGTGCCTAGTCTTGCATCTGCTATAGAAATGACTCAAAAACAAATCAGTCTAGCAGTATCCCCTGCCCCTGAGCCTACCATTTAGAACAGATATCTCTCATACATACCTTGGTAGAACAACCTCTCTGATTAGATGCAATGGGGGGATAATTACCTAGGCACTTGGTTTTACGTATTATCAATCTAGACAACAAGACTAGCTACTGTGTAGATAGTGAGTGTCTGGACATCTTCTCCCCAACTTGGCTACGTAGGCATCCAATCTTGCTCATCCGTTTCGTTAACGGGCTGGGTACCTAAGTAGGTACGCATAAATACCAATGGAATGTTAATAGTTGACCATTAAATATAGCTCATTTTAGAACCGTACGATTCTTTCCGTCTACATTTCTAAATTATAATACGTAGCGAGGTAGGACAGATCTTCCTTTCCGGCAGTCAACAAAGCTGTCATGACTTGAACACTTACAACCCATAATACCTTTTTTTTTCCATACTTCTTATTAAATATTTAGAATAATTCGAATATCCCTCAGATATCTTAGGGGGTTACAGATGTCAACAATCTATACCTAAATACATCATACCTCTATGGTTAAGTATTTCCATAATATCATTTACAAGACATTAATTTAGCCGCCAGCGCGTCTATATTGTCATTAACAAGCTAACGTTTACACTCCAGTCCCCCGTATTTCTCGTCGACCTAACGATTCGACCCGGAAGAAGAAAATTCTCAATAATAACTCCGGACCGCCACCGACCTCATATCTCGTCAGGACCTTCCAACAAAGAAACACAAACCCCGCGGAGAACCACCAACCGAAACGCTGTACTACCATACTGCATAACGCCCGCAAACCACTTCGAGCCAACCTACCTACCTACCTACCTAGGTAGGTATCCACGAATGTATTCAAGGATGTACCAGGTAATAAATGCTAGAGATATCACAAAACTTTGTGCTGAGACGCATGTATTGCAACAGAGGGGCGTACAGGGGAAAATCATATGATAGCAATAAGTGATAAATTATAAAAGAAATGGAAACAACTGAGCAAAACTATATTGCTGCCTTGAGCCAGCAAAGCTCTTGGTATTTTCAAAGTATACTGTCTAGTAGATTCTACCCTTCACAGGTGGCGTGTTCTATACTTAGGTAGGTAGTTTCGGTAACGAACTCTACCTGCTGGCGCCAAATCTTGCCGTTCGAAAGCTTTCGTCATATAGATAAAAAGCAAAAATCACCTAGCATTACGTAGCTTGATTACGTGTCTCACGTATTTCCGATGATTTGGTGCACCATTTTGTAGTTGAATTGCCATTCTCTTGCTTCTACTCCCTATACTTGAAGCTAACGATATATGATACCGAACCAAATCCGTACCGGTAGAACCATATGATCATGTGTAAAGACAACCACCAGGCCTGCGGAACGTAACACTAGCAAATATACTATATTTGAACTTTCAAATCACCCCATTTCTTCCCTTTTGTATCGATTAGACCAAGAAATTCAGGTTTGGTGCCTCGTGTTCGTCAGGCACGTAGCCTACCTAAGTAATGAGGCGTTACAGGGAACCCAATACGACGTTTTCCCCTCAGCAAACCCGAAATAGGAAAACAACGAATATGCGATATTTCTCTTATTCTACGCGCCGGTGTATTCTCAACAACCAATCCAATCATGCAGATAGTCATTCCCAAGCTGTCATCATTGTCTAGTTGGGCTGAAGATCACGTAAGGGAACAAGGCTTCATTCAGGGACTTGACGTGAGCCTCGCCCTTACGCAAACCCGATAGTTTGGTACCGTTTAGCCCTCACTTACGACAGCCGGGTAGACTCGGAGCCGAGTCTGCAGTCCACCCTGCAGGATTCGGAAAAAAGAGCCGGTGGAAAATACCAAGTCCAAGGACTCGGGGTACCACCATGATGGGTGAGACGAAAAAAGCTAGGTAAACATCAAAACGTCCAAAGTACGGTATAGATCGACTTACACCTGAACTACACCTTACTACACCTGGCTTCTCTAGGGAAATCTTATGGGATAGGTTTCATTGCGTGGGTGGATACTAGGGTGACCCTATTCCTCGGGAGCCCCGTCAACGTGGATGTGGACAACACATGGCTAACCAACTAGGTAGATGTCATAATACGTTGCGCCATTCATGTAAATCCTAGGTCAGGTGGGCCTTAACAGAAAAGGAGGTAGCCCTAAACGGAATTCCAGGGCAGTGGATGATAGTCCAAGTACCTTAACAGAAAGGATTTAGGTACGCAGAACATTCGGGTATTTCCTTCAACCTAGACATCAATGCCACGTCAAATCATCAACAATACCTATAGCATAGCATTAAGGGCAATATCTAGGGAGGACGTGCAACACCGCTCTTTCGTCTGTCTGTCTGTGAGCCATGGGATAGACGTCGTCGCGAAACATGGCCCACTCGTGGAAATAGCCGCTTCCAAATTTGCCTGCCGGGTCCCTCCTACCTACGTGTCCTACAGAGCATTAGGAGATTTCGGTAGTCGTGATTAGACGACCCAAAGTCTGACAACTTCGCTTTGACGGTCAGGGAAGTCACACAACCAGCCCGCGTTCTCGGACTCTTTTCAACCTTGAGCTGCCTGGTTGTTCGATATCCATCCACCCCTACCATCGTAGGACCCTATTCTAAACCATGTCTCCCCAGCTCCGGCTTTACCCATCCGCCCATCCTTCGAGGTAAAGTACCTATGCCATTTAGGAAAATGATATCGACCACAACATTGGAAACGACAAAGCGCATTCCTGAAATGGGAAGATGTCGCTTACATATTATCTAGGAAGCTACCTAGCCGTGCCAAGATGGGGCGTAAGACGACTAACTTACATAACTAAGGGCGACCAGGATCAAGATGGCCTCAGCTAACGTTCTACGGAGCGGAAAGGGGCGGATGAGTGGAAATTATGCCAGTCAGTTTAGTTAAGCGATGCTATTTCGAACTTGCGCAAGTCGGTGAATACGTGAAAACGGCTATCAATTGGGGGGCGAAGTAAGCGGGAATTCACGTTATTCCAACTCATTCATACTCCTGGTCATTAAATGAGGCTGTTATACATTACTGAGCCGTCACATATCAGTTAGTGCCCCCCTAACCCCTAATGGATCGTTACCTAATTCAACCACCACGTAGTGGGTTAGAATCTTATACCGAAATAACACGACAAATTGATACATACGACCATAGGACTTGGAAAACTCGGGATCCTGTCTGCTCTCCCCTGATAAACCAAATACCGCTGGACTAGTACTCTAGTACTTGGGTCGGTGACGACCAGCGAATCCCCGGTGTTGTATGTTTCAATTTTTTCCACAATCTTTTCTCTTTTTTCTACACTAGTTTGGAGCGGTCATTGAGCTATTTGCGGTGGTTAGTAGGTAGTAAATTTTATCATTGTATTGAGCGTAAATATGTGCCTATTAAATTAATGATAACCTGTGTCATTGTAACCCGTAGCCAGACAAAATAACGCATTGTTCTATTGATGAATAGCTACGAGCTATGGCATTACCTGTTCTCAGATAGTTAGGCTTCTCCCATGTGGTGTGCTAAATGCTGGAAATTGGGCGGAAAAGGGGCCCTCGTAGGCTGTTCTACAACCCGCAAAGCTAGGTACCTAGGTAGGTATACCAACCTCAAGTATGAAGTAAAATGAATATCGATATAATTAAAATCTAAGCGTGTTTAAACTCATGTACGAGCTCGCGGTAGTTGTTGAAGTTATTCGTGTTGCGTCTTATATGTGATTATGAATACGTGTCTTTCTCTCGAGAAGCTATATTCTCTTGGGCGCCTGAACTTATGAATACGTCTCAGGCGTGGTCTTAGATAGATGATGATATCGTGTACTTTCTTGTATTGAATGGGCCTTCATGGTTTCATAGAAGTCGTATTGGACACGAGACTCTTTCCCCTCTATCCGTTTTCATATGAATTAGTTACGAGATATCCTTAATACCTATGGGCTAACGACAATGACCGTGACCATCTCGACCCAGCTACTATGCCGCAATACTCGTGTACCTGCGATACCAATCGACCATAAGACGAGTAGAATAGTGTACGAATGCGTTTAGGCACACTAATACTGCTACAGCGTTCGAGGTGTCTTTTGGCAGGTGTTGAATATGTGTTTCTATCACCACTTTTCTCTTCACAGGCAACCGTGACCAGGAAATGAATATGACCACATCAATGATGATCTAGAGGACTAATACCATCCTAAATACGGTAGTCTACTCACTCATATCACGCCCGCCACCTTACCTAAGGTAGGCAAATCCTTAAGGCGACAGCTCTTACGAACAGGCATTGCTTAGGTAGGATATGAAGTTATCCTCGACCTACAACATCTTCACGAGAACACGTTACACTTCATATCTATATCTGCAAGTACTCCCTTTCGATAAAATACCTAATTTTCTATTCCTTACTTCTCCCCACCCTCTAAATTTACCTCTACTTCTTATTTTCTCTTCCTATGTTCCCCTTTCCTGCAAAACCTCCTACCTCGTTCATATACACATGATGACAATGAATGATACCAGTCACAGCAACAGTACTAATACCAACACCGCCAGCAACACTCACGACAGCAGCAGTGATAGTAGTAACCAGCAGTTAATATATACTTCGTAGGCACTGACTGTACTAATACCCCGCCCCAACCACGTACCTATCTATCCATCCATCCACCCATCTCGTTCGCTTTTTCCATCCGAATTTTTGCCATTTCCGTATGTATTTACTTACTGCCTACCCTAAGTAGAAGTGCCTAAGCAGAAGTAGGCAGAAGATATGCATTAGACAACGCTGAACACAAATGTTTTGCCTGCCCTACTTTTGCACATGCTCATTCTGCCCTTCTTGAAAACAGACTGTCGCTGTGCACCATGCCCTCTATTCCGCCCTGCTCACCATAGTCGTTACCGTACCTCCTATCACATCCCCAACCCACCAACCATACAAGTCTCCACTCACCATCATCACCATCCACGGAACAAACCATCAATAGTGGCGGAGGCAATCGGAAAGGGGAAAACATGATAGACAAGATAGATATAACTCATTCACTGGTATTTCGTATTAAAGGAGACCTGTCTGACTACCTGCTTTCACTTTCCCCACCTCTCCCGTCCGATATCCTCGAGGGAGCAAGTCCACCGGGCGCCGGAGGTACCGGCGGCGGCGGCCTTCCGCCATCACCACCTGGCGCAGGTGGCGCAAGCTCACCTGGAGCTGGTGGCTTCGCAGAAGAAGGTATGGTCATCGGGCCCTTCGGGACCGCGATACGATCACGGAGGGGTTCGCCTCGAATGACCTTCTCAACCTCCTCTTTGCTTAATGTCTCATATTCGACGAGAGCCTTGGCCAGGAGGTCAAGCTCGTTGCGGTGGTCCGTTAGGAGTTTTCGGGCTCGCTCATAGGCCTCGTTGAGTGTTCGTTGCACCTCGGCTTCGACTTGAGCTCTGGTTTCGCTGCTTAGAGTGTCGTATCGGCTTCTGTATTCCATGTTTCCGAGCTTAGAAGACATCCCTAAGCTAGCGACCATATCGAAAGCAACAGCAGTTGCCATTTGAAGGTCCTAGATGATACCATTAGTATGATTGATATATCGTGAAGGAGTAGTGATTCTTACCGATGAAGCTCCACTGGTGACTTGGTTGACTCCGTAGACGATCTCTTCCGCGAGCTTACCTCCCAAACACATATCTATCCTCGCCAGATAATTGCTAATGGTGTAAGAATACTTATCCATTTCTGGGAGAGCTGCTGTATGACCTAGCGAGTGTGCACGGGGAAGAACAGTGACCTTGTATAGACTTGAACCGGAACCCTTCGTTAGAAGGCTGATAAGCGCATGGCCAGCTTCATGGTAAGCGGTCATTTCCTTCTCTTCGGCGCTGATAACCATAGTCTTCCGCTCGGCACCCATGATTACTCTATCTTTAGCCCAGTCGAAATCTTCTTTCCTGACAAAGGAAGCCTTTGACTTGCTAGCGTGGACGGCGGCCTGGTTAACGATGTTTTCGAGTTCAGCACCAGAAAGACCAGAAGTAAGAAGCGCAATAGACTGTAGATCGACGTCCTTAGCAGCTTTGATCTTCTTCGCGTGGTACTTCAGAATAGCAAGACGGCCGCGAACGTCAGGTAGGTCGACGGATACGTGGCGATCGAAACGGCCAGGACGCGTAAGAGCCTTGTCAAGCAACTCGGGGAAGTTTGTCGCGCCAATGATAATAACACTGCTAGTCTGGTCAAACCCGTCGAGTTCAGTAAGAAGTTGGTTCAGAGTTTGCTTGACGTAGGCAGCGTCGCGCGCATTACGGCGGCCTCCAATAGCGTCGAGTTCGTCGATGAAAACGATGGCGGGTGACTTAGACTTGGCGGCAGCGAATAAATCTCGAACTCGCTTGGCGCCGACACCAACGTATACCTCATCGAACTCGCTACCAGACATGTAGAAGAACGGAACACCAGCTTCACCAGCAACGGCTCTCGCAAGGAGAGTCTTACCAGTACCAGGAGGACCAACCAGTAGAATACCCTTGGGAAGCTTGCCACCAAGCTGGGAGAACTTTTCGGGATTGCGGAGGAATTCAACCATCTCTTGTAATTCTTCTTTAGCCTCATCAGCGCCGTGTACATCTGAGAATCGAGTCTTCTGGTGTTCAGCCTTGACCTCACTCTCGACTTTACCGCCGGGTCGCTTCAGCATACTAAGAGTCTCGATAAGCATTGTCACAAGCACCAAACTGAGGTAGGTGAAGAGACAAAACCAAAGAAGGAATTTGACCCAGCGGAAGACGCTACCTCCGAGTGATTCATCAACAACGACGTGGAGAGGACCATCTTTCGCACCAGTGGCTTGACCACCCTTAGCAACAGCTAAGTTGCTACCACGAGATCGAGCAGCTAGGGCCTGGGTTACAGCTTGTACCTGAGTAGGTGTTAGGTTTCCGGGTAGATTTTTGACGGTCTGGTTGACATCCTCCTCTTGAAGTCCCTGACTGCCATTAGGTGAGATCACGCTTAGCGCCTTCTGGTAGGCCTCGGTTGCAGCGGGATTGGTAGCGAACCGTCCGGACTGATATCTCTCAATAATGATGGCAGGCATGTTTGCTCGTAGGAGGGCCTGGTAGAACGCATTCTGGGCAGTGGCGCTGGTCGGATTTCTATTGGCAGATTCCTCCATATGAGCGAGCAGGTTCCTAGACAGTCCACCGGTTTGAAAAGATCTTCGTTGAGGCGTGTTCATGTTCATCGGGGAGAGGCGGTTTGGAAAGAAACGTAGAGCGGTTGACGTAGACATAGACCGAGACGAGAGCAGTTGCGGGTGCAGGCGACGCACCACCGGGTTCGACGCAAGTAGAGTAGCACGCTGCATGGTTGAGATCGAAGAGCGAATATCGAAAGGAGTGGAGATGTTCTTTACAGAAGGGACAGTAGGCACAATCGCATTCGATCGAGCGCCTTGAAGGAACTCCAAGAGCTTAGGTTGAATGGGTGTCGACTGCGCACTTGACTCGGCTTTTTGTGTTCGAGATCTCGGGTTCAACGGAGGTAGAGTAGAGGCTCGGAGTGGTACCATTAGAATCTTTGCGATGGTTGGCCATAATTCCGTTGTCGCCGCCGCAATGCTCGGCAGAGCTGACGTTTGTAACGCCATGGCGACTAAGTTGGAGATCTCGCTCGTTGTCGTCAATTAGTATCGTATCCTAAGGCTGTCGCGGAATAATACTTTTCTTTGGTCGGTGATATATTTCGACAAAGTTATTTATGAATGTGTACGAGAGAAGCGCAACAATCGTCGGCAACCTCAATAAATGATCGAGTGAGGTGTGTAAACCGGTGAGGGAGAGACAATAGACAGAGACAGAAAACACCGCCACCAAATGACTACTGCATTAAATAGAAATGAATTCTAAGAGAGAAGAAGAAAAAAACAAATAGAAGAAGAGCGGTTAGCTACTAATTGATGACTAGGGAGGAGGCCGCATTCTCCTCGGGAGTTCAAGATTCGCGAAAAACTCCCCTTTCGATTTTGTTGTAATGGGGAGGAAGGAATGGGAAAGGGTAAAGGACTAAAGAAAATTGCGGCGAATCTTTGAAGTTTTTGGATTTAACGTTTAAACGTTGGTGATGTGATCACCGGCAGCTAAACTTGCTAAACTTCGCATCGTCCCAGCCGTTTCTTACTACGTACCACCTTTTACCTTATCCAATCGGCCGGTCCTCGGTGAAAGTTTGTCGCCGGTTTATCTTAATTGAACTTACTTAGTCAGCAATTTGCTCAATTATTGGTTACAAGATTATCGACCTTATCATTGGTTATGTCGTCACCACGGACAAGTCACGGAATAGAACCTGCCAGATCTCCCAAAGTGGATCCATTTTGAGATTCATCCACTTTATTTAGACGCTAACACCCCAACAAACTACAAAAGCAATTATCTATTTTATTTCGCAGCTGCATCGGCGATAGGACTGGAGTAACTACCTAGGTAATTAGCTCCCTACTCTAACATATAATGCTATCAGCTATCTGTCAACCCTTGCCGAATAGCAAGCACATTATCCACGATCACAGCATCGATGCCCTCCTTGACTTGTCGCTAGATAGAAAATCGAATCAGTTCAATACTCAATCATCAGCATATTAATAAGGAATAGACTCACCTGTACTAGAGTAGGATCATTATTCTGAACCCCATAACTCACACAAACCAACCCAGTCTGCTTCACCACCTTGACAAGTCTAGGACTGTTGACAAATGGCTCTGCATTACTCACGATACCTAGCAAGTTCCAACGACTTGCAAACCGGACCGCCTCTTGAAGACTACTAGCTCGGATATCACTTACCTCGTCAGTACCCGCGTCAGTTAGGAACAAAATCGGAATACTGGGCTGCTTGAAGCTGAGGCAGAGGCAAATATCCGGATTAAAGCTGCTGAAAATGATGTGACGATTCCGACCCAAGTCATACACCTTATTCAGAACCGTGTCACAGAAGGAGTTGAGCTCGATCGCATATGTATCCATGTCCTCTTTCTCGCTTTCGAATAACATCGGATACTTCATCTCGATGTTGAACCCAACGTTCTCGGGTATCTTTTTGAAAAGCTCTTCAAGAGTAGTGAATGGCGCTTGTACGAAATTGCCACGGGTATTGGCCTTGTAACCTTTCTTTTTGTAGTCGAGAGTGTATTTCATTCGCTCGTCAAGGTTGTCCTTAACACCCTTGGCCAAGTCCACTGAATGTGATCTCTGTCTAGGTCCGGACTCCGTTACGCCATTTCCACCGGTTCCATTTCTCTTTTTCTCCGGCGAATCTTTTCCAGATGTCGGGTGTGACCCATCATTAATATGAAGAAATTGTTCCAAGGTCAAGGTGTGAACCGGTGCATCTATACCAGTTTCACTCACCAAGAAATCGTGGTAAATAACAGGAACATGATCCTTGGTGAGTTGGACGTCAAATTCGACATAGTGAGCTCCTAAATTCGCCGCTGCGATAAATGACGAAACCGTATTCTCGCCCAATTGAAGCGATTTGTTCCCAGGGAAATTCTTTCCAAGACCACGATGACCGAACACCATGGTAGATGACAACTTCTTCCAGTATGTCTGTTGAGAGTTGACTTCCATATTTGGATGCGAAAACGGTGTGATAACGAGGAAATTGAAATTGACGGAACCGATGATGTCTAGGTTCGCGCCTAGAATCGGCACACATACATCGCCCTGAAGATTCATTCGTTTCGCGCCAATCGACGGCCGAATAGAAGATAACAGTGCAACAGCACGGCCTATCTTGTTCTTCTCATCCCCAGAGTAAGTAGGAACAATATCGAATAATAGTCTGACCTTTGAAATATCCGAAGTAGTAAACACGATTGGTTCAGTCGAGATATTTTCTTCCACGGGTAGATCGATGATGGTGGGTTCTCCTTGTGCACCCTGAGCTGAAACCACGATAGAAAGGGCTGTGTCGAGTTGGTTCGTATGAGCCTCCGTTAAGGAAACACGCTCAAGCTTGACAGGTTCGATGTTCTTGCGCATATCCATGGAGCCTAGGCTCACCATCACAAGACTGCTGTCTTTAAGATATCGGTGACCAAATGACTTAATCGGCTCCGTAACCTGAGTGCTTCCTCCTGATCTCCGGTCTTCTAGCGATGACGTTTCCGGAGCTGAAGACGGCGCTTGACTATTTTCTAGACCTTGGGCTTGTGGAACATCGACCATATGCTCTGCAAGGAGTTTTGCAATCTTCAAATGTCCTCTCAAAGCTGCGTGTTCCTTCGGCGTCCACCCAAAAGAATCCATTTTCCCGACTTCCGCTCCGGCTTCCACGAGCAATTGTGCCACAGCAAGATGCCCGTCTACAGCCGATACATGCAGAGGAGTCCATGCAAATGACTTCTCAGTCAACTCTAAGTTTGCCTTCTGGTCGCCTGAACCCGCGAGCAGAATTTTGGTACACTCTACACGACCGAACCTAGCAGCAATGTGTAGAGCGCTTTCGCCTGTCTCGTCTTGCCGATTAATATCGATACTAGCGTTAATGAGTATTCGTAGGATGTCTTTGAAATTGGACCTGGTGGCCAATGCCAACGCTGCACCAGATTTTGACACCAATTTTCTTGTAGCGCCCCCCTTATCTCCCTGCAAGAGGCATTTCGTCGTCAACGGATGGCCGCCAATAACAGCCAAATGAAGTGGCGCATTTCCTTCATTATCCTGCCACTCAGGAGCATCAATTCCATCTTCAATGTTGTATATGCCCCATTCTTGCATCTTCGCTATGAGGATCTGGCAAAGAACGACGAAACCAAATTGTGCTGCATAATGCAGAGGGATGCGACCAAGAGCATCCTTGATGACTAGAGCCTGTCGCTGTTCTCCCTGGAGAGACTCGAGAACATAATTTAATATCTGCACGGTTTCGTCCTGTTTGCTCGATGATTTCGAATCGGAACTACCCTCCCTTACTAACCGCGCGGGCAGTAGACTATTAGTCTGAGTTGGTGCGACGTAGTGGCTGTTGTAATGAGAGTTAATTGGGAGTGAGACGGCATTTGGTTCCAGATCACCCGCTAGGGATGATTTGCTCCGCCCGATATGAATAACTAGGCGGTGGATGCAGTTGCGCTCGTTCAGATCACCTGGCTCATCCAAGGTCTTAATTTGCTGCAGAAGATACGCGATACAAGCTTTTGATCGAGCGGATATAGCGCGTTGAAGTAGATTAAGCAATATTTCTTGTGAGGCCGATTCGAGTGTCACCAAATTCTCACTAGTTAAGCTACTCTGCAGTGTTGCGACGTCGTCCTTGCGAATAGCAGCATCTAGCTTGTCAAGAGTGGGTTGTGGGATATTGAACATGGCCTTGGCAGTCACCCTTCCCAGCGAACGCACTGATCGGGTAGAGATTTCCGATTTGGCATCATCAACATGTTGGGCATCACCCAGAGCCGAAAGCCATTTGTTGATCTCATTGATAAGTCGCACCGTAGTCGTGTCCTTAGCAAACGGTTTAGGGTCAACTTTCGTTGTGATGTATCGTTGCTGGGTAGTTGTATTCGGTACTTTCTTGTCCAATTTCTTTGTAATCTTAACGAAACCCCTGCGATTTATCTCGCCAAACCATTGTAAGTTCCTCAACTGATTTCGTAGGTCGAGCAGAGCTCCCATTAACTCTTCTGTCTCCTGTTCGTCCAGGACCGCGACGACCTCGGGACTTCGGCCATATCTATCTTCAAGCAGCTTGATGCGACGGTGGGCCTCGGAAAGCTTCTTATTATAAAACGAATCGACGTCCTCGAGATTACGGTCTAGGGCGAAGAAGAATTCTGTTGGGGATTGTGTTAGGGAATATTTCCAATGCTGGAGGGGCCAAGCCTACCTGCTAAATCAACTGATTCTCCCGCCGACGCAGCTTTAGTAGCTGTCTTGATCAACTTCTTCAGACCCTTGTAGTCAATGTAAGAAGGTGCCCACTCGGGGACTTGGTTACGAGGTAAACTATTACGAATAATGAGCCACTATAGGATATATAAGTTTCTTTTGAGTACCCTACCTTCTCCCAAATTTCATATTATACCTTGGTCTTCTAGTTCGTTTATGTGTATGGGCTAGATTGCGATTGTAAGATCAACGTACAAAGTAGATTGAACTGAGCTCCGTCGAAGAAAAGAAGACTATAGTTATAAGTGTCGGCAGAATATCTGAATATCTGCTATGACGCGATCGACATATATCATGAATAGCCGGTCGACTGGATCTTTTGCTGTCGGTGGCTAATATTCACAGCCATCGATAAATAGGAGTTTTCTTGCGTAGAACAACCACCACGAAAAAGAAGGATATATGATTAGAAATAAGAGCGGGAACTATTTATTAAGCTACCCAAGCCGCGAAACGTGTTCGTAGCTTGTCCACATGTGTTTGTACCTATTCAGGTAAAGAGTGGGAGGTATTCGGGATATCTAGAGTGGAAGCACATGCAGTAATGACACCCCTAGCTTCAGGTAGCTTAGTGGGATGTAGCTCCCCCTCACCAAACCTTAGAACTAAGAGCTCCATACTAAGTATTTCCAGTGACGCAGTTTTTGCCCTGGAAATAACCCATCCAAGCTCCGCTTTTCCCTTCTTAACCTTTTTCGGGCGGTGAGTTTGGATGGGGCATCCAGGCATCGCACATTAAGTTTAAAGCCTCTTAATTTTAGTTCGTGGAGTTGGACCAGTAAATCCTGGCCGTGGGGAGACGTGATGTAAGTCCTGAGCTGTGATTGGTTAATTGGTGGTACTGCTACAAAAGCATAGAGGTATCAGAGTGTGGTTGAACAAACAGCTCGATTTCAAAAGATAATCCCGCAGACCTGCATGAATTTTTAACATGTGTTATATTTCTTGATAATAAATATCATGCGTGGATAGATACGCATGTAATATGCTATCATATATCTCCAAATCGGTTCATAGACGGTTATACATATACAATGTAGGTAGTCTAATGTAGGTATGTATGTACATGTAGGTACACGTCGTGTCTATATACAAAGACTCGTAGGTCTTCATGCCGAATTGCTCCGGGTCCAATTGAGGCCATTTTCTTCTATTCAATCGGGACAGCTTCATTGGCTCTCCCACTCTTCATTCGTATCTTCATCCCCATGCCGGGAGGGTCAGAGGGGTATTCTCATCGCGCAACAATGACGGATCCGCTGAATGATTTTTACGGATTGGTAGACCTAACCGTAATCTCCTCTCCATCTCTAACCGGCGTAACTCACGTCTTCTCGGGGGGGGATTGTTTGCTTCATTTCCGTCACTCCGCGTCGTTGGTGGCACGATTGTTGATAGAGCTTCTTCGCAATGCGATTCGGCATCCGTTTGTTCGATATCTATGGCTACGGAGGGCTTAGGAAGACGTCTCCGTAGGTGACATCGGACAAGCTTCTCCAGGGGCATGCTGTACCAATCGGGGTATTGGAACCTAAGACTCGACTGCGTATAGCCACCGAGGTGTGCGAAAAGAGTCGCCTTGATCACGTCTTCCGCAACATTGAGTCCCCGCGATACTAACTTCCAACCCTTGAGTTTCGCGATATTTTCATATTTGTTTTTCATGCGTTGTTTGGGTGAGTATAATGATATCAACGCTCGCAATGATAGGTTTTCTAGATTACCGGAGTTTTCAAAACTCCTTGCTAGTACAGCATCTTGTAGATGCCGAATAAGCTGTAATTTGATATCCTCCTGTGTCATCGGACCTTGGCAAATCTGTATTTTCTCTAGAGCATTTAAAAGAGAATCATAGCGATCTCGTTGACAGCGATTCATCGGTGATTTAGAAGTAAGCAGGCCCGATGGATCGAGATCGTAGCCTGTTTTCATTTTCAGGGCAGTAACCTTGATTGAAGGGGTCAATTGTTTGATTTCCTCTTCAACTTGACAGGAATTCCTGGCTACCGCAAGGATTTTTCCTGTCCTGTTGAGACCATCAAGAATTTTCGTGACATTTTGCCTGCCCCACCGAGCAGAATCTAGGATATCGATGGCTCCTTGAAGTCGATTTATCAGTGGACCATCCGAGTAGAGTGCCTCGATCACGCCCATAAAAGAATTTTCTCCTTCTCGTAGCTCAAGCTCGAAACACGCCTCGTCAATATAGAACTTGAATGTTTGTAAGGCTCCAGGACGGGTCTTTGTGAATGCCGCGAAAGTCTCTTCGAATGGAAACCAAGAGAGGTCCACCAAGTGAGAGATACTCATCAGAAATTGGCGAGATGTCGCTATTGACTCTTGGCCAACCACTCTATCGACTAGAGCCATGAACATTTTGAAGTTCTTGACGAATCCCCTGACTAGCTTCCGCGCTGCCTGGTAATCGGTCATGTTTAGACAAGTTGTGAAAAGTTCTTGCATGGTTTGAATTGGAACGGAGCTTTGGTCACGTAGGCAAGCTACGAACGCCGTGCAGGCATTCCCCAGCTGTCCGCAGTATAACCACCCCTTCACCATGCAGTTGAAAACATCGTCGCTTCGTCGTGCGCGTTCTACAAATGCACTTTTCCGCGAAGCGCAACTCTCTGTGGCCCATGCTAACCAGTTTTCTGTATAGATGAGCCCCTTGTCGACAATGCGGAGATTTAGACCACGGTCTCTAACTCCCCTCATTCTCTTGATGATGTCCCGGAATCCATCTACTCCTTTAGATTCACGGTAGTGGGTAAGTAAACATACAATCGTCTGTTCGGTGGCAGGCCAGCCCGTCCTGTGAAGATAGGAATCAATGACAGTCTGCGCGAGATCAGGACGTTGAATCCGGTTGAAGCCAGCAATGAGAGTATTATATGTGTGAACGGACGGAGTCGCAGTGGATGTCAGTATATTGTAGCATATTTTAGCTACAACGTCTTTGTAACTCCCGGCCTGATTGAAAATATGCCGTATTGATTCCCCAAGAAGGGATCGAGTACTTGTGGTGTCCTCCGGATTTGTTGAGGGATGATAATAACTTGGGTAATACGGGCTTTGTAATATGTATTTCAACTCTTCCAATCTATCTTCTGTCCTGGTATAGTCTCCTTGCGTTCCGTCGCCATCTAGATTTTGGACGTTTTCGAAAAGTTTGCCGGTCAGTACGAGTTGATGTACCAGATCGACAGTTGCCGAGATGGTTTTTTCGAACTGTTGTACGTTCCTTGGTTCCCTAAGTTGATTATACGGATCCCGTTCCTCCGCAACGATAGCAGATTCGATATTTACCCAATCTAACTGGTTTTGTATCCATGATGAGCGTGGGAGTGGCCGGCGATTGGTTTCACATAAGACTGCCAATTCTTGTAAAAGGATACTTGTCGCACTTTCGGGCTTTGGTTCTTTTCGTCTTCGGTCATAACGTCGACCGTGCGGGGCATTCGAAGAGCTCAAGTCGAGATCATAGTCCTCTTCAATTTGGCCAGTAGACGAGTCTTGGATACCCAATTTCTCTACCGCGGCTCTGGCCCTTTCCAATTTCTCGTCAAGCTCTCTTTTCCTAATCTCTTTCATATGTGTGTCAATTACAACAGCAGTACCAAGTATGGTACTGTAACACGCGGTGAATAGGTCAGCAGCCGTAACTTTCCGTCGAGGAGCCGCGGTGGTGGTTCGTCGCAAAATGGAGCGACCGGGTTGGAGGCATATTCGACATCGACACGAAGACTGAGCTTGTGTAGCCCTCGAGAATAGCGAATACATAACTTAGGCATATCGTCGGGGATTGTAAGAGCCCAATTGGCGATTCTGAGGCTCTTTTACATAATCCCCGCGCGTTTGGATTGATTTGATGATGTGATGGTTCGATGTTTGTGGATGAAGTCCGGAACATTTGAAGCTAAGCCAAGTAAATTTGGGCAGAGAGTGGATACATGTAGGTACAAAGATATAAGTACTTCTTACATCGCGATCGATCTGACGTATCTTATCGATAATAGAGTTACACTCACACCCAATAAATGCATACACTTAATCTAGATACTCGATTAATACATGATGCCTTCGATATAATGCTGAGTCGTCGAGGTTCAATTTACTTCTCAGGCTTCAAGATTAAAACATAAAAAAGCCCAACATGTATGCGCTCGTATTAACTGCCGAATTAAATGGGTAAGTGATAGTTGAATGGAATAAGTCATTAATACTCGGCTAATAGGAAATCTCTAGGGTCACGAACCTTCGACCCAAGGATATAACCGAGAGTCCATTCTGGTATACCTTCACGGTCCAATGTACCTCATGTCGAGAAACACATGGAAATCCGGTAGCAGTCAGCAGATTTGTAAGACTTCTCATAGTTCGTCTTGTTTGATAGATATTTTAGTAATTAACTCAATTTCTAGGAGACCAACGAACTTAGTGGTAGCAGAGGAGAGGCGAACTTCGTATGGAAATGCAAGAATTGCAAGGTGAGTTTGCGCCAAAGCTCACAACACCTTGCGCAATGTATCATGAGGCCAGACAACAGTATCTAATACTTCGCATACACAGCGAGAATCTTCTTGTTCAATCAAGACAGCCCCCAAAGCATATGAACAAGGCGAACCACCAAAACAGCAACCCATCATCGAGTTCGACTGTCGAGGTTTGGAATTTACATCGTTTAGCCCAGAGGTAGGTTTGAACTATATCCCTCCGCAACAGGATCCTACTCAGTGTTAACTTCTATACCAGGGAGAGTGGCTGGCAGATGGTATAGAGTCTGGTACCAAGTTTGAGGGCGTAGATTTACAAGAAGGGGAATGGTATGAATACGACGAGAAAGCCAATGATGAGGTTTCTATCAAGGACTTGAGTTGGGATATTAAGAGGGCTTGAAGTTGTGGATAAGAAGCCACTCCGTTATTAACTCAAGCAAGCGAAACCCAATGAAACCAAAATAAATCACTGATATATCTAATTACCATACCTTTAGTTGAACGCGAAGTTTGCGATGCTATCTCATCTCGCCTTCGTAGCAGCATAGGTAGAAAGCGGGGCAGAACCCGAGAACTGCGATACCCCATTAGCCACTTAAGACCATTACATAAGCCCCATTAAGTAACTAAATCAAACTCTAGGCTCAAAAATTCCAGGTACAACACAGCTGCCAAAGCTGCGAAGCTCAACGCGAACAAACAACAACTTCAGAATAATTTAATCACGATTCTTCATACCCCCGTCCACCATGAGTGTAAGTCAATTCGGCTACCCATATGCATATCCATTTGATTGCAAAAATTTAACTAACCGAATGTCATGCAGTTCGTGCCAATCAACCCGCGGCCTATGCTGCAAGACCTGTACGTCTCCCAGCCTAACATTTACCCTCCTTCCCTTTGCGACACCCGAACGAAGCGATCGTAATGCTAACCACCAGGTATAGAGTCAACAAGGACATCGTGGTCCGACTAAAGTGGGGCGAAACCGAGTACCGCGGCCGACTCGTCAGTTCCGACAGCTACATGAACATCCAACTCACCAATGCCCAAGAGTTCATCGACCAGAAGTTTACCAGTGATTTAGGGCAAATCCTAATTCGGTACGTTCCTACGATGCGGCAATTATATCTTGATGGAGGAGGAGGGAGTGGGGAATAAGCGGTGTCTTTATCGAAGGAGTAACTGACATGTGCCCAATCTGCAGATGCAATAACGTATTATGGATCAAAGCCGCCGACCAAGGTGGTGCCGACGTCAATATGGGCGGATAACTTGGATTATTAAAAGTCGAATCGAGTGAAAGGCCGCCGATATACCCTTGAGAAGACAAAGTCTAGTACCCTGAAACCGAGGGCAGGGTAGAATACGGAAGAGAGTTTTACGACAAATAGCCAGGCGTCAATGATCGGATGGCGAACACGACGGTATAAAATACATTTATGGAGCAAGAGAAGAAATAGAAGGCAAAGAATCGTCAAGTTATAGTGGTTATCTCATTCGTCGTGGGTTAGAAGAATCTCTACCATCTCTATGATCTCAAACGGAGTCATGCGAGCAAGAGAACTAGGCACGGTCTAAAAAATGCAAATACTTTTTCCCCGGAACCTCAGGTCTTTCTTCGTAACCCCTCTTTTTGGTCCCGTTCCATATCAATGTCCTCAAAGTGAAGACTTTATCATCCTCTAATCAAGCAAATCACAGCAAGCAGGCCACCTTGCGGCTACTGCACAAATCCGAACCTCCAACCTTGACCCTCTGCGTCGGGCCAACCCACATGAACGCCTCAACCAACCATTCATACCATACCCTAGTATCGTCCGTCTGTCGCCACATACTGACTTCCAACTCTGTGTCCGGCGGGAAGTAAAGTGGTTGCTAGGATATCCGTTAATACACGGAACATATGGCTAGAGAACAACAAAGAAAATATGACACATCAAAACACACATACCTTAAGCGGGAAGAAAATCGGGAACCAAGAAATCATATCCTTGCTCTTGCGGTCAATATTATCCGGCAGCGTGCTCAGTTCGATCTTCGTCTCCTCATCTCTTGTCTCTCCTTCCTCTCGCTCCTGTGAATTGGCATCTGGCGTATACAGCACCGCCTCAAAGTATCCCGCGAGACCATGCACGACGCCGCGGCTTCGACATACAAATGTCATATGGCAATGTCTAGCATTATGGTCATTCGCGCCGACAGACCCGGACATACTGCCACCTCCACCACCCACAACACCGCCCTTGCGACGAGCCTCCGCGGCATCCATGACGCGCTTAGGTAGCGGGTGCATGAACTCCCATGCTGTCTGGAAGCGCGGATGATCGGGTACGCCACGTTGTGCGACGAAGTCTATAGCAAACAATCGCACAACCCAGGGTGTATCAAAAGCAGTCAAATCAGCATTTGCCGCGCGTTGACGTATATCAGCGTAGATACGTGGAGCCGAGATAGGACTCGCGTGCGCAGTGTACGACGCCGGAATAGAGATACCACTTTCCGGAGCTAGGACATGCTGAATGCCGTCGAGACACTCAGGACTGAGCTCATTGTCGGCGAAGGAACCTAGGAGCTCCGAGACTAGGATATCGACTTTGCCATAAATAGGAGCGTCGGTGGACGAGGGGTCAGAGAGGAGAGGACCTTTCCATGCTCGCATATCTGTCTTGACGACGGTGACACGACCACTCCATTCTCGTTGGTTTTGTCGGAGCAGGTACACATAGGCGTTGGGGTTCTTCTCGACAGCCCAGACACGTACGGGAACACCGGTGGATTCGCTGGCGCGCAGAGCTCGTGTGACGAGTGGTCCACGACCGGAGCCAGCAACTGCGATGACAACTTCACCTCCTGGGCTGGATGTAGGTTTCTTCAAGGCAGCCCAGTCTCTAAGTGCTGCCGCAATCGCCACCTCATACTGGAAGTATTTAACGGGGTCGCCCTCAAAGACCTCATATGTGACAGATTCGAGGTTGTCCGAAAGTGGCTGTAGAGGGGATTGTAGCCAGTCCTGGAAATTGGTCAAAGTGTTCTGTTCCAAGTCATTTAGAGGCTCCTGTTGTCTCTCGAGGTATCTTAGGTATATGGTATAGTTATTCGGGGCTAGTAGTCTAAAAGTGCCAGTGTTGCTTGAGGATGGCTGTGCAGCAGCTTCAGCTAGAGTTGGGAAATTTGCCTCCGATAATCCCTCAGCTTTAGTGTCTACCGGTACCTCAGGTCCCACATCATACAATAGAAAGTACGGTGTACTCTTTAAACGCATGTAGGTGAAAATCATCTCCTGGTGGTAGCGACTAAGGGAAGGATAACCGGTTTTGTTCATCTGGAACGTTTGTGGCCCCAAAGTCAAGTATTGAAGAGGTTCAGAGAACCATCTTGTTTGAAGTTCCTTCTCCGGGAGGGCTCGTGGAATTCTAAGGGCTTTAATTCTCATCAGTTCGACTCACGGCGGTTGAAGCGTATTGCAGCTCAAGTGTAGCTTGAGTATTCAACATGACATAGTACAGGGAGGTCACATACCAACGAAAAGTCTAGCGTCATAGTCGCAAACAGAACGAATAGTATGCCAGGAGTCCCAAGAACTGAAAAGATCGATTTCTCTTCCCGAAGATTCTTCATTGTCTTGGTCGAGCACGGATAGAGTTGGTACTTTCTCTTCTAAACCAGGCTCGCGATACATAGGAATATGGACCATGATGCTGACCCGTGTACCGATGGAAAGAGCTTCCTGGATAGCTCGAGCATATTGGGCGATGCCTCGATCATTTCCAGTTTGGATTGAGTCATGTCGGGGCCCAGGGATAATAATGCTCCTAACACCACAGAAATTTGCATAGGATACCTCGAGATTCAAAACCTGCCGGGAAATGCTGGATAGAACATGATTTGAAGAGCATAGATCGATCCATGGGCTAGAATAAGCGATGAGTCCACTTGTATATGTGCCTGGAAATAGGTTGGTATCCTCAATGGTTATGGGAGGTACCACTGGGTCAAAAATAGAGCCAGGTTGCTCATCATTTGCGGCATCCAATAGACTAGCTTCCGCGAGCTTCAAAACACGATCATGAAAATTTTCGTTGGCGATTGGTGTTGTAACGAAAGTAAACTAAGAATATGAGTATTGACGAATAAAATTCATGAAATGGCCACTTACACCAGTATTTAGAACTTGACCGTATTGTGTATCGGTCAAGGTTTCCGTCCTTGTTGAATCATGTTGGCCGATATAAAAGATTGGGCGGACTTCGTGGGCGTCCTCAGACTGCTGGTCCACAAGTGTCTGCGACATATTGAAGATATTCTCTTTGCTTTGCTAGCCCTAATGATGTTCAAGGATGCTGGCGTATTGAAGGATCCTCGTTGCTGGGTACACTTTGGGGGGGAGGATGAACCACTAAACCCCACCAGTAACGAGAATTAAGGAGGGTTGGGTATTGTTATTCACTCGAAGATCACAAACCCATTGTTGAATAAGAAACAAATTTAGAGCACCTCGCCTAGGAAATGGATCAAGGTCAGACAGAACCACACCACTCCTTCTTAAGGGAAGAATGCATTGTTATTAGCGATGTGGTGTGATTGATTCATCGAATCGATACGAAAGAATGGGAAAGAGAAAAAAAGTTGCCCAATATTTTACAAACGTTCAACACGCCTATTGGTCTAGAACCCGCTGGACCCGATGTATTATTTCTTCGCACTTAGACCAGGTCGGTCGGGTTTTCGTATATTCCTCGAAAGGATGAAATTGTATATAGTAGAATTTCCATAAGCTTTGGAACTTCCAAGGTCGTTATCAAAGGTTATATTGAACCACGGCCATTCTTTAATAATGGCGATGAATTATTTCAAAAGTTAGAGCTAAGACGGGATGTTCTGCATGTTGTGTTGGTGTAGAAATATCCGTTTCTTATCTTATCTTTTATACGTAAAGCCCACGTGACCTGCAAAATTTACGGGAAGAGCAAGAGCTCCCCCGCAGTGAGTTTGGAGGTACCTAAAAACCCACCTAAGGTTCAGTTCACCCCACCTTCTAAAAGCTTGGAGACTTACAAAGTTGCGACAGCTTTATCTTTTACCGAAACTTGCCATTGCGACAGACGAGAAACACCAAATAATTCAGACAATATGAATCGGCGCATGGTTAGTACTTACTTCACTCACAGAATATCGTGCCCCGGGTTTGCTAACCATTCTGTCTTGTTCATTAGCTTACCAAGGAAGACGAAGCGGCCGGTGACGAAGTCGAAGTTCGCCGCGAAGACCAGGACAAAATTAATAAATTCAGTCGGCTACACCAAAGGGAGTTAAACCTAGAGGAAGAGTTGAAATCCAAGAATGTATGAAAGACGGGTTATAATGCGAAACTATTCCACGACTATGGCTGCTGACGACGTTTTATCTCATAGAAAGAGAAGGAAGAATTAGACGACATCACCATGGAGCTCGAGCTTGCAGACGAAGACGACAAAGTCCCGTAAGAGCCCCTCATATATCTTACCCTGTACAATTGCCGCGAAAGTCCTCCCTTATCTAAGAGAAGAAGCGAATGTACAAATACCCACGATAGCCACGACATCTCCAACAATCCGATCGGCAATGAGACACAACTAACAAATAGCTCAAAATGCAGATATAAGATCGGCGACGCATTCTTCCACCTACCGTTATTACAGGCACAAGAATTATTGGTTTCGTCGACTACACGAGTTGAAGAAGAGGTATCAGCGCTAGAAGACAAGTTAGGGACAGTCAAAGACGAGATGACGCAGTTGAAGGTCGAGCTTTATGCACGATTCGGACGAAGTATCAACCTCGAAACATGAAACTACTATTCAGTATACGGGGAAGACTGGTATTAGGATCGCGTTGCGCTTTAAAACGTGTGTTTAGGGGTCAGCTTCCACGGCACGAGGAAGCCTTAAGTTGGAGACTTCGTCCTAGCCGAAATTCTCAAAAAATTATGCCTCTCAACTTGGAAAAATAAGCGGGTTCGCTGTCACCAGATGGAGATGGTCCCGCGAGATGTTTAAGGCGAGGATATTAAAAATAGCAATAAGGATTCCACCCAACTAGACGACGATAGAAGTCCGAAGTGGTAATGGGCCTGAAAGTGGCTTCGATCAATTAGTACCCCTCAGCCACACCACGAATAAAAGTAATAATACCTCCACGATACAATAATGCGCCCAACTAAGGGACGCTCAAGCATAGAGATAATTCTATAGTCACCTTCGATCCTTCCAATATTTTCGCTGTCAAGGGGAAGCGGGGCCGATGGTACCAAAGTAGCACTCGGGGCCGGCCGCCATCAACTAACTTTATTTGATGGAGATTGGCCGATTTCCCTGGTGCTTTCCACTTGCGCATGCAGGAACCATAGCGACCTAATGATGTCATAGCCAAGCCCCCGGGAACACACAAAGGATTTCCAGTAACAAACAAGGCACGACTAATCCCTCGCATGACGATGACCTACCCCGGTCATTTACATACACATCGTCATGAAATTGGCAATTTAATTAGAAGCAAGCCACTCATCTTACGCACCTACATAGAACTACATCATCTCCCTACCTCAACTTGATCTAGATCCCGTTATTGTCGACCCACCGCTTAAACGTCCTCAACCTCTTCTACAACCGCCGTGACAGTAACGGGTGCCAAATACTACGCTACCGCTACCCTAGATACCTCTTAACCTAAATGGCAGCCCTACTACATCGCTTAGTGCCCGTATGGTTGCTGCCGCTACTAGTGGCCCGGACAATTCTAGCCGTACCGGCACATCCTATGATAACACCAGCTCCAGATATAAGAGATCGAGTTGCAGCACGCGATTTCGACCCAGGCAATTATATAAACAGCGTCTTAAGTGGTCTTGGGAGTGATGTGTCAAGTTATGAAGCATCCGGTGTGCCTCAATTCTTCCAAGACTTTCCTAGTGGAACAGCCGTGGAAAGTTCTTTGGGTATAAAAGATTCAGACCTTGCCGCTACACCGACCCAAGTTTTAAACATTCCGTAAGAACAACCTCATCATTAAGGCTTTCTGCCCTATCATAGGAATAATACTGACCCGTTCTATGCCGTAGGGCATATGCTAATTGGACCGACGACGGATGGAATGTCCGCGTTCATGGCAATGTGTATAAGCAGCCAAATATCTCGGAAAGTAAACTCAATAGCCTAGCCAATGTATTCCTTGTCGGTACAGACATAGAGGACCTCCCTCAGGCACAGCAGACTCAAGCTCGCAACTTGACGGCGGAAATATTCGTCGTTCAACAAGGGGATGTAAATGTTACCGTCAACTTTGAAAACGATGTCGATGTTGACCCAGATGCAAGCGGCGGCGTAATTAACGCCGTAAGTTAATCCATGCCATTATCGTGTATAAGTATAGGGCTAATAGTAATCGATTTGTAGAAAGGGGGCACGCAGTCTCTTCAACTTCCGTACTCAACCACCGTCGAAGGCGACTTCGACGCATTTATCAAGCTTAAAAACACAACTGGTCCAAACGGCGGGCACCTGATGGCCGGCAACGCGACTTCATCCATCCAAGCACTCAATATGTACACCAATGGGACCGACACAGGAAACGCAACGGCCTACCTCGTTCCGCCGACGGGTTTCACGATCATTTCCGATATTGATGATATTCTTCGTGTCACCAAGATCTACGACCCAAAAGAAGGTCTATTGAACTCGTTCGCTAGGGCATTCACACCGTGGATGAACATGCCGGAGATCTATGCGAATTGGTCCGCCACGATACCGAACTTTCACTTTCATTATCTCACCACGACGCCGGAGCAGATCACGAGAAACTACATGGAGTAAGTCCCTCATAGGCTATGATGCCATACTGCCAGATAGACTCAGGTATTAACCAAGGCTAGGTTCATCTACAAGACCTACCCCCTAGGCTCCTTCGATACGCGACCACTCAACTTCTCCGACGTATCCGCGACGCTATCGATCCGTAGAGCGCTACTAGACAAGATCTTCCAGACCTTCCCGGAGCGCAAGTTCGTGCTCGTTGCTGATACATCTAATTCGGATGTCATGAAGGATTATCCTCAGATGGTACACGATTACCCGGGTCAAGTCCAGTGTATCTTCCTACGCAACACAACTGCGACGGACTCTTCCGACTTATTCCCGTATGATACTTCAGGGTTTAAGGACATAGATCAACGCCAGTACATGTTCTTCGTAACGCCTGATGATCTGAGGGACGTGGATATCGTCGGTGGGAACTGCTATAACCCGGCCGTGGTGCAGAACGTGACATTCGGGTATCAGGGTCGTGGGTTCGGCAACGCTGGGTCTTTGATAAAGTGGAATTTGAGTTGGAGTTGGTTCTCGGTAGCGGTTGCTATGTGCTTGTTGTTCTGATATGGGACTTGCGGTTTCGGTTGGTTGGCTCGGCGTCAAGGTAAAACTTTGGGATACTACTAGGCTAGAAGGTTAACGATAGGTAATAGCCCATGCTATCACGATAATATTCGAAGGTATAAAAAAGGAGCATCTTCTTATCGTTGGGCTATTCATCATGGTAGACGCGGACGGTTCAGTTGGGATGGAAAAGATGTAGCCTATCACCTCTTTCTTAGACGGACCTAATTATAGAGAAAAATGTCAAGAGGCCAATGACATTCCCCAGTATGCTTTATATATTTACAATAGCGTGTGGTTGCTAGGCGCTAGGTATCTTGTCTCATCCTTCCAGGATAGGTGTTGGTCTAAGAATCTAAACCTACCATCTACGATAGGGATCTTATGATTCGGTAGGGATCGCTGCCTTCAGTGCTATGGAAATAATATTCCCCTATTACTCTATCGGTGGGATCCGAGGCTCGGTCGATGATAGCGGTATGCAAGCGGAGGTTCGCGTCGTCGCTGGCATCGTATCCGCTTTGGGAAGGATGAAGCTTGGTATAAGATAGGACGTGGCTACCTATGTTGTGCCAGATGTTTATAAATGGGGGATGAAGGACGTCTGTTTTCGAATGAGGAAGTCGCTCAGGTAGGAATCGCGTTTGACGTATTTGCGCCTCGTAATCGTCTTAGCAATCTAACGGTATCTGTTTCTGAAAGTTAGTAGAATAGAAAGCAGCTAGATTTCTGATGGCTCTGTTGATTAACTTTTTGGATTGTTTCGGAAGTTCAACTATACTGTTAACAAGGTGTGGTCTGACCGATATAATTAAAGGAAATTCTGGTTTGGGATATCGATCTGATCGATATTGTTCTATACCCCTGTTTTCTGGTGGCAATACTATCGTAGCAACTTCCTTCAACACGTCACTATGAAGACATATCAGTATTTGTCTAACTTGTTGTTTACATACATCCTGTTTTATTCTTCGTCCTTTAGAGCATTACATGAGACGCCTGGATCTTCCATTATACTCCAGTCTTCCCTATGTAGCTCCATAGTAGTATAATATAAGACAAGGGTCTTCACCAAGCTTTCCCAGTCCCATTCCCCCCGCCATAAACTCCTTTTCACAGCAATTCTACTTCACTGAGTTTCCGACAAGCTCTTACCCAACACTCTGGCTCATTTCGTTATGTTTTCGCGATAAACAAGTTACCTCTACTTCGTCGGTGCGATATTAGCACTCTATCGTATTATGATTCGGAGCTAGAGATTTGCGACAATTATGAAATGCCTAGGTACCTGCTATGGGTAAGCCGCGAAATTCAATATTACGACACAGGAGGTACAAGATACATTACCCAATTTTGATCTACGGATGGAGTTTGGAAACAGTCAACCGACAGTAGATCTTGTAGTCACCAGAAGGGCCGAAGAACGCGAATGAATTCCAAGGATAAGAACGTTCGCGGAGGAAATGTGCCGCTCACGAGAAGTTGATCCCCCGAACAAGGGTGTGATTGATGGGATCCTATCACGGCTTTTCTCTATAATCTATTCCACGTTGCACAGATAATACCTCGCAAGAAGCTACTGAAGTTCCCTGCCAAATAAAAAAACCCAGATAGTTGGCGTGGTACGGTACCTGTAGAGAGCATATTGCGAGCCCCTCTAATTTGAATGTAACTAAATACTGTAACCTCATATATTTGAAAATGATAGAAGTGTGTCGAAGATTTACTCCAAATAAGCAGCTTTCGGCAATGTGAGTAGTCGTCGCCCTTCGAGACCTACCCATCCTCTAGTCGTCATATTTCAGGGCGTGGGAGACGGGTTCCGCCACTCCAACCCGAGATGAAGCCGACCTAGACGGCCATACCTAGGTAAGAGACTAGAACCAACAAGCATATACCTATGTCTCATTGCGCTAGGTGGACCATAACCATTCGGTATTGCATAGTGCCATACCCCCTTTAGCTTGACCCTCCACAAATTAGTTTACTTAGAAAAGCCGTTCCAAGCCGCGAATGATCACGCTCGATACTGCAGAGGCATAATCTTGGAAGTGCATGACTTGGTCGTCGCAAAAATGTGGTACGAGTTTGACATATTGATCGTGAATACGTGGTATTCAGGTCTATCTAGCCGAGATTTGCTCCATGGGACGCTACCAACCTATCACTTCTCTTCATCTAAAGTTAGGGCTGATGGTCGGTTGCAAATATCCCCCTAGTATCCTAAACCGAGTTAGGGGTCTAGTTCTGGTTGGGGGGTTCGAACGACGTGAGCTAACCTCAGAGCATGTCGGTAAACTGATGCAACCATCCTTTAGAACAAATCCATGCAGGAATATTCTGAAAGCAACCTGGCCACTCACTGGCTGAATCATGAGAGGCGCCACCTGTTTTAAACATTAGAGGGTTTATCAGCTCCAACGGTTGTATGGTTCCTATTGCCTCTACAGCAGGTAATGATCAACAATAAGAAAATACCGACACCCTCTAAAAATAATTACTAGTTGTGACTCAGTAACCCGACCGTCTAGAAAGACGTTTGCTGATGCTAGTTCTACGTACGCGAATCCTCGTCGTGGCGAAGGAGCCCGTACCTAAGTACCATTTACAAATCATATCTACCAATCATCTACGGGAAAAGAAGCAATGAACCAAATAGAACGCATTGCAATTGGTCTATTTCAACCCAATCAGCTAATTAGCCCTGAACTCAGGTGCAAGGAGAAAATACATATTTATTCCTCTTCAACTTGCTCGGACTAGGTGTTTGAACCATCCATCATGGGATAAGATTTTCCTTTCCCTTGGATACGCGTTCGAAATGGATCACTTATTCCAGCCTTGTGGGATTTAATAGGATGATTCTATATTTGTATTAAACTTCCAGAACTGTATCTCGTATAACCATGTCTTAGCAAGTTTTTTAGGTATTACATACCTACCTAGGTAGGTACCAAACCAGACTTAAGATGAACGAAACGGCTGGCGATTTGACGGTGCGCTACCGCAATAGTTCTACACAGGAAAATTTCTTTATCGTCTTGAAAATGGTACTGGACTACTAGGCTGAGCGAATAGCGTATCCGCCTCGTTTTATGAGCCTACCTGGGCGGCTACCTGCGTACCTAGGTACCTAAGTACTTTTACAAGTCGGGTAGGCCGCGATGTCGTGTCTTAGTGTTTATGTAGCCGGGGAGACCTTCAAGCTCTAAGCGAGGACCTTGTTTCCACAGGTAACTGCTAATAGGTACATATACACCTATTAGTTACTCTCAAGATGCTTATGTCTCCGTTTGACCACATGGCCACCAATACCAATTGAAGTCAGCGCCGAATTATAAGCCTAAGACATTACGTAGAATTAATAGTAAACATCGTATATACGTACTTGTAACTGGTATTGCGCCAGATCGCGGTAACGGTCGTAGAAATCAACCGAGATACTAGGAGACGTATATGATCTCTTCCCACAGGCATCAACCCAAGCCCACCAATAATAATACCCTATGTAGGTACGGAGATGATCGTCTACCGAATGCAACAGCCGAATCCCGCATTTGGAGAGAAAGTAAAAGTTAGACACGGCATTGCTTTGCTCGGCGCGGCGTGGGACTGGTCGTATCTTTGAAGTATATCGGAGGGAACTCTACGCGGATCTGGGCTTGGGTTGGGTCATGAGCGAGATATTCACACGCATGAAGGGTGGCGCCGAATGAGCAGGTGCGAAGTTCGAGATACAGCATGTAGTGAAAGTCTTAGACACGTAATCCGGATATCCGGGACATACGAATCAAACGTAGTTGGTGAGTATATGTAGCGGTATCACAGCATGAGACATCAATGCATTTGAGGAGTCGTACGAGATTTGCAGATGCCAGATATTTTCCTTACATCCTGGTGTATCGGGGAGCCGGAAGATATATAGGAGTTTGTAGTTTGACATTAGAATGGCGTGAACATTTATTGATAGTTACACGTTCGGTAGTCATCGTTTAAGTCTCTGGTGAAACCCCCAATATTAAACGTGGAGGTAATCGTCCCAACACGAAGGTAAAGTGGTGTAGAAGAAAGTGAGATATGAAGAATTGGAAAATTGATAACTCTTGTGAAAGCGGAAAGGGATGTGGAGACGAAGGAAGTGGAGTTCTGCGGTCCGGGAAGGTTATTCAAGGATCCAAGGGCCAAAGCACGTGGCCGAACAGGGCTCTAAGTACCCCATAGCCGGGCGACCCCCACCTATAATGTCCCCTAATATGTAACGGCTACGGCTAGGTGCATCCTAGCGCTCCCGAAATCCCCAACCATCCTTATCCATGTAACTGACCGACTGGGTCAGCTTGATGGGACCGCTTAAGTATACAAGTTACCGCTTCTGTTCAACTTCATCATTGTTATCGCATACTTTGTAGGAACAGTAAGAATATTGCCTTGGCGGTACGTGATGTTACGTATCTTAAGGTAGATGTATGCAAGGTCTTTTTTTCGTTCTTCTTCCCAACTTGTTTCTTCATTACACTGTGCCTTTCTTACACATATCTATGTACATACACATGCACATATATACATGCACATATCATCCAGTCGTTTGCCTACTATGTACTATAAGGCAGGTACCAGATTCGTAATACTATGTACGTATCCCTGGTGCAGTGTAGTCGGATCGTAGCATTTGATTCTTGCAACACAAATCGAGCATCACAATTCCACGTTATGCAACTCCACCGAAACACACAATTACAACTTTGCCTCGCAGACGATTGCCCTTTTCTTGGATTCGGTTGTCTTAAATCGGTAATATCAAGTTGCATTAACGTTGGAACTTTTCCTTAGATCGACCACCACATATTCTCTTTTGAATCAATCATAGTTTTGGTTCCCACAATCTGGGTGGGTGCAACTAATTCTGTCATATTCTAGACAACGAGATTCGCCTGTCGGCGCTCTACCTTCTTGCAGGGCACTAAATAATAAGTCGCAGCACTGGAGCAGATCAGTCATCACGAGGCTCTCAGCCGACGCGATTGCTAATGCAACAGGCCCGATTGAGGACTCCGAGATCTGGATTGCAACGCTGTCCAGTCTCTTTACGAGCTGGCATTACGCATCGCCGCGTCTGTCTCGCTTATCTTTATCCGTTTAAAAAAATCCCTGCGTTTTAATTCCCCTGCGCGACAAAACAAATAAGGCCCAACCTACATTTTACATGTCCATTTACCGGATGTCATGATATATATATCGAGTACCTACATGCATGGGGGTACAAAGGTACCTAACCTACCCATATTTCTTAACCAAAGACGTATTTAGAATTTAGGTTAAGCATGAAATTAAAGTATCGCGTGGCTTTCGTCATAATTTTTTACTTATTTTCTTTTTCTTTTCTTCCTTATTTTATTTTTTTTCCTTTGAACGATACCGAAAAAAAATTATCGAAAAATGGCGTATGTACGTACTTGCTACTATTACCTACCTAAGTAGGTATCGTGATTTCTTCTCGTCTCACTATTTTTTCGGGTTTCCATTTACGTCAACGGAATTTGGTGGGATGTCGAGTGAGAAATATTATTTTGACGCCAATCTGGGAGTGCCTTGTCGTTACGTTGTCCAATCCATTCGCAGCCCCGGCCAAATTATCCCCATCATAGGCGGAATTGGCACAAACGCCGCCGCTTCCGCCATAAGATCGTCAGTTCGCCCATTACCATAATGGCTGCGCCCCACCAACCTAGTTAGATATCCTTCAAAGCCATAACTCGCTATCTCATGATGCCTAGAAAATGTATCAAATAATCTCACTTCCTCCCCATAAACGCCCAATATTCTTCGATTGCCGTAACAGGCCACGCAAGCCATCGTGGCTTCAGTAGCTAGTTGCTGGAACTGGTGGTCCCGGAGTAGCGTTGGTCGTAATAACGGTAGGGATCTGGCTTTGGTTTACTTTGTATCTGAGCGTCCATTGGTTGCCAGACTCGTCAGTGTTGACAATTTCCATCAGGGTATAGTGTACAACACCGTCTTCAACTCGTGGAACGCAAATATCGTGTGCGTATCTCGACGGGGGCATCTCAGAAGCCCCTCCGTCGGCGTCTCGTCCTTCCGCCTAAACATATAGAGGTTAGTTACCGTGGTATCAACTAAGCTAGTGCGCCATTTCTATAATTCCCCGTTTATATGCGAGTTACTTACACAGCAGTTTGCGCAAGGAGAGTTATTGACATAAACCCAATTAGGACAATTATGGGTATAAAAGTATTTGCATCGGTACTTGTAGAAACCGCCGCTTCCACTCATGATGGAAAGGACCCTGGTGGTTGTCCTAATAGACAGCACCTGGATAGTCGGCTTTAAAAGTAGAAGGACTTTCTGACAGCTTTGAGGACTGAGCTGCGGGAATAAAACATAAGGATAGAAGGTTCTAGACGGTTGGGAGTTAAGGACTAAAGGGGGTTACTGCCCGCTGGCAGCTAGCGACGGGGGGTTTTTACTGACGGACAAGAAAGCCCGAATCAGTAAAAAGAAGTTCTGAACTCTTGGAACGAGTAGGCCTGAGCCGGTTCTTGTTGCAAGGATGCCCGAAGTGGAAGGGAAGATCTACCCAGGGTAGCCGGTGCGGAAGCACCCTTATTTATATTTACATCTCTAGGGCTGTAATAGCACGCAACTGGCGTACACCCAAATCTATATATACCAGCTACCTCGCTACCTCTGCTGGAAAAAACGATTCCCTTTCCATAGGTATCTACAGGTCTTTGGAAGCCGTGTTGAGCATCGCCTCAAACATAAACTACTCTCCCACACACAGGCAGGCGATTATCCTTCTTTCTCACCAACCGCAAGCCCCCCCCCCCTGCACTTCCTGCAATGGAGCATTGAGACCCTTAGATGACAAGGGTCAGTGTGGGTCACATCTATTCTGGAAACATGTGCTGTATGCGGACATAAGTACCCAACCAGGTACCTCCCTAGGTGGTTAAATGAAATACAGAACATCCATTGACATATCATAATACAGTCCACACTGCAACGGATTCAAGATTGCACTCTTTGGCCCGCCTCTTCGTGTAACAAGAACAAGAAACAATCAACCCATTATTGGTTATAAGAACCAGATGCGACGCAATAGATATCTTCCCATTGGCGCAGCAAGCCTTGGATCGGAGAAGTAATTCGGACAATCACACGGGCGAGAGGTAATCAAATCTGAATTCTGACAGAACAGCTCATAAGCAGTTGCCTTCTAAAGCAAACCAAATCATTCATTGGCGTTTTTTTATGCTGACGCCGTTTTTATTGTGGCACACGGCATCCTTATCCTTGAGAAGATCTAGACGGTACCGAAAGCATGAAGCCCGTCTTTTGCGCATATTGTTACACCTACCCCTAAGCATAAAGTGGCATGGTATGCGTACCGTGCGTTGTAATTGTTGCAAAGGCTTAAAGCTTCCCAATAAGGATTCACGAATATGGGATGCCAATATCGGACCCCCAAAACTGCCCACCTATGTGACGTTGCTGCATTTTTTCTTGACTTTTCATAACGATTGTATTTAGCGTAGAAGTACACGTATGGTGGACGATGAATTGTCCAATGCTAACAAAACGTACGACCTTGATTTTTCATGGTGAGGCTGAAGATGTGAAGGTTGGAAACCTTTGGAATTGATAATTGGCCGGAAGAGTCTCCGCGGTGAGTGACGGCGTCAAGTTGATTAATCTCCTTACGCTGTCCTACCTGCCTTCGTGTATGTTGCGCTGGTTAGGTTAAGTTAGGCATTGCATTCCAGTACTGACTGGTAACTAGTATAATAAGTGTGGTTGTCATAATCAGATGGTTTCCCGAACTTAATTACAAACGTAGCTAGCCTACCAGCCTACTAGCTCGCCAACGGGCCCTTGCGTCTTGATTAAACCATGACCATGTGAAAAGGAAGGTGGGAAGCACTGACTCCCGTCGTGCAAGGTCGGGTAAGGACCCCAGTAGGCAAGAACTAGGGGGTCCTAGTGGATACCTCCACTAAAAAAATCGAAGAAAATCTCCGGGGATAGGGGTCCGAACAAGAGCTAAACCTACTTGAGCGGGGGTGTTCCAGAAAACTAAGATTCCTTATGGATACTCCTACCCTTGAACGTCGAAACTCAAATATGCCACACCATTTTTTAAGCCCTCCTTCAATCAAGTCAATCCAGAAAAAAACAACACAAAAACGTAGACACGAATAAAATCAACTTCTATGCCACTACTTTGTACACAGATTACTCCCTCACTTTACTCCCACCTATCATTTCATATAGTCGTACACTTAAACATACCATATCCTACCCTTCTTTCCGTCTATCGGAGTCATGAGTTACAATGGTGTCGTTCGTTCATCCAAAAAAATTCACCCACCTCATTGTATGCACCATGGAATCCTACCTAGCCACTCCAAGGCACCAGTCCATCCCAATTCGCTCGAATTTCATCTATTATTCCTCGAGGTTTACTAATATCGAGTCAATATATGAAGTACTGAAACCAAATGTCTTTCACTAACAACTACTCGCTACGGGAGCCGCCAACACGCATTTGGGACATCTCTTCCCTATCCTATTCGTCAATTTAGTCTTGCCTCTACCGTGATGGGCCTGTAGCGGTACAATATCCCCCATACTAAGACATGCGCATGGGAAGATAATATTCCAGCTCAAATGTTACACCACCAATTCGTTTTCGTGCATATCTCATACGCATGTACATGCGTAGTTGAGGGCTCATCATTTACCGTATCGGGAACGAGGCCTTGGACATCCCGTTCTACAGTAAACCAGGTTACCGGCTTCTAAGTATATAATGTTACCTTTCGATCCCGCCTCATCTGTAAGGACAACCAATCGCTAGCTTGGATTTGAGCCAACTCGATTTCCCATATGTCTATCGGCAACATTACCATGGGCTTTTGAGAAATGGACTTATGACAACTCCGAACTGCCTACCTAGTTAACACGTCGATCTGGTGGTTAAAAACGTCACAATACGCCAAGGCTCTATCTATATGCGGATGCCATTCATTATTCCTACAAAAAGCATCGGGACATTCTTAACCTATAGGCAGCTTGACCGATTGGACCGCCGATACAATTGAGACCTCGGGTTGAAACGATTCGATGTGTTATGCATGCTCGGCCGTGGTGGGCCATGCATAACCTACCTAGGCACTTGAGTCTACTACGGCTGGTCTCAAGGTAGCCCTCGTACCTACTTCTTCTAGAGTACACAGCATAGCATGAACGAAAATCATAAACCCAACAGTACATGACTTTTCACCCGTCCGGCAGCATGGCGAGCGGCCAATCTGCGGCCAACACTACGCCTTAGACAACTCGGTCAGTAGGTTTACTCGGTTTGTTATCCCTCCGGGACTCACTCCACATGTAAAAGTTTTACAAAGTGGCGTCGGGGTTTCCCTTCTCGACGGCTGGATCAGGTGGATTCTCATGATATCATGCGGCTTAATGTTTTAATAATTGCTTAGTCCCCGCTTCGCTACGGCCCGCTGTAAGGAGGCGGGAGGGATCTATTACACGGGATTTGAACGAGTTTGGAAACCCGATTTCCCCAGCCCCCGATGGATGGCCTTGAAAAATTTTCCCTGATAGTCGCATATGTCACTTTTCATTCGCTGGTCTGCAGACAGGGCGTACTCTAGGTCGTTGTTCCAAGGCTAGAGCTGTATTGCGATCCTGACCGAGCTCCAGACCGGCTGGCTACCACCGTCAAGTCACCCTACCGGTTCGACGCCTGTACTCCGCAGATACGGCTGATGGCTTTCAATAGCTCGGCTTGCCAATCATAAATTTTATGCTCCCACGGATTGGAGAATACTAACAAGTTTCATAGCGAGCTCAGCTCATATCGGCAACCGGGTACATGTCGGCGTCCTTTTCTGATAGTACATTGATCTAGGCCTGTCGACCCAAACCGTTGGTTTCGTTACATCATTCATCTATATACCGTCTACTCGGTAGGAAGCCTTGCTCTCCGGGGTTTCATTTCTTGCCCCATTAGCGGCATGCAGTGTAATGTTGCTCGATAGTTTGTTGCGTGATGCTACAACTTAAACTTCAGTTTAGTGATGAAGGTGTATCGGTGGTATTGTGGGTAGAAGTCTAACAAGTAGGAATAGCAGCGGCAGGATGTCCGTCCAGCCTTTCATATCTTAGTGTATACTATACGAGCCCACCATAACGAAAGCCCGGTTTCCTGTCCCAGGTGCTTGGAAATGCGAAGACGACTTACTATGCCGTTTAATATCCACAAGGAACGCCTTCTGGATAGCGGCATAAACGACGGAGGCAATACAAGAAGCTTTTAGGAGGAATCGCCGAAATCTTCCAACTTGGGAGTCTCGCTTACCCATTCTCAAGAAGGGAATTTAACACGTGTGATCTCCAAACCACATTACCCTCTACCGCGAGCCAGATGCTGCCCCTGTGGCACCTAAGAGGCTAGCTATAACAGCACCTCTAGGACCTCGGCGTCCGGTGTCCAGACTGCAGTGCAACACCAAGACCAAGAATTGAACCGCATGAGAATTCTGTCACACATCCCTAGTAGCCTAGGCGTATAACTACAACAGCAATACACGCCAAGCAGTCCCTGCAGAAGTTATATGGAGGTTTTACTGCAGTTTGCACAGCGACGCGCACATTTTGTTGGCTCGACTCCTATTCGTGCATCAAGTTTCGCGGACTCTAGATGTCAATTCCGACATATTATATAGGGAACCAATAATCATACCCTCCCTCCATGCGGTTGGTTGAAAATGGAAACCTATACCCCCGCTTGATGCAAGGCGTAAGTGCGCTGCTGTTTAACTAGACTTCGTTCACACGATTTCTGGTAGAGTGGTTAGGGGAATAGAGGCATATTAACGTGCGAGTCGGTGACAATCCCGTCAGGTGTTGCCATCACCCACCCACAATAGTGAGAATATTGATACTCGGGGTTCTCAGTGGCTAGCTAATAACTTCCCCATATATACTTGGATCGGATTTGTTCCCTGCCAGATAGCTTGCCACGAGGATGGCGTTAAGGGGGCAATTGTGATCAATCAGCTAAGTTGGCATGGTACAACGCCTGGATTGCTCATGGCTGAGGTTCCGCGTGGTAGTCCTTTGACTTGATCGGGGACACATGACGTACGATACCTAAGGGGGTATCCCTACTCGTTAATCCCCAAGAGCACATGAAAACTTTTTATTTTATTGTTGTTGTCAAGTCCCTTTCAATCAAACTCTTGATTTGCGGCAACGCTGGGGGGCTTTGAGATTCTTAAGGATGATGCGACGTTACTCGAGCATCGAGGTAAGCTTGTCGGTCTGCGAAAAGGCTAGGACTCGCTGAGCTTGTGGCGGGCTTCGACTCCCACAGTGCCGATGCCGAAAACTCGATTGCTCGAGTCCCGGGGTTATAGCCTGATTTGGAGAACCTGTATTAGTTTACTCGTTGTGACGAATCCATCGTCAATGCCTAACGTCCCGACCCCCGCCGAGAATAGAGGCTTCGACTCAAAGTTGCCACATAAGGATGTCTGAAACCTGATGGCGACCCTGACGGATGCTTCCCCAGATCGATCTTGGGGCTGATTCGCATCTAGGGACCCGACTGTTTGGCCCTCTCCATAAGTGCTCATCGTCGAACAAGTCATCAATAGGTCTGCCCCAATTTTCCAATATGACCACTTGTATGAGCGGTTTTCCTTCGGACTGATGATCATTTCAGATGCTTGATATGATATCGCCGCACGGGTTCATGACTGGCGCCCCCGAGGGGCAACCCCAACATCAGGGCGGGGAGATCATTACCTGTATGTTGGATTAGGACCGTCCTAGCGAAAATCGAGCCATCACGGGCATTTGATTGTCTAGAAGCAGTCTAGACTGTTCCAGAGCGAAGATCTTCTGGGCGCCAGAGCCTTGTGATGGCCCTTCAGGCGGCCTCGTCAATTGCTACTATGCATGGAAGCCGATATTTTGCGCTGGAGGTGAGAAATGTAGCCGACGTTCGTCACCTCTTGGATCTCATCTATTTTTTTTGGCCAGCAGCATCTTAACCTCGCTGCATGTGATAAACTCACACTTCCCTGGTCTGAAGTGTCTGTGATAAGCATACGCCAGCGATGATCATGGTTGCACGCATATTTTACCTCTATCTCCTCTTTCGCAAGTCAGCAACTAACGTTTTACTAGGTATGAGCAGTAACGCATCACCTCGGTAGTCTCACAATGATCGAATGATGTTCTCTTGAAAGAATCATACTGCCACCAATAATTTTAGAAATTCATGCCGGGCGAGCTTCATTTCCTGATCGGATGTCGCCATGACCCGGCTTGCTTCATCCAGGCCTGCCAGGTGCTCCTAAGATTCGCTCAAGCTGGTTTGGAACTTTCATCTCAAGCCACGTTTCAGCATTCCTCCAATCCTGCTTGTCAGTCAAACAAGAGCATTCAAGGGGAAGTCTTGACTTAGGTTTTGAGGAGCTTCTCTTCATGACTTTCTTACTCCTGAGCGCGAGCAAAGCGACCGCAAAATACTTTGAACCCCCCCCTTTCGCCCTTCGCGAAGACGTTCTCAATCACGCAAAACACTGGAATACAACACCTATAATATTTTCTCCGCCGAGTTTAAGTTATCTGCTCCACCTAATTGTCCAGATCCTACATTTTAGGGTCGGCTTCGCGTTCGAGGATACCTCGTTATTTTACGACCCCCACGATCTTAACTAAGATTCATCAATAATTACCACAGTTAACAACTACAATTTAGACACAATTTAATAGCTTTATGTTAACCCATTGATGTCGTTAAATACTTTGCACTTTGTTATATACTTTGGCATCTAAACTATTATATTTGGTTCTTCATTATGCTGGTTACGTTAACCCCCAGGTCCTATCACCCGGTCTGTAAGCGGGTATTGGTACTGCAGATTCCTACCATCTTTCTCGATAGGCACTTGCTGTTCGGCGCTCATCTCCTTGGGAGGCTCATTCGGGTCCGGGGGTAGCCAATTCACTGTCGGCATATAGTATTGTTGCTGCTGTTGTTGTGGATACGGCGTTGATCCCCATGTCGTCGTACTCTCGCCCCAAGAACCTGGATGCTGCTGACTGTATTGCTCCGATTCTAGTTCCACTAGTTGCTGCTTTCTCTTACGCCGCCTCGACCAGAATAGCCAAAATATTAAACCGACTATTGCTAGGACACCCAACGCCGCTCCGATTCCTATGCCGGCCGCGGCGCCAGCACTTAATCCACCACTGCTCTTGTTTCCATCGCTATTAGAGTCTGTCTCCGATGCCGAAGCCCCTGTTTCGGATGCCACGGCAGAACCACTCGATGTTGACCCCGTACTTGATGTTATTGACGAACTTGTCGTTGCCGTCGCGCCGCTATTTTGGATGATAACACCGTACGCCATGATAGTACCCGGTGCTCGTAAACTCATGATGTCGCCCGCCGACTCGCCTCCAGCTAGTGTTCCCTCGATCGTCGTGAAGCTTGTTTCCGTGTCAACCCTATACACGCTCATACAGCCCAGACTGGGTCCCCATGGGTAGCTGTAGCTGCTGGACGTCGAGGCGCATACGTAATTTCCTTGTCTATGCATAACTGTTAGATATCCAATCAGCGTGTTTATGAATTTTATTTTAATTTTTCCCTTTCTTCATCTCATTCGAATGTCTCTTCATCATTGCCGTGAATCTAGCTAACGTATCCAAACACCCAGCTCCGTACAACCCGCTCTCCACATCTTCCTTAATCTAAGAACTCTAAAATCAGGGAAAATTAAGAAATTGACTTACGGACAACAAGTCGCCCTCGTAGCCTCTATACTTCCCTCGCTATTCGTCGACGCGAATTCGCATGCTCGCGTGTACCCCACGGGACATATCCCGGGTGAGTAGTACTGGTTTTGATACGGCGAGTAGGAGTCGGGGAAGCATGATGATTGTAGAGGTTTGCCGTGGAGCCAGTAGAATGTGGATTGCGTGTTCACCCAGTAGAGTGCCGAGGACGCGGTACAGTCCGATAGCGGCGTGAAAGTTGTTGTTAGGGGACCTAGGGACATCGTGGCGGTTGTGTGGGCGGTACGGTTGTAAAGGGTTCGTTCGTGTTTCCTTCCTCGTTATTCCTCTTGCCTTCTTTTGTTGTGATACCCGAGGATACAGCCAACTGAAACCGATGGGAGCAACCGCGATTATCTCGCGACTATGCAGAATATTATCACTCGAGAGGAGTCGTGTTTCGTCCCACTACCTCCCGTCTAAAAGAGACATTCCTTATTTCATGAGACTAGGTAATATCTTAGGGTCGGTTTGTCCTACGTCTCTATCTCACCGGTTGAGCTCGCCAAGGAAAAGTAGATCTATGACGAACTGGGCGAGAAACGTATTGGGTACCCGTAGATGGGAAGAAGTAAGTTTTATTTCAAGCCTCGTAAGGCGTACTGACTATTATGCATATGATGTTTAGATCCATAGTAGGGCAGACAAGCTTGGCCCCTACTCCCCTTAACGCCGAGAAGCCCCAATAGCAGAAGTTAAAGAAACGAGAAGGATGGACATCCTGGCCTAGTAGATTTGTCCGTGGCACGTAGCTCTATAGTATTTAGTACTAAATCGATATTTCGCGGACTCTTGGTCTACCTGCTTTGGTAATTCTATTCACTTGCCCCCCTGTCGCGCGGTGTATCAGGCGAAAATGAAAAGATCCAGGAGCCAGGATGGGGATGGCCGCCATGTGGGAACTCAGCTTGTAGGCCCCTAGCCAATCACCAATCCTAACGAAGTTTTGGGGGGTCTTTTTACTTGGCCGCGTAGCCTTCCATTCATGCACGCTTGCATGCATAACGTAGCTTGGGTTACATCGAGGCGCCTTGGAAATTACTTATTTAGGTAGATGATCGACGTGGTTTTAAACCTGTGCGAATTGGTAATGAAAGGACGGTGTCTCATACCTAGGTAGGGGCTGAGAACCTCAATTTGGTACAGAATTCTATATATACCGACCTATACTTATGTATGTCTCATCTTATCTCATCTTGTCCCGTCTTTAGTAGTTCATCTGATCAAGCCGCTTGTGTAATTGGCGCAAGACTTTTTGCTAAGGACGGGACGGAGTTCGGAGTAAAACAACGAGGCTTGTTACCCCCTTCTTGCTTCGTATTTTGACAGCCACTTACTCAGTAGATTTACAGCGGAGGAAGACGATATTAGGTAGACTACTCCGATTCAAGGTATAGCGCTTCAATAGTCAGTAACCCGGGGATTTATCTCCATAGCACGGAATTTGCCGTATAGAGAAAAGAAATACAATACTTTAACCAGAAGTAGATGACTAAAACAATCCTATCCTCCTCCCCAGCTTCTTCAACGAGACCGGACCGGACATTAGGCGCTTTACATACACCAAGCGCCCGCCTAGCCAACAGTGCCGTACGCTAACCCTAGCCTTTAATATGCCTATGGGGTTTGACAAGTCCCATGGCCTGATCTAGCCACCACTGCGCAGGGGACAGCTTCGGACCCGAGGGACAAGCCACGGTTGACATAACAATTTTGGTTCTTTCCGAAGCAAGGGGATCAGTAACAGAACGGGAGAAAATGACAAATGCAGAAGAAATCCCTAAGCGGTGTTGAAGAATTGTTCGAATATCAAAACGATCCGGATAGCATTTCTTGAATAGGGATCTTGAGTGATGATATCCGACTCTGAATTTGATACAATTGCGGCTTACGTATTCCTCACCCAGTAATGAGATCCGGGGAAGGATGACTTATCGAATTGATCGCCAACTGCGTTTATGCTTAACTAATTTTTCAGCTGTGATGTTTTATGTAAGGCTTGTAAAACAAACAGGGGTCATGATGCCACCCATTTTGGATTGTTGCCGTACATACGTAGATCTCCGAATCCTACGCGATTACGTCTCTTTTATCATATCCTTTTACCGACCGACGAAGCTGTGGATTGTGAAAGAAATGAAATCTGATATGATATCAACGACTGACCGACGTAGGAATAGTTCTCTCATTCCATGTCATACTACTACACACATACGTCAAACACGCACCCTTTTCTTGACCGTGACGTCGAGCGATCTACTCAATACAAACGCGGGCTGCCCCACCGAGTTTTACAATCCATCCTTCACCGACTTGACACCGCCGCCGCCTCCGTGTTTACTACCTACCTTATTGTATCCAGGTGACGTAGGTATATACCCACCCATCTAAAATACTATACAGATCTGATATCCTATACTCCATACCTAGGTACCGAGCAGATAGAGTATACTAATCCGCGTTTCCGGTGGCGGGATATACCATTATAGGAAATCCTACCCCTTGAAGCTTGAAAACCTTGCGGACGATCCGCTATTATTCCGCTTTCAAACACTCCGCGGATAGTCTATCCGGCAGACGACAACGGAGATATCACCAATACTGGTAATTTACCTCCATGTTACACCCGCTCCCCGGTTTGCGATTTCCGCAACGGCGGACTTACCTGCTTAGAATGTCCTTTTTCTCGGCGAACTTAGGCGAATCTTACAACCTTACACACATGTCATCGTAGGGTTTCTCAAATGTTCGTTGTGCAAGCTCGTCGTGTAAATAAATTGCACACGTAGCAAAATACCTATGAGCTACATAACGTTATGTATCCGAGCCAAACCACCAACCTAACGATGGCTAAGATAGTAGGTAAAGCTGTAGCATGAGCTGCTCTATGTTCTGCCTTTAATGTGCCCTCATCTAAAATATTTGGTCGCCTAGCTTTTGCGACTCTGTAAAATACAACGCCCTGCTGTAGTTTTTTACAATACAACGCCAGAATTTCGTATGCTAGTCGATTGACTCGCAGTTTGGTGTGATCGCGTACCACTATACTTTGATAACCTCGGAGAAAATCCTTTCGTAGATGAGAATACTGGTCGAGACTTTGGCGGCCAATTCACTGGCTTCGTGCCCCATCAGGCCACTTCAACCCTATGGTAAAGGGTCACTCGTGCCGGTCTGCCGCGTGTCGTTTCATATCGATACCATAACTTCTCAACGACCACCCTTCATAGCAGCACGGCGTCTCACCTTATCCGCGACCTGCTTCAACGCCAGCTTGACATCCTTCTCTTCCCAGTTCTCAATATCGTAATATGTTGGCGCAAGTTCCTGTAATAATCCGGTTAGCCCACTCTACCCTTCAACTATAATTTTTTCTTAAAAAGAAATCTCGGATTGAACTTACCAAGAGCCACTCCGGTTTAATCCCCGTAACCGTACGAATATAATTCTTCGATGTCATAACGAACTCATTATACAGCACCCAATCGTATTCCGTCTGGAGCACAGTGCTCGGGTGCAGCATAACCTTCTGACTATTATCCTTGAGCGTCCGGTATATACGATTACTCTCCTTCTTGGCGACTTGCATGAAGAAGCCGCTGACCAGCGCGCGGCGGATGTTGGTATAGTAGTTCTTATCGTTGAAATCGGTACTAACGAGGTCCAAGCCTTGAACTTCCATAATACGTTTGAGCTGAGCACGGACGTTGTCTGCGCTGGAAAGATGACGGAATGATAGGTAGTGTTTGTGACACCACGTCTTCGCGTCATCGCCGCGGTTTAGCACTCCCTTAAAGGCGTGGTACACATTTAGCATAGTTAGATGGTCTCCATCTTGGTGCTTGAAGAGATTCTTCATCTCATCAGCCTCTCGTCTCTTTTGCGCTGGACGCACAAAGATCTGGGGTACTGAGAGAAGTGCTGTTATCGATAATATTTCGTTGGAGCAATAGAATTCGGGACTGGAGATCAGCATGACAGCCAATGCAGGATCTAATGGGAATTCCGACGCCAAACCACCAAGAACTGTGAGCGCACCGTCATCATCAAGACACGCTAGGTAGTTTAGTTCTTCGAGGGCGCGCATCATTGTTTCCGGAGCAGGAGGATCCATGAGATCAAAATGCACCAGATCCTCAATGCCAAGCTTCTTCAGTTCCAGCACAGTAGAAGCAAGGTTAGAACGAAGAATCTCAGGATATGTTTGCTCGATCAACTCATCCTTAAAGGCCTTTTCAGTGTAAAGTCGGAAGCATTTTCCAGGCTTCGTTCGACCAGCACGACCTGCTCGCTGTTGAGCAGATGCCTTTGAGATAGCAGATACGAGTAGCGACTCTACTCTTAGTCGAGGGTTGTAGATCTTCTGTTTACTAAAACCAGGATCAACAACGTAGACGATACCGTCAATAGTCAAGCTGGTCTCAGCAATATTGGTAGACACGATGCACTTGCGACCGGGTCTACCACCTTTCCTATGTGGAGGTGGGGCTGGCTCGAAGATCTTCTGTTGTTGGTGTGGAGGAAGAGTACCGTAAAGCGGGTAGACAACCATTGGGCCAGCATCTGTTTCTCTGGCGAGCTCGTCAACCTCGAGCGAGATTTTTCGGCATGTGTCTTCGATTTCCTCTTCACCAGTGAGGAAGAGTAGGATATCTCCTTCATCCTCACCAGCATGAATCTGAAGCACTGTTCTTATAGCTCCTTCCACGTAGTCCTTTTCCGGCTCGGGCGTGTAAAAGATCTCGACGGGGAATGTTCGACCGGGCACAGCTAATAGAGGGGCATCGTAGAAGTATCGTTGAAACTTCTGGGCGTCTAGGGTGGCAGACATGACAATGAGCTTAAGGTCGGGTCTGCGTCTAGTAACTTGCTTAAGAAGGGCCATGAGGATATCGGTAGCGAGAGTACGTTCGTGTGCTTCGTCGAGAATGATACAACTGTATCGCGACATTTCGTGATCGTGCATGGCCTCTCTTAGAAGCATACCATCGGTCATATACTTCAGCATCGTCTTGGAACTAGTCTTGTCTTCGAAACGGATACTGTAACCAACTTCCTCTCCTAGATTCACGTCGAGTTCATCGGCGACACGTTGTGCGACGGACATGGCGGCGACTCGTCTCGGCTGGGTACAAGCGACCAGCTTTTTGTTAAGATGTGGTAATTCGTCGTATACGACGTATTGAGGGATTTGTGTGGTTTTACCCGAACCGGTTTCACCAACGAAGACCAATATTTGCGACTTCTGATATAGGTCAAGGAATTCCTGTCTGTTAATGATTCATGGTCAATAAGATTGTCCCGCTAGTATGAGAAAGATGGGTAAGAAGTAGAGCTAAATTGACCTTTGCTTATGAACAGGAAGATTACGTCTGGACTTCAAGATATTGAAGTACTGTTGGGAATGCGGTTCACCGGTAAAAGGATTATTGTCGCCATCCTCAGCCTTGGATGCTTGTTTCGCGGTAGTTTTTCGTCGTTCGAAATGCGCCAACGGAGATCCTTTCGGCAATCGATCGCTATTCGCATCGCCATTTCCATTATCCCAATGCGCTAGGTAGGGATTGTATTCAGTAGGCTTCTCGTCATCTTCTTCCTTCTCTTTCTTAATGCGCTTAGTAGGAACTTCGATAGCTGGACTGCTAAGGCGCTTTCGCTCGTTACGCGGGGCCTTATCCTCAGTAATACCCATCTTATCTGTTATTGCGTCGATGGAGTAAAGGAATGACCTGTAGTTAGAAATGAGAGGGATTGTTGGATCAGATCTTGTCGCAATAAGCAGTTGTCCACAAGGCTGACAGGGGGAAAAAAAACGGAAGGATGGAAATAGTTTAAAGTCAATAATTTTTTTAGTCATTGCAAAGCGCCCCACCAGCTGGCGTCGGACCAGAAACCACCGTCGTCTCCACTTTATTTGTGCAACCCGTTGCGTGTGCTGGGCTATCAAACTTACGCATATGTACCAAAGTAGTATCTAGGAGACATTTATGAAGTATCACGTTTAAATTGTGCAGGTTTAGATGAATAGGTATGAGCAGTATATTTCTTTTTATACTACAAGCGCACTTAAAGTCCGGAGCTGAATCATGTCGACTCAGTCCTATATCTAAGCAGTACTATGGAGCAAATGTTCCACTACAGCTCATGAACCTAAGCACTTGCGGACTCAGCAAACCCTTCGTGCCATCCGAGATTCAGCACTATCAAGCGCTTTTTTTCTTTAAAAAGCAAAAATTCCTACAGGTTCCAACAAAAAACAACAGCTCGCCGGCTGCCTTTCCTTAGTATACATCCTTCTGACTCCCCTCAATCCTGTTTCCGACTGTCTCCTATAAATCTCATTCGTGAATGGGATTTAAGATGTGCGAAAAGAAGCTCTGTCGGCTCTGCACCGTAAAAAATCAGGCGGCTAACTGATGAAGAAACAAGCCTATGGAGGCAACACATCTAATGCTGGCACAATCATCTGCCCCGAAGGAATGCATATCTCCGAAGAGAAAGCGGAATCCTTTATCTTCAACGCCGAAACTCCATAGAACAGGGTATGAAGGTATTATAATGCAGCCCCAGACACGTGGCTGTACCTAACATTGGTGCCAAATCTCTTTTACCCTTGGGATGACTCAGAGAAGTCGGGTCGACATTCACCTGGACCTTTTTCTGTGCTTTCATGAAGTCGTAAATAGTCACACGATGAGTAGTAGTTCGTTCCAATATGAAAATGAGAGCGCATATCTCTCATTTTTCATCTCATCTTTGGTATCGTCCCTCATCACTTCGTCGTCTTACACCATGATGGCCATTTATTTACCACCATTTGTGGTATCCCAGTATGTGTCACTTATACGTCGAGCATCTCTTATAATGCTCTCAATCAACTCCATCGATTCATCCGGCACTTCCGGCAGATCGTCTGTCCCTACTGCCGGTGAGCGTGCATACGTCGTTGTCAAAGATTTCGTTGCTACTGCTAGTTGCACGGACCCTAACCCTCCTGAGGTCCCTCCATCTGTAGCCGTGGTTGTTGTAGTTCCCGTTGAGGGCTCTCCTGCTTGAGTTGAGGATTGTCGTACGGTAATTGGCTGTACGAATTGTACGGGGGCTGGTTGTGACTGGTCTGGCTGTAACTGCTGAGACTGCTGTTGTTAGGCACTGTCTGCGGAAACTTCTGCCAAAAAGGTCCGCTTACATTGCTGGGCTGGGGCCCTGGGCTTGCCATGTGCCTCGAATCATCGTATTCGTTGCTCATATATGAGCCTGGTGCATAGGGGATAGTCGTCGGGTTGCCTGCGGCTTCGTTCGCGCCGTTAGGAGGTGCGTCCTGAATTGGGATCTGTAAAGCGGATTGCACCGGATTCTGCGGCTTTCGTATTGCTTCCCACGGTCGGGGAGCGGGAATATGTGTTTGTTTGGAGGGCACAAACGGTACTTTTGTAGGACCCGCTCGGGCCATCGGTGGCGAGTTCTTATCATCGTTAACCGAAGCCGATCGCGAACCATTGTCTCTGTATTGTATAAACTCCAAGCCGGGTGATTGAGTGGGTCTTGTTGTTGGGTCCAAATGATTTGGTAATGATGCTAGAGTAGCAAATGCCGATGGTTGACTTGGTGTTGTAGCTTGTTCGTTGGCATTTGGTTGAAAGTTATCGGTATTCCTCGTCTGCAGTATTGCTGCATATTGCGCTCGGATCGCCGGGTGTAGTTGAGCCGCAGGCTCTTGATGGACATCCGGAATACTCGCAGCACGGCTCATTACGTGTTGGTTAACGGGCGGTGTAGATGGTGCCCCTGCCGAGAACGGGCTGGGAGAAGCAACAGACGGCGAAGTAGCTGCTTGACGAGATGAACTTATACTACCCAGATGCGACGTCAAAACCGGGGTAGCCTTATTCGACGCGGGATTACTAAACGGATTTCGGGGTATGTGTTGGCTAGATGAGCCAGCACCGAAGCCCATGGATCGGTTCCTAATATCAAATAACGCCTCAGGTGATCTCATTAGATGGGCTCGGAGACTGCCCTCATATCCGTTAGTAAACCCACCCCAATGAGCGTAAGGCGTCCTGTACTTCGTTGAATCCCTAATTCATAATTAGTTTACAGTTTTTCCGTGGTGCAGCTAGAAAATATACCTATTGTGATGGACCTGGAAAAAGGGGTACTTCTGGACAATATTCACAGGCGAACGATCAGTAACGTTAACCTGTTGCTGAGCAGTCTGAGTAGTCTGAGCAGCTTGAGCAAATTGAGCAAACTGAGTTTCACCGCCCGATGGTCCTTGAGCCGATGCAGAAGAAGGTGGCCGGATGGCAGACGAGGTCATCGGTGTGTCGTATGAGCGGTTAGATGCGAGCGACCCCGACCTGGCTCTGGCTTGAGCCTGGAAAAGTTGGCCGTTCTGCGGTGATGGGGAGGGGCCAAGACCCGGGGGTTGAGAAAACCCATGTGAGAAGGGTGACTTAGCCGCGGAGTTAATTTGGTTAGATCCATACGAGAAAGGCGGTGTCTTAAACCGATGATCTGATCCAAAGGGTGACGGCTGTCCATTCTGAAGATTAAGTGAGGAGCGATTCCTCTTATGCCCATTCTGCGTAGGTGCAGTTCGAGGTATAGAAGCTGATTTGGTATGTGAGTGTGGAAGAAGGGGAGGGTTTTGTTTGCCCCCTTGTGGCGTAGAGACGGGTGTAGACACAGGTTGATGTGGGGTGGGTTGAGGTTGGACGCTAGGTTGCGGTGGAGAAGCTGGCTTTGGTACCATTCGCGGGTAGGAGTGTTGTCCAATTTGTTGGCCCGTGTAGGCTGGTAGACGCGTAGGCGGTTGCTGCGGAGAATAGCCCGCGATGGGTTGGAAGGCCTGCTGAGGGGGAGTAACGTGGTGGAAGCTAGTGTGCTGAGGAGTTATAGGTGGTTTAGCAAATACTTGTTGCGAGAAATGGCCGTTGTGTTGGTACGTGGGAGGGAGTTTCGGTATGGCTTGCGGCGGAGCAAATTGTATGTTCTGTCGAGGTGCAGGAACAAGGGGAGGTTGTGATTTCGGCGCAGAGGCGGGTTGCGAAGGATATAATGTCGGCTTCGGAACGAATTGATGGGGCGTGAAGGAAGCAGGCTTTGGGACAAACTGCTGAGGGGTAAAAGGAGAACGGGCATATGAAGGTGCAACGGGATCTTTTGGTTTGTATTGATATGGTTTGTCGGGTTTCACTCCTGTGAAACCGGTAGTATGCATCGAGAACGTGGAACCGTACAACTTTCTCGGCTGAACCGGAGGCAAAGCTGGTTTCGGTATGGTATCCAAGAAGTTGCTCTTGACATTATGCTTAGGGTTCTTCGGATCCTCTGTGTATTGGGGTCGCGCGTCGGTCGAATATCTACCAAGATAATGCCACAGTTGATTCTCTTTGCTGAAGTCCACCTTGGCTTGCAGTTTATTGGTGCAGTCATATGTATTGAATTCGGCCCAAGTGAATCCCTCAACAAAGGGCGCATCTGGCCGTGGCGGCTCTTCGGCAACTCTCTTCGTGGCATTAATAAGCTCCTTAGCCTTGCGTGAAGTTGGCATGGGTATGGCATTTGCTGACGCCTTCTGTAGATGGAAGTCGGCCGGATCTGGGAGAAGAAGCCATTTCCATTCTACTTCGACTCGTTCCCTAAAATCTGTTAGTACTGATGCTGTGCAAACTTGACGGAAGGTTTCGTACCCATGAGGAATGACATCAACAAGGAGCATCTGTTCATCAGCCCGATTTTCAACGACGACACCAGCAAATATATCCCCACGATAATATTGAAGTTGGCACATGTCGCCTTTCTTGAGAGCCGCAGCAGCCTGATGGGTCTTAGAGCATTCTCCTAGCGCATGTACATCCATCTTCCTATCCCTCTTCGTCCTGTGGAAGCGACAGCTGAATTCAAAGGTGTGTTCCTTGTATTCAGTTCCATCTTCGCCGAAAATAGGGACATCGGCTTCTTCCACCAAGACACCTGCCGCCATAGCGCATGTAGCATGGTAAGATCGATTGCATTTCTTCTGAGAGCACTGCATACACGCCCCTCTCTTAGAGCGACAATACAAGCATTTGGTGTCACCACGTGCTTTACCAATGCCCTCTGTATTAGCAACAGTTTCTTTTTCTTCAACCGTCTCGATCCACGTCTCCGGTCCGTATAGGGCACATAGGCGGTGAGCCTTACGGCCATCGGCTGTAGGCAGCAACTCTTGGCCCGGTATATCATGAGGACACAAGCAGCACGGAGGTTCGATATGGTTCTTGGCACGGAGGCGAATTTTCTTGACTTTCCTCTCGCCCTTTTCGGTTGGTGCGCGCTTGCGTTTTCTCCCAGGCTGTTTAATCCTGACTGCGTGGGATGATTGCGGCGTGGCGACAGTATCCATATCTTCGTCATCCTCTTCGTCTTCTTCGTCTTCATCCTCGGTCTCTTCGTATTCGGTTTCTTCTCCTCTTAGCTTACGCTCGATCTCGTACACGTCGACCCAAACACTATCTTGAGCTTGGGCACATTCGCACCTCTTGGCAATCCTGCCCATCGGTAACCAAGAATCCAGAGCGAAATTCACGGCCTCGGCGCAGTTATAACCCAAGTTATAACCTGAATGGTAACCATATGGGTAAGTAACCACAAACTCTCCTGGGTAGGAAACACATTTGTTGACTTTGATGTTGAAGTTCTGTAGAAGATGATTCGGCGAAATCAAGAAGGCCTTGTGACGTAGGAACTGATCGCAAGCCTTGGCATCCGTCGGCCAAATACTCTTCATAGCGGCTTCAAAACGGCGTGCATCACCCTGGGATATACTGTACCATTGTTTTGGAGCTCCAAAATGGAGATAGTTGATACTGTATAAATCAACATCCTCAAGATGCCATGCAAAAGTAGCTTTCCACATGCCAAGGTAGAGGTATGCTGTGTTAACTCCAGGTACTTTGGTGCCTAGAACATCCAGGAGATTTGGAAGTTTGTTGAGATTCCAAGAGGTACAGTCTTCATCAAAGAGGGTACCAGGAAGATCTGCACCGTACAACGGTGGTGCGTAAGTGAGCGTTTTCCAGTATATTCGCTCAAGTTCCTCACATCTTTCGGGTGTATAATCGGAGATGTCCATCTGATAATCGAAGTCTTTGAAGGCTTTCTCGTCGATCTTAGCTGATGCTTCCCGCCTCGCATACTTCCTACGGGCAGATGTAGACTGCGTCTTGGGCTTGGCCTGCCTAGAGCCACCCATTCGGCCGACAACGGGAACATCATCGTCGTCATCTAAATCGGCACCAAAATCCTTCTCCACTGATTCAATGATGTCCTCGTTTGGTTTTGGTGAAACGGGAGTCATAGGTCGATCGTCTTCGGTATCATTGTTGTCCTTAGCTGCAACTCGTTTCCCCCTAGCTCGAGGTGGTCTTCCACGCTTTCTGGGTTCCCCACTAGTTGATGTCGATGGTGCAGCTGGCTTCGGTTTAGCTTGAGCTTGCGCACGTCTCTCACCTCTCCTAGCAGGAGGTTGATGCTCGCTCTGGTCGCAGAGTTGTCGCCACTGTGGGATGTTATAAGAACGTTGATGTAGAATGTTCACCTGTCGATAAGTGCCGTTAGAGCCCATAATCTCCTGCTTAATGGGCTCTTTGACTCTAATTTGTTTGATCATATCATCAAGAGGGCGACGTTCGTCCTTCCACTCTTGCGGAGGGATGATCTTGATAATACCAGATTTCATGCCGTAACAATCCACCTTGGTCATCTATAGGAGTGAATAGGTTAGTGTTGTCGGACTCGAATACAAAGGGGGTTACCGAAGGGATAGGTAAGGTTCATACGAATTTCTTAAAGTCCTTGAATTGGTGCATGTCCGGCTTAAAAACAGGCACGGTACCAGACCAGTGATCAGGAAAGACATCGCCGATATCTTCTTCCTCTTCTGGTTCTGGCTCTTCTTTTTCTTTTCCTCCTTCTTTAGTTTCCTCATCATGTATTGACGGGTTGGAGGGGAGAGGATGCGACGAGTCAAAGTCCATATCTACATTCATATCGATAATGGAATGGTCGTCTAGGTCACTTAATTCGGAATCGTCGCTACCGTCCAACTTCATTGCGCTGTTACTATCGGGCGGTGAGTGAAGGCCGGTAGGTTTATTGCCGAGTGCATCGTTGGTAGACGGATGGTTGGCGACTTTGATCTCAACCATCTCAGCCTCGGGCGCAGACGCCATTGCGGCGGTCGCTTCGGCGGACATGATAGGTTTTGAGACTACATGCGATCGACGATTGAATGGAATGGTCCTTTTTTTACAGTACGGACGTTTGGTACAGCAGTTTTGTAATTAAACCGCCCTATTCTTCGGTTGCGTGCAGGACGGCGATAGAAAAATCAAAACGGATTGATAGCAATATATGCAGCTAGGTGCGTCGACAGACCGGTGTCTCCTTGGTCCTTGGTTGGATGAATGGGGTGGAAATGAGGTCGGTCGGGCGGTCGGTGGTAGCAAATTGGTAAGTTGGTAGGTAGGTCGTAGCAGGTTCGTAGCACTGTGGAGGCGTCTGGGTGTGCTAGTAATGGAATGATGGGGGGTGCTGCGTCTGTGTACGTGAGATGCAACTGCCAAAGTGGATGCAGAAAGACTATCAGAACTCAGAGCCTTCCCTTGGGTTGGCTCAAAAAAAGGAACAAGCCGGCTAATCCCCGGCCACCACGCTAGTGGTATGTTAGTGGTACGTTTTTTACGTTTTTAGGCGTCTTTTGGGGGGAAGCGGAGGGTGAGTGTTGGGGGTAAGTTAGGTACATCAGAAGTACCGTACAAATTTTTAGTGCATGTGTCGAGGTGGAGGCCTTTTTTGGACCCAAGGAATGCATGCATGCAAGGCAAGGTCGTCTTTGAGGAAAATGGAACTTGAAGGCTGGGAAAAGGGCAAGGGGTCCTGCCAACTTACAATACTAGTTTAGATTGTTTGTACCTAATTAATAATTAAACTTGAATAGTCTAATTCTAATAGGAACTTAGGTAAACATTAATTAATAAGTGTAGGATTAGAATTCAATAAGGAAAAAAAGTTGTTGGATGAAAAAAGTAGAAAAAAAGAAATAAAGTCAAGTAGAAAAGTTGCCTAGAGCCATCAGCGGCGTATCAATTTGATACTGTGTGTTACCTCCTTCCTAGCCCATAATTTACGAAAGGTAGATTGGCACGGTCCACAAAACCAAGAAATATCCACGTGCGCCTAGTCCTATTTAAGTAGGTAGATCTCTTGTTTAACGTTATCAGATGCTGCACGCACGGGGTTATGAAAGATTCCTATTGGAAGTCGGCGGTCGGAATTTAAGGATTGGCGGTTTAGCGATTGGCAATAGCAGGTGTTAGCAAGCGGAATGTTAGGCGATCATCTTGGGAAAGAGCCTCTCCCGTGTTCGGTAGATGGGATGTACTGTATCTCAGATCTATGTATCTAAGTAACCCCGCAAGTTCCTTTTCTACAGTCATCCATCTGTCGCTTCCAAGTATCTTGGTTTCCCCACCAAACATTCTTCAGAATGTGCTCACAACGTTTTAAAGACGTAGTTGCTTCTTTTACCTCAGCTCAGATACACGTCACAGATATGTCAAGACTAACCTAAAACAGATTAGGGCAGAATAAACTCTCGAGGTGAGAAACTTATTTACGAATTATCCCATGCCTAGCTAGGTACAGACAGATCTTGACTTTCTTTCATATCTTTATTCCAAGCAACACACTTAATTGTAGCATGTGCATCGGCTCAAATAGTAAAGTCAATGCGAATATTGTCTACAATAGTATGGCCTAGTTCGTCCATTTCAGACGACACCCAAAGTATCAATGCGACTCCATACCCATCAAACCCTTACAGCGAGAAAGGCATTACTCGGTCTACTATGAACTGTAGCGTCCTACAAGCTACATGTAGGCGTAATATGTACGCCCAATTGAACCTCGATTAGCCAGGAGAAACAAGACAAAGCCTCGGAGCCAAAAGGCAGAAAGGGAGCTCACGACTGTCAAGCCACGCGGGTTAGCGGATTGAAAAATATCCCTAGTTTCATCAGATGGGTTAGTGGCCGTGTGAAGGCTCGGCTGGTCCCGGGAAAGCCGTCGTGGACCAAATTATCGTGATGGAAAGCGACAGCTCGGACATGACGATACACCGATATCGAGTTCAGCAGCATTGGCGATCGTCTCCCGCATTCTACTCCGGCATGAGTCATACGGTTGCCAATATTCTAACGGTTTGTCCAACATAGGTGTCGATAAGAATGATTTATTCTAGTTAAAATGGCATTCTATTTAATATCTAAAAATGAGAATATTCAAGCATCATCATGTCATTGTTCTATAATTGTTTTTGCGGCATCTACTTCAGCCCATTAACTTATTAACCCATGTAGCAGACAAGCCACTTTTAGCCTAGATCGACACGGCACCGGCTTGTTTTTCCACAACGCCACCTACGCATGTGCCGTACAACTGCATGCGATAGTTACAGACGAAGCAAGACATACATACTCACCGGTCAATTTCCCATATCGCTATCAAACCATCGTCCACTCTCGGGGCACCAGTTCAACCATGGCGCAGGAACAGCAACGCCATGGCTTCTTCCAGTATATACATCTAAAAATCATCGTCACTCTATTCAGGGTTTTGATGCCATGGGCCAGCAAAGAGCGAAGAAACCGCGATAATGCATTGGTCCCTCAGAATATTGCGCGGGAACGGGTGAAAATCCCATCGCGGGACGCCAAACGCCACATTCTTGCAGATCTCTACTACCCGCCGAATTATAGCTCATCATCGACATCGCCGGTACCGATTCTGGTCAATTGGCACGGCAGTGGTTTCATCATGCCCTTATTCGGCACCGACAACTTCTTCTGCTACCGCGTCGCACGTGATGCCGGCATCATTGTGCTTGACGCCGACTATCGTAAGGGGCCGGAAACGCCATTCCCTGGAGCAATCCATGATGTCGAAGATGTCCTCCGTTGGGTCGCCACACAAAATCACCGCTTCGACACCTCGCGCATCGCCTTATCAGGATTCAGTGCGGGTGGTACTCTGTCTACTGTCGCGGCGACAGCAATACGAAAGAAGCTTGAGGATCTCATCACCGTCCTGGTCGTCTTCTCCTTATACCCGCTTCTAGACTTCGCAGCGCCTGTGGAAAGCAAAACGGTACCTAAGCCAGTTAGAGCTCATCCTCCGTTTCTATTGCGTTTATTCAATGATGCTTACGTGCCGGATGAGAGTACTAGAACGGATCCTTTAGTGTCTCCGAACTTTGCGGATGCGGCTGATTTCCCGGAAACGACGGTGCTGGTTACGTGTGAGGGCGATATCTTGAGGCCTGAGGCGGATGAACTCGCTGAGAGGTTGTTGCGTGCCAATGTGCCTAACAAAACGGTTATTCATAAGATGCTACAGGGCGTTCCGCATGGGTTCGATAAGGGTGTCAAGAAAGGTACCGTTGGCTGGGGTCGGCGAGAGGAGCTTTACACCATAGTAGTCAAACTTCTTAAAGATACTTTGGGTTTGTAGATGATATTCTGGCTAGCTGCCTAGTTAGCTATGTATATACACTCTGGATGTATTGATACCCAAATTTCCATAAGAGTGGTATGCCATATAAACTCGTAGTCTTACGATGTTAGACTGGGGTTGACATGAATACTACATAGTCAAGGTTCAACATTGAGCAATGAATCTACCAATCACGAGACATCACGATACAAGTAAAAATAGATTTACCGAATACATTCGCCACGCTGAACATTTACATAAGCAATGAAGCAGCTTCCCAAACAGTAATGTACAAGGTATATGGTCCCACCGAAAACACCAGAATGCACGCTCTCTCAACTCCTGATTTTGCAGGGGCTCCCCATGAACCAGGTTAGGTTTCTATACATCGAGTTGTTGTGTACCTAGGTATCCAGCGCTCTTTGAAAAGAGAAATAAAACCGTTGATTCTATGATAATCCCATGCTCGCGTGATATATGCATTCGCCGTCGCCGAATAAAAGTAGGTAATAAAGAAGTTATCATGATATCATCAACGGGCCACATCCATACCTCTCCTATTTATAGAGAGGGATTACTGAAGGGGCAGTCTTTTGTTTGTTTTTACTTTCGAGGTTATGTAAAATGAAGATATTTTACTCGAATGGGGCGCAGGTGAATGCGCCACGAACTGTGCCGGTCTTGTATCCGTCGATCTGTTAGGTGTTAGTACTTATTTTCGGATTGACAATGTTGGATAATTAAGATGGAAACTTACGATATCAACAATACTGGCATATGTGCCACCGACCAACACGATCATACCAATGATGAACACCAGCCCGTTGAGCAGACTCTTCCAGATGTTCTCTTTAGCATGCCAGCTGCCCTGCTTGATGAGCTTGAACCAGAAGACAGCCGGGAAGTAGAAGGTGAATCCAGAGATGAAGAGCGCCGAAGAGATAGCCAGGAGATCGGAGAAGAAGGGAATAGCCTCGGCAATAACCCACGCGATAATAGTAATGAAGGTGATGAGCGCGACCCATGTGACCCATCCCTTGGTGGTGTTAATGAAGCGGGTAACATCGTTCTTATAAACACGGCCGTGGATGTATCGACCAACAACGGTACCATTGATAGATCCCGAGATGAAGATGACGGGTAGAGCAATACCGAACGCGATCTTCGAGATGAGCGTGCCAGCAGATAGAAGAGACGGGGACTTGACTCCCTGACCAACGAAGGCGTAGATTAAGGCTCCAGTCAAGGTGTAAATGAAAATCTCAATTAAGCCAAGCGCCCAGATCGACTTAACGAAGTGCTTGGGTGTGTGCATCTCATCCATGAAGGAGAATTGGCAGATAGCGAAACTGTAAGCGAAAACAATGTTCGAAACAGCGACGAAAGCCTTGCTGAAAGTAATGCCCTCCTGAGGCCAAGCAGACCAGTCAGAAGCGACCCCGACATCGCCACGCTGAACACCAGTCGCGATGATGGTGATGAAAATGGCGCTCATGATGGATACGAAGTCGATGTAACCTAGAATCGCCACCTCAGCGAAAGAGGGAGGGATGGCGAGGAGAAGCAGAATTATGGCTGAGACGACACCGAATACCAGCGAGCAAGTACCGTTGTTGGTGATGTTGAGGAATGCAATGGTACCAGTTAAACAATGCGATCCAACGAGGAAGACCAATTGCAACACAAACATAGCACCGACGAGCTCATATCCAAATTTACCCATAATTAATCGACCGGCATCCGCATAGTGTTGTACTTCCGGGAACTTCAGCTTCACCTGACCGACGACGTAGCTGGTGTAAATAGCGATGAGACCCAAGAAGACACTCAAGATAACACCAGCTACCATTCCCAAAGAGGCGAACGCAGCCGGCATACTCAGACTACCGAGAGCGATAGCCTCCACAATCAACACAACGGTGAGTCGCTTCCATCCTAACCGTTTGAAGTGCGCATTACCCAAAGCTGCTTTTTGTGCCTCGAACCCAGATATATCGCTCACTTGGCCGACGACCTCGGTGCTGGAACCCGGTTCGTGTGTCGAAGGCTGGTCCGAATCGAACAACTTCTCATTCTTCTCGTTCTTTGTGTCCGCCATTATTTCCGTGAGGTCCGGTTGACCTTTTCCTTTCCGCGTCTATTCGTCGAGGATACGGATACTAGATGGTTATGTATCTAGAATAGAGGAGTGCGGAGAGGCGGGGGAGGCCTTTGGTGAGGAGGTTGACGAACGGGAAGGTTTCGTATTTCCTGGGAAAGGAAAAAGTAGGAAAGACAAGGAAGAGAAGGTAAAAAAAAATATCAAAGCGCCAGCCGCACACACAGACACTATTACAAGTTTACGGGGGCGGGAACAACTTAAAAAGATGTTGACCTTTTCAGGGTTTTTATGACCAACAGACCGAGGAACAGGCGAGACAATGCTGCACTAGGAAAGTAGTCAGGTGGATTAGGGATTCACTATTACTTCTCCTCCTCTCCACCGAACAAAAAGACAGACATACATGCTCCGTACATAATAATGTACCCATATCCGTGGACCCGTACACGAACCAAACATGGGAACATGGGCAGATGGGGGTGGAAATGGGGTGAGCCCCATTGTGGGTGGACCAATCACCGGCACCACCGAGTACTGTACAGTACCCGTTCGTGACGAAAGCACTAGTGATCGACGAGATTATATTACGTTATTGGGTCGACGTCGGTGGCTGAGGTCTCCAACATGCGGTAGACCCCCCGGGATACCGAGTAACAAGTTGGAAATTGTCAAGTTGAGAAAGTAAGCACTGGTAAGGATCTCTTATCTTTCTTCTGCGTGTCTCGCGTGGTCTAAGCGAAGGTTGAGGTCCGTGATGACTGAGCTAATTCCATATTCATCAGAAGGATCGTTGGTTTTCCCCAAAGTTTTATTTTATTCCCTGTCTTCTGACATTTTTCCCCTGGAGGAAGACATGGGGATTTCCAAATTCGACAACGAAACGAGACAATAATAGATACAAGAGTTATCGCCAAGCAAATTACCACGGGCAGCTACCGACGCTAAGCTTTCTATGAACCCATGAACGTCACGATGAACCCCTGGTCTAGTTGGTTCTGGTTGGTCTGGCACACCCCTGGACCTTCTAGAAGGAGAAGAGATTTCTTAGTGTTGCCGATCCAGCAGCTTCGGTGTTACGCTATTCGTCAACAAGTAAAAGTGAGTTCCCACATTGCGGCGACTCCTCTTGGCTCTCTCGTCTTCTCTGGATCCTTTCACCGCCGACACAGGAACGCAACCTGGTTACTAAGGACATTACAAGCAACGAGCTTATCATTCCATTCCTGAGTCTGTCACTGTATTTAGTTCTCTTTTTCTTTATTTCTGCTCTCGTGCTCTCATTCTTTATTAGACATACCTAGGTACCCCGGTTTCGCTCCGAATTAAGCAAACATGTCCCCATTCACTTTCCGCCTTATCTAGGCTTACGCCACATTCCTAACCCCTCTTCACTCCATTTTCATCTCAGCTATCTCTGTCAGGTTTTTATGAGCTCTGTGAGTGGACAGAACGAAGACGGTCCCCATGCGGCATGTCATCATCCGTTTCTGCAGCTCGGAACCCGGTACACACGTAGTGGAGGGTAGCGGTAGTATTATGTGGTGTAGTGTAGTGTACGTATGCATGCAAGGAGCCGCTTAATCCGATTGCCTATTGTTTTCATCAAAATTAGAGGGAAGTACCCGGTAGACCGACGTTTTTACTTCTCTCTTTTCCTTGGGGCCAAGCATCGCAAAGGAGATTAATAAAAAATCTTAATGTTGTAGCTCTAGATGAGTGGGACAGATCTCATCTCGTTTTACATAAAAGATCATGGTAATCGAAGCTCAACTCTAGAGATAACGGATTTGTCTTTTGCGGCTTTTGCGCGACTAGGGCGGGTACCGCATTTATTGTAAGACATAAAATGCATAGCCATTGTTCACTTGCTCAGATGATTGCGTTCGGGCATAAGAGCCACGGTGGAAGAGCCGAGACAATTTTTTTTCATAAAACTTTTCATTCGCTATAATAAATTCTTCCCCAGTCTTACCTTTGGAACAACCGCATTCAACGATTCAATTCTTCTTGCTTACCATATGTTCGTGGGCAGCTGAGTCCTGACTACACTGTCTAGAACGCGGCGCGTGACATCCTAGCTGTCATTATGCCTGCATAGTACATAATAACATCAAGCAATCTGGAGTAAGATCTAACGTTATGCATCATGTACGAAATATGGTGGATATGCTGATCCAAAATAATGGACATCAACCCCGATAAAATCCGTGCTCGGTCCCTTGGCGAAAACGTCACGGTGTAGATATTCGACTTGAAACGTTGAATTCGGCCGGTCTTATTCGTCGATCTTGGAAGGGATTGGCCTTTTCTCTTACATGAGGGTCGAAACTAAGTAACGTTGAAGTGGGACGTCAAACCGATCGTGGCTAATGGGATCAAGTCTCGCATGTTAGGGCTACCCCTAATACATCAACCATTTTGCGGCTTTTTTTTCGCGACCGAGAGACTACGCATTGCTCTACTACGTATAAAGCAGCTATCAGCTAACATCAATCATTGGGCACCTATGCTTCATCCAAGAGCGATGCTATGGCAACTCAATAGCCCCGGTCAGAGCTTTACGCAATTCTATGTTGTCGACAGACGATGGGGTGTTTCTTATCTATGCTCAAGACCTCTCGGTGTGGAAATTGGCATCGTGATCCGAAAACTACCTGAATGATGGATATTTCCGTTAGAACGTCGCGCGAGCGGACCACTATGAATTGCAGCGCAGCTGAGATATCGTGATGATGTTAGAACTCGACATCATATTGTGTGATATCCTCCGGAGTATCTACTTAGATGTTCTCCCTAGCCTTATAGTCGTATCATTTCACGCTAATGCTAAGCAAGGAGTAATCTAGTTGGGCTTTGTCAATTCGCAGAGCTTCTAAAATACGCCAATTGAAATATTAGAGGTTATCTCTGTACAACTTGGTGGCGTTTATGAGATCGCGGTCCCGAGCTTTAGCGCGATAGACTGCCGTGGGGGATCGCCTTCATCAAAGGTTACGACCCGTGCGTATACTAACGAAAGGCAGATTATGAAAGAATATTATAACAAGTTATTAGTTGGTATTGAAGAAGAAAAACAAGTGATTAGTCGCTTCGCTAGGTTGCACGCTTTGCCTATCGGCTATGACCCCAGTCTATCCAACTCAGCATGGCTGCAATTTCGGCATGATCTACTTCAACTCTTCGCCCTCCTCCTCTATAGGGGGCAAGCCGAATCTTTCTATACTTTGCCGCAGTCTTCTCTCCCTGAATATCTGCTCCTCTAACAGTGTATGACGTCGGTAAACCGCTCTAGATTTGTATATTTGCAGCTTCAACAACATCTTTGGGATCACAGCGCGATCCTTGACTGACGTATCCTTATCGTCATAAACTTCACGGAGTTCAATGATGGTCCTTTCTACATCCTGAATGAACCTTTCTGCCCTTGGAATATCCATTGTTTTGCAATTCTTGGCATCGGCCTCAAGGAGAAAGAACACCGGCATGGCTTCGGGTATCGTGAGCGATGGTAGGTTCTTGTGTTGTCTTGGATTTGTTGGCCATTAAGAGAAATATCGCTTAGTTATGTGATACCGAAGGTCTGGCAGCTGGCTTTGGATAAAACGATTGAATGTTGGATATGAAGCCCGAGAAAGAATCTGTTATGTAGGTATCTATAGGTATGTTTGAAGTTGTGTTGGTGGTACCATATTTCCATAGTATATATACGGACAACAAACTTATTGATTAAAGACCAAATCAAAACGAAAGATAATTGCTGTTTGGTGTTGTTGTGACCTTCGAATAGTTCCATGGCTCCTGTCCATCCATTGGTGAAATTGTATGCGAGACGCGTCGTGAGTTCGTTGTGAATGTGCGTTAATCGCAGTGCGGAAAGTAAGATGCCGTAGTAATATCGAGTATCATGCTTAGTTTAAATGATATTACATATGCGCTTGCTCCCTAATCTAAGAGGGATTCTTAATCAAGAAGTTCTAGAGACTCAAAGTCTTAGAAGGTCGTGGCTAGTTAAGGAAGCAGGTAACAACATCCTCAATCTTTCAATCTTATATGTTACCCTCACTTCAACACTTACCTTCTTGGGAGTTCCTTTACCGATAACTGTTTGTGAAACCTCGGAGTGATATGTATAATGCCATCTAGAACCAAAGACGTTGGTTATTGCGACGTGCATCAATGCCTCACTCATAAGTTCCTTATTCGTATGGATAAGCAACTTATGATATAAAAAATACTGTCAATAATGAAAGAAATACTAGCATTACTAGGAATAACTACCCAGGTACGGCTGACAAGTCAATGTCGAATGTCTCTCATACGTCAGTGGCTTGATTCCTTCCTTTCTATTCAGTTATTTAGCATGGATATGTCAACGGCGCACAGTAGTGATTCTAATACATGGTTGTTGCAATGGATTTTTAAGATAGGTGCGACCCCAAAGAATCCATTCATTCTTACTATAATAACCTTGTATTATACAAGAAGCGAGGGCGATGTTGCACAACTGCATCGAGATTGGATGGAGGTTGACTACCTAGGCAAGTTGTTGTCTTTCGGAGTTAAGTAGTTGATGTTATACCCGCCACGTTTCGACATTCGACTCTTAACTAACTTCTTAATAGATTAAAGACCTTGATATATATAGAAAACTCTACGGCGATTAGGTTAGAATCGTGAACCGAAACTAAAGACGAAAACGCGAGGTTTACATATATCTTTGATGATGTGAGACTTTATACCTATCGCCATCGACCCACTCCACGTAAACGCCGAAATCAATCAGTAGTAGACCATTTTACTATACCGCCAATTTTGCCGAAGGAAGACGCCGATGAGGTACCCATATAATGACCAGGGTTACTATCTAGTCCCGCCTAAGCTATTGATGTATCCATCGGTCTTAACAAAGACCTACATAGGACTGATTCATACCGATTCATACCTGGGTATTTCCTTGTCCTACCCGTTGACCACCGAAACATCTTTTGGTCTCAGCAGTGAATAAAGCAATTTAATGGGTACAATTTGAGTCCGGGGAAGGAATCCTAACCATTAGTCATTGCCTAGTCATGATCCCGAGGTCTTGGTTATTGGTGATAAAATGCTATCGCCGAAATAGTCTGGCAGAGGAACTAGCCGTTTGGTGACGTGACTATTCATTCGGCATAGGTAATAGGTAATAGGAGGTACCCATACTATTGGATGTAGCTATTAGCTACTAATCAATGGGAGATTTGCGATCGCATACCTGATGCGTGGGAATTAACCCCGCGATGTTGCCATACTGTCACATTAGTTTCGGGTGAATAGTAGACGCTGAGGAGATCTGAGAAAGATTCATAGACAATTGTGCATAAATAGATCTCGACTGAACGACCTCGAAGTCCATAATCATTCCACATAAACTCATTCATCTCCTCATTTCGCCATAGAATCTGTATTTCCCTGATTCATAGATCATTGCCTAGATCACCGCCCGCCTAGACACATATTAACCGACAGTTTCAACCACACCTCAAAATGCCGAAGGTACTACTCACTGGTGGATCAGGCTTCATCGCCGGTAAGTAACCAACGCAAACACTTCCAATCACCCAACACCCACTAACCCACCCCAGCGCACGTCCTGGACATCCTCCTAAAGCGCGGATACGAAGTAATAACCACCGTACGCTCCGAAACCAAAGCCACGCAAATCCGCACCAAATACCCGAACGCCCCGCTCTCCGTCGCCATAGTCCCAGACATCGCAGCCCCCAACGCCTTCGACGACGTGCTAGCCCAAAACGGGTCCGGGCTCGACTACGTACAGCACACAGCCTCGCCCTTCCACTACAAATGGAAAGACGCGCGCACCGAAGTCCTCGACCCCGCCATCAACGGGACCAACTCGGTCTTCGCGGCCATCGCCAAGCACGCCCCCGCCGTCAAGCGCGTAGTCGTAACAAGTTCGTTCGCGGCGATAATCACAGAGGGTGATTTAGTAAACCCCGCGCGTACGTTCTCCGAAGCCGATTGGAACCCGAGTACATACGAGGACGGGTTAACCGGTGCTCCGGCGACGACATACCGTGTCTCCAAAAAATACGCCGAGAAAGCGGCGTGGGATTTTGTAAAGAATAAACCGGGTTTCGATGTCGCTACTATCTGCCCGCCGAGTAAGTAACCTAACTTACCTCTCTATGCCCCTCGACGACACATAATATACCTAGATACTAATTTATAACAGTGGTATTCGGCCCCGTAGCACACCACCTAGACTCACTCTCCGGGATCAACACCTCCAACTCGCGGTTCGTCGACCTAATCCAAGGAAAATGGAAAACCGAAATCCCGAATTCTGGCGTATTCGTATGGGTCGACGTGCGCGACGTAGCCGAAGCGCACGTTCGCGCTATGGAGCTTCCCGAAGCGGGTGGGAAGCGATTTTTCACCACGGCGGGGTACTACGATAACCGCTCCATCCTACGCGTTGTTTCCGCGGCTAAGGTCCCTGAATTAGTAGAGAAAGATGCGTTACCGACGGATGTCGATGCTGTTAAGGGAGCACCCGGAGCGGACTTTGCACAGGAGAAGGTGCATAAATTTGATAACGCATTCACGACGAAGACGTTGGGTATTAGTTGGACGCCTTTGGAGAAGACAGCGGTAGATACGGTGAAGAGCTTGTTGCAGATTCCCGCGTGAGGGTAGGTCGCACAGCAGGTACTCTCGTAGGTACTTGTTTCGTCGTAGAAACTGGAAGATGGTTAGATGAAGAAGAGAGGTAGACATTGTCACGATGAAACTGCAGCTCAGATATCACCTGAATACAAGCGATTTATGGACTATTTTTTCATTCTTTGATATTGATGTGAGGTCTGCCTGTTATATCTACTTGTGAGGCTTGAGGAATAAGACTCTCTTGGGTGCTTAGTCAGACCGAGCTATATATCATAAAGTAGGAGGGTGGGGAAGTCCGTGACTGGCCAGTGTCATCATGAGGAACAAGGGGATTGGTGTATCTTTATTTCCGAAATCTAAAGAACTCAAATGAACTTCCTTGACCCTTGTTTGGGTATTTACCCTGCTGTCTATAACACACTGACCACATCCCTATGATGCTCAAAAAACGTACCAAGAGCCAAGAGCAATGTCTATAGACGGCTGTATGGCCAAATATGCAATAGCTCCACCTTAGTGTTTCCCTGGTAGCAAGCCGTATGTACCCCCATACGGTTGCACTGCGATGTTATTTGGATTGTTATACAATGAACTTAGGTTTAGCTGGAATAATCTCCCTAACCAGCCGTAGTGTCCATCGCATCCCCTGATGCTTTGGCCTTGGATGCCGCAATACGCTCGGCTTTCCACTCTTCAATCCGACTGCGCAAGTCATCAGCCGGCACTACATCGTCAAGAGTCATCGGGTTTCGTGTAAAAGGATCAAGAGGATTAGATAGTAGTTGCTGGACGATTGTCGAACGATCGACGATATTCTGCGACGGTAGAATAACAGGGTCGGTCATTAGATCACCCATCAACGGATCCTCAAATTCTTCGGGTATCTCGCCTAAATCGAGTTCAGCCTTGTCAAGACGCTCTTTGGCCTGGGCGAATTTCTCCTTCAGTGCGTTCCAAGCAGGCACGACATCGCCTTTATTGACTTTACCGGCTAGTAGTTCTGACGCCTTATTAAAATTTGCTGGTTTATATGAGCGGCCATCAGCTGCGACTGCTTCGATGAAAGCGGGTTTCGACGCCAAGTTTAGATATATGTCGATGAAGTCTGATAGAAGTGCCTTGGGCTCAAAGTGGTACTTCTGAGCATTCTCTACCTTGAGGTTGTTACGCTTCGGCCCGACCAATGACTCTAAGTTGTAGTTAAGCATTCCTGCTAGACGAGTTACTATCTCGGGCATAGTGAATGCATCGCGTAGCGCTTTTGTGAAAAGCTTCATCATTCCCATGGTGTCGTTGACGAGCTGCATCCAGGATTGGCATTGCTGCTCCGCCTGTTCCAGATCTGCTTGCGTCTTTTCCCTATCCTCAGGAGATAATGTCGGGCTTTGTAGTTGCTTTTGGTAGTCATGAATATTGACCAGTTTACTCAGTGCCTCGTCGAGTAAATATGTGGCGTCATTTAGGAGCAGGTTGACAAATTGCACGAAGAATTGACGATTGACTCTATTTTATTGTTAGAAGAGGGCATAGTGGCGGACTGCGCCTGATAAGACTTACTTGCTCTCTTTACTGAGCTGTTCATGGTAGACGTCGTTGTCCCAAATGGTCTTGATAACTTGGAATATCTCGTACCGAATATTGAACCTGTCGTAAAATGCGGAACTGACACCGCTATGCTCACATTCTGCTGTTGTTAGTGCCTCATACTAGACTGCCATTGTAGAGATGGACCTACCAATGTAGAATTTCATGAGCGAATGGAGGAGATGCTCATGCGCGAAACTTGAACCGACCAGGCTGTCACCAAGTACCCCCTTGCTAAGGTGGTATATGGGCCACGTGCCTGAGAATAATAGTGTGACAAGGGAAGACTTCAAGTAAGGGTTCTTGATATATTCAGAAGATCTTAAGAATGTGATGCATAACGTGATCATCTCTTCTCCAATGGCGGACATTAGAATCGAGGGCAAGTAACTAAAATGTGATCAGCTATGAGGGCGCGTAATTCGATCAAAGGGTACCTACCGAAAGGCAAACTTGAAATTCTCAACGACATCCTGAAGCGCATATTCAGGGAGGCAGCTGAATGCTTCAGGTTTGTTGGCTGGTAGTGGAAGCTTGAAACCCTTGCCTGGCTTGTAATCTGCTCCACTCGCAACTCGGAGGAGCCATACAGAGACGTATCTCATAAATCGCAGAGACAATTCTTGCATAGTGGTGTCCAGTACAACACCCTCAATTGCATACTTGAGCGCAAGAGACTTCTCGACAGAATTGACAGCATTTTGGAGATGTTGTTTTGCCACAAGAAGTCTGACAGGATCCTAATACAATGAACACGATTAGGAATGATATGATTTTGGATAAAGGAGCTGACTTACGTTCTGCAACTTAGGCAGTTCGGCCTCAAGCTTCCTAATAATGTCGTCAACATACTTGATATCCTTGTCAAGATCTTTCAATTTTGAGTTGGTTGCCCCCATGCCATAATGATGACCAGCCAGGGCTAAGAAGAAGACTTCTGAGATAAAACTGGAATTTCCCGGAAGTTGAGACTTATAGAATTCATCTGAAGTAGCTTGATCGGCATTTAGCTTAGTCTCATCGCTTATGTCGACTCGAGGGTTACGGCGGAGGTATTCCACCTCAATTCTTTCTACCTTAGAGTAAGTGGCGTCCATAAAGGGCTCACACAATTGATCTATGATAGCTGTCATGTTGACCATAAAACCATCCGACGCCACATCCGTCGGTTTGACTTGGAGAGCACGTCTCTTGTGGTTTGTATTAAGGGCGAATGCGAACCAGTCAAGAGTGCTACTCCGAGCGCCCGGGCTTGCTCGAACGAGTGCATTCGCGATGGTCATAAGGTCACCCTGGTGAGCTTTTAGTGTCATCTGTAGAGCGGTCTGTGATGACTTAATGTGGCCTGGATCGATCGTCCGTGGACTGGCGAAGTAGGTCTTGGTAACTTCAGTTTGCAACGGCGAGATACGGAAGAAAGGTCCTAAGATGGTCTGGCTCTCAGTAGCCCGGGCAAGTTGCTCTTTCGACATATTAGGAATCGGGTTTACTTGGAACCGGGGGTGTTCTACAAGGGCATTGAGTAAGGGAGGAAACTTCGAGTATGTAACAAGACACTATTACTGTTAGTATTACACGCTTCATAAGATTGAATGTACTTACATTGATGTACGGTTTGTAATCATCGTTCATTGTCATCGTCGCAACCTTCCTACTCATTGCAACCATGGCATCAGTGAACATAGATGCGACGGTATCGTCTTCTGGAATACGTGACACAGCCTCGACGAAGAAGTCTAAACAAATACCATCCTCGTTATCGTGGTGGCGAAGGAGGTAAGGTACTAGAGAATCGTGCTTAGGATTCGGGTCGCGACTTTTAGTTGTTAGTATGAGGAGCCAGCCATTCAAGGTCAATTTTAGGGGAATTACTTACCCAAAATATTCGGGCATAGTGAGTGCAAATATGCAGTTGCTCATACATAATCTCTTGGCTTCGTTAAGGACAGCTTCCCTTTCTGCCGGGGGTGGTCTAGCAGGTTTAGAAGCTTTCACAACTCGTTTCCAACATGGTAGAAGATAGTCTAAAAGTGCCTTGTCCGTGGGCACGTGTCTGGCGGCTTCGAGAATGGCCGAGTCTATCGACGATGCAGTCAACTTGACGGGATCGCCGGATTGCTCGAGCTCTGCTTTCAGTTCAGGTAGATAAGTGAACTTGGTGCCTCTGTTATCGGCGGTTCGAGTCTCATCTAACGTGACACGAAATATCTCGCCTAATACTCTATTGGACCATGTCTCTAGATTCTCTTCCTTGGCGATATGTATCTTTTTGGATGGCTGGGCTGTTGTATTGCCTAAGTCAGAATTTAAAAGGGACCTCTTGGAGGTGTTGGCGTTACCTGAATCCCCAGTGGCGGGGCTTTTGCTAGAATCCGTCTTGTTCTTAACACCAAGTTGCGAGAAAGGGTTTGGTGATGAGGATGGATTTGGGGGGTTGGATGGGGTCGAGCTGGCTTGCCGACTTGGTAAAGGAGTTGGTCGGAGATTCTCCTGGTTCGGTGGGTTCAATTTGGGCGTAGGTGAAGAAGCCGATGGTGTTGAGGGCTCGGTCTTAGAGGCTTCATCGGGCTTTGGGTTGGTCGACGCATTCCGTGCATTGAAGGCAGCCAACCGTCTTTGGCGCATCTAGAATCAACGTAAGTAAATTAACATAGGTATGGAAATCCAGACTTGATTGCTGTCGCATACCTGTTCCTGGGGTGGTAGGATGTGCTGCTGTGGCGGCGGTTGCTCGTTTGGATCCATGATGATTACCTAGGATCCAGGTACTTTTAGGTGACGACGATGCGAATGATAGCTACGAATGGCGCGATATACTCCGAACGACGTGAAATGAATTATGTTAGTTCCGGGAGAGAATCGATGGCAGATGGAAATAATGCCAACAATAAGGCGCCGTAGAAATGGAGGTGTCTAGAATGTATATCTAGAATTGTATGTAGAAATGTGGAAGTTCGGCGGCAAGATGAGATGTGAATCTCGTCGAGGTAGAAAGAATGATTACCTAGGTAGGTACTGTACTTTAGGACTTAGGTCGTTTGTCGTTTGTCGATTGTCGATTACCTAGTACCGATTACTACAGGTCCGATAGGTACAGATGGACGCTGATGGAATGAGGTAGTAGCCCCAGTTAGTTTCACGCTAAACAGTGTGATTGGTGCTTTCCCTGTAATTGTATTAGTCAATATCTTATCGATAATCCTCAGCTCTCTAATCAACTGTATGTGTCCAGGCTTTAACGGAGTTTACAGTGGGTGAATTGCGACCGGTCGGCGGGGTAAATTAGGTAGCCCTACGACGCTAACGTGTGCTGAAAGTGTGAAAGTGGGATTATATAAGCCTAACGCTATCACCCCTGGCTCTCTTTTTTCCTCGATAAATTTAACATTCCCTTTTATGACAAACACTTACTCCTTCACTCAACTTCCTATGTTTCCGTTAGGAGATACTTCCCTTGAGTATTATAAAGTAATTAGACGACAGAGTCAAATCATCACTTGGAGGGGGTTATACTTTGCTTCAAGTACTTCAACCATTAATTAATATCGAACGAGCTTCTTCTTGTTGACATTCTAAAATATATGTGAAACCCAGGACCGAATTCCGAGGTCTATATGATAGAAATGGTTATCCTCAGTTAGCTACTAAGTAGCTGATAGCTGCTTAGGCATGGGCAGAAGCATTCGATCCTAAGCATCTATCTAAAGGCTATCCGACGTCCTTATATGAAGTAGTCTCTATTTATAAGACAACATGAACACAACCGCTCTTGGCATCGGCTTACTCATTCACCGAGAAAGTCCATGAGGGTCGGATACAGCACAAAACTAAGCTCAATAGTACCTGGTATCACTCTTCAAAACTTACCAATCGGGACCTAATGACGTCGCAATCCGGAGGGAATATTGATCATCTCGACCGGATTCCGGGACCATTAGTCTAGCCTCATGTTCAACTTCGAATCAAAAACCATTGCGTCGGTCTAAACTCCTGAAAGGAAGGCTGTAATTGGAAAATATCGATGAAAATCTGCCACGGAAAGGTGTTACTAATCTTGGCATCGGCCTCTCTAGAAATGCGACACCCAACAACTTACATCAAAATCTGGCATGCTTCGTATACTATTTTTACATTATCCCATTCGCTTTCTAAACCGAAAAGCCATAATAGAGTCCAGGGATTCGACGACAGAATAAGTCTGCGTTTCGATAGTTTGTCCTTGGAGCGCCACCTCGGAATGTCGGTCGAGACTCTACAGATGTTCGGTTAGTGATCTGTGCCGCGTTCAGCCGAGCTGTCAGTTGAAGCTCATCTCTTCTTCTTAACTTCATAGCGGATGTAAAGAGTCAAACGACTAATCATAAGATTATAAGATTAGGGTGCTCCCTGGTAATTTTATGTTGTCGATAGTATTCCAGGAGCTGATTATTGATATACGTATAGCATCATTTCCTGTCACTATCTCTCACCGCCAACACCATCGTCGGACAGAAATCCTACTAATGCGAAGTCTCGGCTGTACGACACACGAAGGATCCCCAAAATTAAAGCGAATAGGCGATTCCCACATACTTCATCGAGAGCCTCGACGATCTGCGTCGTCATCCGACCATTATCATGTTGGCCTAGTAGTCAGATTCTTATTATATGCATGGTAATTATTTCGAGTCTGACGAACAATCTGCGCGCTACTAAATGCCGACACATTATACCGAGCTATCAACTCGACCTTTATGGTAACGTCTACCAAGATACAAGCTCTTCGTGGGAGATGTAAAGACCATCTCACGAGTCCCTTTCTACCTGCACCTCTGATTTGCACATATGTAACTGATTAATATGCAGGTCGTGTAGCAATAGATCCACTGTCCCCTGTTTTCATCTTACTCAACAAGAACGTATTTCCTAATCAAGAAATCTACTTAACCTTCCTTGCTCTAGAGTCTGATGGCAAACATCTATGAACGACACGAATCTCCTTAGATGTTCGCCATCATACGGTAATACGATGCGAACGACTTTTGTTTTCTAACGTGACACAATATCCTGTGATGGCTCGCCTAAGTACGTCAAGTTATTGGACGGACACCACTCATCCCTGTTAAACCCGATCTTCACCTTCTTCGGCCGACTCATACTCCATTATTCGCTGCTCTTGTTACAGGTGCATAGAGATGGACTGAAGGATGTGCTAGCTCATCGATTCTAGCCGTCGACTTTCGAAAATTTTACACGCTAACCTTCATACCTTACACCGCAGGAGTAAGTCATTCAAGCGTGAGGCAGTGTCCCGGCTAGAGCTTCTTACTATAGACGACACCAATGCGGTCTAGAATGGCTGGGTTGCTATTAATATTACAGCTCATAAATGGAGGGCCTCTCGCCTCCATGGTTACTCATACTAGAGAGATCTTTCAAGAACTTGAAGCCGTCCCACGCCAACCAACCTCGTGCAGTCCTAGTTAAGGGGTATCTAAATCTGGCCCATCGACAATCTAAAGTGATGCGATGGAGATTGAATAGGCCCCTTCAGCTCCTCGGAGACCATTTCGGCTGTCATAGAAATTCTTGTGTTGTTGTATGCTGTTTCAGCATCAAAAAGATTTCCAAGATTTGAATCTTGCAAGGGGCGCGCATAGCTGCTTGTCAGCTCTGCGGCACCTTACGTGGTATGGTGTTAGCGGCCTCTTGGATGCGATCTGCTGTCTTCCCGCTGTACCTACCCATTCTTCTAGAGAAATTCTGCGGATATGTGCAGCCCCCTCAACCCCCCCATTGGCGAAGTCGCACAACCGTTTCCTTGCTGCCATACGAGACTTATTATCGTCCGGCACGGGATGTTGCAGGAATTATGTGATACACACCATCTCACTTGTGCTGGGAACTTGGTCGCCATTTATCCTAAATCGTATTCTCAGCGCAACGGTGTTCCGTTGTGCGAAGCGTCACGGCGTCGTGCTATGGCTTGTAAAAGCCGGGGGCTAGTAACGGGATATATACGTGCGCACATGGCAGATATATTGCAGACGCCACACCGGCAGCCAGCGCTTCGCTAGTATAGAGCATTCTTTCTCTCGTTGAACAGCTGGGCATCCTTTACACTCGTTTAGGCCTCCTTCACCGCTTTTAATATTGATCCTTCCAGTTCACCTTCCCCGAATATGCCTCCCACTTCTTATTCCCGCTCGACTGACTTCGATACATATCCATGATACAAGAGTTATAGCTCCAAACCGCTTATCATGGATACCTACCAAGATGACCTCGACGAGTATGGAGTCAGTATAAGGGAGGACCGCCGTCAAAAGGAAATTAGAGGCGATGATTTAAATTCTGGCAACATTGAACCTCGCAACGCAACGGCATGCGTAAACACATGTTTCGACAGTTTCGTCAACGATTGGTCTAAGTCGGTTAATGGAGGGTTTGAGGATGTTTGCAATTACATGTCGAATGTTCAGCATAATACGGATCTGTGGAAATTATACTGCTGTGATGAAACAAGTTGCGGTGTTTGGATAGATGGTGGTAAAGGGCAAAGTCGTTCGTTAACCCCCATGAGAACTGATCTTGACTATCCAACTGACTTGTATCGCCAGCTAGCGTCGACAAACTCATCAATAAATGCTCTAAGTGAGCCCAACAGGCCAGCCAAGCTTCTCATAGACAGGTACTAACATCCTTCAGTGCTGGCAATTATTTGATTTACGATCCGGGAGCCCCTTCGCCCGACACATGTACTGTGGGATTTAGTAGTGAGTATCTTACCTACGCTCTTAAATATGACCTTTCTCTGATCGAGTCCATTCACCTAGAACCTGGGACTGAGCCTGCAACAAATACAGTAGTCGGCATCTTTACAGCAACGACGACCGCTAAATCTAGTCCGTCGTCTTCAGCAGTGGGGACTTCTAGACATAACTCTACACTATCAGGTGTTACCGCAGCGCCAAGCGCACTGATGGGCCTTACAGAAGGGAGCAAGGCTGCGATAGGTATATGCTCTGGCTTGGCGATAATAGCCATCCTCTTTCTAGTAGGCTTTATGATATGTCGAAAACGACCACACCCCAAAGATTATTCGGATCGCACCCTCAGTGGATCTCGTCTTGGTCGCTCATCTTCTGAGCCGCCAAGCGGTTCACGCACACCTTTAATCTCACCACCATCGGCGTCATCGAAAGGTCCACCATTAACGCCGCCCGCGCGACTAAGCGATCGTAGATTCCTCCCATCGCTACTTAAGCAGGGCGGCACACCGAACTCGTCAGTAGCGTATGGTATGGAGGGGGTAACTTTCCTGGATTCCCCTCTTAGCCCTTCCGCGGAGAAGAAGTCCGCAGTACGGCATGATGAATGGCCTACAACGGATACCGTCACAAAGCCACCTACCTCCCCGTCGCATCCAGCCGCAGTGCATTTCGCGCCATACTTTCTGCGCGATAGTGGTAGCTCGTATAGTAGCGGGCCCGGAGGAGCCTCGACAACAACAGTCGGATCCAATAAACCCGGCTCACTGCATTCCAGATCAGCGACAATCACTGGGACCAGTACACCACCGCTATTACTACCATTATCCCCAAGTCGACCCCAACGTCCCCATGACGGACCCCTGGAGATCCCAAATCTAGTCACACCAGCCGGACCGCCGCCAAACCGTGCTCTTCCAGCTCCGCCTCCGTATCATCCTACATCACCTACATTCTCCGTATCCCCCGTGTCTCCTCCAAGCTCACCCATATTCCCACTTTCCCGGCAATTAACAGTACCCAACGACAACAACCACATCGATACTAAAGGTCCACCGGAACCTTCACCAATCGATCTCGAGGGTTCCCTCCCTGCTTCAACGAAAGATTTGCGCGACCTCACGGAATCGTACGCGCGTGAGACGTCGGAGAGTTGGGGAAGTTGGGGAGGGGCTGGGGGTGGAGGACCGGGGGTTAGTATTAATGGAGGGAAGAAAAGGGGTCATAGGGGGAATAGAGGGTCGAGTGGGGAGAAGAAGGATAAGGATAGGGATAGGGATAGGGAGAAAGGGTCTACGGCGTCGTTGCCGAAGCTGGATTTGGAGAAGTTGGGTGGGAAATATTGATGTTATACGTTATAATTTAGCTAGGTAAAGTACCAACATTGGCAGCGACAGGGGAATCACAAGTTCTTTGTGATGTAGTTAGGGTAGTGGGAATACGGCATGATCTCTCGTTGGGTATACCTATCCTTACGTTGTTCTCAAATGGGTTATAATTGAGAGATAGTGGGGCTATCATATAATGACTACGGGTACGATTATATCTACTATATGCGGTTCTAATAGTGGTATATATGACTGAGACAAGCTGCAATCGGGGACCTTTGGGAATTCATTGCGTGTATGCGAGAGGCCTAGGTACGACAAATTGTTTCGTCGAAAGGTGTGTAAGAGAAGTTAACTCTATCAGATTCGTCTAGACTGATCATCTATTTGATAGAGCACTCAATATCCTAGATAATCGAGGACTTCTGGATGAAGAACCACCATAGAAGGTATGACGAGAGCCTATCCTACCCTCCATGATTCTGCTTATGCTGATTTCGATAGGACCTTGTACGAAATGCGCGCTCGAGTAGTTCGCGACGTAGTACAAAGGAAGCAAAAAGCGAGATTGGATGCCTCGATCTAATATTAGAGACAAACACGAGGCGTAGCTAGCCGCGACGCGTGTACATATACATATCCCTTACTCTAGATACATTCTATCCATTTGCTACCGTACATATTATCCTATCATATAGACGAATGATTTGCGTCGGTCTCCCACCTAGGTAGACTTTTATGATGAATCTGCACTATACTGCGATCTCGTGATTTGTATCAATCATGTCCTAACGCCCGATACATCTTCAGGGCGTATAATTACAGGACATTTCGCTTGTGCTGAGTGAGCTGTAGCCGGCTGCAACCATTGATCATGTTGCACAAGACTGATAGGTCTATCCAATACTCCATTCCAACCCATTAAATAGCAACCGATGACAACAAACCCAAGCCTATGATAACGACCGTCGATCAGGTCCCGTGGTTTCTTAAATTGCTGCCCGAAATGCGGTTTCTCCAATGTCCGCGTCGCTGGCCGTGGGGCCGCGAAACCTATTGGTTGGGAAATTCGGCACCACGACAACAAACGACGGAGAGGGGCCGGGGCGACCTACCACATGCCAACACAATCCTCCGAGTGGGTTAAAAATCGAATGAAACAGCGTGTCGATGATATGCGTAAAATAAGAAAAAAGAGGATTCGGATGCATGAATGGATTTTCGTAAACGAAAAAAAGGGGCGGTGTGGGAAAGATTTCTAATGGTTATGTGTGTATTAGACCGCTCAGACCCAGACTAACAAATAAATCTGGGGGCCCCGAAAGGGATATATTAACAACCACTGCATCCCTATCTTCGTGCGCATTCGTTTTCCTTTCTCCTGTTTCTTCTTCAGGTTTTGTTTATTCCTAGTCTTGGTATCTTTCCCTCGTCTCTAATTATTACACCATATACGCCGAACCAATGCCCGCTTCTTTATGTTGACTACCGAGTGTCTCCTTTGGCTTGCTTTACTAGTGCATCTAATTGCTTCTCCTTCTGCTTCAAGAACGCCTTCATCTCTTCGTTAGACATAACATTGCCTTGGACAAGTCTATCCGTTGTTGTACTGGGGTGGCTGGCGAGGTAATGCTTCATCATCTCGGATGATCCTCCTTGACGGTTCCTGTCATACCATCATGTTAGCTGAAGGGGTCATATTCGGATATTTTCCCACTTACTCATCGCCGGAGACTTGGTTCGACTTGATGGTAGGTTGGGACATGGTAAGGTCCTTGGTCGCACAACGATGCTATTTTGGAATTTGGGTGATAGGATGTTGCCAAGATGCTGCGGTGGACTTCTGCAATTTGGAAAATTTTAAATCCCTGGGCAATTGAGTTGACAGAATATCAATTCGAGCTAAGTTCTTGTCAATCGCGAGAAATAAACTTGACGATATTTCTTTTTAGGATGCTGGTAGATACATTGCACTGACCGAGTCCCGCGTCTTCATTTTATGGACATGACCAACCCCCCGCGCCGAGGCGCGACAGCAACATTGAGGCTCCGTCCAAGTCATTTGCTCGAGTCATCTTGATCGCCTTTGAGTTTTCGATATACCTACAGAACCGATTCGGATGGTTTCCGCTCCGCGCGGTACGACCGGTATACAGTAGTGCACCGATCGGGAATTCGCGGTGCGAATTCCATAGTGCTGACCTCGCGAAGGCGTATCATGCACGATACTAGTAGGTCTCATCGCCCTGCGTCTTAGGGGTGCGGGATTCTAGGCAATCAGCATCGAGCACGTCGCTGCACCCGTGATTGGCAGATTCTCAGCCTGCGCATATCTCCACTTCGTTTTGCGCTTTTGCGCAGAATTGGCGAGGCATAAATATAGTCGTTTTCGGCTGAGGAGAGGGGGGAGATTTCTGGTGAATCCTTGAGATCCCAGCTCCCCCGCCTTTCTCATCACTCCTATTTTTCGAGAAAATATCAAAAATTTAATCAATGCTACATATACACGACTTTTGTTTCTTCAATGCCTCCGTGATGATTGGGTATCATACCACATGAGAGAAATGCTTCAAAGACCTCGGGATCTTGCAATTGCATATGTCCAATATCACCAATATCCGGCGAGTTCTATTGCAACACGGACGCAATCGGTCCCCAACTGCCATATCAACTCTTTTAACGCCTTCGAAAGCACTTGGAACGCAACTAAGGCAAGGCTTGTAGCCAAGTGGGAGAAGATCAACAACGCTCGTCGTGAGCATCGCCTCAAGCGAAGCATGGTCAAGAAATTGACCCCACTTAGGAGCACTGTCACAGAAATACATCTACTAGGACCGACAAGCGTTGGTGATTCGGTAAGACACCCACAAACAGAAAAAGAAAATCCGTCCTTACCATTACCACTTTAGCAGAATAGGGGAGCTAAGCCAGTAGCTTTCCCAGGCCAACTAGAAGCTGAGAACTCATTTGTTGAGAAGACCTCATCTATTAACGAAATCCCCAAGCGATGCCTGACTGAGTCGAACGTATGCATGGTAGAATTGAATACCCAAAACGACGGAACTAAGCTTGGGGAAATATCACAAGAGCAGTCGAAATCAGCCGGTCCTATGGATAGCGAAAGGAAGGCAAGCGCTGCTCAAGGACTCAGCCATTGCCAACTCGACCATAAAGGTGAGAGAAAACTGACGCCAGATCAGTACGTGGCCATTAAGAAACAAGAAGCTGTTGCGCTTGTGATGGCTCACTTCAACCGCTGGTTAAATAAGAGACTTGAGATTATTTCCTGGTCAGTATAATCATACCATTCGTGGCGGTCTGCTATGATCGCCGTTTTGTCATTTTGAACGTAAGCTGATGTGCGTATAGTACGTCAGACAATGATCTCTTATTTCGCTTCTATTTTCTTTATCCACTTATAGTATCAATTTGTTGCAGTATGCTAACATTGAGAAGATGCGTATGAAGCTTCTGAGGCTTCGGGAAACTCCGTTAATAACTCTGGTAGCGTGGGGTCTGGAAGTGGTGACGCCGGACAGGGCCGATCGACTCGTTCAACTCGAGCGAAACGCCGACTGGGTGGGGATGATCAAGATAATTCTTCAGCTGGAGGCAATGAAGGTGACCCGAGTAGGGGTGGCAATAAGCGGGCCAAGAAGGACATAGAGCCGGATCGCAAATTTGCTTGCCCCTTTTATAAGCATGACCCAAAGACACACAGCAAACATCGTAGCTGTGCTGGGCCGGGCTGGGCATCGTTACATCGTCTTAAGTAGGTATCCTAGTACACCAACTAATATTGCTGTGTACTGATGATTGCAATAGGGAACACCTATATCGCGCACATCGTTTACCGAAATATACCTGCCCGAGGTGCAGCGAACCTTTCGAAGATGCTCAGGATTTAGCTGATCATATTCGAGCGGACGTGCCTTGTGAGAAGCTAGACGTCGTCCCAGCCTTCCAAGGAATTGACGAGGCTACTGAAGCTAAGTTAAAGATGCGGAAGAAGAATTGCCCGGAAAAAACCGACGAACAGAGATGGAGGGATATCTACATGATTTTGTTCCCTGGCGCTAATATCCAGGCGATACCATCTCCGTGTAAGTTAATTCAAGTTGCGATGGTATGAAGTCGCTAACTAGGTTGAAGATTACGACAGCAATGACTCTCAGAGGTACTCGAAGAACATCGAGCAGTGGAGAAAGGTCAGGAAGCGGATGGAAAACGAGCTTCCCGATCTTGTGCAGAAGAAGGTTGAAAGGTCTTTCGAGAAGGTGGAAGTTGAAGTGCTAAACCAGTTGCCTAACATTATTCGAGATGGCCTATTTGAGTTCTTCAAGGACTTGCCGCGTGATGATCGGTCGGCGTCGGCTACTCCAGCTGTAACTCCGAGGGCCCATACACCCAGCTTCCCTGTTATCGAGGAACAACCTGCCGCAGCGACTGACGAAGTTAAGGACATTTCCCTAGACCTCTCACAATGGCTCGAGCCTGATATGTCATTCTTCGGTGGATTCGAAGAAGTTAACTTTACCGACTTTCCGTATACCTCATGTGAATTTGCGAACTCAGCCGAGTGTCGGTTGTATGACAGGGAATCAGACTCGGGCTATGCTTCGACCATCGCCGGAAGAGATGGTGCCGTAGAGACGGAGACCTAGGGTTTTGTTTTCCTATTGGTTGATGTAGAGTTGGATAGCTGTGCTTCCACTCCTATTTACAGCTCGTTTCCCATGGGTTCACTATTGCGATGACGTGTTGAATGAGTATATGAAGTTAATTGGTTAACAGTGTGTTGTCCAGCTTTACGTTTTTATGCATGAATTTATCATATCACTTGAATAAATTCATCTGATGTTGTTATTAACTTGCCGGTTCGCTTAAGACCGAGTAGGTACTCGAATACGAAATATGTGAAAGTTTAATGCGTTTATGATTTCGAAGATGACGCGTGTCTTTGGTTATACTGTCTTTAAATACTAAAATCATAGTTAGACTTAGGAGCGAAGTCGTCTGTTTATAGTCCCTGGTGGGGTGATTTTCCGTGCTGGAACAAGGCGTGTACTCAGTTGAGAATCTGGCTGTGTATTATATACGGTTGCTGGCGTTGGCCTAAATTCGATAAGTTTAGACATTTGAATTGTTTAGATGAATGTTCAACTTTTGATGTTTTTCGACGTGATGAATTGCAACTGGTCAAGAATAATAATGATAATTGTTGCGGGATTCGTAAGATGCTCGATGATCATGATTTCTCACTGTTCCTGTGTTCATCTCGGTACTTATCGGGGTACGCTACTGCAGTACATCAAGATCGCCTGGTACCTGTAAGCTATCGTCATCGTATGCGCCTATCGGCATGAGAATGAGCTCTTGGTAAAGCCTATCGGTACCAACCAGAACTCAACTACCCCACGGTACACGGAAGTTCGGCTCTGACTGTACTGTACAGCACCTGGCCGGCAAGGAAGGGCCTGCATATTGGCCACTGCGGGGAATTGGATCTTTGGTTTTCTTCACTTGAGGTACCTGAGCGAGTATGTGGCTTATTGGATCGGTCGTTTTCCGAGCAAGATTTCGTCCAACATCTACTGAAAATGGACGGACTTGTGATCAGCAGTAGCCATATGCGAATCGGAGATCAAGGTCATAGCGTTATTGTGTTGTTGATATGTCGAAATTCGAGAACAAAAAAACCTGTAATTTAGAAATATCGATAGGTAGGTTAGGCCGGATGGTAGACTGGTTAGTATACAAGAACCCTGATTCTATGATGGATGTGAGATATGATATGAGAACTCATATCGAATCTTCAGCTAATGACTATGATAGCAAAAGACCAGTAGACCGGTAAAATGAAAGTGAGAACAAAATCCCAGGCCGTTCAAATTGATGTAGGCATGATGGCTTCAATGTATGAGTGATATGCTCGGGGAAGCCTTGTATTGAAAATTGGACTGGCTGAAATACCTCCCAATGATATGGTCATGTTTAGGTGTGCCTATCAATGGTTGATCAAGGTGTTTTACCTGTCTGTTCAAAGTTAGAAAGGAGAGAATCGATCGGCGACCTAATGCATGATTCACATGTTGGGAACATTATGCTTTTGTGATGTTGTCAAGATTATGCAATGTTGAACAAGACGACACAACGGGTATAACGACACAAGGGAGAGAGAAAGGATGAGAAATATCAAAAAGGGATAGAGGATGAAATGAGATGAAAAATAGAGACGATTGTCGCCTAGGAAATTTGAATGCGTCTTGAATAATTCTCCATATGGGTTTGCCAAGGCCGGTAGCTTCGTAGCTCTAAATGAAGTTCGCATGCGAAAGTGGTACTATGGGATGGTTGGCACATGTCAAGATATCTTGGGTCTTGGGTCTTGGGAGTGTTCCAGTATTTGTTGTGTTCAGTGGGAATGGAATAATTAATTATTACCTAGTTGGAGAAGGTTCAAAAGTTGGAAGAATTGATCCCGCAGCGCCCGCCTAATTCATCTGCCATGTGGGTTTTTGATACGATACATATATGTACATGTCAAGTACCTGGAACGTGCGCATTAACCCATTTAACTGAGATATCTCAAGCCAAGGGGGAAGCTAAGCAAGCTAAGGAATACATAGATACACCGCTAAAGCCACGCTGACTTGTATTGTCGCATCTAAAACGAACCTCTCTAAGCCGTATGAAGCATTAGCTCACTACTTAGGTACTTGAACTGTAGCCTAATTGCCCAATTGGACAATTCTCCAGGTCTTAAACTTTATCATCAGTGGCTCGATTCTCCTGCAACCCCCTGCAAGCTCATGGTCTTGTTTGCTCTTGTACCTTAAGTACCCTGGATAGCGTCAGGGGTTCGTCGACACACTAAATTTCTTAATTTTCTCAGTAATCTGTACCAGACCTTAGACTTTTTAGTACATTGAATAACCCCAACCCCTTGCCTGCTGTACAACATTTATGAGTCTTAATCAATTGTAGGCAGGTACGGTACCAAATCGTGGTATACTGAGGTAGTAATCGACGAGACTATTGGATGGTGGACTCGAACCAAATAATCAAGCAGATGCGGTAGCAACCCCCCTTGTCAAACTTTGTTAATTTTTTTTTTCTTAGTATCAAAGTATTATCAAAGTTCTTCACTGCCTATACGAGAGATAAACCGTAGTACTTCAAGTACCCTATTGTGTGAATACCCTCTTTTTTAACCTTCTGCCGGTTTCTTCGTCTTAACCGTGTTTAACAAGTTTAACAAGTTTAACAACAAGCTTCGACTATCCGAACAATTACCTTCCTTCGTCAACCGTCATTCCATTTGTTTGATCTTTGATACCCCCCATCCTCTTCGCTCCTCTTTCCCATTCTCTCTAAACAATCTTTCTAATGATTTTGATTTGATTCTCTTTCCTCTAACCTGAACACATTTCTCTCCCCTACCCCAGCCGTTACAGACTTAGCTAGACTATCCACACTCACGATTTAGCGACGACTGGGTCTAAATCCAAATTCCTAAAACCACAACGGGAAAGATTCTGTATGAAACGGTCGTTCAAACTATCATTTTCCTTCCTTTCTAGGTCCACCCGCAACAAGCTCCCGCTTGTTCTTTAGTCACCCACAACGATAGAAACGAATCAATTCTTGTGATCCCATTCCTCCGTCGTCCGTCCGTATCCGCGCGCGAAGTTAGACCCCAACTACACACCCTTCTACTCTCTACCGCCTCATGCGGTTGACCGATCCGAAGCCACGCAGCCACGGTGCGACCACCCGTTCCAATGCCCTGGCAACCCTTGCCTCGTATCGCCTTCGCCGTCGCGACCTACCCCTTCGAGACCAAGAACGAAAATGAACTCCCCCTAGAGATCGGCGACGATTTATATATTATTGAAGAGTCATCCGATGGCCAATGGCTGCGGGGGTACCTGCTGGCGCCACCTTCACTTCTAGCAGGCCTTACTTCCGTCAAGGGCCAACCTCTCGAGGCTCGTGTTTTCTCTGGCATTTTTCCACGTAGTTGCGTCGAAATTCGCGAGGTGCTAGGTGACGATGAAAACTCGGACAATAGTAGCAATTACCAAGTCGACGACGATGCGCCACAAGTAGGTAGTGACTCTGGGAAGAGTGGAGTGGCTTCGAGCACCCGAAAATCATACCTTAGGGAGGTAGAGGGTGGAAGTAGGACACTTCGACAAAATGGTGCTATATTGGGTGGGACGGTTGCCCGCATACCCGAACTGAAGATACGCGAACCTGGTGCGCCCAAGCCGGCCGCGCCAGTTCCGATGCTTCGGCTAGGAGACGAGACCCCTACATCTACTATGGAACCTTTGATAGATGAGATCGCGTCGTGTCTGCGCGAGTGGCACTCCACAAATTTCCACGAGCTGCTACTTACCAGGCAGTATTCCAAGCTTGACAAGGTCTCGCAATTAATCCAAACCCTGGATCTATCAAGAAGGCAATTCCTCCATAACCTCCTTACGACCCGCGAGTACAATGCGCTTCGAGAAAAGACAGTTTGGGATCTAGTTAGGGGTAATAAGCTTTGTGGAGGAGAGGTCATAGTACGGGATCCTGAGGAAAGGGGTAGGGTTCTGACCGGTGACGACTCGGTGGTAGAAATTACCAAGTTGCAGTCGGTTATGAGCTTGTTGGACGAACCCCCGCAGCCACACGTTGAATTATCGGCGTTGCACCACTTGATGGTCGATATCAGGAGTTTTGCTGGCTCTTCCAATGAGCCGACGACGTTAGTGTTGTACCTTGTCAGCAAATCGGTTGGAGGAACTTTGACGACGCTTTCGGAAAGCTACATGATTGAGGTTCCGTCTGGTGGCACAATGGGTTATTTGACTAGGAATCCCCAGATGCGCACCCTTTTCACCGATCTTACTTCTGCTGATATCGGTGATGGGCCTTCTGCTGACTCGGAATTATACTTGATTGTCAAGGTCCGCTCGCCACAGCAAATCGTCATGGGCAAACCAATCTCAAGATCAGGATCATTTGGCCAACCCAATACGCCATTTTCGAAAGACAAGCCCCCTTCGTCCAGTGGTCCCAAGACTTCTAGGAGAAGTTTGATGTGGGGTACTACAAGGTCCGCATTCTCTCGAGGAGGCACGAAACTCGACGCCTTATCCGAACAGCCAGAAGAACGACCAAGAACGGATAATCTCGAGAGCAGAGATGGCGGGATGCCCCCTAGTACTGCGGGCTCGAGGGCACCACGACCATCTGTAGATGGACCACAGCCAACCCAGATGCTAGCGGATAGAATGGTGGGTATGGGTGTCCTAAGTCTAAATTCGATCATGAAACAAGACGAAGAATCGGAACACGTAGTGACGGTCTGGTCACCCTCTGCGAAATTCACCGCTGAAAAATACGATACCGCGGAAGGATGGGATGGTCTAGTTCGCGATCTCTTGGAAAGCAAGTCGGGTCACTACGAAAAATCTAGAAGGGCAGAACGGTTACAAATACACCTCAAAGCTTTCAATAGTCCCGATGCAGATGCTCTTATCAAGGCGACGCCTACTTTGCTTGCCGGTATTAGCAAAACTAGCAAGATGGGATTCTCCGGTGCCCCGACAAAACCCCGATCCGACATCTACGTGACCGTTAACGAAGCTCTCTTGGCTCGACAAAACTTGATTTCTCGCTTCGGAGCTAGTGCCACGACTTTATCAAGTAATGTACATGGCACAAATTTAATGGTTTCTCTAGAGGTACGGCGGCAATCAGGAGAACGCATTGAAGACTGCATATACCCTTCCTCAAATCTAGAACCTCTCACAACATGGCGTTCGTTTGCTGTGGAGCGCGGTGAGCATTGGGACCAGACCCTTCGCCTTTCGCTTTTGCCCTCCGACGTCAGCGTGGCTCATGTTGTATTCACTGTTTCTGACTTACCCGGCACGCCTTTTGCAATTGCTTATATGCCACTATGGGACCAGCAAGCATTTTTGGGTGACGGCCCACATTCTTTACTTCTCTATAAGTTGGACGAGTATACACAAACTGCACAAGCTGGTACCGCTGGCCGGGGTGGATACCTTTCTCTTCCTTGGGGTGCCCGTAGTGACTCGAGCGAAGTCACCGGCCCACTTGCTACCCTTCGGATTGAGACGTATCTTTGTAGTACAAGATTTTCTCAGGACCGAATAGTCCTTGGTCTGCTCAAATGGAAAGAAGGTCCACGGGATGAAATTCCGTCACTATTGAAACAGTTAATATTCGTACCCGAGATTGAGGTAGTGAAACTGCTAAGCGATGTTCTGGACGCACTTTTTGGTATTCTAGTTGAGTATCAGGGAAACGATGAATACGAGGACCTTGTTTTCACCGCTCTCGTCCGCGTACTCGGAATAGTGCACGACCGCCGATTCAACCTCGGTCCTCTGGTTGACCACTATGCGGAGAGCAAGTTCAACTATCCTTTCGCGACGCCCTGCCTCGTACGATCTTTTACACGATTGTTAACGAAGCCAACGGAGTCAGAGACTGCCCGAAAGTTGCGAGCCACTCTCAAAGTTGTACGTCATATTCTCAAGTTCATCACGCATGCAAGAGGCCAGCAGAAGGTTAAAGAGGCTGGGATCGGTATCACGGGTAGCACTGCTGGCTTTACTCGACATCTACAAAGCATCTTCAAAGCCCTTGATTCAATGATGAGAAGTACTGCGCCTGTTTTGGTCGGCAGTCAGACGTTAGCTGTACAACATTTCCATACCTGGCTACCAGAACTCACCGGATTGCTTACGACTGAAGAAATACTTCACATTGCCATTGACTTTATGGACTCATGCGCCTTGGTCAAGGGTAAGCTCGTATTATACAAGCTTGTTCTAATCATTAATTACTCCAAATTGGATCTTTTCGCTGGCCCAGAACAACGTTCTGCCCTCAGCGCAAATACAGTGAGATGGATCGCACCTCATTGGGGACGAGTAGATGAGGTTACAGAGCAATGGAAGGAACAAGTTCGTCTCTGCTGCTCGGTACTTGCTAGCCAAGTTGATCATCTTAACTCCGAAATCCCTGATTACATACCGAAGATTGTTGGCTCCTACTTGTCTATACAAGCTACAGAGCTGAAACCCAAGAACCGATTCTCACTTCTCTTCCCTACCACATATCCCTTCCCAAGCAAACAAATACCCGGAGAAGCTGTACAGTTTGACGAAGCTTTGATCGAATTGTCGGCTATCCTATCTGCGCTTTCGAACTCACCAAATGGAATGCAACTTGAGCTAGCTGCGGAGGACCTTACGACTCTTCTCAAAAATACCCTTACCGTATATATGAGTATCCTACAAGGCGAAGCTTTCCCATCAAGTTGGCTTAGCGTGTACATATACCACCATAAATCCACTATGAGGACGCTACAATATCTTGCGAGTATTTTGCTAGAATCATTTCTACCGCATCCCGATGAAGCTGAAGACTTTGATACGGAGCTATGGCGAATGTTTTTCTCTACAATGCTGAAGCTTGTTGGTAGTGGGCACCTAGCACTAGAAACATTCTCAGAACAGAAACGGCGAGCGGTTTGGAAGATCGCGGGCGATGTCAGAGAACATGGTGCCGAATTATTACGAAGGACTTGGGAAGCCATCGGCTGGGAAACTAGTCCCGACGAGAGAACACGATATGGCTTAACGAAGATGGGAGGTTACCAAGTCCAATACGTGCCTACACTCGTTGGTCCTATAGTTGAGCTTTGCCTAAGTGTTCATGAGGGATTAAGGAGAATGGCCGTCGAAGTTCTCCAAACCATGATTGTTAGCGAGTGGACACTGAGCGAAGATCTTTCCGTCATCCAGACCGAGATGATTGATTGCCTAGATGGGTTCTTCAAAGACAAAACTATGACGGAGAGTATTTTACAAAAGCTGTTCGTCAGCGAGCTTCTTGAACGGTTCGAACCACTTTCGCAAATCCCCGGGGACCCACTATACACAGCTCTAAGGAGTTTGATCGAAACTATCGCGGAATTCCTGGATCTTCTTGTCGCCGTCCACAGTGGTGACATCACAAGCGAGGCTTCTCATCTAATCAACCGCCTGCAGCTTATGGAATTCCTCAGAGATATGCAGAAGGAGGAGATATTCATTCGATATGTCCATCAATTAGCAACGTTACAGTATGATGCTAGGAACCATACTGAAGCTGGATTGGCTCTTCGTCTCCATGCAGAGCTATACGATTGGGATCCTTCAAAGTTAACACCCGCCCTCCAAGATCCGGAGTTCCAAGAGCAGTCGCATTTCGAGCGTAAGGAGCGCATCTATTTCGACATGATCAAACATTTCGAAGATGGAGAAGCTTGGAGTAGTGCACTTGCCGCGTATAAGGAACTGCAAGTTCAATATGAGACCAATATCTTCGACTTTGCGAAACTCGCAAGAACTGAAAGGGCTATCGCGACCATATATGAAAAACTCGCAAAGGGCGATAAATTGGTGCCAAAATACTTCAAGGTTATCTACAAGGGTCTTGGATTCCCATTGAGCCTACGCGACAAAACATTCGTATATGAGGGAGCGCCTACTGAGCGTACATCGGCATTTACGGATCGTATGCAGGAACAATACCCAGCCGCTCAAATCCTTACGTCCAGTGACGTTGATAGCGAGGTTGAAGGTCAATACCTTGTCATTTCAGTTCTTAGCCCGCATCGTGACCTGAGTCACCAGGTCTTCCAACGTGCTCGAGTGCCACAACCTATCCGAGATTATCTCTTATCAGCTCATGCTCAAATGTTCTCGGTATCCTCTAAGCGTAGTACCACTGGTCCTGTCGATACACATTATGCTGAGAAGACCCTTTACACCACAGCTGAGCCCTTCCCGACAATACTGCGTCGCAGTGAGATTGTGGACGTGCGGACCATTCGGTTGACTGCTAAGGAAACGGCCCTTGAGCGTATCGTTCGAAAGACGCAAGAAATGACAACAGTTGAGAAAAGATTAGCCGAAGATGAAGACGAAGAGATCGCACAACTAATGGCAGACGCAATAAGCATATCGGTGAATCCTAACTCCGAAAGCAGCGTGGCCTGTTACCGCGAACTCATTCCTATTGCTCAATCCGAAGAGGATGAGGAACCGGAGTTAGACCAACAAGAAAACGCAATTAAGATGGCCCTTGTCGATCACGCAATTATGGTTAAAAGATGTTTGACAAGCTTCGCTCGAAGCTCGAATCCCGTCCTTTTGAAGGGCTACGAGGATTCGTATAAATGTAAGTTGTTTCTACTTGCCTGGTTTTACTCAGCTGACAATGATCCAGACTTCTTGTCTACATTCGCGCCAGAAATTGCCATATTTGCACCTACCCAGCCACCCCGCGATAATGGCTCGAACATGTCGTCGCCAACTTGGCAGTTGGCCCCCGCCGCCGAAAATACGCTTCCAGAAGCTAAGATGGGCGTTCCAATAGCAAGCCCCACCGGCGTAGTTGAGGAAGCGTCGGCGGCTCAGCCTATATCCATGAGACAACGGGGAACCCGATTGAGTTTCTTGGGTGGTAAGAAGAAAGAGTCGCAGCAATCAAATGGTGATGCGTCGAGCCTGCAGCAAGGAAAGGGCGATAGCGATTCTAATAGCCAAGTGAGCCGAGGCAAGGATAATCCAAATCGACGAAGCATCTTCCGCACTCAATCGAGCGATACCAATAACAGTGGAAATCCGTACGCTCAGCCGTTCCCGAATGGTATCGTGGATCCTACCACGCCCGATTGGGGGGTAGACCGATCACGAAAGAGTAAAGAGATAGTCGATGTCCTGGAAAGAGATCTTGATAGACCTAACGAAGGGGTAATGGGACTTAATGCAGTCAGAAAAAGGCTGAGTATCCTCAAGTTGGGAAAGAAGCCTAGCAAACCAAATGGCTTCATCATGGGTGGCGTGAATGAGGAGTAATGGGAGAAAACATTGGAGGATTTTGGGTTGCTACAACGAAAAAAATACAATGGACACTGGACAAGTGAGGTTATACCAAATTTGGTGGAGCAGGATAATGAATACCTAAGGTAGCTTGACGATCAAAACTGGCGTTCTGGACTATCATTTGGAGGGAGAGGCGAAGTAGGCGCCGGAATTGCTTGCTGTATCGAAGCCATTTACCCGCACTGACAGACTATTTAGGTCTTGCTTTCTTCGCGGTTACTATATTTTTCTTCTCCAATAAGGGCTGTTGCTGATGATGATCTCTATTTGGCCCATAGAGAATTTGTAGAGTTATACATTCTTGACAACGAGACTTCCGTTGTTATTTTCAATTCAAAAGGTGTCGGCAGGTGGTCGAGGTTATGATTTTATCTATGTTCTTTTACATGCACTGATGTATATATGGTGTTTAATTAATATTCGACATCTCGATGCCCTTTATTTTCGCATACATCAGTAATACCTAGTATAATTTGATCGTTGATTAATCGTTCGCTGGCCTATGGATTTTGGGTAGATCAGCGGTGTATATTATTTTCTCGCGATCTTCAGACCTCGCTGTATAACCATCCGCAAATTGACGGATAAGTGGTCTGTGATCTACAAACATTTAACTTACCATAGCACCGGACCATATGGACGGGTTTCCCTATTTTACACCGGATAATTAAAGAATAGTGTACCTTGCGAGGAACCGAAAGGAGAGAACACGGTCCTTTTCGGGGTTACCCATGGAAGGGTATAGTGGTGTATAGTCCAATTGCATCGCTGACCTTCCGCTACAGGAGACGATCGCTCGCTATAGTACCTAATGTAGGTAACTAGCATAAAAGTAATATACAGCGTGTCCCGACAGCATATACAGCAGCAATATCCCCTGTTCCTCCACTGTGGCGTAGTGTTTAGTTGTTGGTTTCCAATCGTAAATCTCGTGAAGAATCTCTACTTTTTCTTACCCAAAACTCGGAAAGATTCCCTCAAATGATGTCAATTTGGTCCTGCTTCTGTTTAATCTGCACTATCATATGACATAGTGTGTTTGGTTTGCTCCATGAAACATTCCAGGCCCTCTCTGCACGGGTAATTTAGGGCACTGAGTCCCCACGTAAGCACACCTAAGTAAGCATGGATCTCTCTTCCCGCTGGAGCTTGTTGTTCCTGTAGATCTTATCGTTGACCCCTGGAACATGGTCTAAAGTCTTACTAGTACCTTACTGATTCACGTTTGTGTGGACTAAGGTGCTAAGGATGCTACGCTAAAAGAGATACCGATTACCTGCGCGAAGTCGGGCTTTAGAGGCTCTGGTTGGGTAAGAACCTTCTAATTCGGCATGTTTTAGCTCAGGGGGGAGATGACCAATCCGGTACTTAACGCGATAGCTGGTTGTTTGCGACGGTGGCGCGGTACATATAGTCCATTTTATTAGGGGACCTCGGACGGGCAGCGAAGCAGTTGGCTGAACCCAAGCTGTCGATCCCGGTCCTATCCAGCGAATGAGAGCGGCGAGGTGCCCGAGATGGATATCTCCCGGCTTGGCGAAGTTTGGGGATAAGGATCCCTCATTCAGCACGCAAAATGTTTTTCCTTAGGTAAAGTAAAGGATGGATGAACAGAGTGTCTTGAAGGGGGGGATGTGGGAGGTAGCACAGATGGCTGAAGTTTTCCCTTCCGGCATTCCAATCTTTTTCTATTCGGTCTCTCTCTGGTCCTTTTTTTTCCCTTTTCTACTTTTATCTTCTTGTTTATCCATGTGGTATTCCCCCCCTTGATCGAAATTTCCTCCCTCCTACCTGCGTGTCCTTAATTGAAAACAAACCTACATACATCCATCATCTACCGGTCGGGGTGCCGGTTCAATAGATTGCTTACGTCGCCATTTTCATATAGAGGTTCAAGCAGCACGGTTCGAGAGCCACGATTCAGAGAGCTCCGGTAGAAGGCGCTCCCTAGGCAAAATCTCGACCAATATGCTTAGCAGAGCCTCTATGGTGCGGAGATAGTCACGCTGAACGATGATGCGAACCGTATCGAACCGGGTTTTACCCCTTGGCGCCCGCTACGTCTCTGTGCTATTAGCTGCCCTACTCGTCTACTACGTCATTCGTGAACCCCTCAACTCAGCTGTGAGTAATATATCAATAGGAGGGAAGGGCAATTTCTATACGACTGGTCCGGACAGCGATCAAGATGGTGTTCCTATTCTTGGCGGCGATAGTAAGTCGCGCTACGTAGGTCCCGCTGGCGCGGCGCAAGCTATCCGCGACAAAAATGAACAGCAAAGGCCAATGGGGGATAATGGTCATGCTATCGCCTACGTGAAGAAGTACAAGCCAGACCCGGAACCATATACACCAATTGGAGACCATTTTCCATTTCTCACACATTCCGAATCCCCACCGGCCGTCCTCGAAAATAACCTACCTCCGTTCCCCCACGTCGAAGAAGCAACACCGCTCCTTATCGGTTTCACAAGGAATTGGCCATTGTTACTACAATGCGTCAGTAGTTACATTGCAGCGGGTTGGCCGCCGGAGGATATATACGTGGTCGAGAACACGGGGGTATTCTATTCGAATAAGCGGGGTGAGCTGGAATTGCAGAATCCATTTTTCCTCAACCACACTGCGCTCGCCATTCTAGGAGTTAAGGTCATCACGACACCGACACTCCTCAGTTTTTCGCAGCTGCAAAATTTCTTCCTGCAGACAGCAATTGATCGCGAATGGCCCTTTTACTGGTGGAGTCATCAAGACGTGTTAGTCCTCAGCGACGAGGACGTAAAAAAGAATGATCGCGACCACGATTGGGACCACGATCCCTACGCGACCATCTACGAGCGTTGCGTGGGACTACTAAGGTACCTCAATGGCCCTGATATGCCGCCCTGGGCCACCCACTTCTTCGCCTTCGACCACCTCGCTCTCGTCAACCGCGATGCGTACCTCGACGCCGGCGCGTGGGATACAAATATTCCGTACTATTCCTCCGATTGCGATATGTACCTTCGCCTGCATTGGGCCGGGTACTGGCAACCGCAAAGCGAAGTCGGTCTGATTTTCGACGTCGCGACTGTGCTTGACGATATCTCAGCGCTGTTCCGCGTCCCTGGCGCCCATGCTACGTTCCAGGGCGATCCGGTATATGCGCTTGTGGCGGGCGGCGATGCGAGTTCTGAACAGGAACGCGCGCATCGCGAGGCGGAGCTTAAGCGTGAGCAGGATATGTGGCCGTGGGTCGATAAGGAGGGCGAGACTTTTGCGCATCTCGTGGAAGTCGCTGGGCGCATGCAGGATGCGAAATGGGCGGATGAAGGTATTAATCGCAACTCCTGGCAGGGAAGGCAGACGGGTGGTCAGTCTGATCCGTTTTATCGCGACCCTGAGGGCTTCGCGGCGGGTATTGAGACGTTGGTGGAGGCTGGACGCCGGGTTTTCGCTGATAAGTGGGGACATCGTGGGTGCGACTTGTTGTCGCTGGGTATTGAGGGTAAAGATGCTTGGCGCCTTGAGCGCGATTGGGATATTCATGAAGCTCCTGGAAATGAGGGCGGGAGCTGGGGTAAGGATTGGATGACGGGGGCTCTGGATCTAGCTCCCTAGGTTGCCTTCATACCTTCAACCTAGGTATAGAAATAGGTAAATGGATGTGAATGGAGGGGAGTCGGTAGATTTGAGCAAAACATATCGCTCGGTTATGAGGTGGCAGCGATTTTCAAAACTGCGTGTATATACTCTTCGGCGTTAGATGGACGGATTGGGAGCAGCGTCTCCCCTGGCGTTTCTGAGACGATTGATCTTTCAAAAGCGCTTGCGCGTATATATAAAGCTCATAGCAACGATACAATTGTAGATAATTTACTTATGATTTCGCTTTGCGATTTTTTGCCTAGGTTGAAGATGGGATTCATGTCGTGTAGATCTGCAAGACACCTGAAGAATCAATCATATACAGCTCCTGAGATCTACGATATTAATTGTCTTCATTATACATTAGGTATCATAGGTGCATTCGACCACTGAGACCTCCTACAACCGCTCATAGTTTGAATATTTCAACAGCCATAGCTGATAGGCTTGAGAGGTTATATTCAATTGCTTTTTTTCCATTTCGGTGACCAGGATTGACACACAACACGCCTACGATTTACTGGACATCGTCAATTGAAGCCACGAAAACATGTGATATCTAAACGTGGAAGGTCGGTCAAATAAAACTTGATCTACTCGGTCCGCTTTGCCTTGGCATTGAGATACTGTGCCTTACGCGCGTTCAAACCACCTGAACGAAGAGATAGATAAGGCTAATGATTCATCGAATATGGAAGTAGTAGAAGTAATATCGTCGAAGCTTGAACTTTGAATACAGATGAGATATTACTTACTATGGAGGTAGATATTCCTCGGGATGTCTCGGTGGTAAGATACCAGTCTGGTGCGAGCTTACGGACTTTAGGGAATTTAAGTAATGTCAGCGCTGTAAGGGATTCTTTAGCGATCCCTAAGCCCTATATTTAGTATTTCGTTAAGGCGCATGTGCCGCTGTAGCACATGGTTGTGATGCATGTCGCATCGATCAAGGTACTGTAGAAGGCCCGAATTTGGTGCTTCTCTCTGCACTGCAACGAGATCTTGCAACTAACCCTGCATAACTGAGATACTGATTTACGTAGGAATGCGGCATCAAGCATGTATGATGTGATAAGTTAGGCAGATACCTCTTGGACTTGCCCAGACCCATAAATCCGACCACGATGACTTCTGTCCTAAATGGTACTTTTGCAACTAATTGGCTATTACTTTCGAAGCTATTATCGCATCCAATAGGTCAACCTACAGTCAATCCTCATATCAGCACTTGATCGTGAAACTCACTTATGTAGTTTCTAGGCTTGGCATCACGGTCATATATTGGTGTCCCTCGTCATAGGTAACCCCAACTGGATCAAAATGGGCCTTCGAGCGGTTCAAACGAAGAACTCACGAAGAATTTCTTTACGATCACATATGGAGGGCCATTAGAACTCCAGCCTGTTAACTCGGTGGCTTAATTCGCGAGCACTGCAACTCCGAGCACCGTAAATTTCTGGGCCCTTTTCCAGCATGGGCGGGGTTCGAGCGCAATGCCCATTTCCCCAGTGGACGCCATCGAATGCTGGCTCCCGTCTTTTTAATCAATCGTAGAGGATTTCAATATAAAATTGAGATCGAATATTGAGACATGTGGAGGCAATGGCCATATCTTCGCGGGAGCACCGATGAGTAACTCCGGCTCATTGTTCTCGACCGCGTCGCATTGACGGTGGTTTATCTGATGCATATCAGCTCATCGCCGCTACAGTTCTTAGGTAGATGTAAATAAGAGCCAAAGAATATGAGGCGTAAATAAGACATAAGTAAGAGCATTGGAAATGTAGGATTGAGGTGGTCTTACATGATAGACTATTCTATCTTCCTTCGACAGACGGTAACACATTCTAGAGTGCGCCATGGTGCTCCACACTTCGTAGCCTGATACTGGCCATTTGCTTTCCAGTTGAAAGGACTTGGTAACAGTTGATAATTTTAGGACACATGGTGAAATTAGCTCTAAGCTGCATGGTGTTGATAGAGATTTAAGGGGCTTGGTTTGCTAAAATACGTACATTTGTGGAAGCCAAGCGCGAGGAGGCCGGAATATCAACACAGCCACCGGAACCGAGACATTCCCACATTTGACTTGGGCATTCCATGGCTATTATTGAATCTGACCGGAGGATCGTGATATTACGGTCTCTTCGCAGTAGGTAGGCTGTGGTGATGTTTGAATAGCACCTCGGTGGGTACGGGTTCTGGAGCTGCCGGATTTGAGGCACCCGTGCTACGGCTCACCAGCCTTTGTCTTTAGGAAGGAGTGCATGAATCCTCGGCGTCTGGGGTAAATCATAATTCTTGGGGTTTGAATCGGTTAGGAAACTCGCGACAAATCGTAGACAAGATCTCACGAATTCTATGAAATCATCGCATCAATGCTATAATATGACATTATATCACTGATTCCAAGGGAGAATACACTTAACTGATAGTTAAACGTTATAAGGGTTACTGATGACGATGACTTCATATTAGACACAAGCTATTGGCCATCCTTATTCGACCAGCGTTGCAGCATGTATGGGAGTTTGCTACCACTTCCAAGTTATTGGGGTTACACAACCGCATTCGGATGCAGCACTAGAAATGGCAACTCTGTGAGGGCCACACCATCTAGATTTGATCAATTGAAAATATTATGGTGGCAACAAAAGGCCAGGCCGAAATTCTCAATCGGGCATCAGCTGTGGCGGGAATAGTTGTGCATGCAAGAAGCTGATTTCAAACATATCGTGCCTCATTCGTGCGATGGGCTATGATGCGATAGATAAGAGTTGATGTTATTGAATCACGCATTCATACGCCAAACTGTGCATTGCGGTCGTAATCTCCGTCGTTGATACCTAAGGGAGTGGCTTAAGCTTGATCGAACGGACGATGTGGTTCGAATCATCACTTGGCAACGCTCTTGAATGAAGGATGGAGTCTCGAGATAGCAATATTCTCGAAGGTTATAACTCGTCCAAAAAGATAATTCTATTGGATCCAGCTTCCGAATTCGGTTTAACACCGGTTCTGAAGCTCAACTGGGTATGATCGCCTGGCTGAATAGTAGTCTGTAAGCCTATACTAATAACGCTTACTATGACCTGTTCCTCTAGCGACAACACTAGATGTAAGCAGTGTAGTGTAAGCGTGATCGCGGGGCACCTGGACTGTAGTAAAGGATACTGATCGTGGTCCACCCAGTTGGTGAAGAAGATTGGATCATCAGGGAACCTTTTTTATTTTCCCGACATGTGAATGAGATGTGAACAGTATAGAAGACAAAGTGGAAAAATTAAGGGGTCCAGAAGTCTGAAATTCCTTCATAATGGGTCAATGGCGTGATGTCATTGGACACGACACGGGCGACGATGCAACATTTTCAGCCATACAGTCGTGTGGAAATCAGATAAGGTTGGATGGGTTACAGGCATCGGAACCCTTGCACGGCAGAGAAAGCAAGTCCCTAGAAGCCGGTCGGGTGATGTTGAAGACCCGATTTGTTCGCATCGGTCCATATCGACAGGGTGCTATAGCTTTGCCGAGGTACCTTCAAGATCAAAAGTGCGTGGTAGAAATTAATTGTAAATGAAAGATACAAGTTTAATCCATTTGTCGGATCAGTGAAACCAATACGAACGTGCGTAGAGAGTCAAGGATTAAGCGGGGACTAGAGACCCCTGAGCTGATCGGCTCCTCCGCTACGATCAGCCCGATCTTGTAGGTACCTTTTCTATTTTCTGAGCTGACGTTTTAAGCCGGTCAGCTCGGAAAAGTCATCTCGGTACAGGTCGGATTTAAATAATCCTATAGTTCCTATCCAGGCCTAGAGAGCCCATCAACACTTGTATTATTACCTAGTCCAAATCCTGACCGAGTGATATGCCTAAGTACGTAGGTAGGTAGGTAAATGGGATTATACGCCTTATACCGTACGTTAGGATCGATGAGAATGACTTACTATCCAGCTCTGTATCGGGAACCTTGGCGGTCATGCCAAGTCTTCAACCACTCAACAGCCGTGGACCTCCTACCTCATATGATGGTTTTTATCGCGTAACAACTCTATTAAACTACCATTGCGATGGGGATTCTTGCTTCCCTTGTAACATCATCTGGCACTACATTACCCCTTTAGGTCTCATCCCGAGGGATGCGAATCTAGACAACCATGACCCGCCACGGGCAGAGAAGTCGGATCTTGGTGGCTACAGAGATAACGCTAGACGAACCCTCGAAATTCAGCTATCGAAAGTACCATGGGGAATATGTAGTAAGTAAATGCCTGTGAAGGAGGCGTCCTTCTTAGTACTCGACGCAGCGACATGGGGGGTCATTTGTTGCAAGCCAATGAGGATGTTACTCGTAACACCACAGGGATATAACCCAATGCTACCTGCCAAAGTGGTACCTCAGCCTCAACACTGCATTGGCTTGACTGAGTGTGTCGAACACCAACATCTCAGCCAATGCCTGTCCATTCTGCTAACGTGACTCAATAGCATTGTGTTATTGCTTTATGTTATTCAGCAACCCCGAGCACCCGGAAGGGCTCTAGCAATCGCCTTTAATAAAAAGTAAGGGGTAAGTATATTGCACTCGGGCCTTACTTCCTATTCCTATTCCTATTCTACATATTCTATATAGGTGTCTGATAGCATTCTAGGTATAATCGCCGCAAGCAGTTTGCGGCGCCTAATGTTATAAGACCCATATGTTTGATATTAAATCAACTCTCCACATGTTCGATGTTTACTAGCATTGGGATACGATTATATAATAAACGATTCGACCCATAACTACGTCCAACCCACACCTAATACTGACAAGGTATGTTCTATCAACTATCGTTCTAGTGTAGTAAGTTATAGGCCTCCCCCCCAGCTTCCGATGACTAGACTCGCTCTGAGGTCGGGTACACACCCTTGATAGGGCTGGGCATGTTAATTGTCCCAGTAAACCACCACCTAGACCCTCACCCGGTTCTTTACAATGTGCCGATGTGGCGTGCAGATATCCACAGATATGCTGCGTTGCGTTGCCTCGCAGTTGACGGTTCCTGAGTCCAGGAAGCTCCATCTCCACAACGACACCCACGACAAGCTACCTACCCACGCAAATTCCCCTAGTGAGGGTACAAACAACCTCCGCCGCCCAGTCACGGTCATTCCAGATCACCTTTGAGGCGATATGGACTGGGATAATCCTAGAAGATTTCCAAATATGGTAACTCGTAAGCGAAAGTATACAAGACTTGATAGCTTGGTTGGACCCATTGACGTTGAAACTGGGGATGCACGTAACGCCCATCTAGGCTCGGGGGTTCTGCCATGTAGGAGCAGGTTGTCGACGATCTCTCAGATATCAAGCGAGTACATCGTTCGATGGGCTGCTGATGAGTAAGGTAGGGTCGGGCATATCATGCCTCATAGTCACTTACACACTACACACCCACACACCTATCCCATGAGTACATATATCGCTTCCCGTCTCTCTCTATCCATTCTCTCGATTTCTAGATTCCCTGTGCCAACCAATCCACAAGGACAACGACCAAAAGATCACAGAAAGACATCCATATTCTCTTTTCACCATGACTATCGGCCACTCTGAAAAGGGACAGGCGGGTGTCTTCCACCAGGAGGATCTGACACCGGTCTCGATTGCTACGACGGCTTTGCCCTCACCGGGTCCGTCTACGGGGACAACTACCCCGTCGATACACTCCGTCGGCAAGGGTGGTGACGAGAAGCAAGTTGAGAGAGTCACCGAACGTGCAATCCTCCCGGACCAACTTGGGAATGAGTTGAGCCGGCAAGTCCGCCGTGGGTCTTCCCTTCTATCTTACCTTCTATATGTAACACAGTACTAACATCACATTAGACAAATATGCCTCCTCATACAGGAAAATATTTGGAGTTATCTTCGCCGCTAATTTAGCCGTCTTCGTCGCCTTGATGGCGATTTATAAGGGCAGCCCTAATTCGCGAGACGTCGGTAGTGCCGCGTCCGCAAATCTTATGGTCAGCATTTTATTCCGTCAAGAAGAATTCGTCAACCTCTGGTATGAAATCTTTACTTGCGTCCCCCACTCCTGGCCTATCTACATCCGAAAACGCCTTGCAAAGGTCTTCCACTATGGTGGCTGTCACAGTGGTGCGGGTACTGCCGCCGTGGTGTGGTATATCCTATACACAATATTGGCTACAAAGGAGTGGATTGACGAACCCGTCACCGATGAGTTGGTGAACATGATTACCAGCTGGGTCTTAGTCTCGATGTTCGCGATCATCTTGACATCGGCCCACCCAGACCTCCGCCGAAGGTTCCACGACTACTTTGAGGCTTTCCACCGTTTCGCTGGTTGGACAGCTCTTACTACATTCTGGATCCACAACATCTTCTCCGCTAGAGTCACTGCTAGACAGTGGGACGCCTCTCTTGGCTACGTTCTAATTCACTCACCTAACTTTTGGTGCATTTGCATCTCGACCACCTGCACCATCGCCTCTTGGTCTCGTCTGCGCCACCGAACCGTGTACCCTGAGAAGCTGAGTGACCACGCCACCCGTCTTCATTTCAAGTACAGGGGTATGGCTCCTTTCTACGGTCTAAAGATTAGCGACAAGCCCATGACTGAGTGGCACGCTTTCGCCACTATTCCCGACATTGACCCAGAATCTGGAAAGATTAATGGTTTTAGTGTCGTCGTCAGTAACGCTGGTGACTGGACTAAGAAGCAAATCATGACGCCCCAAGAACGAAAGCTATGGGTCCGTGGCGCTCCTCTACACGGTCTTCTCTACACCTCAAAGCTCTTCCGACGGATAGTAGTGGTCGCTACTGGATCTGGTATCGGACCCTGCTTATCACTCCTTTTCGCTGATGTCACACCCCGTCGTGTATTCTGGAGTACCCGAGAGCCTGTCGCGACTTACGGCCCGCAAGTTGTGGCGGAGGTCAAGCGAGCTGACCCCAACGCTGTCATCTGGAACACCCATGAAAGAGGATACCCCGACATCGTCCGCGAGGTATACCAACTTGTCCACGAAGCTGACGCTGAGGCTGTCTTCATCATCTCAAACCCCAAGGTGACGGAGAAGGTTGTCTACGGCATGACTACACGTGGTGTCCCAGCATATGGTGCCATCTTCGACTCGTGAGCGACTGAAATGACTATACGAATAACCTGGAATGAATGATCGTTAATACCGGTAAGTCCCGCCGAAGTCGCAAAAGGCACTTGGGTGGGCGAAATCATCATGGTGGTGTTGTACGAAGAAAGTATTAAGTTGGTGTTCATTACGTGGGATCCCCAGCCCGAGGAGTGGCATTATCGACGAGAAGTTGAGCTATAAGGTTGAGCGAGTAGCAGAGCCGCTCCTGTAACTTTTCTCTTCACGACGCTCTTTTTCATAACCACACCCTGTTTATCTTTTCTCTTTATTTCTAACCTCTGCAGGATATGATGGAAGCTTCACGATGAAACTGTACATAGATTATTGGATATGCGAAATGCTGCTTCTCAGGTTGGACATAAGATATCAAACCAGGTATCAAAAGCTTAGATTAGAATTTAGATCCCACCACGTAACGAACCACCATGAATTCAATCTTTACCTTCTGGTAGCTGGCTTCTTTTGGCATTTCCTAGTGCGTTCAACCACTGCACACCTAGGTAAGCGCCCCGGTAGGGCTCTAGACTGAATTCGCTTGGCATCAAAACCAAAAGTGACGATATGTCGTAAAGTATCGTAAACTTCAAATCGGCGTGGCCGATTCCGAATACGAATTCCAAATATTGGAAAAGACCGAATTGCCAAGTATCGATTTTGACTATAATCCCTTTACGGCCGTCTAGAATTTTACTACGGATGACGTAGTTTGTATAGTAAACCCCAGCGTTACCTATTGCCTTGTTGGGTATTACCGAGAAGGTGGTGCAAGATATAACACTGGTGGTCGGGTGGGAATAACAGCCCCTTCGGTCCCCATATGCAGAAGCGAATGTTACGACGGCTTCCATGCAGTGGAAACGGTAACCTGCTATGGAGCCTCGACTTCCTTGGCTATGGTCTGGACTTACAGGTTGTAGTGAATAATCTTGAATAGGTACCTTGACGGCAAACACCTTATTCTTCGGACGGGTACTTAATCGAGATCCATATAGTCGCAATTTTGCCTTCTCTACTTAGGTACTTGAGTAGGTAGGTAGGTACTTATCTTATATACATGATTTCAATGAGAATGTGTTTGGAATATCTATTGCTCCCTTGCTGCACAATATACAAGATTATTGCCGTAAGTTCGATCAAATGATGCGTTTTTTGAGGACTTGTTCCATGGTTAGCCGGCGAAGCTTCCCCCTTTTACTCAGCACCCGCTCTGAGTAGACACGATTGGCGACGCGGCAGTCGTCATACCCAGCCCTTGCGCCTGAACTTGTATTTGGGGGGCTTGCCCTGGTATGGTTATTCTGGTCTCGAATCCGGTTTTTTCTACCTCAGCAGCAACAGTTAAAGTAGAATTATTATCTCCTGTCAAAACCTTCCATGATCTATGCTCTGTCGCGCCAAGCCAACTCATATAGACGGTGGTTTCGTTGTTCGCTTTATCGACACAAGCAAAAGCGCTCGGCGACGTCTTCGGTCGACCAATCCATGGGAGACGATACCCACGGTAGGAAAATACGAGATTATCTCCAGGTCCAAACTGAGCAGTCATCACAACTGAACCGTCTGCGTCATACTCCCGAATCTTAGGCGTAGATCCGTAACCCATGATGACGTGACCGTCTTCTAGCTGTTGTACGTTCCCCTGAGAAAATGCGTATATTGGGTCTTCTGGGTCGACGTATTGCTGGTCCAGAGTAGCCCTCATGGTGTCGGTGTCTAAGGTCATTAATACGCCCTTAGTTTGACTTACACCCGATATGACTTCGGAATTGGCGTTGTCAAAGAAACTAATTTGAAGAATATTTTCATTTTCGTATCGGATCCTAGCATCATGCTGGTAAGAGAAAGACAGCTGAGTATCAAGCTCGAAGTCGCCTCCTGTTCGACCCTTTGATATGTCAGTCTAAAGTCCGTAGCTGGAAGCTTTCGATTGTTCTCACGTTCAGGGTCCACTCCACCGTTCCATTTTTAGAAATCCTGAAAATAGAACCGTAGTTTCTCGAGGAAATCAAATATGACCCATCTTCGAATTTGTCTACTGAATTGATGTGGAAGTAACCATATGGAATTGACTGGTTCCTCCCGAAATCTTCCAGCGGATAGGATTGAAGGACATCCGAGATCGGGATCTGATCAGCATGGCCCAGAACACTCCATTTGAACAGTACTTCACTTGTCTTGACGTCTAGTTCATAGAATAAACAGTCGGTCACCCAACCGTCCTCAGGGCCTCCAACGGAGCTTAAATTGTACTTAGTAACGTTGTATGCTGTAACTAGGATGGTATCTTGTGCCGTAATTCGAGATTCGTGTAAGTCGAGGTAAGAGATGAGCAAGTTGGGATCGAGATCTGATATGGTCACAAAATTCTCTTCCTCTGCGGTCAAGGAAACATTGTATATGCTTGTATAAGAGTCGTCGAGAATTTGAATGATGCCATGACCCCATCCCCAGGGCTCTGCCAAAGAAATTCCATTGAAGAACGTCAATACTGGTTTCCCCTCGAATATCTGCGCCCTGAAGTCGGCATAGTCTCCGATAGGACTTTGCCAGACGAGTTCATTGTCGTCCGACATAATGAACAAGCCATACTGGTGCGCGTATTGGCCATTTTGGTCGAAGAAAAGATACCCGGGGGACGTTGGGCCGTATTTTGTTATGTTTAGGGATGAGCTGCATAGCGAATAGTAAGTGACTACATTCTTAGAGGGGTCGGATCATCGGGGATTATCCAGGAGCTCCCGATTGTCGATTGGATGAATTGTTGAGAGAAATTAAAAACTACTTACGGTTCCGCGGAAGAGGATTTATATGTTTGCCATGGCCATGTGTTGTTTTGTGCCGAAGCCAGCAAAGCTTGAAGGGATAATGCTAATAAACACGCGCGATGGTGTGATACTTGCATCTTGGCTAATGACGATTTCCCCGTGGGAATTGGCCTCGAAGCAATGCGAACAATTTGCGGCCTCTCAAGTGCAATACTACGCTATATAAGATACAGGTGCTATATTTCTCAGATAGTTCCTAGTCTCAATTCTCAATGTGGATGACGCTTGTGATCCGATAGCAGTAATGATAGACACGACCCTTACCATAGGCACCTAGCTAACGCTATAGTAAATACGGGCTTCTACATGGGTTATTCCGGGAAACCATCCCTGAGACCGGATTCCATGCCCGCGAAGAGCTACAAGATGAAGTCTTCTCCGTTTAAGGTAGCATACCCTAGAGAAAATGAGTAGTTTTATGCGATGGACTAACGTTTTCATTGGGAAGAAAATTCGCGAGCGTTGGTGGGAGTAATAGGAATATCAATCTCGGCCGTACATCACATGGAGATGCTGGGTATCCGGGAGAGTCACAACGACAGGATCTAATCAGCGGATCTGATAAGATTAATGAAGATCAAGAGCCAATTATCGGTTTGCTGCGAGAGATTAGCGTCGGACTTGTTTCTGTCCTTGGCATACCTTACAAGCATGGCCTTTATTAGCAGAGATATGTTTACGTGTCGGATTCGTTTACCTGATATTCAACTCACACAATTACTTAATTGTTACGAGACGATTAACGCGATAAAACGAAAGATGTGAAGACGGCATCTTGCGAAATTGAGTGGGTGTGTTGATGTTACAAGAATGGCACGAGCGCTGAGACCGCCCACAATACCCAGGGGTAATAGCGTGCAAATGCAAGGGATATTTTTACCTGAAATTACTAACAAAAACGCGACTCATTTCAGACATCCGTTATCACTTTCCTCATCGTCAGATAGCTTTAACTAACTGCTATCAATTCTCGTATGCGCGACTAAGTCGACTCGGTTGGTGACGTTGATAATACCCGACCTTGCCCTATCCGAAGGTTCTCCTACTGAGATTTCAACGGTTTGGAATGAATCTCCACTAGAGTCAAAAACTTTGTCGATATCCCAATTCTCGCTGAGACTCTTGCATTTAGTAGCCTTTCTAGACGCTCCTGGACGATGAACGAGTCGTTGATATAGTGGGCGATATGTATGGATCGACGCAGCGAGGATGCAACTGACGTTTATTAGTAGGTAACGAACTTCCCACACATGTTACCAGTAGACTAACTATTTGCACTAGGTGCTTGTCGGTTGCGTAGATGATATGTTTTCCTATCCCATAGCGAGCTGTCACACCCAAACAAACATCGAAAAACAATAAAAAATACCTATTTCAAAAGGCAAATATAAGCATTCGGATGGCCGCCGAGCTGCAATGTTATGTGGTAAACGTACCCAGGCTACTGTGAGTACCTAGACCAATCACTCCAATTCGGACGTCCGTCGGAAACTAGACGGCGAGAGATAAAACGTAGGGCCAAGAATACAATAGAAGCGACGCCACATATTGATGCGCACGCAATTATATCGGGCGCCATGTCGTCATCAGGGTGGGCGGCCATGTAAGCCATTTTATCATCTGTCGGAAGGGGAGGCATAGTGATAGGTTGTGTTCTAGCATCTCTAGACCTGCGACTGGTGATTTGTTTTCCATCACCAATCTTTTATTTTGATGCCGCAAAACTACCTACCTAGGTACCTATTTACAACATGATAGGATGGTAGAATTGCCCCGCTTACGTTTCTACGTGGTACAGCTACTTAAGAAATTCCGCTCGGGGTACCACAACATGGATTTTGGCCTTAAGCTGAGCTCTATCTTCCAGCCGTGCTGTACGCCTCCTGGATAAGTTAGGCTGTATATCCCTGAAGCTAGGTACACGAGGTCCCTCTCCGGGGACCGGTGTAAGGTCTGGGTTTTTTAAGCAGATTTCAATCGCCTAGTTAACCTGTGCCACCATAGCAGATCCTTCGTTCTTAGCCCCCTAGCCATGAGAGTTGTACGTTTTATGATGGATCAATGAATTAAACCGTTTGTCCGAACGATATATTTGCCATTTACCATAATAGTCATTGTTGTTATATTTTTTAACATCTGAACGGCGTAGGTACAGGCCCCGTGCCACTTTTAGCATTCTGGGGGTCTCTTTCTATGCCTTTACAAGGCTAGTTTACCATAACAGCGAGGACGCTAAAGATCTATTTTAGGCCTCTATTCCACGGGCCACTGCTAGTTCCTGTACCAATTCCCTACGCCATCGCCGCTCGGAGGTATGTTATACACGTTCCTCACACCATTCAGCTGTAGGTAGGATTACTACCCAGTTACACTCCCCAACCGCAGCCTCAACATGCGATCCAGCTCGGTAGACCCGTCCGCCTGTATAACTCCCTCGTCCATATCCCGGAGCAACTTGTCGATGTATTCTCCTGCTGCTGATAGGTGAAGGATATGCGCAATAGCACGATGGACGGCCAGGAGTCGAGGCGATGGGGGGTCAATTGTTCGGGTTTTGGTAAGATAGAGTGTCCGGTTAACAGGTAGGTTTAGATCAGCGGAGATATAAGAAGGGAGCAGTGAGTCGATCCGGTAGGTATGTGGCGCTTCATCTGGAACGGGTTCAAAGAAAATGTCGAAGTTGCCAAAGAGATTACGATATTTCTGGGTAAGGGTCATGGCGTTGTATGGCCGATCGATATCGGCGCCTTCGATGAGATGCGCAACTCCTTTATCAAACATGTTAAGGATTGCGAGCGCCGCTTGCTTCGAAGGGTCCTGAACAAATGTCAGCTGGGAGATCAATGCTCGTACGGATAATAACCTTAGTTAGCGAATGCGGAATTATATGGGCTACTTCCAGAACTTCAAATGAAGCTTCGCTAAGTAAAATTTTATCATCATCTCGAGCATCATTGCCTTTACTGCGGAAGCGGCTACGCGCTTCATCTAGGTCAAATTTTCGGGTCATCACACAACGATGGCGGTTGCGCACAAGACAATCACCCCGCAGAGCGGACACTCGGGCTGACGTTCCTACGAACGATGCTGTTCCTTGTATCTCCCCGAATGCGGATCGTAAAGTCGGGGTGGGCTGTGGCGTCTTTTTGGTAGAAGTTTTTACTAGGGAACGTTAGTAAAGAAGTAGGCATTTCATATATAGAGCCTTACAAGGCAAAAAGGAGTTATCTAGCAGATAATTCGCGAAGTTAGAGAACATCGGGCGAAGCTCCTCGAAGTTAATGCTTTGATGATCGTCGTCCATGGTGAGTGCCATGGCCTAGAAAAAGGCCCGTAACAAGTTATCGCGAGATTCTTCGAACAGCGCATACTCGTATGTGAGCTAGACGAGTAGGGGGCGTTCATAGGGGCCGCTATGGCTGTTGTTACTGCTGGTCTTGAAATACTCGATGATACGATAAAACGTGTGCTTGGCGACGGTGCGCTGTTCTGGTTCTAGGGGCGGCTCTGCCGAAAAATTGATGACGTCTTCGAGGGACGACCGGTGGCGTTGAAGTGGTGATGCCATCTTGTTTTACGTCGGAAACTGGGAGAGTAGAAAAGATGAGAACGAAAGGTGATGATGTACTACTGTACCTAGCCTAGGTAGGTAGTAGAAAAAGCTGGAGCAATGGATGTTGTATTTTTTAGGAGTAAAGGTGTAAAAGCTGTAGTAGGGTGCAGGGTTTAAATACTTGATACAGTGTGCCGATAACGGTGGAGAATTGTACCTTCCCATCTGGTGTTGGGTAAGGGTAGTTACCAAGGTAGGGAATCATACATGTACCGTAACTTCCCTGCGAAAGCTAAGATTATTATCAAGTACGTACCTAGGTATGTATATATTCCTACCTAAGAGATGGGCAGGTACAGCTCATTACCGTTATCGGCGCACTGTATTAAGTATTAAAACCCTAAAAAATACAACATCCTTTACTCCCACTTTTCTTTGGGTACCTATGGGGTACCTACCTGGGTACATATATATGTATGTAGGTACATACGCGGCACATGTGTGCAGTTTCTTAAAACTTTAACATAACCTAAGGTTGGAACCTTTGTATGTACCTATTTAGATACCTAGCACGGCACCTACCTATGTATGTACATACGTAGGTAAGGTAGGCAGGACATAAGGTACATAATGTAGGAGATTTACACATGTAGATACGTACTTGCAGAATTACGTTACAGCACACATGCAGCTTGCATCCAAAATTAAATATTGGGGCTTGTAAAGCTAACAATCTCCAGCTGAACCTAACCTATCTAGGCAATTCCCAATTCCCAATTCTCTTAACAGCATCACGTCGCGTCGCGTTGTTCAAACGTATCCTATCCCTTGTTCTCTACCTGTCATGGACCGGTCAGAAATCATAAGAAACAATCCTATAGGCGAGGGCCTTGAGGCTTTCCTTACCTCGTTCGCGCGCTTGTGCGAGACAAAAGAAATCACTTGGGGAGGAGAAGTCCCTGACCAGCTTGACCAGCTTGGTGATGAAGGTAGGACGAATGGGATGGATGATTATTGTTGTGAGGAGTACTTTTACTTACTAATGGACAGACGTGCGAGACCTTGTGTACGAGCTTTTGTCGGCCCTCTGGAACCTCCGTACCTCCCGACAATTGCCTTCTTCGACTGGTCATGGTAGTCTTCGAACCGACTTTCTAGACCTTGAAGCTTCATTCGAGAGAGAAGGCTTCGACTACAAATGCGTTAAACCTTTATTAAAAGCGGTTGTCGCTAAGAAATCTAATGAGGAGATCTGGGATCAAGTTTACCACATTCTTGTCCCATCTACCCCTCTATTTCGGCCCATCCTCTCAAACCTCTAACAAACATTATGGCTACACAATACAAGCAGCTTTGCCAATTCCTCCAAACATTGAAAATATATGGATGCCATCCTCAAAAAAGAATTGGATACTATATATATTAGGCTCCATAGCTTTCACCAATCATATTTTAGGTCTATACCTGGTCTTCAAGCAGTGTCCAAGGCCACCTTCACGGAATGCTCTCAAGGCAGCAACCCATTTTTTACCGATCACTAGATTGGGTGGCCACCAAAGGCTAAAAAGAAAGATATTCTAAGATGGTTCCAAGATATTATCCCACCATCCTACAACCACTCCAGCACAAAGACTGATTATATAGCCTAACAGCTTTCTCTGGGGCTCAACAACGGGACATAAGCTGGATATAGGTTTTATAAACAACTCCAAGGCCAATAATATTAAGTATAGCTGATCCAAGTTCTTTGTACCAGGTGAATTAAAGAGTAACCCAAACGCCAATAAGTTTAAAACATGGCTTAATATCAGGAGATATGCGAAAAAAGTACTCAAAGCCCAGGATACTTAGCAATTTGTCATGGCTTGTATTCTTTATGGGCCGTTTATAAGGATATGGGTATTTGATTGATTAGGGGGAATTGCATTTAGGTGATTTGATATTAATAAAGATGTTTTTTATTTGTGTTGATGATGTTTGGATTTCTTTGGATGCATGAGGAACAGTTAGGATTTGATCCTGTAATTATTATATTAGGTAATAAATCATATATCGAAATTTCTTGGAATGGTTCACTTAAGTAAATTATTTTAAATGGTATTATACAGTACGCACCTTATATTACCGGCCGGGTAATGATTTGTTGGAAAGTTTATAGTGAGGTAGATCCATATATTTCATTTGTGATTAAGGATTTCTGGTAGTATATAGAACACGAAAAAAAGGCTTATTACTTTAGGAGGCAACTAAAAAGGGTGTAAAGTACATTGCACGGCATTATTATCATTATATTGTCGAGGTATATAACATTATTGATGACGTACGGGGCAATGTTTGAAAGGGGCTGGATATTATAATAGCAGAAAACTATTGCCCAGAACGTTCAGCAACCTTACACACAGCCATGGCCCCGGCCTTAGCTGTGTCGAATTCGCGAGAAGGCTATAGTATTGCTGAGAATCGAAAGCGACTAGCCAGCCAAACTGACATAGTTCCCCCGCCGCCAAAGATGCGATCTTATCTGGTCTCTCTGAGTAAAGCGGAAAGTAATCTGACAAATCAAGTTTATCATCGCGTTATTATTCGCGACTACGGGAAGCCTATATGTTGCGCTAGCTCTCTCATAGCACTACTAGCTACACTAGAAAAGTGCATTGAAAGGCATAAGTTACTCCACGAAGCTGGTATTCTCCACCGCAATATTTTAATTAATAATTTTATGATTAATAAAGATAACAAGGATCTTTTTTGGCTGGCATTTTTAATTAACCTAGACCTTGTTATCAATGTATAGCGAAATGGCGTTTCAGATACAAAGGGAAAAACAGGAACGAAGGCTTTTATGGCGATAGGGATGCTCTTAAACGAACAGCATTTTTTTACCCATGACCTGGAATCTTTCTTCTGGGTATTGTTTTGGATATATGTGTATTACGATAGTCCAGGGAAGGGTAAGGTCGTCCCTGAGTTTGACAAATGGAACTACGTTGGCATGCATGAACTAGCGACGTTGAAGATAGGTACTACATCAGCGGAGCCGTTCTTCGTCGGCACGCTGGAGACGTATTGTAAGCCATACTATAGCCCATTGATACCTTGGCTCAGTAAGCTGCGAGGGGTTTTGTTTGATAGGGGGACGGGATGGAATCGGACATTGTATTCCCGCATGCAGGAAGTCCTTCGCGAAGCTCAGAGCGATGACAGGGTGCAAAACAACTAACTGTCCATTACCTATCACGATACATTATCATGATGAGGATCTCAGACTCGCATGATGCACGGATGTCAAGGTATCACGCGGGTCGGTCGGCCGAATACTCGTGCTCCACACCTGTAACACGATGAGAAGGTTACGGACCATACCTATCTGCTATGATAAATAACTAAAGCCCTCAGTTATAAAACGTTCTTAAGAATAGTTACAGTTGTCGACTTATAACCATATATCTAAGTACCTACCTAGGTAAGGTAATTAATGCGAATAAATAAGCGTAGAGTAACTCGAGGGACATGGAAGATATGGTACTACATCGCAAAGGTCTTATATATGCCTAGGCTATGGATTTATTCACAACCTAATTTGGAGGTTCAATTACTCTGGAAAATACCTGGTAACTCCTATTCAGATTCCTCGCTGTAGCTACCTATCTACCCTACGTAAGTACCTAGGTACGTTTGCTACTAGGCATCCGAACCTACCTAACCACGTACGGAAGAATCGTAAGACAAAATAAACGGTAGACATGATGGTAGCTTTAGTCAATGTTATGCTTTAGCGTATCTAATTATGTGTATTGGTTTATATTTATATTCCATAAATCTAATGCAGAGAATCTCTTAGAGTCAACGAACTACCTATTATATGGAAAGCCCCCACCCACATAATTATATCTCCGATGGGAGATTCCACCTCCTAGCGTACTTGCTTCCATTATGGCCTAACAAAATACGCAAACAATTATGTGCAAGGGCTGAATGTATAGAGTAATAGTCCAGAAACACCACCACTTCCAGGATTTAGTATCCTCTGTAGGGGTTCGGTGGGAGATGACGTTGAGAATAACGATAGCCCCAGGAATTCCCGAAGTAAGATATCCTAAAGGACCAACCCCCCAAAAGAAGGGGCAGACGAACGACCAGAGACAAATGAAAACCACGATAGAAGTTCGTGAAACTATATCCCCCAGTGCAAGAGCCAAGGTCTTCCGGCCCCGGGTCCGGTCACCTTCCTGGTCTTTAAGATCTTGGATCTGCATGGTCGTCAAGATAACCGCGCTGATGATAGCGGCCCACATGACCCCTTTAGGGTTGATCTGTCCTTTTTGGCCTATGGCGATCTCCAAAGAAGCTGTGTTAAATAAACCATAAGCAACTGAGATGAGAGGGTCCCTAATGAGTTCATCTCCGCCTCTAATGTCGTTGTATAGCCATGTTATAATTAAAATAAAGACGCCTTGTCTCCAGACCCCTAGGGCATAGTTGAAAAGCAAAGCTAAGGGAATGGTAACTAGCATCGCCCTGCGAGCCTGCTCCATCGTAATCTTGCCTGTAACTATAGGTCGCCATGGCTTATTGATCTTGTCCTCCTGTAGAGACTCGGGGGATCGTTGGTTGGCGAGGTCGAAGTTGAGCACGTTGCACCAATTGAACAGCACGACGAGGGGAGCTCGTGCTAGAATATCTACCGCAGATGGATGCATCCCATTAGTGAGGAATGGGGAAGCTAAAGCTCCTAGAATCCCGAATGAAGTGTTGGGAATAACAAAAGTAGTGAAGTTGCTCTCGGTAAAGTCCCAAATAAGACGAAGGGCGAGAGTTATTGAGGACGCTAGTGATAGAAGAGCCAGGAGAATCCTCTTTACGGATTTGATAGACGTATCTCCTAAATCTCTTGTCGTGGCTTGGCAGACCTCTCTTTCAAGGATTGCAGGTTCAACCTTCGTCTCGGCGGATTTGTTCTGGAACATGGTTGAGGTATGTTCAATAGTTCAACTATTCGTAAATTAGAGTATCTCATTGCCTTAGAAGTTGTTAACACGATAGAGATACTTACTGATCGGGGGACCTGGTCTTTTTAAGTTAGTGATATTTTTCAAAGGAAACTATACCACCTCGTCGATTAGGTGTTTAGGAGATACCTTGGGTGTGCAACCCCACCTAACGACCACCACTCCGTTCGTGATTGGCCTTATTCATGAAGGCTTTTAGCCTCGTGTCCTACATCTGCTGTACACACAGTAGGATTTCGTTAATGTACACTGGTAGGTAGGTACAAGCCTTCGGCGGATAATGCACCTAAACTACGTAGGAGCCATAAGCATGAGTTGAAATGATTGCCTATAGATTACTCCATCAATACCAACGTGTAGGAACAGCTTACCTAGGTAACGTTGGTAAACTTACTTGCATTTTCGATAAACATGACGAGTGTGCTTACGCATCGCGGTATACCTCTTAATCCCAATGGCAGTAACAGTGGACGTAATCATAAATCTGTTAATATAGTTGGGCATAACCGCAACTGCAATGCAACAACCAGCACAATACTAGCAAGTCGCGATAGGCTGGTTGTTGGAGCGCATACCGAAGGATCTATGAGACTATGACAATGACAATACATGATAAATAAGCGTTGTGTTACAAAAGTATCAGGTCATGGCAGAGAGGCTGCATAGCTGGTCTATATACATAGGTAGGTATACACGTACCTCTAAAGTCCTAGGAGATACTTATAGTATACATTGAAGCCGAACACTGCAGATTCGGGTTATGATTTCGAATATTACCTAAGACTATCCATGACATAGTCTCCCATCGGAGTTTTGTCCCCATTGTTCACTTCCAACAGCCGTTTGAGCATAGAATATGTCCTGCGGGTCATACTGCTGCTTGATTTGTAATAGCTTGTCATAATGGTCGCCGTAGAAAGTTGATTGGAAGTTAGGTTGATGAACGTCGCCTTCACTAAGGTAAGCGCCGCCGCCAGGTGTGAGTGTCTCAAGTTTAGGAAGAAGATCGTCGGTAATGTTGCGAATTCTAGTAGAGGTTGTGGATTTGCTCATGTAGTCAATATAATTTCCTACAGTAGCACTGATAAGAGCTTCGCGGAAGTGCGGGTTAGCTGCGATGTCATCTGGGGATGAGGCACCACCTTCAACACTAATAGCGTTGCCAACGAATAGGGACCCTGCCTGTGTGCTGATGTATCTGATAGCGTCGACAAGGGCGTTCGTGCCGTTATTTTCAACAAGAGATCGCGGAATAAACCGTCCACCAATGTTCTGATCGGAGACGTTGGAGACTGTGGATACAGCGTTGAATGTGCTCAAAAACGTTGGATATGCTGATGAGGTATAATTATATGCGAGGTTTAAGCTATGCAGCTTGTCCAATACAGGATTGAAATGACTATCGAGGTCTGTCGGCTGCATCCCGGGTGCTATTGCAGGCGTGAGGGAGAAACCTGTGGCGGATACAACAAAAATTGCAACAACGCCGGCATCGACAAGTTTCGGGAGTGTCTCTATGAAAGTTCCAATAACGGAGTATAGTTGATCTGTGTTGGTACCATTGTTGGGTATTTGCAAGTAACTCATCGAGAATGAAGTGTCTTGGAATGCTTTAACGGTAACTGAAATCACAATGCCATATGTACTCCCGCCACCCCCACGCAGCGCCCAAAATAGGTCGCTATTGTTATTATCGGATGCTGTAATGAGCTTACCGTCCGAGGTGACAACTTCATACTCAAGAACTTGGTCTGCAGCAAGGCCGAAACGGGACGAGAGTGGGCCATGCCCTCCGCCTTGGATATATCCACCGGCGAAACCCACAGTTGGACAGTTGCCTCCTACAACGATGAGGTTATGCGAATCTGCGAACTCGTACGCCTCAACGACTCGGACCCCCGCGCTAATTTTAACAGCAGGCCCCGTATAGTTTTCATCTTTGAAGTCCTGAATTAACTCCATAGACTTCAGGTTATGAGTCCATATACCGAGGGCGTGTGCTCCAGTGGATTTCCCAAGATAGTCGTGGCCGGTGTTGCGAATAACTAATCGTATATTATTCTCCTTGGCGAATTGAAGTCCCGCCTGAATGTCCTCGACGCTAGTCGCATTGATAGCATAAACGACGAGGTATCCGATTGTGCATGGCGTTTCGGGCCCTAAAAACGGGTTGCAACTGTTGTTGGAAAACATATACGCCATAGGAGACGAAGATGAGGGCAAATGTGTTGTTGGGTAGAACCACGTGTTGAGCAGTGCATCGCATTCCGCTTGATTGAATATAGGGCTTGGTTCGCCGAATAGTGTCTCGTGGCAAGGTGCCGCAATTGGTATCGTAGCAATGAGATTTCCGTTGACAGTACGATTCAAAAGATCCCATTGCTCCGAGGTTGGCCAAGAGATATCCCCCGGAATGGTTCGACAGCCTGAAGGCGTTGAGATACCTTCTGCTGAAGCCGTAAGTACCAAGTTAGCCAGGAGGCAAAGGACGATAGATTCCAACGTCATTGTTTCTCGTAATGGCGTTAACTGACCAGAGAAGTACTTAAGAGTTTAACGGCATACGTCGATAGAGGGGCGTATTAAGTGAAAATGCGACGACTTTAACTGAAATTTGAATATTTCTTTGCCATTTTCATTAAGGTACCTAATTGACTCGACCAGGGCATACGCCATCCTTTGTCTCCCTGTCGGATTTTGAGAATCTATTAATAGAACAACATAACCGAGTGAATGGAAAAAGAGATTAAGTATAAACAGTCCTTGCCGGGTTAGATCTCATCTACTTAGTTCGTAAGTTGACGCTTTCGCTTCACATTATGTTAGGAGCCAGGGGAGCAGGATTTTCGTGAGATTAGGTACCCTATCTCTGGTGCAGAAGCCCACTAGGCATGTGCCTATAGGGAGGTGAGTACCTAAAGCGCCTGGGCTAACGTGCTAGGCAGGGAGGCCTAAGTGAGTAGTTGCATTCGCTACCACACAACGCTCGAGTCATTACTAGGTATAACATAAGCCTCCTTGACTCCTTGTAATTATAAATACGTGGGAAACGCTTCTTTTGGGCGTTGGCGTCCAGAGGTAGCTAGAAGATACAGACCCCTGCCAGCTGAGAAAGAAGAAGTATGACCTATACCGTTGTGGCGCTCCTACGGCGCAAAGAGGGCATATCCTCAACGCAATTCCGCAAGCATTATGATACCGTTCACCTTCCACTCCTCATATCACTCCTTGGATCGGCTATGCCCTTGACGCACACACGCTACTACGTTTCCCGAGAGACGCCAACTATGCATTGGTCTGTCGAGCCATTAACCACACTCAAAAGATCAGCGGCCGTGGGCGAAGAATTCCCTCCGGCAATCATGTATGAGGGGAGCTTGGATGATGTCGCGTTTGATTCGCTGACTGTGATGGTTTGGGAAGATAAGGAATTATTTGACACCTTCATCAGAATCCTTCTCAGCAAAGATGTAGCCGAGAAGATCGGTGAGGATGAAGAGAATTTTCTCGACCGGGGAAAGAAAGTGGTGTTTTCAATCACGGATTCGGTTACGAAACGTGCGTGAGCATACCTGGTGCGGATTAGGGGCCGTTGGGAGTCTTGCCATAGTGAATAATTTAGGTACTGCCTAAGACCTACTTAGGTACGGCTTAACAGACGATCTGAGCTGTCATAAAATCCTCGCAAATTCGTCAGCGGAGGGGGTACACCCACGAAAAGCAATTATGTGTCTTGCATAAGCCACCTGATAATCAAGTAATCTCACCAACCGTCTCCATCTCCATCCAAGGATAAGCCTGGGTTTCAAGGTTATGGAGGGTTATACAGCATTAATGGTACCCAAGTAGCACCAATCGAAGAACTTCAGTGACGAATCCCCGAAGTCAAGTCCGATACATCCGAGATCTTCCACCCGCCTGGGCACAACTTCTGAAAGACTTGTTGCGGGTCATATTTGGCCGCCACTTCCTTCATGATTTTTACGTTGTCTTCTCCATAGCTTCCAAGTACATTCTGGGACTTGTCTGCATAGTTCATATAGATCCATGGCAAGTTGCCTTCATCAACAGTAACGGCCGCATATTCCTTGACTTCCTCGACGGCTTCACGTACCTTCGAATGTGCAAAGTCCTTCTGCGCCGAAGTCTTCATCATAGCCGACAATAGAAAGAGGACGCCGTGGCTTTTATGGCGTTCTAGTCCCATAATATTACCGCCTGTAGCGGCCGAAAGCCCGCTAATTAGTTTTGGTATTGGCTGGAATATGCACTGTGTCCTGAAATCCTGTTCGGGAACATGCAACTTAAGTGTTTCTACGAGATTTTCGTGGGCATCTACGGCTTTGGCAATTATACGCTCATCGTTCTTGAAGCTCGCCGTAAACCAGACGTTGCTACGAAAACGCGATTAGTAAGGTAGTATATCCAATTGCAGGGTCCTACTTACTGGTAGCCCGGAGGCAGCAGGAATTCAAAGGTCGTATCGTAAATAGTGGTCAATTTCGTTGTATTCAACATCATTGGAAGATCCATGAATTCGCTCAGGCCTGGGTCGTCCGCAATCCCTTGAGTTTGAACTATAGCCGCTGAAGCAAGTATGTCATCTTGCTCGGGGACGTAGGTGATGACAATAACCATATTACTGTCCGGATACTTCGTCACTGTCTCTGAGAATCCCGAAGCTATACGGATGACGTTCGGGATCGTGGCCTTAGGGGCAATTGCTTTCCCTCCCCAGACACGATTGCAGTGTACCGTATTCATGGTAAAACTGGTTATAATCCCAAAATTATTACCGCCACCTTTCAGAGCCAGGAACAGGTCGGGATGCTGGTCTTCTTTAGCCGACACAGTGGTGATCCGACCATCAGCCAGGACAACTTCGTATGAGACTACGTTGTCACAACCCCAACCTGTCCGAGTCGTTATCCATGAGTATCCTCCGCCAAGTAGGAAACCAGCGACGCCAACATTTCCATCTCTCGACCCTGCTACCGTTCTGTCAAACTTTTGAAGTTTGTATAATTCTTTCCATTTCTGACTAGGGCCAAGCCTCACTGTTTGAGAATGGGCATCATATACAATGTGATTGATGAGGCTCAGGTCAATGGTTACCCCATCCTTGATGCTACTAACACCAGTAGAAGGGGCATGGCCACCACTGCGCACAGCGAAGCTCTGTCCTGCGTTGATTAGAGCCTTTAGAGCAGCGGGCACTTTCGTAGCAAAGCGAGGTCGAACTACACAAGCTGGGCTCAAGCTCGCAGACCTCGACCAATAGGTTGCTTCACGAACCCTGTAGCCTGGGTCGGATGGTAATAAGATTTGCTCTCGGAGCCCTGCCTCGATGAGGCAATTAGCTTGAGGACAAGACGATTCTGAAGGGGAGGTCATTATTCTGAGTGGTCCTTAGAATCAAATCGCTAGGAAAATGCACGTTGATGAGTACGAAATCGAATCTCTCGTAATCTCTTATTTATTGTAGACCACCTCTAATATTCGCAGGGGGCGCGGTATCCGATGGTGTACAACCTCAATGCATGCCGCCCCCTCCACACCGGCACTATCTTGGAGACATTCTTATGGTAGCACTACCTAAGTACCCCGGATTGGTACTTGCCTGGTTGGATGAAGAGTTAAGAAATCACTCTCCGCATGATATTCACGTTCAAGGATGACATTGCTACCACATCTGCATGTAAGTAAATGGTAGAGGACACAAAGAATATGCAGATTTACAAAACTCAACCGGCATGGTTACACGACATGCAAATGTATCTTTGATGCTGACAACTATTTAACACTGGTTTCACGAAAATGCGCTCCTTTCGGGGACCATGTTAAAAGGGGTAAAATCGACGGACCAATCATCTTATTTGAAAATATTAAAAGGGGTAAGATAAAAGTGGGGGCGTACAGATACCTTTTGGTACATAGAAAATCCCATACAATTACATGTATACGCTAATCACCTACAAACCCCTAAAGGGCACCATCGAGATCTCAACCCACTCGACACAAACGACCGTCAGCTTGGATCTGCCAAGCTTCGCTCCCTACAGCTTTTAGACCGTAAAATATCTCGTTCGGGTCATATTTCTGCTTAATACTAAGCAGTTTATCGTAGTTGGCCCCGTAAAAAATCTCCTGGAAGTCAGGCTGACCGGGGTCAGCTTCATTTAGGTATGCAGCTCCACTCGGCGTTAGCTCCGCAAGCTTCGGAACGAACATGTTGGTGATCTTCCCCTGACTAACAATGTTGACCTGCATGTCATAAAGGCCGTAAGGTCTATAATCTCATGTGTTGGTAAAGAGTACTTATGCTAACAAACGGGGATGGGCGGGAATGACGTACATGGCTATGACAGCGCTGAAGAGTGCGGTCCGCCATGCTGGATTTACGGAGTTCGGAACGTCTGGTAGTTGGGTTACATTGACTGCTACCCCTGAGACCTCACCGCCGTTCTCGATTATGAAGTTCATAGCATCCATCAAGCGACGAGTCGAATCATTTGATGACACGAGCGAGCGTGGTATGAATCGGCCGCCGATATTGGCTTCGGTAATATTGTACTTAGGGTGTGCTAGGTTGTAGCTATCAAGGTAACTAGGAAAATCCTGGGCGGAGTAATCTGTTGTCGCGGAGGTCAGTCTTCTGCACTATGCCCAGGGTAGGGTTCTACAACAGGGCGAGATCTTGTCTTACTGTACGGGATGCCGTTCTTAGAAAGACTGTCCAGCGTTGGCTGTAGGAGAGACTCCAACTGTTGAGCGGTCAGGTTAGGAGCCGATGCTGGCGACAATGTGAACGACGTATTTGTTAGCAGCCAGATACATACAACCCCTGAATCTGTGATATTGGGGAGAGTGGTTAGAAAAGTTTGTATGACGGAATTGAACGCCTCGGACGATACTCCTTGACTCGAAAAGGTGAGATTTGCAGCAGAGGTTTTTACATCCGCATATGCCTTCACGGTCATTGAATGCACAAGCCCATACGTTCCACCTCCTCCTCCCGAAAGTGCCCAATATAGATCCTGATTCTCAGTCGGTGTCGCTTTTAAATATTCACCCGCGCCGGTAAGAACTTCGAATTCAAGTACCTGACCATTTCGTCAGTAAAAAAAATGCTCGTGACCCCCTCCTTCGTAGTCTTTCTAGCTCCACCTGAGAGTAAGACAGGGTAAAGTCGTGATGTTTCATTGATAACAGCATTAAGATGAGGTAAGTGATTCAATACTTTAAGGTCGTTGACATCAATTTCTCGTAGCTCTTCGTAAATCTTCTCCGTGTGATGAGGATGTTTTGCCAACTCACAGAGGATTGCGAGAAGCACGTATGCCGTTGGTTCGCTTTCGTCCAACCGTTGTTAGCTATACAAATTATTTTTGGGCCATAATCGACTAACCTTCCTGCTACTACAGCGAGTAGGCTATCACCATGTACCCAATACAGCTTTTCTTCATAACCCATAGTACCTCCCTGCTCCATTAGGTAATGGGTGAGATCGATTTGTTTTTCATTGACTTGTTCCATTCTCGTCCGCATTTGCCCTTTACCCCATGCTACCGTGTCATGCCAATCTCGGATAACCCAGACCTTGGGACTAAGTCGTAAGCCGAGCTGAACAAGCCAAGGCGCTGGGGTTAGAGGGCCTAAAAGAGAGAGGGCATTTTGAAGACGGGTCACAATGGAATGCCATTTCCGATCAGACAACATGTCGAAGGACTTGCTAAAGATGAAGTTGCCCATAGCATCAAAGCCAAACCAGAAGCAGAGATCCCTCATTTCCGATTGTTTGCGGGACAGAGCATCTTTCTCAAGACACTGGTCTAGTTTATCGATATGTTTGAGGATCTTCTCCTCATGTTGGACAAGGGCTAGATAAAACACAATGTTAAATATTCCGTTCTCACTCCTACGCCAACCTCCAGTGTAGCAGGGGATTTAACAAACCTTTTGTTGTAAATCCGCGAACCCATTCACGGCGCCGGCTTGCATGTATTGATTTGTCCCTCGAAGACACAAGTGCGCGAAAAGGGTAAAGGAGATCATACCACTCCGACTTAACGCACTGTGATCTTGGACCATCGACTGCCGAGAAAACTTCAGGATGGAAGACGGTGATTTCGGCCGGGCCTCGAAGATAATCAAAGTTAGCTATATCCTATTCTTATTCGAAAACTGAAAAGAGAGGTGGGCCTAGTTTACCTGTCCTCACAAAATCACCGTATTTCTGGCGAAGACCTTCTAGGAGTAGGTAGTTCCTAGAGGTTCTCACTTCCCAGACATGACACAGCTTAGACAAGCGCAAGTACCAAGGCCCGGGGAAGCCATCCCTGGTAAGCCTATGAAACCAGAGGCGGTACACCACGATACTAACCAGGAGAGCAGAAACATAGCAGGAGAACGCATATAGAAGACCCTCCAAGAGCAAGCGATATTCCGTTGAGCTACCCAGGGTCTTCCCTGCCAAAGCAGATGTAAAGAGGAGGGTATGAAAAATTAAGAGCTCAGGAGCTCGAATATGCCATTCTCCGTGGATGAACAGAGCGAGGTGCGCAATGATGCCCGTTAGGATACCGCCACCACAATAGAGAAGAATTGGCAAAGAAAACATATTGAATTTTCGACAATTTTCTACCTGGGTACTCATACAAAGTGAGAAACAGAAGATGGCACTCAAACGGACTCTCTTTCAACATGATTGCTACGGCTTGCTTCTATAAGAAGCCCTGATGACAACCGTAACGCAAGTCTACCCCCAAGGGGACTATACGTGTATGGCATCCTGCAGAGATTTTGAGGTGGTGTCCCTAGACAAGTGAGCGTATCCTGCTCAAAATGTTGGCTGAAGGGGGTTATCGTATATCGATTCTTGCATTATCTCAGTACCTGTGTACTTTCCAGGTACCAAGGTAGCATTTTGTGTTATAGGACTTCGGTACTTCGTAGAACAAGTATGAACGCGTAAAATCTGGGGACTTGATATGTAGGGCTGCGGCTAGGTGCATGTATGTAACATTATACGCGGGTAGGCGGCGCCCCGAATGAATGGGTGTCCACCTAGGTAAGTACTAGATAAGCTAGACACAGTATCTATACTGTCATATTGGAATCGGTGAGATCGAGTTGTGTTACACAACATTTAATCTAAATACCCCCGTGCAGGTGCTTTGATTGCGTACAGTATACTTTTCGAAAGTACAAAGAAACCACAATATGTGACCGAGAGGCGTGAAACATCCGACCAACAGAATGGTCCCCGGGCCATCGTTTCCCTACTAACATTAGAAGAAAAAATGAATTAAGAAACGCATCAACTAAACTTTCTCATGACTCCTCACCTCTAACACCATTCTCCTCGCACACCAAATCACATACAATGGTGTCAGCAGACTTCGACTTCGTTATTGTAGGCGGAGGCCTATCAGGCCTTGTGCTAGGCGCCCGTCTCTCAGAGAATTCGGAAATTTCGGTGTTAGTAATCGAGTCCGGACCGGACTTCAGAGATGACCCTAGGGTCAATATCCCTGCGATGTGGTCGTCGTTAGTGGATGATCCAAAGGCAGCCTGGCAGTTCAAGACACGGCCCCAAGTAAGTTTCTAATGTCGCCATTGAATTCATTAATACATGACTTATCTTTAACTTATTAGGATGCCTTAGAAGGCCGTGAGATTGGCATCACTCAAGGTCACCTTTTGGGGGGCTCTGGTGCACTGAACGGACTCGCATTCAGCGCCGCTTCCAAGGCAAACATCAACGCATGGGAAGCCCTCGGAAACCCCGGGTGGAACTGGGGCAACTTATCGGCGGCTACGACTAAATCATTTCGCCTCGGGGGTACTAAGGATGCAAACGGCCCATTGCAATTGACTTTTCCTGACAAGGATGAAAGTGAATGGCCACGGGCCTGGAGAGACACCATAAAGGCTCTCGGGTTCCCAGCAGAAAACACCCCGTTCTCAGGACAAGTCCTTGGAGCTCTAGCAGTTCCCGATACCATCTATCCCTCCACCAAGCAAAGAAGTTATTCCGGTAATGCGTACCTCAATTTGGCAATAGACCGACCGAATTTCACTCTATGGACGCAGATCCCAGTGAACAAAGTACTGTTCGACAAGCCGAAGAGCGATGATGGGTCAAGTGCTACAGTGGCTTCCGGCGTCGAGTATACCACCAGTAGTGGCGAAATCAAGACAGTGCGAGCTCTTAAAGAGGTGATACTCGCAGCTGGGTCAATCAATTCGCCAAGGATCCTTGAGCTGTCGGGGGTAGGTGACAAGAACCACCTAGATTCACTGGGTATTTCTACTATCATTCACAACCCTTTCGTCGGCGAGAACCTTCAAAACCATCCTATGTGTTATTTGAATTTCCAAGTCAAGGGAGATGAAAAGGGGTTCGAGACATTGGAAAAGCTCACGCGGGGTGATAGCGACATGATCGCCGCCGCCATGAATGCCTACCAAACCAAGCAAACCGGGCCATTCGCTAAGAGTGGTTCCAACAATGTGGCACAGATCCCATTCCCCGGAATTAAGACCGAGGAAGGAAAGCAGAAACTTCACAAGATCCTACAGATTGCGAAATCCGAAACTAGTACCTCGGGGCCATTCGCAAAAGCTCTAGAATCGTTCATACATTCCGTTCTGGAATCTCCTACGGAAGCCTCCTCCGTTTATATCTCAGCTCCCGTATTTTCCAATTCCACAAGTGACGGGGCACGAGCATCCACGTTGAAGCTCGAAGAAGGCGAGAGATTCTTCACTGTCGCGATTCTTCTGGCCCATCCAGCGTCCCGCGGCTCTGTGCACATTACATCCAAAGCTGCGCCGACCGCAACAGACAACGTCGCAATTGATCCAAAGTACCTCAGTCACCCTCTTGACTTGGAAATTCTAGCAAGCCATCTCCAATACGTAGCTGAGACCCTAGCAACCACGGAACCACTAGCAAGCCACCTCAAGCCCGGCGGGAAATTCAACCCCACCATGCCACAGACCGGAAGTTTCGCGGACATTGAAAACGTCAAGGAGTACGTGCGCAAGACAGCCATAGGCGCCATGCATTTCACGGGCACTTGTTCTATGATGCCGAGAGAAGTGGGTGGTGTTGTCGACCCCGAGCTGCGCCTCTACGGCTGTTCGAACCTGAGAGTTTGCGATGCTAGCATCATACCGATCACTCCTCGGACAAATCCTCAGGCTACCATATACGGCGTCGCGGAGAGGGCGGCTGATATTATTAAGTCTAGCTTATAAGTAGACGGAAGCGATACCATGTGGCTTGCTTAAGACAGTGAGCATCTGCTTGGAGAATCTAGAGTCTTTAGGGGTTGCCTTGATTCCTGGCGATAGTCAATCATTATGTACCTATCTTCAAGGCCCATATTAAATCCAATAAAAAGTTGCGGGTGAACCTTGCTTGAGTCATGGCATGATACAAGTAGGTAAGAAGCTACACTCGTGTAACAGGATACTTAACCCCCGCCTCCATCTGTGGTCGCCAAGCCGACGGAGATAAGCAACATTGCTCTTGTGAAGATGTCTTCAAATATAGATGGTCAATCGTAAGTACATAATAAAAACCAGGTGGGTATCATCATCTATCCGTATTTCCAACAGCGCCTAGCAGTTAGCCATCCTTCCGTATCCCATTTCTGTATGTGACCATGTCCCGAACTTCTCTCAATATCCACATAACCACCCATATTAACCAATTCCAATAACATAATCATGATTTATTCATATCTTAACATTTTCATGGGACTCGTCATCCCATTCTCACGACTCGAGCTTAATCTCGCGCCTCAGGTCCGGGGGCGGGTTCGGAGGCGTAGAACATATTTCCCTCGTCCCCACGGTAGTCGCAGCTTCGCTTTCGTTATTTAGCCCCTTATCAGACGGAGCTTCGTTCGACATGTTATGATAGTTCTCTTCCTCGTCACGGGATTCTTGAGCGGCGGGCGTTGCGGGTGTGGGCTCGACTCGCGACGGCGTTTTCTGAAATCGCTTGGGAATGAATTTCGAATACATTGTCTTTCGGAATGTGCGCGTCGTTCCGAAAACGATGAATACCTGTAGAAGGTTTTGTATAAGTCAATGCGCATAGGCAAGTAGTGGTCAAGAACCCCTACTCAATCAATCCCATGTAGGCGGGCCGCCGCGAAGGGAAAAAAAAGGAAACCCCGGCGACTCACCAGCAAGCTCGTCGAAACACCCGGAATGAAAAGTAGAAAGTCATTCTTAGCTCTCCCTGCCGACAGATCCGCCGAGTCCCCCAACTTCTCCTTAGTGTGGTTGGACAGCTGAGATATTTCCGACAAAATCGTAATAAGTTGGAATACCGCCAACACGACGAAGCTGATTGAAAATCGCAAAACCAACCAACGGTCGTAGATACTTTGACGGCCGTCGCCTCGATCTAACACGTTGAGGATTTCTCCACCTGCTTCCTGCGACCTCCTCGAGAATAGATAGCGAGCGTTCCATGAAACGAGTTGATGTCGAGTATAGATGTACTTGATAAGTATTGCTATTAATAGTATGCTTCCGACCGTGAGGCTTATCATTACTACCTTGTGTTATAATTGGCATTCTCGCGATGTTGATTGTGGTGGGGGTACGTACTATTGAAATTGGCGATCGCCAAGAAAGCTGCGAGGGAACTTTGGATCGCTTTCAGACGCAGGAGACACATAAGAATAGCGGGTAAGATAATCGCTATGCCTTTCGCTATCTGGTTGATTCTATGGCGAGTGCGTCTGAAACTCGATAGATCTATGAGCTTGAAGACAGTATGTGTGAGCGCAATCGCCCAGAAGAGAGTGAGCATTGCTTCCGCGTTGTATGTATAGTATTCTAATACGACAGTCAGCAGGGTCTAGTTGCCAATTGAAATTTGAGATACTTGCGTATATAGAATAGAACAAGATCCAGGCCTACCGAAGGCCCCGCGATAGCTATCTCCGGACTGCCGACATGCGCAAGAGTATACTCATATTGTTGGAGTTTGACATCTTTCCACCATATAAATGTGTGAAATTGCTGAATTATGCTTGCGGCGGTTCCTAACAACGTGAAATAGGATAGAAATGCAACATCTAGATACGAGCGCGGTCAATTGATGACGTTCGGGAGATTGAAATAAGGTATCAGACCCTTTTCAACTTACAGCTGTCTCTTTCGTGATGCGTCCAGACCAGCCAGATCATAATAGAACTAGCAGCCAGACACAAGAATGAGTAAATAAGAACAATAACGGCGACAGGTACTACCTCATGGAGGAGTTGAACCACCATGTCGGCTCGACAAGAGGTGATTGAGGCATTAGAGAGGCCAGAAAAGTCGACGTTGGGAAACTCCAAGACTTAAACACCAGACCACTTCGGAAAACAAGCTTTGCTGCCCAGGGGTTTCCCCGATCCCGCCATTTAGTCCAAGAGCTATGTGACGACTCAGCACTGCCGCCGGCTGGAGAAGCCAAGACGCCGGTGAATGTCACCGTTACAACGCTACTCGGGTGTGTTACCGAGATAATCCATGTGAGATTTCCTCTAAGATCGACGTGGGGGGACACTCGCCGCTAAAGAGGGTCCACGGGGCTAGAAGACTTTAATACGAGTGGGAGGTGTTCCTAAGCGAGAAAATCCGCGTCGGCCAATTGAAGGAATGAAACTCTGCCGGTAGGTGTTTTGACATTGGGGTCATCTACCGCGCTCTGGACGCTGATGAAACTTCAACCCCACGCCAGGGATACCTTGGAAGAGAACCTTGCAAGTCTCAGGGCATGATAGATGGAAGACCCCGAAGTTCGTCGACCCCGCCATATTTTGAAGTCATGATCTTAAAATCAAAAGCGAGAGATATTTGATACCGGGTTATGGCTTGAGTTAGCACGAGGCGAGCATATGACGATGCTTACTACGATAAGAGCCGCTTTCTAGGAAGCCCTCCGATCAGCGCATCTTGCCAGGGTCAGTAAGCCCGGTTTTCGAGATCAAATACGGCGATCGTCGACAGGTTTGACCTAAAAGAAATCCATTTCATCCCTGGTACAGGATCTAATCAATTGTGGGACTGTCAGATCTGATTTTCGCTACATCTCCTGAACCGCCTTTGGTGTTGTGACTAGGTGAATTTATGTGTCAGGTGTAAGGAAGTAAGATGACTAAGTCGCCTAGGTGAATGGAAATGAACATTTCCTTAATAAAATCCGAAAATACCTATTAGAATATACCTAAATGCTGAATCCTCGGGCTCCGTCAGAGCGCATCGGGCGAAATTCATGATCAGTATTACATAACATTAGTCAGGGGTATGGAAGTTCAAGGACGGATGGTCTGGATGCTGATCATCACAAAATTTCCTCTATTCCGTAAAAGAGAATAGCATGTCTTGCAGCAGGTGTGGTGGGGCTGCAGTGATAGGTAAGTCTATCATGAAAAGTACTACCTAAGAGTTATAGTCTCCTATAATAGATCCGACGAATAGGAGGTCGAATCGGCGTATACCCTCAGTACATCAACACATTGGTTGTTACGAGAGGATCTCCGAGAAAGCGACGTAACTAAATGACGGGCGGCATTCACCTCGCTGACTTGCATGTTAGTCTTAAAGATCTGCAACAATTAGCTAAGGGTTGCAGAACTGAGTGACATAAACCGTTCTCGTGACAAGGGTTAAACGGCGAAGAGTATACCCAAAGGCTCTATCTGAAAGTAATACACAAACATACCTCTTGTTGCAATAAGTTTACCTAATACTTAAAGTATCTAGGTAGACATTTATTCAGATTTCTTGTGATACGAAAGCCGGGTATCCATCAGTAGTGTGACATTACTGGATCCCCTTTCCTTGCTGCGACCAGAGCAGACCCACACCATTCGCAAACACCACAAGAAATTCGCTTGGTCGAAGTGAAAAGAACTCACCTAGTTCTCCAGCTCATTACACAGGAGAGGCTCGATCCTCAAAAAAATTATCCCGTAGTATCCCGTGCACTCTGGGGTGCAGAGGCGAAAGCGATTATGGTGTTACCTTCCTGTTAAAGGAGCCCGTGCTAACAGATTAGTATAGAGCCCCTACGCAGACGCGGTCGATTTCATAATCTCAAAACACATGATGTGGGATGTAAACCATCTTATTAGCAACAGACAAGCTCCCGGCAATTAAGAACATGTTACTACTTCGTGGTTAAGAATCGCCGCTATGGTAAGAATAAAAAAATAATCGACTGGTTTCCTTATTTACCGAAAAAACTGCTTGCGCGTCGCGTCGCACTCCGTGTAATGCGTTCTTTAGCCGCCTCTCGAGAGTGAGAAGTCATATCTCAAGAATGGAACTCTGGGAGCGTTACGTTATTGACTCGCGAATTCAGGGCAATTGGATGATTAAGTTGCACCGGGCCGATAGGTACCGGCTCGTCTGCTTGCGTAAGTACGTGGGAGTAGTGGCACGTGGTGGGATTCTGGAAGGCAACCTCATCTAGTCTTCGATACCTACCTCTAGGTATCTAAAGTTGGTAGATGCTACGTCCTGATTAATCCATATCGATGTGATATTAAGGTGGGTATAGCTTATTTGATTCCCCTTTGGAGTCGAAGGGTGTATCATAGTGTTAGTCATTGATTGAGCGTCCAAGGAGCGTGTGTACGCAGATGCGCGGGAGGGTTGGTGACCCGACCGATTTGCATAAACACCAGTGAGCTTTGCGACCCAACGAGTGAATAATATATCAACTCAACCTTCTCGCCCCGGGCAAATCATTAGGCAATATCATTTACCAAAATCACCACGATAAGTCAAGCTCTAGCAGTGATGTCGAATGTCCTCACAAACAGCGTGGGGTTGTCTGAATAGCTTCAATAACAAGTAACGCTCGTCGACCCCCTATACACCGCTAAGTCTTAAACGGTAAGTGTTGACAATAAAGCATCGTAATCGAAATACTTGTACATACCAACATCTTCACCCCCCATGTCTAGTACGGTCTAAGCTCTTGAAGTCTGAAAAACCTAGGGACCTTCCATCGAAAGCAATCTCTTACTATTGCATTACGTCTGTCATCGGGCTCCACGACGATGATATGCGCGCAATCGCCATCCTGGAGCCTCATCCCTGAATCTATTTGACGTCCTTGGCGATCTTCACAACATCAGCCCACCCCTTAGGCCGATAACGGCCTCCCTCATAAACACCGTTCAAGTACGCCTCAGCTTCTTTGGCCCAGCCTAGGAGCTGCTCCTCGGCGCCCCACTCTCCCATAGCCATCAGGCCAATCGGTAGCCTACCGTCGCCCTGTTCAGGCTCGGCATAGCCCACAGGCGCCGTGACGGCAGGGCAGCCCGTCGAGTTGGCCAGCCAGATGTACATCATGTTGCGGAAGGTCAAGTTTCCGTCACTGAACCCATACGCCTGGTCGCCAGGGTGAATCTTCCAGCCGGCCTCGGGAGTCGTCGGCGTCACAATCAGTAGGCCGGGGTATTTCTTCCATAGGTATGCAAGGTGCTGCATGTGTAATTCGCGCAATTGTCCGTACTTAATCATATCAATACCAGACGTGTAAAAGCCACCCGTCATCAGAAGTTGGTTGCAGTAGTTAAGACCCGCGAACGGGTTATCCGGATCCGCGGCGCGGGATCGCTGGTGGTCGGCACCTTCAGTCAGTGCCCATGCACTATGACCATATTGTCCTTCTGGTAGGTACGGGATCTCGATATCAACGACTTCGTATCCTAGCTTGTCTGTAAAGTAGGAGACCGCTTTTCGAGTAGCGTCGAGGACCGCGGGAGAGGCTTGGTCAAACCATTCCCGGGGTATGCCAATTGTTTTCTTAGCAGTAGGGCTAGGCGGGACGGACAGCGCAAAAGAGCCCTGAATTGGATCTTCTGGGTTGGGCGCGCTCACTATAATAACAATTGTCAGCATGCAAGGTCCACGAATAATCGGGTCATTGTGAGTGTTTTCAAGTTCATCACCCGAAGGCGGCTAGGTTGGAGAGGTTAGAAGAGGAAGAACAGCGGGAAAACTCACTAATACGATACGCAATAGCCAAATCATTAGCGGTCGCAGCTAAGGGACCAATAACACAAATCGACGACTTCATCGTGAACACACGATGCAGCGTAGGCTTAAGCCCATACGCGCCGCAAAACGACGACGGGACGCGAACACTTCCTCCCGCATCTGTGCCAATTGAAATAGGTACCAGCCCAGCAGAAAGCGCAGAACCCCCACCAGATGTCGAGCCACCAGGATAATACGCTGGATTGTTCCAATTTATTGGTGTTCCCCATGCGGGATTACAGCCGCTGACGTCGGAGCCGAGTTCATGCATGACCTGTCTGCCAATGACGATCGCGCCAGCAGCTTCCAATTGGGCTACAGGCCATACTGTCTTAGTCGCAGGCTTAAAGAACGGGTTGGATGCGTCGAAGGCGAGCCCCATGTGAGCGATGTACCCCTCAACGTCTACATCATCCTTAACTCCTATCGGAACTCCGTCCAGAACACCTAAGGGTTGACCGGCAGCATACCGTTCAGTAGACTTTTTAGCAGCTTCGAGTACGCGATCCTCTTTAGTGACAGTCCAAGCAGATTCGTATTTAGCTGGGGGATTCTGTCCTCGAGTGATTAACGGGAGCAAGGCCTTGGCCACTTGAAGTGGTGTCAGCTTTCCAGATTTGAAAAGGTCATGATAATCCGCGACGGAGTAGAAACGGCCAGCTAAATCATCAGGTTGAGGTTCATAAAGATCTGGTGTGATTTCCGCCTTAGTTTGAACAGCACCATCAGGTACGAGCGGCGTGACAATTGGCTGAGAAGATTGTCAATTGCTTGATGTTTCATAAATGTACGTGAGGGCGGCACACCTGAAGACGCCAATCGTATTCTTCTAACCCTGGAATATCCTTGACGCAGCCGAGCTTCGCATTTTTCCAAGTAGCTCCAGCGAGGGTTGGAGAATAATTAATACTAAGGATCGTATCAGTGAATGCCATGAAGATAGAAAGAATATCAATTGATGAGTCCATACGTACAGCTTGGCTGCGATGATCAAACCCCATCCTCTCAAGGCCGGATTCTTATCGACGGTCGGCGTGTACGCCACCTTGGGACCCTCTTTAGCGATCGGATAACCTGAGAATCGTTGCTTGGAAGCCATTGTAAATGCAACGCTTCTTATAAATCAAACGCGATGAATTGAATCATTGAAATAATAAACCTGATACCTAGTAGTATCGAGTGGTCAATTGGCAATTAGTTATCTTGGAAGAGGAATTGACAAATTTACAATACCACCAAATAGTTGGTGTTGGTTGGTGTTACGAAGCTTCTTCGCTCGGTCCCTTAACATAAAGCAAGGGAACAGGGGAGGTGAGCGAGCAAGCCACCTATCCCACCTCGGCACGGGAAAACTCCGCTAAATCCTTCAAAATGGAAAGGGAGGAACCTTGAACGTGTCGGGAAGGCCGGTCTCACTTTGATTGGATCATCCTTGATTACCCACCAACTCAGCCAGCCACAGATGCAAGCCACAGGAGAGTTACTCCGCTTGTACTACTCCGTGTGTAAGTATTTCGTCAAGGTACTTAAGTACCTAGGTATCATCCAGAATTATCTTGATTATATATAACAGTCCAACGTATTAAGTAATTGAAGGCTAGGTGCACCATGAAATTAATCGTGGGGGAATGATGAACATCTATGTCACAATCTGGCTGTGTATTCCATCCTAATCGTTCTGCCGTTTCGTTAACCATTTTCCCCTTTATCGCCATCCTAAAACCAAAAGTGCTGGCCGGAATTCGGGCAACCGCCTCCACTGCTGAAGTATCCACGGATGATCCGAACTAATGGGTGTATTCGTAGGGAATGATCCCCTGGCCGCATCTTCGAGGTGTCTGCCCTGATGTAATAATCTCTCATGGTAACCACGAATCTCGTCCAATATGACCTTATCCAAACTTGATCTGAGAGCGAGTTCCACCTCGTCACGTCGAGGGAATACAGGCGACATCTCCTGGAAGCGAGCCCATGTCTTATATGCATCGATTTTCTTTTGATCCTCGTCACTGCATAAGTCAAGAATCGACCCTTTTCCCTTGTCTTGTTCGGTTATATCTGGTCTAAATCTAGGCCAGTATGCTGTCTCAATTTGATCGACTATTAAATAAACCATCTTCACGCTGTGAAAGCGGTGTCCCTCGATCAAGTCTCTAACAACCACTTCAATTTCCCCTTCGAAATCGCCAGCGTTAATAGCTATTCTCTCCGCTGCAGAGAAGAAGGGTTCTGGATTCGATAATGGATACGGATAACCGCTATGGAGTTCGAGGATGTCTCGAGAGCCTATGAACCACGTGGTAGTCTGAACGTCCTCCGCGGTTGGGAAGCCTCGAACAACTGAGTTGTTAATAGCGACTTCTCGTGATTCTTGGCTGACATGAGCAATAAGTGGCGGTAATAGACGCCAGTTTTCCCAAGGGACATTCTTGGCAAAGAGTTGGATACGGCCTCTAGGTAGGGCATGAATCCAGATTAGGCGTCTAATTTCTGCAGGAAGTCGGGGAAATTGGGGAAAGGACTGATGGCTGGACATTTGGATTACTCGTATTGGGGGTATATCTTGGAATGTGGCTGATTCAGGTACGGGAACTAGTAGGGAGGCTAGCGGCTAGGCGTCTCTCAAGCAGGCTATTTCGACACAAATAGAGTGTCCGTGGCCACTCTTGTCGTAGAAATTCGATCAAAATGCTGTAAGTTCGAGACTCGATCATGACTGACAGGACGTAAGACTCCCAGGGTTAGTATGTTGATGTTCCGGCATCCGGGGAAGGAGAATAAATACCAGAGAGGAGCATGGAAACGATCGAGGACGCCGCTGGATGGATGGTACCCAAAGTTCTTGGAAATCCATCTGTGGGTATTGACATTTGGTATATATACCATATACAATTATAATAATGCAGGAGTTGGAGAGTGTTCGACTGTCGTGATTGTACGGCGATGGTTTCCATTGCGTAAGGCTGTATGGCCAGACTGGGACTGATTGGAATTTGTGGATCCAGTAAAGGGCACTGGAGTTGACGTGATTAGTTGGGCTGATCGCATCATTTGCTCGTTAGTGGTGGTTCTCCAATGTTTTGATGCCGCAATTCTACACAACTTGATGATATCTTCACCTAGTTTCGCATTAGGAAATCGAACACCAACTCCTCTCGATATGAGCCTTTCTATGACGATCAATTGTCTAGTGATTCTTTTCCATCCCTAATAACGATCTTCTCCGCCTATACCCTCATTCTTCTCACGTCATTCAACGTGTGACCATGATGAACTGAGTTCGTGTTTTTAAATTGTCGTCATTGTCGCCTTCTTTCTCTCCAAGACGCAGTTTTATGGACGTAATAATTTAATAGAAAATGTTTCCCAGTGGGGGATGATGAGATTCCTTGGCTCGTCTGACTATTCGAACGATGCAGTCAGGAGTGAAGAATCATATACTATAAGCGGACTGGCGTATGGGAGCTTCCGCATTGTCGCTTCATTCATCATGCCAGGAGGTATCGAAAAGGTAATACAGGAATAATGGGTAGTACCAACCACACGAAGCCCCCACGAACACGATCACCTTTCGTTTTCAGATTCGTCTCTCCTAGCTTTTTCAACTCTCCATTCGGCCCATTTAAGGGCTGCTTCGGTTCCAACGTAAAGACCAGGCCAGAAGATGACAGCTCTAAACATGGCTTTTCTAACGGCTAGCGGCGGAGTCTTGAAAAACCTCGTCTCGACGACAGAATGCCATAACGATTCAAGCAAGAAACCGCCTATACATAAACGTCCAAATTGGTCTTTTCCGGTTGCATTGTGCAAACGCTCAGCTATTTGAAGCGACAACGGCTTAGATGATGAAAGCATTATTTGATCACGAGCTTACTAGGCTTTGATGTGTAATTCGCAATACATAAATGGTAGGAAATTGTGAATGTTTTTTTGTGGAGTGCACGGTCCCATTCCTAATTCCAGACCTTGGGAATTATGTGTGAAATTTAGTGTGGACTAGAACAAGCTTAAAAATATGGAGCATTTCCGCCAAGACTTCCAAGGTTGGATCTACCGCATTGTTACCCTATTAAGCACCGCCACATACGTCCTTATAAGCAGCCACATATGATACCTAGGTATCGGTACCTCTAGGTACTTTAACATTTTCATGCAACTCAATGAATCCAACTCTCAAAATATTCAGAGAAGTCTCTGAAGACCGCGATGGACTCAAGTATAGACGCCAACAGGATGATGCTCAGACCCTATAGAGCTTCTCATAGTCGTTTCAAACCCGAAACGCACTACATACTTTTCTAGAAATTAAAGTGCCTTTTTTTCAGCGCCCTCCTGGAGTTTACAGCAGCATAAGCTCGACAGTCGCAAATTCGCGATATCACATCCACGACTTTTCATCCATATGCTTCCATGGTGACGACTACAGCAACTAGTTTCTAAACCGTCGCCATCAATTCGCGTTCAATTTTTTCTTCATAGCCCGATAGACTAACCCTATTTCGCTATTTCGGGCCGCATCTCCAGCGACTTGCCCTGATGTTGCTGGTCTTGGTCACGCCCCGCTCGTTAGATGGGTTATTGCTAGTATCAAAGAAAGCTAGCATTTTCTTCTCCAATTTACTAAGTAATTGGGGTATCCTGGTTATAGAGTATACCTCTTTTCGCGATGCTGTTGAGAATGCGAGTGTAGATATTGTTGTGACCTCTGTGGGCGTGTTACTCGGTAACACTACTTCATGTGTTTACATAGCGACGTATGGAGCACATCAATTTGAAGGAGCATGCAGCCCTCAATTCCTAATCTTGTCACATGGAAGAGGTAGATTTTGGAGTAGGATGGTTGATATCACGAATTGCTATCCGGCGAAGGACAGAAAAAACTCTAGCGTACACTAGGTTACGGCACGTCGCCTTAATGGTTTTCTCGGGTCGGAAGTGAAGCATTCTGAATGGTGGATTAAAGTCAACAGTATTCGACTATGCTGGGTAAGGTGGCACGATGGACATGGTTAGACCAGAGCGGGCATGGATACCCAGATCTAACTAGTTCCCCAGACTTCCCCAACCTCCGCATCTTACCCCGATCTTACCATTGGTCGGTCCCTATTGACGCGGCCATCGGTTCCATCGCCATGGGGAAGATGGGTCTTCTAGTGACATTCATGTTACATGGGAATCGCCCAAGTGTGGTTCAATATAAGACCCCCCTCCCCGGCCCTTGAACGAACCTCAATGTTCTCTCAGTACGCCTCACCCGACGAGGCAATTCTTTCATTGGAGTCAACGCCATAATAGCCCATCATGGCGGCCCAAGTCCAAGCTGGTAGCGCCCAGAAGGTTGCCGACCAAGAGTTGGAAGAGAAGTTGGGGCACACCGCCATCCTCGACGCCAAACAAGCCACAGACGATGAACATGCGCAGACTCTCTTCCAGGGTCTGCGGGAGAACCGTAAGGCCGTCTTCTGGTCTATATTGCTCTCTATGACCATTGTTATGGAAGGGTAAGTCCATAAGCATTTGTCATTGCTGTTGGAGATGTGTACTTACTCTAGTAGATATGATACTATCCTCATTGGTAACTTCTTCGCCTACCCCGAATTTCAGAAGAAGTTTGGGGAGTATTTCGGCGAGAAAGTTGGCTGGCAAGTGACGGGAGAATGGCAGACCGCCTTGAACATGGGTAGTACTGCTGGTGCTGTTGTTGGTACGTTATCACTGGACTCCGTCCCGTCAATCGGGAAAATCCTGAAGTTAATAGACTTCTATAGGTGGATTAATGAACGGTTACATGGCTTCCAGATTTGGTTACAGATGGACTATGATCATATCTCTAGCTGTGATCAACGCATTCATCTTCATCGTTTTCTTCGCCCCCGGTCGAGAGGTGCTCCTCGTCGGTCAAATCCTCTGTGGTTTATCATGGGGTGTATTCGCGACGCTAGCACCTGCGTACGCGTCTGAAGTCTGCCCTACTAATTTGCGTGGTTACTTGACTACCTATGTTAACCTATGTTGGGCCATTGGTCAACTCCTTGCTACCGGAGTGCTACGCGGATGCCTTCACATTGAAGGAGAAATGGGATACCGTATTCCTTTCGCTATGCAATGGGTACGAACCATCCTTCAACTTGTTGATTCTTATAGGCAGTCCATCTAACTTTTAGCAGTTATGGCCCATTCCCCTAATGGTCGTCGTATTCTGCGCGCCTGAAAGTCCATGGTGGCTCGTCCGCGCTGAGCGCCTAGAGCAAGCTAAGCATTCCATAGTAAGGCTCAGCGGCGAGAAAACTCAGGAACAGATCAACAACCAGCTTGCTATGATGGTCCACACAATCCGAATAGAGGCCGAGGCGACAAAAGGCGCAACATACCTGGACTGTTTTAAGGGCGAAAACTTGCGGCGAACAGAGATCGTTTGTGTTACCTTCATGGGACAGATCCTCTCTGGTAGCAGTTTTGCTTACACGCCAACCTACTTCTTCACTACCGCCGGCATGGCTACCGCGCAGGCATTTAATCTCAGCCTTGGCGCTAAGGGCATCGCATTTGTTGGGACAGTATTGTAAGTTCGCGTTGCGATTCACCTATTTTTGATGGCGTTCTAACATTCTCGGCCATAGGTCATGGTGGCTCATCACATATTGGGGCCGACGTCCTCTATATGTCGGCGGAATGGGGCTCCTTTCCATAATCCTCTTCCTCATCGGAATTCTAGATGTCTCCGCTGGCGGCAAAGGCCTTTGGCCATCGGGAGGTCTTTGTGTGCTTTGGTTGTTCGTGTACTCCCTTACAATTGGCCCCCTAGCAGTAGGTAAATACAGCGCATCTAGCCCCTAAACCCCACTAACAATACGCTGCAGTACAGTATCATCGCCGAAACATCTTCTGTCCGCCTCCGACCCTTATCCGTCGTGCTCTCACGCACATCTTACCAACTCATCAACATTATTTCGCAATTCTTACAAGCATACATGATGAACCCCGTCGAATGGAATTTACTAGGAAAGACGGGGTTCTTCTGGGGCGGCACAGCGTTTTGCGTTTTCATCTGGGCGTATTTCCGTCTGCCTGAGGTTAAGGGTCGTACTTATGAGGAATTGGATATTCTTTTCATGAATAAGGTCCCGGCACGTAAGTTTGCTAGTACGCAAGTTGACCCGTATGCTTCTAGTGCTACGGCGCCGGCGGACGACGCGATGGAAATTGAACACAAAACCTCGTCGGGTTAAGGTAATTGAACTCGAGCCTCATACAGAAATCTATGTACCCGCAGTCATAATTCAATCAATGCGCCTCTGTTTATTCATCCACCCTTTAAATAAAACGATAAAAATCGCATGAAGTTTTTGAGATTGGCTTGGTAGCCATATTTCGTGGCATAGCTGTCGTGTAGAGAAAAAGGCGTTAGATTGTAGAGGTTATTGGGGGTTCAATAGCGCGTTTATTGCCCTGAAAGACCTATGGTTTTAGCGGCGTAGCGCCCGTAATTACCGACCCCGATCAACACAAAGCGCCTACTACCAGGTAGGTAGCAAAATCTCCAGTAAAACTCGCAAGGCTTTCGTCAACCACGGGTTGGGGTTCGTATTCTATCATAATATGCTTCTATGCTTTCTCTTCCATCCTCTGTGAACTATATGATACAAAAGATGTAAAAAGTTCGTACTACCGTACGCATCTCCCGTGTAGGCACCTTAACAAATTCCTAGTAATGCTCCACTAACTCCATTGTCTTTAGTACGCCGCTGATCCTCAGGGACTAGGATTTTTTCAACGTGGTCGACGCATGTCGGTTGGCGGCGTATGGCGTAGCCAATTGGCTATTCTATGGTTGCCAATGAACTAAATGGTCCGTCTAAGTAAATGACATGATCCACGACCCTGTCGTATCTCTTCCCAATAGAAATCCTTCCATTAGTCGTCGCCAGCTATTGTGTCGTAAGTCCGTGCATTGGCCAGCGTATCCCAGTTTCAGCTGAAAGATAGGAATAGCTTTATCTTCAAACGGTTTCCTCGATTCTGTAGTTTCCCGAAATCTTGAACATAACCACATTCACCACCACCTTAGGTAAAGTTACTAGATCACTCCAGTAACCATCACCGACTACCAAATCCATCATGACCACGAAACCTTCCGACGCGCCGTGGGCGGATGAACCCTTTCACTTAATTAAGACACCATCAACCTACCTTACGGTACGTAGACTCGGATAGTTCATGGCATATCCAGTCAAACAACTAGGCTAATTCATCTCTAGGACTCGCATTCCTATGTTCACACAGCCTCAGAAATGGCCCATTCTCATAACGTCATCATAAGAGGACTGAACGCCATAATCCAACAAGCCCCTTATGTGGCCATTTCAACGGACAAGAACTATATCGCCCAGGACGTAAAAGACCTCCTATTCTACGTCCATTCATGGGCCAAAATGATGAACCACCACCACTTCACCGAAGAATCGTCGATATTTCCCGAGATCGAAAAATTCAGCGGTAAACCCGGGCTTATGGAGGGCCCGAAGCAGCAACACGAGGTCTTCCACGGCGGGGTAGAGAAGTTGTTAGAATATTCGTCGACTACGAAACCTGAAGACTACCGATGGGAAGGGCCGAATGGGATGAAAGCTATTATAGATTCGTTTAGTAAAGATCTCACGGACCATTTGTACAGTGAAATTGATCTCTTCCTCGGGTTTAAGGATTTGGATAATGATGGTTTGAGGAAGTCCTGGGATAAGGGCGAAACGGTTGCCAAGCAAAACGGGAATCTTGCCATGCTAGTGAGTTTGACGCATCCGACCTTTGGTATTATATGGGAATTGACTTGTGTAGTATGACGTGTTTCCTTGCGTGCTCGGATGCGCCGATAAAACCTATGAGGTTGGGCACACGTTCCCTCCATTGCCTTGGGTAGTGCCCTACGTCATCCAGTATTGGTTTGCTGCTGGGAACGGAGCATGGAGGTTTAATCCGTGCGACTGGTGGGGTCGCCCGCGACCTCTGACCTTCGGTCCGCAGAGTGGGAATTGAACGGGTGCGGTGTATCAGGAACGCGCTGAAAATGAGAGTACAGGGTAAACACGATTTTCTCCATATAAGACCCCGTTGATGTGCTTGGGATTATTCTCGTGGCGACCCTAAGAATGCTTCGAAGCGTACGCGGCTGTTGGTAACTGACGATATACCTAAATCGTTTAAGGGGATCATGCATATGCCTGAGGTTGATGGAGGAACTTGAACTTGCTTCAAAAGTCGATCGTGTTAATATCACAACTTGGTTAAGCCGACCCGTGTTCGAGCCGTTCCTAATCGTACAGATAACTTAAGCGAGCAAGGGCTGTCTCTCGTTCTCGCCCTCAATTATGGGCTCTTCGCCTTCTCGGAACCTATTTTACGTGTTAGCTTGAGAGCCAATGTCTCTACAGTAAAATTGACTTACATCGTATATCCAACAAACGACAGCAACCAGAAAGAGCCCAAATAAGTCAGACACCACTCAAGGATTCCCGACGCTTTGAACTGGCCATCGTACATTAAAATCACAAACGCGAGCCCACAGCCGAACTGGCAAAGCACCAAAAACGTATTAAAAATACACCTATCATGATATTAACGTTAGTATCCCTTCAGAGGGCGCAGTTACACAAGACATACCATTTCCGCAGCCCTTTAAAGACAGTGGGGCCCGAAAGCTGGTCCCACCATACCACAGTCGTAATCACCGCGCTCACGAACAATCCTCCAAACGTGCCCATGAGAAGATGACGGTGGCGTTTATGCGCATCATCTGTATCGAATATACTAAGATTCGTCAAACTTATCGCGGCAGCTAGACCTGCTATCTGAGCAACAAGACTAGCAGTCTGTCTCCAGGGCCAATCGTCCGTCAACCCATAAAACTGGGGCGAGTAACGGACGTGGTGGACCGCGAACATGGTCCCGATGAATGTGATTCCTGTTGCGCAGCATCCTATGATGAACACAGGTTTGAACTGATGCGCAGCAATGTCGCTAATAAACGGTACGTAGGGATTCATTTGTCCGGGATATTGAGGGCGGCCGATAGCTAGCCAGCGGACTAGCAGGATAGTAAGAGTTAGAAACCAAAAAGTCCCCGCGAGTAACGGGAAGAGCCACAGTCGACGGATAGAGAAGAAATCTCGAAACGTGCGATACCATATTCTCGCCATCGTGACATTAATTAATTGGTAGAGCCAAGATGCTCACCGTAGCAGACTATGGATGGATACTTCCAGTCAGTGGCTTCTCTTTATTAGAAAGAGTGGAAGGAAATTAACTGGAGACGCCGGAACTTAAACCCCAAGATCTCCAACTTAAGCAAAGGGTCACGAGTTTGTCATAGCTGCGGGCTGACCCGAGGGATGGCGGGGTGTGTGGGTACGTATATGTTTTAGAAGATTTCATTGGATACCAGCAAGGGAATACGAGTGTGGAGAATTAAAAAGTAATGATTTGATTGGCCGATTCCTCTAAGGATGAACACAATAATGTTCCCCTTTTTGGTTTCATTATTCATAGGTAAGTTTAGAGTGCCTTTAATAAACCTTCATGCTTTATAGTCCACGTCCCGTCTTTAGGGAAACCAGGAGCATCAACTTTCGATCCATTCCAACCAGCGACCATGTACGCAACTAGAAGAATGTTAGACTGATACTGATCCGAAACCAATTTTGTGGAACGTTACTCACCGGCGTAGAGGAAACCTGCATTTCCCGGTATAAAAGGGGGCGGGGTATCTCCTATCCGACAGTTAGTTAATCATGAGTTTCTTCGTTTCTTTCCTCAGCCAATGCAACTCACCATCACCTCCTCGCACAGCAAAACCCGCATCATCAAACGACCAATAGTCATATGCCGTCAAATGATAGATAGCACGCTCGGGGTTTCCAATCCTCGCGGAGTTAATAGCTAGCACGGGTCTTCCCCAACCACGGATTTTATCGTCTGTCCAGACTTCCCAAATCTTATCCGCAGTCTTGAGCGCGACATCGGGATCGACAGCAGGTGTATCAGGGAGAATTCCTTGCAGCATGATAAGACTACGAGGATCGCCATTGAGCTTCGAGTTTTCCCACCACGAGCTGTTCAACCCCTCGTAAACGGTGTAGAGCCCGTCTACTTGAGGTGGTGGGGCGAGATTCTCAGCGACGGTTGTCCATTTTTCGGGTACGGATTGGCCTAATCGTCTTTTCCATTCCCGAGCAACGTCTAAGCCGTACCTCCAGTATGCGATCTAGAAAATCAATCTTAGCCGTGCGGCACCATCGGATTTAGTAAATGCGCCAACTCACTTCATAGGCCAAGTTCAACGTTTCTGCTGGAGGCGTATTTTCTGTCACGCCGTAGCTAGGCGGACCGAGATCATAATGGCCCGAACTCTCATTCTTCCAAGCATAAGATGCCATATAATCCGCCGACGCGCTCAGAACCGTATCCCATTTTTTCAGAGTCCCTCGAGTGGGCGAAGCTTGATATGCTAGCTCTGCCAAGTACATCAGGTGGGGCTATTGGGGAATGACCGTGTTAGTATCATCCGTCGGTATCCGAATGTTTCACGTACCTGTTGCCATAAGAGAAGCCCATTAATGCCTCCTGGCGAGCTGACTCCGGTGATAGTCTCAGTCATCTTCGGCCACCTAACAATTATCCCGTTAGTATCGCATGAATCTTCTAACACGGGATTCAACATAATTACCTTGCGCCTTCCCATCCCATTGACTTTGCTCTTGCCAGGGATGAGGGTAGAAAGGTCTCGTAAAGCTCGGGGAAGATATTGTCGAAGTACTTCTGTCGACCCCAAGTACTCCAATGGGCATTATGCCACTATAGGGTCCATTGTCAGCAATACTTCCATTTAAATTGGAGGGAACTCAAGGAGTCACATACAACAACCATTTCCATATGGAATTTACCTACGGGTTATTAGTACCACCAGCGATGCAGCGCTATAGAAACCGGAGACACTTACCATACCACCCATTATTCATGAGTCCACTTTCTTGGGGCGATTGTCCCTTAGCCGCGCTATTGACTCGGACGTGGTACATCGACAAAATGATACGACGCTGCAACTCATCGGCTTTCGAGTTTGACGAAGATGTGAGGTCGACGAAACCACCCTCATTCCAGTATTGGTTCCATCCCTTGGAGTTGCGCTGTCGGATAGACGAAGGGAATTCCGCCGTTCGTTTATCAGGGGAGAAATGTGCCGTGAAGTCTATGGTATTAGGTCTGTGACGCGACTTGGATGCAGCCGACAGGGTATATCGGTGGGCTGTTATGGCAGTTGAATTTGCCGGCTCGACTCTGGACAGACCAAGGACGTTATCAACGGGCCACCTCAGATTCACGAAATATTTCGTCTCTTGCAGTTCATGGTAGATATGCGCCTCGTCCACTCGGCAATTCTTGACAATCGAAGTGGTGTGATTGAGCGGGAAGTCATAGACTCCTGCGAATACTTCATACTTGTACTTCGTAGTATGGATTGGCGGGTAAGGGAAGTCCAACTCAACCTCTAGATCACCTGAAGCTAGTAGCTCGGATTCAACACGGAACGCTACGGCATCCGATTCAAAATCGCTTTGAGTCACGACGGTAACACTCTCTCCGGCGATTTCAAAAGTCGATGTTATGACTCCATTCCATAGATCGAGCTCCTGGACCTCGTTGGTAATTTGGAAAGCCGACAAAGTGGCACCTTGGTATCTTAGGCCGATGCGACCCAAGTTGATACGATTGGGATTCGATATGAGCCATTGTGAGATTTCCGGGAGCTCCGGGTCGGGAATATCATATGAGACATTTCTGCCGTGAGTTATCATAGCTACCCCATGATAATCGCTGAGGCTTTCACTAGATCTGGGTTAGTCATTGAGTTTATACAGGTAGGTTACACGACTGACATACCCATTGACAGGTAAAGTATCATTATGCCAGGCCCAACTCGACAGTGTATTGAATGGTAGGAAAGTCTTGAGATATTGTTAGTGAACTTTCCTTAACTCGATACACTAGGATATCATTACCTGCATCCCCGTATTGTCGACATTGAAGGCGAAGTTACCATTGCCGACTTGCAAGGGGGTGGTTTCGTTGTCAATTAACCTTTCCCTCTTGACATTGTACTTGGAAACGATACTCTGCCTTTTTGGCTAAGTTAGGATTCCATTTTCAATTATGAGTATGCGTACCTACCTGTCGATCTTTCCAAGGGCCAGATCTGACAGTAACACAAGGCCAATCAATAAGAAAGCCATAGCTAACCACGAGATGGAGCTCAACGGTGACTTGAACAAACACGAATAGTAATCTAAGAGACATCATGATCCAATTTATTGGGATATCGACTATTTAGCCAAGACGAAGACCGGGGCAAATGTAACCGAACTCATGCCCCGATCGCTTCTAGCCGATACGTTCATTTCAAGAGAACGTCGAACCCATGTTAAAGGTTCCCCGCAAAGAAGAAAATAGCAGCATAGCAGCATCGTTGGCAGGGACTAGCTTCATTATAGAAATGAAGTCTACGATCTAGCAACGAATTTGGGGTAACGCCAAGATTCTATACCTGGTCATCCCCATGGGGCTATTGACTTCTCGGTAGGAACCCCGAAAGCGTAAGCGAGGGTAGCCATAATGTGGGACTAGAACTTCTTTGTATCGAAATAGCCGAGCATGATATTAAGGCCACCGAGAAAGCGAGTGTAAAAGATGTAGGTAGGCATAATCGATCATAGTATTATTCTATGTTAACAAGACAAATACCTACCTAGGTACCTAGGTTTCAGGCTACCCCACCCCGAACCCATAGGTTGCTTTAGGGCGTTGTACCTGCATATGAACACTAAATTGAACTCTACCCTCTACCCCGCCATCACGAAAAGCGTACGCTTCTTCACTAATCTATCTGACTTTTGCCTAGAACATCATTAAGCGCCAACCTACATGTATCTAAAAGAGATCCTAAGATACCTATCTGATACCTAGGTACTGATAATTTGAAGGCTTCCCGAACTTCGAAACAAAGGTTGAAATTTCACATTACAAGCCTCCTTGCTATGTATTCTTTATGTTATATAAAGTTACAGGCCCTGCACTAGTACTTTGTAAATAAAGAGATTAAATAAAGGAGATGTGATTTTATACTAGAATCGGTCCAGCATTTAAGGGGATCTATGTCCCTACGAGTAGCACCTAGATGTCATACAAGCCTCTATACCCTTTGAAACTTCTTTTTTCTATCCGTTTTATTAAATATACAATTGTATATAATAAAAGCATTGTTAAGATTTATTGGTGATTCGTTAATTGAACCAATTGATGGGGTCATATACCAGTCACCGTGCGCCTCATAATCCCATATAAAAATCCTATATATGATCAATCACATTAAGACACCCTTATATAATCTTTCGAATATCCACAACTACAAATTCACTATTCTATTTCACTACTACCTGATTTCCACCGATCGTAGCACGCATATTACGGACTGCCGTCAGCAACATCGTCAAGGGTTGTCCTCTCCTTCACCTTCACACATGGCTTCTTGCACCTCTACTATGAACCCTAACGTCGCTGAGGACGTTAGATATATACCGCCCGCGTACGAAAACGAGAAGTCAGCTAAGAAACGACGTCGTAGCAGTTCAGCATCCAGTAGAAAAAGGAACTCTCATCCCCATCAACCCGAACCCGAAACATTACCAGAAGCGCAGCAAAATGTAAGTTAATTTAACTTATCGATGTATTATCTTATCTGTCTGATTATGAAGTTAACATGTAATAAAGCAGCCAAGATAAACAATGCAGCAATTCATCGAACTCGAACCTACACAACTTGAACGCTTCATATTCGACCAAGTTAGGTTTCCTCCCGATAATACGGAACTTGTCCTCGACCAAAAACGATTAATACGCGAATTCTATCGAACCGAGGAACTACGCTTAGAGAATAACCGACGACATATTCACCGTAGCGAGAGTGACTCCGATCCCGAAATGGAAAAAGTTGACCCCATAACTTATAGGAGAGTCCTTGAGGCTAATGGCATTGAAGAACTTGGACAAACAGAATGTCTGGCTCGCGCTCCAACTTTTGTTAAAGATATTCTAAAAACGCTTGACCTCGTTGATAGTGGGAACCAGACTCGTCGCCGACATTCCCATCCTAAATGGTACATTGAAGAAGACGACCAAACGGCAAAGAAATTCCTATACTACGAGAGCATGCTCCGGTCCATACGTAACGGGTCCAAGAAAACTATTGAAAACATTGTATACTCCGCCCTTGCCTTGGACAGCAACGAATGTGAAGCATGCGATGCTGCTATGTGTTTAGCAGCTGATCAGAAGTTCGGACGAGTGTTTCTTAATCACTTTCAACACCCTGACCTACTCGTTGTCCCTCAACCGGACTTATACTTTGGATACGAAACAGATGAATTTCTCGACAACGACCAATACATACCGAAGAACTAGCAAGATCTTCCAACGGAGATATATCAGCCCTACTGCGAAATATCGGAGCCAATTCAAATCTGTTATCCTTGTTTAATAATGGAAGCGAAATTCGATGGTCGGAGCATAAACGGAGCTCAAAGACAATACATCGGCAGCTGCGCTACTACCTTTGCAGCATTGCATTTTGCATTCCCGCAAGAGAAGGAGTTCGTTGTCTTCGGTCTCACAGTTTCACATATGACTGCGGAAGTTTTTGTAACGTAGAGAACGCTCGGCGAGGACGGTAGGGTCCATTATTATTTTGGACCCGTCAAGGGGTTTAATCTACAAACGAGATCCTCGTTTATCGAATGTAGGAAATACGTGCGCGCAATTCATCACTGCGGGGTAGGAGATCGGAAAAAACGAATGAAAGAACTGTTGAAAGAAGCGTGGAAAGAGCTCGCGCGTTTGATTAAGCCGAACCCAGATGAAACCGAGTCGGCTTCTTCTTGTGAGACAAGAGAGTATGTCAGCTATTAGTTTAGTTGATAATCATCATGGCTCTTCAAACCTATCGCGCTTGACCCCTTCGTATCTAGAGGACGCGGAGGATGGCCGAGGGAGCTGAGAAAGGAAATTTTGGAGTAGTTGAAAACGGAAAAGGAGAAAGTAACAACATTCAATGGATCGAAGAAATCAGTAATGCAATGGATGATAACGGCGAAGGGAACATAATAAACGGCGCCAATTCGATAGCTATTTCATTAGTGATAGTTTAGGAAATAGATGTATTAAAATTAGGGATTTATTTTCAATCTACATCTAGCACAGCTCGTAACTTATACGTGAGTCTATTTCATTAGGAAGATATTCCGATACATAGTTCGGATCGCGATCAAAAAGCGAAAACGCGACCCGGGCGCGTACCTAGGTGTACACATAGAATTTGTGCATGGTAATCCCCTTGATATTTATTTTCCATGTTAGGTTATCATAAGGAGGTAAGAATTGGGCTTTTCCTTGTGATGGAATAGCATACCCGTGAATTGAACGTAGAATACCACTAAAAGTATAGCGATATTTAGCGCGTGCCTCCTTATAGTTACAACAGCTGAATGAATGGATAGGACCGAGGTTAGGCCTTCCAGGGCTAGTGGTACCTATAACGTAACGCAATTCTCGATATAGTGTTAGTGGATGACTGTGCTTCGAATCATGACCTCGGGAGGTTTAGCTGTGAGTAGAGCGCTGCAGCCCACTGCAATTATAGTGAACATCGGCGTCTTGCGCCCCGTGTCTACAGCGGATAGTATGCTATAGAAGCTTCGTGCGTAGAAAATATTGTCAGGCTTCAATTCCATCGTCACTTTATCAAGCTTTCTATAACCGCTTGCTGTTTCAAACCATCCCAACATCAAATGATGAGTTGGTTTATGACATGTCATAGGAATCAATAGGGTTGTGAAGTGAGTTCCACATGGTCCGGAGAATACCTAAATGTCCCGGGTCGTCGCCCCTAATTCAGGGGCAATCGGGGCAATTATAGTGGGACTGGTCTCGGCTTCGGATGGTGGGCCGCTCGCGTAGCGAGACGCGAGGCGACCGGCGTCCAGTTGTGCCTTCCCCTAATCCGATGCAACATCCAACTTCTTCCTAATCCAGTGAAGTAATGCCAATAATGTATCAACTAAAGCTGGTTACTGATGAGAAATTCGTCTATTTTCTGATTTGAAATATTTAGTTATCCTTTTGTCAGTGGGATGATTGCATGAGAAAAGTATTGAGGTCTCATGCCTTAGTAGAATTTCCGATCCAACTTCTAAGGACGGAGGTTACTGCAACATCCCACATCAAAGGGGTACATTATTACTTGAGGGATGTCGAGATGAATTGGTGGTTCGAATGAGCTTGCGATATCCCTAATATTCCCCTGAGGCCGGATCGGGATACGTCTGAAGGCACTCTGCGATATTCATGTATCTCAATGTAGTTAGATATGAAATAGCTACATTGGTCGGGTGAAGCGGGCTTCAATGTAACTCTATGTGCATAGAGCTATATACCCCACGAAGCATACGACATACGTGCATGAATGTGGTCCCGTATGATATTCATAGTATTTCTAAGCCACCAAGTTACTCCCCAACAGCTGTTCCGAGTTTGCCTATATACCTGGATATCTACTAACGCTTAGTATAAATACACCTTCCGCCTCGCGGTGCCTCTTCACCTTACCCAACTCTTATTTATCCACTACGAAGTCCCGACTTTGTATCATACATATGGAATCCCCTATTCTCTTTGGCGGCGTAGTGACCGCCGTCCTTCTATGGACCTTAATTCGAAGGTTAATCTACCCTCGACCCCTACCCGGCATTCCCTATGATAAAGAAGCAGCCAAGAAGATTACCGGAGACCTCCCAAGTATCGTGAGTACATACAAGGAATTGACCGAATGGTCAATACCTATCGGCCGCCGCTCTCTCCAATATGGATCACCAATCCACATGGTCTTTACAGCCCCGTTCACGAAGCCGTATGTTATGATCGATGATCCGAGAGAAGTGTCCGACATTGCGGTAAGGAGGTCGAAGGAATTTGACAAGAGCACGAGAGCTGGTATTTGGCAGACCTTTATCCCGCATTCGACTATTGCACAGCTGTCAACGCCAGAATGGAAGGCCCAGCGGAAGACGGTACGCGATATTGGACACATTTTGCTCTCTTCCAGCCAATGCTTTTAGGACCCATCTGTGAACCATATCTAAAGACTAGCTGCTAACCCTTCACCATAGTGGCAAGATGCTATGCACCCAGACTTCCTCCGACGCGTCGTAGCGAAAAATATCTACGCCGCAGCCGGAGACTTGATAAAGCTCTGGGAAGTCAGATGTGCGCATTCGAATGGCCTTCCAGTTAATGTCAGCAGTGACTTCTCCTTCGCGGCCCTCGACGCTATCTGGACTGCGACTTTCGGCGAGCGCTTGGAAGTGGTCAAAGCTCAGATACAAATGCTAGAGACTGGAGAAAAAGTCGAAACCAAGGGCCTTGATATGCATAATACTGTCCAGTATATCAACCACCTTGCGAATACTTGGCGAGGTTCCTCTTGGCCGGCTCTGACCCGGTGGAAATTGCAGAGAAACCCGGCATATCGCAAGTACACAGAGGCTAAAGACAAGGAGATCGATCGTATACTGCTAGACGCGACGGCCCGTTTCCAGAAGATATTGGATAAGTCTGGCGATGGTAATGACGATGGTGAAGAACATGATACATGCGCTATGGATCTTGTTCTGAGGCGTAACATGGTAGCTGCTCAAAAGGCTGGAAGGCCTATTCCGGACCCAACTAAGGACGTGGGAATGAGAGATGAACTACTCCTCTTCATTTATGCTGTAAGCTGAATTGCGCCACATAAAATTTGGAGAATATCAGTTAACGTCACGATAGGGTCATGATACAACCAGTATAACTTGTACGTTGATAGGTGTTGCCTATTTTTTCTCGTTGCGGGGCTAACTCTACCTTGCAGTGCAATGGTTCGTAAAGTACATGACCAACAACCAAGAAGCGCAAACCAAACTCCGGGACGCCTTGCGATCCGCCTTCCCTGGCGACTCACTGCCCGATGTTTCAGAACTCCTCACCAAGGATATCCCGTACCTAAGCGCGACCATCGAAGAGACGCTCCGATGTGCTGGCACGGTAGGCCGCATTGTGCGCGTCGCGAAAACTGACACAGAGGTATTCGGACATAAGATTCCTGCCGGGACTGAGATGCTTTGTCTCACGACGCTTAAGTGGCGCCCCGCACCTGTGCCTGAGGAGAAACGCAGTGCGACAAGCCGTGCTGCGCTTGAGAAGAGTGGTGGTGTCGACTGGACACAGAAGCCTAGCGGTCAGGACTTGGACAAGTTCGCTCCTGAGCGATGGTTCAAGACTGACGAAGACGGGAATGAGGTTTTCGACGCTAATGCACTACTTCAGATCGCTTTCGGGGGTGGCAATAGAGGTTGTTTTGGTAAGTTCCCTTGGGATTATTGGGGATATTGAATAGTTATAGAAAATTGCTGACTTTTGGGTAGGGCGACGATTGGCCATGATGGAACTACGCATCATGATTACCTTGGTTGTGATGAGTTTCAAACTCCTTCCAATACCGCCTGAGCTCAACAGTTTCCAAGTCACTGAACAATTGCTTCGGAGTCCTAAGCAGTGCTTCGTGAAGCTTGAGGCGGCTTGATATTACATGAATGGGTCAAGGATTGATGTTCTGCGAGTCAAATGGTAACTAGATGAGGCGACGCACCGTTGTCAATTTCGTTATTCACCTAGAATCCCATGTCCCAATCTTAGTATACCGGTAGTTTCATTCTCAACCATATAGCCAATACGATTCTGTCGTTAAAGATCTCTAGAGCGCCCTAGTAAATGATTTATGCAGTTCACCTAATATCCATTGGACCAGCCCTTCGCCTTGTTGATTGCCTCAGTCGGTAGAGATTCGCTTAGTTCCTTAAGCTTGTCAAGAGGAATACTACCCCACCACTGTTCTGCAATCCCTCTAAACTCAGCCATGCACATCCCATTCTCTACACTGCCCCGCGAATCATCGTGACTTTTGAAAACGTCATTTAGCGAACACTCTAGCTCATCAAATGAGCTGGATTTGGAGGATTCGTTCGTCTTACTAAATCTCGATTTTAAGGCAGCGCCGATTGCGGTGGCCGCGCCTCCTCCTTGAATGACGCCGTTGACGACGGCGAGACCGTATCCACCCATGCCAGCGCTCTGCAGTGTGGCGAATACGCTTCCTGCGGCAACATTGCCTATTCCGGCCTGGGTTGATGCTGCTAACGAAGCTGTGGGAATTATATTTGTGTTAGCAAAATGCCCTCGAGTTATTAATACACGAAAAACTGCGAAATTTAAGAAACGTACCCGCTACAGGCCCGGAAGCACCAAAGCCGGCTGCTGCCAGGGCCGGAGCGGCGACCACCGCTGGCACTAAAAGGAGGGTGCCAGCAGTGGCGTACGCCGCTGTATTTCTAGGGTTCTCAGCTACCCATTGGGCGGCTTGATTGGCACGCTCGGCGATAAGATCGAAATTCATCTTGACGTTGTTTTTGATGAACTTTAAGATGCAAGACTGTAGTACGTTTTTTCGCCTCTGATAAAATAAAAGATGAAATATCGGAAAATAAAGACTGGGAGGTAAAGAATACACCGGGCAGACTTTATTTAAGCGCTTGCGATGGCCGACTTTTATGGTCGGCGGGATTCGTTATGGAGGGCCTGAGGCACCTTGGGTTGCACAACAGTCGGCGGCCTGTGGTTCGCACAAATCTGCCTTGCCATCCATTTACACCCAACACGTTAGATTAGAAGACCAACCGTTTGCATTGTCCATGGCCTTTATTAGGTAGTTGGTCTGTTTGAGTTGTTCAACGTGTCAAACGAGGAAGCGGACTAAAGTCCCGTTTACGTGAGTGTCAAAAGTGACGTATCACTTTTTAGCTGGGCTGGTGGGTATTGACTCATTGACCTGCTACATTTATTTTTCAGAAGCTGGCCTTGCAAGAAATCCGGGATGAAACATCAGAGGAAAGCCCCAAGAATCAATATGTTTACATGTAAGTAACACTCCTAATCCGTACCGTTCCTGTCGATCCTAACGTGAATTTTTCAGATATCACGTAAACGCGCGATTACCTCATCCGCACCTCTCTGACCCGAACGAATCGCACCGTCCATATAGCCCTTCCAAACGATAGATGTCTCCGTACCAACGAAATGAATATTCCCCACAGGTTCCCGCAGCACGTAGGACCCGAGCGACGTAAGTACACCCGGTGCCATGATAGGAGAGGGTGCGCCAAGGAAATACGGCTGTTCTGACCATCTCTGTTCGTGAATGGCAATGGGCTGGGGAACGGTCACAGCGGTAGAGAAGACCGAATTGAATTGTTCGAGTATCGCCTCCCGACGCTCCGCTTCCGATAACTTGTTCCAAACACGTCCCATTTCACCCACCACAAAACAGCTTATAGACCACTGGTCGTCCTCGGGGGCGCTGGTGTCGCGCGTGAAAGAGATCGGTCCCTTATAAGATGTCATTACACCTGATAAATCAGTTGCGTGCCACCATGGCTTGTCGAAGACTAATACTACTTTACTGTAGTATCCGAGGGTGGTACTTTCGCCCAGCTTTCGCTTCTTCTCTGGAAGTGGTGGGGTGAATTCAATCGAGCCGTACAAGCTAGTCGGGACGGAAATGATGATATGCTTGGCCGTGAATGCAGTGCCAGCTGTGGTCTCTACCTCGTAAGATTGGTCGTCCTTTTGGTGAACAGATCTGACTACAGTGTTTAGGTGGAGTGAGTCTTGAGCCAATTCACCCGCGAGCCCTTTTGATATAGTTTGCATGCCTATGGTATAGAGCATCTGATGTCAGCCTTTGGAGTTTCCATATAGCTCGATTCCTTTCGTACCTCGTCTGGCCCGGATATACTGGCCTCCGTCCTTCTTGTCTGACGTTATAACCTTCAAACCGCGCCCACTCTTGATGTAGTTAATAATGAATAGAGCGCTGACCTCGTCAGCCTCTACCCCCAGCACTGCAATGACGCTAGTCAGAAGCTATTCCTTCGAGAAACCTTTGTGGGTGAAGAGGAGCAAGAACTTGGGATATTACTCACGAGCAGCTGTGACTGCCGAGGCTGCGACGGCCCCGATGTTAGGTCCGACTTCCTGACAGAACTCAGCAAGTGTTATGCTGTCTAGCTTCTGGGCCTGCGGACTAGCTTCGGGATGCTCGAGATCCGATGCTTCTACGGCTTCGTGGACAGCCATATACACCCGCAATAGTTCTTCGTCTATATAGCCCCCTTGTCCCTTTAGACATAGTTCAACATCAGTAGCCATTCGCTTACGGAGACAGTGCCTCTCAGATGGTTCATTTACTTACCGATGACTCATCATCATATGGATGAGCTACTGTGCTGCCATCCGGAGCTTGTCGAAAACTAGTACCGAAGGTCCTCTGAATTTCGGCCCCGAGGTTGTACTTCTCGAAAAGCTTCCATATTTCGGATTGGTTGGTGTCGTTTACCCATGCTGCCCCGATGTCATTCGCACCAGCAGGTTTGGAGCTTGACTTGATGCTAAGCGTTTTGCCGCCCACGCGATCGTTAGCCTCTAGGACTAGGCAGGAGAACCCAGCTGCCTGGATTCTCACAGCTGTTTGAAGTCCACTAAGGCCTGCTCCCACCACGATCACATCCGCAGTTTTGTTCGACATTGTGGAGTAAGGATGTTTGGACGATTGTAATGACGGCAAATGAGGTGAGAAGGCTGTGTTTAGATTAGTATTCGCGTAATGCTATAGTTCGTCTGCTATTTTGGCTCTAATGCCGTGACAGTGAAAGTGACATATTCTACTAAGCAGTGAGTTTTCGCGCGGCTCATAAGTAGTTCTTGTGCTTCGTATTGCGGGCCCCGAGGAGGCCGTCCGAACAACCCGGATCCCGCGCAAAACAGTATAATTCCCAACCGCACCTTAGAAAAACTACCCTTACACCAGATCGGCAGGCTGTGTTAAGCACTTTTGAATAGCGGCAAACAAAAGTTCCCTGCGTTCATTCACATTACGTATCCTGATATAGGTCTCTTTTGTCCTTGGGAATGCAAGGGTTAGGTGGTGAATAGCTTCTACTAACCAACACTTATCATCCAAGCCAGTCTAAGCATACGTCAGCCAATGCTTCTTTGAACCAATTTAAGACTCAACAGGCTAGATTTTGGTAATAGGACTTACATTGTGAGGCAATTTGGCTCGTGTTATTTGATATTAAGATTCCAGTTTAATGGTGGATTAGTTAGTGCCCAAGTTCTAATTACTACAGCGATCCTAGCGAAAATTAGAGGGGAGCTGTTTAGGGCTGCAGGGATTGTTTCAATGGCCTGTCGCGGCGAGCTGTAGTGGGCTTAGGGACCGTATTTGCTCTTCTAGGTGCTAAATTCTCCCTTACTACCCTGTAATTTATTTACTTAGGGATGTGCCAGCTAGATATTGTTTCGGCATATGCTCTTCTCTAACTATTGCTCATAATCCCTTTCTTTGAGTCAGCGCCTAGGTTGTTGAAGGGAGATGACTTGACGACTAAGGACGACATTTATTTTCCAATACTATGAGCAAGAGGCAATTGAAAAGGCAACCGCTATCATCCACTCGACATGTTACTCATTGAAAGTGGCTCTGGCACCCCACATTCTTACAATGCCGACCGACAAGGTGATTAGATTCACATACCGCAGATCAGAAGGATAACTACATCTAAAGAAGACTCCAATGATAAGCTTAAGCCTCAAGTACGGGGAGCATTAGGTACATAATATCGTGATTCATAAGCTCGACTCTCAATGATGCGTTCTACTGATATACGAAAAGTAGTCTAAAGTCACCGATGACGCCTATCTAATAGAAACTCGGGAGGTCGTGTTGTAGTGGTATCGAAAGATCTAGCTCTCATATCTTAGGTCTAGGTCTATCGCCTCTCCTCCATTCATGATTCTCGCGGGCTGCTTTGTATGGGTCGACGTGTTGATGAATCGCTCGAACCAGCATACTGGAAGGTTCTCGACCGCTGTGAGCTCGTAGCTGGCGAACAATCTGATCCGCAGTAAGGGTAGGCCGCGCCCTGTGGAGAAGTTGAATGTACTCGAGGTCCGCCCGGTTGTTCTCGCTAGGGCGGTTAAGTCGTGAATTCATTGTGGGCGGATGAAGAGTATGGTTAATATGTGTTCTTAGGTGGTTTTCTTGTGGATAGTGGCGAAGAGAGAATACTGAACGTTGATCGAATCTTCATCGCTTATATATTTTCTGGCCCAACTCAGCCTTAGATCTAAAGTAAGTGAATTGGTTCTTGACTGATTCATAAAAACGAGGCGGATATCGAATCGCGATTCCTTATTTGACTTCATCATAAGGATATTACCTTATCTCACTGTAAAACCATCGCCTGAAAAGTCCCGATTTAGCATCTCTTGTGAGTCACTTAGCATAATGCGGCGTCCGCGATAATACCGGCGTTGGGCGGCCCCACTCGACGCAGTATACCGGCCAAAACCCGCGCTTACTCCGTTCCGTACATTGAAACTGTAGAGCTCCTTCCCTTAAGACTCAATTAGGAGCGTGCTGTACTAAGTATATAATAGACCGTTTGACATCGGAGTACTCTGTCACCGCCGATGTAATATGTTCGATGGTCTGATTAAGAACCACCCATCAGCAGTTTTGTGGGCTAGTTAGGATTGGATTTCTAGTGATGAAGTGAAATTGCTGTTACTTCGGTGGTACGTGGTGTCGTAAGAAATATCAAAAAGAGGAGAAAGTAAGGGAGAAAGAAGAAAAAAAGAAAAAAGAAGTACAAAAGGAATAAATTGCTGAAACAACAAAAACTGAAGACGACGCAGGCCTGATTCGAACAGACGCTCCCGAAGGAACAAGATCGCAGAATGCATTCTAGTCTTGCGCGTTAGACCACTCCGCCACTGCGCCTTTGTTGGTTGATGATAATTGGTCTTTTTCTTAGCCTATATACTATGTTTTTCACGGTGCTGATTGAAGATGGTGGATATATACTGTACTGCTAGGTTCATCCATTGGTTAGGCCATTTCTAGTCAGGCGAAAACGGGGCGAACGAGTAGTATCGGCCCTAATCCGAATTCGGACGAGATAAGCGACTAGAAATACTATTATTCTGATTGGATATATAGGGCTGATGACGAGATATTTTGTGCTGCTGGGTCAGGATACCTAGGTATTTCTTGATATATCTCAGAGGATGGTAACACGACAATATGCATGCATACCGGATCATGTATTAGACATGGATTCTTATCACATAATTTACCTCAATTCCTACACACAGAGTCTCGACAATGGCATCTACTTACCATCTTAGGAAGTCTCCCAATTGTCTCAATGTCAAGAAATTGACTAGAAAAAGCCTCGAGCTAATAATTAGTATGATGCTACTCGAGTTGATAATAGCGCTTGGTCTTGGTATCGAATTTCATTTCAGACTCATTCACCTATACGCAGGGAATACAGTTTATATTATAGCTAATTGGTAGCAAAGGCAATGTCGAAGAAAAGAGATGATCAAATAAAATAAAAATAAAAATAAAAATAGAAGTTATGGTTCAATGTCACATCGGTCCTATTGAGTACCTAGGTATATTCTTCTGATAAGATAAGGGGTCCAAGTCGACTTGCATATGCTGAGTGAGGGACGTGGCGGGGCACTTTTTTTGGTTTGTATGGGACCATCTGCAGCTGATGACGAAAGATACTCCGTAATTGACTTCACTTTGAAAAAGATCCATTATCATTACCACTAGACCAATTCATGTTGATGCAGCTGTGCATGAGTTTCGAAAATGCATTGACTCGACATTAAAGATATAAAATAAGGGATTGGATTGAATTACTGGAGTTAAATGGTAGAATTGTATCGATGATTCGTCGGGTTACCCCACCATAGGTTCCCGATAGAAAACTGACGTATGGAGGGGTAAAACGTCAAATTCGCCGGCATTTCACCTAGGTAGCTTTAAAGAAGCTCAAGATATCCGTCCATTGCTCCGTAACAATTGAAAGTAAAGTAAAGTATTCGGAACGGCAGATGCACCATTAGAGTAAAGTCAAATCTCAGGTACCTACCTAGGTAAGCACAGGGATACAGGGGAGGAGACGTAGGTGGCTAAAGAAATAGGAAGTTTTGGCCCGAAGTCAAAGATGGCGGGATGCATACTACTGCATACTTGGTGCATACAATTCACTCTTACGAAACAATCCGGGTCGCTACATGTACTTACAGCACCTCCATAATAAAAAAATAAAATTCTCGGGCGCTCTGCGTCACCGTGGATCAAATCTTACCCAACAACCCCTCCAAAGAACCAGGGTCTCCCCTCTTCTTAGACTTTTACGCTTTTCGTCGTTACTGTTTTAATTCCCTCAGACTTCGCATCAATTTCAAATCAAACACTACATCTTTATCATTAACACCTCCAACACTCATATTCCCTAGTAGCGTCCTAACGTAACCTACTTCTTTTCCCATACCAAACAAACATTACCTACTCTCTCAATTACAATCTATAGCTACATTCACAATGGGTTTAATGGAGAAGCTGAACCTCAAGCCTGGTGTCATCTACGGCCAGGATGTATTGAAGGTAAGCTAACCCCATCAGCTAGCTATTCTTGCTATCCACGTATAATCTATTAGGAAGAGAGAGAAAAGAGTCTAACATGTACGCATCTATATAGGTTCTTCAATATGCCAAAGAGCACGAGTTCGCTATCCCCGCTGTCAATGTGACCTCTTCTTCTACCGTCGTTGCTGTTCTTGAAGCGGCCAAGGACTCGAAATCCCCCATCATCCTTCAAGTTTCCAATGGAGGTGCTGCTTTCTTCGCCGGAAAATCCATCCCCAACTCCAACCAAGAAGCTTCCGTGACTGGTGCCGTCGCTGCTGCTCACTTCGTCCGCGCTATTTCTCCTATCTACGGTGTTCCCGTCATCATGCACAGTGATCACTGCGCCAAGAAGCTACTACCGTGGTTAGATGGCATGATTGATGCTGATGAGGCCTTCTTCAAGGAGCACGGCACCCCTCTGTTCAGTAGCCACATGATCGACTTATCAGAGGAAGACGTCAAGTACAACATCGAGACAACAGCCAAGTACCTTAAGCGATCTCAACCCTTAAACCTATGGCTAGAAATGGAGGTTGGTTTGACTGGTGGTGAGGAAGATGGTGTTAACAATGAGGACGTCGACAACAACTCTCTATACACACAACCCGAGGATATCCTTGCCATCTACGAAGCTCTTAGTCCCATCTCAAACCTCTTTAGCATCGCCGCTGGTTTCGGAAATGTCCACGGTGTATACCAACCCGGTAACGTGAAGTTACACCCCGAATTACTCGGCAAGCACCAGGCCCACGTCGCTAAGAAGCTAGGTGACGGCCAGACCAAGCCTGTTTTCTTCGTCTTCCACGGTGGTTCCGGCTCCAGCAAGGCGGAATTCCTAGAGGCTATCTCTCACGGTGTCGTCAAGGTCAACCTCGACACAGATCTCCAGTGGGCATACTTGATTGGCCACAGAGACTACATCCTAAACAACATTGACTACTTAAGAACCCAGGTGGGCAACCCAGAGGGACCCCACAAGCCCAACAAGAAGAAGTACGACCCCCGCGTGTGGGTACGAGAGGGCGAGAAGACGATGAAGGCTCGTGTGATCGAGGCCTTCAAAGACTTCAACACAGCTGGACAGCTATAAATACCTAAGTAATGATATGGGAGCATCGTTGGGCGTGATTAGAGATTTTACGGCGTAGTTCGAGTAGCTAAAATATGATATAGTTCGAGTCGAGCTTTTTTTTTCCCTCTTACTCATTTCTATGGATCAATTAGACTACAATTACCATATTTTACAGAACACTACCTACGCTTGATGTCGTGAACCGTAATGACTTTCCGTATGTCCTTGTCGCCAATAACGTAGCGCGTTCGAAATTGCCCCAATGCTAATAACCGAGGCCCGGAATCGTCCACAATAGCCAAGAATCGGGTCGGGAGAGATTATCCCGTCAATTGAGGAAACGCCTCGGGATGAAAGCGTTAGATTGCTTCGGAAGTTCCTCTACGGCATAGCTAGCTGTTTATAGCTAATTCTATTAGCTTCTAAGTTAGACGATGTAGAAAAGATCCTACGTTGGCATCGCGATATATGAGCCCGATCCACTTATGCTTTTGGCCAATATTATCGTTTACTAAAATAAGTATATTCATCGAATTATATAAGTATTTATGGAGGGGCGACTTCGATTCGAATGCGGGGTTCTGCAGGCTCATAAGAGTTTTCGTCTTCACCTGCGGTGAACGCAAATGCTAAATTCTTAGTAAAACAAGCACAACTTTGATGCGCCGTCCCTCGTGAACAAGCACAAGAATCTTTCGTATCGAGAAGAAAATCAATTCATTTTGAAACTATCGACCTGGATATATTCAAAATGCAATGTGTTTGAACATTGAGTGCTGGGATTATTAGGAACACCATGAGACTAAGAACGACATAAACCAGGGGTACGACTTCTATTCACTTCATAAGTATACCGGATTGGAACGGTCACAAACCTTTAGTGAGTCGATCGATGCGGGTAGAGGTGAGTAATCCAAGGATATTGGTTCGATAAAACCCCTGTCCGTTTGGTGTAGATATCCAATCCCCTCTATGTAACACTCCTAGTGGCCTTACAAATGCCGGAGTGCTCTCCCGCGATGGAGGTGAAGGCATAAACTCCTCGAGTTTATGTCATCTTACATTCCCTTTTCTAGTTTGTCGCTTCAAGATTATTCGTTGTTATTAGACGTTCCTCTTCGGAGGGAACCTTTCTTTACCACCTCTCACTACCGATGTGCCAGCTGGAGGGGCTCCATTGTAAGATCTCCGCATAACGTGCATCAATCTCACCCTACTTAAGTTGATATATCATAAAACCTGATGTATATAGGCCGTCGGGGCCTCCCCTACTTGCGGTGTGTAACGACGAGATGAAGAGCGGCTTCAGCGGTGTATTCGGACAGACAATCTTTTACGTCACCTAATAAACATATCATCAGCATTAGACTCACCTATTCGATTCGGCACGGGTAACATCATACTTACTGCCAAGATGGCAATACTCGACCGTATCCCATTAACTTGGGCAGTGGTCGCCGGATTTATTGTCATCGCAGCTTACTTCGTTTATCCATATTTCACGACCTACGGTCACCTCGGAAATATCCCAGCTCCCTTCCCAGCACAGTTCACCAATTTCTGGCTACTTTATGTATGTAGGCGAGGAAAACGATATCTTGCCGTAGACGAGGCCCACAAGAAGTTGGGCCCTATTGTGCGGATCCAACCGAACCATATTAGCGTCGCCGACGATGAAGCCATTCAAATCATCTACGGCCATGGCAATGGGTTTCTAAAATCAGATTTTTATGATGCTTTCGTGTCGATCAGACGGGGTCTCTTCAATACTAGGGACCGAGATGAACATACTCGGAAGAGGAAGTTGATCTCTAGCACCTTTGCTCCGAAGGCCGTGCTCCAATTCGAGCCTTATATCCACCAAAACCTCGAGGTATTCGTCAAGAGGTGGGACGGATTAGTCGCACAATCAACTGGAGAAGATAAGGCCGCGCATATCGACTGTCTGAAATGGTTCAATTACGTCGCCTTTGACACGATCGGGGACCTAGCCTTCGGCGCACCATTCGGTATGCTAAAAGCCGGGGCTGATATCGCCGAAGTGCGTATGGCCGTCGACGCTCCACCTATCTACGCTCCCGCCGTCGAGATCCTCAATCGTCGGGGCGAGGTCTCGGCTACTCTCGGATGTTACCCATCACTCAAGCCATACGCAAAATATCTCCCCGATCCATTCTACAGCAAGGGTCTCGCCGCCGTACAGAACCTAGCCGGAATCGCCATCGCGCGCGTCAAGGAGCGTCTCGAGAACCCACCAGATGTAAACCGGAAGGACCTCCTAACCCGACTACAAGAAGGCCGCGACGACAAAGGTGAACCCCTCGACTTCGAAGAACTAACCGCCGAAGCTCTAACCCAACTTATCGCTGGCTCTGACACTACATCCAATTCCTCCTGCGCGTTGTTATACCACGTCACGCGCACACCCGGTGTGTTACAAAAATTGCAGCAAGAACTCGACACCGCCATCCCGGATAACGAAAACGTTAAAGTGCCGGAGTACGAAACAATACGTAACCTGCCGTACCTCCAAGCCGTAGTCAACGAGACTTTGCGCATTCACAGCACCTCCGGCATCGGACTCCCGCGTATCATACCGCCTAACTCCGACGGTGTATGGATCCGGGGGTACTACTTTCCACCGGGCACCGTACTCAGCGTACCCACATATACCATGCACCACTCGCGCGAGATTTGGGGCCGGGATGCCGACGAATTCCGCCCTGAACGATGGCTTGAAGACGAAGGTCAAGGTGGATTAACAGCGAGGCAGAAAAATGCGTTTATACCGTTTAGCACCGGACCACGCGCTTGTGTGGGAAGGAATGTGGCTGAGATGGAGATGAAGATGATTGCGGCGACTTGGGCGAGGAGGTATGATGTCTTTTTAAGGCAGCAGGGGATGCGTACTAGAGAGGGGTTCTTAAGGAAACCGTTGGAGTTGGAGATTGGGCTTAGGAGAAGATGAGGGGGTGGGGGGCTGGGCGAGGTATGTATGGTAGAATGTGGGTATGAGGGAAGGAAGTGTGTGACTTTTTACGACGATATGATATTTCGCTGGGCTTTACGAAATACGCCATGGGTTTCATGTTTCATTATTTCATGAACAAGGCATCGGTAGGGAGGAGGATTGATCGGCTACCCGCTAACTTGTTGGCGGACGCTTCTCTTTCGAGCTCTTCGAATATTACGTTACTATATCTCTACTCCGGCAGTTAGAGAATCCGGCTTTGGAAGTAAAGATGACTCAACCATATTATCACCAGGAGTCTTAACATATCCCGTTAGGGTTTTTGGTAAATATCACTACTTATTCTATTGAGAAATGACCTCATATTTCCCATTCAACTGTATTGCCCCCTCAACCTGCTTCACCCAAGGCGGTCTCCTCTCAACATAAACCTCAATAGCAGGAGGCCTGTCCAGGATACTCTGATCATCCAGCACACCAGCGCGGATGCCGATTTTATCATCGTTAACTGCCGCGCCACCAGTGCGGTAGAGCGTCGTGCCGCAAGTTCCGCAAAAATGATTTGAGATCTCCTACATAATCGCCGGCATTAGCACTTCGGTTACAGAGGTTAGGATATGGATACGTAGACTTGAGGTAAGGAGGACGTACGTTTCCGTGATCCGATACTTTGGTGAAGACCTTCGGCTCGCCCTTGGTCACGGAGAAACCGCTCTTGAGTACCTGGAACACTTGCATATTGGCCATCTTACGGTCATCATGGCAGTAACATATCGCCTTTATCTCTTAGCAAGAATATTCGTCGTAATGGGGATCTGTGGATAGGATAACTCACCCTAAACGCAGGTTCGCCCTCATACGCGATCTGGACCTCGCCGCATAGACAACTTCCCGTCGGCATTGTGAAAGAGTATTAACAAATAGTAAAGTGTTTCCTGGAAATATCAACATCTTCATTGCAAATTCCCTCTTATTTATAAATTTAGATCGTCGGAAGTGCTGTGCCGCCCGGGAGATCCGTCCCAGGGCTCCACATATAGAAAGATATGGATAGTATCATCTTACGCAGGGATACGGACATTAGCAAGGGCATAGATGAGCTAAATGCAAGGGCTTTACATGATCTTGGACGAGTATATAATTCTAAATTGCGAGTGACGTGTATTATTCCGAAAGACATTCTATCAAAAGCTATGCATACGGATCCCGATTATCGACATGAACCTTAACTCCCTATGCGAAACATTCCGAGAATATCACTAGAGTTGGATTTTCAGTTCCTCGAGGCATTTAACTAGCCCTTCAGTATCATCGGCGAGAGCGAACGTGTAGAAGTCAGATCGTACAAGAACGAAAGTCGTAGTAGGCTCAAATCGTCGGAAGTAGTTGGACCCACAATACCCTGGTTTGATAGCAACCCCTAAGTCGGTGAGACTCTTAGTCGACGCGGGGAAATACACATCATCCTCGTTATCGTTAGCTTCAGGTGGGTCGTTGAGGGTAAGGACCCGAATAGAATCATCTGATAGGATCGATTGGTCTAGGCCAACTGCTCTGAGAGCTACTTGTGCCTCTGCGACTAATTTCTTACGGTCGTCCCTCGCTAGGACAAGTAACGTCAAGGCTGACCTTGTGCGTTTTATCAACTCGTCCGACAATATTGGGCTTTGGTTCTTCGACTCAAAGTATACCTGAGCGAGGCGCCCCCCGCCATTAAAATCTGGTAGAAAGAAGCCATCTTTAACAGATCGGAAACCCTTCACCTCAAAAGGAACGACCGGATTAGGCATGCCAGGGATAAAAGATAGATACTTGAGTAATCGCATGAACATGCGAAACAGCCAGAAAAACCAGTCATCGCCTTGATTACATAGTCGTCCATTCATACTTGTGAACGTCGCGGCATCTTTAATACCATGGTGGCGCTCTCGTGCCCAACCCCCAAGGAGACGTTCGCGGAGATGATCGTCACTTCCGGGCATGCGTTGGAGCAGAGAGATACGCCAAGCAAGCTGGTGTGCGTCGCGAAAACCACATGCAATTCCCTGCCCGCCGAATGGTGGGAAAACGTGTGCGGCATCGCCGATGAGAATGGTGCGGCCATCATACCATTTATTAACAACTTTATGGGTAAACCGATAGGGGCGACATCGAAGAATGCGAATGCAATCGCGAGGGTAGGTAACCTCGCCAAAAGGGAATGGCTCGCCTGAGCTATCCCTTCTGCGCGTAATCATAGGTGTTATATGCTCCCACAAGAGGGCTTCCGCGTCCATAGAATCGTTCCAGTCGCCCTGTTCAAGCTCGTGGCGCCACATTCGCGCGTCGTGGGGACCGAATCTCCCGGAAGCTGTCGCTTTTCCAGGTGGGCTGCAAAAATGCCAACCTTTGGGCCAGAATAAATCGTAAACAGCCTCGGGAGTAAATCCGAGTTTCCATAAAGGGAACTCGGGGTGCGTTTGGGGTGTTGGTGGGGTGAGTTTGAAATTCGCGGCAATCCACGTCCCATCATAGCGATAGGTACTATCTATTTGCTTGATACCGGCGGATTCCTCGAGGAAGTTCTTTCGTACTACACCTTTCTTTCCATCAGCGCCAATGAGGAATGACCCAATGATGGTTCGTGTGGCCCCTCTTTCATCTTGGTATTCGACGACTGGGTAGTCTCCGCTCTGTTGCTTGCCCACGACGATACACCCACATCGTAAGTCGCAAAATGGAGACTCAATCACTTTCCGACGCAACGCGCTTTCTTCTTCGTATTAGAGGGAAGTTACCTAGAAGAGTAGGATAATCGTGGTTCTTACCTAGTCGTGGCTGGATATGAAGTATCGCATTAGGAAGTACTTGCCAAAATCCATCATAACCGATATCTATTTTATGGAAAGGTTCGTTCACGAATGAAGTCGTATGGAAATTTACGGTAGATAGCTCTTCAGTTTTCTTGTCAGTTATCATTCTATTGGATATAAGTTCATACCATTAGATTCGTACCGTGACCAATCTCCTGCATAGAATCACCGAGACCGAGGTCCCAAAGTATGCGAATCGCATCATTAGTGAGATATACGCCTCTTGGGTCCTGTGTGATTTCTAGGTCCTTCTCAAGAATGACAGACTATCAATTGTGAGCAATCCCCGATATCTAATCCTTTGGAAGGGACCTACATGAATATTAAATCTAGCTAGAGAAAGCCCCAACGAAAGGCCAGCTGGGCCAGCGCCAACGATGATAACATCGGTCTTTTCCATCGTCGGCTTTTGTGAGGAAGTTTGAGTACGAAATCGAGGAAAGAAAGTAGCAACGGTGGAAATAAAATGGTACTTATAAACTGTTTGTTTGCTTCGCAAACAGGTCCAACGTACGTGTATCCCACTCGGCAGTGACGGTGGTCCCAACAAATCTCATTGGTATACCAGCCGCACACTTGTCTTCTACCTGGGTAATTCTTCCGAGCGGGGATTGGCAGTTCCTCCGCGGAGAAACTTGTCATCATATGGTCCACGTTGTGTGGTGGTACAACATACAGCTAGGGCGAGGGAAGTGTATGTGTGAGTATAATAGGGATGAGAATGTTGAACTTTTTTCTAAACTCTAGACCCTGACACCTCCTAGACCGTACCTACCTGAATGGGTAGTCGAACCTACCAAAATGTGTGCATGTGGCTAACTTGGCCATTACATATCAATGAAGGCAGGAGCATCTCTTAAGATGAACTTTAAAAAGTTCAATATCATCCGATATTCATTCGCAGTGACGCGTTTCTCTTTTGCGGGTCATTATGGTGTCACGGGAGAAAAAGGGGGGAAGGAGGAATGGGCGAATAGGGGTACTATTATGGGTCTGAGGCGTATTACGTGAGCAAGCCACAGTTACGTAAATCCCTGGTACCTAGTAGTCAGCCAGCCACGTCTTAGTGAGGGGCGGTCTGCAGTTAATGACAAAGTGGCGCTTCTCAGAATTTCGGCACCTTTCAACTGCTGCTGTATCTTAATCGCAACACGCGCTTCGAACACTCATGAAGGTTCATTATTTGTAAATATGGGTTTGGGGACCGGTTTTGCGTTTTGAAGTTATATCACGGCGTAATTGACGCGCCTGCGCGATCATCATGCCTCCTAACAGTCGCGTCTGCGACAGGTGCATTAGGTCTGTTTTCAATCTCAAGTTGCACGATTCTCACGGGCAAATTGCTAACGCATCATTGCAGGAGAAAAGTCAAGTGTGAAGCAAGAACCTGAGCGAAAATTGGTAGTGTACGACTAACAATAGCACTAGGCGACCAACAACGGCCTCATTGTTCTCGTTGCTCTGAATCTGGTTTCCCCTGTACATATTCGAGAGAGAAGCGAAAGCCGGGCCCACCTCGTGGACTTCGGTCAAGATTCCGTCCAGTTGCGCCAGCTAAGGAAAATCTGGTCAATGTTCGGGGCCATGAATCCAGCCATAACGGCCCACCACGCGAGGAGGTTCCTCTGCGTGAGACTCCCTTGACTCTTGGGACACAACAACTCATGTCATGCTGGGACACCGGCTTGTCGCTGCATACACCACTGATGCTACCTGGCGTGGATCAATCTAAGTTCCTGGGCTACTACTTAAATCCTTATCAAGAAAGAGAGACGTGAGTAGTGCAATCAATTATTCTCCCATAAAGTAGCTTTCTTGACTCATTCCTGACTCTTGAATTAGATTATCACGCTTCTTCGACGACATACATACTGCTATACCAATACTTCAGAAGGATCGGTTTCTTAGGTTATATGACGAAGGTAGATATGATTACGATCTAGTCGTGGCTATAAATACGATTACAGTCAAGCTACTCGGGCCAATGGATTTCTGGCCGTCCGAGGATGTAGACATGTGCATAAACTCGTTACTCATGACGACAGCGTATGAAAGCGACTTTTCGGCCTCTCAGACCAGCCTCATCGACTTTCAACGGGAATGCATGCTTGCATACTATGATTTTCATGAGTTTCCTGGGCCTTCGGCTTGGATGAGAATAAGCCGATTGACACGCCGGGCCTACGCGATGGGACTTAATCAAATAGAAAACCCCGAATTATGCTCAGCGTACGATGCCGGGGTAGCGACGGAGGACGAGATCGAAGATTGGAGATATGTATGGTGGTGTGTCTATTGCTTCGATTCCTACTCCAACATGTCATTGGGTACACCCTTTATAGTCGACACAGAGAGTATAACGACGGCGCTTGTTAGGCGATCATCGGACGATGACCACGTACCACCCCTTCCGAAGTTATTCTTACCCGATGACATTGGTGAATTGTGGAGAACGACACAAGAGGTTATGTCGAGCTCTGGTGAGACGGAGTTCAATCTAAACATTCTCACTACCACCGTTCTTCGTCAGGCCGGAAATATCTTAAGATTCAGATACACGAAGAAGCAAGTCAAGAACAAAGCCGAAATCTTAACTAGTAATCTTGCTTCATTGCGACTCGCTCTACCTCGGCACTTCCTCAATCCAGCACGTAATGCTCTAATTGCGGAGTCGAGTCTTTGTCACCACATCCGACTTACAAGCCTCTTCCGTTTACACATGACTCGCCTCATTATATTTTTACCTCAAGATTTTGCGGCCGACAAGACGGAGTGGTTGAATAACTGGCAACAGATCCTCGGAGCTTGTCAGGATGTTGTCACAGTAGTTGAGCAGTGGAACAACCAGTTCTCATCCCACGTAGACCCCGCAATCTGTCTCATCGCATTCGTGACGCTCTGGATCACGAATCTACACAGACGGTGCATTCCTGGTATAGTTTCACCACTCATGAATAGTTTACTGCGCGCCGAGAACAATCTGATCTTATTCTTGGAACAATTCTCGAGGATGTGGGCGTTGCCTAAGCTTTTACTTCGTGAGCGCGCTATCCCATATTCTGTGGATAAACATCTAACATTGACTAGAACTATTCAAAATCTCTTCAAACGAAGATGCTTTGACGTATTCCGACGTTGATCAAGTTTTAAACCAGATCAGAATGCCGTTAAACCCCAAAATCATGCGCCGAGCATGTGGATTGGCTCCTGACGTACGTGGAGGATTTGAGAAAAACGCTGCCTTCATCGATATGCGATCTTTGGAAACACAGAGTACGGGCGTCTGGACATAAGCGAATTTTTCGCATATTGTCACTATATACAGAATCAATTTTGATCTATCATACATGTAATTATCTCAACAAATTTCTCTAGCGCCGTTTTTGGTCAATTTTGATATTCTCGGAACTATCCGATGCAACTACCTAAGGTAAATAGCACACATTGAAGCGCCCGGGCTTGGGCTCTGCGACTCACGGCTAACCGTTAGCGGGGGCGCGCTATACTTATCAAATCTATAGTACTCCAGGGCTCCAGGGATATATTAGTAGCGTATATACCTAGGTAGTGTCAACCTGTCAGTATGAACGACGGTTGTAAGATGTTTAAATTGTTGTCTGTATTCATGATTTTTCTATTTCTAGATTCAGTCAATTATATGGTAAGACATTTCGATTATATAATTTATTGTTGGTATTATTATTTTATCGTGTATTTTATCGTGTTTGTGTTAGCACCTAATTTCTTTTTATAGGTATTTTTTCCTGGCTTGTTTCTTTTTCGAATCTTTCCTTCCCCTTCTTTTTATTTTCTTCTTCTTCTTCTTCCTCTTCAAGGTCTCTGAAGGGAATAATAATTATTATATGTTCTACAACCGTTTTACTAGCTCATAGATTGCAATCAAGCAGACAGATACGCCATCAACGACCCCGGCAAAGAGAAAAGCGGATGCACCACCCGCTGATGCCGTCGCTAAGTATGGCGACGAGGAAGATCAAAAGGCGGCCGGTGCTGACATCGCTGCCAGCAAGGAATCTGAGGATAAGCAACCGCAAAAACGTGGACAAGAGCGTCCTCCAAAGAGTCGTGGAGGACGATACGGCAAGCGTGCATAGATGGCTCCTTTCTTTTCTTTTGTGAAAGGGGAGATGTGATGCTTCACATCACATGATGTACTATGACTAAACTCTCTCAGACCTTACTATGTAGCTCATCCTCCACATCATAGCTTTACCTTAGATTCTTGACAATTCATCATCATTCAACACATACTTGACCGTCTCAATTGGTAGCACCTCACGCTACGGTAGCTCACTACCCGGGTAGATGGTAGGGTATTCACACTTATAAATCTGATTCGCTATTGTAGGCGCCTTATAGGTCCTTTGCTTCAACAGGGTGTGTGCTGTCAGTCACTATATTTATAGGGCTGAATGGTGCTATGCTTATAATATTCCGCTCGCGCGTTATGGCGTACCTACCATCATAGGCGCCTAGGTGGCTGGGACCTAGTTTATTTAGGAGAATAAGCACTATTAGGCGACCTAGCCGGAATTAAGGGGCTTCGCACTGCGACGCATATGGCGCGCTGGCACCGAAAGGACCGGTAACCACCAGAGTCACTGGCTAAGTGTTGTACGAATGTATGTCGTCCATTAAATATAAACAAGATAGGCTATGCATTCTCCAAAATCATGGGTATCCTAAATATCGCAATCCTTTAATCCCATCATCCTTGAAGTTCCGCTCTTTGTGCATTGTCCGAATAAGCCTCCGGTGTAAATCCATATCCCTGCCCTGCGTCCAGTTCAGCACCTCTTCCAGCGGGCTTATAATATTCGCTATAAGGTTGGGTACCGCCAGCGCCCATATAAGCCTGTGGTGCGGGGTGGAACGCCTGAGGGGAATAGGGCTCCATGCTGTCAGCCGCCTGTGTTTTACTATTCCTCGACCTCCTGTAGAACCAAATTCCAGCAATTAGCGCGATGATACCTAAAGCACCGACCCCGATTCCGACTCCGACACCAATTTTACCACCCTCTGATAGGCCTGGCTGGGGTTCGCTTGGGCTTTCGGTGGTTTGAAGTGCTGCTGCGGCAGTCGTCGCTAATAATCAAATGTTACTTATCAGTTGAGAACAATAGAGAACAAAATCCTGTTACTAACCAGATGTTATAGGGGCAGAGGCGGACGTCGATATATGGGATGCAGTTGAAGATATTACTGAAGAGGTAGTCTGCAACCCATCGATCCAAAAAGCCGCGCTCAAAAAACCGCCGCTCTGTTGTTCTTCCTCCGTCCCCGTCGCATTAACCACGCGGAATGCGTATATCTCGGAGGAATTCGTCGAATCGGTTGATACTTCCCACTGATACCAGTTCTGCCCCAAATTTGCTGTTCGGTCGCGATTTAGTACCTCTCCACTAAAACGGTTCTCTTTACCACAGCTTACACGCAAGTTGTATCGGTGAATTAAATTCCCAACCAACGATTAACCATAAATTTGAAGTTTCGAATGTCGTATGCCAACTAACATTCATCGTTGCTCCCATTCTATACGTGGATTGCGACCCTCTTGGCTCGGTGAATCCGCCGTCGGTGTAGGTGTATGCTGGTTCGCCCGGTCCTGGAAGATCATCTTGTCCTAAGACGATAGAACTCAAGCAGATGAGTGCTGCGAGTGGTCTAAACCACATGACGAATACCTTGTTTAGTTGTATTGAGGTCTGGGAGTATGAAAAAACGACGATATTACTACCAAAGCCCAAGACTCGATGACAAAAGCAACGAGAAACGAAAGAGCTTTCGAGACATGATTATACGAACTAAACGGGACATCTGAAGACATCGTGGGGGGCAACCAAGCCATACTGATTGGGAGCCTCTTAGCCGCGCTGGCTATTTAGGCGTGCGTCTCTTTTTTGATATTTCCTGAATAGGGCATAGTATGATGCGTAGATCTGATTACTGCAATGTCACAGCAGAGTAGTTTATTTTACCCTGGTCCAAGATGGGTCAGGCTGATCCTACGGTTGTGTTGGGGTGACCCTTGGCGCTTATATATGACGGGATTGCATGGGTTACCATTCTGTCGGGTCCTTTGTTAATTATTGTTACCTTTTTGAGCACTCGTTGCTAAAGAGTTTGAAACATATAAAACCATAGACGCCATTCTTGAGAACTACATTTATGAGGATATTTTGATAATGTTCTCATCGTAAAATGCAAAGTGGATAGCCTATCCTGATGCTTTAAAATGAGAACTGGGTTCAGGGGTTGGATTTGAAAACAGCTAGGGGCTATGGGGCTGTTACTCTAAAAGAAAGTACCCTACATATTAGGTACTTAATGTACCCCAAGCCCGCCCGAAAAGACTCAGACTTTACAACTATTTGTCTTATCAAACTCGTAGGAATACCTATTCAACACGTTAACAGCCAATTTAGAGTGGTATTTCGTAATCACGAGCGGAACTGAAATGTATGTCATACGATTATTCTTAATTGAAACCAACAACCTACTAAAACCAGAAATCCCTTGCAATGATTGTTGATCTACCTGAGGGACCTATTACGCAATTAGGAAAAGTGATGTGGGCTGTTGGTTTCTTTTTCTCTTGCGGGCGCGTAACCCTGATTGGAATGTCTACAACGGCGCGTAGGATGAAAATCAAGGATCGAGTAGTGACTAACATAAATAGTGTCCTTCCTGTTGGGCTAATCATCTGGGTCTTCACAATTTCGACTAAGCCACGATTTATGCTACGAAATTACGTGGAATATCCAGACACAACTATACTTATTTTGTATTCTGGCCCTTCTAGTCCTTCCTAGTGTGATCGTTTTGTTAATTTTCCATTTCCAAGAACAGATATCCTTTATTCCAGTTCTTCTTAGACTTTCTTAATCCAACCTGTCTATCTGGAATGAGGGCTTGCTTTTGTTTCGCTTTAGCGCTGAAGGGAGCAACGAAGCTCCCTAAAGTCCCTTAGCTTACTCGTTGTAGGCAATTCCATTCATTTTATCTACCTATACAGAACAACTACCTAGGTAGCTTTATACCATGTTATCCCGACCGATATCTCGAAATTTTACGATAATCTGGGTTTTCATTTTGGCCTTATTATATCTTTTATTTTGCAGGTCAAGTTCCATAAGTGGAAATTATTTTCAGGGGAATTTTCAACCATCATGCGATTCTCTTTCAGGGCTCGAGGATCTTTTTGTGATCCTTAGAACTGGGGCCACCGAAGCCCCTAAAAAACTCCCTGTTCATTTTGCGACCACTTTGCGCTGCGTTCCCCACTATGTCATCTATTCGGATTATGAAGAAGACATTGAAGGTCACCACGTTTATAATTCCTTAGATGAAGTTAATCCCGATATAATAGCTTCTCATCCCGATTTCGAATATTACCGCCGCCTGCAAGCGGGAGGTCGAGAAGCTTTTACAGCCGAGGAGATTGCGCAATGGGCAGCTGTTAAGAACACTAATAGTGGACGAGATAGCCCTGGTTGGAAATTGGACAAATGGAAGTTTCTTCCAGTAGCGGAGAAAGCTTTTGCACAGCGACCAGATGCGAAATGGTACATCTTCATTGAGTCGGACACTTATATGCTCTGGCAGACACTATTAGAATGGCTCTCGAAATTCGATTCTTCTAAGCCGCACTATTTGGGCATGCAGATGCAGATTGGCGACGTCGTCTTCGCTTATGGTGGAGGAGGATTCGCCATCTCTAATCCTGCAATGCAGAAGGTAGTAGCACAACGACAAGCGAACCTGAAACTTTACGACGATTTTACTGCTGTGCATTGGGCAGGCGACTGTGTTTTGGGAAAAGCATTGGCGGATGCTGGCATGGGGTTACTTTGGTCCTTCCCGACTCTGGCTGGCGACCAGCCTGGTGATATCGATTTCAATTCTACGTTTGGTGGACAGGATAAGAAGCCATGGTGCTACTACGCTACGAGTTATCATCATATGCAACCTGCGGAATACACGAGATTCATGAAATTTGAAGAAGCTTGGAACCAGAAGGTAAATACTACCCAGAAAAAATCCAAGGGCGCTCGCTAACGTGAATATTTCGACAGAACACCTTTCGGCTACGCCACCGAGATGTATTCCGGCACTACATTTTACCACAGCTCTCACCGGAGCGCGTTGACTGGGACAACTTGTCAGAAAATGATCAAGGTCCTATTGCTTCTTTCGAAGAATGCCGCAAAGCATGCGAGAATCAGCGGGATTGTGTGCAGTTCTCCTTATCGGGAAACTCTTGCAAGACTTCCGCGACCCCTAAACTGGGGAATCATGTTTCCGAAAATTCAGAGGAGAGTGTAAGATGTGGATGGATTCTTGAGCGAGTAGAAGACTACGCCCAAAGCATGGATGAATATTGTAGCCACCAAACCTGGATATTACCCTGAAAATAGGAACTTAGGGCTAAGCCCCACCATCTTACCCAGTCGCCGCTTCGACCAATATGCCATCATGTCGAGGTATAGACTATTTAGGAATCTAGGCAGGTCAGTCGGACATATAATCTCGTCGTCTCTGGGCGATAACGGGGTATCGATCAGAGTCACATCCAGTCATCGCATCATCATATGGGAAATCCTGCCTAGAGTGTGTGTTAGATATTCACGGCCAACAGCATTTAGACGGTGGCATTTTATGATAGAGGGGTGACTAGATAGTTTCTAGTTGTGTTGAATTTTAAAATTTATAATCCTAAAATAACACCCTTCAACGTCTCAACCTTCATCCCCTATTTTCTACATTACATAATCTCCTCCTGCTTATGTAAATGATCATAGCTGTAGCTCATGATTATGTCATTATCCTTATGTCATCATTTATGTTATGTCATCTATAATTATGTCATGTGTCAGCAGTGATTCAGTAATGTTATCTGCTATTCTATAATCAAATATTAGATAATGTAGTATTATCTAATCCATCGTCTTTTGAAAGGTGTACGAGTCGAGATTAGCATGCACACTGAGCCTACAGAGGGAGAAAAACTTTCTACGGTGTATATATAACCGTTGGTTTTGAGGGTAGAGCGTTGGAATTCGGTTCGTATTTGAGCGTAAAACGGATGTTTTGTTGGTTGTTGGTCGATACGGTGAGCTGGCGACTGATCATAAATATAGGGCAAGAAGCGTTATATTTTGGGATACCCCGCCAAATAGAGCGAGTTGTTCAAGCCTTGAAAATCCGCCCAGCGACACCACTAATATGAGCTTTCGTCGTTCTCGCCACTACATTTATAGCGGGGTGTGCCCTAGAGCTCGTCGCAACTTAGCGCCCGAGTCACTATAAAAACATGAGTTTTAGGTGCCTAGGTACCTACCTAGATATTGGTTTAGCTGAATACTCGCTGCGCTATCAATATGATAAAGATGAGAATTATAATAGCATTACGCGACAAGTAACAATATAATCACAGAATTAAGTCCATAGTCCAATTCTCAATATCGGCCATTTCAATGCTCCAGATCATAGGGATACTTCTAACGACCCCTCCGACGCTCCAATGTACGTGTATCGTAAAGACTTCAATTCCACGCCCTTAACATCCACGATCTTCTCCTCACCTGGGAAAAGGTCGAAGCCATTATCGCTCAACTTCGTCTTCTTAGTTTCCTCAAAAACGAAGCTCTTCACCGGACGAGCTACAGAAATAGCTATTTTGTTGGCAGACAATGTCTTGAAGCGTACCTCACGATTGGAAAAATCTAAGTATTTCAAAGGCTGTGGCCAGGCGCTGTCGGTTGAGACAACCTGATCTCCTTCCTTGATGGTCGCGTGTATTACGAATGGATCGTATTTCGTTAGGTCGAAAGGTTTGGTGGTATCCTTGCAATGCGAGTCATCCCTTGAAACAATGAGGTTTTGTATTACTTCTGTTGTGCTGTTCGGCTCCGCCAACGTCTCTGTCAACTTCAAAGGTTCTTTCACATCCTGACCCGTCCGGATTGAAATGAAGCGCACTGTTACAAGGACTGTGGCGGGGTTTCTCCTGCTACTGGCAATCCATAGATCAAATTTGGTGTCCTTGACCAGCTCGGTGGGATCAGCATGTCCAGTTGTCCACTCATGATAAGGTCGTGATACGCCCACAGCCAATGGTTTCAACGCGTTCGCAATAGCGTAGAACGCAGGTTTCTTAACAAGATAATAGTCGACTACAGCCCAACTCATCGTCGGCCAACAATCATTCAATTGCCAGACTAGCACGCCTCCGCATTTGCGCGCCCCGGGTTTTCCCCATTCCCGACGCCATGTCTTGTAAGCGAAATGCATCGTCTCTGCTTGAACCACTTGCGTGAGGTGCGTATAAGATGGAAGATCATATTTCACTTGGAAGTTCTCCGTGATGTATGTAATCATACGACGCTCGTGGTCGATAGCCTTGTTGCGAAAATCCATCATCATTGATCCTGGCTGCTGTTGGTGGGGGTCTCGGATCATCCCACGGGTCGTTTCGAGATGCGGATAAGCCTCCATACCAAATTCACTGATGAATCGCCCGGATAGTAGATGGGTCTCTTGATATCTGTTCATATTTCCATGCCAGACTTTAAAATGTTAGTGTCTGAGCGGAAAAAGGTGAATCATATGACTTACTATTCCATTGGTGAATATCTCCTACTGTTTTGTCTGTGGTATGCTTCCCGTCTCCCCATGGACTACTTGGATGATAGGTCATGGAAGGGTCCTCTTCTTTGACGATCTTTGGTAACAGGTATTCGTATGTGTATCGAGCCGGGAAACTTGACTTCAGCCATGATTGAGGGTCTTTGTCGCCTTCATAGTCATAGTCAAGATGATAACGCTCTTGTACTTGATAATCCTCATTATTCCCGGCCCATATTACTATGGATGGGTGATGCCTAAGCCGTCGTAGATTCTGCCTTGCCTCTTTCTCGACGGATTCCAGATAGGAAGGGTATGTGGGGTAACTTGCGCATGCGAATTGGAAGTCATGCCAGACGAGTATCCCCAATTCATCGCAAGCATCAAAAAGAGCGTCATCTTCGTAAATCCCACCTATAACGACGTTAGACAAAGAGATGCGAAATGATTATTCATGTCAGAAACTTACCGCCCCATATTCTGAGCATATTCTGATCCCCCTCAACCATAAGCTCTATCCACTCGTGATATCGATCTGCGGTGATCTGTGAAAGGAAGCTGTCGGCAGGGATCCAACACGACCCCCCCGAGAAAATATCAATCCCGTTAATACGGAAATAGAACGATTTACCGAATTCGTCCTTCTCCTGAATCAATTCACTTCGACGGAAACCAATTAATTTTAACTTATAGTCCGACGAAGGTAAAGTTGCCCCTAACTTATATCGAGTTTGCGGCCCATAGCCATGTGGATACCACAGCTTCGGATTATCAATCTGGAAATCTGATTTGACTAAACCATTAGCTTTGACTAGTAAGTCCTTCATCCAGAGAATTTTTCCTCCCAGGGAGATAGAAAGCGTTATAGGCTTAGAGGTCCGGCCCGCAACAGTCGCGAAGATTTGCCCCGAGCATGTCTTCAGGTCCTCGCTGAGCTCGTAATGAACCCAGACATCGTCGATTCTCGAAACATACTGGTCGAGGTAAATAGGTCGCCAGGGTCCAGCTGTCATCAAAATTGGGCCCCAATCCCAACCCCAATTGTATTGAGCTTTTCTCACAGGAACTCGACTGACTTCCGTTTGTCGCACATAGAATGTGTGTTCATGGCTGTGTTTCTTTACCAACTCCCGGCCTAGTAACATAGCTGAGTCAAATCTGATTTCGAGAATGTTGTCATCCATAAGATGCTTTGAAACGTCGACTCGATGACTCAAGAACATGTTATCTGACTTCAGAATCTCGGTTCCATTGAGGGACACGGACGCAAATGTGTCCAACCCCTCAAATACCAAGTCTCCGATGACTTTTTTAGCGGTTTTTGGGCCCACGGGCCTCTTGAAATGAACTCTATACACCCAATCTTTCTCGTTAATCCATTGTACCGCTAGTTCATTGAGATCGATGAACGGATCTGGGATTCTATTGATAAGTAAGCTTCCATATTATTTCGGGGTGATGAACCCATGCCTCATTGGTGAGAACAGGGTATTTCTTCCTACCTCCCGTTAGCAAGCAGGTCTATATGAACCTGACTTGGGACTTTTGGCACTTTCAGCCATTTTTCGGGATACAGAGGATCGTTATCGATTTGCCTGAAAAGCCATCCAGTCTCGAGGTTATATCTCGTGAAAGCCATGGTGAATGATACTGTGGGTACGGTCGAAGAGGGCAAGTTAAGGAAGTTTTAGTTCAAAAGGCAAAGTGAGTGGAGAAATGAGTGTCTTCGTGATTGCTTGACCTGTTCATTCCACATATAAATAATAATGTGAGAGACGGAAGCTGTAGTGGACGTCTAATTGACCCCCCCTTTCCCAACACGGTGGGATGGTAGCCCCATATCCCACTGGGATGTTACCGTCCACTCTGCCACTATAAACATCCCTGTTTCCGATATCCGACTTACAGATAGATGGACCAGCGGATCGGTACCTCAAGCTAAATAGCTTGGGGATATTATTAGCGACATCTTCGATGACGGACTACATACCTATCACGGCATGTTGCGACGCACCAATTTAGTAGTAGCAATGACCCCCAATATCAAACCACATCGAGAATTAGGAACTATCATGCGTCTACAAAATAGTAGTAGCGGAATGTTTGATGTTCTTGGGAAACGGAAATTTATTTCTTCGTGCGGGGAAAACCGTAACAAGCATCATTTATTACATACCTCTTAATGTTACATAATCCAGCTTCTTCTTTATCTTTGTAAGCCATCGGATCGGACTAGGAAGAATGCCTTACACTTGCATAATGCGGTTCCTGCAGGGTTTTCACGATATCTCCGCCTCGTTATCCGGATCCTCCCACTCCCACGGAACATTTCACCTGATCACATCAAACAGCCTTCCCGAAGAATGAGTGGCCATAGATCGTTGGCCATGTTCCATAGCGTTGATGTTCCACAATTTCAGCAGCCACAGGAAAACGAGCCCTTCACCGCCAGCGCCAGCTCGCCTTAACAAGTCGTGTTCCGAGTGCACGAGGTGCGTGTTATTTACCATTTGCCAAGAAGAATTCCCTCGAGACTTGGTTACTAAGACTGGAGTGACGACACTAGGCGGAAAGTCAAGTGTGATGGTGGCCACCCATGTAGGCAAGTGCTCATAACCCAAGTAACCCTATCTGCTTATATCTACGCTGAAACTGATATATGATATGTCGTAGCTCATGTACGTACTACAAGGTCTCACACTTGTGTAGCTATCGTCAGCGTAATAAGAGGAATGCTGTAAGCAGAAGGTACATAACTATTCTCACATCTACTTGAATCCCGCTCATAATAATCTTCATAACTCTATTTCTCAGAAGATATCTCATGTACTCAACTAATCAGGTCAATTTTAGCACACTCGAAGAAGTGTCAGAGCGATTGAGGTCCCGAACCGAGATCCTTGAACAGCTCTTCCCCGACACAGCCCTCGATGAACTTGTCGGCAAGAATCGCGATGAACTGCTGGACATTCTTCGCAACGATTCCGTGCCCAAGTTGACGGCGGGCGGGCTAGTTAGCCGTCCCGCCGAAGATCCCGAAGTGGCGGATGATTCAGCTCAAGTGTCTGAAAATGGAGAACCCACCGCAGACCGGCAATGGGACGAGTCAAGTAACCAGCCACCTGTACTACAGGCCGGCGACGATATCAATGCTATCAATCTCGCAACAGATCACCACCGCCGTTCTTATTTGGGCGTGACATCCATCAGCGCTATTTTGCGAGCCGTTTTCCGCCTTTGTCCTTCCGCGAAACATCGCGTTGCTGACCAAGCGAAGAGATGGCCCGAAAATCCTATTCAGCCCCGATCTGCACCATTTTTGACCGGGGATCCAAATGCTCAAATCCAAAAGGAACAGCGTTGTATTGATTTCTACTTTGAAAATGTCCACCCGATTGTTCCCATGTTAGATGAAGATGATTTCCGTACTTCATACTCCTTAGGTCAACGAAGGGACCCTGGTTGGTTTGGTCTATTAAATATGGTGATAACTATTGGCTCCATAGCTGCTGGGAGCGACACACTCCATGAGCAATATTACGAGCAGGCTCGGAATTTCGTCGACCTTGACAGCTTCGGCGCAGGAAACCTCGAGAGTTTACAGGCTCTCTGCCTGCTTGGTGGGTTATACTTGCATTACCGAAACGCCCCCAATATGGCATATTCCGTTCTTGGTGCCGCACATCGTGTCGCCATCGCCCTAGGCCTACATCGAGAATCGCGACGTCGGAATACCAACAGCACCTGTGCCCAAGGTGATATGACACCGACCAAGGTAAATCGACTTGAAACTAGGCGGCGAACTTGGTGGAGTCTGTTATGCCTTGACACCTGGGCTAGTATGACTCTTGGTCGACCAACCTGCGGACGATGGGAGCCTACCACCATGGATACTTTGCTTCCTACTTCAATTACCGAAGATGATCATATGGCCATGTCACTCTGCGCTAGCGTTCGTTTTTGCCTTATATGCAATCGAATACAGGGTCGCTTCGCGCAATTCAATCGATTAACAATATCCGAAGCTGTCGCATTTGATAACGAATTGCAAGCTTGGTACGCATCCTTACCCTTGGTTCTTCGATCGCCAACAAACTCACCATCACGTCTTACGATTGCGCGGGAATTCATGCGAAATCGATATCTCAACATACGCCTAATTTTAATGCGATCTTTAATATTATACCTTGCTCATAGTCGGATCCAAAAGGCCCAGCTTAATACAGAAGAGCTTCAAATAATCGACACATGCCGAGTCGTAGCGAGCGAAGCTATCGATTCAATCGCGCTCTACTGGACACCAAATCGAGTCCATGTATGGAACTCGGCTTGGTATCTCTTCCAAGCTTGTATGGTTCCTCTTCTTTCAATCGTAATTGAAAGTTCGCAAGCCGATCCGAACTCGGAGAGTCTCACATCGGCTCGCGCAAGCTTGGTCAAAGCTCTGGAAATTTTCTCTGAAATGAAACCATGGATGCGTGCTTCCGATCGGGGACCGGACATAGTCGCCGCGATTTACGAAGCCATAACTGGTGATGCCGAAGGCGCCGGACGCACCCCTTCACAAGATGGGGACTCGAATTTCTTTGGCTGGTATGATGAACAACTCACATTCGGTACAGAACTGGACTGGGGCTCATTTTTAATGGATGATGATTTCCAAGGGGCATTGTTTTCAACACAATAAAAAGTTTTGGTTTTTGGATTTATCGGCGAGGTGTATGGTCATTATATTCAATTGCGGCAACTATCCGCTATTCGGGTCAATTAATTAAAAATTTGGGTTTCGGTTAATCCTCTTCTTAATATCACATCCTGCTAATCGTTACCGTCGCACCTCTTAGTAGAGTTTCACTATAATTTAGACCGCAGTTCCCTTTCGACTTCCTCAAGGCCTGAAGGACCATCAAACAAACTCGACGCTAATGCACTCGTATTAATCTGTTAGGTACGTGTTAGCCAACATCACCCAAGCATTTCTTACTAGGCAACTTACATGTCGAGGGCCAAGTTCCGATACATTCTTTACACCCAACAACCTCATCGCTGTCATCGTCTCATCAGCTAGGACTAGATTGCGAATGTTAGTTACAGTCACATACAGACAATCACAATTTCTAACTAGAGACTTACTCTTAAGAACCCTCTCGACACCTTGCTCTCCTCCAACCGACAGCCCATAAAGAGCAGGTCGGCCAATACCAACGCCTTTAGCACCCAAAGCCAAGGCCTTCACAACATCCGTTCCACGCTTAATACCACCGTCAACAAGTACTTCAACTTTACCAAGTACTTCCGGGCAAAACTTCCGAATCTCCAATAAAACTTGAATTGGCGGAGGTGCAGTATCAAGCGCCCTTCCTCCATGATTCGAAAGAATAATCCCCTTCACAGCCGGAAACAACGTCGCAGCATACGCATCCTCATGAGTCTGCACGCCCTTAAGCACAATCGGTAAACTCGTATGCCTGCCCAACCACTCCAACGTCTTCTTCCACGCCAATGCAGACTCCGTACCCCAGACTCCCGGCGGTGCACCGCCCGCCACCTCCGCCATTTTGAAACGTTCATCTGCTTCACGCTTACCGGGAAACGGTGCATCGAGCGTCAACACAATAAATTTGATCTGCGGAATTTTCCGAATTTGCGCGAGCGTTCGTTCGGTCGCGGCGATGTCTTTGAGCACGTATAACTGCCACGCGAAAACTGCGTTTGCACCGGCGGGTACGATAGAAGAAGGCGACATAGACGCGTTTTTGCTTATGATTTGGAGCGCGTTGAATTTTGAACACGCGCTTGCTATTCCGGCTTCACCTGCGGGATGCGCTAGGCGTGCCATTGCTGCTGGGGAGACGTAGATCGGTAGACCGACCTTGTTACCGAGGATTGAGGTTTCGAGGGTGCATTCTGTGCAGTCTATGAAAACGCGCGGTCGCAGGAGGATTGACCGGTATATTAGCCCGTTTGCGGCTTTTGTGATTTGGTCGTCAGAGGCTGAGACGTAGTATGAGATTGCCTTCGGTGATAGTGTTTTCATCGCATACGATTCGATTTCCGCGATGCTGAGAATTGATTCTAGAGGAGGCACTGCAGCCGATGCTAACCGCAGGCCATCGGTATTTTCTGTTGTCTTTTTGACCTCATCATCGCCACCCGACTCAACATTGCCTAAGATTTGGTCGGGAGTTAGGTATTCCTCCAGTATCTCAACCGGATGGACCGAATCAAACGCCTTTGAAGCATCCTGCCCCGCATTCTTCAAGAGAATACTTCGTCCTCCCGGATGTTTTGGTACGAATGAAGTTATCTGCACAATCAGTCAATTGACAGAAGATTGAGTATTGGATTTGATGGACTCACATCGTATACTTTTCCGTGTAAGACCATCCAACAACTATCTTGTGTCTTATGCTCGCTCACTATACGATGTCAACACGAAGCCAGGCCATTCTGTACAGTATTCACCCACCTTCGGCCAATTTCCATGTTCGGCTCATCGTCACCTAACTTTCACTTCCTCGGCTAGAATAGACCGAACTTCTCACCTCTAAGTAGGTGTGAAGGTAAGGGAATCAGTATTCCATAAACACCCACACTCTTAGCGATATTTCCAATAGGGGCTATTCGATTGATGCGTAAGCCAACACCAGCTAGATGCCGACTATTCCATAAATTCATTAGCACCCTTTCTCCACGTGCCGTTTACCTTCTGACGCCGAAAAGTAGACGGATCTTGCACTTGTCAAGGTCCACAATACTCTAGACCAGTCGACTCAGTCGACGATGGGTCCACCCTCTTGGCAACCCACGGCATTTTAAATCACCGTGTCCTACTTCGAGTAAAAGGGATTTTATCATACCGCCTCCCAAACGGAGCCAACGCAACCAATGGAAAACCTCGTCCGATCGTCATACCGGGTTTCTGGGCCATTCAGGCACCTGGTAAATCAAATCCCCGGCGGCCAATCACATTTTGTTTGATGTCGCAACATAACCCCAGATCGCGGTATTAGCTTCGCTGGGGGGAAATTGTAGACCCCACGGGGTTCCCCCATCCCGGGGCTTACGTACGGCGCGGAAAGCTGGAGATGGTCGCGAGGCTTTCTACTTCATACGTATCATATTATAAGATGCTGGCCTCTTGCATACCCTCCCTTTGAATCTTGATCACCGTTTGAGTCTACCTAATCAGGAGTGTGAACATCGCTTAGGTACCTACTTATCGATTGTGATCTTATCAGAGTCATGGCGGACGAAGCCAAAGATACCCAGGCGTCGCTAACCTCAAAGGTTCGCTTGAGTCACGACACCACGGGTAAGCGAGACCATCATGTAGGCCTCGACGACGCCGATGGGCTCGAGCCTAGCCCGGAGACGTATGCTGCTATCATGGCGACGCATAAGCCAAATCCTCGAGGTCCTGGTTACATCAAACTTTACCTATTAGCGGGAATGGTTTTTCTCTGTTCGACCATGAACGGTTAGTATTATTACCCTAAGTGTCTGTTTCGTGTATATTGACGGAATTTAGGGTTTGATAGCTCATTGATGAGTTCAGTTAATGTATGTGGATACCCCTGAAGGAGGTTCACATAATGAACGAAAAGTTACCCATAAGCTTAACGAACACTATGCAATCACTCTTCGTTTATTCCACCTCCTTCATTAAGGCACATTTTCTATCAAAATTCACCTATCTAACATATCTTACCGTTCATAGGCTCTCCCAAACTATACGGAATATTTCGGGCTTCCGGCGAATGGAGATGCCTCGACAGGAATCGTATTCGCTATATTCCAAGTAAGCATGCTGATCAAAGTGGTGGCTAACTCTAATGACTGACCGTATCAGGTCGGTCAAATGTGCGGCGCTCTTTTTATTTGGATGACTGATTGGTACGGGCGAACGTGGCACATATTCTTCGGTTGCCTGGGCGTTTGCATCGGGACTATCATCACGGCCCTGTCTACAAGTCTGCCAATGTTCATCGGCGGACGTTTTCTCCTATCATTCTTCGCGACATGTGCGCATACAGCGGCCCCTCTGTACCTTGTTGAGATTTCACCAGCCGCATATCGAGGTACAATTGCAGGAGCGTACAACACTTTTTATAATGTCGGGTCAATTTTAGCTACGTCTTCCGTTTACGCTTGCCACCTCCACTTGTCAGATAGTGGTGACCTCGACTGGCGTATTCCTCTATGGTTACAAATGGTTTGTCCTGGGATCGTGTGCTTTTTTATCAAATTCTTCCCAGAATCCCCTCGATATCTTATTGCGAACGATCAATACGAAAAAGCTAAGAATATTATCACGACCTACCACACAAACGGGGATCCCGACCATCCTCTTGTTACCCTTCAAATGAAAGAAATGCTTGGAACTGTGCAAGGTGTACCCAAAGCTACTTGGAAAGACCTCCTTGATCTCGGAGTACTTGTTGAAACTCGCTCAAGCCGATATAGATTAATGCTTAACGTTGCTTTCTCTTGGTTTGGCCAATTTAGTGGAAATAAGTAAGTCATTAGAGCCCAAAGGGTCGGTACTGAAGACTAACTCGATCTACTAGTATTATTAGTTATTACCTTCCTATCATGTTGAATGGCGTCGGCATCACTGATACCAATACGAAATTAGTAAGTATTCGAACGTGTCTTCCTATAAATACTCTATCTAACCTTCCAAAAAGATTCTTAACATAGTCTATTCCATTATTGGATGGGTCTTCTCCGTCGCGGGCGCCCGCCTTCACGATATCGTAGGACGCCGTAAGATGTTGCTGGGTAGCACTTTTGGGATGACTATCTGCCTTGCTCTGGTGGCTGCTGGTGCTGCTGGAAAAGTCGAGTACGGCAACAGCGCCGCCGCTACAATGTCAATTGTATTCATATTTGTCTTTGGCGCTGTTTTTGCCACCGGTAAGTTTACGCAATTACGATTGTATCTAATAAATAACTGACATCGAATAGGTTATACACCTATGCAGCCCATCTACCCGGCGGAAGTCGTATCAAATAAAATGCGGGCCAAGGCAATGGGGACTTTCAAGTTAACAGCCGGCGCCGCTGGCTTCTTGAACACTTTCGTCGGTCCGATTGCCCTTAGTTCAATAGGCTACTGGTTTTATGTGTTCTTCGTATTTTGGGATACGTTTGAAATGGCATTCATGTACTTTTTCTTCGTTGAAACTAAGGGAATGACTCTTGAAGAGTTAGATGTCATATTCGAGGCAAAGAATCCGCGGAAGGCAAGTGTCGAAGCAAAGAAGACACAAAAGAGAATCATCAAAGAAGAAAAGGGGGCCGAACAGATAAATGTATAATAGACGCCTATGCAGAAGAGACATGCTAACCCTAGAGCGTAGAAACCGCTGATTTGAAGAGTGTTTATTGATCTTACTGGTGATTGCTCATTTCTTCATCTTCTTCTCGGTCTTCATTCTGCAAACTTACGAATTACTCAAATATATGAGTCGTCGACAAGTTTGGCGAACATCCTATGATGATTCTACCAATAAGCCAATCCTGCGCTTTGTGATTAGCACAACTCATGCGGATATGTCTAAATAAGCAGCTTCTAATCGCAAATGTCCACATACAGTTTAGGGTGGCAATTGTCCTCATAGAGGTGACCTCATGAGTCACACAACGCTTTTGACTAAGTTCGAGGCAATGAAATTGAGCGGGGCGGAAGAAAAAGGGGACCAGAGATCAACGCATCACGACGTCTTTATTCTGAGCCATCGAATCAAAGCAGCATAATCATTGTCTGGAGGTCGCGTATTGCTCCGCTATGCCAAACAGGAAATATTGGGAAAATAAATAACTACAGTCTTATCTTACTTATTATAAAAGGAATTACAAAGGATATTGCAATAAAATAAGCGTTAAAATGAGTATAAACAGACCAAGCAGATTACGTGAGGCGTCAAGTGTGGAGGACCAGGAGTGTAACATTGAGGACCAGACACCAACCGAGGAGGACCAAGTTGGTTGCATAGTTACTACATGCTCCGAAATAGCCAATAAAGGGAAGCGTGGATGCCCTCTCCACGAGGAAGACGCACGACCAGCGTTTCGCTGCTTGAAGTGTAAAAGGCAACGCATTTTCGGGAGGAATTTATGCATATACCATCTAGGAATCCATGGGCGGAATACGCAGGAGCAAAAAGGGCTAACGCACAATGTCAAGAACCGATGCCAATGGGGGGAATGTAAGGATCCAGTCGGAAACTCAGTCTATTGTGAAATACACGCCAACGCATGGTGGCTTGAGTATCGCCGGAAAAGAGGGGCAAAGGTAGTAAAGACAACATCTAAAACCCCCCCAAAGGACGGAAAGGTCGAGGAAAACACTGACATTGATAGCACGAAGTCACCGGCCCTAGACGGTAATGAGAGCGATACCGACCGCGAGATTTCTCAAGAGAAGAGCTCCAGTAAAACGAAGATATTCAGATTTATCGAATACAAACCAAAGGAGGAACCGTAAGAGAAGCACTAATGATGATAGAATGGAGGATCGAGATGATAAATCGTTTCAATGCATATAACCAAAAATCAAGGTATATACCAAGAACTATGTACACATATAATAACGGAGTGGGGATGTCTAAAACCCAGGTATGCTTGAGTCACCTGCTTTCCCCTGTCTACTAAATGCCTACCTACCAAGTGATACTTGGCTTCTTTTGTGGAGTTTAATTGCTTTATAGATCCGAAAATGACCTGGATATACTTAGAAATTGTGTTTAAAGATGGTATATCATACTGGCGTCTGCTCCGAAGCTACTTTTGAGACTACTCAGGTATCTACCTAGGTACCTAGGTACCTACCTAAGGTAAAGGATTCTCGTTAGCCTTCGTCGTGAAAGCCCAGATACTATGTATTTAGGTACCCTGAAAGGATCACACGGTCGTAGACATGTATTATTCAAAGTAATCGTTACCGCCATTATAGTGAGGTCTACAAGTAGGCCTATAGAGCAATATTCAGAGATGGGAAGCTATTCTAATATGACTGATGTCACAAAATCAGGCGTAATAAACCATGTTGAAAGTTCTTCGCGCCGTACCCGCACTTGTGAGTATTGTTTTATCAAGACCTGACATAAACAATACCAACAGTCCTCAACGATTACTTCATACGAAAATAGAGTATAATCAAACATACAAGTTTAAACAAACGATTCGTATAGAAAACACGACTATGTTTTGTCACGATCGAAAACAGGAGTGTTATCAACGGCCGAGTGATGCCTATATAATCGTCGATGGCCTCGATATCTAGCAAAGAGGCTATATACTCATTTGCCCTATCGTCTACATTAAATACAACTATCATCGCTACTAGGAAATAATCATCATTTGTACCTGAGTACGACCGTCTCCTATAGGTAAATACCAGCATTATGAATCCTGGACCCAAAGCAACTGGTACGTCAGGCAGGAAGAAGGTTGCAGATATACCCAGAGACGATCCACTTTTCTTCCGTTACAGAGCCCGTATAGATGCTGTCATGAGGCTATACTACCAAAGAAAATCGGACCATGTCTGTACAAAGTGTGGCGGAGAGCTTGACAGCCGCAGTACAATATTATGTACTAGGCACTACACACAGCGTCAGGAACATAAGAAAAGTGAAAAGGCCCGAACAGCAGTCCGGCGAGTAGAACGAGTGATGGAATCAATACCAGCATTGCGAGAAAAAGTCGGTTTGGGGCCGGTAATAATAGAGCCGGCGAGACCAGAGACACCGCCAGCAAATCCAACGACAGTAAAACCACCACCAAAGCCGAAGACAAAGAGAACTAAGCCAATAGTAGGAAAATCTCAGCGAGTATTAAGGTCGATGCCGCCAGAAGCGCCGGTGCAACTTGGAAAACGAGATACTGTTGTGTCACAATTTGTAGACTTGTCAGACTCAGGAAGTGACACAAACAACGATGGCGATGACAATGGCGATTATAATGACGATGATTATTTCGATGCTTTAGCCACAATCTCGAATGATGAATTTGAGAAACCTAATGAAGACCACGTAGTCCAAACCCTCCCAGATTTGCGGCCACAGCCTCTTATTCAAGCTGAGGAACCAATCACCAGCGCTGTTGGTAGGGCTGAATACGTATCAGCAGCGACTCAGACATCAAATAGTCTGATAGGTGATATAGAAATAAGAGAGGCAGCTAATACCCTAATGAGCCTTAGGAATCAGCCCAGCAATAATATCACACTAATCAATGGTACGGCAGATAACAGGCCGATTAACCTTACGATCACCGAAGGAGAAGAAGGAAGACGTGTTAACATTACATTCTAGTAAGGAAATAAGATCATTAAGGACGTACATATTTATACCTAGATATAGGGATAGTATTGTATGATTGTTCAAGAACTAGACCGGTTATTTGTTTCCTTTATTACCAAAGTTCTAACGACGATAGAATATTGTTTGCTTAATCTCTGGTTATATTCAGCATTTAATAGAATAAAACTTAATATAAATCTGAATATTAAAAGAACTTGAATGTGTGTTACACCCCTTTCGGCATCACTTCCGATCCTAGACCCGCAGAATCGGATCTATCCGTCTTGGCAGGGGTGCCCCAGTCCTGGATCAAAGATCGGAGCTATCCGAATTTATCTGTCTGAATTTCCCCTGAAAAACTTCGGCGAGAACTAATGGACTTTTCAAACCCAATAGGGCACCAGTGAACTACGTCATTATGGACGGCCTAGCTTACTATTTTAGATAATATCGTAAATTTAAACAATTGAATTGTCCGTAGGCTTCGGATTCGCTCCGAAAGGAAGCGGTCGCCGGATTGTGCTTAGATTGGCTACGCCGGCATAGCTGAATTCGACGCATAAAACTTGCGTGAAGACGTAAATTTTCCTTCAATAGCTGGATATAACGAATTAAGTCGTAGATACAGTAAACTTGATTCACCCCTTACGTTGGGTCGTTGGTGCCCTCTACATGCCTCAATGCAAGGACCAATCTTCCTTACATGGCACTATTAGATTCCACCCGTTAAAAAGAAGAAAAGAAGAAAAAGAATAATCCAAGATCGGTGACTTGAGTGAGCTGAATATCTACACATATTCAACAGCGTACTACTCCCATCATAGCAGCACTGCATACTCTAAGACGTCATGTCGAGTCTCTTCTCGGTACACGGTCATCTACAATCAATCTGGCTTACTTTACTCCGGGTAGGGTTGGTGTCAGGCGTAATTATCTACCTAAATACGACCTCCTCCGTCCGGGTATAAAAGGGGGTTGAAGCTCCTTTCAAAATAGCATCTTCAAACCAAACTATTGCCAACCAAAAACGATAAACTTGAGCTCTTTTACTACCAACTCAACCTTTGACACCTAAAGTCATCATGTCTACAGCCACAGGAAAAATGAAGAGCCATGACGAACAAACATTAATCGATGTATCCACTATCGAAGACAGCTTTCGGCGTTCTTTCATCATAACAACGGACAGACCCATACCACGGTTCAAGACTAAGAGCGCCACCATTAATTTTCTCAGCGTAGATGATTTGAAAGGCGAACATCGCTCCGAGATTGTCTTCGGGACCCAAGATTTCGAGATCATAGCGGGCGATAACTGCATGATCCAGGGAGAACTCGAAGAACCCGGAATGCCCGAAGCCAATCCCATGCAGATATTTGCCGAGGGTATTCTCGGCTGGTGGACGAAGTAGGTTAAGCAAGCCTATTTTAGACAAGGAGTATATAATCTAACCTCCTCCAGAATATCTGCCTAGAGAGTAGGAAGCCACGAAGGATCAACAGGGAAATAGGTTACTTATGTAAATACCTAGATAGCTAATGATACCTCATACGTAAAACAACTTCTATCTCCTAATATTCAAACTTAACTAGCTACTCGCGAAACTACTAGTCGTATAACCCATAAGGCCAAACTGCATGCGGTTCGTGCTAAGTGATCTGCTTAATTGACAACCTGGAAGTCATAAAATTGGTGTATTTGCTAATGGGTATTGTTTGATCAAGTAACGCCTTTAATTACTTAGGTAGGTAAGTACAGAAGCCCTCAATTCCTTGCACATTCGAATCAACGCCATGAATACCTAGATACTCGTGCCCTATTCTGGATGTCACTCATTTTAGGAGACATTGTCAATCCTAACCACCATCAGAGCCATGGCAAAGTTCAAAGCCGTAAAGCGCCAAGAGTGAGCCTATGTTTGAAGCCCGTGAAGTAACAAGCTGCGCCTTTATACGTCGCAAGGATCCTTGCCAAATTCCGTTTTTAGGAATCCGGCGAGCTCTTCGTTTAGTGACTTGGCAGCCATAGCAGCCTGGGCTCGCCAGGAACCGAATCGGTACTCAAGGCGTCCAAGGGGGCCGCTATCCTCGGCAGTAGTCGTACCATGGTTGATCACTTCATCGATATCGTAGACAAACTTCCCAGCCCAGAAACGCTCCAAGTATTCCCGATTAACCACTTGTAAGTCACCTACAACTAGTAGAACACGACTGACGTATTCGGTAGTTTTTGGCTCAGCAACTCTATTGCGATTCCATCTAACTCGGGGAAATTGACCACCTATCATTAGTTTCCCTTCGTCGATGGCATGGTATAGGACTTCCGCTTCTTGTCGTTTAAAGAAGCTAATCGACGCGGCTGCGGTAGCCGTACCTTCATTGGGTTGGTTGATTACTGACGAGCGGATTCTTCCAGTCTTGGTAATCGCACCAAGAAGTTCATGGTAGGTGATTGACCCAGGGAGCCCTGTAATCCACAGGTTGGTATTGTCCTCCTCCTTGACATCCGCTCCCGTGTTCGAAGGGAGACTCATGTCGCCTCGGTAGTTTCCTTCAGTTTGGTTGGAACCTCGAGCTCTTTGGCCCAACAGTTGCTCTGAGGGCTTGAAGTAACGGTGCTCCGTCTATATTAATATTGTTAGAAACTATTCAAAAACGAAAAAGGGAAGAATATGCGGGCCAATAAACCGAAAGGTCGCACAAGCAATGGAATACTTACTGTCGGAATCGAGGAAGACATTTTAACGGTTGTGTGAAATTTGAAAGAATGTGCGAACTTTGGTGTAAGCTATTTAGGTGGATGAATCTATTGCCGACCAGTTTAAGAAATGATAGCTTAGAAGGGTTCTCGTACTTATTGGCAAAGTTGCGGAAAGAAATGGTAGAGTTGCAGGAAAGGCAGGCTGTATTTATGTTGTTCCCGGGATTGGTAATGGAAACGACAATTCAATCACGTAGAAATGAAGCGGATGAAATAAAAAGTGAATTGGAAGCTGACCTAGAAAAACAGGTACAGTCACTAAATTACAAGGGCAAAAAAGAACTAATGTATTCCACCGCGGCTTCCCTAATCCGAGTGTAGGATGACTTTACAAGCTTCTTTCCCAAGTCAGAAGGGGGGTTTAATCCAAATTAGGTCGGGCTTTAGAACGAGATCGAAGTTGCGAGTTGCTCTAACCCTTCCCGTTCCTTCCCATTGAGAGCTTCTGCTTGAAATAGCATAATCACATGAGTTTTTTTAATAGCACGCTAGAAACAGATGCTTGTCAAACAACTGTAAAGCCTTGTAAACCCCCTGACAGCAACCAAGTTATATGGTAACACATAATTGCGTACTCAAGCATGAGGCAGGAGTGTTAGGATCATAAGATCTGATAATCAGGAGCAATAACCCATATTCTACATAATATAGAATAACTAAGTCTACTACAAAGATATTAAGGGGATACTTGTGAGTGATAATTCACACTCTTTAATGAAGTTACAAATATATATACCTACATATGTACCTAGGTAGGTAGGAGGACGCATATGGAAGGGCAGTGATGTGAACTTATCAATCTACCAGACAACGTGTGCACCCCACTATTATCAGATAGAGTTGCCGTAGTAAATTGAAGGTACCATGGGTGTATTTGAACTTTCTCTAGTATACGCACGTCATACGTGCATGCTAGGTTTAGGGGGGAGTCTAGCTGAGTCACTATTGTTTGCGCGACCACATGGACTGTTCATGATCATGACCCACAATGGAATTCATCTGGTCGGTGCCTCAATACTAGGTAACTAGGTAGGTACGCGTAAAGATAAGACTGGATATTATAATTATCTACATTCACTTTTTCGCAATTAGAACCTTGAAACCTATTCAACATTAAATTAATATTAGGCTGAGAAGCTGTACAGGACTAACATGTTTATACCACCATGTTCCATTCTTCTTTCTCGTTCTCTACTTCCCATCTCACCTTCGTTGGATCTTGTTTGTTTCCGGACATCACCTAGAAATGGTCAAAATTTTGATATCTTCATCCTGACCTGTCACTACGTCTTGTAGTCACATTTTCCCTTTGACAAACACTTGACTCATTCCCTAGTGAGTATCCCAGTTTTCTTAGTAGCTACCATTTCGGTCTCATGCTCTTAACTTACTGTAGCGTTAGTACAAGTCAATTGAGAAAATAGGAATAAATCTAGCTTTGCTACAATCGCTAAATCGGATAAAGGCTGCGATAATCGGCGTGAGCATGGAGGGTCTCTATCCTCCGATATATGGAAGTATGTCAATGCAAAAATAATGCAATACGAAAGCCGTAAAAAGCCGGTATCGTCTTCTCGGCTTACTAACGCAAATATCCGATATTTTCGAACATGTTAAGGGTCTCTACGATCTGGAAGCTGAAATCATACGACTGCCCTGTACGTATAAGGCCCTGGTCCACTCCCTTAAAGCGCCCAACAACATCCGTTAGGATGGCCGTCGTCGACGGTTTATCGAGAGGGATGATATACTATTAGGCTTTAACTACCTATGTAGGTAATACCTTCATCAATATGGAATGCCTAAGGTTGGATACTTGCCACCTAGATGACTACAGCCATCAGATCTAGAGTTCACATATGCTAAAATACAGTAGGGTTTGCTAGAAACTTGAAAATTTAAGCGTAAAATCCGCCTTTCTTGTGGTAAAGTTAAAGGAAAAGATGGCATGAAACGAAACAAAGATTTCATTTGTGTTGAGCTCGTCGAAACTGATGTTTTGAGGTTAAAGAGAGTAAAGTTGGTGGGGTTAGATATTTTAAGGGGGGAAGTTCTGACTAATCAACTTTCATTACGTAATTCAAAAAGCCGCCCTAGATAGCTTATGTAATCAAAATCTGACGTGACGTCGCCCTACCAACCCGCCAGCCTCGGAACCTTTTCTTTCAAATCGTTTACTTAATTTTCTTTTTCCAGCCCCAATCTTTCCAGCTTTCGCAATTACTTCCACACAATTGAACCTATTAATACATTCGTGAACTTGAATGCGATAAACTCCGATGTCGGACAAACCTACATCCCCGCGTCCTTCGCGAGGCGACTCACCACCGCCTCGGAAACGAAGCAGAAGCAATGACGATCGAAGCCAATCTCCACGCCGCGAACGCGACAGACGAGAAAGAGATAGCTACCGAAGAAACGACAATTACCGTTCACGCGACAATGATAGAAATCGAGATTCGAGACGCGACTCATGGAGAGACCGACGAGACCGTGATAGAGACGATTCCGATCGAGTAGGACGAGGTGGCGATCGCGAAGAGAGGGACTCGGATCGAAGGGATACAGATAAGAATGAGGGTAGAGATCGAGACCGGCCCCGGCCGAAGAAGGGCTTTGGAGGTTTTAAGTACAAGGATAAGCGACGGGACGAATTGGATGATAGGAATGACGATCGTCGCGGTGGCTCGTTCCGTGGATATCGAAACCGCTCGCCATCCCCGCGTCGCCGAGATAGAGATCGTGACCGCGATCGTGCTCGAGATTCCGGAACCTCTTCGTCTAAGAAGTCCAAGTCTAAGTCCAACACCGAGGATACATCTCAACCCCCCGTTCGAGCACCCGCTGCGCCTACAGGCGGTGGTGAGGAGATGATTATTGTCCACGTCAACGACCGCTTAGGCACCAAAGCAGCTATCCCGTGCTTCGCTTCGGACCGCATAAAGGAGTTCAAGATCATGGTCGCCGCACGTATCGGACGAGAGCCTCACGAAATCCTATTGAAGAGACAAGGGCAACGGCCATTCAAGGATATGCTATCCCTCGCCGATTACGAGATTAGCAACGGAGTCCAGCTGGATTTGGAGGTCGACACTGGCGATTAAGTACGAGATTAAGTCACCTGGGGATTATAAGAGTCACAATGGAAGATCGAATACGGCTTATGTTATCATTGCCCTTCCACTCTATAGATACCCGTTTTATACACGAAACCCCGTTCGGTGCCAATGCCATATCGAATATTTTCTAGGCCGTTTTATACCTTTTGACCCTATATAATCCCAAAATAGTATAATTACTTGCCTAGGCGCATTTTCCACATCTCGGAGGAGGGTGACAACATCTCCTATACCTTCGTAGTTCATCGTCTTGCTCTCGAGAACGGATATCCATACATCGTCTATGGGATCTATTCTCTTCAACTTCATGTCTCAAATTCTCTCTTTCATTTTCCAATTCTTCTCTTTCTGTCTCCCAAAGCCTCCTCTCGTTCTCCATATTCGTGGTCGCATTTCTAGCGGCTTCTCTCACAGCGTCTTCGCGCCAATCTAATGAAAGAGTCAGAATTTTGTAACCCACTTCATTGGAAGTAACTCACGGGCTGTGCATTTTCTATCTAGACCTGGGGTCGCCTCCGTCGGACAGTTTGGCCGTGCAGCGCAAACATCTACCAAGATCGATTTATTAGCAACCTATTCCGATTAAACGGGTAGGCTCCACTTACGCTGATCGCAAAAACGCCTCGTCGGAAGGGCCTGCCGTGGACAACCGTTGCTATTACAGAAGTCTAGTTGTATAATTAATCGTCATTATCCGCAAGAGAACCCTACCAGGGAAGAAAAAGACTACTCACGAAGTTGACAGAATCCTCTGCCTGGTGCTTTTTTAAGTGGACAGCCCGGCGCCGGGCATCGATCTAATAGCGTTTACGATTAGCAGGCGATATCTTAGTTACAGGGGCAAGATCGGGTTTTACTAACGATGGTCGCAATATTCGTTGTCTCCAGACGAATTATCGCAATCTCTTTGAGCACAACTATGCCTTCTACAGTGTTTCGAGTTTGGAGCCTTCGGTTCCTCGCAAGTGCCGGTCTCACACCTAAGATCTAGTCCCGTCAACTTTCTATATAAGAGGCAACACAAGTCGGCATTACATACGAGTCTGGCAAAATATGAAACCGGTCTCCCTAGGTAGAGCACAACAATCGCATCGATTGTCTAACCGAACCAAGTTAACCGTATTGACCATATCAATTCAGTGCGGGGAACTTACGGATTTCACAGAACAGGCAGTGTGGTGCGACTATTCTCACGCAATCTGGAACTCCGCACCGATCTGCCTGTCGGGTCAAAAGCTGCGCTAATACGGATATAAATGTGTTACGCACGTCGTTGGCAACACGGCGGTGAGGACCCCGGTAACGCCTGGTTTTGGCAATTATATTCGTCGCAATTATCTTCCTCATGATTAGCCTATCGTCCAACATCCATTGTTGGAAGGTCGCAGCTTACGCTCGTTGCAAAAAGGGAGATATTGGCCTTCAAGGCGCATGAGAGCGCGAAGGTTAGGACACTCTCTTAACGCGCACTTGTCTATGCGACTTTAGTTTCCAACCCCGACGGAGCATTATTTGGGCGTTTCTCACGATTGCAGCAGTATTTCTGACGCTTGTAATGCGGTGTTCTTAGCTGGGCTCGTGGATCCAAGTATTGCATCCTCCCGTTCGTACAACTGGTCTCTTGGCATTCTATGTCTTCTCAATTATTTAGTCGAATCCCCGGCTTTTTCTTGGCCGGTTACACTCACGTTGGGAGCATACTGAATCCGAGGGCGGCTTTTGTCTCGGGCAACGCGGTCCATTGAAAAGGGGTTCCCAGAAATGCTCGCAAGTGTCTAGAAAAACAGCCGTTAGTTCCCAACCCAACCCCATATTCCTATCTGAACACAATGTGCAAAACTCACGCTTCCTACAATATTTAGAAGAGCAATGATCTCTCCTCTCCACTTCTATCCTACAGCTCGAGACATCACACATCTTTTTAGTACGACAACTCGGCACTCTTGTGTGGCATCTCATATTCCAACGTCGGGGGCGTAATATCGAATACCAACCAACCTAGGTTAAGTCTTCTTGGTACTGAATCCTTCGAACAATGTTGATATTTTTGGTTTTGGATGAGGTAGGGATGGTCTGACTATTTTCATTTTCATCTGATCTACCTGCCTGCCTAGATAATTACAGATTCAACCGATTTTTCGGTGAAGATTAACGTATCCCATCTCCGCGTAAGATGCAGTGAACATGCATTTAGCTGACTGCGTATAGCCACTAACCGCGGGTGACGGGGTGAGGCTGATTCGGCAACAGTTCCCCTTCGTCTGAGGTCGCCGATATAAAGACCACCGTTCCAGCCCCCAAACCCTCGATCCATGACAACATTAACAGTCTTATTATGACTACACTGCGACATGTCTGCATGGAAATTCATAAATTATGCATTGAAATTTTTTCTTGACTTACGTTCATATGTCGGCAGACACGATCTTAGATAGCACCCGGGTAGATCTATCCCCAGAGCCTCGTCTCTGAGGTATTTTTTTGCAGACTGGTATTGATTCCTAAGCCACGACGCCACCATAACTAATATGCGGTCCCGTAGCCTGCCTTGAGCTCTCCGCTTCCATACACATATTTTCTATTTCCATATTTCCCCAGGTGTATCATATCGGTATTACAAGTCGGAAATCCCGGTTAGCCATCCTGTAACGTGTCAGCAACCTGAATAAATGGACATAGGCTAGTATTCGTATCCGTTTTAGTAGCTTAGGCGAACGACTTCCGAAACCTTCACGATCCATACTCTGATGGCATATTTCACCAGTTAACTATTTGGTTATCTTGTATACCTAGATGGAGATATTCATTCAGCCCTCATTTGGACCCCCCTTTCCAAGGCAAGAGTAGTCTTGGCATTAACGCCGCTTATGTCATATACTAACTGAAACTATTAAACTATTGTTTACAGCTTTTAAAAATGGCTAAGTATTTCATAAAATGGGAATGGGTCCATCGAATATATCCGACAATGCCACGCGAGCTTCGACGGCGGATCCCGATTCACCGCATTAGTGCGGTGTCTCCGTCGTCTTTGGATACAGTACAGCCTCCTCTTAATTAATCATACCACATCAACACTTAAGCTAAGAGGTTTCCAGGAAAGACCTATTATGAATGGATCATAAACGAAACTTAATATCGTCGATACCACGCACACTTTTTCTACCTTACCGAAATTCAGAGACCGACTCTAGAGTTTACAAACCGAATTTTCACATGAGTACTTTACTATGTAACCAACGCCTTCAGTTAACACCCTGGCGGGTACTTCCATTCCTCTTACTCTAACAGAGAGGCTGCGTTGGTGGGTAGCATTAACACATACTCGCATAACTCGTATAAAAATTTTACGTCCCAGCCTACCTATTCCAACATTGAACATTTAGCTGTACTAAAAACATTAACCTAAGACATATGTCAGTTTGGCAATAATTTTCTCATGGAAGATGAGCCAGCAAACTCCGGGAATCACGCAATAATTGCATCACGTGGCGTCCAGGCCTCTTACCAGTAACCCGGCGCATGGCGTCGTTCGTAAATTGGGGAACTCTGATTGTCACGCCTCAAGGATTGAGTCCATCGAATTCGAATGAACTATTGAAGTATATGTATGTTCCTGGAGGAAGGTAAGTAAAGCACGAGTCGTGTTATACAACCTATAACCAAGCCATAGGTTCGTATCTTCAGCCACGTATCTCGTGTCCTGGCAAGGGCGCGCGCTCTTGCATAAGATAAACGGAGTTTCACACAAGAGCAATGCATATGTAGTTACTAATTCTTATAACAAAATAGACCGGTTTGATGCGCGTCTATATCTAGGTAGGCTGTAAACTTCGACGCAGAACGAATGCATATCTGAGGCATTACGACTTCATTGGCCGACCTTTTTACAACGCTAAAATATCTGTAGCAGTGGCCGATCTATCGACTCGCCTCCCCTCTTTAGGCCAGTGGCGTCAGTTACAGGAACTTCCACTAAACAAACTTCAACCAAATAATCCAAATATGCAGGTCAATATGTACGATCCTTCACGATCCTGTGCGGCTCGGCCATCACGAACTCAACTCCCTACGAACATTTGTTTCAAAAAAGCAAAAGCAATACTGTTGCGAAGCCAACAAAGACGAGGTGGGGTAGCAATCTTATTGTTACACGATGAGCATGCAGGCAACTCCAAGTATGCCTACATCGATAGCCACTTTATTCTCTCGTCTTCGGCTACGGTCTTCTCATAACATATAGAGAACTACTACAACAACGAAATTCCCCTGCTTACCCCCATGACGTAAGCCTTTCCCAAAGCTAGACCGCTAATAGTTATTATACAACCTCGACCGTCCTATCGACCCGCACAGCCTTCAAAGGTATACTACTCCCCGCTTCCGATACTCCATCACGATCCTCTTCCGCTCGAGACACGTATACATCCACATGCGACGCCTCCACATCAGTCCAAGCGAGCGCCGAACCGTCGATATTCATCCATCTATCGCGCTGGTTCCTCTCTAGGGCTCGAGCTCTCCCGGGGGAGAAGCCACGCGACTCCGGACGTCTCCCCGGCTCCGAAACTGCTCTAGAGTCTGGCTTTTCTGTGTTGGTGCTCCCTATGCGTCCGGTCCACGACTTCAGCGCTTGGATGAAGCCGATGTCCGTGGGTATCAGGCTCTTGTAGAGCGGTGCGCAGCAGCATAGTAAGCTCGTTGCCATTTGAACCTCGTCGAATATAGATTGTCGGAAGTCTCTATCTATTCAAGGGTGAGGGTAAGGAGTCAGCTTGCTTATCTTTACTCTAGGGTTGGTTGGAGTTAGCGACTTACTAACGGCATGCTGAGCCACACCAACTTTTACGAACCCAATAGCACCCGAACTGAGAAGTAAACACGGGTTAGAAGACAGATATATACCTATGTAGGCAACATATCAACCATTAGGGTAAGGGATAAGGGCCGACCAGTTGGTATTCGGTACTTACAAGCCACCAATCAAGAACAGTATAGCCAGCTTGAATTTGGAATTAGTACCCATTCGAAGCGATTTCAACATCCATATAGCCTGACCAGCCATGATGAAATCGATGATCGAGTTTGGGGGATCGGAAGCACTAAAGAAGACAGTATCATCTACGCATTTGCCATCTCGCGCTATGTCCCAAGCCTTGGAGATGGGTTTGCAACTATTGAGGTACGCAACGTATACGCCAATGCCCCATGCGATCTGCAGAGCAGCTACAATCCAGACGCCGATGACGAATGGGCGACTGACGGAAAAGAGGCGGTAGTAAAGCGCTAGTAGGCTGAGCTTCGCGAAGGTTTGCTGCGGCCAGAAGAAGCTAAGGTTGACCCATAGTATCTACGTAAGTTCGATGCCGTCAGTCATTGCATCAATAGCTATCATGCTTTCAGATGGACTGTTACCTCTAGAAGTTGCATCGCCTTAGGGTCTCGCTCCATAATAGCCATCAGGAATTCTTGTGTTGGACGCCCATCGTTGCTGACCATGACTATCATGAGTAAGAGGCTGTATCAACAACTAGATGGTTTTACTCACCATACAGTAGCGCAACAGCATATGGCAAGAAGGTCACTAGAGCCGCTAGTGCAAACCAATCCTCAAGACCGGGTTTTCGGCCAGAGCGATGGGTGGCTACAAAGCGAAGACCAGTTGCTAGAGTGCATATGGGAAGTGTTATAACGCACGTGGCAAATGCCGCCTTCTGCTGAGCGCCATCGAGGGCCACCATTGTTTCGAGAGGAGTTACCTAGGAAGAGGCAAGATGACGAAGAACCGCCATAGAAAAGATAAGCGACAGCAGAATCGTACCTGCCAGACTATCCAATGCTTTCAAATCTTGAAGTCTCGAGATAGAACAATTAGTAAAAGCTAAACCAAATCTCTAAGAATCAAAATCTATCGACGGAAAGATTATATCGACCTACATCAACCCCACCTATAGTTAAGTGTATTTCCTAATTGTGATACAATCATCAAACAGGATTTCACTTTCTGCTGAAATTTTCCTATTGCTAGTATTACCATGAGCACACGAGCATCCACCACAGCTATACGCAATGTGTCTGTAGATCACTACTTACTTAAGACATATCTAGATAGAATAGCAATGTGTAACCCTCCCTCTTAGGAGTTTTTAAAGACCGAGAAGGAAGAATCGGATCATGGTGAAAAGCCACAGCTGAACTAGGTGAGACAAGTCAATTATAAATCCGAGACGACGCGGTAATACGAGCCATGTCTTCGTGCTGCTACCCGACAGCCGTGTAGCATTATCCGGTGGTGGGGGCATCGAGGCGTTCTTCACCCCATTTTGGCTCTTGAGAGGAAATGCAAGTTAACGACACCTGCCCGCCTAGACGTAAACACCAAGGCACTTACCCAAGTGCTGTGGGAGTTACTAGACTTTAAGCTTCACACCATTTCTTCTAAAGTTCAATACGTTATCAACGTTCAATAGCATAGTTTTAGACGAGGAGACTACGAGGGAAAGTCTAGAAAGGCCAAGTCCCCAACTTCGTCTATAAATACCCGACAATCTCCATCCTCATCATCTAATCACCCAAACATTCATCCTCCAATACACTCACTCACCAACTCACCCACTAATTCATGTATTCATTGACACCCGTACATACTCTCTCTTGTTTCTATTGGATACCAACAATATGAATAATGGTAAGAAGAAAAATAACAGAAACAAATCCAACAGCAGCGAAACATCTAACGAGACCTACAAGGGGAACTTCAAATAATCCCGCGCCTGCTAGGTTTCGCTCGGAGACACAAAGGAATAATAGGCCTCTGCCCGATCTGGCCTTTTTTGCAACGGCGGCGTACCTACAAGAAAAGTATCATTAGAGGCGACGGTACTAGGCGAGTTACAAGTCGAAATTACGAAGGTGCGGCGCGAGCGACTGTCGGCTCAACAGTCCGCGGATTCGCGAGAGCCTTGCAATGACGCCTAGAGAATCCGTTCAAGGGGTTGTCGTCCCGGAATGGTTCATTGACGGCTGATATTATGTCGGAGCAAACAACGCTACTGTCAGGAGGGGGGCTTGCGCCGGTGATAGACCATTCAGGAAACGAAAGAACAAAAATAGGAGGATGGACCACCGGATTCCTAGCCTTGATAAATCCCCCGTGTCCCTTTCACGCTCCCTCTCCCCTACTCTCTTTTTGCGACTAGCGAGTACCCGTACGACGACCCAACTCGGATATGTACGAAGCTTCTTTCAGGAAGTCGGCTTTTACAGTTATATGCCAGCAAAGACAGGAAACGAAGCCTGTCTACGAAGGGCAGCGCTTTTTACGGGGGTCGCTAGGCAGTATGGCTGAGGAGTGCTCGCAAGATTATTACGTAACGCAGACCAACGATACTAGGCCGGTCTGTACTTAAACCTACGGTTTATTTAAGTAATGGAGGAATCAATCCTGTATGTCTTTGAATTTCAAGGCTTTAGTCATGTTATCGGGGGAAAAGTGGAACTAGTTACGAAATAGGGGTAAGCTCATAAGGAATTGTGTATATAAGGAACGCACAGCAGAGTAGAAGGGTCAGCGCTAATAAGTCACTATATGTTTTACACACAATATAGGCCCTGTCGGGCACGCGTGTTGCGATAGCATGCGATTAACCTTCGCATAATTTTCTCAGCAGCTCAACAAGATAATTATAAAATGAATCTCCAATTTCCACACCTCGAGAGTGGCGTTGCGTATTTATTATAGCGATTTGCCGCGTCAGCTACTACCCGAAACATCATAGGACTAAGAATCCCACTGAGACATATCTAAGAGGGGATTAAGGACTGCGCCGTCGAGTGTCACCCACCCTATGGCACGCCGTGGTCAGCCGTGTTTCTTTTCTGGGCCCGGCTCGGCAATACTCCCCACTGAACCTTCTTCTAAGAAACCTCTCCGTTAAAGACAAAGAAACGGAAATGACCACTAACCGCGATCAGAAAGCTATAGCCATTCTTCCAAGATGAAGGCCACAGATAGTCTAAAATATCCGGATGTTATGTCCCAATTCCCCGTGCTAAACTCTTATACAAATTACCTAGCTATTTTCAAATTAGACGACGACGATTCCCGAGAAGCTGTCACTTCGGCATTCCGAGTTGCCTTTGACGAAATAAAAGACAAGATTCCCTGGATCGGCCATGAAATTGTTAATATTGACAGTAGTTCTAGCAACTTGGGCCGCATAATAGCCAAACCATGGCCCATTGGTGTGTCCCGACAGGACTTCTTTGTGAAGAAATACGACAATATCATGGCCCCATTCAAAGCCCTTGCACAGGCTAACTTCCCAGCTTCGATGCTGCCTGCTGAGGATTTAGAGCCCTGGCCCTCGCTACCCACACCACCTGCAGCCAGCCCCGCACCTGTGTGTGCTCTGCAGCTAAACTTCATCGAAGGAGGCGTTATCCTCACGATTAGCACAAACCACACCATGATAGACGGTTCCGGTATTATTTCCTTACGGCGCGTACTCGCGGCCGTCATGAATGGCGAGGCGATACCAGACAACGAACTCTCTATACTCAGCATGGACCGAACGCGAGTTATCCCACTTTTAGCACAGGGAGAGCCTATCAAGGACCATAGCCACCTTCTGCGACGTGCCCCGACGACACCACCACCACCACTGGAAATCCCCCCAGCAAGATGGCGCGTGTTTCGCATCTCGCGCGAAGCCGTCGAGGAAATCAAAACGCGGGCTAGGACGCGCGACTCCTCATGGATCCCCACGGTCTCGCATATATCGACAAACGACGCCCTCTCTGCCTTCTGCTGGCAGCGGTTTTCGGCCGTCCGACTACCACTGATAGTACAACGTCGGCGGAATAAAAACAATGATGAGACCACCGATCTTCATGAGCACTTACTAACTCGTTTCGGCCGCGCCATCGACGGGCGCGTCGCCATGGGAGTACCGTCTTCGTATATGGGCCACATGGTATACCACGCAACCCTCTGGCTTCCTATGTCAGCCGTAGCTACGGCATCACTCCCATTCCTAGCGACAGCGTTACGCCGCGCGTTAGACGAGGCTAATAATGCGTGGTCGATCCGCAGCTACGCGACGTTTTTATCGCGACAGACCGACCGCTCTCGCCTCCTGTACGGCGGGCCGCAAAATCCGGAAACGGACTTCGGCGTTAGCTCCCTTGTTACGGCGTTTGATTGGGAGCGGAAGTCGTCGCTACGTTTCGGACCGTTGTTAGGTGAACCTGCGGTATGGCGGAAGACGGATCATGCACTGATTTCGGGGTGTCTGTACTTTTTAGACACGGAATATGAAGATTGTGGAGGTGGTGATGGGAACGTCGTTCAGATGGTTTTGCTCTGCTTGCCTGAAGATGAATTAGATGCGTTAGGGAAGGATAAGGAGTGGACGAGGTATTTTAAAGAGGTTGTTGAGCCGGAAGTTAATGTGCGGAGTAAGTTATGAAGCTTTAGACTTGGGTGCATAAATAGGGGTAACCAGACGCTCATGGTCGCGATAGCTATTTGAGTTATGAAATCATGTCCTCCAGCATAAAGTTATATTCTTTGTTATACACCTGAATTATACAAGTGATTAACCCATTTCGGTCGGAACTCGGCGCTCGGAACTAGGGTTAATCAAGGGTCTAAAAAAGGGGTCCCCATCATACAGCGACAACATGTGCAATTCTTAAGTGGGGGTTATGTGCGACACATCCTCGAGGTTCTATATAGTACCTCCCATTTCTTTTTCTAGTCCCAGCCGAGAATCGCTCGAATCGGACTATGAAGTGACGCAATTGGGTCGGTATACGGCAGACCCGATGAAGCCGAAAGGCGGCTTCCCGCCCTTAAATCCTTTCTTTACGCGGCACGACGCATAAGCAGCCAAGCCCCTGTCTTTCTGTACAGCAAGTACAACACTATATACCTTGCAGCAAACGTTAATTCCCAAGTTGCACAAGACGGGATAGGGAAACCGGAAACTCCGTGTCCCTTACGCCACTTACCATAGATAAATAAAAAGCAGAAGCAGTTGCAGCTGCAATCAGTAACTTAACTTTATGTAGGTGTCTACATGGTACGATACATACGTAGCTCAAACTCAAACATGGCTTCACCAATACCGGAAATTACTTCAAGTGCCGGATCGAATCACCTATTGCCCACTAAAGATCCATGGTATACAGCCCCGCCTAACCTTGAATCATCTACTCCGGGGACTATCCTCCGGATTCGAACCGTTCCAGGAGACCCCACCATCTTCAAAAACTCCGCCGCCGCATATCATATTCTATACCGTACCATCGGTTCACGATACCAACCAACATGGGCAGTCACGCAAGTGCCCTGAATATTCTTTTTGTTCTACATTCATAAGTTTTTATGTCTAGCCATCTAATTATCTCATTAGATCTCTAATAATCCCCAAGAAGGCCTCCGAGTTCTCTGGATACAATGCTCTCCTTTCTTACCAGATAGCCTACAATACACCCACCATCAATTGGGGACCTTCGTACCGCATCTTTCAGCCTCCCCTCTCTAACAACTATGGCATCCCTACCGACCATGAAAAGATTGACATAATGCTTGGACGTGGTTGGTTCGTCACCACTCCGGATTTCGAAGGACCCCGCGCTGCTTTTGGTGCTACCGTCCAAGCTGGCCATTCTACCCTTGATGGCATTCGTGCCGTGCTCTCCCTTACGGGTCACTCCGGTATCTCATTGCCTAGCAATGCCGACAAGTTAAAATACGCAATGTGGGGGTATAGTGGCGGCTCGCTAGCCTCGGAGAAAGCTGCCGAATTGCAAGTTCAGTATGCTCCTGAATTGGCGACAGGTTTCGTAGGCGCCGCAGTGGGCGGCCTAGTGAGCAATCTAGGAGCTATGTATACTATCACTAACAAAACGCCTTATACGGGCAACCTTATCCTGGTGTTGCTGGGTGTTATGAACGAATACCCAGAAATTGACGCCCACCTACGCAGTCGTCTCAAGTCTGAAGGGCCCCACAACGCAACTGCTTTCCTGAAAGGCCGCGACATGGACTCACTACTGGCTTTTCACGCATTTGGAGGTCACGACATTTACGATTACTTTGTCGGCGGCCAAGCCGACCTCGAATCGTGTCAAGCTTTACGTAAGATCGAAAAAATTGAATGGTTGCTCGGTTACCATGGTGCACCGGGGATTCCACTCTTCGTCTACAAGGCAATCGGGGACGAGATGACGCCTATTGCCGACACGGATGCGCATATAGAGCATTACAAGCGATTCAATGTCTCTGTTCGATATGATCGCAACACGGCTGGCGGCCACGTGGCTGAGATCGTGAATGGCCAAGACCGAGCGATAGAATGGTTAGCCAGCGTCTTTGATGGGACATACGATACCACAAAGGGCGTTAGAACTCAGGATGTTACAGTAGACGTCTACAAGCCGCCTTCCTTTTAAACTCGAACAATCTCTTCCCTTGAGAGAAGGTAGATGATCTAGTTCAGGTGCGCCACAGAGCCATGAGCATATAAATAAACACATTTCCACGTACTTCTTTATTCATAAATAGTCTCTAGGTCCGTACATTCATATTGCTATCAACCATCAATCAACTACAATGCCGTCGACTCATCGTACCGATCGTAAGTTCTGCGCCGCCTCCTTTTTTATGTTTTCATTATAGATACCTCGATCATTATGCAACATCCTCTCAAATACTCTTCCTGGTAATAGCCAACTCGCTACGCTAGCGAAGCCGGCATTTCCTCCACGCCATATCTTACCCCGTTTCCCACCTAGTGTATCGGTGACGAGATTCCGTGCCGTCACGCGAGGATCCTCATTATTCACCTGGAATTGGCCCTGACCCTGCGTCCGAAGAATATCCTCGACCGGTTTGTACCACGATCCTTCGGGCAAGGAAGGAGAGTAGTCAGCTCCACCACCGCCGCCACCATGGCTGTATATCTGCGTCGCCATCTCGCCGACCATAGCCGTAACGACGCGAACGCCGACCGGCGCCAACTCAAGACGCAGCGTCTCGGAAATGCACGTCATAGCTGCTTTGGAGCTATTGTACATCCCTTGCCAAGCCATAGTCACCGCGCCAGCTAAAGACGAAATATTAAGAATGACCCCCTGGGCCCGCGCTAGCAATGGTGTGAAAGCCTGCGATACGGCTAGCATGCCGAATACGTTCACATCGTAGACCTTCCGAGCCTCATCCATGGAAGCGTGGACCAGAGGCCCCATCATGAACGTGCCCGCATTGTTGACTAAGACATCTAGTCTACCGCCGGTCCTCTTCTGCACGTGGGAGAGGCAGTTCGCGATGGACTCGCTTGATACGACGTCGAGAGGAAAGGTCTCGATATTGGTGTCGATTGTCGACGACGACGCGAGGATTTTGTCGGGGCTCCGGGCTGTGGCGAAGACGTGGAAGCCGCGCGCTTCGAAAGCTTTGACGAGCTCAAAGCCTAGACCGCCGGGCGTACAGCCTGTTACGAGGGCTGTTGGTTTCTTGATTGTTGACATTCTCGTTGGAGAGATGGCGTTAAATCGATACGACTCTTCGGGGTGGTATGGGTGGGCGTGCTTGCATTATGAGGGCGAGTCCCCTCGTTAAGAATGGCTATCTCCGTCGCCGGAGTCACTAGCCGGAGTCGAAGTCCGGGAAAGTCCCGATGTCCAGGAGATGCGTAAGGGCGCACTTCCATATAAATAGGAGGTACAAGGACTTTCGAATGTCCGGGGCGGGGGATATCATTATCGCATGGTACGTCAGCTCGAAATTAAGGGCATCATCCCTCAACTCCTAGTTGGGGTCTCACCGTGGATCCTCTCCCCATTTACATCATCATCCCGTTTGATTCAGTTGAATAATCCTAGGCAACCTGAGTGTATGGTCTCACGAGACGTGTGGATTGTCGCCAATCCAAACAGACATGTTAATTCGATTCGATAATGCACTGCCCATGCCCTTTGTCTCATCTTCACATCACTATACATACACGAATGTCTTGTTTGTAGTTGTTTCCTAACAATATCATCAACATGCAATGTTTTATCCCCTTCCTTTTGCTTATATATAGCCGAGCTACTGCGGCGTAAATATGAAGTGACATACCGGAATAAACGCACCGATATTCCTTATTCGATATTCGATATTAGCATCTTCAGACACAATGCAGAATATTCCTAGTTCCACTAACAGACTTTCGCACGATGTTATCCAATACATGTGCGAGCAGACCATCAAGCACATGCCAGTCCCTGTTGAGATTATCACGTACGTGCCATCAACTCTCAGAACGTCTAGACCCGCTCGTCTATAGATTGGACGTCCTCCAGGTAAGGGATCTCGAGTTGAAATACAGAACTCTTGAGCAGGAGTACGCGTCCTTGGAACCACTCGACATGTGCGACATGCGGGGAAGCCCTCAGAACCGCCTTTTTCGGACGTTGCCTAAGTATGACGACGAAAGACGCGTTTTGACCCCAGCGCTCCATTATGCATCTCGTTCTACGCCATGAAGGAGTCGCAGCCCTGTGATAGCCCGTAAATCTATTCAACAAGCACTAGCCGTATGGCCCGACTATCTTCGCATGCGCACTACGCGATTGGGGGGGGTTTGAATTCAGCTACCGCGACAGCGCTTATCGCCTTACAGCAAGGCTCTACTCGGCACCGATTGACCTAGCAGCTGCGAATAAGGCTAAAGATGTTTTTGTAGAACTGGTAACAGTCTTCGAAAACAACAATGCTAGAATCGAGTTGTCGGACCTAATTTTCAGGGATGTATGCGATGCCATTGGCATTTTTGATATGTCCTACTCGCCCCGCTTCGTCGGCCCCTTTGTTGGTGCTATCCTAGCTGGGTTTGTCGGCGTTGCTCAAGTCTATGCAAACCGTATGATCCACCTACCAGACACTGAAGAGTCATTGGATGACCCTTACGACCCCCTCAAATTAGCAGCCCTCTGCGCGATGCCGTCGGTCGTTAAGATATTATTAGATCGTGGTTACAAGAGCCGCGATTCGATCCACTACGACGGGGCCACGCCCCTTCATTTTGCAGCTTCCACAAAAAAAGACAACAGTGAGATCATTCAAATGTTGCTTGATAGCGGAGCGGACGTTAATCATCATACCGTTAATCATCGTACCGTTAATCATCATACCCCATGCGCTGAAACCGCCTTTCAGTGGGCCCTCAAGAAGGGACTAATGACAACGCATTGTTTATGACAAGGTTTTTTTCGGATAGCGAGTGGCCAGAGATGGCTGCTAGATACATCCCTTATTTCTTTGAAACGGACAAGTGTTTACCGACTCTCAAAGTCATGCTCGAGGGAAGGCAGTTCACCGAAAAGCAGAATGAGTTGATTGTGTCGCAAATGATTATAAGAGTCGATGGAATGACTTATATTTACTTTTACGAGTTTTCGACGGAGACCGGAGAGTATCTTTTTATGCATCCCAGTCTTCGATTTCCGACGGAGAATGTCGCTTTCAAGAGAGTTGTAAAAAGGTATAGACGCTATCCCTACTTTTATTCCGACTTTGAGGATCTCAGCGAGGATAAAAATGAAATCTTTCATAGACGACTGCGCGATATTAGGGAACGATTTCCCCAGACCGCCGATTCAAATCAGAAGCCCGTACGAATAGCTAGCTTACATTACCTTAGAGTACTCAGTACATAGCACAGCCCCAGTATACTTAGATACCTCAGTGAACTTCAATAAAACTGTGGCTTTAACTTTCTTTTCTCTTTTTCTCTTTTTCTTGATCATGTGATTTGGCGTCGCGTTTCGGTGATGTAATACGGTAATAATATAAATCGTAAGCGTAGACGCGCCCTTTTCATGGCAATCCCTGTCCATTTATGGATCACCATTGCTTTCGATGTTGAATGACTCCACATATCCTGGTTCTTTCCCTTAATATATAATTCCATCATCACCTAGCTTCGCATAATACCCAAATACATATATAGTTCCAACTTACAAAGGCTCTCATTCCCACATAATACTTAAAACAATGGCTGTCGGATTAAAACGCAAGCGCGCCGACGAAGTCGCAGGCACCGAGATCCCATCACCACCAAAAAGAACCAAATCCACATATCCCCGTACCCGACCGGACAAATCATCAGTGCCCGTGCCGGAAGACATGGAACCACAACTCCAGCGCATCGCAGCATCAAACCGCACACCTTTCGAAAAGAAAGTAGTAAGTCTTATATCCCCTCCCCCACAACACTACTTATGTATCATCCCTGACGTGTGGATCTCAAATTATAGTGGAGTCTACTTTGTCAGATACCGCGGGGTTCGGTATCGACGTACGGTCTTATGTCAGCACATCTAGGCTCATCCCCACGAGCAGTTGGGAATGCGCTCCGGCGGAACCCGTTTGCGCCTGAGGTCCCGTGTCACCGTGTCGTGGCGACGGGAGGTACGTTGGGTGGTTTTAAGGGCAAGTGGCCGAAGGATGGCGAGGGTATTACGCTGGATGAGAAGCGCAAGTTATTACGTGGGGAGGGGGTTAAGATAGATGAGAAGGGGAAAGTATCGGGGACACCGTGGGCAGGATTTGTGTAGCTGTGTTGAGGAATTGAGATGAAAGGAGTTGTGAGGTAAGTCTTCCTGGCTCATAATCAAAGACTCGGCAAATGCAGTTCAGATCGAGGCTCATTCTCAACGAATAGGAAATAATTCATGTCTGTCTACGTGCGGCTGGGAAAATATTGGCGCCATTTCGGCAAGACTAGTGTTCAATGTGGATTTAAACTGTTTCCGTGATTTTAACAATACCTAGCTACCAACGGATACCCTCTTATTTTCTCAGGAAGACTCCTCGTCGCGGTATCCAACACGTTCTTGCAAAAAATTGCTAGTTATTTCCGCCAGCGCAGCATCACAATACGCAACCCATCCCTCACACCTATGTCTACGCAGAATAATATACACACGATGCCCCTTACAAACACGAAGACGGAGACCACAGCTAAAGTAGTACACCTCACAAACCCGCAAAACAAGCCCGATATCCTAACCATATATAATAACAATTACAATCACACTTATTTCGGGTTCGTTAACCCCTCCGGCTGCTGGGATAACAAGAGACGTAGCGATGTGAAACGGGCCATCGGAAGGCAAGGCCACGCCATGAATCAGGCTGCGGTGATCAATTACGGAGGAAACTCGATGCTGGTTCTCGGTATCATCATCGGGGCATTGGCTTCTGCGTTATTCCGAATGCGAAAGTGATAGATACATGGCAGGATGAAGTTATGAACATACGGTATGGTGAGGAATAAGGCATAAGGGATAAGCATGGGGTGTATTATGAATCTAAATCGAGCACCTAGGTACTTCTGTTAGCTTTGTAGGCAGGTTACTACGTTCATATGCCAACCTTGTCTTGGAGGCATCATGTCAGGAACAACAAGGAATGAGAAGCTGCCTCGTATCGAGATAGTATGATTAACTCGGATTTCAAGTTGGCATAAAATCATAAAGAATCCACCGCATTTCCTCGTTCAAATTGAACTCATTCACATTCAGCGTAGCTCACCCCACACGCACCCCAGTATCATGGCGAAGTTTCTAGTGCTTCTAGAACGGCCAGCACAAGAGGATTCCGAACACAGCGCCGAAAAAAAACCAGTTGATCAACGTCCAACCTTGCCATTCCTCCCTAATGATTACTTTTGCGCCCAGCGAAGTGACCTGCCATCATATCTGCGTATTACCACGAATGTGTACAGTGTAGGTGAGGTTGCCATCGATTACGGTCATTTCCGATTGGAAAATTTGTGGACAAATATATTCATCTCTGGGTCCTTGGGCACTTGAAGAGTGTTGGACTCGGGAAGGGTCTTGGTTGTTGGAGACGCGGTTGCTGCTCGATCCGTGCTTGCGTGTGGTGTTGCCAGTGAATTGCTGCGCTGATTCTCGCTGTCGGCGTATCTCATCTAGAACTGCGTTCCAGGCCGCCCTGGCGCAATCGCAGAAAATGTAAACCACGAGTCCCAGTACGTAGGCACAGATGAGAAGGATGAGGTAAAACTTGAAGTTGGACATGGTTTCAGTTTTTTTTGGTCTTTCTTGTGTGGTAACGTAGAATGAATGGGCGATTAGAAGGATGAGTTTTAAAGGTTTCGAGAATTTCGTTCTGGCGTTCTGGGAGGGAAAAAGTGCATTCAGCAAGCAACACACGTGTTCATTCGACCTTTCATCCCATCTTAAGTGTTCAGTGCGCCATGGGCTGCGTTTGTATAGTTGAATTAAATTTCATGTTGAAATGAAGAAATCACTAGGTACCCATCGCGCTTTATCGTCAAGACATTGCATTCAACGTAACTCGCTCCACATGTATCCTGGGTGTAGTATCCATCTTGCAAAGTGTCTAGCTCTTCCAGAGCAACCAGCCCAATAAAACCACTATTGCCGCCACGATCAATTGCGCGAATACCACCATGAGAATCGAAGGCCGTCCTTCTTTGTAATTCATTGTACCTCTGTTCCCTTGACCCTGGCGCGGCATCTCATTGCGGACATATCTCTTGTAGGTCGAGTTATCATGAAGTATGACTTGCTTCGGTTCGCACTTCTGAGAGCATCCGCCTCTGCTATTGGGTTGCTCGGAGCTGGGGGCATTTCTTTCGAGTTGAGGAAGGGTGTGGTCACTGGCTTCGGAATCACAGTTACTCGCTCTGCGAACAAGTTGCTTTTGCTGTGGGGAATCCATCTTGGAACTTGATGCCTCGTTTATCTGGTCGATGATTCGATCCATGAATGAAGGAAGTTTGACAGGATCAATGAGTTTGGCAGCGAATTTGACACAAATTTGTTCTCCGGATTTCTGAAAAATAAAGAGGAACACTGAACCCACCGTTTGCAACACCCAGGCAACGAAACCGTTTAAATTCTCTGTTAGCATATTTCTAGATATTTCCATAGCAACACATGAGGAACAATGAAACTAATCGAAATTTGAACATCTCCAGGTTTCATTCTGAGGGGAAAGGTGCATGTAAGTGTGTGTAATAGGTAAGATATGTGCTCATTCACTCCTTTCATCCCATCTTAGACCACGTATGATTTGTCAGCGCAGATGACATTCTACATTAATCATGAACACAGGAAGCTGGAGTAGGTCAATTAGAACTTACCAAAGCGTGTAACTTGAAAAATGTGATGGCAATTTCCATGGTTGTCAACACTTGAACATTACGCAAGGACCACATAGATATATGCATTTTTCTTTATTAATATCTTAATGTCTCATCGCCGATTAGACATGCCTGGTTCTTTGCTCGGTGCTCGACGCCCTGCTACCCAGATCGCCCGGCATGGCATCACGCACCTATCCACTGCTCTGAAAACGAATATGCAGGCTTCCTGAATAAAAAACCACCGCGAAAAATCAATGCGTCAAGCATCCTTGCCGAGCCGAAAATCCAGCCTCATACCCCTCCTCCCCCCCCGTCATGCCAGACCGTAAGAATCTCCTATCGTACATTCGGTCGGTTCTCGTTCGTGCGCGCATGCCGGTAGAAAGTAGAAAATCATGAAGCAATGTAACCCCTCCCTTTTTTCCGTAACCTCATCTCCCCTAGACTGATGCGAAAAACGGCTCGGGATCCTCCCTATGAGAGGTGTGAGAATCGCACCCCTGGGTATCTTGGTCGGATCCTGGGTCGTTGGCGATCGAAAAATACCATGGAAACATGGGGTTGGTTCCATTTGGTGTAGAAAACATATATTATGTGGAAAGTGAAGTAGCATAAGAATCGAATTGAGAGTTTTGAGAGTCGGGATATTAGAGTGTCGTGTCGATTTGATGTATTAATCTCTAGATTTTGGTTGTATGGTGGGGTTGGCGAGTAAGGCGAATTAAGAAGTTTGTGTTGATCAATTTGTGGTTTTGGGGAAATAAGGTCAGAGTAATAGCCTCATGAGGCTTGCGAAACCACCCGTAAGTGTCGTCATCATCACTTCCTCTAGAAGAAGGATGGTTTCGTAAGAACACGGTACTCAACGTAATCCTCGCCGTCGATGTTAATGATCGTGCCCTGGCTGACTAGACGGTCCTTGAACGGGCCATTCTGCTTCCTCTCGTACTTGACACCCTGGTGCATCATGACATCACCATTACCATTGCCGTTACCGTTACCGTTGCCATTGTTACCGGGGTTGCCATTGTTAGGCTCCGGACCTGCACGCATGTTCTCTTGAGCGCGCCAGACATGGTTCATTCTTTGTACGTTATCGTTGAAGTCGCGTCGGGTATCATGAGCGTTCATGCTATGCACGCTGTTCACGGGACTGGCCAAGGCGCTCTTATTGGCCTGGCGACGATCTGTGCGCAACTGGTTTGCCTCCATTCGCCTGACTTCGCGGTTGGCGTGTTCCTGAACACGTCCGATGGGGTCGTTACCGCCGCCTCCGCTAACTCGTCGAACATCCATATCAGGAGGAGCATATCGTGTTGTTTGGACTGGTTCAACACCTCGAATTCCTACATCTCGTCTAGGCTGCCTCAACTCGTGCGCGTCGCGACCCTCTTGGGGCCAAACCTGAGAAAGGGTGGTCGGTGCGTTAGACGGTGCGTGTCCCTGGTTGAAGGGTCGATTAGGACTCGCTGCCGCGATTTGCGCAGCTCGAATTTGGGCTTCGTGAACCGCTTTGGTCTCATTCGCAATCTGCTCGTCTTTCGTCTCGCCGGCATCAATCTGAGATTGGCGAATACGAACATACTCCTTAACCTCCGGTCTAGAGAGGTGTTTTATGTGATCCAACATCACAGCCTCGTCGTAAGCTATCCATAGAGCGCCTGCCCCACTAGGGAAATTCCCATCCAAGAAACGACCATCCTTTGTCTCACGGACAAGCTTGACACGGAACATATCATTCGCGCCAAGGATGCCATAGACCGCATGCTTGTCGTCATCATTCGGGGAACTGGACTTGCTCCAAACACCAACGAGAATCCGGGTAGGCTTTCTAGGCACTTGGGGAGGCTCAGGTGTCGGTAGTACACGAGAGTGTTGGTGAATGTGTTCGATATGACTCATCTCTCGGGATTGTTCGGCTTGATCGAGGTAATCAGTAGGGTCATTGCGTTCCGAAATAGTACCGGAGCCACTACCGACACGTCGTCTCTTGACATCTACATAAGGCGCCATTGCCTGCTCGGGAATCTCGCGACCCCATGCTACGGGAGGCGGCTGATTAGTCTCGGGGGGAGGGCGAGCCTCGATGCGGCGCTCTGCCTCTCGTAATGCTGCCATATCCGCTTCTTTCGTGCGATCTTTGAGTGTCTCGGCGCGTACCTTAACGTATTCTTTGATTAGGTTGTGGTCGTGACCAATGAGATGGTCAAGGAACACGACTCGTTCGAAGGTAACCCAGCTACCACCAGGACCGGGAGGGATACGGAACAGTCGACCATTGATAGCCTTCCCATCCAGGTTAATACTCCGGATCCGAGTCCGCAGACGGTCGCGAATATCAATGAAACCCACAACCATGTGCTTTCCTCCTTCCTGAGGAACAGGAGAGTCGCGCCAGTAACCAATCGGAACGTGTTTGTTGTCCTCACCAATTTTATGTCGCGGGTTACCCTTGGTTGAACTAGTATCGGGTTCATCTGTGTCCTTGATGAGACTACTATCAAGCTTGTCGTCACTCAAATCGGTGTAGATAGATGTGCGCTTGCGCTTCGGATAATGAGAAGCTGGTTCACCTTCCTCGGCGACATCGGCCATGGCGACGTCTTCTTGCTCAAGAGCAGCTCGATGAGCTGGAGATTTACCGCCGTTCGCACGAGTGCCAACCACAATCTCATCACCCAGCATATCCGGGTTAACACTGGAGACAGAACTTGTGTCGGGAGGTGAACTTAGATCGGCGTCATTGGCGATATCATCGGCGACGTTGTTGGTGGGGGTGTCGCCTTCGGAAGGTTTCGGTTTCTGAGGTTCAACACTGGCGGCAGGAGCAGGTCTGCGCAGCGGATTAGTGGAAAGAATATATTAATTGAAGGCTTTTGGTTAAAAATATTGGAGAGGAATAATGGGAAATATTGATGGTGATGAATGTTGTACAGAAGAGGCCGGTGAAGTAGATGTGATAGGAGGAAAAGATGAGTAGAATAATTGAGAGTTAAGTAGAGAAGCCCGAGTGATTGAAGGTGGTTGCTATGAGTAAATGTGGATAATGGTTTAGAAGCTCTTCCCTGTAAAAAGGTGATTGTGTTTTTATCGGACCAGTATAAATAGGAGCTAAGACCTTCGACAAGGTAATAACAACTTGTTATTACTGCGAATAGCAGGCCGTGTACGGGAAGTAGTGATGATTAGGAAACAGCAAACACTGTTATAAGGACTGCTAGACTAAGAAAAGGCAGTCACTAGTACGGACAGTGTAAGAGTAGAGATGAAGTTGCTCGTAATACGCAGAAGGCGCGCGGGCCATAACAACCAAAAGATAGAACGGAAGGAGGAAGGAGAGTGGGGCTGACCACGCCCTGTAGCACAGGACTCGATAGCAAGCTATACAACTAGGAAAAAAGTGAAGTGATGTAGGGTTGCTGTACAGATATAGGATAGAAAGATAGAAGGTAAAAAAGCACATACCGTTCAACAACAGTGGTTGTATTTTTTTCCGATTTCTCCTTCTCACCAACCCCAACAAGAGACGGTTTCTTGTCTTCCTCCATACTCATAAATAGTTGAGCAATAACCTATAATTACCAAGGAAGGAAACCGCACGGTATATGAGGGGCAAGATGGTAATTGTCTGTAATATTATTAGCTTGGAGAAGTCAAGTGGACCTATCCGGTTTCCATAACGATTATACGGTGTGGGGTACAGATTAAATCTCAAGAGCGTTTAGCACAATAAAAGAAAAGTGTTTCACAAAAAAGTAGAATACCAAAATGCTGGATACTCGACGAATAGGTGACTACCAACTTAAGATATCAAGTTATCAAAGAGGAAAGTGGGGAGTTCTTCGTGTTGATAAAAATGGAAGTCACATGATAATGACGGGTCCGGGGGTGTTCAAAATAAAAAATAAACATAAAAATAAAAACAAAAGTAAAAAAAGGACGCCGTAACTACCTCGATAAATACGAGTTGTATGATATTGTAGTGCGTTGCGTCGTGACGTTTCGAAACAACCAGCTGGGGGGGGAAAAAGGATATTCGATGCTTACATTTGATGGGACGAGCTCAACTCGAAAAGCCCTCGAGAGCGAATTAAGAAAAAACTTAAGGCTCCGCGCCCGAGGCAAGACGAAAAAGAAGACTTGGCGATCTCCTATGACTTGTTGACGAATTGGCGGGTGATATCGTTCTCTTGTTCTCAGCGATTTTCTACCACGAGTAGGTATATAGCGTGGAGAAAGTTGACTTAAAGTCAAAGAGTAGCAAGAGTGGAAGGATAGCTATCCCTGAGCATAGAGTTAGTCAGGAAAATAGGTAGAAAGATAGATGATTGGGGGTGTTCCCAGACAGAGTCAAAGTGTGACGCACGGACAGAGATGCGACTCAACCAGGAAGATGATTCGAAACCTCGGAAAACTAGCCCATCAATGTAATCGCAGGACTTAAAAGAATTTTTTTAATTGATGGTAAGTTTGTTCGAGTTACCGAGATTTGACCACTTTCCAATTGGGTGCATAGGTTTGTAATGACGAAAAGAAAACACGAACAGCGGAGAAAGAAAAAAACGAGTAGCCTTTGATTGTTGATTGTATGCACTGTATGTACTTACCGAAACAGGGTTTAGTTTTAGTAGATAGCTACCGTTGCCGCCAGATTTACACTGTTGATAAGTATCGAGAAGGATTATTAAACTAGCGTTTTGAATTCGGGAATTAAAAAGGAAAAGGATTTTCAAGTGTGATAGATCATATAACCCTCGTAGTATGAATTATGCGCGTTGGATGAGAGAAAAAAAATTGAAGAAGGAAAAGGTCGAGGACGGAAAAAGAGGTAAAAGGTTAAAGGTGGAAAAAGGGTATTATGAGGAAAGCTATCCGGCAAAAGTAAGCGTTCTCAATAAAAGATTAAAAAAAAAAAAAAAAGTTGTCTGACCCAAGGGGAAACCAAACCAAACCAGAACAGGGGGGCACATTAATATTCGTGCAATACAGGCTCTGTCAACTAAGGCCCGACTAGGGGCAAAACAAGTCGAGAATTAGATAAAGCTGATTGGACCAAAGCTAAATCTGGGAAACCCATCCACTATCTAAAGTGTCGACCTTAGCTAAATAAATGCATAGTGCGCGTACAGTACCTACATACATTACATACATAGTGCGAGGGGTACCTACCTAACCCAAGTATCTATCGATAGAACGCAGTGGGAATTTTCGAAATTAATACATCAAGTAGCCATGTCGTGCTCGTACAGAGAGCCACGAAACTAATGTATATGAAAGTATCTACTTATGTATATATGTATGTAATCAAGGCTACCTGCGATGCGGTAAGGGGAATATACGAGCTTCAGCTTACATAGCATCATTACTACAACCGACCGCCATTAGTCAGGTTGTGAACCTATATAGGTAGGTACCTAAGTAGGCAATGAAATGCTAATTATATACACACATAAGTCTGTACTGCACCGTATACCTCCTTATTATTATTATTACCTTACCTTACCTATTTAGACTGAGGCAACCCAGCCATCTCTCTTCTTCCTTTTTTTCATTATTTCTCTGCCTGCCTATAGATCTACATATCCTCTCACCTACTTTTTTTTCCACTCTATACATTCGACCTGATTAGGTAGACTACGTACCGGATTGTTATGCATGTGGCTAGCTGGTTTGGAGTCGCTCTGCATTGTGTAACATGCGACTTATTAGTAGAATATCCATCCTACTCAATCCTACCTTACCTACCACCAATCCGTTCAATTGAGCAAATCAAAGGTAGATAGGGACTGAGTTATTAATCTTCCCTCCGAAGTATTGAAGTATATCGACTTAAGGTAGCCAGTAAGATGAACACATCGCAAGGATGAAATTGGGTGATAGTAAAAGATCGGCCCGGCCGGAGTTGCGCGGCAATCAACTAACCACAATATACAATACATACAGAAAGGATTCCCTAACACCAATTATTTGGTTGGAAATCTAAGAGGAATGAGTCAAATGAATAGATGACTGTTGTTCATTAATCATTAATCACATTTGCATGTAAATAACATGTTTTATTAGACGAACTAGATAAAGTACCCTGTATATAAGAAAAAGTTGGCTTGGCTTGGCTCACGATGTTGGTATTCTCGAGTTGCACGATGTGGCGCAGGGGTATAATTTACCATATTTCCATCTTCATTATTATTGATGATCCCCGATTCCCTCCAACATTTGTTTTTGATAAAATCCAGTTTCATGTACTTGAACAAGCAAGCCACATGCGAACCACCTACGCAACATCACTATTGTATTCCGTTATACCTATGATACCAAGTAATAATACGATGGGTACATTGTACTTAGATATAGCTATCCGTCGGCTTTTGGAGACATCTGGGCCTAAGAGCGATGTTGCGCTTATCATCGTCCAACGTACGTACGCACGAATAGGAAAATCGGTACAGGGATCAGCATTGAACCAGCCCCCAGCAATAGTAGAGGGTTTCTAATAATTATAAATGGATGTCCATTTAGCCCCGGCCAAGACTATCAACATTTTTGGTTAATATATAGTGTATAAAGATAGTGAGTGGTAGGCAAATCGACCCCATGACTCTAGTGTATATGCATTAGGTATGACAAGTTATTAGGGGACTAGAGACCAATTGGTTATTTTATGACTTTCGATCATTTGATTGATTGCGCATTTACGATCGCTTCAGAATTTTTCTCTTGAGGACCAATTCCCTGAGTCTCGGGTTAAGTAAGTGGGGGCCGTCGCAGAAAGTTTTGAAAGTCGGCGAATGATACTTGTATTAGGCACAGAAGGTCATGAAGCAGGAAGGAATGCAACGTGGACACAGTAGACGCTGCCCAGGTGCTGCTAGTACTTGCTGCTGCATGTCTAAACTAGACTTAAGTCCTCGTTCTCTCAGTAATCGACGGGCCTAATAGGGTATGATGATACACCAATCTTACGCCATCATGTCATCACTTAACTTTTTTGGCTGATAAAACGTACATTACGTGCTTGGTGCGACGGGGGGATGGTTGATTTAACTCGACAGACATACGGACAATACAATACAATCGATTAATTGAGCGGTGGAAGGATAGGATAGGATAGGATAGATAGGCAGATAGATAGAATTTAACACTTTTTTTTCTTTTCTCTTCGGCCTGACCGAAGGGGGTAGAGACACAAGGTGCCGCCCACGCCAGCGCCAGTGCCAATGCCTACCTACTACCTACGGAGTAAGGTAATAATAAAAAAACCCAATGCTCCCTCCCCCCTCCAAACTGCCTAAAAGCCTTGTCTCAAAATACCTAGGTATATACAGTTAGGTACATATAGGTGTATATACGATGTTTGTATTCTCGGTAGTACTCGCAAAACATTGACTCTTTCGGGTTTCGCAATGATAACTCGAGGTTAAGATTGACAATTCCAACAACATGATCGATACATCTAGGATTTAACTCCGATTATGGTTGAGCTTTGACCATAAACCCATTCTCTTCTTATTATGCCAGTATGCTCAAGGACTTATTTAGTTGATTGCTTAGTGATGGTTTGATTTGAATTGAAAAGAAAGGAGCAGGGGTTAAATACTATTGTCCCTATTGTTTTACGACCGGCAGCTCATCCCTGCAAAGTCCGGGTGAAGTCACCAATCTGGAAATAGAGAATACTTCGGTACTCTCCGTTCCCTGCCTCCTCCAAACCCTACAGATTCAGGTCATGTATCTTGGTACAGTATCGCCTTTGGAACCTTTGAATTTACCTTGGTACTCGATCTAATAATCATGTGATTATCCTATAAATCTTATTAAAATCTAAAGTCTTTTATGACTGTTGCGTCACTCGTGTTCCTTTCTCTTATTACCGGCTGTAACTTTAGATGTTATTGATGACGACGACAATTTGTTTCGGAATAAATAATGATATTCACAAGAAACGAGAGGGAGAAAGAAAGAAAAGAAGGAGGGGGTAAATTAGGTATTCACCAACTTCGATCTCGTGGATTTCATCATCGTGGTACAAGGACTTTTTTCTTGTGCAACTATTCTTTTTTTTTTTTTTCCCTCGTGTCCCAACAGCCGAGACATGATGCTGTTGCCGTCAACGTACCACGATAACTCACTCGGCCCCACAGTATTGTAACAATCTATTCATTCTTCTTTCATCTTCATTAATAGTTTCGATCCAAATACACGTATCTATATTTGTGTACGTCTCCAATTGATACATAATTCGTGATACGTACAGTATGTGGTAGTATTACAGCACCAATAGAGGAAAGTTGTTGCGACAATATGAGAGTTTTTTTTCGTTATTTTTTCCTTCTTCGATCCGCTGCAACACCCCCACGTTAAGTGGAAATCGTCCGGGCTTTGCATTGAATTCTGGTAGGTGGGTAGATAGTTATACATGGAGTTTAACCAACCAACGAACAGACCTACATACGAATGCTACAGAACCAAATAGCCTTTCATTTCCATAATATCCTCTATATAATGTTAGTTGAGCAAGTCAAGGGCAAGCAGTTGTATTGTCTATGGTACTTGTGTTACCAACGTCGAATTCGCGCCTAACATTATCCTACGGTCCTACGCTCCTACTATATATCATACGAGTCTTCTTCCTTCAGAGTCAAGTGAACAGATCCCGGATTACTTCTACGAGAAGATATCACATGCACTAACAATTGCCCCTATTCTCTGCCGACGGATATAACATCGGCCTTACTAACACCTGCACCACGGGATTCCTACGTGTAGTATCGGGATAAGTGCTGAGGAGGTGGCAATAGTCTTAAAGGCCGAAAGAAGCATTAGGACTATAGCACACCTTGGAGACATAGATAAGGGCTTAGTTAGACTAGAATGAAATGATTACATATCCTTGCCGCATATGAGGGTGTATCGGTATGCGTCAGCAACATTATACGGTATTGCTAGCTAGGTATCTCAATACACACCAAAAACGTCAGCAGTGCAGTATATAATTAATCATCACTAGAAGTAGGAACAATCTAGAGTATCGTAGACTCAGCAAGGCGACAAGTGAGATGACGGCGGCGAGTTGGATTGAATCTTCATGCGGTGAATGCCCGCATGTTACCATCTAGCTACGTGGCCGGCTACCGGTATATCTCATGGGCGAGATGATAAGTCGTCGCAGCCTAATTAAGCTGATGATATCTCAGGTGACCGGTGTTTTTATAACGTTCTGAATCGGGCAACCTAATAGTGACAATTTACTCTTCGCTGATGATTACCTTGGAGCATAGATGGCATCCTCAGAACACCGCCCTTCCATGTATTTTCGATATCTAGGCCCAAACCTAGATGTCCATGAAATATTGCCTCCTCGCGATATCTTCATCTCCCTCTTCCTCTCCCAGCGCCACCACCCCGTCCTCCTCTCCCCCCTCGCCCAGGCCTTCCACCTCTCTTCCCCTTCGCTCCCCTCCCACCACTTCCAACCTTCTCATACAACCTCTCCTCACCAAACGCCATCTCGCCAAACCTGATATAACTAATCAACCCACCATCCACAATCGCAACCACCGCATTATGCCACGCATGCTTCAACCGCTGATACATGGGTCCAACTCCTCCTTTCTCGCCTTCTTTCTTCGACGCTGGTAGTTTGGGTGGATCCCATGGTGTGCAAGTCTCTAAGAGCGCAGTTAATTCCTCGAGCGTAGGCACGGACGAGGTCCGCGCGTCGGCGACTGCGATGCGGAAGTCGGGAGATGGGGGTTTGGTTTTCGGGAACGAGGTACTGCTTTTCCAGACGTGAAAGTGGATTCGGAAGGGTTCTTGCGGTTCTTGGTATAGTTGAGGGGCTGGTGTAGGCTGGTGTCGTGGGATTAATGCGAGTTGCGTGAAAATTGGGTTGTATGATCGGTAGAGACCAGGTCTGACGAGGGGTCCGTAGGATGGTAGGTTGTTATGTGATTCGCCTTGGAAGAGAGAGAATAGCCATTGCCATAGTGTCTGAGATGCTTTCGTCGGAGGTAAAGGCATCTTAGTCGCTCGCATGATTTTATACCCCGTTCTTCGTAGGTTAGCGTAAACCTGATATTTCTCCAAGCTAACCTTTCCCCTCTCCCCGTCCTCTCCGATTAGAAGAGCATACGCCGCTTGTAAACTCAACGGTATACCCAACTCATGCTCCTCAAACACTCTCCCCTCCGCATCACTACTTCCATCCTCCCCCTCCTTCTTCACGGGAAACACATCCTCAATCCCCCTCGCCGGCCACCACAAATCCAAAGACCCCCTTTCAACAAGATACAGCGCCTCCTCAGGTAGTAACCACGTCTTCAACCAGCCAGGCGTCATCTTATACCCCTCAATCCCCGTAACAACTCTCCCCGTATTCTGACCCAAAGGTCCTCTAATCTCATCCTCAACCGCAACAACCCTCTCTCTAGCCCAAAGTCCCGCGCCCTTTTCCCCTTCCCGCTCCTCTATAACCGGTACATTTGCCCATTTCTCCGGAAAATACCAACCCCGAGTCCGGTCGCGCGGACGATGCGATCGCGTGTAACTTAGTACATCGCGCATAGCACCACGACTAGCCTCTAACGCAGAATCTTGCGCGCGCGTGCCATGGGGTTCGAAGTCCTTTTCGCCGCGACGCAGGGCTCCTCTGCCACTTGCTGCGGCTTGGCGTTTGTCGAATAATGAGGCAAAAAGACGGAAATCCTGGGTTTCGTCGCCGAGGGTGTCTTCTAATGAAGGTGCATCTTCACCGTCACCTGAGCTGTTTGAGATAGCAGCCAGGGTTGAACCCGTAGGGATGGGGTCTTCGTCGTCGAAGGGCATTTTGATAAGTTGTATTTGATGAGATATCCCGGTAATTATTTGAGGTAAATGGTGTGTTGAATCCCAGTAGATTTAGAGAGTTTGCGATGAGATAATGGCAGCCGATGTAGGTTTTACATGCTGAATTGGAAAATAAAGTCCGAACTGTAGTATTCGACTTGCACTAGATAGTTTTAAACTTTCTCAAACAATATCCTCTCTTTCAATTCCGCATTCCCATAATCATAATCTTTAGCTTAGTACTATAAAAATGCGTGGTACACATAGTTTTTTAACTATCAACCCAAGCCCCACATCGACTCACACCATCAAACTCTACACCAATCAGCACCAACATTCCCGTCCGACCTTCGGCAAAATCCTCCCACACCACACACAATATAGTCCCCAACTCCCAATCATTCTTTCAACATCTACTGGGAGTTTGGCCGAGTGGTTAAGGCGTTGTGTTTAGGTCATCCTTGATTGTCCCTGACGATTGAACGGAGCCCCGCAATGGGAAACCGCGCAGGTTCGAATCCTGCAGCTCTCATCACATTTCTCTTTTGCCAATTTGATAGACTTTATTATCGTTCATTTTCCTTTTTACTTTTATTCTTATGATATGATCGTAATTGTATGGTAAAATATTTTTGCTTTTGGTTCCAAAGACGGGGGGGTACTTTGTATTGATGCAGGGAGATGACGACGATTCCTATCCCGATACGCATACCTAGGCACATAAGGGATTGATTGTCCTTACATTTGTCCTTTAGTCCTTTGACGAATAGATCATTGGCATTAACAATCATACTTATATTGAATCACATTAATTTTAATAAACACTACCTTACACAAGTAGCCTTGTATCATATTACATTCGCAGTGGGTAACTTGAGTCGAATACTTGTAACATTGAATGCATACCTGTATCTTTACAATCATATCTGTGTGCCTATCCAATGCGAAAAGTCGCCAAAGGCATATACAGCATATATACAAATAAATGCAATACCAACACTCAAATGCTTCATCAGATTGTAACAACTCCTCCTAAGCAGGGGGATAGGCTAGAGAGCGCGCTCAAAAGGTACTTCTCCATTCGCCTCGCTACATCTCAGGTGGTTGATCCGTAGGGTAGGTAAACGGCGCATATTAGCGTGTGCTACCCATACGGATCGCTAAAGGTGGAGAGAACATTAAGTCCAGATGTTCGGATAACCGTATTCTCCTATAACGCCCGGGATCCGCAGTGCTGGTATAATGTTATCCGATCTCGTGCCGTCCCTTGGGGATATCCCGTAACCCATAACGCCGCAAAGTCCGTCATGACGGAACTTACGCCTGACAAACACAATGCAACAACATCCCAATCGAACCATGGCACCGTAAACTCCGATATTCGCACCATCCCACCCATAGCAATTATGATTCTTCGAAGATCCTATCCATGACCTACATCCGAATCTGTAAGATCCATCGGGGCGTAATAATACGGATTGTACCAAGTAAGCTGTAGAAGGTCAGGATGGTGTTCTGGATCTCTGTTCTCTCGAACAAATGTGATATGGGTAGACCGCTTCGTTGTTCCGTATATCAGCCCGGCAAGTGACTCCATCCGTGGTAGTAGCGCTTCCATTTCTCTCGCCTAGGGTTGAACTAGTAAGCAACCTCGGAGAATTTGTGATCCTTCGGATGCATGGAAGCTTGTGGGCTAGACAGGTCTTCCCAAGTGCCGGCCGCTGACGAAACAGACTCGCATACACGAGATCTCGCAAGGCACATGCGCAATGTATCTTCAACTCAGGGGCCATGATGCCTTGATTACGGTCTCGTGCAAAGAATGAGGATGGATTCTCTCCCTCGTCGTATTAATAGGGCGGTATTTTCATTCGATTAGTGGTTTCTTCTGTCCTCCTACAGTACAAAATCCTAACGTCGCTAGGGCGTTGGCATCATTAGCCAGGACGATGGTTCTCGCAGGTAGCATAGGGTTATTCGGGTCCACGGAGGAAGCATCTTTAGCTGCTTGTTCGATAGCATCCATTTCTTCTTTGCATGCTTGGTGATCTAATGGGCATATAACGATGGGTTGTCGGAGGATAATATCGCGGGCTGCCGTTAATTGTGCCTGTGATCGAAATATCGTCAGTAATCATTCCCAAAAATGACCCCTTTCGCCGACTCCATATCTCAAGATGCGCATACCTTAATAGTTAGATAAAATTCGATCTTATATAGTGTCGAGGTTGTCGTGAATGATGTGACTTCGTAATTAGGAAAGGCTGGTTGTCCTCTTCGAATGATTCCGTTCGCATCCCTTAGGTCCTTGTGAGGAAATATGATACCCATATTGGTCACGAAACCTGCTTCAGGCAATTTGGTTCCGACGGTTTGGGTGTGCTTCTGCAACCTGTTGATCTTCTTGGTTGGTTCGTCTCCTTCGGGGTTATAGGTGATCTCCTCTTCGATCGCAAGCGTGATCTTCTGTATTGTGACCTTCTTCGCCTTGGCCATCCAATCTAGATTTGGCGCGAGCTTGATATATACAGTGATCGGATCCATAGGTCCGTAGCTCCATCTCGGAAGCGAAATGCCGAGCGTTACTATATTGTCTGTTGTCGCAACCTTGTGCTCGGGTCGATTGTACATTCCAAAGGTCGATAGTGTATCGTATCGTTGCAAGGGTACGGGGAATGCATATTTATTCTGTACACTCTGTCCCTGTTGTACGGTAACCACTAATTCGTAATATGTTTCTGCGGTTCGGCTCGGAAGTTGCAATGATGCTGGGGGTATCCTTCGATTCGTCTCTTCGCCGCCTCGTCCGAAAGGGATGAATAGTACAAATGGTAGATCCATCGCTACGACATTCTCGGCCTCCCTACCCGTCGCGCACCGGTATAACAAAAGTTCCTTTCCAACAACATCGGTAGTATCGCGTCGAGGTGTACCGAGATGGCGCTTCGCTACGTTTTCGGCGGCTGGGTGGATTGTTTCTCTTCTCTGTAAGCATATTCGCACTAGAGAGATAGCGACGGGAGCGGAATATCCTGACGATGGTCTTATTTCGACTTTACCCTCGATGCGCGGCTATGTACGTATGTTAGTCGAGTTAGAAAGCTGGAAAGAGGCATCGTGCGACTTCAGCTAGGTCTTAATACTGGACCCTGACCGACACCCCCACATTGAGGAGTCGGAAAGCAATAGGCAGACAAATACGAGAGCTTAGGAAATGCGAACCTACCAATGTAGCCGAAATTCCCGGGTATCCAACTAGAAAACTGCTATTCGGAGGGCCAGAGACCCGGACAAAAGCTTGTACTCGTTCATTCATCTTCTTCGCGCGCCGTGCACCGATGGTGGGAGGACGAAAGGTAACGGATCAGCGTCGGCCGGGCGCATCTATACCTCGTCGACGGCGACAAGCCGACGCTTCCTAACACAAATGCGATTTTCGGACAATTCCAAAGCGAAATATGGGGTTCGTTACATGTCATGCGTATTTTCGTCGTTATAGTAGCCAGTCGCCCAAAATCGTAAATGAGATGCAAGTCGGTGACCAAAGTATTACAATCGTCCTAAGGATAATGTGTGGTGCGCTCGGTATAGGCTATCGTAGATGGGCAAAAGGGTCGCAAAAGGCGGGACGCAAGCAATTGGGTCTTGGTTGCTGATGGAGACGGTGGCTGAGAAGCCGGGACGCGCGAACTCAGGTCAGGTCAGGTCAGGTCAACTGGCGGTAGGGTCACAGCCCGTCCGGTTTCCGCTTTCCTCTTAGGTCTTGGGATTAAAAAGGGTCGGTAGGTCGGTCGGCGGAAGGATAACAAAATCAATAATTATGCTGATCTCTCTCTCTTTTTTGGTGTTACTCCTGAAATTCGAACAACAAAAAACGTTGAAGTTGGTAGGTTTTACAGCTCCGCAGTCAAAGTTTCCTTAACCTAGAAATCTACCAAGGTAGAGGAATTCTAGGACTTTAGGTTACTTAGGTTTGATTTGGTCTGGTTAGGTTAGGTTAGGTAACCAAAGTACAGGTAGCCGCTATAGATTATGCACTGTATGTAAATGGGTTATGAGCAATGGGATGGGATGTATGTACCTACCTTGCATTCGCACCTGCAACTCGCACTCGCACGCTGTAATCCACGGGCAGCCGAAGAAGGTCTAACGTTGGAGGGGAAATTAAGGTTATGGACGATAGCCCGATTGTAAATTCAAACCGAGTTTAGTATTAGTACCTAGGTATCAGGAAAAGTATATTTAATAAATTTAATATTTTTAACCATTAATTTTGAAACGAAACGATAGAATTAATTGTTTAACCCCACAGGTTTCTATATGGAGATAGGGTAAAAATTCCGGTGGTAAAACGAATGGCAAGGCTCTGGGAAAAGCTGGAAGTAGTAAAGTAGTGAAGGTAGAGAGAGTCTGACAGATACCACCTGCCCGAAACTTTGAAGCTGAATGGGGAAATTGGCAGCTTGTAGCACGAGGATTTGGGGAAACTTCCACCATCTGAATTCGAAACCAATCGACGGTCGTTCCGATTCGGGCGCCAGGGAAGTAGGTACATCCCTACAGGTACTTCAGGTACATGAGTCCTATTATGTAGTGCGATAAAGTCTATACCCCACCAGCATTTTCCTATTTCCCCTACTGCTCTACCGCTTCATAAATCGAACAATCAGGCAGCTATATAACCATTTACATACCTGTGTAAGGCACAAATCATATTTAACATACACCTGTCATTAACAGTTATTACTTTTATACATTTAAACCCAATCATTTCCTTATGAAATGAGGTATAAACGTGTATGAGGAAATACCTACGCTTCTATGGTTTAAAATGTCCCGATAGGTGACGACAGAGGGTAACTAATTGACCGTCGGTCTTCGACTTAACGCCCTAGGATTTATCTAGCAGCTTAGGTACGGGCAGTTTTGTTCTAAGTTAGCTCAACGTCACGGTACCATAACTACCGCTAGGGTGACCTGTCATTGTAACGATATACGACGTAGACGATGCGCCGTCTCATCCACTTATAAGGTAGCGTCGCCAACACCGACATTCTTGTTTTTTGTTCTTACTTTTGTTGTTCGTAAGGTTCAGATACTACCAATTAATACCTCGGTAGCTATCTGATATAGCTTAATAATGTATAAAGAGGGAAAAAAAGGGGTTTCCGAATGACACCATGCACGGCCACACATTCGGGTACTACTTCGGACGGGTGCGACAAGATCATCCCAAACATGGAGGCCTTTTCGGGCGCAAACGTATACCCTCCCCCATGGAGATTTATGTACAGAAGGGTCCATGATTTGGGGGCCAGACAGGAGCTCAAACCCTGGCAACGTGGATGAGGCTGACGATCCTCAAGATTACCCCTGCTTCAGAGTGTCCAGAAGTGATCGCCGTCTTATAATTATTAAGCATTCATTTATAATTCCTACACAGCAGACATGAAGAACAACTTGATCCTCTACCCCCAAGAACCACCGAGAGATAGAAGCTATTTGCCTAAGGATATATAGCCAAGGAAAATAACAGCTCAAGAAGAAACTCGATTCCCTACTAAGCTGAACTTCTTCAAGATCATCAGCTACGTTTAGCGCTTACAACAAGAAGCTATTAACGTACCACACACACCTACAACTGCAAGATGCAATGCGCGTGCCGCTATTACCGCCGAGCAATGCAACCCTTTGGGTGTGCCATCACATTTCACACGGGGGCGGCCCTTATTTGAAAATGGGTTGTTTCCCAAGAAAATGTTGGGATGATTCGCAGGTAGGTATTTAATCCCACGTGTTTTGCCTTTTTAAGACTTCTTTTTTAGAGGTTGCAAGAGACGAGAATAGCAACAAAGTACAAAATAATAGGCCAAGAAATGCGAACCTGCATACAAGTATCGTCACTGCTACCCACCAGCCCTAGCTAGCCCAAGCTAGCCCTGACCCAATCAATTTAGGGACGTAATAGCCCCGCATCAACCCCTGGATTAGGTCGGTTTTTTAGTTTCCTCCACTATTTGACCCCACAAATCTTTTATCATGGTTCCAGATTGAATCGCAACTTTTTTTAAACCCTTCAACGTCATTTCATCCACCATACGCGACTCCACGCGACCTCGTGATATACGATGAAGCTGTGGGAAGATACATCAAAATCGTGATACCATTTCCATTTTAATAACTACTCGACTTTCTTTATTGGTGGTATTCTAGCGCCATGTCTGTCACTTTACATACATCGCAGGGCGATCTCAAGATCGAGATCTTCTGCGAAAGCGTGCCTAAAACCGCAGAGGTATACAGCCATCCGCTACTTGCGACTATACTATATGCTAACATATTCAATAGAACTTCCTAGCTCTTTGCGCATCGAATTACTATGACCAATCCCCACTTCACCGTTTAATACCAGGTTTCATGGTCCAAACCGGTGGTCCTGCGAATCCCACGCCAGATAATCCAAAAGGAGGACGATCGATATGGGGCGGTACATTCGAGGACGAAATTCGACCGGCGCTTCAACACAATGCACGAGGGATCGTATCCATGGCAAATAAAGGCCCCGGGACCAATGGTTCGCAATTCTTTGTCATATTCGACAAGGCGCCACATTTGGACGGCCTTAACACAGTATTCGGCAAGCTCATAGGTGACGATAGCCTTGTTACTCTAGCGAAACTAGAGGCGCTCGAAGTAGACAAGAAGAATCGACCGAAAGAGAAGGTATTGATTGATAAGGTTACTATTCACGCCAATCCGCTAGCGGGATGAATATAAATGCGCCTATTTTGCGCCATAAAACCAACGGGGTTGAAGGATCCGGTTTCGGTAGCATGATGCCTTAGTTCCTAGAGCGAAAGTTCTAGAGACCGCAAGAACTGGATATAAATGCCAGAGCAGCCCCGAATAAGCCACCCAACCTGCTCCCTTCCGAGTTTGCGCCGCATCAAACTCGGCTCAAGATGGATTAAGGCGTAGGAAATTGTGTGCGTGCTCCATGAGACAATGAGTCTTATAGAGAATAATCGGAGGTGAGCACTATATATCAATCGTGACTGAGATAAGGTGATCCGAAGATATGAAACCTAAGCTCTCCAACTGCAAATCATTTCATTCCTAGATGCACCGGTTAATTCCGGAATTCGCTTACGCGGGGTAATGATTGTTATCACCTATGATTTAAGATAATAATGGGAGAAAAATAAGCAAAATGCAGGAATTAAATGGGCACCAAGGAATAACTCAGCACTTTAACGTATGTGCATTCGATATATCTCGATACTAATACCTATAGGTATACACATAATAAAGCACTTGCTACATATTTTATGTAGGCCATAAAAATAGAAATCAACAGACATTGATCTGTACCTTGAAGCGCGTGCTTTCCTACAATGAATGCCAACGATGTTCTAGGCTACCAAGATAACCATTATAAAGGCAGGTACATTGGAATTACGAAACGTTCACGTCTGTAGCAAGAACGTGGGTAGGCACCGGAATATCACAACTCAAATTCGAAGGCTTTCCTGCCCAAAATCGTCACATTTCATTCGTAGTTAATTTTATCGAATTCACAGAGTTTCATCCCAACTCTCTGCATCCTCTACTTTTTTACTACATCTCAACCTGATTCTTTCCAATCCAGCCTAATAAATTCAAGCTTCCGAATACACCGTTTTCATCATGGCCATAATTGAAGGTATTCCCGGAATCAAGGTCACGGTCCGTATCAATAATGTGGACTGCGCAGAGTACGATGATCCCAACCCTCCAGAGGAGGAACCCGAACGTCCGACATCTACAAAATATGTCGAGTCGCACGACGATACCGAGTTCACTGTCCATGTTGCAGTGAACAATGAGTACCAATGGGGTCATAGGAACCATCTTCTCTTGGCTCGGTTGTACGTCGATTCTGCGTTCATCGGTAATGCTCTGATGATGGAGAAATATCTCGACATCAACAAATGCTATGAACGCACCATCGAAGGTAGAAAGGCAGAATCCAATGAGGCTAGATCTCTAGTTCTACAACGGCTCAAGTTTTCCACAGTGAAAACCGGTAAGCATCTCACGTCACAGGGCTAAGAGACGAAGGGTTGCTAATACAAGTATATTGTAGTCGACGACGCGACAAAAGAACGAGTCAAAAAGGACCAAAAGATATCTAACAAGCTAGGGCTTATTGTAGTGGAAATACGACGCGAAATAAAGCTAGGGCGCTCTAAACATAGACCCAACCGCAATCTGCAAACGGTGACTCCAACAGCGACTTCCTTTGAACTGGCTGAAAAATCCCTAAAGGGGAGAGCAATCTCCCACGGCACCACGTAAGAAACAAAATACCCCGTCCCATTCACACAATATCCTAACTCTATAGTCTCTCCGCCCCGGAATCGATTCGGCGATCTACCTATTGTCACACGGAGCCGGTACCTGGAGACAGCGGTCCTATCGCAATTTTTCGATTCCTGTACAGATCGAAAGGTCAGTCATTCGCTATAACGACCACTCCTCTTTAATTACTTATTAGACATAGGTGCCCTACAGCAAGAGCTGGTGTTGCCAACCACCCCACCTCCTCCGGCTACTCTAGATAGGATCTCTGAGGCCGAACTCCATCGACTAGCAAGGGAAAGACTCGAACAGATCAAAGTAAGTTTCGCCACGTAATTATATACTTGATGCCCTAGCTCACCTTTTTTTCCTCCAGGCAGAGAAGCGCATCAAGGAAGAAGGACCCGCCAAGCGCGAGTTCGGCGAGGTTTTCGACCCGACGGATGACGGCTCGGGAGCCCGATCCTTCAAGGCCCCACGACGAGCTATGGGAGTGATAGACCTCACTAGTGAGGACTAATTACGTACGAAGTAAGGGATTAACGTAAAAGAAGTACCCGTGGATTGTGTACACGACTCTGTTCTTGAGTCATCAAGTCCTACCAGTCCGCCACCCTGAATTAAAACCTTGGGTTTCAGCTTGATACACATCTCTTCACATTCCAGCTGGTCGTTAATTTGCGATGATTTGCGATATTGCGGAGAGTGGCCGGTTACTTCATCTACTGATGGCAGGCGCCCGTACTTTCTGCCTACAAATCAAAGGCCATGAATTCGTGAATGCCTTGTACCAAGGCTATGGGGTCGAATGGAAAAGGAGGAGTTGTTTGCGTTGACTTTTTTCTTTCGGGAGAATGCTGCTTGCCTTATATATGGTCAGGGAGATCTGGAATTAGTAACGAGGGAAATAAGAAAAATCATTTGTAGTTTACGCAGACTATAAACCACCATACTTGCACCAGTACCTAGGTAATTGAGATGTGCTGTGCTTGCAGATTCTTAGCGTCAACTCGATCTCTTCGTCCCCTTCGTCCCTCGCGGCCGTCCTCACGAACACCATCCATTCTACGTCAAGAACAATTAAGCTGTAGCGGTATAAACAAGATATCGCTGGGTTTAAATCCAATAGAGAAAACCTCTAGTTAATAGGTTCGATTGATCTCATTCCTGGTATAAGACCAGAGCACCAACCATTAAATAACCTAATTCTAATATGATATATCCTCAAGTTCCAATGCCAATTAACAACGGGGAATGGCAAGATTATAGCTGTATTGTCGTATAGGACGATCTATCCTAAATCTAAACAGTAATTGTTGTTAACATTCACATCTCACATAAGAAAATACACCCGTATTCTATAGCTGCTGCCTAATGCCGTATCAAAAACCGCACAATACGAACCGGAGATTCGGCAGTTCTAGTAAAGTCCATCCGAATGCTACTCTACTCTAAGAACGCAGCTCGAGTCCTATTCCATTGAACTCTCCTGTTAGCCAACTATCTACTCCCTAGCACCCCTGTACTCGAGTGCTCTACATCTTAAACTCGAAATAGTCGTACATTGAAACCACCTAGTCATAGCTCACGGTTGCGAAAGTTCGATAATCATGGCGCTTATGATGATAGTTCGTCTGATCGTAAGTTCAGGCCTGAACACCATATACTAATAGTGCCGCTCAACTCTTGGGACGCAAAACTCTAATAGCTATGAGAGGTCCGGGAGCCTCATGGTGGTTGAGGTACATCGACGAGAGAAGAGAAGAACTCGCCCTGATCATTCTCCTCCAGACTTAACCTCGTAATCTACTTCCTGTCTACTTGTTCACATTCCAAAACACAAGATATACCATCATCAATCTATCTATCAACTCACGATACGCAACCTATAATCATATCCATCATCAACCACCTCACCAACAAAACCAACTCCTACAACCATCCACAATAACCACCACCAAAATGATGGACTTCTCCCCTCTAGCAACCCTAAACTCCCCAGGCCTGCTATTCATCTACATAGGCATAGCATTCTACCTCTGCATATGCTCCGCCATCGGTTTCCTCGCCGCACACAACAAACACAAAGGGCAAACCATATTCTCCCTTTCGCCGCAACTATCCACCGTCCTAATCGGTATCTTCTACACCCTCTTCTTCATAATCTTCCTAATCCCCTTCATCCTCGGCGCCGCTTTATGGACACTCATCGGCGCGAAGCTAGTCGCTGCGTATAAACGCGCAGGCGAGAGGAACCGGAGACGGGATAGTTTGGATGGGAGTAGTGTGTTCATTGGTGAACGCACTTTAACACGCTCTAGCAGCGGTGGGGAGGGGGGCGGGGAGGGAGAAGGATGGACTGTGCAGCAGATCCGCGCTGCTGCTTTGGCACCGCAGGATCCGCCTGGGTATGATGGGAATGGGATCGGTAATCCACCGGTAAATTCAGACGTGGATGTCGAGAGGGGCGAGGTCGTCGTCGTCATACCCCAGGAGCCACCGCCGGCGTATGTGCCGACTCGATATACTCCGGCGATGTTAAGCGAGTTGGCAAGGAATAGGGATCAAGCAGCGTCTTAGGTATTGTTGGTGATATCCTGTCCCTGAGCAACGTGGTGGTTGTGCTAACTGATGACAGATTCATCGAAACTATAATTAGGTATTTAATCTGGGAGTTAGGTGTGCATTAGCATTGGGCATTATGGGAGTTATTTATGGCATATTTAACTAGGGGCATAATGAGGCGGGTTTATACGCATACCTGAGTTGGATATGAATGTTGAATATTGGATTATATAGCAAGCTCAAGCATAGTTGAATTTGATTACTTTAAACCAACTCTTCACAAATCCTCCGCCATGAATGTGACTCGTAAAATAATATTATCAATACCAAAGGTATATACAAGAAATTATACAAGGCAGGCAAACATCCAGACCATCCTAATAGTGGAAGGGGATTTGAGATATGCCAAGCCAAGACCGAACCGGATCGAACATAGCGATCACCAACCAACGCCACAAGATGAAGGTTAAGTATTATAGCGCATCTCAAGACACGCTTTACATGCATGCATAACCATAATGAACCAACGTATGCAACTGCTGGTCTCAGCCTCATACTCATTAACCTCACGATACTCGGAGGTGTCCGGCGCCTAGACCGGGGATGAATTCGTATAACACGGGTACGACTTCGACGGCTAGCCAGCCAATCCCTGTGATTTCAAGTCAGCATGATATTCATTCGGGTCCCTTTCGATTTCTTCCAGACAAATCGCTGGACTGAGCTGGGCCAGAGGAACTTACCGGCGTAAACAACAAGCTTCGTAACAACCTCCACATCATATCGTACCCTAGGCTTAACCAACTTCGAAAAGACCTCGCTCTCACCCAACTCATCCTGCTGTCCCACATACACATCAGGCTCCTCTTGGCCCCTACCTCTGGAATCATCACCAGGACTCGTCGGGCTTATCTCGACCGGCGAGACCACAACGGTGCCCTCTCCCATTAACTTCTCATAATCACTCGGCGTGTTAAGTCTTGGCGCCTCGTTATTATTTCCGCCACCAATAGCAGAGCTCCTCGCTGCGTGGAAGTCGTCATTTTGCTGTTGCTGTTGTTGCGACCACCGTATATCCTGCACACTCGCCCTATTTCTCAGTCCCCCGGCACCAACAATAGGGCTAGGGCCAGCACTTAGACCACCGGGACTATTCCCAACATCAACACTCTCCCTACGTCTCCGTTCACGATACGCCAGTGTCTCATACGCATCCGCCGCACTCTGCGGTCCCACACTCACGGACCTACCGCGACCAGGATGTCGAACCGCCGTAATTAAATTCGGCAAGTCACTCACATTCGGCATAACATTATCAACACGCAGACATAGGGGGATATTCTTATACTCAGAAGCCGGCATGAAGAACCGTCGGGGTAAACTCAGACCCTGATCCTCGATAAGTCGGAAAAGATGCGGTAATCCCCTAAGTAGAGACGGCTTAGCGACTTCTCGCCAAGCAAAAATAACCAAAACCCCGAACAGAATCCGCGCAGCCACAGCACCCCAGCCCAAAGCTTCGAGGCTAAACGGTATATCCGCAAAGGAGCTACGATCGAAGCGCCAAGTACCAATCTCGAGCCCCATCATAACGCCCGCGAACGCCACGCTGTCGTCGAAACAAGGGCAGTCATCAGCGGGTTCGGGGTGTACTCGTATAAGTATAATAATAATAAGTAGGAAGAAGCATAAACTAGTCCAGCCGCCGGTCTGTAGATAGTTCTCGAGGGCAGGGCCGTAGTAGAATTCGACGAGTGAGATTATAGCGCCTAAGGCGGACCCGAAAATGACGTCGACGAAGCCGTGCATGCCGCAATATAGACGGCCGAAGATGATGCTAATCGCATAGAAATAAGCAAGCGCTTCGAGGGCGAAGCGGGACGGGATAGGACTAGATGGGTCGGCTTGTTCGAAGGCGGCGTCGGAACTATGTAAGCAAAGGATGCCATAGACGGCAACAGAGACGGCGTTTGCGGAGTGTGTTGACGGAAAGCCGTATTCGAGGGCGGCGGAACCGGACATGGTGATGCGGTGGAGAGGTGGGGATAGAGGGCGCGGGAGGGAGAAGAAGTCCTTGATGAAGCCGGTGAAAAAGACTCCCGTGGCTAGGATGTGTACGATTCTGTTTTGTGATTACAATGTCAGTTGCTTTTGCTCCATCATCACAGCCTTATGTCTTCCTCTTTGCACATAATTCCCATGGTATTTGTAGTATGAAGGCTTATGCGTACCCTTTTCCAAATGAGCCATTGCCACACCAAAACATTATAGGTAGACCAATCATAAAGAACGTATGTGTGCCGAGGTTGGCAGTGATGGCGAAGTAACTATCGAGGGCGGGCGAGCGCAAGGTGGCTTGTAGCCATGCTAGGTAGGGTGTCTCCCATCGGACGAGGGGTAGAGCCTGCTGTCGCAAGTTGTACCGCCATTTTGGAAGAGCGCGCTTGTCTATATGACATCAGAATAGATTAGCACGTATGATCTGATATTATATGTTTGTGTGTATGTTTGTATGTTGGCATGTGTTGACATATGAAATTCCCCACGTGCCAAATGTTGACCCCTCGAAATATGTATGTCGTATGCGTACGTGCGTAAAGTAGCAATGGTGTCTCAGTTGCGCAATAGGCAAACTCGAGTATATCTAGCCTCATTCCTCTTACACAGCCTCTTCTCCCCGCTTCATGTATTCGTGTATTCGCAAACATATGAAAAGAAAGAAAGAAAAAAGAACCAACATACAATGATCTAAGCTTCGTAGCCCGGCGTCGATCACGGGGGGTTTCTTCTCTTCCTCTTTGGCCCCTTTGGCATCGATGGGCCCCGCAACGTCATTGGCGTGGCGGTTATTAGTATTATTCATCGGATTCGGGGATCAGTTCTCCTAAACGTAGACGGCGGCATGAACGTGCGGGAAGAAGATATTGGTATTGTTCCAGTCCCGGCCGGTTTGATTATTCGAGTCGAGGGTGTTCGCAGACGCTGTGGAGGGTCGCGCATCGAAATAGTAAATCGTGGTCGTTATCATCGGTCAATTAATTTCCGCCGTCTTCGATTCGTCTGCGATCGAGGTCGAATATAATAGAATAGGAATACTAGAGAAGGGAATAAATATGATATAGGTGCATATACGCAATATTCATTTAAATATAGGTAAAGAGGAATAATGGTAGTAGTAGGCAGAAGGGAAAAGGAAGAAGAGTAGAAGTATGGTAGAGTAGAGTAGTATACCAGGATACGTATGTAGGTAAGAGTAGGATTTGGATTTGGCTTTTGATAGATTAACCCTTTCTTCTCAGCCACAACCCATCGTGTGTTTTTTCTCTTTATGATTTTTTGTTGTCTTTTTCTTTTTAATTATTGTCATTTATTTTTGTTTATTTTTCTCATATATGTGTGTCGATACGTGATGCGCATAGAGTTTCCCTTACACCTGTGTGTTAAATTGTTTGGAAGGTAATATACTATGTATTTTTCAAAGCTTTTTTCGTAGCCTGGTTTGGCTTAGCTGCAGTTGGTTGGTTCAATGTTGCTGCTTCCCTTCCTCCCTGTAATTCAAAATGCTGGCTTCAACTTTAAATCGTAGCCATTCGCAAATCAGACAAATCAGAATAGACATGGCGTCTTCTTAAAATCAATCCCCAAAAAGGTAAAAGGTAAAAAAAGGTAAAGGCCCCCCACATCCCCCATTCTGTGTCGTCAGTCTGAGCCCATACCTGCATTGGCTTTGCTGTGCCGTTGGCTTATCTTTTTTCTCGCTTTCTCTCTTCCCTTAGAAGCTAATGTTGCCAGGGGTCGATGTATTCCGAAGAGAAAAAGAACATTGAATTCCCCCCACTAGGAAGAAAACGATTGGAAGAAAAGTCGAGTTTTTCAGGGGAAAGTTGCATACAACATGCAGATAGAACCACTAATCGATAGGGTCTAAAGCTAACTCAAGCTTAGTGATATGCACCTAGGTACAAAGAGCTACGGGAAGCTACCTCGGACAATTTCGTATTTTATATACGAATTGAGTATCAATTGTCTCAAATCTCAAGCCTCAAGCCTCAAAACGAAACTCCACGCACGTGATCGAACAGCATCCGAGCTGAGCCCAACAACAAAAAAAAAAAAAAAAAAAAGAACAAGGGAGAAAAGCAACTTTATAAATTGGATTACATATGTTAAAAGCACACTATGTCCCTACTTGGTAAGCGGTGCATCATCTCCGGCGGCAGCCGCGGCATCGGACTAGCCATCGCCCGGCTCTTCGCCGCCGAAGGAGCAACATGTACTCTCATCGGGCGGAATCAAGAAGCCCTCTCCACAGCCGCCGAATCCCTCCCACGCCATAATTCCCAGGACCACGAGACAGTACCTTTTGACGTTTCTAATACAAATTACTGGATGAAGATGGTGGCCGATAGGAAGACTGTAAGTAGTAACAGTAGCGAAGCAATCAATATCAATTTACACCTTACCTTTCAGTTTTAATCTCAGCTTCACAAACTGATATGTGGGGAGCGCATGAAATAGGTAAAATGCGATATCCTTGTCAATGCGGCGGGCATCTCGCAAAATTCCTTTTTATTCAATACTGCACATGGCGATGTGTCCAAGATCATTAACACCAACCTCACGGGTACCATATGGGGCTGCAAATTTCTTGTACCCAAAATGATGAAACAAAAAGAAGGTTCGCTTAAAATTTCCCATATGACAACGTATTGTTAGAAGAGTAATTAATAAATTCAGGTTGTATCATCAATGTATCAAGTTTAATGGCTATTCACGGGGGACGGGGCGCAAGTATCTACGCTGCCTCGAAAGCCGGTATCGTTGGTATGCAGACCTTCAATTCCTTTTGCTCGTCATAAGCTCAATAGCTAAACCTGTCTACCCTAGGTCTAACCCGATCCCTAGCCTGGGAGGTGGGAAGATTTGGCATTCGTGCCAATGTTCTCTTGCCTGGATATATCCAGACCGAGATGACCGAAGGTAATGATATCTTACCCCCCCCCCCCCCCCCTATGGCGTTTCGTTTTTTTCCCTATCCGTCCTAAAACTTACTCCTAACCAGCGAACCACTCCGTTCCCCTTCCTACAAAGTACACAATTACTAATATACAGAGTTCGATGTAGGCATGGACAAGAACGGCGAGCTCTCTACTTTGATCCCCATGGGACGTCTAGGTTTGGTCGACGAAGTCGCAGACGCCGCATTATTCCTAGCAAAAAATAGCTACGCACACAATTGCGTCCTCAATATCGATGGGGGTTTAAGCGCAACGTGAAGTCTGTGAAGTTCGATTGGTGCAATACAAACTCGTCAATCGGTCAATCATCAATGATCTCGATGGCTCCGGTGCCAACATCGTCATCAATAATAACTATATCGTCGTTCTTCGACTTCTTGGCTGCTGGAATTGGGCCGTCATCATCTGTTCTAAGACGTTTCTTAGGGTCCTTGGCTGGCGGTTCCCCGTCGATAGCACGTTTGCCGTTGATCTGGCTAACTCCGTTGCCATTGCTCTCTACGGGGAGTTGTTTCTTCGGCTTGCGAGGGATGGTTGGCACTTGACTAGTCTCGAGGCCTTGAATAGGCTTATCGGGAAGTGTGCTATGGGGATGAATTAGCAATGAGCACATCATGTACGAAATACTACGACTTACGCTTCTTGGATGTTGATAACGACGTTAATAAAAGGGTCTTCATCATCTTCATCAACAATTGTTACGAAGTCGTTGTGCTTGATACCTGTAGAATTGTTAATGCAAACATTCATAGGCTTCGGGGTGATGAGACGAACCAAGTTCATCAAGGTGCTTATCAAGATTTTCCGTCTCGTCCGGGTCGTAAAGTAGACCAGCACTGCTGTTAACCGCGAACTCCTTTTCGCCGTAACCCAACCGTAACTTAACAATATCATCTACCAGATCTTTAAGCGTAGCTCTTGATAGATCAATAGACACGCTAGTATTGTAGGCACTACAGACAGGGCAAGTTGGGTTTGGAGGTCGAGGGCTATCCACTCCTAGTAATCTTTGGGGCGCGAATGGCGTCAAGAAGACCTGAAAAGTTAGTAACATGTGCAATTCTCTATTACTTCTTTTCACTACTCACCTCTCGTGCTTTGTCATATTCTCCTCGGAGAACTTTGAAGGCCTGGAGAACACAAAGCCCAGCTACGATTGCATTAGTGGTTGCAATAGCCGGTATAATATTGCCAGCCATTTGCTTAATATCGAAACGGGATTTGTCTTCAATTCCAAAGATATGGGATCGAATGTTTGCACTTGCAGCGACAAAGTCAAGTGTGTCATCATCGTCTTTGTCAAATGTGATAGTAGGTTTGGGCATATCCTCCCCTCGCGCAGCTGTCAGCTTCAACATACGCTTACTTAGGCGGTCTAGACTGTCATTGAAAACCACTAGGTTCTCTTCTAAACTCCATATTCGCTGCCCGTCTCTAAGGACCTCGTCCTTCGATGCAAGGGCGTTGGACGCTTGGGCCAGCAACGCTTTGTATTCAAGAGGCTTAGGTGGTGCTCTCGACTTCCACATATCCTTCATAGAACGTAAGCGAGCAATATCCGCATTGAAGACCTTGTCAAATAGCATCTGCGCAAATTGTTCTGTTCCAACTGATTCCCTTATCTTTCTCAGCGCTTCAGCCTCTTTCTTAAGTTCAGCAATTTCACTCGCATTATCTTCGTTCTCGGAAACATCTAGAGTAGCCTGATCCTCGCTCGTACCGAATATTTCGTTCAGAAGGTAGCTTTTGCTCCAGACTATGCAATGAATAGGTTGGCTAGGTGTACTTCGGATCGTGCATACAGGGAAAGTCTTGGGCGTCTCCTTGGTGGTGCAATCATAACAGGCCGTAACACCCTTCTTAATGACTTGGACCTGACCGTTGAAACCAGTCGTTCCACTCTCAATTAGGGGGACGTCGGCTGCCAGGCACATTCGGTTCACGTGTCGTCGCGCCTCGAGGTTATCCAGCGCATTGAATACCAGTTTGAAACCTCGGAACCATTCGGCGTGAAATTGTGCATCTTTGATGTTGCCATGGTGCGCGACAATCTCGACTTGGGGGTTGAATGCCGACGCTATCTCCTTGGCGACCTGTCCGAAAACGTCAGTGAATAGTTGTATATACAATTTCCAGTATGTTCATACCAAGGCTTTCGATTTGCCAATATGCTCTTGTCGAAAGAGGAACTGTCGGTTCAGATTGCTTAAATCGATCGTGTCGAGGTCGACGATGTGAATCACACCAAATCCAGTTTTGACGAGATCTTTTAACAGTTCGCAACCGATCCCACCCGCACCAACCATTAGGACTCGAGCCTGAGAGACTTGTGTTAGCTGCGCGAATTTGAGCTCGATAGACGATTGTAGTTCCATGACTGGATCTTGGCACGATTCGATACGAAACAGGGTAGGTATTGATGCACAATTATGGTCTGGGAATGCGGGGGCAAGATGTTATCGCGCAGAGGTGTTCGTGTTGTTGTGATAAATCGCAAACAGATTTCATGGTATCGAATGGTTCGATCGGTGGTGCGCCGAGCGCAAACGGGATCGTGTTACGTGCAAGGCAGCAGTCATGTAATTCGGGAACTTACCTGCTTGACATTCGCGTGCAGCGAGGGGCCGAGCGACCTTTGGTTGTATGTATCTCGGGACACGGCCATAGCGAATAGCTAGCTACCCGAATCACTACGCAGGTAGATCTCTTGGTCGATACATATACATAAGATGGTGATGATGTAATGAATGATCGAGATATTGTGAGTAACTAGTTAGATGCGAGCGAGCTGCAACGAAGATTAAGTTTGTTACCGAAGAACGGCGATGATGATGAAAGAAGTTTAGAAAAAAAAGCAACAGCAAAAAGAAAGAAGAAAAATAAAAAAGCGCGGCCGGAGTTTAAAATCGACGTGAACGATGGGATTACAATATTAGAGTTAAAAAGAAGGTGCTGCCAGCCTTAGGAATGCTCGCGCGGTAGTGGCTCAATTGGAACCGGAACGAAGCAGTGTGTGACGCTCCTGCCTTTGCTGGTATGACCTCGCAACCTCGGGCAATCGGGGTGCTAGACCACGCTAGACAGGGAATGCATAACGCTTACAGGTTAGCTGGGCGATAGGTGCGATGTAAAGCTTAGGCAGGTATAAGCATGGAAGCAGGGAAGGAGGTAGGTTGCAGGTCGCAGGTTTTTTTTGGTACATGGTTGCATGTACATGTGTACATATGTACGTACAAGTGCGGAATTGCTTGATGGACTTCTCCGGGAACTTACGCTATTGGCGTAGGAGATCGTCATTATCCACTAATTTCCAAACAGGGACTATAGGTTGCACATCATTTGGATGGTTCGTGCTTTTCTATCACGGAGGGTCCTCCTTAGCCCTAGGATCGTCGAAAAAAAGTACAACTTCAAACAAAGAATTAAGATACTTTCAGCTCGGCGGGTCAGCAACGCTATGGTAATGTAACCCTTTACGCCGTTGAACTTTTCAAAGTGTAACGGTTTCTTTTCAATTTCAAATACGGAATTATCCTTTTATTTGAGCAGGATACACGAATAATTAGTACATTGAGCTTCAACAGCTCTTATCCGACGTGGCGCGACATCCGACTTGGGAGTAAATATTTCGAAATTGGGTACAAATCTCGTTACTCATCAATGTCTGAGACAAACCTTGACTAGGGGACCGACCACCAACATAGATCTAGGCCCTTCGAACAGAATTTCTCATTATCATGTCTGACGACGAGGCAGATCCGGAGCTTCTGGCTTTATTAAGACAACATTTCCAGGGGAAACTAAACCTAGATGAAGAACCCGAGACAGGTGTCTTGGAAGGCGCCGAATATGTTTATGACAATTCCATCGATGTCGCCCTAAATATGAGAGCAACCAAAAACGCCGCGACCTTGATTTACGAGCAGATGCAGCAGAAAGAATTTTCGACGGCGAGCTGGTCCGAGCATGAATTACATCCCAAGGCCAAGGATGAATCTACTGTTGCCTTCATATTCACCATGGATCTTCTGAACTTTTCATTCTGGTCCCTGCGCCCTGAGGATGAACGATTCGCTGTGTCCTACCGAGACAAAACTTGGACCGGGTATTGGAGTTTGGTTGCTTCATTGCAGAGGGCCTTGGAAGAAGGTAGGTAGTAATTTGCTCAAAAAACACTGAACTGATTTATATATTTAAAGTTACTTGAAATTTTATTATTTGATTTGATGTCGATGTCTCGTATTATTCGATGCGAGCATAGTTAATTCCTATCTAAAGATATTCCCATCACCGATCCCCATTACTGGCAGAACGAAGAGGAATGCAACCTCGACTCCCTAAGATACGTCTTCCGATCATCTACCGATGAAGAGATACCCCTATTAGAAGCACGACTTGCTTGTCTGAGGGAGGCAGGACAAGTTCTATACGAAGTAGGTTAATCCAAAAAGTATCACAATATGGAGATAACGCATCGCCAACCCACTTCGGCACCTTGCAGAAATACAGCTGCAGCTTCACGAACTGCATAGAAGCTGCCAAAAAGTCCGCTGCGGGGCTAGTCAACCTGCTCGCGCAGGACTTTGATTGCTTCAGAGACGAGTTCCGGTTTGAAAGCCGACGCAAGCCGATTCGCTTCCTCAAGCGCGCCCAGATTTTAGTAGCAGATATCTGGGCTTGTTTCAACGGCGAAGGTTATGGAGAATTTCGAGATATCGATAAAATCACCATGTTCCCCGACTATCGTGTTCCACAGATACTAGCTACGTTGGGCTGTATAGGCTATAGTCCGCCGCTCCAGGCAATGGTGATGAGGGGAGATGTCCTTGAAAGCGGGACCAGTTATGAGCTCCAACTCAGAGGTGAGTATCAATGTTATCATCATTCTCGATCAATACTGAAAATGGGACAGCTTGTAGTATTTGGTGCGTAGAACTCATCAGACGTGAGATTAAACGGGAACATCCAGATACGAAAGTCAACGCCATCTTAATTGACTTCTTCCTATACGACACGATGAAACAATTGGAAGCTCAGGGGAAGGAGACTATACCACATCATCGGACGAGGAGCATTTGGTACTAATCCATTTGGATAGATGGATTGCAATAGTTGTCGGTATTTCAGTAACCGTAGTGTAGTTCCTTTGTAGGTAGTCCTGGCTGACTACTCGCAAAATAGATGATCGATTTCACATACAGCCCAAGCTAAATGCCAATTGATCTTAGCAAATCTGCATAGCCAAGCCAAATCGTAAGCTCCCCAACGCCAGCGCATAAATATCATGAAGCATTGCAAAGTGGGGAACTCCGAACTCCCTCTCCGTTCATCATACACACATCCATTGACCAACCGTAGGCTTCATTCCATTCCATCACACCTTAAACGGAACCAATAGATGTCGAATTGAGGATCTCATCCATATGAGCCTTCTCAATACCTCCAGTGCCTTTGGCCTCCTCCTTCTGGAGCACAGCGAGGACTTCTAGCGGGGGGTTCAGACCCAACTTGTCGGCACGCATCCACCGTTTCATGCGGCTAATTCCGACACATGGCTACCATCATATGTTAATCCTTAAGCGCAACAAATAATCAAGTAGGGAAGAAGGAATTGAAACTTACCCCGTACTGCGAGCTAACATCCCAATACCGCAACACCTTCTCGGCTAACGTCAGGTCCTCCTGATGGACCCTTGAAGCAATGCGCTCACGCTCCAGCTTACGCCAGTACTGATCGATCTGGCAATCAGTAATCTTATCCGCGCGCAGCTCCGCTTCTGACTTAGGCTTCTCTTCTGGCCGCGGCCTTGCCTCTACTTCCTCTTCGTCCTTAATTTCCTCTTTGATAGAGTCTTCGTCTTCGGGAGTTGGCGAGGGCTGTGCGGAAGAAATGTGCTTTCCCAATGGGCTCTGCTTCGCCGGCTTCGAGACTAGGTCTTTGGCGGACTTGGGAACGGGTTTGGTGACTCGGTGGTTGAAGGATAGCGTCGATTGTCGACCTGTGGCAGTAGCACCACGGCCGCCGCCACTTGAGCGTCGGGTGGTAGGCATTGTAGAAATCAATTGATCAATCGGTTTAATTAGTATGAAATACTAGGCGAGTTATCGATATTGAATAATTCAATTCACCAATTTACCATTGAAGATTAGAATTAGTAAATGATTGATGATGAATGGAGTGCCTGAGAGGATTGTGGGTCGGAAGATCAAACGAGTGGAATGAGTGGAATAAGAGATGGAAGATGACGAATGACGTGGGGGATTTCGATTTACCCCCAACGGTGGCTTGTTTAATATTGGCGGGGCAACACGAAAGACGAGCGCCACCACGTGACCGGTCCCACTTTATCGTCCCCCCTTTATCGATCTAGGTACTTAGGTACATATATAAATTACTCTTTTCTTCCAACTACAACGAAAAAATCAGGAGCGCATTTACGCCACTTTCACGATATCTTCACAACGATTATTTGAATCAATTGGGAAATTTGTGATATTGGTAAATCAACCTTGATTAAAGGGTTTTCGTGAGGACTATATAATAGGTCTTTCTCCTTGGCTAACCGACCATGAGTGCAGAAGAAAGAAAACACATCTCGTCTATAGCCTCATCACCATCCCTAATCCCATTTTCCCGAATTCTCGCATTTAGTGATAAGCCATTCATTGGCTTTTAGTCCATCTCGTCTATCCGGTGAACCCAGCACTCGATCGCTCGCACTTTATTCGTTTCTTCCTACTCGCTCTAGGCGCTGGCCCTGGAGGTCTATCATGTGAAGTATTAGTCTACCTACTCTGTTATTCTTTTAATGCGTAAGTGATGAAGAAGTACTCACCCTGAAAGCCAACATTGAGGAACGCCCAAAGGAGGAGCTCGGGGTGATGCTTGGTGAGAAGAATAATCGCACAGATGTACAACTCGGTGGCGTTTATTCTGAGTCCCTCTCCGGTTATAGCGAGGCCGGGGTCTTTGGTTTTTTGGTATAAAATTAGCACACTTTCAAGCTTGAGAGAATACGTGAAAGGTTCACGTACCGAAATAGTAGAGACGAGCAAAGTTAGCGAAGGTGGGATGCTTGCCGAACTCTTCGATGAGGTCGTAGCAGCGCCACTCAGCACGAGTAAGCCGAAGAGGAGAACCAGCCATCGTGAATGATAGAAGCACAAGTGTAGCGTAGTGTGGTATGTTGCGGTATTGTCGGTGCAGATAAGTCTAGTGAATGTGAAGTATGAATGATGTGTTAAGAGATATAGACTGAAAAGATGGCTGTTATTTATAGAAGACACAGCTGGTATATAAACGGGTCCTTCTCTATACCAGGGAGAAGGGTGGCCGCCTGTTTTGGATCATGTTTGCCAGGTTGTGGTCAATTTGGAGGTGGTCTCGCCTTTTTGGAGGACATTCTGTTAGTTAAGGGGGGAAACCCAAGGGTAGACACATGCGTTTGTGAAGGCCAATCCTCGTTCCAGGGAAGTTTACACGCGCTCCCGTCAGATTAGGAGCATTTCTCTTCAAATTGAAGACAATTTAGGGAAGGTCTACTTCCAAACGTAAAATAATACAAGTTAACAGAGCAAACTCCTCAACATCTAGGAACTTACTATCATTTCTCCTCCAGGAGAGACGTTACTTGTCCCATTAAGGGGGGGGACCCCTCGCTTGCCATGTTTTCTATCATCTAGCAAGCGGAAGCCACCTAAGGTAAGGTCGAGTAACGCGTAACTCGACCTTCAGCTTTGACTGGGAGCACCTATGTACCTATGTATCTAAGGTAGAAACGGATAGCAAGCTACTCCGAGGATACCCAAGGTTACTAGAAGACAGTGACTACCAAGAACGAGGTCATTAATATTCCCAACCCCGTAATACCCGTCGTTCTAGGACCTATCACGTAGTTTAAAGGGTCAAGTTTAGCATGGCTCATTATCAAGCTGCCTAGCTTTACGTAGCTGATAGTTATCTTCAGCATCACATAAAGGAACTTGCCAGGAATTTATTTTTTTCATTCGCCATAGATCACGACGACCATCAATTCGCAATCAATAATCAATGATTCACCCGCCATTATGTGCAAGCCCTCCTTTACGCCCTTTCCATTCACCATCTAGGACGTCCACTTGGCTAGCATATGCTATGGTTCTCAGGGGGCCTGGCGATCCGACGCACTTTCCGCCTATCCGCGTTCCTGCTCCTTTCGCGCCGCTTCCTCTCTCTTACGCCTAGCTTCCATTTCCGCCTTTGCTCGAGCTTCCGCAGCTCGCTTCTCTGCAGCTTGGTGCAGCTGTATTTCTATGAGATATAAGATTAGCTTCTTACGCACACATGCCACCCAATTACCAACTTGGTGCTTATGAGTGATGTGAAAATTCTTACCTGTGTTAAGCTCCAGCTGGCAAGCATCCGCAGTCTTTCCCACCATAGCCGCGAGTACATCAATCGGTCTAGCACGCATTCTTCCCGCCATGCCATGGGTAATAGGATCTACTCGACACATTAGCCAACCTCACCCCAAACCCAGTCCTATTCCAGCGAATACATACGATCTATGATGAACTCATAAAGTCCCTTAGCGGATGTATCTTCTTGATACAGCTGATACAGGAGATCGAAGTCGGTAGGCGAGACGCGGTATCTTCCCGACATGGTGGAAATATGATCTTTGGTAGCATCAATAAGATCCTGCACCAGCCGTCGAGTCGGCATGGCGTAGAACGGTATTTGAGTAGCAGCTAGCCTACTCGCGATTAAAAGCGTACTAAGACTGTTTGCGTAGTATGCACTGCCGGCAACACAGTCTGAACCATACGTGGGTCGAGCCGTCACTGTGCGATTCACGTCTGTGGTCTGAACTCGTGGGCCTTGGTCACTTTCTGAATTACGTCGGACTGTATCGCAAGCTTCTTTCGTCCCTTCACACGTTGCCCGGTTGTTTGCCGCACCGTCCGCATTTGTTGCTGGTTGGTCAATCGATATCCCGCTCCGTGTAGCTATACTGTGAGCCCGCTTCATAACAGTATGTTTTGATTGACTAAATTCCTTCCAAAAGCCATTCTCGTAAATAGCTGATAAGAGCATATCTGAGGAATAAGTTGTTTGCGCTGTTAACTCATTAGCAACAGATGCTTCTACAACACTTGAATTGTTGTTACCTCGAATAAGCAGACTTGGTATTTACGAAATCGGATGAACCAATGAGAACGAGTGAATATGCTACCTATGACATGTTTGCCTCTCAGGTCTTTGTTCTCGAAAAGCTATGGCCAGCTCGATGAGACATGCAAAAGATTCAATAATGGGATACGGTGCCTTTAAATCTATTCATATTATAATTGAAATGTTCCCGCAGCCTTCAACTGAAGAATCACGCTATTGGTCTGATTACCGCTGTTGCGTTATTTGGCAAACATTGGTGGCTTAAGTGGCTTGGAAAGGGGCAATTTCATTTATTCCATCGGGAATTAGGGTCATGTGGGTAGGAACGCCCATATTGTTTGTCAAAGAGCGACATTTACTTAATGTAGGCACTGGAATTCTAAGAAGGCGATGATGATAATTACAAGTTGAAAAACTGCGACGTGTCAGCCGCTTTTGAGGTTGAATAAAATGTTCTCAATACGTGGCATATGCGGTGGCTTTTGGAAGTATACAATGTAACGGGTTGTATGATTCGTTAATCTTCCTGTAAGGCACACATGGTGAGTAAGTGGCGCGATGGTATATTTGCTTTTTCGGACTTACCTATCGGAGTTGGTGATGATTAAGAAATGCAAGTGGGTAAGGTGACTTGATCTTAAGGGAATCTCCTAGAATAAAAAGTGTACTGCCCAGTGAAGATCGGTGTTCTTTAAATCGATGGGGCAAATCAGACAGGGAAGCGAATCAAGATCTATGGATCTAGTAGCCGAGCCCCCTTTTCCATAATATCTTACAGTTGCACGAATCACGAAACGATCACAGTAGCCATAATAATGATTGGTAAAATGTCAAAGTTACTCATATGTACTGCACAACTGCGCATATGCAACCTAAGATACAAAGCTGAAGCCTTTGCTCCCCAAGCCATACGGACCGAAAAAACATCAATTACAAAGGGGGAATAAAGCGCGTCAAAAAAAACACCATCATGCCCCGGTGCTATTCTAAGTGGGAATGCACACAAAAAACAATCATTATTCAGTGGACTATTCAACTGACTGTCTAGATCAATGAGAAACCCGCTGTGAAAGACAGTGCGACAATCGCTGGGACGATGATAGCTGCCGCGGATAGAGCACCTTGGGGCGCTAACGTGGCAGCAGCGTTATGGGTAGAGTCGGAGCTGGAAGAGCTAGTGCCGGAGGCGTTCGTCTCGTCATCAGCAAGGGGCTTGACAGCAAGGCCTTGGATGACGTTGCCGCTGGCATCCTTAACTTGGTGGTTGACGGTGTAGTCGCTGATATCGACAATCTTACCGCTGGGGGCGGGGGAAACACCATCGTCAATGAGGGACTGAGCACCTGACGGAACAGCAGGGATGTCGAAGTCGTTGGCGAATCCCTTCTCCTTGATCAAGCTAGACTTGCAAGTAGGGGCAGTGACCTTGGAGTTGGCAGCCTTGACGCTCTGGACCTTGGTGAAGTCGACCTTCTTGTACTGGTCCTGAAGAGTCTTGTAGTCGCTCAAAAGCTCAACAGTGCCGTCATCGTTGCAGGTAGCGAGACCGTAGTTGTTGTCCTCCTGAGCCCATTCGTAGACAACACCACCGGAAAAGACACCGGCCATCTGGGAACCGTAGATGGTACCAATCTCAGTGAAGACACGGGGAGAAGGAGTGTTGCAACCAAACTCGGAGTAGAAGACAGGGACGGAGGTAGTCTTGAACATGTCGACGAGGGTGTCGTATCCGGACTTCTGGAAGCTGCTGTCACCGCACCACGAATAACTGTTTAGAGCGAACATATCGGCACGAGACATGTCATCGGCGTCGCCGTCGATGGCGCACTGGAAGTAGTTCCAGGTATCCTCGAGGACATCACGGACGTCAGCAGCAGAGTATCCAACGGGAATAGCACGGTCGGCATGGTTCTTGATGTAGTTCTTCAGGTCACGAGTGACGGCACGGACGTAAGGGGGAACGGAAGACCCAGTCTTGACGTCGTTGATGACCTCGTTACCGGAGAAGAAACCAAGGGTGTTGGGGTAAGACTTGAAAGCCTCAACAATGGCGAAGGTCCGGTTCAAGTATCCCGAGTTATAGGATTGCTTGGGCTGGTCACTTCTGAGGGACTCGCCTTCCAAGGGCGAGTTGACGTCGATGATCATGTACATACCCGCCTGCACAATACTGTTAGACAACTTATAATTATGAATTATAAAATGACGTTAAAACTTACAGCGTTGAAAACACTGGCGCAGTCATCGTGGTTTAAGTTGGGGTCCAAGTTGTAAACTCGGACAGTGTTGATACCGAGTTGTTGCATGAGCGCAGCATCCCGCTTGCAGATGTCACCATTAGATAGAGGGTCCTTTCCATGGCTTGGGTCATAACCGGCACTTCCACCGATTTGATAAGCCATACCGACTACCTGGAAGGCATTGCCAGTTTTCGAGTCGACAAACTGGCTACCTTGAACCTCGAGAGGGGTGACGGCGGCCGCAAGGGTTGCGCCGCCTAAAGCGACGAGAGCAGATTTCATAAACATGGTTAATCTGGTGATCGATCCAAAGTTACTGTAGGTTTCTATAGGCGTAAGTTGATTCGCGAGACTGGTGTCCGTTTGGTAGATATAAGTCTCGGGTTGCTGTTTATAATAAGATGTGTCGAAAAAACCGGTTTTTGTTACCACCTCTTGTAAGACAGCGCACCTTGCCAAAATGGATATCTTGCGATGAGTGAGCGACGAGAAGTAGGCCTAGGGCCAAAAAACGATGGTTGATTTTAAAAAAGGTCTAAAGAGAGCGATTAATGAAAGAAAGCGCAGAAAAAACAGAAGTAAGTTAAAAGTAACTAAGTTGTTGATGTGGAAAGAGTGACGAGAGAGAGGTTGGGTGCGAAGGAGGGAGAAGAAGTAGATAGATCAATGATTGGAAGAGGGAGGAGGGAGTCGCATTGCAGCATGGTGGCATAGTAGCATGGTAGCATGGTACAAAGTGAATGTGAATGTTACTTGGGTACTTTCCACACACTTGCCGCACACACAATGCCAATCAGCGTAGTGATTGCCCATAAGGTCAACATTTGCGAGGGGTTTTTTTACTACTCTACGTACCGAAGTACCAAAATATCCTAAGTATCCTCGGACTAGGGCGCTTCAGTTGCAGCAATCAACGGCCCAGCGGGGGCTGTGACTGGTTAAGTGGACATGACCCCATCCAAACAAGGAAATCTTCCCCACAAAACGAACTTGGTAGCTGCTGAACTGGAATTGGTTTAATCTTCTAATAACTCAATCTCACTGGAGTCGCTGGATTAATTCGGCCTAATTACTAAAGGTATAACCCACTCACACTGTACTTCTCTACCTATTGTGAGTGCAGCAATACCGTATCTTACTCTGATGACACCAACCAAATCACACTGTCGAATATTATGCAGATTCAACTGATTGATCCCTACCAATTTCATGGTTTCACCGACCTATTCTACGCTATGTACACTATGTGCACATCCCATAGTGTACAAACTCCTGATGGATTAAACGATATTATGTTTTTGTTCCTGATTATTTAGAACTATCTGTCATAATTTCGTTTTCTTGCTGCATATTGATGATGATGGAGACGTTTGCTCGTAACTTTGCCATCAGGTGCAATCACGAAGTGGCTAATAGCCTAGTTGCCTCTCTAGAAAAAGGATAAAACCATTATTCTGATTGGTAGTTCAGACTAGCCTGCCTTTTAAAGAGAACAATACGAGGTTGTCAAGAAGTTATACTATTGGCGGGTCTCGGCGAACCCTCCATATACTACCTACCTAATTGTCTGCTGTCAGACATACGAGGGTTCTGGCGTTGTTACATAGTGGCATACCCTGACTTTCACGAAGTACCTCACTAACAATTTTCACCAACCATAGTAGATCACTTAGGATATAAAATGTGGTGCGAGGAATAGGCTATGGGATTCCTTAGCCCAGGAACAATAGTACGGTAAATAGGGTTAGCCCAACGCCTCTATGCCTCTCGTGCCTCTCTGTCTCCTCTCTGTCTCTCCATTTATCCCTAGCAAATGTCTCGGTTTCGAAGTGTTCTACAAACGACGTCATTACCGTTATACGGGGCTCGCGGGCGTTGGCTTAAAAAGAAAACTTGAGGAACTTGGCAGAGATGATGAAACAGGGTCCGGTTTCTGTGCGCGTGGGTACCAGGCGACAATCGCAATTCGCACACCCCGAATCCATTTGGTCCATTCTTGGTTCCCCTGAAGATCCATTCTAGTTGTAAAGGAAAAAAAGAAATAAAAAACTCCGGGGTCTATTTGGTTCCATTGGCTGTATTAGGCACACCCCTGCCTCAGGGGTTACCCCCTTATTATTTCTCGTCAATCTTGACAATTGGATCTTAAACAATCTAAAAAATGGCTCGGCTTCGAGACGGCGTCAAATGATAAAAATCAAAATGGATTTAATGCAGAAGTAGTGCATAGTGTCAAAGTAGTAGCTGCATTAGCCACTCTCTTGCATATCACCAGCCCCTCAACACCAGCCTCACAATTTTTTGACTCTAGATTCTGCAGAAGAGATGTCCTATATCAGATTAGGTTTAGGTTAGGTAGCGGCGGGAGGTTCCACTACCGACTCCGGCCTACGCCGGCCGATTTTCTGTCCACTGCTACTGCAGTATGCTGTGCGACGTTAGGAATAAAAAAAAAATAAAAAATAAGTGGCGGTCCGTAAGAAAATTGACCGAAACAAACAAAAAATAAGTTGTTTAGCTACGCATCTTCACATGCATAGCTCGACAGCGTCATTTTTACGTAGTACACTCACAATCAATAAACCCGTTATCTCTCCCCGCCTCTTTAGTTCTTTTGCATCTTCTTCGTCGGCGGCCCACATCCACCCCTCCGTCCCAAGAAGCGCGATCAATATGGCTTCTAGTACGTGCTTCTTTTCTATACCCCTCGTCACGGGGTAAGGGTCGCAAGAAATCATGTCTTTGGTTTACGAGTCCTAAGACTGCATCATGCAGTTGGAGAATAGACAATACGAAGAAAAATACGAAGCAACATCCCACTAACAATAATGCTCCTCCAACAGCCCTCCCCCAAGACCGCCGCCCCGTCGTAATATCCGGGCCCTCGGGCGTCGGCAAGGGCACCTTATTCAAGCGACTCTTCGATGCGCATAAGGACTGCTTCGCTCTTTCAGTATCGCACACGACACGCAAGCCCCGCGCTGGCGAAGCCCATGGCGTCGACTACTACTACGTATCGCACGAAGACTTCGAATCCCTAGTTCAGGCGGACGGCTTTGTCGAACACGCCAAGTTCGGATCGAACCGCTACGGAACCTCTAAGCAGACTATCGCGGATCAGTCCGCAAAAGGCCGTGTTGTTGTGCTGGACATTGAGATGGAGGTGAGTTTTCTGGTTTATAATATGTACAAAATAGGGGGGAGAGGGGCTTGGAATATTCTTAAGCACAATGATGTTAGTAAAAAAAGTGAATAAATGCTAAATAGCGCTGTGCGATAATAGGGTGTGAAGCAGATCAAAAAGAGCGGCATAGAAGCGCGCTACGTCTTCATCAAGCCCCCAAGCTTCGGAGAACTCGAACGTCGTCTACGTGGCCGCGGTACCGAAGATGAAGACTCCATCAATAAGCGATTGGCTCAAGCAAAGCTCGAGCTCGAATTCGCCAAGACACCCGGTGTCCACGATATCATCATTGTCAACGACGACGTTGAAAAGGCCTACAAGGAATTAGAGGACTTCATCTACAAGCCCCTAGCGTAAAGTGCGGAAATATAATTGAAAAGCATGTTGGCTGCCGGTTTAGAATAATGATAAACGAAGGTCATAATCATCGAAGTTAGATACCAAGAAGCAAGATTAATATCCTGTCAAGTCGATAATGGTCACAAGGTCTAAAGAGTTGGGCATAAGTCTCGTATTTATTCCATCAGGTATCAGAGCGGACTCTCTATTAGAGTACAGTTAGAGGCTTGACCACGGATTAATCTTAGCAGCTTTTAGAGAAGATGAACAGAGCATTGGGGGGAATACTAAAAAGGAAATAATAAGAACGTCGAGTAGTCGCCAGACTGTGTAGATGGAAATACTGCTTGCTCAGACAACAAACACACATAACAAAGCTTTAAACAACCCAAACAGGTCAACATATCGCCGACCTTAGTTTCAAATACGCCTCCTCTCGCACCCTCGGGTGTCTTCCACGTAGACATAAAATTTTGGTATTCCATCCCAGGTAAACTTTTGGGTTGTCGTAGCCATTCTCGAAATGAGTCGCCCCTCCAATGTTACGCCATAGCCATCGGAGAGCTGCTCGTTGTAATAGTCGTAAAAAGGGGTAATATTAGAGATCTCTCGCAAGGGTGGAAAAACCTGTAAACCCGAGCAACGCCTCGAAAGCATATATCGAAGAGAAAGAATTAGTAACCATTCATGGTCATCCGTTGAGAGCTTCTGCTGATCTCGCGATCTGCGGCGGGGCTGATTGGCCTGCTTCCGTGGCCTTGTGCGCTGCTCTCCTTGAGCGCCAACAATTGCTTGGCACGGAAAGTCTCGTAGTGGATTTGCGAAGTCGTTTCGATGAGGTCCTGCAGGTGTGTTCGGAGCAGGAAGTTTCTCAAGTAAACGAATTCGCAGTGGTTCTCATCTTCGACGTTGATGACACCCCATCGGTTTTGACGTCCGCGGACCTGCTTACCGTTCACGATGATCGACTTCTCCGAACCGACGACAGCGAAAGGAACAAGGCTCTATATGGATTATCAGTATGAGGTTCCACTCAGTTGCGCAGAAAAATATAACATACCTTGATGTTAGTGTTAATCGAGCGCTCTTCCTCATCAAGCTCGTCGTTGTCATAGGGGTACATCTTAAGGTTGTGGAAAGCGAATTCCTCCTTAATTCGCTCCTTGAAAGCTTGTCGCTCTTCCAGAGTTAGGGTATCGGCCTTAGCAACAACAGGCACGACGTTGACAACATCGGAAAGCTTCTTCAAGACGACAATGTCGATGGGCTTTAGGGAGTGACCCGAGGGCTGGATGAAGAACAAGCAGCAGTGAATACGGGTATCCGGAATGTAGCGCTCTCGTTGTGCTGTAAGCTCCTTTCGTAGGTACGCGGAGTGCTGATCCTTGATGTACTTGACGATGGGGTCCCAGCAGCGGTCGTTGTTAACCAGATCACCATATCCCGGAGTGTCGACGATGTTCAACTTCAAACGGACACCGTTCTCCTCGATAACGTGCGACACGGGGTGGATCTCGGTAGTAGAGCGGATCTGCTCCTCGGGTAGCAGCCTACCCTTCGAGTCGATAAGGTGAGATGCGAAGATGGTGTTAATCAGAGTTGATTTTCCTAGACCGGTTTGACCTATAGTATGACACGAGACACGTCAGTTACACGAATCAAGGTACGATATTTAAACAGCTACGATTAGGTAATTAAACTTGAGAATATGGATGACAATACATACCAACGCAGATGACGTTAAATTGGAAACCTCTTTTCAAGAGCTTCTTCTCGATCTGGGAGGTGATGCTGTCGAAACCGACATGGCTGTTAGGGTAGATGGTTTGCGTCGCCATTGCTCCTGATTTTGTCCGATCAACGATAGATGGAATAAAATGTCGATTCCTATTCCAAGAAATAGCCTAGTGGCAATTGGCAGGGAGAAGGAATATCGGAGTAAAAAGCGAGGCGAGCTCTGATATGAGGGTCGGGGTTTGAAGTTGATGGTGATGGGGAAAAGAAAGGTTGAGGTTCGTGGCGTCTGGGAATATTTTTTTTTTCGACGTGAAGGGGATGGATCCTCTCTCTACGATTGCTCCCTGCGATTTCCTGCCAAACAATAATTTCCGTAAAGAAGGTGCAGGTTGGGTTTGGCTTGGTTTGGCTGGCTGGGGACCAAGAAAGGGGGAAGGGGGTTCATTTCAGTTTTTGATTGGTCAATGAAAGTCCGTGCATAGTGGATACGAGCTGGGGGTCTTCAGGGTCGTACGTGCTGCATGGTGCCGGCTGATGGGCAGATGGCCAGCCAGGATTTAGAGCTATCGGCCTATCAATTGGATTTTCCGCGCTAGAAACTTTTAAGACGACGGCAAGCTCTTTTCTCTTTACCGGCAACGTGCCTTACCCGTAATACGTTTACAACTGCGCATTACGGCAACCAGCATTAAATCCAATATTAATCTTATCGGTATAAGACACGAGAAGGCTCCTTCAATTCCATACCAACGAAACTTCCCCACGAGTTAGGATCAACGAGTAGTACTCTGGCCGTCGAAATCGCAAACCATGGCCGCCATACAGCAACTACGAATAGCCTCAGTATTCTCTTCCCTCTTCCCGAGATTAGCGTCGACAAATTTCAATACCTCTTTCCGATCGACCGTCCTTTACACACAACATGTGCAAGACTCGCGGTTGCCATCGATAGCTTCGCTTGCCATCGCTATCCCCACTGCCATTTCGAGTATACCATCAACATTAGGTGATATATGGGAAGGAATACTACGAGCAGTGCCTAAAAAGAAGACATCACACATGAAGAAGAGACATAGACAAATGGCAGGCAAAGCTCTGAAGGATGTCACAGCATTAAATAAATGCCCGGCGTGTGGAGGAATTAAGAAGATGCATACCTTATGCTCAAGTTGTATGGGTCGTAAGTATCATGTCTGTGTATCTCATTTACAGCCCACTAATTCTAGTGCGTCTAGGGCTTGGAGGTATGCTTGAACGTGATTTCAAAGGAAAGGCATGAGGAATGACGGATTGGTACAAAGGAGGGGACTTTCGAAGCGGAGTCTCACAGTTGTACAGTTCATCAAAGCAAGTGGAATTTGTGCATACCACTGGCGTTTCGGCATAGGAATCAGGGGTCTTACAGTGCATAGATATTGATTATGAAATACATGTACATTGGAAGTTGCAAGAGGTTGGTGAGGCTTTCCATACTCAATCTTCTCATGGCGTGATGATTCCACTCAATCAAACGTTATATTTAAGGTTGTACATGGCAAGAGTATATGAAATTAAATAATAAAAGATTCTAAATACATTAAATGATAAATTCTAAAGTCTAATATCCAAGCGAGGTACATATACAGGTCTACTCCAGGGACGATTATGATGTAATAAAGGATGTAGGAGACCTACGTAAATGTGTGCTGAAAGAAGCCAACGAACCACTAGAAGTCTCCATTTATCGCCTAACCCCACCATAGCTCAGGTACACATCCCACTATATTCTTCCTGCCATCATCAACCCCACCATCTCTTCTAAAGGGCAACATCACAAGAAATTCGCATGGACCGACAGCAGCCATGGTACGTAGGAACAAGAGTGGCGGCTACGTAGCGAAGTTATCTTTCTCCTTTCAAGACAGCTAATACATGGATAGTCGAAACAATACCTTACCACGCATACGATCGATAACGGTGAGCATATCCTTCAATTCATAGCTATGCGATTCAAAGCTTCAAGCTGCGAGTTCTATGTTTTGGCAGTTCGCTGTACTGACACATACCAGCACATTTAACCGACATATTCTCCCTAGCAGCTACACCAACTGCGCTGCTCTCCGCTAGCGGTTCCTCGACCATACATATACATTCAACCTCAGACCCGACCATCCCTCTCGCCCAATCTCTTACCAACGCACACAAACTCGGTTGCCACCATATCGCTGCCTCTCATAACGGCAAGGTTGCGGCATCGGCTGGATTCGCCGGCGAATTAAAGATATGGAAACTTGCTGAGTCGGGCGAATGGCAGCCATTTGGAGAACTTGACCCTGCAAAGACGGGAAGCAAGAGTGCTGGTGAAGTTTGGGCTATCGCCCTTAGCGAAGACGGCCAGTACCTGGCTTCGACTACCTCCGACGGCCGAATCAATGTTTGGGATCTCTTTGGAGATAGGTCCGAGAGGATACGAGAATATGAGACTGGCAATGCAGGCTCGGGTTCCTTTGGGATGTGTGTGGATTTAAGCTACGATGGGAAGTATACCGCAAGTGGCCATGAAAGTGGCGCTGTCTACGTTTTCAACAATGATACGGGTCGACTGCAATATTCGCTTCCTGGTAAGTCCCGCCCCTCATGTGTCGACTAACATTCTAGGCTCACCAAAATTAGGCCTCGTCAAACCCATCCGAGCAGTAGCCTTCTCACCAGCCGGCACACGCCTAGCCGCTGCTGGAGATGCTGGCATTATCGCAATATACGATACCAAGCATGGAGAGCACGTCGGTAACTTCACCGGCCATACCGCGTTCATCACTTCAATTGACTGGAATGATACGGGCGAATATTTGCTCAGCGGCGCATTTGATGGTAAGGTGAAGGTATGGTCTATCGATCGGGGTGCCTGTGTTGCAACACACAGCGAGACCGACAAGGCGCTTTGGGCTGTCAGGTGGTTACCGAAAACCGGGCGCAATGAGATGTTCTGTACGGCCGGTGCTAACCGAAGCCTTACTTTCTATCGCGAAGCTACCGGTGCATAGACGATTTACGATATCTTGAAATTTGGCCCTGGGGAAGGCATTTGCTTGTTCGGAGTTTAGAGAACGGGATGGGAAAAGGGGATTCGGCTTACATGGCTATCATATTTGCGCTTTATTCATCCCTAAATTAAGTTATTTGCAAATGGGATGAAAAATAGATGAGTTTTGTAACATGAATACTCTGCAATATTCGTGTATTGTGCCATGCGTTGCTGACCATTCTGCCAGCTGGCCATTGTCATTTGATTCTCGCAATGAGCGCCGCCGTTCATCCCCACGATACATTACACAAAGAGCATGTATAATAATACTATATCACTAATATGATAATACTAGGCCTATAGAGAATTTCCCTACCTGATCCCATTTTCAGGTCTAGTCTAGTAGCGATTCTATTATGACCTACGCAATATAATTGGGTATAGTATGTCGTTATACGTGGTGCTCTGATGTTACTTAACTACCAATGGTGCATTTCAAGTCAAAAATTACGACTATACGTCATGTATATAGTATGCCATGTATCGATCGTATACTCGACCCATATGCTGTACCCAATCACCGAAGTCGGTACGGGGAATGAGTCAAGTTATTGACCCCTGAACACCCCCTCATAATAGCCTGCCGAAGGGCGCAATCCTCCCAAGAGCTTGTCCCTATACCATGTTTATTCTGTTTTCCATAATATTATATAATGACAATCCGTCTAGGGCAGTATCTAGTTGTTTGCATCTTCTATAGAATAACACCCGCAGAGAGAATTATGATGTCCTGTTAATTAGGCGCCTACCAACATTATTTACTAAACTACCACTTCCTCGATAGAAGCAATGGCAGATACCCCCATAACCACAGGAACAACTCCCTTGCCTCTCCCCGTGGACTCGCCAAATGCGCCATCTGCGACTGCAACCGCAACTGCGGCAGCAGCACGGGAGACCTCTAAAAAGGCCTCAGAGCTCCCGCCCGTAACAACGGGTACATCCCACAAATACATCCACCGTCTAGCGAGCGCAGTCTCGCGCGCGTCATCTACAGATTCCCTAACCGTCCTCTTTCAAAGCGAGAAACTACCACCAGGCCAATCAATCACAGACATAGATACACCCGCCTTACAGCGCATCATCTATGAAGCATCAAAGGAACGCGCGATTAGGAAGTTAGGAGCCCCTGGCGCGTTTATAGTGGAAGCGGCAAATTTCGCGGCTGCAGCGTGCTGGGAGCCTGCGCGCGTGGGTGGGCCGCACCTTACTGATGAACGATCGTTGGATCAGAGACCGATATTTAGGGGCTTTGGGCAGGATGTTAGTGCGTTGATGCGCGAGCACTTGTACCCGCTTGCTGAGAGGGTTAGTGGGGGGAGGTACTGGAAGTTGAGTCTTATGGCGAGGGATCCGGCCGTTGAGTATGTGCCTGGTGCTGGTAAGTGCGCATTTCTGGTGTTTATTTTTTATGTCGTCGAGTTGGTTTATTTTAGCTTGGGAATAGGGGGTTTATGTCTAGAATACGAACATGCTACTCGCTATTCGTGTGAATACCTATGGTCTTTGCTCACTTCTTTTATTATTTTGAATGAATAGACTTCTAATTCGGATATTTTTAGTGAGAGTTGTGTTAGTCCCGTTCATAGAGCGATTTACGTCGGAACAGAACGAGGGTGGTCCCATGCCTGTGTGGATAGAAGCTGGTAGTGAACATGCCCGCGCAATCTACGCTCACTTCGGGTTCCGCGAGGTGGGCGTGATAAAGGTTGGGGATATTAAGACATGGGGCATGATATACACTGGGAATATTGACACAAAAGGGACAGATACTGACGTCAAATAATCAATTGTGTCCCTCTTCCTAGGTGCCCATTTCCATTGAAGCTGTGAATATACCTAAGTTTAGAGCGAAAATAGAGGGAGTCTGGGATTAACAGAACTAAACAGTTAACTTGAGAAGATAATATTCGACAGAGCCGCCTAGGACGCGCCTTGTATAATTATTCAATATGTATGAGTGAACAGGGCGTTTTGATCTCTTTTATACTCAGGTCGTGGTGCTGGTTCCAAGCGCGTAGCGTTTGGTGTTTGCTGGGGGGGATTCTGCCATGCCCTACGACCGGCCGTTAAATAACCAATTCCGCATACTTCCCAATAATAAAATATAAAGGAGCTAAGTTTTACAAGATCATAGTAATTTTGCCTTTGATGATCTTAACGCCTACCATATTTGCAGATACGTGTCGCCTTAGGATGCAATCCAACTTTCGACACCCCCTAAATCCCACAAGCTGCCACAAAGCGCAAATTGTCCCCTGGAAGGCAATAATCATCTAGACCTTGAATTAATATTGATTATAACGTGTATTGACTTTTTATCGGCGTAAATATTTTGTGGGTTTCAATAAAAATTCGTAGTGGCCCAAGAGCTCGATTCGCACCCCCTGAACTGCCGTCTCCCCTATTTTAGAGCAGCAATCGTTTGATTATATTCAATTTAAAGTGATTTCAGCTTTCGCACCATCGTATACATCCTCTAGATAACATGTATTTATGTATACAACGCCTATTTTACTGAGTTAAAGCCTATGACCTGAGGAGGCCTGGATGTATTCCCCAGGGCTAGACAAAGTCAGATACGAATATATGACGCCATTTACCATCAAAATACAGACTTTAAGTTATAAAAGTCGGAATTTCGGCTCTCTATATCCTCCGGAAGTCTATTGTCATGGTGGATAACGCCTAATTGCCTCCATAGTGCTCTACCATAGCCCCTATACCTTCACAACAGGGAGAATATTACCAACAGTAGTTAGCCGGGATTCCTCTGCATCAACGACAACGTTTATTCGGCCCTGAACTTTGAATATTGACGCAAAAGTGTAATTATTAACTGAACGCGTCTTCTGACAGCTTGAGGTTGGTGTGTGATCGTCGTTGTTCTTATATGTCACTCGTCCGGCTTTATTCTGCGGCCAGTACAAGACCAATACATGAATAGGTACCCCTTTCCTTTAAAAATAACTTCCGAATAATCGCGTCGACATCATGGGACATTCAAGTCGAGTCATCTCTCGTGTCACCTGGAGTAACCGCCTCGTGCATCCTTTCCCTATAAATACCCGCCCTCCCTCCAACCAAACTTCTCGTCCTTCTCATCCTGCTCATCATTCACCAAGCTCTAAGCTCTTCAGCCTCACATTGATAACGCAAACCACCCTTCGCCAAGTGTTTCACTCTTTCTAGGCTCTTGATCGCCAGGCGCATAGTATCTTTCGTCTTTCATCGAGCCTCTCATCTTTCTCATTATTCACCAACATTCATCCTAGCCTTTCTTGTCACCATAAATATTCACATAGTCTACTCATCATCTACCAAGATACGCGGCCATCATTCCGAGGACTTGCAAACGCTGGACTTCTTCTATCGGCAATGGAATATATCTCTTTTCAACATTCGGCCTAATTGATGTCTACTCCTTCACTCGCCTTACCCGCATGCCCTTTGTTATCTAAATTTCTGCATTTCTTATTTGCCCTTTTGCACAGCTAATAGCATATATTCTTCCATACTTCTACCATTTTTTTCTTTCGTCTAACACAGGACGTAAACGATTCGAAATAGTCTATATAAACGGCAAATGCCTTGCTTCGTCCGAAACGACTCTCTTAGGAGCAATCGAGCCGGCTATCAATAACACCTTACAACAAAACGTTGCTTCGAAAATGTAATCTGACGACATGGGCCCGGCACAGATACGCCTTATGCTCGCCACGTGCAGCAAAATCAAGCACATGAGTAGCCACCTCGATCTAAGAGCATGTCCTTAACCGATTTCCTACCTCCGGTAAGGTGTAACAGCTACTCGGAAGCTCTACACCCCCTACGCCCATCGTGGGTGGCCTCATGTCTTATCATTCCCCAACATCGGTATTCATTCAACCTATTCCGGTTGATGGTTAGTACTCACCAGTCCTTTTTTTCTATTTCCGCAGTGAAGTTCATGAACTGGACTGCCCGTGCGTCCTAGACACGACGTAAAAAGGTCTATGGGGTTATCCCTACTGTTGCTCATATTGATGGCACTTGTCAATAACGAAGAAACGAGATGGCCTATCGCAATATTTACCAATTCTATAACCTATATCTATGCCCTCCTTCCCGCTTTCTTCCTCGAGGCAAGAGAATTGGCCAGCCCTTGCAGCCCTTGTCCCATTCTACCACCCTACCAAGATGCCACGCCAATAGCTATTAGCTTGGATCGACCCATGGGCCCTACCTAGGTACTCGACCTATTCATACGTCTAATCAATCAACTTACGCTTTTCCACACTTGGCACCTACTCGATGGGTCCTTCTCCATCGCTCAACCTACTCGAAGAGCATTTTCCTCTCTTCACCTTGGGGTTTCAGGGGGAGGAACGATGGATTCTAGACGCCATATCACTCAGTGACAGCTCCTGTGCTACCTAGGTGATCGGTGTCCTCTCGTCTCTCAATCGCAACTACCACTTGCAACGTGTCAAAGAGGAGATACATCAAGTAGGACCAGATAACGCGGCCCTATGCGACAGCCGAGAGGGCCATCGAGAACATTAGGCTGGTCCCAGCCATAGGCATACCATGTTTCCTAGCAGCCTTGTCCACACCCAACCAGGGGTCTTGGCTTATACCCGCCCGGCCGACCCTCTACAACGGGCAAACTATGCAACTCTCATTCATCAACATGATCGCTTTCGAGAATGAGTTATGTCCCGTTCGCCGTGGTCGCTGCGCGTAGCATGTCTTCCCAGAAGGGAATCACATTAGGGTCCATCCCTGAGTTGCAAGCCAGGACCGGCGACGTGTCAGAGGGGCCACATTGGGGCTGTTCCTGGATGTAAAAGATGGTGATCTCATTTATTCTCAGGGAAAGGGAGTAATTGATGTGGTGGTGCTTGATTTGGGAAGAAAGGTCGTAGTTGTCAGCCTTGGGAGAGGCGCTGGATTGCTAAACGCCATAGGAAGGGGTCACATCGGAAATGATAATAAGGGGAAAGAAAGCAATTGACGTGATGGCATTTTACCTGAGAGACAGTAGATCAAGTTAAGTTGGGGTCTACCTAGGTGATTTTGGGAAAGGCACCAGGCCCAACTCAATTGTCATAGGAAGTGGTCACAGTAGTGGAAGCAGTAGTAGTAGTACAAGGAAAGGGAGTAATTGAACATGTATACTTAGGCTTCAGTAGCAGTTACTTGCGTACCATTTGCGCAACAATAAGACATCTACTCGTTCATTTACATTGACTTTGTGACATGGTGATATTTGATGAAACCCCCTGATCGGAGTAGGCATATGTATTTATGATTGTAGGAACTATGGTTTGTCACTTATATGTTTCAGATTGGCCTACTAAGCTTCGGCATACATAGGGAGTTGGCTGAGTTAACGTAGTGATCCTACCAAAGTTTCAACTCTTATGAAAAAAAAGGGGCTCGATAGGAGACTCGGTTACCTAATAGCCACATTGAATCCTCGGGCACCATCTGATCCTACGAAAATTCGCTTAATAAGATGGGGCTACATTCTTCCCGTTTTCCAAAGTACCTGCTCCTCCTCCTAAAGGGGACTTTCGGTATATCTTATTAATCACGTGTGGGGATAGGGGGTGGCATTTCGGTAATGCGGTACGCTCTTTGACGAGCCAGTGTTAGCAGAGCTGAGGATCCAGTTTCGGATCTCGTATAGATAGACATAATATATATAAGTATACGCGTGTATATATGTACGATGTATACGTATCAATCAATACACGTATTGCCATTGCCACCACCAACAAATACTACTTACTTACCTATTTTACCACCTTGCTACTACTTACCAACCAGTCATACCCCCTCCCTCTTTTTCTATCTATCCGTCTATCTATCTATCAGCCATCAACCCACGACGAACACTTCCCCTAAAAAGACAGAACGGAACAAGCTTCCCATAAAGAAACTACTACACGCCGGCGTGTTTAATCAAAAAAATAGAAATAAATAGCGAAGATAATAAAAAAAAGGGGGAGAGATTGAACGAACCACAACCATACACACGTATACATTGGAACCTAGATTAGGCCAAATTACGACCAGCTTTTTTGTTTTTTGTTCCGTTGAGATGTAACGTTGATTATCAAGGACAGAGTGACGGAGGAAGAGAGAGGGTGTTATTGTGGCGTACTTTTTGCCGGAGATGCGAATGCGAGCGAAAAGGAAATAATAATTGATCCTGTGTCACGTCAGATTAAGGGGGCACATTTGCGTATGGAATAGGGAATGGATCGATGGGGGGGATATTTTGGTAAAATTTATTTTGGTGATACACGGTGGACGTGGGAATAGTGATAATATAATAAAATGAAGATATGAATAATATGTGGTGGCGAGGTTTTATGTATGGAGTCAAGATAAAATTGAGGGAATTGAAATGAAAAATAACGAAAATAAAAAAAATGTGCTCAGGCATCAGCGAAAACAAACGCACACAAAAAAGGGACGACGACAGACTTCCAGAATGGGGAATGTGCCGGTCCGAATCATTTTCGGGGTCCGATCGGGTGGGCGAACCGGTGGTCCCGAACGGCTCCGCACTCTGTCCTACGCAAGGGGTGCGTTGCGTGCCCATTTTTAACATGAAGGATACGGAGTCTTGGCTGCCGAAGGGGGATGGAAGGATGGAAGGAGAGGGGGCGAAAAAAAAAAAGAAAAAAAAAAAAGTGAAGGGGTAAGGTAGTAAGGTAGCAGAGTGGTAACGGAGGTAATCGTGGTAAAATAGTGGTAAAGAGTGGGTAGAATAGGTAAGTAAAGTAGTAATTTGTAGGCAAGTAAGTGAATGAATGGTAAGGTAGTGTTCTTGTTCTTTTTTATCATTGTTAATATTATTATTATTTGTCCTTCTCTTGCTTTTTTTTAATTTCCCATTTCCCAGTCTCGACTAATCTTTCCTTTTTTATCTTCACCCTCATGTTCATGTTCATGTCCATATCCCTTTGTCTCTCTCCCCTTTCGCCTCTTCACTCTATTTTTTATTTTTTTATTTTTCCTTACTCAAATCCTGCCTTGCCTGCTTATCTACTACTACGGCTACTTGCTACTAACTGCTACTGCTACCGCCACCACCACTACTACTACGTACCTTAATATTGTTACCCATACATATATACAACGTACATACACCCATGGATACATGAAATGACATACATGACCTACATATACGGAACCCGGTTGCGGGTTTTTTCACCGAAGCTAGTTTTGCCCGCCCCCGTTGCAAAATGGACATTCTTATTCTCCCGAGTCGCACAAGATAACAAACTCGCCACGAATCAGAGAGAGGGGTTTGAGCGGGCAAGCTTGTAAGGTATATGCACGAAGTGCGGGGGGGAACGGGTCCCCCTCGCAATCATTGAATCAAAAATTGGAATCGAGTGCGGGAGTCAGGTCTGTTCTGTGGGAAGGGCCACGATCCTTTTGGCTAACAACAAGCAAAAAACGCAACTCGCTACTTGGGGGGGGGGGGGGGGTGCGTCAACGTCAACCCAACCGCCCAATGAGAGCCGCTCCATCCTACATAGGCGCCGCGTTCCTGACGTACGAGGCATACAAAACGTCTTCGAAACAAATTTTGCGTCGTTTTTTTCATTATTATCTCCTCCCACCGGCATCTCTAGCTCGCTACCGCACCCGCGAAAGCAGTAGCAGCAGACTGAATCAATGATGCATGGCGCTCTCTGATCACCGGGGCTTCCGCAGCCGCAGCAGCAAGCAGGCATTGGGTCCTATTCTCGGTACCGCGCAGGAATGGGCAAAAGTAAAAAAAAAAAAAGGGCTTGAGGGATTCTTTTTTTTTTTTTTCCAATGTCGACATCTGGATGGCCGGCCCTGCAGAGCTCGACGCGGCCTTTCTATATGTAAGTCGTTACTCACCCAAGACCGAATCCCGAGCCGCGGAGATCAAAGTCATCCGTCCTTCTTGATTCAATTACCGCAAACGCCCCACGAATTTGAGGACGGTATTTGAGATTTCTTTCTCAACCATGCCAATTGCCGTCCTGGTCAGTATGTAAGTAGGTGGCTTTAGGTAGGTCGCCTGCGTTTCTTATTGCGCGGCCGGCCATCTGCATCCTCTTCAAGCATACACGGCTGCAGGGCTGGATCACTTGCTCAAATCCTAGACGTCCCCCCGTTTATGGCTCATGTTCCACCGATTGATTTTCTTGCGTCCACTCAGCTAGCCGAAAATAGCCCTAAATTTTTGAATGAATGCGTTGTGCTGAATGTTGAGCTCGGCTGCTCGGATGGACATTCCTGGTGTTGCTCTAAATTTGGGGCTGCAGAGGATTGATCATTTCACTAAATGCGGCGATGGCATGGGACACGGCTGCTGCTACTTTTGCTGCAGGCAAGCGGTCGATTGTCTGGCTATTATCCCCGGCGACGTATGAACACAGTCGAATACTGTGGGGCTAACCCCGGATTTACTAGACATGTTCCCAGGGTAGGTAAGCAGTTAAAAAATAAAATAAAAAAAGAGGATGGCTGGGATAGATGTAAGCTATGATTGTTGCAGATCGTAAGCACTTGAAATAACAGAATGGCCGGCTGGACTAAATTGTTTGGCTGCTGCCGCTACCGCTGCTGCTGGCTGAGGTTTGACAAGAAAAGGCGGGCTGTTTGTTAGAAGAGCCGTTAGGGCCCTGAGCACTGAAAACGGTTATTGAATGGCTGCGGCTGTGATTACTGCATCCGCAGGTACGTAGCTTATATAATTCAGAGATGACGTCCAATTCCTGTCCATAACACATGTTGATTATACCCCTAATCCCGGTAACAGAGAGAATATAGTTGAATAAGCTGCTGTAGCATAGAGAAGGAAGATGGGTCCAAGACTCGTGGACGTGGTGGTGGATGGATATTGTGCTCTCATTGCACGATTATCAGCTATATACTAGTTCCTCCGAAGTAAGGCATCCGCTTGTATTGCTATATGCCTAGGCCGTAAAGCTCGGGTATCGTCAATCTTCGTAACACCCACTCCTGAACGACGACGACGACGGGAAGTGACAAAACCGCTCATGGGCTCGAGCGATGTTTGGTATGCGAGAAATTCTCGGTGATGTTGGGGATGAGTTAGGTACCTAGTCCTTAGTCCTCCAGGCAATATTTTGAGATGTGGATAATAAGGGCGGGGTGTGAAATTAGAATGGGGGAAACGGGGTCTGTCCTCCCAGTTGGGTATGTAGTACAAGTAGGATGAGGAACAATTGATCCGCAATAAATCAGCGGAAATATCCTTCGCTTCCGCTCTAGTCACCGCTATGACAGCAATTTTTACACTAATACGATATCCACCTTTAGGTAGGATATGTCTTGTCGTTTTTTGGCGACCACTGTTTTCTGATTTCAGCAGTATCCACTCCGTGTAAGTCCCTCCAGGTGACCAAAAACTGCGATAGTGCGCGAGGCTCTGGAAGGTACGGAATAGTAAAATGGCGGGGGTTTCAATCGTTTAGAGTGACGATTGTCACTTGAAGAGGAGTCGCTCTTGTATTCTGCGACTCCCACTAACCACCCCATTCCTGGGCGGCTGATGACATCCATGTATTGTAGGCATGGACAGGAAAATTGTCGTTCGTAAGTGGTGACGATACATCAGCCATTGAACCTCGTAAGGCAGGATCTACCATTTCCTGGCCGGCGCCGTCCAAGTAAGTATTCCATTCCGGTGGTAAGCCGTCAGGGAAGTTGTGTAAGTCCGGGAATTGGTCAAACGTCGGAAAGTGTTGTCCTACTGAACGCATGAGCAATCTGACAGAGATACGGGAACACAAAATAATAAGAGCCAGTAAAATATCCCGAGGTTTCTCAAACTTACCGTTGAAGAATTCTTGGTCTGTGGTTAGCTGGTGGTACTGCTGACTGACAGGGTGGTTATGGATGGCAAAATCGTGGCTTGCGTTGGAATACTGGGTCTGCTGAATGTTGTGGTTCATAGACATGTCCGGCAACGAAGCCGTTGATGAGGCGGTAGCAAGGTCCTCGGAGGTCGGATCCGAGTCTGCTGCTGCCAATTGATGATTGTCTTCCGACGTTGGGGCGTCAGGCGACCTTGGCGATAGTGTTTCATGGGTAATGCGTTGGTGGCGGGTCAAGAGATCCCTTCGAGAATACGCCGACCCACAATGGCAGACGTAAGGTTTCTCTTTTGTATCTGTGACTTTGAGTTAGCTATTTTGTCTTTTTCTTTTACTCATTTCCCTTTATTAATAACTAGAATGATTAGAAAAGACATGACCGTGTAAAAACATAAAATATTATTATAATAATAATAAAAAACAAAACATGGTGAAGCTGCTTTGGTGGAGCTTAGAACAAAAAACACAGAGAGCATGGCATGGCATAGCATAGCATGGTTGTGCAGATCGAAAGAAGGGCAATGCTCGAAAAGTTGGGGTTGGGGTAACCAACGGGTTCGAACGTGGCGCTCCAGGTGCTCAGACCTCTTGAAGCTTCGTCCGCAATGCGTACACAAACGCTGTTGTACGCCGGACGATCCATCACGTCGTCGCCGGCGTGCTTGGGACTGATCCATTTGGTTCTCAGCCATTGAGTAAGAATGATAGTAGGTATTAGGTATTAGGTTAAGATGAAGGGGTGCAGAAGTTGGAGAAAAGATAGAACTTTCATCGTCAAAATTGTGGGGGCAAAAAAATAAACCACAAGGTCTAAAGTCCCAAGGTCCCTTAGGGAAAAAGCATGTAAGTCTTCGAACGGGGACTGGAACTTTGTGTGTGGAAGGGGTGGAAGTGTGGTGGAAGGGGGGGTAAGGGGAGGGCCGGCCAAGTCGACCACTAAGAAGGGGGGATTATGGTAGGCGGAGGAGAGGGGGGGGAGACGAAGAAGGCGGGGGAGATTTTAGAGACCACGGGGCCATGAAAGCCACCTGATTTCTGATTTTGAACTTCTGTACATCTGTAGTCTGTAAGGTTAGAAGGGTTTAAAGTAAGAAGAGGGTCCTGTCCTGTCCTGTCCTGTCCTGTTCTGGGATGTTCTGGGAGGGTTAACGTATGTATGCGTGTACGGGTTGGTACCGATTTCCCCATAAGATTAAATGTACATGTATCCAATGTAGGCACGTATGGGCAAATGTGTACTAGCTGGAAGTAGGTTCATGAATGAGCAACATTGAATGTTCTGTGGATGGATAGCAACTTCCAAGGTTACTAGCATTCACTGGCATCTACTGGCAGTTTGGCAGTTGGTCCCCGTTATTACCTAGGTAGTTATTACTCGTTATTACTTATTACTTATTAGTACGGAAAGTACAGATGATTGATTCCCCACCATCGCACACTGCATCTCGCAGGCGCTCTTGCTGCATCGACTGGTGCATCGCTATCAGGGATTTCCAGGGATCCCGCAGTACGACAGGGGTTAGCTCGGAGGGACGGTGGAGGGGGTTCTTTGTGGGGTAACCAACCCAATCTCACCAATCTTGCCCGGCAGTACCGTCGCAGGCCGTAGCTACCGACCCGGACTGAACCAAGGTTACTCCTTCGTGCTACTCTCAGCCGCCCACCCCCCTCAAGACCAGTCAAGGAAGTCAGGCAAGTCAGGGAAGTAGAAAGACCCAGTAAGTTCAAAGCCAATCGAGAAACAAACGGGTTCACCAATGGGAGCATCAACTGTCCACATCATCTTCGTCAACGCACTTGCTTATTTCGACGATCCGAAGGTTTAGGCGAGCTCCATTAGCGAATCTCGCCGGCACGTTTCATTCTTTTCCCATTTCAATTCTCTTTTCTGTTTCTTTTACTTATCTACCTCTTTCTTCCCGTTTAATCAGAAATCATTTGTTCCGAGACTTGTTCGTTACAATCTCGTGATTGGCCACCATATTGTACCATTTATTCTTTCGCTTACTTTTCCGAAAAAGCAAATCCAATGTTGCATTTTTGAGCTTCGCTTACCCGGCTGAGGACCTATCCAGCGACGAACTACTGTACGGCAAACCCTAACAAGAAAGACTCACGTATCACAAGGAACTGCACGTATCCTCTATAGATTATCATATAAGCTAGAATGTCCCAGAACGGTGCTTACGTTTCTATTATATGATTTGACTAATACCATTACATATAACCGTTCCGCTTACATCCATACGGCGTATTGCTTCTAAATTACAGTGGGTATTGGGTTGATTTTCAAACTTATATATAATCAATCTCTAGTGCTCTAGATAGTAACAATCAACTTCATAAGATGTTGCCAATTAGTATAATCAATTACTTCAGCATTCGTGTTCCTCAATCTTACCAAAAGTGCGGAGAATCTTACAAGACATCGTTCCACAGAACCTCATATAGAGATACCTGGGTATAAACCCGAATGAGTTCTAGTTCATACATCTATTTATAAATACAGATCTAATACCTTCAAACTAGGGGAAATCCACGTTGCGACCTGCACGAGGAATGTGGGTTTCCAAGTTAGAGCTATCTACCTAGGTATAAATAAAAAAGGGGCTTGTACTGAGGAGAAAAAAGGGGGGACGGCGGGGGTTGACCGAAACCACGATTGGGGGCCAACACCATCGTGATCTATGATCGATATAATGCTATTGGGAATTGTTCTGTTATAATTGCTTAGATGAATAGATATTTGTGAGGGTTATAGTCTAGGAATATTTGTTGAATACTTACCAAAGTAAATAGCATGAGTGAGGTATCTCGATGTCGTTGACACGTAGTGTAATAATAATTGCTCTATGACTGATTATGGTTATAAGTTTCTTATAAGAGTATAACCTGGGTTCATCGTGATTGAGTTCATACTTGAATACCTAGTTAGGTACGCAGCATGTAAGGGATAATCTCGTCCCTGACATAACATACCGAGCTATTTGCCATTCGGTTTTGTAGAGTTAACCGGATACAATAGTCCATATTTTTGATTGTATATCCACTCAATATGGATGCACTCGCTAGGGCTAGGTCGCCACATGAGGAACCAAGGGAGTATACTCTAGAGCTCTTTTTCTATGGTGCATGTGTGTTAGAGCGTATAGTCTTTACATGTGAAACTCAAATACGATTCCACCGTAACAAGGAACTGAGATATGAAGATCAATTGTATTGGGATTTCTTAGTTCTGTAAGACCTGCTTGAAGACGTATCGTATAACTGACTCCGACATAAATACACTGTGTCTGCCTAGATGAATATGAACAAACCTTCATCCTACCCCTATCGACCTGAATGAAGTCTGATGGTATGAGTAACCTAGGCATGCTTGAGCACCACCAAAAGAAGCCAGTAAGAAAACGAGAAAATTCATCTATGCCCGCCTATCCCAAATGCCTTTTCTAGAATTGCATGTTGAACTGTCGGTAATGTTCCTGGTATCAAATGAGATTAAATCATAGAGATACGCCTATCCGCAAATCGCCGGCGGACCCATGAGTTCATGCAGGTATCAAATATCACGTTATCATAAAGGAATGTTTCATTCGGCGCTTCTCGTTTGTGGCGTCAATGGTTTCTGTGCGTATACGACATGGAATGGAAGGTATATATGTGCCGTCGTGTTTAAAAGTGCTTTTCGTACGTCGACGAGGTAAACCTCCACCTCCTCCGGTGTCCATCCTAAGCCATGAGTAAAAGGCTTGATGCTGAAACCGTGTAAGCCGTCGTATATCATATTTCGACTGTATAAGCCGATTTTCTGTTGGTGTGGATCTTTCGGCCATGTCCCTATTGGTGTTTTTAGTACCGTATCTCGAACGTTGATGAAGCCCGCGTCTCTCAACCATTGTCGGCAATTTGCTATAAAGCCAAGACTATCGATGCCAAGCCTATGCAACGCCGCCATGAGCGTCTTGGCATACCCTGCGCAAGCATCATCTTCGGACATTGTACCGTCGTCGCATTTAACGACGCATTCTAGCTCTTGGAATTCTATCCATCCGCCTGGCTTCAATGCGCTAAATTTCAGGGGTTAATGATCATATTGTGATGGGTGACAACGCCGATGGTGTGAAGCTCTTACTTGTACGCCTCGGCGATCATTTTAGGCCAGTTCCGTATCGATGGTGCCATTTGGCGACCGTGAATAAAATCTAGCGAATTGGCTGGCTGAAGCCAATCTTCCTCTAAATTGTCGACGAGGAATTGTACGTTACGCGGCACCCATAAGGGCTGAATCGGGCTGAGATCTATACCTAATACCTCTGATCCGGGATACTCGTCGCCCACTAATGGTGACGAAAGTGAATTTATCAGTACTAAACGAGGTGGTGGCGTTTTGTTCAGCTGGACACTAGCTTACTATCTATCGCCCAAATTCCTGTCCCGGTGCCGATGTCTAGGACGGCCTGGGGGTTTTGAAGAGGTGCAAAGTGCAGTTTGCCGTCGCATAGAAGCATTGTCATAGCATGTTGAAGATCCTCGCGTTCCTGTTCGGCGTCGTCGTTTGGAAAGTGATAGAGTCCCTCATTGTACTTGTGATAACGGCGTGAATTCTCGTAAACGTAGTCGCGGACATCCTCGGACATGGATATAGAGTCAGCAGAAAAGACGCCTGAGAAGGCATCGCAGCCGTTATCGTCAGCTGATTCAGACAAAACCGAGTCAATGTCATTACTATTCGGGACATCATCCCCTTCCGCTGCGCTCATCGCAGACAATGGCTTACCGGGAGAGCTTGGGTGTGATCCAGAGGGTTCCGTCATTGGCCCGGTTGGTCGGTTACCTAACCTTTGGGATGAGGTTGTGTGTGTGTTGTTGATGGCGGCGTCGAGGGAGACATTCATTCGGACTACGAGATCCCTACTTTCTGGGACTGGGAAGATTAGGAGGGAGGGATCTATGGTAGTGGCGGTAGTAATAGTGGTGATCAGCGCGATCACGATGGGTTCCAGCGCAACGGAGAAAAGCCCCGCCAGGGTGGCTACCAATATCGAAACGACGGTCTATTGGCTGCTACGGGGACGATCCCCGCTTGCGTGCAGATGGAGGCGTCGAGACCTTCAATGAGATGCGAGCGAACCTTACCGGAAACGCAATGATAATACGCTTAGGACCCCAAGAACAGGATGGTGCTCGACCCGGCAATTTGGATCTCGCCGCAGCCGGGTGCCTTTCAGTCGGTGAGCCTGTGGCACCGAGCTCGGCTTGGATCTGGCACGATCCTGGGGGATTCCATTCTATATGCACTGTCTAATCTAGTATGAACCGGACCAACGGGTAAAAGGAATCAGGAAGGGAAGGGGGAAAAATTGTTGAAAAAAGGGGGAATCAATCCAACACTTTTATGTGTTATGGTATGTAAAGAATAAAGGGTAGCGGTGTACTCGGACTGACTGGAGTATTTCCGAGGCTATATCCAACCCTTACTCAATATAGGAAAAATAGAAAATAATACTAGTAAAGAGGAGGAAGTTGCTTGCTTACGACCTTACGAGGGTCGCTGAGGGGCACCTTTCTAGTGTAGATAAGGTTAGCGGGTATTATGGGTCTTTAGTCTTTAGCGCATTGGTCAATTCACAGGGAACATTTGATTTGAAGAGACTTCAAACTTCTATCCATGTACCCAGCACCTAGGTGTTAAAGTCACCTTAACCTACACTAGACCAAATTCAATATCCACCTTCGGTGGACACCGTATACAAAAAAGGTGCATAATAACGCTTCGAATTGTCAAACAAAAGATATGATAATTATAATTATAAAAATTATTTGTCAAAAATGATGTGATTATCGTCAATTTCGGTGAATATATCAGGCTACAAAGCCCGACCCGGCCATCCTACTTCATACATACCCGACACATGTATGTACTGTATGTACATATGTGGTGTACATGAAGGTAGGGGTTTATGCTGTGTAACGAGGGCTTGTCCACGCTGGCGGGAATGTCCAAAAGTAAGACATGGGTATCTTTAGGCGTCCCGTCTGCCCGTCTCTTGTCTCGGTACACCTTTCCCTATTCTTTTCGTATCTCATGATGTGTCATATTCATCTCTTATCTCTCTTATTCCGCAACTTTCTCAATTTTCACATGTCGTGTCCTTTTCTTAATAAATTCAACAAGGGATTGAAGCTACATGGTCAGCACTGTTCCATGTACATAAAAGGCTATTAATACATGTATTATTGAACCATTAGAATATATTTTTTATTCACTCTTTTCGGCCCTTACTTCGAACTTACTCGGTAATCCGAGTGAAAACTTCGGAGAACGACATCTTGAAAAATGCAATTTTGAATCCAAGAAAACTATGAACCCGAATGTCAAAATATTCGTTGGCGACGTACTACATAAGTCCCGAGGAATCAGTTCGCACCCAAACCGTCGGGTCCGGAGGAGACCTGGGTACTATTCATTTGTACTACGAACCGCTTTTGAACTGCTAGCCAATCAGAGTTGATGATGAGAAACAGGGTGATTGATGATTGGTCAACTTCAGGGACTTGACTAAACTGCTTATAGACTAGACTTTCCGGCCCCCATGTTGCAGTATAAATCCAAATAAGGAAATACATACATCATATCGATTAAGGGGTTTCGGATGCTGATGTTTTGGAATAATCATAACGATGATCTGCATCATCGTCAAGAGGACAATAGCCTCACGTCGCTTTCTAGAGCGGACGAGGTCATAACACTCATTTAGGACGTGCTATTCAAGTGGGACCAACGGTAGTGATCGATTTTTGGAGTTGTGAAGTTTTAGTTTAAATACCACTATCACGGTACGGCACGGTCGGCGCGTCTGACCGACTCCTACGATTGTCAGTATGGCTTCGGACATGTCTCTCGCCGCGAATAATCTAGCATGTGATGTGGTCGAAGGCAACCCGGATCTTTACGGTATCGGCATCCGAATCGGTGTTTATCTACAATGGATCACAGCCTGGATCAACCTCCTCGTCGATCCCCTATCAGCACAATCGGTCTACGATGTCAACTCCGTCTTCGTGTTCGCGATTCTAGTAGCCACCATGATCGCGTCTTTTACCACCGATTCGCCTATACAGCCTATCGAAACGCATATAATGTTGCAGATTACGCTAGGCTTCTTTATCACTACATTAAGCACCTTTGGCTTCAGGTTGTATTTTCTCCAGCCGGCTTCTATCGCCGAGTCAAAAGAGCAAGTGAGAGGGGTGCTAGAAGCGTTGGCGGCAGCGGGACAGATCATTCTTACGCCTGGTGGGATTATTAGGCTGGTTACGGGAAAACTAACATTCCCATTGCATCTTTTCGCACCGCTTAAGCCATCCCACTTGTCATGGTCTGGTGTTTTCTGGCGAACATTGACTGTCGTTATGCTCGCAGCCGTCAATATCTGGCTCTGGTTCGCCTCGGAGCCAAATTACCGACTTACCGGTCAGAACTGTGATCCGCCATTCATATTTCTCTTCTCTAGGCAACAGCTGACCGGTCACGTTGTCGGGTTCTGCAAAGCTGTGTCGATTCTGATCGCGGTAGTTGTCGTCCCTCCATTTTGGATACTACTTCAATTAACCAAGCGGTTGATTTACCATTCGTTTATGGCTCTGTACAGAGACCTCCTGTATATGGTAGCCCCTGAAGCACCGGAGCGACTGAGAACATCAATGGAGCGTATCAATTCATTCCTGGATAGGAATACGATACCTCTTGCTAGGGTACCTCGGCGTATTTTTGTGGCCGGTACTGCTTTGAATACTCCTGCCCTTCAGTTCAGAGGAGCTCTCGATCTGATCGAGTTCATGTCTAAGCCGAAAGAAGAAACCATCAGATTTTCCGATATTCTCAAAATAATGGTGTATCTGGGGAGAGGAAGGGTTGAAGAACACCGTATTACTAGTACGGAGACGGAAAGCAAGGAATTACCATCTAAGAAAAAAGTACCTGAGTAAGTTAACTCTGTCCGTTTTCCTTTTCAGCGAATTAACGAAATTGCCGTATGATAGTTACGAAGATTACTGGTTCTGCTTCCTTTGGAATGTTGTCGTTGTTTTTGCCATCGTCTGGTTTATTCTCAGCATAGAATTTACTTTGTTGTGGAACAATGTTGAGGGTATCAATTCCATCGCAAGTACGGGGCAACTCATTCCCCTTGTGATCGGCTGCGTCAGTACGGGACAAGTCATAAAAAAGGTCATCCTACTAGGTCTCGCAAAGGTAAGTTACTTCTCATTTGCCTCCCGTTTTCCTTGTTTTTACTCGAATGTCTCGTTCTAACGTTGAATTCAGAAATACGACGACTGGGCGGACATGACAGTGGATGTGACCACAGATTTCGTAGGAAAACAAGAAACCCTCAAGATCCGCAATACCAAGACAACACTCGGGGACGAAGCTCGGTGAACACAGAAACTCGAACACGGGAACACCAACATTAAAAAAACCGGTGAATAAGGCTCGGTCTTTCTCATGGCCGAATAGGAGGGCGCGCATCACCGAGTTGGTAAGCCACCTCTGGGCCGATCAAAAAGAGGCCGCCCAGTTAACAATCTTGGCTTTCCCAGCAGGGCTATCCACACGAAACCCATCCAATCAAGGCGAGGGAGTGACAGGTCATGATCCCGCGATGAGTCAGCACTCGATGCGACCACCATTATTTAGCGAAATCCGCTGCCGCCCTAAGGCGCGCCCTCCTACGGAATTACTTGCACTTTTTTTCTTTGCCCCCTCATTCCCCATCCCCCAGCCAAGAAAGGCCGAATTCGATCTACGGTCTACCTCGATTCGATGACTTGCATGCCGATTATATAATATCTCGTCTACATGAAACTACGTCATCATATGAACACCCTTCCGTGGCCGAAAGATCACAAGAGACCATCTCTTTAACTGCCCGTGGTCGGGAAGTGATATTATTGGGGAAATGGTACGGAATGAATTCCACAACGTGATGCGAATGGGTTACCTATGCATCTTCAGCCCCCTTTTCAGACAGGAACATAACCATAAGTGGATATAATCTTGTTTCTGTCGACGGAGCAAGCTTTCCAAGCTCCAGTTATAATATACTACTGTAGTATAGCAATTACTGTAAGGGCGGGGAATAACACGACGCTCGTACGACCTGAATTTGAACAACAACATAGGCGATCGAGATGCGGGTAAGGTAAATTAGGATCTCGTTTCTATTATACACCTACCACCCTCGTACAGCCAATAGCAATGCCTATTCTGTTCCTCATCAGCGGCATATGTCAACAATGCACTAATTACATCCCTCTCGGCAATAGTTTACGCTGTATTAGTGTAACATGAATCTAACCTTCTTAACCTCATTCGCTATGATTGCTTTGTCGATAGCTCTAAAGTAACTCCTTGGAATACGAGGCCATATACCTCGGTGTAAGTCACGCTTCAAGCGTGCCTTTGTTATGCCATGCCATCCAAACTTGACCCAACTATATGATACTAAGTCGCTTGTGTATCATGACCTTCCTTCGGACCTTCCTCCGTATTCGCAGTACCGCTATCGACCGACGGCTCATCCTCGAGCATGTGCGTGGGAACGCAATCCTCGTAGCTAACGGGGGATCCTCGAGTTTCAGATTGACTGCCGGCTCCGGACGTCCCCTGGGGAGCTAATAATAGCCGTGTAGGCGTTTTAGAAGCCGCCGGCAAGGCCGAAGTAGCACCCTGCTCATCCAATACCCGATGCTGTATCATATGAACATCCTCAGCAAGGCGCGCGCTCAGTGGCCTTTTCGTCCTCGTCTTAGCACTGTCCCGAACCGCTTGACTCTGCGCAGCCTCATAATCAGGTTTCATCCTATGAATCTGTCGCTCAAGTGCCTCTAGCTCCTTGTAACCTCCCTCCATAGGGAAGATTTCGAGCTCCGGGTACTCCAACTCCCTGGGTTTTCGGCTACGGAATGTGTCCGAAGAAGTGCGAACAACTCTATTCAGACCCTCTTTCATAACTCTACCCAATTGAGCTGGTAGAGTTCGAGACGAAGGACCAATGTTATTCTTCGCCGATGCGCCAAGTTTGTCTGTCAACCAGGTGGTGTTATTATCATTAGATTCTCGAACAGCGAAGTCCTTCTGGATCACATTGTCATCCTTGCCAGCCGGTCCTGTCCTCTCGGCACGTGTATGTGAAGGCCACTTTGCCCAAGATGCAGGGGGCGTCCTTAACTTCTTAGGAGTCTGGCTTCGGGGTTCTAACTTATGTTCTTCCTGTGGTTGGGAATCTTGATCGTTTATCAAGTTTACCCATTCTCTTAATACGCTGTTAGATATATCTGATGGATGGCTGCTGTTATTATCGCCACGAGATGGTGGTTTGAGTGTTGAATCTTGTTCAATTTGAAGCTTTGGATTTGATACCTTGTTCGAATCTTGGTTTGTGACGCGACTGCTTCCTGGGGATTCCCGGAAGCGGTGGTCTTCGAGAGCATCTTCACGGAATATAGCAGATCCTTTCATAGAGCTTCCTACGTTAGATGATGTTGCTTGCTGTTCATGTCCTTGTTGATCGGGATGACTGATCGTAACATGCATATTTTCTCCACCGGTACTCTCAACCTCGTCTGCATTAGATTCTCGTGTATCCATCACCGGGAGTTTTGGCCTTCTAGGCATCGTTAAACGCAACTTTGAAAATAAGGAAGTCTTGGTGATCATCGAAGCCCTGGGCTTATCAAACTCCTCTTTGAATTTGCTGACAATTGGTGTGGCTACGTCCCGACGGGGTTGGGCTTGTGTGAATCTCTTTTCGACCGACTTAAGTTCCTCTTCTCGCTCTCTAAAGCTTGCTGTATCTGAGACTACCATTGAATTTGTCTCTGCCGCCGGACGCCGTGGCTGTCGGACTTCACATAGGCCTGTTAAATCCAACACCGAGTTGTTATTAGGGGCCGTCTTGTATGAGCTGATATCTGATTTTCCAGCCTCTGTCGTACGACTAGGTGATATGATACCTAGGTATTATAGTCAGAAGAAATAGAAACCAATTATCAGCAGATCGTACTCACGACTGAAGTTGGGGAATGGCGGTACGGCCTTCTTCCCTCCAAGGAGTTCAATAAAACTTAGGCGCGATTCCTTTGCTGTGCCCTGGCGACTATTTGGCCTAGTAGTATATCGCGAGGATGCATAGTAAGATGAGGTTTCTCGGGCATGATCCATGGAATCCGGAGCCCCGTCGCTATGGAACTGCAGTAGGTCGGAGTTAGGTAGCCCGGTTGCGTTGACTTCCGTCTCCACATGAAGGCTGCTTGGATGAACCCATTCTCTAATAGAATTCTGTTCTTCCGGGGGTAAATTGTGAGAAATCCCATGCACTAACTCCTCGGTCACGTCGACATCTCCAGCTCGATTTAATCCGGCGGCAGTGTTAGAATTCTCTGGGGCTACCTGAAGAAGCATGTCACTATTTCGTCTGCTTGAAACGATTGAAGCTGATTGGAACTCTTGACTTCGTAGCCATATATCCAATGGCGAATTTCTATCAAGATTTTCATCGTGGATGTGTTCCGCGATTAAATCTTGCTGCTGACCATGGTTGTTCCGGGATAAGTCGTCCGGTAACTCCTGGTTCTCTCTGGGCCCATTGTAGTTTGAAGCTATGCTCTTAAGTCGGTCCTCTTCATCGTTTCCCTTGAGGATATCCTGATTCTGTACATCTGGTTCGGCGGGTGTAGTACTTAAGTCAGGAATCGGATCGTCTGAGATTCCAATATAGTTTGCGAGCTGCTCGGCGCTGTACGAAAGCCTCCATGAGTAGAGTGATTCCGAACCTCGAGTACTTGGTAAACGGACAGGGGCTAGCTGTGGAGAGGATGGGAATTGTGGTAAGGAAGCCTTTTCTTTAAGTGTATTGTGAATGTCATGAACGGAACTATCGTGTGATCGGCTCGATGTTTTAGGACAACTACCTCGACGAATGGAAGTACTTCTTTGAGAACCGCTAGTCGGGAGTCCGAGGAGAGCAGCATCTTGAGAGCTGGGGTTGAGGTCTTTAGGACCAATATCGCCCACTTCGGAGACGCAAAATTCTATATTGTCTCGAGGACCGCTCCCAGACACCGCAACACGAGAGGGACCGACTGGTTTCAATTCTTCAGGATGACTCGCCTTCACCTCGGGTTCATCCTGTTCTTCCTCGCTCTTTAGCTCTTCCTGAATTCTCTTATGCATCAGACGTTTCAATTCAGCACGTCGCGCAATTTCTTCTTCGCTCGTACCAAGAGATTGTTGTGAGTGCCTCCTCGACTCGGATTTCTGGGATAGAGGTCGAATAAATTTAGTCCTGATGACATCAAGCGTGCCGGTGCTGGAGTTTCCGCCACCGCGAGCCGGTTCATCGTCATCCGAATCCTCCACTTCAAGTGTAGCCGGATCAACAGTGGCCTCTGGTATCTGGTTGTGTGAAATTGACGGCGCCTTCGTGACCGTGATCTGTGATTGTGGTAGTTCTAGCTCGGATGTAGTGAGCTGTGACTTAGATAGCTTCGCATGAGGCAAATGAATTGGAAGTTCGATTGCGTCTTCATCATGGTCTGGACTTTTTGTTCGCTTGCTGCGACAGCAACAGAAAAGGGGCATCTTCGGAGATGTTTAATTGAAAATGAATGTGAGGATTGCTAATATCTGTCATGTATTTCCAAGAAAGACTCCACCACCATCCAGCTAGAACCAAATAAGAGCCCGATGCTTCGAGGTTTCTTCGATACATTCAATGTCAGACCATCTAACATTAGCCTTTGAGTTGGTTTAATTGAGAGTTATGTCAATGTACGCAGGTGGAATGTTCTCACGAGATGGAAGCCGCCATGGTGTTTTGCTTCAGGTGAGCATTAAGGCATGCATATCCCCTTTTACAGTTACGATGCCCCAATTCCAATTCTCCATCACTTACTCTTTCCTGTTATCCAATATCGATGGTAGTGGCCTCCGAATGTCAACTATATTAATCAACTGCTCTAATTTACGTATGAGCGAGCACGTAAGGAGGCATCAAAAGCCAGAACATAGCTATATTGCCAACCCAAGCTGGATTCATCCGCCATATGTTGCCGTAGAACACAAAAAGCCTACCGTGATGTATGTTGTGGAAAGATGAGTAGTTAATCCAGTTATTAGCGCAATTTAACCTGGAAAGCATTAAGCCGTGTAGCGCTTCATAGTAAAAATATAACGACAGCCCGCCATGAAGCAAGCAAAGTAATGATTCGAGATATCTTGCCTCGGAGGCCCGCGTAGTTCAATCAACTTAGAGCGTCAGACTTTTAGTCTGAATGTTGCGAGTTCGAGTCTCGCCGCGGGCGTACTTTTCACCCTTGTTTTATAATCATTATTCCCTACCTCACTTTTCCCCTCTTTCTTGGTCGCATCGCCAACAAAAGATAGAGATGTAGCTGGTATGAGTAGTGAGGAACTTCGTAGGTCCATTTGTGATTTATTTGAGGAGCTGTTTGAATAATAATTATGAATCGGCGTTGGGGTTTTCGGCTGTAGGTCTCGGACATTCGGGTTCGGCTTATTATCTGGCGGGAACTATCATGTACATAGCTCCCAAGAACGACACTCCGAAGGACCCGGGAACCTAGAAGCTTTTATTCCAATGGAACCAGCATATTTATACAGTGAAAACGATGATATAAATGTTGATGTTGGTTTTAGCAGTTCGTCAAAATCCACTTATTCGGGCCAAGCTCGATGCGGCTGTCGGCTGGACATCAAGTTAAGTAACTAGTCCGGAAGTAGTCTGCGAACTAATACGACTCTAATATGAAGAAATGTAACGGGAAGATAAGGTACGCATCCAGGGGCGTGGCTCGGTCACAGCGGAATTGATTATTGTTACATGCAGAAGAAGCATGGGTATATAAATTCGACACTGTCCAGTATTCAGCACATGAATTCACTATTCACTCAGGTACATATATATGTATTTGAGTACATGAAATAGATATCTTACCTAAGGACTAAAGAAATACGCAGTCCGGAGAAACAGAGATGGACGATTCGGCGAATTCCTTACGCGGACGGGGTGAAATGATTCGTTATGAGCGTTCCGAATGCGCCGATACCTGCAGGGCCAATAAAGAGCTCGCCATTGCACGTGCTTTTTGATAGGAACTCCGAAGGTATAAAGTATAGACACCGTGTACTTCCACAATTATATATGTATGTACCTTTAGAATTGAATGAATGGCGTAATGAGACATATCAGTATGTACCTACATACTTGCGGTATTAACTCAATCTTTATCTATACGAATGTACTTACCTGTGGTAAGCTATACATATGTATTAGGATGGCGGGGCACACATGCAGTAAAAGACAAGGAAGGTGTATACCTAGGTAGATTTTTACCAGCCTCAACCCAATAAAATAATGGAAAGGGCACTAAGATGAGCAAAAAGTATACTTGTATTTGCTGGAGTATCTCTTACCCCCCGCTTTCGGACCCTGAAATTCTGCATCCCGCTGGATTTCTATTAGCTCCTGGTTGGTTAGCTCATAGCACGACAAATTGGAAAAAATTGTTAACCCCTCATACCTTGACACAGACCACAAACCAAAGGAGCTTTCTTCATAAGAACCCCTCCACCGCCCTCTCCTTGCTTACAACTTATACCTTTCTCCTCCTTCTTCCCTCTTCTTTTTCTTTCTTCTTTCTCAGATATCTTCTCATTCTTACTCTTGACAATTGATATTTCGAGTATCAATTAGTCTAACTCTTCAATTAATAGGGAGAGAGTTGGAAGAAACAATCTGTTATTCTCGTATGTCCGGATTTCCCCTTCCTCTCTTAACTACCAAAGCTCAAGAAAGCTCTTAACTAACCAACACACCTGTACTACAGAAAACCCCTCTTTTCCCAGATACCTCGAATCACCGTCAAGATGGTTCAATCGGCTGTTCTGGGTTTCCCCCGTATGGGTGTGAACCGTGACCTGAAGAAGGCCACCGAAGCTTGTAAGTACTATGCCGGTTCTTCCGGGGCGACATAGATTACGATAGTCTAAAAGAATTGGATTGCTAACTTTCAATCCTAGACTGGGCTGGCAACATCTCCCAAGCTGACCTCCTTACCGAGGCCAAGCGTCTTCGTCTTGCTCACTGGAAGATCCAGAAGGATGCCGGTGTAGACATCATCCCCAGCAACGACTTTGCTCTCTACGACCAAGTCCTCTCCCACATCCAGGACTTCGGTGTAAGTTTCTTAATATTCTTAGTTATCAATATATCTGTCATTAGCTGACGATAAATTTCACAGGCCGTTCCTGAGCGATACTCGAGCGCTAACCTTGATCGAGTCGATGAATACTTTGCTATGGGCCGTGGCCACCAGAAGGGCGGTGTAGACGTTCCCAGTTTGGAGATGGTAAAATGGTTTGACTCCAACTACCACTACGTCAAGCCTACTCTACAAGACAACCAGACCTTCAAGCTCACCGCCAACCCCAAGGCTGTCGTTGAGTACGTTGAGGCCAAGGAGGCTGGTATCAACACCCGACCTGTTCTAGTCGGACCCGTATCTTTCCTTCACTTGGGTAAGGCCGACCGTGGACAGAGCGTCAACCCCATTGACCTTCTTGACAAGCTTCTACCTGTCTACGAGGAGCTCCTCGTCAAGCTCAAGGAGGCTGGTGCCGAGTCTGTCCAGATTGACGAGCCTGTTCTCGTCTTTGACTTGCCTGCCAAGTCCAAGGCTGCCTTCAAGCCCGCCTATGAGAAGTTCGCTTCATTGGCTGGCAAGATCCCCAACCTAGTATTCACCACCTACTTCGGTGACATTGTCCACAACCTTGACCTCCTTCCCAAGGACATTTATGCTGTCCATATCGACCTTGTCCGTAACCCCGAGCAACTCGAGGCTGTCCTAGGTGCCCTCGGACCTAAGACCGCCTTGTCCGTTGGTGTTGTCGACGGCCGAAACATCTGGAAGACCAACCTGAAACGTGCCATCGAGGTTGCCGAGACTGCCATCCAAAAGTTCGGAAAGGATCGTGTCATTGTCGCTACCTCCAGCTCTCTTCTCCACACCCCCCACACCCTCGCCAGCGAGAAGAAGCTGGACCCCGAGATTGCTGATTGGTTCTCATTCGCATCTGAGAAGGCTGTTGAGATTGCCGTCATTGCTAAGGCCGTTACTGACGGACCTGCTTCCGTGCGTGAGGCTCTAGAGGCTAACGCCAAGTCCCTAAACGCCCGTGCTACCTCGAAGCGAACAAACAACCCCCAGGTTAAGGACAGACAATCCAAGATTGCCCCCTCGGACTACAACCGCAAGTCTGAGTTCCCCTCCCGAATCTCCCAGCAACAAAAGAAGCTTAACCTTCCTCTCTTCCCTACCACCACCATCGGCTCTTTCCCCCAAACTAAGGAAATCCGAGTCCAGCGAAACAAGTTCACCAAGGGTGAAATCACTGAGGCTCAATATGACAAGTTTATTGAGCAAGAGATTGACATGAACGTCAAGATCCAGGATGAGCTCGAGCTGGACGTCTACGTTCACGGTGAGCCTGAGCGAAACGACATGGTTCAGTACTTCGGTGAGCGTTTGGACGGCTATGCCTTCACTACGCACGCCTGGGTTCAGAGCTACGGTTCCCGATGTGTGAGACCTCCTATCATTGTCGGAGACATCTCGCGCCCGGCCCCCATGACCGTTAAGGAGTCTAAGTACGCCGTGTCGGTCTCTAAGAAGCCCATGAAGGGTATGTTGACTGGTCCCGTCACCTGCTTACGATGGTCTTTCCCTCGTGACGACGTCCACCAGTCCATCCAGGCTGAGCAACTTGCTCTTGCCCTACGTAACGAAGTTGTCGACCTTGAGAAGGCCGGCATCGACGTCATCCAGGTTGACGAGCCTGCCCTTCGTGAGGGTCTACCCCTCCGAGCTGGCAAGGAGCGTCAGGCTTACCTTGACTGGGCTGTCAAGGCCTTCAGACTCTCCACTGTCGGTGTTGAGGATTCTACTCAGATCCACTCTCACTTCTGCTACTCTGAGTTCCAGGACTTCTTCCACGCCATCGCTGCTCTCGACGCTGACGTGCTTTCCATTGAGAACAGCAAGTCTGACTCGAAGCTTCTAGGCGTGTTCGTTGACGAGGCCTACCCTCGCCACATTGGACCTGGTGTCTATGACATCCACTCGCCTCGTGTACCCAGTGAGCAGGAGATCAAGGACCGCATCGAAGAAATGCTTCAGTACCTCAAGCCTGAGCAGCTCTGGATCAACCCTGACTGTGGTCTCAAGACCCGTCAATGGAAGGAGACTAAGGCTGCCTTGGTCAACTTGGTCAACGCGGCCAAGTTCTTCCGTGCGAAGTACGCCAAATAAATGGCTCGCTCATAGCGAGACCAATGTTTTAATTTTTCTTAAGAAAGTTGACGACGTTAATTGCATGAGGTGTGGGGAGTTGCCTGTCAAAATTTCTTTCGGAGCTGCATAATCGATTTCAACATCGGCGTTTTATAAGGCTGGGTTCTCAAAGGGGATCTATACCAAAAAAGTTCCACAGGAAAGATTGGCGGGAAATCAGGAGCATTCAACATTAAGCATTTTACAGGGCGGGAAAGAATTATACCCGAAGGTCCATCAACCGGACTTGGGAGTAGGTGGCGTTCTTGCATTTAGTTCCCTCTTACACAGAAGGGATTGCATTTCGAGATCAGATGGGATGCAATGTAGATGTAGCATGAGTAGTCAACCCAATTCAACTGGGCGATGACTTGGGAAGAATGAAAACTTCCAAAACAGTACACTTTTGGTGCCACATATTAATTCAGTGTGAATGTGAATGGATGCAAACATGCTTACCTAACCCAAAGGCCATCTTTAACCTATACTCATCGCAGTATTCCTTCAAGCTGATATGAGGGCGTCACGAACCGAATACCAAGTACCTTAGCTTCAAGTTGTACTTATTATTACCTGAAGATCCCGGCGAGTATTCCTAAATTGCACATTCTCAGGACATTTCATGTCGAGAGTATCCAATCAAAATGCGGCTTACCTTTCAAAGGAGCCTATGCGGGTAACCCGACAAAATCAGATTAGGGCATAATTCACAGTGGGCTGAGTGGTAGGAACGGCCTTTTCTTTCCCTTTTTTCCAACGCCTAACGAATCAGGGCTTAGATGCCGAATTAGTGAAACGATTCGCCGGCCCCTTTTTCTTTTCACTTTTTTCTCCTAATGTGCCCGGCGCTCCTTAGTGGAAATAAGCATGCCCACTTGGGCGGTTCCCTCTTCCGACTTTTTTTTCTTTGGTGATGTAGAATTAACAGACCTGGCCCTAGTCGCCGCGCTTAGTTCCATGTGTCTGTCTCGTCCCATAGGGGGCGCGCGCACTTGAGGTTAAGCGGCATTGGAGGGGGGTTGGCAGTGCCGAAAAGCATGATGGGAGTTGTTTTAGTATTGGTGTAGCGTGTATCAAGCGGAAATTTTGTGTTTTGAGGGAGGATGCGCTGAGCCCTATGAAATTAATGGAAGATTGGAATACTAGTTGTCATATAACGAACGACAGAAGAAAGAAGGCATTTAGAATATCATAAGTTGCTTCCACTATGAAAAAAAGAAAGAATAAATAATATTATTATAATTAAAATAATGGACTAAAAAACGTGGCATGGGTCGTAGAACATTCTACAGCAGTTCAGGATCCTTGACGCTGGTGGATTCTTATATATTGCAGAGTCGTGGCGCCAAGGATGGTGTTTGAGATTTCTTTCGATCTTTCGATGGTCGGGTTTGGTCTAGAAGTTCTACGTCTTGTTTCTGTCTGTGCTGTGCTTGTTAAAGACCATCGCATTACGTGGGACGGGACGTGGGAACATTCTTTTTTTTTTTTTTCATCTCATCCCTTGATTCCTGCTCCCGATATTACATGGTGGATTGGGCGGATTTTGCGAGCCGCGCCCCTTCATGCGTTCCAGGTGGCGGGAATGGGGATGCTATCCGGAGCGCGTTCTGTATTGACTAGCACCCTGCATGGCGGTGTATGTATTGTGTGTAAGGCGTCATGTCTCGGGTCCGTGGTATTTTCTTTAGAACGGCTGAGAAGAAAGATAATATGATTGGGTTTTCCTTTTGTTCAGCACATTGAGGCGGATGCCCGCACTGCTTCATCTGTGTGTTGTTCCACGGAGTTTAGTGACGTTGGTTCGTTGGTAGCTAACCACCCAGACAGTTGGTATTACAAGAACTGCGATATTTTTTCTCTCTTTCATGCTCAATGGTTCTGTGTATCGTATCGCAATTCTCGGATTCTGGATTCTCTAGGCTGCAATAATTACGGCCTTGTACTCATTTAAAATGCTGACTGTACTTGTCCGTACTTAAGTAATAGTATAATGAAGTGTAGTATTGAAAAATCCTTGGGGCGGTAAGGATGGAGGAAAATACCTGGAGTAGCTAGGTAAGTTCTAAATTACTTCCTCATCGGGTTTCTTGGTATTTACCAAGGCAAGGGAATACGGCCGCTCTCTCGTTGTTTGGTAGTATAAGTACGTATTTTTATATTAAAAATGATGTCGCCGTGATTTATGAATTGGTGATGGACTCCAAGTTGGCAGTTGGGCGCTTGCATCGCAGATCTTCAACTTAATCGAAGATGTTGTCGATCATCCAATGTCTGTTAACAGATTAAAATCCCGCCCATCTTTAGTGTATCGCGGTCACTTGAACTTTGCGTCGATGATCTTACCTTATCTTTCTTAAACGATCAGATGAAAATATGTGAGATATGTATGTATGTGTTAGGTGAGAAAACAAAAACGTCACTCCTCCAATGCAGAGAATATGCGACGCGCCGCTGTATGTACAAATAATGTAGTGTATAATGTAGTGCGCTATGGAGAGTGCTGTGTTATTGTCGCACTAGCTGCTATGGATGTACTCACCTACTATACGTACCCAAGTATCTTATAACAAGGCCTTGCTTAATGATGGGCTAGGCTTTAGTCCTGAACTTTGATTTTCGACTCTTCATTGGATGGTTGGCGGTTTCACGATGTCGTACCTGCGTCTTTCTGGACAGGGGTCTTTTATAATGGTGCGTGGGGCTCAGGGGCTTCCACCACTTACACTTCTCACACCACTTTTACACTACAGTCTAAGCTGGCAACTCGCTTCGTGTTCCTTTTTTCCCTTTTCCCCCCCTTGAAGACTCTTTTCCCTAATCCTGGTCCCCCATTTCGGTCCTGGCGATTCTTGTTAGACAGCTTCCCCGTTGGATCAATCTAACCATGTCATGGTCCGTCATCGTCGGGTGGGTCACTGGCGGTCCTCCCCAATAGAATGAACTCCGTCAACAACATGACGGGGACTAGGGTATGTGTTTTGAAAGAGTGCCTCTTCCCGGGAAACTCCTTCAGGGCTCATCCCAAAGCCAGCCCAGCTTAGCCCAAGCTCATTTCAGAGCCCATCAAGGGAAATACAAGGAATTACAGGGAATTACAGGGAATTGCCAGGGCTCTTTTTTCCCACGCTAACCGCCAAGGTAAGGAGGGTCCAATGGGTACAATCCTGTAAAAAAGGCTCTCTACCCTCCATCGTCGCGAAGTGTCTCTTTCTTTTCTCCCTCCTTTCCTTCATCACATTCGCGTGTTTCTCTCATTTTTTCAACGAGTCTTATCTCACAGTCCTTCTTTTTCTCTTCGCCGTTGTCGGTCCATATCCCCAGTCCATTTCAGCGTTCAATTCTCCAACGCACACAACTATCGTTTTCATTCTTTAACAAACGGCAACTGTGTCTGCTAAGCCTTCGCGGAATCGACTTTCGCTCATTGAAATCTGCATTGCATATTTGCAAACGTCCACTCATTCGACATCAACGAAGTACATATCTATCCGAGATCAGGCTACCTTGAAATAGAGTAAAATACATATCGAGGTACTCCAGCAAGGAAAAGCAAACAGACAAGCAATATAAATCCATTTGTCAAGTATACCCAGACAATTGTAAATTTACACAAACAAATCCATCAAAATGAAGTCGGCAACTGTTGCGTTCGGCCTTCTCGCCGGTGTGGCCTCGGCCTCTTACAACCACCCGCGCCACTTCCACAACCCCCACTGGCGACGAAATGACACCGGGGCCTCTACCACCCTAACCGTCGCCATCACCACCGTTCACACCATTACCTCCTGCGCTCCTACTGTTACCAACTGCCCGGCTGCCACCGGTGGTAACAGCACTGGCCCTGCTATCGTCACCGAGGTCATCGATCTGACCACGACCGTCTGCCCCGTCACCGCCATCGGCTCCATCTCTAGCTCCGTCGTCGGGGATCACAGCAGCGGTCTCATCTCTGGTACCACCCGTACCGTCACCGTAACCCCCACCTCCACTGCTTCCACTTCCCCTGAGCAGTCTAACGGTTCCGGTAACTCTGTTTACCCCTCCATTGGCACTTCTGACCAGACTGTAACCATGACCATCGGCCCCGAGAGCTCGCGGTCCCTTTTGGTTACAACCCTGAAGTCCACTTACACTGCATTGGTTACCGTTACTGCTGTCCCTACCCCTGGATCTAACTCTGGCAGCGGCAACGGAAACGGCAGCGGTGAGGACTCTAGCAGCGAAGCTACCACCACTACTACACGAACTTCCACTGGCACTCGCACTGTCACCGTTGCTCCCTCTAAGAGCTCCGACGTCGGTTCTGAGGACACTGGATCTGGCAACGGATCCGGCTCTGGCGAATGTGTTGCCAGCACCGTCACCGTCACCGAGACCATCCCTGCCAGCACTATCTACGTCACTGCTCCTGCTGCTGGCCCTACTGGCGCTAAGGAGGTTTCCTCCCCGGCTGCCTACCCCACTGGCTCTGACAACAGCGGAAGCAACACTGGCAGCGGCAGCGAAGACGACAGCTCCCCTGAGGAGAGCAGCCAGAGCAACGTTGTTACTGCCACTGCTACCGCCACCGTTGTCCCCTACCCGACCGGCAACAACGGCACCATCCCCAAGCAATCCAGCGGCGTCGCCATCCCGACTGTCATCCTACGCCACTAAATTAGCGGCTAGACAAGCCATGCATTTTTGAAAATTCTGTTCCACCCACGTACATTATACCCAGACACTTGTAGCATACAATAGCATGAACGAGGGATGACTGCATACGACCCAACAACCATTTTTGCTGACGCCCGGTAGCGAGATAAAAAGAGAGAAAAAGCAAACAGGCTTGCATCAATTACATTTGTTTTGTTTGTCCTTTTGGAAAGGGGGAAAGGGGGGCGGGCGGGTCAGCTTTGGATGGAAGAGTATCTTGGATACGTCGATACGAACGCGAAGCCGATATCTTGAGTTGATCTTACTGCTACTTATCTTGGGGGACGCCATTTTCTTCTCGTCTCGGTCCGGTTGCCGGGGACTTGGGGATAGAGGGCGCGCGTTTATTCAGTTTATCTTGTTTAATATCTATTACTATCTAGATGTGGATGAGATGGCTGGATAGGTGCGTGTTCTCGTTCGATTCTAGTGTATGTAGTGTTCTGTATCTATCTAGTTTGGCCATCTTGAATGGAGTTTTATGGTGCTTATAATATGCTTGTATTTTGTGCTTGTGCTTGTGAGATTGAAGATTCGATATAGTGCGTGATACAGGTGTGAGGTCGTGCTATAGGCTGTTCTACAGTGGCAAAGCCATAGCTGAGACATACCGGGTAGGTACCTAAAGATTAGTTTCTTTGGCGATTGATTTGGTAATGTGAGATTTTCTATCTTTCTTTTGGTGCTTACCTCACCATCATTCTAAGTCCTCCCTTTACACGCCAATGCGTTGGTAAATGAGTCTACCCATTTTCGCCTCGTCTTGATCGCGTTATGATGTTTGTTTAATGTAACTCAGTTGATGATCTTTCGGCAAACCCGTATCTCCTTTGTGCTGTTGGCATCTACTAGCACATCCTCATTGAGTTTGCTGCTATGGCTTACATGATGGGCACGGGTAGTGACAGGTATTGACGGGCTTTAGACTCTTCTCATATCCCGGTGGTTTGAATGGCACGCGGACTTCTTTCTGAGGATTTACTTCATGACACTACCGTTGGCATGGCGTAAAGCGAAGGATAGAGGTTGGCTTTGGGTATAATCATGCTAGGGCAGGCTACTCGGTATAGCTAAATACTGATCTACAGCGCTTCTCTATCGCTAACGTGCTAACTCTCGGGGCTTCTTGGCGGCGGTAGTGTTGCTATCTTAGTGCTATCTCTCCGTCTATCCCACTACCGACGCCAGTACCATTAGTGGCTTGCGATACTGACCGAGGACGTCCACTGACTGTCAACTAAAAAGGCCTATAATTTAGGTCTATATAGCGCACTACTCCCCCATATGATCGTCGCATTTTTATTTCTTAGTGCTTGTTAATATGCCGAGCGGATGTTAGTGGTTCACTTAGCACTCTTGACATTGCCATAGCGCCCGACAAAACCCGAATTCAGTTTCCCGACTTCGGCATCGGCTTGGTCTTAGTATCGTGAGAAGACTCTAGTCGGCCTGGATTTCGCTACCGAAAATTATTTCTTTTGGGTATGTTGGTGATTGTGTGGATATGAAGGATGGTGTGTTGGGGATGGGGGTATATATCCTCTAAATTGGCGATGATTCGTTCCCTATGAGTTAGGTGGTTCAAGCCCGGTCGGCGGGCTTATAATGGTCCTACGTCATGCCACGATGCGCTAAGAGGCTACTGACAACCACTACGCCCTCTAAGTTCTAGGGTATGGTACCTAAAGGTGCTCCTATCAGCCCTGTCGACGCTCTATATTTCCACCTCTTCTTCAGCGTGCCGAAAAGTCTCCTAATGCTTCTATGTTTTCAGGAGTTGGCCTTCAACGGGTTGATTTATGTGAGAAAATATGTTCAATCACAACTACGTAGGAAACAGGACTTGGATTAGGAAACAAAAGCACAGTTTGAGTCTATAATCATCTTATAGAGGTGCATCGCGAAGTAATTATCGCAATTCGGCATAGATCTAGCTATGCCTATCATCATCTACACCGTGGTGTATTTCTCTGAAGTCAATGCTTATGGGTATGAAGACTACCAAAATCTACCAGATGCCGCGCGAACGTCCAATTCATTCTTCCCAATGCCCAGTCGTGCCCCTATTTCATCACGAGGTCATATACGACCATCATAGCAGTCAACCAAGAATAACATTCTCCAACTGCTCACGATCCAAGCGCCCCTGCAGCGCCGCCCTAAGTAAGCCCTGACTCCTCGCAATCGCCGGCACCACGCCATCGATCTGCTGTAGATTCCCTTTCATGCTCTCCATATGATTCGCAATCTGTCCCGCCAGACTATTCAATTCCTCATCTTTAATATCAGCGAATACTTTTCCACTACCTTCCTCTGTCGTTATAACTTCTCTGGTATTTTCATCGTGGTGATCGTCGGATGTCTTCTTCTCCGGCACAAGGACATGCATCCGTCTAACCCTATCCCTTCTCTGTCTAGCCTCCGCATGCGCATTCGCACCCAGTCGCGCGAGTACCTTATACTCGCGCTCGAGTTCGCGCTCCGCGCGTTCCTTTTCACGGCGTAATAACTCGACACCATGTAACAGTGGATCTAACTGCGATTCTAGAGCTTGTACACCAGCGACCGCACGCTCGAACTCGAACTCATCTTCACGTTTCGCGGACGTAGTGGCAGGCGGGAAAGGAAGGCCTTTAGCGATTTTGTTGCGCAGACGATTTCCTACTGCGTTCAACGCAGCCGCGGCTTGCGCGTGGCGCTGTTGGGTCTTGGTGCTTGTTCGACTGGACCGGAGGTTGGCGGATGGGTTTGCGGTGCTGAGACGTAGGAGTACGGGCCGGGAGGCGGATTGGAGGAGTGTGGTTACGCTGGATAGGGCGGGGGGTCCGAGGGGTGTCCATTTTGACTCGATTACATTGCGAGGGACGCGGCGTGTACGGGTTGTGAGATGTCGGTAGCGTGGGGGAGAGGCGGATGTGGATGAGGAGCGGGAGTGGGTGCCGGAGGATCGTCTGTGGGTTCTTTGGTTAGGTTGGGAGTCGTTGGAGCGGCGGGGTCTGCCTCTTCGGGGTTGGGTTTCTTCTTGTATTGAGTTTTCCTGGTCGTTTTCTCTTGTAGGTGAAGCAGCAGGTTCACCGGATGATCTTGGGCGATTGCGTTGCCTTCGTCGACCTTTAGGTTCGGGGTTGGCCTCTTCTGCTGGTTGTTGATCGGTAAGGGAGGGCCGGCCTCGTTTCTTCTGGGGCTGGGGCGCCGGTTCTTCTGGTTCCTCTGCAGCTTGCTCTTCTAGCGATGGTCGACCTCTTCTCTTGCGCTCTTTTGGTTTTCGTTTCTTAGACGTATCTCCTTCAGCTGGCTCAGCTGCCTCTTGTGTACCCTTATTCAATGAGTTAGGAGACCGGCGAATTCGACCACTACGTCGTAGGAAGCTCGAGTTCTCCTCATTCTCATCATCGGCTTCGTTCGCTTCGGGTTCTTGCTCGGCGTCGCCAGATGCTTTGGGTGGCCGGCCGCGCTTCTTTGGACCTGCGTTTTCGTTTGTATCATTTGAATTATCCTGTTCTGCTTCGTTTTCTTCGTTATCCTGCGAGACTCGGGGTCGACCACGTCTTTTACGTTCCGGAGGTACAGTATTGGCTTCTTCATTCCCCTCGTCTCCGTTATGATCGGCTTCTACCGCTGGAGATTTGCCGCGTTTTTTCTTAGTTCTCTTTGGCTGTGATGTCTCGGGTTCTGGTTGTGTTTGGGGTGCGGTGTCGGTGTTCGCTTGGCGCCCTCGTTTTCGGGGACGTGAAGATTCCTCCGCATCTGTTTCTCTAGTACTTTCGGGTGCTGTAGCTAGTTGACCTCGTCTCGTAAGTCTGGTTTGTGATCCGGACGCGTCGCCATCGTCGCGTAACGCGTTTGAAGGACGGCCTCGTTTTCGCTTTTGGTTTGCTGTTTCTGGTGCCTTCACATCATTAGTTTGAGTATGCCATCGTTTCCTGTGACGAAACATACCATGTTGCGAGAATACAACTGTCGCCCACCACACCGTGAATTGTTATGAATATGTTCCAAGTTTGATGGCCACTTTACACGGCTACGTATCGCTTCATTATCTTATCGAAGTTTACAGTATTGTTATCTTATCGTCAAATGTGGCTAGTGTTTTGGGGAACCCGGGGACTTTTAAAAGGTGGAGAACAAGTCTACCAATAGGGGATGGCGGGTTTAGCATTCGCAAAAGTCCGGGTGTTAGGTACTTAGGTACGTACTTTATATACCTGGGTTAGCTTCCCACATGCTCAGTCAACAAAATAATAATGTACCTCTCTAAGTGGGGAATGGCAAGCTTGGCTGAGAAATTGCAGGGAAGGATGGGATGTGCTCATCTCACCTGGAGAAGCTGCTACTGTTGCTGGAAACGCGTCCTATCAAGTACCTAGCCCTTAGGAAACCGTCGCTCGATATTCTTTTTTTTTTTTTTCCTTTTCCAACTTTAGTCGAGTAGAATCTGCCCTACTCTACCGCAAGTTCGAGATACACTATTGGCCATCATAGCTTTGAGCGCCATCAACTTTACTTGTTTTTAGATATCCTTCTATACCCCTTTCGTTTCAATTAATCGATCTAAATCTGCCTACTTCTTGTTGGCGCGGATTACATCATTCTTCCGATTTGTTTTGTGGCTTGATCTAAATTATAATCTAAATCCCCCAAATTCACCGCAAGGCTCGAGCTCTTATCCATTTTCCACATTTCGCAAACTAATATCAAGCAAAATGCGCTTCTCTACGACCTCGGCTGTCCTCAGCTTGCCGCTGTTGGCAGTAGCAGATGTTCCTGAGTACCAAGCTCAGTTCGACAACTACCTAGGCCAAGCACAGAGCTTTCTAGGCAAGGTCGCCTCCAAGATCCCTCATCCTAATAAATATGACCCCGTCGCTGCCGCCGAGGCCAAGGCTGGATCTCTAAATGTAGACATTCTTGCCTTGGATAACTGGAAACAGACCTTATATGCGCCCGTGAAGGAAGGGAGCACTACACCTGAGGAGTGGTGGGTCCTGATCACTGGTGGAAACAAGACTTGCTTTGGTAAGGCCCTCCACATCACAATGTTGAGAAAATGGCTCGTGAATGATCTTCTAACATCTTATCAAACAGGCCACTGCGGTCCGATCGAGACTGCCTTCAACGAGACCGCCGGAAAATGGGCTGTTACGCCCGGTTCTCCGCACACCGCTATCGTCAATTGTGAGGACCAGCCTGTCCTTTGCAATTCCTGGTCCGCTCCAGTCGGCGCTGTTTGGATCTTCGAGATACTTCCCGAGCCTGCACCCGTCGATATCTGGACGAAGCGATTCAACATGACAACCGTGACTTCCGATGATATCGTCGCATTGCAGAAGGAGGGCCACAAATCCTCCACCAAATTGCACGATGGATTCTTCCACCCTTTCAATGGCCCTCTTGCCAAGAACGGTGTCGCAACTCCTGTCGGATGGGTCCTATGGGCTTTCAACCTTCTCCCTAGCTGGGCATTCATGGTCCTTGTTTCCATCTTCAGCCGAACCATGATGTAAGTTGACCTAATTAAACCACCCATAAGCGAATAGCCACTAATAGAGTTCTAGGTCCAACCGCATGGCCGGTACATCGGACAACCGACGACCTGCTGCTGCTGGCCAAGCCGCTCCCCGAAGATAATGATTATCAACCGAGGGGCTAACATTGGGGTATCTATGGTACTGACGGGCTGGTCATGTTGGGGGGATATGGGTGATGTGCGGCTGGGTATAGGGTTGCTCAAAATCGCTCCACTTTGTTCCTTTTCATAGAATTAGGTATTGGGTCGGAATCACGTAGTTAGATAATGATCTAATGAGTTGGGTTTGCGTCGTGCATTCATGTTTTGCTTTCGCATACGTCTTGGATACGCTGTAGACCATCGAGAACTTCGTTCTTTAATTTGGGATTGGCAAATCGACCGTATCGCAAGTCACTCATGTTGCCCACAGCTTGTTTGATAGATTCGAGGAGACTGGCTTCTTCCTGCTCCATGGTTTCTATTTCCCGTTCTATATCGGTGATTGCATTGTCCATGTCGGGTAGAATGGTCTGGAGGGTGTGTCGCTTCGGCTGCAATGTATTGGAAGTAGAACCGAATAACTGTCAATTGAGTCAGATGCCACGCCCCTAAACTAAACTAAATTTCGTGAAGCAACATACCATTCGCTCTATTTCAATCTCGTCATCTTGTTCTTCTAGTTCTGCCTCTCTTCTTGCCTTGATTACTTCTCGACGTAGAGCCTTGCCTTGTCGAACTTGCGCATCAATGTTTTGAGCTACCCCGTCGACTACCGCATTTCGTTGTTGTTGGAGATCTCGATATAGGGTTCGAATATGCGGCGATGCTTGCTGTGATTTAGGAAATAGAGTCGTAAACTCTTGTAAGGAAAGAATGGTAGGTAGACGAGCGGGGAGGAGTAAATAGTTGCGCAGAATGGTGGCTTCGTTTGTTGCCATTGTGTGAGGTGGTTGGGGAATTTAGAAAAGAGGAATATTTGGGGTACACAGTGATAAAATAGGCGTTTAGTAGAATTGCACCACGTATAAATAGTGCAAATAACATAAATAGCCTCAATTGATTATTCCTATAGTGATAGAGGTTATTTATGATAAGTTGCCCAGGTACTTGGAATAATTAATTAGGCGATGACGGCGTACATGTACCGTTCTGTTACGCCGGGGTGTAAATGTACAGTGGGTAAAAACACTTTAACCAAAAAAGAAAGCGCGTTAGAAAACGCGTCCGAGCTTTGGTGGGCGTTCCGCCGTAGTAACCTACCTTCTTTCCTACGCCGTGTGTCAACCACATACGATAAGATCAACCTTAATAACCTTGTTATCTCCCTAAATTCTCAATCTGCTGGCGCCGTCTCTTCTAAACTTCACTTCAAAACACACCATTCATCTATCTTTCTCTTTCCGCCGTGCCCAGATTCATATCAATCCGCCGATTTCATCAACTTAAATAATTCTTACGCTCACCTCTCCTATCATCAATATTTAAAGGTGACCCTAAGTCCGCCGATCATGGCTCCCTCACGACAGAGTCAGGTGCCGCCGTACGCCAAAGACGAGCGTGTTCTTTGTTTCCATGGTGATTTGATGTACGAAGCCAAGATTCTCGAGGTCTCCGTTAAGTCCGGTCAAAAGGCAGAGGATGCTCAGTATCGTATTCACTACAAAGGCTGGAAGAACACCTGGGACGACTGGGTTTCGCAAGATCGCATTCGAAAGTTCACCGAGGACAACAAGCAGCTCGCAAGCCAGCTTCAGGCTCAGGCTAGAATGCGAACTCAAGGTCCTAAGGGGGTGAAGAAGGGTGGCAAGGCCAACGGTTCGGAGATGAGCTCCGCTCGGGGTAGTGAAGAGCGCGCCGCGGGTTCCTCCAGCTTCGGTGGCCGAGGCCCTCGACGAGGTCGAGATTACGAACTTGAGACTGTAAGTTTTCCCTTTTCTTTTCACCAGGTTTCTCCCGCATATGGGGGACTAGGGAAGTGCAAGGCTTGAATACATCAAGACGACTACCAAAAATCTCTATCACGGAACGGCATTATCATCGCTCACTGGAATTTGGAACGACATGGTCCTTTTCGACAAACCCAATTTGCACATTAATTTTGTCCTGGATTTACATCACACCTCCCCGTCCATGTTTGGTACATCAGTGGTGAGTGGTACTTGACGGAATTCCTTGGAAAGAACAATCAAATCCGAATTTCAAGGGGATGCGGGTCTGGCAGACTAGGACCAACCGAATACCAGACACCAAGTTGCCCAGCAGCTCGCCCGACCCCTCTTTGCACAGAGAAGGGAAGAGCAACGAGATCGTCTAACTACTTGTTTTTTCAATGTATAAGGTGCTTTGGGGAAAAACACGCACCCTTCGTTTACTCTGCGTGCTGTCGTCGCCAGCCTAGTCGCCGGGCTTGTCGTTAGGGAAAATTAACTCTTATCTACTTTTTGGCCCAGAGTTGTTGTTTTCCCAGCCAACCCGAACTTTCCAAAACCTACAACCTTTCCCCCAACCTCAACACCCACCTCTGATGCCCATCCTGTGGTACCTCCATAATGGATATTCAAGCTCTGTTACAGGTTAGGATTCCCCTACCCGGTGTTCCTGACTGGGATGATTCCCAAAGCCCGCAAGCTACTTTCGTCCGAGCACATTCGTGCCCACCCTATTCTAAGGAGGAATCGCATCAGCTCAACGGCAACATCGCCAATTCCGGCACTCAGCATTTTGGAGATTCTCGTAGCAAAAAGCCTTGCGAGAATCCCACGGCACCCGTCACTTCAACGCTTGCCATCGGTAATCGCGAAGCTCCTATCGAGATTTGTTCTAACTCGGAAGACTCTCACGCCCCGCACCCAAAGACACCGCCTCCCAATAAAAGTCGTGAAGTCCCCATCGAGATTGAGCCTGGTTCGGAAGACCCTGACGAGCCTCCTTCGAAGCCCGCCGATTTCTATTCGGACGAAAGCATCAAGGCTCGTATGAAGATCTTCGAACGCAAGACTGATCCATGGATACAAGCAGCGCGGGCTAAATGCCGCCTCTCGCGGCGCCCGCCCGAATACTTATTGGACAATCCGGCTGCGTTCCTCGATTACTACATGGACTAGGACCCCACCCCGGGGCTGTAGTCCAACAAGCCTTGCACTCCCTAACCCAGCAGCTCATCGAAATCGGGCCTCGAAAGTGCTAACAACTTCCAGGAAGATGCATTCCACACCAGACCTTCTATTAAGATCATCATTCCCGATGTTTTGAAGGCGATCCTTGTCGATGACTGGGAGAATGTTACGAAGAATAATCAGCTGGTTCCTCTGCCCCATCCTCGCCCAGTCACCAAGATCCTAGAGGATTATCACGCATACGAGGTCCCGAAGCGTCCTGAAGGTTCATCTCATGTAGATATTCTTGAAGAGACCCTAGCAGGCCTCAAGGAGTATTTCGACAAGGCGCTTGGTCGCATTCTTCTCTACCGGTAATTTACCTTCCTTATCAGCCGAAGAAAATTACTAATTGTTATTAGATTCGAACGTGCTCAATACGCCGACATGTACAAGAAGTGGATGTCCGATGACCCTGAGTACCAAGGCAAAACCGCGAGTGAGACTTACGGTGCCGAGCATCTCATGCGCCTTCTAGGTAAGTCTCTTATAGATAACGCCGTAATAATCGAACCGATGTCTAACTATTTACAGTTTCCATGCCCGAGTTGGTTGCTCAGACGAACATGGACCAACAATCTGTCAATCGTCTACGAGAGGAGCTTGTCAAGTTCTGTACCTGGTTGTCTAAGAACATCACCGAATACTTCGTCAGCCAGTACGAGTCTCCTACTCAAGAGTACATCCAAAAGGCGAAGGAGTAATTTCATTATGTTTTCTCTTTTGTTACATGGCGGCGTTTTCTTTAGTCGAGGTCTTCAAAGCGGACGAGGACTTTGACTTGCTCAACACATGCCCTGGAATTTCGGAATGGTACGCATATTCAGTTCAGCTCCCCCTCGTTGTGAACACGCTGCCTCGTCTGGGCATCTGGTGTTCTAGCATGATTCACCGAGGGGACAGGCTTGTATTTGACACGAGGGAACCATATCTGGCTATCGACTGGCATTATTGCTCTTGTTGTTTATACCCGGCAGAAAAAAGTCTTTAGAAGACAGTAATAGGGAATTGCATTGTTTTTAGTTATAAGTCTTGATTGCACGTCCCCGAGTGAACTGACTTGACTTGATATCCAATTGATTGATCGACACCCAGCATGTTAAAGACGCCAATGGTGTATCATCTTCGCCATGATTCCCACAGCACTTGGCATACATAACATGGTAAAATTATTTGATGATATTCCCACCCACTAAATCATTTACATTCGCCCAAGAGCACGGCTGATCAATCCACCAACTAATGTGACCACCCGCGATACTTAACTCGGTCCGAGGTGATAGACACGATTGCGACTTTGGCATTTCAATCGCTCTAAGTCCCACCCTACATACTCTACCATTTTCCCTTCAATTGATATCATAGGCAGTCTGCGACCGTCTTAAGTTGCTTCAAGATTAATTATTTTGCGCGCTATCTCCTCATCTACTCATGCACCCATTGTAAGCGATATCACTTATCAGTTCTAATCCTACAAGTCTAAAAGATCAGAGTATGTCGCATGCTTACTTGATTACTACTATCATATATCCTATGTTCCTACGGTCACAATCATGCGAATTCTTCTAAGTCAATCAAATTGGAAATCAAGTTAGGTACCTAGGTAAGCAGTTCCGACAACTCATAAGATATCCCTCTTGAAGTACTTGCGTGATACATGAAGTAGAATCCCTATGAAAGCCACCAAGCCACCATCATCAACTCATCACGCCTGCTCAATGCCACGAACCACCTCCCACCCCAGCTCCTGGATTTTCTCTATGCCTCAAATGGCAGCCCCCAGGCCACAGTGAATTGTTGTGGGCCCGGGGGGGCCGACCATTCCCCCTTTGCTCTGTGAGTGTTCCCCCTTGAAGAATCCTATAGCATAACCCTGGATGCCCAATACCCATCTTCCAAAAAGTCCCAAGAAACACCACATCGATCACGATTCGAATTGAGATCGGCCGTCAATGGGCACCTCGTTGCCCTTGTTGCTGCCCGGCCGGCCCCTAAGTCTCGGATGTATGCATTCAGGGGCCGGCGGGCGCTCGTGGAGCGCGGAGCGAATGAATCGCCCCCGCCAGGGGTGGGTGCTGTGAGGCGTACCGGGCGTGGGTGCACCCGAGGTTCGGCTCGCCTCTCTTGTCTCTAGTACATCGCTCTGGTGGTAACGTTAGTATGGTGCGAAGGCAAATGGAAGAGGAAGCGGGATCTACTTACGGAGAAGGCCCCGAGAGTAGGAGCAGCGAGGGCGGCGCCCCGTGAAGCAAGCAGTTTAACGTCTTTACTGAGGACGCGCTGAAGCCTTTTAACGTCTTGCCCAGGACGCACGGGAATTCCCCTGGGTGGAAAGCCATGCCGTAGTTGAGTTCGAGATACTTCGATATGCCGGGATTAGACATGTCGGGGCTAGTTGAAGGGGCCTGGGTTGGGTAGGTCTTTCCCAACCCCTATATCGTCTTCGTGCTTCTTCTGTAGGTGCCGTAGATTGCTCGCTTGTCGGTGAAGCTCGGAGAATACCTCAAGGTTCCCCAAGGCGGTCAGTATTACGCCAGTTGTAACACGGTCCCGCCTCGGCCTGTACTGATTCGGTGGGGTCCTGTGACTTGATCTTGATGGATGTGGTGGAATTCAAGGGAAATATGGAGGAGTTGGGTTGATTGGAGAGGTGGATGTGGGAGGTACTAGAGCAAGCACCCCCAGGCCCACATCCATCTCATCCCCTGAGGGCCGAGTACCACAACCAATTATTAGTAAGTTAGGCTCTCTAGCAGCCAGTGAAGCCTTTTAACGTCTTTGCTTAGGACGCACCCCGGCCCAACAAGACTTGTGACCCAAGGGAGGGCTAGATTCCCTCGAGGGGAGGGGGGGTACATGGGAGATGGGGTATTGGGGGTGAAGACCAAGTCCATGATTAGATGCTGCTGGGTTCGAACGGATCGCGAGCCTCATCTGCCGGCGGCGCTCTAGAGCTTCGGTGGCCCCGGTGGGCATAATTTAGGGGTAGTAGGAGCAGCAAGGGCGACGATAATTGCGTAAGCGGTGGTTTTTGCCGCATCAGCAGCATCGGCGGTGTTGGGGGTATCGGTAGCATCGGTAGCATCGGTGGCATAGGCGGCAGATGGTTGGATTAAACGTTGGAGTTGTTTCCGAGAGGAGTGCACCAGCTATCGTGTTTCTGTGACATGTCGACAAGAGAGGCCCTTGCCAAGGCAGCAGAGTTAGGATCATGGTTAGTTAAGGTCATGGATAGGGGTAACTTACTATCACCTCATGAGAGTGAGGCAGCTCATGGCGGCTAGTGAATGGATGTACTAGGGTCTATCAGCACGCGAGGAACCGGGGGACACAACTAGGAATGTCGGTGTACTTGATGGCGATGAGCTAAAAGATCAATGATACTTACTAGAGAAAGGATGCTTGAGGAAGAGGGGATCTACTATGGCTGGTATTCCGCGAGTGTTGGATTGGAATGTAATGAAGTGCCACAAGTGAAAAGGACAGAAGCCTAGTTAGGATATAATAAGTATGGATGATGGTTGAGGATATTATAAGTGTGGAAGATGATTGAGAGTATGATAAGTATGGATGATGATTGAGAGGAGTGAAGGATGAGTAGAATGAGAGGAGTGAAGATGGGAGATGGGCCGGTATTTATAGGAATAGGTGGAGGGAGAGAAAGTATATTTCCAGCCATGATTAGGAAAGGGGAACGGAGTGTTTAGATGACTAGAAGTCGTGAGTGTCCAACTGACCTACGTGCCTTCGGAACTAAACTGTGAACCTTCAAGAAATGTTAACCTTGAGAAGTCTCGATATGGGATATTAGGTCAGGAACGTGCTCAGGACATGTGTAGAACTCGTCATAAGGAAACCCCGATAGACGTTAGGGGTAGGCCGCAAGGGAACATGAGAAGGATAGGACGAACCCAGAAAGGAACTAGGAAAGATCGTGGGATAAAGACATAGGACGAAGGAAGTTTATCCTGTGTGATGAAGGAGATGAAAGATAGAATGGAAGTCAGGGGCTCACAAAGCGAATGGGATACTGCTTGCTCCTACAAGAAATCTGAGAAAGAACGACGAGACGTTAAGGGGTATGAGTGAGTTTTAGAAGCTTGGTGCTGTTGTGTGGTATTAGAGTGACAGAAACGGCGGAGGCAGGGGAAGTGACGATTGAACGTACCCCTACAGGATATGAAGGACACCAGGCAGACACCAGGCAGCTACGGAAGCAAAGAGTGTAGAGATATCATCTTGAACCATATTCAGTGGCGATGGGAGGGCCTAAGCAGGTACGAATACCAGTTGAATCAAGATTAGGGGAAGGCTCGGCGGCTAGCAGCCTCAGTCACCTCGCCCTGGCCAGGGAAAATACGACGAGTACCTACTTACGTTACAAATTGCCTGAAACTCTAAAGATACTCGAAAGCTCGATCTACGGGCTGAAGTGGCTCAGGAAAACGTAGCTATGGATGCTTAAGTTTTCTATGCAAGAAACTTAAGATTATGGATGATAGCTGTGAGAAATTAGAGCTACATGTGGTACATGTACATAATGTAGTTACTTACATGTATTTACATAGTACGAATGCACACTCCAAGCACAACAGGCAGCTAAATAGTATTCCAATATCATACTCAAGTCAAGGAGATTGGAGTAGCCCCATGATGCATACATAGGTACCCAGGTAGCTAGTAACATAACTGGACAGGTTCTATTAGGGATGGTCGTGACATACCTGGGTACTCATGGTTGAATCCCATGAGGAAGACTAAGAGTCGACGTAGTCTCATATTAAAATATGACCATTCATAGCCTTGTGCTAAAGTTCATGCCAAAATTGAATCGAACTATGAAAGGATTGGCGTAGAAAGGGGTTTGAGGCCTCATTCCGTCTACCTAGGTACGTATCATACATAGAAACATGAATGCTCTTAGGTTTGCCCTAGGAAAATGGCAGTCTCTGATGGTATCTTGCTCGCCATAAATCCCACCTGCTAAAGACATGTAAAGTGCTGGTTCACAAGAATCAGTAATGTTCTCCTTGCATGAAGGTACCTGGGTAGTAAAGCAATCAGGAAATCAGCTACTTTGATGACAGAAGATCCTGCTGTGAATTGACTCACATCATACTGAGGGAAGGGGGCAATGCGCCTGTTCCTTACTAGAAGAATGAGGTATCTGGGTACAACTCGCCTGACAACCCCTACGTTCGCCGTTACGGGAGGCGGTGACTTCCTTATTATTTAGAGTTTCGGAATTTAAGCTTTGCCCCACTCCGTTTCGGGTTACACGATCTATCACTAATGCGGGCGCTAGTCCTAATTGGGAAAGGTCAAGCGGACGGGGTCCGCTTTTGATCGCTCTTTCCCAAGGAGCGCATGTATCTTCTTGGTGGGTGAAGACTGGAGGTAGGAATATGAAGTACACAAGCAAATTGGGAGGCTGGGGGCTACCAATATTTTAAGATTTGACACGAACCTTCTCGGAAAGCATCAGAGGTAGATTGAAGTCATAAGGCAGCTTGCCATCTTGGTGAGAGAAGTAGCGAATCTTCAGAGCAAGGCGTGGGTAGGTACTTGGGGACTTGGGGACTTGGGGTAGATACTCCTGAATTTCCATGGTCGCTGCTTGAAGGTAATCTGGTTTGAGGATGCATTATTTGGAAGATCGTGAGTATCTTAGGAAGTGGGTTCTATGGACTTAGGTATGTCGGAGATTAGTGAGGGGATCGAAAAAGAAATACCGAAAGTGCTAGATACATGCGAAAAAGAAACTCCGAATTAAGCCACAGGCGTCACCATCTAGGATTCGCTTGTACTATCCCAGTTTCTGTAACTATGGGAGATGATCTGACATCGTTGGTGGTACCTAATCAAGCGACATTCGTATATAGAGGCTAGAAGATGCTTGGTAGCTATATTGAATACTAGAATGCACTACGAAGAAGCTATGATAGAAATCCTTAGCTATTGGTATCAAACACTCCGTAGAGAAGTGCCAATTCAAATCTTGCAATATTGCTAAAGTCACGTCGATTTTTGGCCCGAGGGAGGGTCGCGACATAGAGCGCACGTTGCTGTCTTACGTTATTAGCGAAGTAAAGCATTTGCGATGATTCTTTTCGGGGGAAAGCGAGATCCCGCTTAGTACTACCAGGTCCCCTCCTCCGGGATAGTAGGCGACATACAACCAAGCCCGATAATTTCAATGGATTGGCGAAGCGGCGTTTTCCGCGCCATAGGGTAGGCACTTGAGGCATCAATGCGTATGTATGTACTCGCGGAATCGGAAGCGAGGCATTTGATGTAGATGGCGTTGGAGCTCGGTCAAAGAGGAACTCCGAACGAATATTCCCGCGGAATAACGTAGAAAAAAAAGAGGAAAATGACGATATGCAACTACCTCCGGTGTATGAATGCGACTGTAGTGACATGCTTGGCTGGCGGTCGTTCCGAGGTTCAATCTCGTGTGTACGTCTTCTCTAAGGAGGCGTCCTTGTTCGGACCTTGAATAGTACTTCTGCACACTTCCCTCATATTAAAATGATTTATCTAGGTTTATTTTATCTGTTATTTTGTATGGAATTGATAGGTCGGGAAACTGGAAAAAGACCGCCGATTGGCGAATTGACCTGATGGTTTAGGGGCCACCACTAAAGCGATGCCTCGAAACTGTGCTAAATGGAAGTTCAGAGGAGAAAGCGGGATATCTTTCCCACAGCCAATTATCCGTGCCATTAGGCCTGATGATTACAATTACGCTTCGTACGCTTCGTCCATACCATAAACCATAAGGTTCATGAAATACAACCACCGTATTGCCCGCAGAAGCAAGATATGTGTATATTTTACAGTGTTGATCGTATATACGGCGAGAACTCTAAGACCCTAGGCGCCCATATTCGCGTCTACAGGTCTTGGTAGATGGCCTCTGATAATAGGTAGCAGTAAGCCGGACTCGCGTGGTCGCAAACCTGCTAGCTTGCTGGTCTCTCTCAACCACACCCCTCCACAGGATTCCCCCTTTCCAGATTCCCTTATTGAATAACTTCATATTCCCTCTAGTCATAATAACCTCCCACTCCACCCCCGACCTATCTCCCCTTCAAACACATATCTCCCCTCTCACCCTACCGCGGCATAGCCTTCTCCAACCAAAACCCCGGCTCGGGGCGTCTCTCAGCACGCATCTCCTCGGGCGTCAACGCACGCTCAACCTCCTTCACCTTAACCAATTCCTTAACTTTCATTATCATACCCGCGGATTGCGGGGATACCGGGTGAAACACCGTTTGTGAACGCTTGCGAAGACCGAGGGCTGCTAGGACGCCGCGGGTTCGTTCTGGAAGACCGATGGATGAGCGGTGCAGGGTTATTCGGAAGAATGACATTTTGGGAGTAGTTTAGGATGTGTGTTCTGCTTCTTGACTTCTGCCTCTATGTCTGGTGTGGGTAGGTTGGTCGATTCGAATTGGAACAGATCGATTCGAGGACTAGTGGTAGGTTCGAAGGTGCCCTAGGCGATATGATCGTCTAATCGAGCGAAATAGGTGACTGTTTGATCTGTTCGCCTGATCGGCCGGGAGGTCTGTAGTTATACCCTTCCCCGCGTAAATCGGTCACCGTCTCGACTATTCGCAAGCTGTTAGTTGAGGGCTATTAATTTTTGAAAATGTCGTTGGGTAGCTAGACTGGTGGGATTGCCGGTCGGAAGTAATTTGTACGATTAGCAAAGACACCACATACGCTTTATTAATTAATTGACCCGACACTGTAATCACCCCCTCGTTGATATGGCTTTGCGAATCGGATCTCGAAATCGTCCTTTTTCTATTTTATTGCGAAGTCAAACGACAACCAACTTTTAAGTGGGGCAGAAATTGGCTGAGTTAATGGATTTGCTTATCTAATCAGGACCCTTAGACCCTTACCTATGTACAGTAGGTACCTCATAAGTTGACATACTTGAGCTTGATGACCTTCATGAACAACGTTCTAGTTTCAATATTTTAAAAATCTATATTCTTTCTATTTTGTTAATAAAATAGAAGAATTACACATTGATATACCACATCACAGCGGCACCAAAAGGTTGAATTGCGGGATTACCTAAACTCTTATGCAACCAATTAAGCTTATCGCAAATGACATCTTCAGGACCGATTTGGAAAGTCGTCACGAGTCTATTGTTTCTATTCGCAATTTGTAGCATCTAAAAGAAGTAACAAGTTTATACGACTGGTATTTTGCTTGAATCATGCGCCGACTAAACGTCCCATAGGACTCCCATGTTAAATCTTTTTCATACAAATCAGTAGACACAGCTGAATTCTAAAGGTTACCACCTCCGTTCCAGTCCAAGTTCTTGAAAAGCAAGATCCGTGTTTCCCATTTTCTGGAGCTAAATCGCGAAGGAATGCCTCTAAGTACGCCTCGGAATGCCATATCCGTCTATTTATTTCACAGAAACCTCCACTCTAGCCTCACCCACCGGTCCAGTGTTCGACAGAGTCGGGAGCAGGTAAGTAATGTCATCCCAAGGATGTCTGTACAAGCTGGTGCGTAGTCTCTTCTGGTCGAGGTAGTGAGCGATCAGACCGATGCTGCGACCCAATACGAAAAGACCGTTTAGGACACCCATCTTCATGTAGTCCTCAGCTTCTTCTTGGCTGAAAGCGCCGCAGCTCCTCATCAAGTCAACGAAGCAAACGGCAACACAACCGTCGACGTTGAGGATAAGGTTGTCCTTCTTGGAGGTGGTAACAGTCTCCACAGCCAATGCGTAGTCCAAAAGCTTGTGGCTAGGGAACTTGGCTAGGACGTATTCCTTGACCAACTCGACACGAAGATCCGGGTTGTTACGCGACTTGATACGGTGGCCAATACCAGGGATGAGCTTGTTTTGCTTGCGCATGCTGTCGACGAATTCACGGGGGCTAAGACCGTTGTCGGCAGCCTTGGTGAACTCCTCGGCGGCACCATCAAGAGCACCACCGAATCGGGAACCAATGGTCAAGAGACCAGAGACCAAAGAGCTGATAAGATCCTTACCAGCTCGGGTAGTGATGATAGTGTTCATGGCACCAGAGACCGCAGGACCGTGGTCAGCTGTAAGCATGAGAACCATCTCAAGGAACTTGGAGGCGTAGTCGGGCAGACGGCGGCGGAACCATAAGAGAGACATGACACCACCAATACCGATATCCTCTCTGAAAACGTCCGAGATGGGCATACCAGCGTACAGGAGTTCCTGGCCACGGTCATCGGAGATAGTGGAGATGAAGGCAGCAGGCTTTCGGATGAGACCAAGCTCCTGGGCCCATGAGTAGTCGATGGGGATCTTGGGAACGACGGGCTCGGGTTGGGGAATGATGGTCTTGTCCTGAACAAGCTTCTGGTAGACCTGGGCAAGAACCTGGGGAAGGTCCTCGAAGGTCTCGGGGACGTGGATACCAGCCTCCTTCATCTTCTTGTTCTTCATGGCAGCTGTCTCAAGCTGGGAGTTGGCGAAGGAACCAGCGTGACCGAATTGGACCTCGGTCTTGAACATGCTTGCGCAAGTACCGATAGCCCATGCGACAATGGGCTTAGTAATAACACCTTGCTTCACGGCATCAATGACCTTGTATTCCTCGACACCACCGACTTCACCCAATAACAAGAGAATCTTGCATTCGGGGTCGGCCTGGTATCTCAGCATGTGGTCAATGAATGTGGTTCCCGGGTATCTGTCACCACCAATGGCAATACCCTCGTACACACCGTCGGTGTTTTGCGAGATGATGTTGTTCAACTCGTTGGACATACCACCGGACTTGGAGACGTAACCGACTGAACCCTTGCGGTAAAGCTTGGAGGCAACAATGTTGTCCATCATACCACCAGTGTTACCAATCTTGAAGCTACCGGGCTTGATACCACCAACAGTGGCGGGGCCAATGATGGTGACGCCCTTTTGCCGCGCGACATGGGCAATTTCTCGCGCACGCTACGTTGTACAAATGTCAGCATAATCTATAGTACCCCAACGTGTTGGGGCAGCTTATCATGGTTGCTTACTCGTTCAGGGACACCTTCTGCGATAATGGCGATAGTCTTGATTTGAGGGAATTGCATCAATTCCATAGTAGATTGGTAGACACTTCGCGAGGAAGCAAAGTTGACTACTACGTCGACATCAGGGTGCTTGGCCACTGCCTTAGCCGTCTCCTGGTAAACCGGGAGAAGAGTCTCGCTGGTTCCCCAGTACATCTTGCTGACGAACTGACCACCGAATGTGTAGATGATGCCGGCGACTGAGGGGGTAGGTCGCTTGCAGATGAAGTCGAAGTCCAGCATACCCTGGACGGCTCGATTCTGTAGACCGTAGACGAAACATCTCGTCTTGCTGTTGAAGATGGCATGGGCGGGGAGAGGGCTTAGGGGTCGGCTGGGAGCTGCGAAGCGGGTGATGTTGTCGTTAGCGGACAACCCGCCACTCGCGGCGCCATTGACACCGTTGGTCGAAGACATCGTGGTGGTGGTGAATTGTGAATTTCGCAAAATTTCTCTAGAAGTTGATAAGAATTGAAAGTTAGCTTGGGGATGCTGTCATAATCTTGTTTTTGACACAGGCCATGAAGGATGCAGCTTCACGAATGGAGCATAAACTATTAACACGAATTTAGGAATTTAGGGCCAGGACGAGGCGGTGCAATTGGGCTTTCCTAGTAGTTTTCTAGAAATCCAAACGACCCGAGTCCATTGCTATATTCGAAGGATTTAGGAAGCCCTGCCAGCACCGGAGCTGAACAAAAGCAGTCGAATCTGACCACCGTAGGATCGGACCAACATGGCTGGCGCTGCGAATAATAGACCCTAAGGAATAGTGCCTGGAAGATGGAATATGGAATATGGGGAAAGGAAAGGAATTGGTTTCAATCCGACATACCTCGGAACGGATTAAGGATTCAGTCGACCACCTTGAAATCTAGTCGCACCGGATACTATTCAAAGTATTAGATGAGGTTGCGAACACGATGTGAATGGCAGCGTCGCAAAAGAGAACGAGGGAGAGTATGTGCAATTGAAGGTGTAAGATAGTGGGAGGAAAGCGGGAGGGGACGTTTTTGGTGAGCTTTGACATTAATGGGGATTATTTTTGCTTGGGTAAGGAAATAAAGTGAGCGAACCCAGCTCGATATGATCCAGTAGGTACGACCCACCCCCAGCGAATGCTTAGGTGCTCTCTCCAGGCTTTCTAGGCTCAGCAAGAACACCACAAAAACGCTCTAAAAACGTGCTTCTTTTTAGAAGGTTAAGGTTGTAATAACACACTAAACATAACTGAGACGTTGATAATGAATTGGATAACTGTAAAATTATACGTACCAGGTTATTTTGATTAGTATCAAAATTATAAAGATAGAGAAATGGGAAAAAAAAGTAGTAATGGCAATTGAATTGCTTCCTCTCTTTTTTTTTTTTTTTTCTTCTTTCCCGTTTCTCTGCGGCGGAATAATTTTTTTGTGGTTGCTATCGCGACGTAAAAGAATCCACAAGAATGTCCGGTAAAAAAAAAGGTCTCGATCGGATTAGTTGGGGTAAATTTTATGAGTTCGTTGAATTGAATTGGGACCCCTTTTTCTTTGCCAGCGTCGACGGGCTGCAAACTATTTTGTCGGTGTTGCCCTGTTGGTCTAAATGTGGTACATTCTTTGGGCAATTTTTGGCTTCGAACCGTCTATGGCCCTGTTGATCCTGCACAATCCTGCTCTATTGTTGACGAGGGGTGGACAAGGTGGGCATAGTGGGCTTTGGAGGGGCATTAACTGGTTGGGCGGTACCAGGATTGTATCCCACCCCACCCCACCAGCCCGCCAGCCCACCTCAGCATCGAGCATACTGACATATCGAAGAGGTAAGGAAGTACCTGGCTGATGTTTCCCGTCCCCGCTCGTTTTCGGCCCCATAATCTCATTTTCGCGTACCGGTACCTCGGGCCTTAACACATCAGCTTTCTAATATCGAACCCTCCATCAACAATCGATGTGGATGTACATCTCGTCTCATTCATCTCACATCATCCTACCTGAAGAAACAGCACGGGTGAGTCGGCTTCTTCTCATCTTCTTCCATATCCATATCAGCAAAATGTTGTGTATCAATAACCGTGAGGTATAAGACGGCAATTAAACCAAAACAAAACCCACGATAGTCATTAAAAACTATTGGGAAAAATTGAAACAATATCAAACCCGGACTCTCATCAAGTCTCGTCTTGGGATGGCTTACCAACTACAGCAATTCTTCGTACCACCTTCAACTCGAATGTGATCTGCTGTAACCCCCCTTAATGATCGGCCCACCCCTACTGCTATGTTATCCGGAGAATAACAAGTAAGAGCGTCGTCAATTGGCATATTGGCATATTGTCATCCATGGATATTTTTGCCGGATAGTCCCCAGTATCCAACTCCGAAGCACCTGAGCACAGTTGGATCACGGAAGTTTCTCTCTTTGTGCGACATCCCACGGCCGCTAGCTACCTAGGTAGCAACCCTTGGATGTGACTAAGATAATAGGATGTAATATCGATGGGTATTCGCATCATCAATTACTCCGTATTTAGATACTCGCCGCCTGCACTAGCAATGGGATCTAGGGGATCTAGGACGATTAAACGCTTCCAACCCAATCGAATGCTAGCATAGCATTAACTTATGCTATGCTGTGCCTCGAAATAAGCCGAACGATAAGCCTGATTTGCCAATAATAATAATTCAGGATCGGTCCAGGCCTTGATAGGTAGGAGGATGTATTATGTAAGATCTGGCCGAAGAACAACGATGAGGATGACGACCGATACTACTATACTACGCTACACTAGTAGGTAGTACTATAGTATGTATCTCGGAAGTTGCTGCTTCAGGAAGTCAGGCTCATTTATTCTAAATGATAGCGGGATGTTTCAATGATCTGAGGGTTATCTTTTCAATAGTGAATCTTCCTAATTGAAAAGGAGGCGTACGTGTACGGCTGCGTTGATGTCTCAAATTGGCAGTATAGTGTAGCGTAGGTAGCGTGCGTAGCGTGTTAACGTTGTAATAAGTGAGATAAGAAAAGAGAGAAAGGCATGGAGATAAAGTGGGATAGGTACCGCTGCAGGTACCTTGGTATGAAAGTACCTGACTATACTCGTGTGGATACTGGTGTTGGATGTTGGTGTTGGGGTACCAGTACATCATATCCTCCGGTTGCTGACGGGACCACCAGGGTCTCCCCAAAGGTTTTGATGTGATAGCGTCTCCCCGTACACTACCATCGTTTAGCGCCCCTCCAAAACTCAATTCGAGTATCCACACGCACCAAAACGCACCAAAAGGTGGCATGTCCATGTAGAGTTTAGTTGGGTGCAGCCACAGCGATACCTTAGCCTTGTGCCGAAAAAAAAGTTGAAATGTCGGGTAGTTTTCCAGGGGTCTTGGGAGTAAGAAAGGGAAAGAAGCACAGAAAAAAAAAGAGGGAACCGGACCTGGACCTAAGACTGGTGGGAGCTTCGTTGCTGCACCACCTCCACTAACTGAACCACCACCGCACCGCATCTCTCAAGAATTTCTAATTCTTGTTGTTGACATTGTCGCCTTTGCCAATTCAATTTCTCTTAATTTTCTCGTTTGAATCGGAATTTCGAAAATCCCACATTCGAGAGAGATTCAATTGCGAAAGAAAAGGTAAGCAAGGAATAATAATAAAAAAGAAGAAAATAGAGGAAGAGGTGGGCATTGCTCAATCCCTCACTCCCATAGGGCCTGGTCGTTGGCACCAAATCCTACATGTATCCTCGCCTTTCAGCTCCGGACCTTGATAATCCAAATTTGGTCACTTCCTCTTCCACACTTGTGATTCCAACTTGGAATTATAGAAAAGAATACAATTGCTGATTTTCCCTGTTTCCTAGCAACGATTAACAAAGGACGGAACTCAACACATACCTCTCTCGCATCATAACTTTTTCCCCTCACCACCACAAGAATGTCCGCCAAGTCTATTTTCGAGGCCGACGGCAAGGCCATTCTCAACTACCACCTTACTCGTGCTCCCGTTATCAAGCCGAGTCCTCTTCCCAAGCCGACCACGCACAACCCCCCGCCGAGATTAGCCTCGCTCTACTTCCCCGAGGACGCTGATGTCAACGCGGTGCTAAACCAAGCCGAAATCACCTACCCGTGGCTGCTTCACGCCGGCGCCAAGTTCGTTGCGAAGCCTGACCAGCTGATCAAGCGACGAGGCAAGAGCGGTCTTCTTGCTCTGAACAAGACCTGGCCCGAGGCGAAGGCTTGGGTTGCTGAGCGTGCGGGTAAGGTGCAGAAGGTAGAGCACACAGAAGGTGCTCTGCGCCAGTTCCTCGTCGAGCCTTTCGTGCCTCACCCGGAAGGTACCGAATACTATATCAACATAAATTCAGTCCGAGATGTAAGTGCAGCTTTTTTCCTTTTTATGAATGCATATGCGTTGTTTTGTCGAGCTTTGATTTATGCCCGATGCATTCCCCCTCGTCGGTCAAATGGTTTAGTCGCGGTTGGCCCCCAATATGGGGTAAAATGTCCGTGCAACTCATGGAGACGAAGACGACGAAAAGGAATAAAAACAAAATTTGGAGTGGAAAAGGGAAGAATGCGATATGTTTTGCAGCAAGTTCGGATGGGGGTGATGTGTTCTTATCTCGAGGAATGTGTGCACCCGACTGGTAGCTGCCGCGTTTTTTATTCGATTCGGGAGTTCAAGACCGATCCGGTGCTCACGGGCGAACGGAGGCTAAACCACATGCACTTCTGTTGCATCCACTTTCACCCACTTGCCGCAACCATACAATCGCAGAGTTACCCCTAGATCACTATCAACAGCCAATCATTTACAAAATATTGAATACTGTTTACTGACTTTGCATCGAAATTTGATAGGGCGACTGGATTCTATTCACCCACGAGGGTGGTGTTGATGTTGGTGATGTCGATGCTAAGGCCGAGAAGCTCCTCATCCCTGTCGACCTTTCACAATATCCCTCCAACGAGGAGATCGCCAACACGTTGTTGAAGAAGGTTCCCCAGGGTGTTCACAATGTTCTGGTTGACTTCATCACCCGCTTGTACGCCGTCTACGTGGACTGCCAGTTCACCTACCTTGAGATCAACCCCTTAGTCGTCATCCCCAACGCCGACGCCACCTCCGCTGATGTCTTCTTCCTCGATCTTGCTGCTAAGTTAGATCAAACTGCCGACTTTGAGTGCGGTGTCAAATGGGCTATTGCGCGATCCCCTGCTAACCTTGGTATCACCGCTGTCTCGAGCGCGGGTGACAAGGTTAGCGTCGATGCTGGCCCACCGATGGAGTTCCCTGCTCCTTTCGGCCGTGAGCTATCTAAGGAGGAAGCCTACATTGCTGAGCTGGATGCTAAGACTGGTGCTTCCTTGAAGCTTACCGTACTAAACCCCAACGGTCGCATCTGGACTTTGGTTGCTGGTGGTGGTGCCTCCGTCGTCTACGCCGATGCCATCGCATCTGCTGGTTTCGCTGACGACCTCGCCAACTACGGTGAATATTCCGGTGCTCCTACTGAATCTCAAACATACTACTACGCCCGAACCGTATTGGACCTGATGCTCCGCGCTCCCATGAGCCCCAAGGGCAAGGTTCTGTTCATCGGTGGTGGTATTGCCAACTTCACAAACGTCGCTTCCACATTCAAGGGTGTCATCCGGGCACTCCGAGAATACGCCAAGCAACTTAACGAGCACAACGTCCAAATTTGGGTGCGTCGTGCTGGTCCCAACTACCAGGAGGGTCTTAAGAACATGAAGGCCGCCACGCAAGAACTCGGCCTAAACGCCAAGATCTTCGGCCCTGAGATACACGTTTCCGGTATCGTCCCTCTTGCGCTCGTCCCTGGCCGATGGGAAGAGAGCAAGCTCCAAGAATTCCAGGGTTAAGCGCCATTTGAGTTGTATAAGTCATATTCCCCTGCTTACTTAGGTGTAACGGACGTGCAAATATCGCAATGACGGAATGGTTTTATAGGTGGCTACCTAGTCGCGGTTATGTACACTGAAAATTAAAGATTTAGATCTAGTTAACCTAGGCCTTGATCATTTGAGCATGGAGCCAGAATGGGTGGCTAGTTCAGCTAGTTATAGAGGCGTCTTCAAGAGAAAAATAAAATAGAGTGGCGTCATTTCTGCCTTCCTTTACTTCTGCCTACTTGCGATCAATCATGAACAACTTGAATGTTCTATTCAGTAAATACTAGAATGTCACCTACGTGAGCTTGTTAGTGAGTGGCACATATGACATATCTTCTTTTCAGTCCTCAAAATACGACCGATCTTTACACTGAACGCTACAATCTCACATTGATACGTCTATAATGGCCACAGGCATTACTTCAACCTACAAGTCATCAAACACCATACCATCATAACAACAAAGCTCCAAAAGTTACACGCTATATTATGATGCGACTACGTACCTGGTTACCTCAGGTAGTACCAAAAAGCAAAATGCAAAAAAACGCCATGGTTGTGAAAATTCTCAACACACCTAGCAGACCTTTACCCCGCCTATAAAACACGTTCCCAGTTCATATACATAATAAGAGACGACGCCGACCTACAGCATCAACACTCCGAACACCAGCGCGATACTCATCGAAAATACACCTATCGCTGCGCCCGTCGCGGGTCCGCAGTGATCGTGTCTGGCTTCGGATTTCGTGTTCGGGGTTCCTGCGCCTGTAGATGAGGGCGAGGGAGAGGGTGAGGATGTAGGTTGATTTGGAACGCTTGTGGGTGACTGCACTGAACAAGAACCAGCACCGCCGATTTTGCTCCCGATATTCGCGACTACGGCTTCCGAATCTCGTAGTGAAATACTGGCTATCCCGATACTGGCAACTTGAATCGCATGTCCGTTATCCGCGACCGTCATCGGTGTGCCGTTGGGGTCGTGCTCGAAGCTTAGACCGTTCCATGTCGTATTCGATTTCGCGTCCGCGCCGGAGTTCGATAGATAAGAAAGATATAACGCTTTACCGGCGAGGGAAGGGGGGAGTTGTAGTTGGACTGTGGTGGTGTCCCGCTGTGCTTGTGTGGAGTTGGCTATTTTACCGTTGATAATGACGACCGAGGCGAGGGTCTGGTTTGCGTATACCGGGTACGCTCTGATATAATCTTGGTACCCAGACGGGATCTGCGTGGGCTGGAGCTGCGCGACGGAGACTTGGCTAGGGCAGGAGGATCCGATTACTTGGTCGAACGCCGCGATACCATAGTAGAGTGGTCGCACGTGCGGTTGTTGCCCGTACATAGCGATGGGCTGCCACGCGCTGGCGTTCGAATTGTCCGTCATGTGGAAGCCGATCGAAGTGATGTTGAGACTCGCGGTGTAGAGAAGGAAATTCAAAGTCCAGATCGCGGCGCCGAAGACATCGGTTACACCTTCCAAGCCGATAGGCCCGACGACACCCATTTCGCGCAATGCGTAGGAGTATGAGGTTTGCTGCGCTTGGCTGACTTGTTGTGCCCACGCTGCGAATTGGTCCTCGGTTGTGTGGAGATTCACGAGGTGTTCTAGGGATACTGGGTACCCTGAGATTGTCAATCTGGAAATCTGTACCTATTGTGGATGCGGTAGCGGCGGCTTCGAAGAAGTCACTTGTCATGTTGCGGGGCTGAAGGACCTGTTTGTATATCGCGGAGGCTCTGTCCAGCCACTGTTGGGTGCACACTTTTCCTCCCCAGCTACCGGTCTGAAATTCGTTTTGTAAGTACAGATCTGGCTCGTTACCTATCTCGAATGAGGTAATGGTCAGATTTGAACATTTGGAAAGAACTTGTTTCGCCATCGTCGTGATCTGGTCGATATAATCGCTCTGTTCATACGCTAAATTTAATCCCCAGGTGACGGTGGCTCCTTTTGGGAACCGGTTTGCCGCTTCGAAAAACCGAGGCCCGATCAACATACTATCAGGCTTGAAGGCTCCCTGTCCAGCCGGGGCTTGATTCTTATTCCACGCCCAATCACTTTGACTTTCCCTGTAGATCATATAGTCCTGAGTATTCCCTCCGATTCGAATATGAGGCGGTTTTCCCGCATACCCTGCGAGGTTATTAAGGAGGTTGAGGGTGACATTGTTTGTTTTCTCTTCACCCATAAATGAAAATAGGTTCGAGGGCTCTATGCCGAAACCTGCAAATGCGGGATCTATCTGCATAGAAACACCCTTGGGAGGACTTGCTGAAGGTTCAAGCTTGATGACGTCCTCTGTAGCTGCAAGAGCAGCGCAAAATAGCAGGCGAAAAACAATCCTGATGCTGGTTAACCACATTATGGTTCCGTGTTTATGCATGAAGACAACAAAAAGAGTGATGGAGCAAATTGAGATACTGCACTGCAAAATAAAGAATGAGGAAGATAGTAAGATATCTAACAACTCACAAGATATATGGTCAAGTCTTGTTCTTCATAGCGCCTTATAAGAGACGCTACGCAAGGGGCAAACACGTAGAATTCCCTGTCAACATTGTACAAGGTAGATTTGTCAAACTCCTCGATGACGTTGTGTCGAGATGAGACATGGATCCCATAATTCATGTTAAAGTGTAAATTTCCGGGAATTGCCCGTCGGTGGCCACGCATGACTGCATCTTCAAGGAAAATTTGTTCCGAGATAGCTGTCGTTGTCAACGGGATGTAATGTCATACACGGGAAGCACAGACAGTCAAGAGGAGTAGAGGGTGAAAATATTGGCCCCTAGAGTATGTCAATAGCACGAGCAACATATGGGTTGTCATAACTTTGGATGATCCTAATATATGAGGATGTTAAGACGGCAGGAAAACGGAGTGAAACGGTAATTCTGCTTAGAAACTGAGAGTTACGGTCGCACGACTCACTACCTAAGCACGCTCCACTACCGTGACTAAGGTGGGATAAAGCTGAATTCTCACGGTTTCTGACTGTTAAAGCAATCCTAGAAAATACAACACCATTTACACCATATATATCATTCATTGCAACAGCCTCTTAACTTACCCGCCTCAACTTTTGTGGCACTCATCTGCCCTGAAATTGGCCTTAGCCCTTGGTCCATTACATAATAATAACTACCGACGAATGGTTCATATTAACTGAATGGTATATTTATGTCGACCTCCCGTCAGGCTTCCAGAGCAGAGACCACAATCATACCCGCAAGATCCTTCATACAAATGCTTGTATCGAGTAAATCGGGCATGCTAATATTAACACCGAATGACTTATAGAGCCAATTTCGCAGCTCAGCTGCGATGAGGCTATCAATACCGTAAGCGGCAACTGTCTTGGTTGGGTCAATGTCTATGATGTCAATCAATAGCATCTTTGCTACCGCTCCTGCAATGGCGCTGGTGACTATGGTTTCAATATCAATGCGATTCTCTGGGCCCTTTGCAATTGCGTCATCAAAACTTGATCGGAGTTGCGTGACTTCATGACTCCCCGTCTTTGCCTCAAAGTTGCCGTCCTCCTGAATTCTTTCAGCGTCACTGGCAGCGCGAATTATTTGAATTACTCGAGGATCACTGTACCAGCGCGGAGTAGGGTCCCCAATGCTATCCTGTTTAGCATATCCTGCCTCTCGTCTTGCGTTGGCCATACGTCTGGGATCGAGGCAAGTAATAATACTGGCACCCGAGAGAGGATCGTCATGAGCGCCGTACCAATTTTCTATCTCGTCATTAGTGGATCCAACATGGTCATTGATGAATGCTAGTTCTAGCAGCCGCAAAAAGTCGTACTCGGTTATACTAAGAACTCTATTACGAGCCATGAGCGCCCGTGCCACATCGTCCGTGCTTAACGGTCCTACGTCGGTTACAAGTCCGCAGGATACAGTGGAGGCTTTTAAGCCGAGCCTTCGTCGATAACGAGCAAACATCTCCTGGAAATTATTGGCTGCTGTATAAGCGCTTTGGGTAGCGGGTGCTACTACGGATGACAACGATGTTATCATAATAAAATAATCAAGTGCCAGAGCCATGGTACTTTTATGCAGATTCACTGTTCCTTGAACCTTGGCTGCTAGGCCTGCTCTCCACTGCTCCCCAGTAAGCTTGTCAAATGACAGGTCCTGAAGGGAGACAGCAGCGTGGACGACGCCTTTGATGTTTAGCCTCCGTGAATACTCCATCACGACTGACGATACATCATCAGCAATGCTGATATCGCATTGGACGGCGTGTACTATGACTCCTATAATTTCTAGCTCGCATACAAGCTGCTGGGCTTCAGGAGTGTTGGTTCCGCTTCTCGAAAGGACGAGGAAATTTCGGGCACCATGTTGCGTCATCCATCGAAGTATGCTTCTCCCAAGACCTCCCATGCCTCCAGTGACTAGGTAGCAAGCACTAGTATCGAAGACAATCCTGGGAATGGCCGGTACTCGTTTAAGAAGCGTATCTGATTGTTGGAAGGTGATAACTAGTTTTCCAATATGGATCCCTTTAGAGAACTCAAGTAGAGTCCGGTCAAGAGTCGATATATCTGAAGTTGACATAGGCCGAATAGGACTGATGAGCCCCTTTCGACGATACGCCTCTGTTGACTCTAAAAGGTCGTGGCCCAATTTTGGATTAGTGTCGATGACATCTGCTAGATCGAAAGAGGAAAAGGAAGCGCATTTTTGAAAAAGCTCTAGACCGATTGACATAGAGTTCTGCACATCAACTCGGCCCACGTCTATATACGTTCCCAATGGAGCAACGAGTTTAACCGATTCGTGTAGCATGTCGCCTATTGCAGTGCCGAGTATCACGTCGAACCCTTTACCGCCGCAAGCGTGCATAAGTTTGGGGAATTCCTCAGCGCTGCGCAAGGAAAATACGTGACTGGCTGAGATGCCCACCTCATCGATGAGATGACGCATCTTCTGAGGCGTTCCAGCTGTTGCGAAAATCTCGGCCCCCTTTAGACGCGCAATTTGAATAGCGGATAGCCCAAGCCCGCCCGTGGCCGTTTGGATTAGGACTTTATCACCCGCTTTCAATTTTTTGATATGGTCAAATGCGTAAATGGAAGTTGCATATACAATCGGGATAGTCGCCATCTCAGCAAGGTCGTCGTCTGGCTGTAATCGCTGAATCAATGCTTCTGGTGTGCGTACGTAATTGCCGAAATGACCCTTAGCAAAGCCATACACTCTGTCGCCCGGTGATAGTCGTGCTACCGCCGGACCAACTTTGTCGACGATGCCTGAGAATTCGGATGAACAAAAATTCCTGTCCAACTGACCAGAAGCCACAGCAAGGTCTTTCCAATTAAGGCCAATAGCGGCTACTTTAATTTGGACCCAATCATCCGCCGGAAGGGGCTTCCATGATTCCTCGTCAGGTTTGAAGTATAAGGATGTCAAGATTCCTGGCGTCTCAAAATCCGCTCGGACGGGTTCGTTGCAATCATAAGATAACATCTCTGTCCGATTTGCAGGCGTTTCGATTATCTCGTAATAGTTCCTCATCTTGTTATCTGGTACTATTCGGCTGGCCCAGAGGCACCCTTGTTGCCAAACATACTCGCGCTCTATCCTCGTGTCAGCATCGATTTCTTGGAGGGACAACTCCTGGTTAACGATTGATTCTGCTAGATTTGGGTCCCTGGGATCGCTATCTGGATCTATATCGATGAACTGGAATTTCGCGGTTGGGTTTTCCGTACCAATGATGCGCAACAAGCCGGCTGCCACCCCAGCACTAGGGTCAAATCCTTTGACGATCCCGCAACTGGTTACGCATATCATCGTTGAGACATTCCTAATAATATCCTGGAAGATTTCGATGAAATTATCATCACCATTAATAAATGGAGCACCAGCGTCTAGGAAAGCGATGATGCGGGGACAGAGTGGGACAGATCCATATGTGGCGAATCGAGTTGGTTTGAGCTTGACCTGACGCCGTTCGAACTCTTTAGTTAACGGAATCAAAAACTCAGGCTCATTTTTCCCATATAAAAACAGAACCTCGGCTTCGGGCTCGTGGAAATTGGTGTTGATATCATCTACTGGTACAGATGTGGACATGATGGTACAAGTGGTCGCATATGGAGCAGGATGGTCGTTGAGGACAATATCTGTCCCAGAAAATCCGGCCGCCTTTAACGACATGTCCCAGCCCTCAAGACTGAGGAACGGGCTCTCAATGCGCCCGTCTGAGATTCCGCTCCAGTATCCCGGGAGAGTCCCGAGTACTAGACCATAACCAGTTACCGTTCTGATGTTCTCAACCAGAACTAATCGTCCATTGGGTTTCAAAAGCTTTCGGCAATTTTCCAGTGTCTTAATGATGCACGAGGTAGCGTGAAGGCATTCTGATGCAACGACTAGGTCATAAATTGGTTGAAAGCCGTTGGCGAGAGGGTCCTCTTCAATGTCCAAAATAGAAAACTCCATATCCTGGTGACTTGAAAGTGACTCGTGGGCTGCTGAAAGGAACCCCTTTGAAATGTCCGTGAAGGTGTAGTGGCTATAATGCTTGATGCCATTGGGGCCGGTCAAAGCTTCCATTATGACGCGAGTGGCACCGCCCGTCCCGGCTCCAATCTCAAGGATGTGCAAATGGGGCTCGACGTAGGCAATGGATTGGAATAGTCTATGGACCTGTGTATAAGCACCAGTCATGAATACTCCCTCTTCATACAATGAGGTCAGTAATCCACTTTCGACAACCACATCGAGACCGGATTTGTTCCCGTGCAAGATATCGCCGATATTCTCGAAGACTTGCTTTGCTATTCGTACCTCCGCGTAGCAATCGGTTTCTCGAACAATCTCCGCCAGCTTATTCTGGCGCTCCGATTTCGACAGTGTTTTCGCCTCCAACATGTAAGCTGTTTGATCTGCCATACGTTGGCGGACCCATGACGTGAAGTAATTTATGTCTTCCGAGGTATTTGGTAGTACCTGTCCTGAGACATAGGTATCGAATATTTCAGCAACAATTAGGTTGCATAGTCTGTCGAACACGTCGAAGAGATGAGTCTGGTTTGCATTCTTCGGCGGAGTTTGAAATATTACCGCAGCCTGCGAGTTGTTCATGGTGCGGATATCGGGCTTCCAGGTCAATCTCGTTACTGGAGCAGCAAATTTTGTGTTCAGGGAGCTAGCTAACGACGTCTCTCCGTGTCGGGTGCAACATAATTGCGTTATAGTCATTGCCACATCACCGGAATCGTTCCGCATCCGCAAGTTGGCGTAAGCCCCTCGAAGACCTCGTAGGTCGCCGGTAGCTGAAGCAATCCCAGTAGAGCCGGATATGTTACTCTGCAGATACATTTCCTCTATGCGAGTTGGCAGATATGCGCTTTTGACTAGGTCGATCTGGCCACCGTGACAGGCAATGAGGCCCAATTGGAGGATAGAATCTAGCGATGCTGGGTGAAGCGCATACCTAGACGCCTTCTCGCCTACATTCTCCTCTTTTGCGGCATCCAATGCGACCTCGCCCGCAGCAAGCTTCCGGACAGGGTCGGCCCGAACCGTATGCAAACCCCGGAATGATGGGCCATATTGCAGCCCAACATTAGCAAAAGTTCTATACCATACGCCAGTATCAAGGAGTCTAGCGTCCACCCCGACCGCCGGCTCTACGCTAGGTTCTCTAATACGGTTATACACTCTTATTCTGCCTGAGCAGCATTCGGACCATTGCTCATTGTCCCGAGAAACCGAAGTAATAGAAAAGCTCATATAAGTACCTTCGGTAAGGTCCAGACTGGTAATTACTTCCACGCCGTAGTCGTCTTCCGGAATCCGCAACATAGTATTGAATATAACATTACTGAGCAAGAATCCTTGTGGTAGACGTGTATAATTAGATTCGGAATACACTTGAGAAGCTACTTCGACCGCCATGCTTATATAACCGGCGGCAGGGAACACGACATCTGACGCCAAACGATGGTCGCCCAGCCATTGAATGTCTTTTAGACGAATTACATTGCGCCATTGCGGCTTGAGGTGGGTGCATCCAGGTATCTTTGAGCCGACTAGATCGTGCCTTGCAATGTTACGACGGCGATACTCCCTACTGGGTCGACTTTCGTAATACTGTATGGGCCCGTACGAGTACTTATACGGTGGGAGATCCAATGATGTACAGCCATGTACAAGGCTTAGGGTGCCATTAGGATCGATTTCGTCGGTTGAATTGACCAGCGCCATATCGATATGAGCATTCAAGCAAAATAATGTTCCTGCTAGACGCAGTAGAGACATTTGGCAATCTTCCCCTCGCGTGAGACATGGGATATATGGTATCTCCAATCCATAACTCTTCATGGCCTGGGTGACGGGGCCTTTGAGGGCAGGATGCGGCCCAACTTCGATGAAGGCGTCTGTCGTACCACTTTCCGAACTGAAGGTTTTCGCTATTGCTTCGAGAAACCGTACCGGACTTTCCAAATTTAACCTCCAATATTGAGGCATATTGTTGATATCTTCTATATTTTTCTCAGGATAAACGGACGAAATCCAGGCTGCTGCCTGGTGTTTCTGTCTCCCGTCAACTAGCCCAAGGTTTGCTGCGCGAGCAAGGGCCTCGGATAACATGGTCTCGTATTTGTGCCCGACTTGGCGCATATGATGGGAGTGGTAGGCTGCTCCACCTGTTCGAAGCAAGCGATTGAATATTCCCCGGGCATTGAATTTTATAGCAAGCTGTTCTATAACCTTTAAGTCGCCACTGAATGTAACACTACTAGGGGAGTTAATAGCGGCTATTTGTACTCCGTCTTGTGTTTCCCGAATATAGGTCATAGCCTCATCAAATCCCAGGCCAACTGCAAGCATTGCACCGTCGGTAATGCTCGCTAAGATGCTTCGACCACGAGTAAATGCTGTTAGGATAGTCTCGGTGAGAGTTGTGCGGCCGCATGCATACGCGGCAGCTATTTCACCCGATGAGTGGCCAACAACTACGGTTGGTCTCACACCCCACGATGCTAGTAGATCCGTCGCGCCAACTTGCACAGCAGTACAGACAGTCTGTGATATTTCTGGCTCGTGGATGCGTTCAGGTTCGCAATCCCCAGCAACGATGTTTTCGATCTTCCATGCGGGTGGATCTGAAACGGTCGCGAGGATGTAATCCATATATACAATGGATCTCCGGAATATTTCGTATTGAAGCAATTGGGCCCCCATAGCGTGCCACTGTGTGCCTTGCCCTGTAAATACGAATCCCAACCTTGGAATATCCGATCCAGAAACACGCTGGGAATGTTCGCTTTTAAGAACTAGCCCTGGTTGCACTTTCTCCCTTTCCACAATGCAATAGGCTCGCTGACCGAATATGGTTCGCTTTGCTGATAGTGTATATGCTATATCTGCGAGACATGATCTGTCTATGACTCCAGATAAAGCAGCGATGTTTAATTTCAACGAGGCATCGTTATGCGCTGATAACGGCAATATTGTGAATCGGCGAGTAGCAGCATCGGCCTTTTGAACGACGTTTGGGACAGCCGAAAGGGGGTAGTGTATCAGCATATTGCCGGGATAGCAATTAGTGCCGTTGGCGTTGATGCACCCAGCAGGGCTGCGAGTAGCCACCACTCCGGGTTTCACGTAATTAGGGAGCAAGATGTTAACATGGTCGATGATACAATGGCCGTTGGCACCGCCATATCCAAAGGAGTTGATGGAAGCGCGGCGAAGTTGGCCAGCAGGCCACGGAATAGCGTCCGTGACCACGACAGCCCTGGCCTTCTGAAAGTCGATTTTTGGATTGGGAGTTATAAAACCGACGCTGGGTGGTATAACTCCCTTTTCAATAGCCAGTACTGCTTTCATAATTCCAACAATGCCACTCGACGCTTCCGTGTGTCCTAGATTGGTCTTGACAGAGCCGAGAAGGAGATTGTTTTCAAGTGTTTTTTCGGAGGAAAAGGCGTTGCCGATAGCAGAGACTTCAATAGGGTCACCCACCGGGGTGCCAGTCCCGTGGCATTCAAAGAAGGTGGTGTCTCTCAACGCAAGCCCCGCGTTATCATACGCGCTGCGGATAACAGCCTCTTGGCCTTCCTTGCTGGGGTGAGTAATGCCAGCAGTTCGTCCGTTAGAATTGACCGCAGTACCCCTGATGACGGCTCTAATAGGGAAGTCGCCGTTGACGGCGTCAGATAGCTTCTTTATATAAAGAGCTACAAACCCTTCTCCGCGGGCATACCCATCTGCTGACGCGTCAAAGGTATGGCACGTCGAAGACGGCGATAGAACACCAAGTGATGTCATCATTATATGCTGTGCTGGGTCCATTATGCAGTTACATGCCGCTACGATTGCCGAGTCGCAATCGCCGTTCCTGATTGCTGCGACAGCCATGTGTAGAGAGTACATAGAAGATGAACAAGCCGTGTCCATAGTTACACTGGCGAAGTCGTCAGTACGTGTTCGTAGCATCATCACGATATAAGGCAGTAAAATTATCCCTCACCTCGGACCCAAGAGATTAAAGACATAATTGATACGATTGCTCAGGATGTTGTTACTGCATCCCGTTGTAGTGTACTGTCGGGAGTATTCGGGATCTCTACCTGTAATAAAGATATGATCTGTGGCAAAACTCCCCACGAAGACTCCTGTGCGAGACCCAGAGAAGGAGTGCCATGGTTCTCCTGCGTTCTCAAAAGCCTCGTATGCTACCTCAAGGAGCTTTCTTTGGCTGGGGTCCATTGTTTCTACTTCTGAAGGTGTTACGTTGAAGAAGCCGGGATCGAATAATCGCGGATCCTCGGCCAGCAAGAATCCGCCTCGAGTAGCCATAGTACCGGGTCGATCAGGATCCGGATGATAGAAGCCATCAGAAGAGAACCTATGGTCGCCGAACTGTCGGTAGCCTGTTTGTTTGTTCTTGAGCAATTCCCATAACCCCGAGGTGTCGTGAATATCACCGGGCAATCGGCAACCTAAGATTGACTGGTAAGACTTGTATTTGGTGAGCGTGATGCATTGTCAGCCAAAAGACTTACCCATTCCCACAATCGCAACGAGATCGGCGTCATGGCCACTGAACTCTTGGCCCATCTTAGGGATGTCTGCGGTGGGCGTTTGGTGGGCCATGCCTCTAAATCTAATTCAAAAGTCTATAACAATCGCGGGCCAGTTTGAGGGATAAGCAAGAGGCGAAGATGTGAACCTGACAGGATATTATCTTGCCAGAGAGTCTTACAATTCTTATCGTATAGATCTAACCTTATAAATAAAGCTTGGTGGTTGCTCATCCTGGGCTAGCATTTAATGGAATCCCGCGCGACTCGGTGGTAACGGCGGATAGATACGGTAGGACAAGTTTCCTTGAACCTTCGGTGCAATTGTTGTGGGGCTCTCACCGCGTACGACATCTGGACCGAAGGCCATCGGCCGACGAGACAGTCGGGCGGAGAAGGTGGCTAGCTGCTACGACGTCATAGTCAGAAAAGGAATTGTACCTACCTGCCTGGTAGCTGATGGCGCGTGCATTGTGATACCACTAAATAAATGGCTTGATGCTTCAATATAACTTGAGGTATGAAACGAATAGTGCGTGCAGTGTCAAAGTTGTTATTGTCATGAGAATAACGGATAATCGGGATCAACCATTATCGCAGGATACTCGCAGTTATTTTAATATAATTGATACAAGCTATTCAATTGCACTTTTACCACCTCATCCCGATTAACTCAGACTTCGGCAACATGGAGCCCAGCGCGAACGTACTTGTCGCTCTGGCCGATCGCATTACCAAACAAGTCGCAAACCTTAGCAAATACCTCGAAGACAGTGATATTGGCATGTCCGACTTCACTGTCGAGTCACGCGAGAGGCCGAATACTGGAGAGTTCAAGACCCTTCATAGCGATCTTACGTCGTCTCTTGAGGACCTTCAGTATCTTATAGATGGGCCTCGGGCATACATGCGCTCGTTCATTTGCAGTGGCAACGACCTCGCCGCTTTCCAAATCGCGTTTGAATTCGGCTTCTTCAACCTTGTTCCTACTGACAGAGCGATCCCAATCGCAGAGCTTGCGAAGAAAGCAGGTATGGATGTGGATAGAACGGCCCGCGTCATGCGAATGATGGCGACCCGTCGAACTTTTGAGGAAAAAACCCCCGGGGAATTTACTCATACTGCAGCCTCTCTCGTTTTCCACGAAGATGAAAGCTTCCGATGTGCTGGGCATTACATGTTTGTAGCTATATTTCTTCGGACCCAGAGTCTTGAAAGTTGAATTGCCCACTAATAACTTTGCACGCTACGATTAGGGTAGATGAAATGTGGAAAGCTGCAACAGCGACGGCGGAATGTGTCAAAGCGTCGCCTTATGAGTCCGATAGCTCACATTCACCATTCAAGACAAGATTCGGTATTCCGTTGTTCGAGTATTACGCCAAAAACCCGGGCTATGCAGCTAGGTTTGCCAAGGCTATGGCAGGAGCAACTAAAAGTCTGTAATTGAACACTTACTCCTCGTAATAGCTGATATTGACGTCAGTATGAACATAATAGTCGATCGCCAGGTAACAGAGGTTGTTGACGGCTTCCCATGGGATGGAATTCGGGGAACCGTCGTTGATGTAGGCGGGGGGAGTGGCCATTTATCTGTTAGCTTAGCTCGAGTAAGAGTTCATATTAATCCCCGCATTACTAACACATTAACATCGCTAATCAACGCTGGAAACTAGGCCTTTCCTCATCTTTCCTTTGTCGTACAAGATAACTCGGCCTCTATGCTAGCCCAGGGCAAAGATTCTGGTCTGCGTGACGTCGAAGGGCGCATATCTTGGATGCAGCACGACTTCTTCGAGCCTCAGCCATTACGTGGGGTCTCTGCCTTTATCATCCGTCAGTGCCTCCACAACTGGTGCGACCGTGATGTAGTCAAAATATTAGAGGCACTCGTACCAGCGCTGGAGAAGTGTGATGATGGAACTCCGTTGCTTATCAACGAGACGGTGCTCCCACAGCCTGGTACCATTCATGCCCCGGAGGAACGTGGTTTAAGACAGATGGATATGCTTATGCTTGTAACCCTTGGCTCCAAGCAACGAACCAAGGAGGAATACGAAACTCTTCTAAAGGAGGCAGATGATAGGTACGAAATATACAGCCTACATTCTACTGGGAGCATGGGTTTGCTTGAAGTCCACTTGAAGGTGGAGAGGAGCTAGTCACTTGGACCCGCGGTTCATCACAACAAATAAGCTCTTCAAGAATTCTAGGGTTCACAGGCGGCTCTGAACTTGATCTACTTGCTTCATTCATCGTAATAATTTATTTCTTCCTGCTTGAAATAAAACGCCTTAGAACCTAGATAATGTTGTCTTCCCCCGTTATGAGTGATTGTGAAGCTTACAAATTGGTAATAGGGCTCGAATGAGTAGTCTGGTGATAGGATTACAACGTGCTCGATTCTGGGGGATTTTAATCTGGCGCAGATACATAAAACTAGACCACAAACATAGGAATAATGATACTAGACCGGCCTTAGTAATGTACCCTAGAGAGTGGTCGATGTCCCGGCATACGTCATGCAACCTGTTGCATGAAGTAATTTTCATTCAAAGATTAGATAACAGGTCTGATGAGGGGGCCTCTTGGGTAAGAAGCTCGATGGTCTCATTCCAGATCTTGACCTGCGCGCTGTGACCTTCCTTGGAGAGAACGAATGATGATGGACTGAAGAGCTTATGTTAGCCTGTTTCTTGCCAATTGATAAAAAAAAAGGTCGGATCGCGACGTGCCTCTTGACCGTCTGCTCACTGATGTATGCCCCATGATCTTGGGGGTGTTGAGTTGCGGCATCCGTTAGGGCATGCCCGCCTTGAGTAGCCGTCCATCCGACCATGTTAGCGAACGAAGCTCCGCTAGAGTGGCTTCGATGCAATCCACTCCGACAAAATCCGGGGTTGACAGCGTTGATAACAACATTCCTGCTGGCCCTGGTGCTAAGTTCGCGCATCCAAAGCACGTTTAGTAACTTGGTTAGGTTATATCGATCCATGTCCTTGCCGAAGGTCTCCTTATCATCCATGCGCGCCAATGTGTCGGGCCCTTTAATCACCTTCAACTTAACCCAGAAGTGATTTTCTGAGCTTACGATAGTTAAACGCGCCGGCGTGCCTGTCGCATCACCAGTTCTCCGGAGCGGGCCGAGGAGTAGAAGCGACAGGAGCGCCGTACCGAGGTGGTTGACCTATAGTTCGTGAATTGAATTAGGCATCTGCACATGGCTGACCTAGCCCGTTTAATGGCTAGAACTGACTTACATACCTGAACGTTGAGCTCATGGCCGCCCTTAGACGACTTAACGTACTCTACATTTTTGACGCCAGCATTAAGGATGACGATGTCCAACCTATCGAGGCCCGCAGCTCGGTCGGCAAACTCTTTGATACTTGCAAATGATTCCTGTTCGATTTGCCATACCTGCACATCGACGTTGGGATTTTTCGCTTGTATAGGTTTCGCGGCGTCGGATTTGGATGGGTCGCGGACCCCTAGAATGATACGCGAAACGCCGTGTGCGGCTAGCTCGAGGCAGGCTTCCAAACCGAGACCACCGCTGGCACCAGTCACCAGAGCCGTCTTCCCTTTGAGGTTGACAGTTGTAGGAAGAGGCTTGGGTTTGAATGTAAATTGCCTGTACAAGAATCCCGTGAAGCTGCCCATATTGACTGAGATTAACTTGATCGTCGGTGGGATACCTAGGTAGATTTCAAGTTCAAGTTGGTTTAAACTCGACATTTGGTGGGGGAGGAAGGGGTCAAATGAAGGAAACGAAGCGGAGATAGACAAAGAGACTTTTTCGCACCGTGCGGCATCCCTTATTCAACTTTCAGGCTGAGACCAGCCCCGTGCGTCTGCTGTGCGACTCCAACCCCCCACCCCACCCTTTCCTGCGACAACGCCAAAGAGCAGGCTGGTCGGCGCCATATGTTGCCATACGTTACCATACGCTGTTATACGACGCCGTAAATTTCAAAATCAAGATGACTCCGGGATGTAGGCAGTGCTGTGCCGCCTGCAACCACTGTGGCAACATCATGACTTACCTGGGCTAGGTACCTACCTAGGTAGGTAGGTATTGAATATTGACTCATTTAAGTATCTTTCATCGAGTCTTCCTCTATGCAGTTCTCCGGGGGTCCGATTTCCTTGTCCTGAGTCCTTCGCCATGTCATCAGTCTCTAGACGTAAACAACGTATCGTGTCATCGTGCATCCCCTGTTATACTAAAAAACAGAAGGTAAGTACCTATGTTCAATCCAAGTCGGCCGCCTAGCTTCCCCCCAGGAACACTGACCTAATCGTGTATTGAGTTAGTGTAATCGACAGTACCCATGCAATCATTGCACGCGCCGCCATAAGGTAGAGGAATGCGCGTATATCGCTGATCCTCGATCGAGTCATTCTCCACAGGGGCAAGGAGGCGTCGCCGCTGGCGCAGGTCTGGCACAGTACAACAACCAGCGACAAACACCATACGTAATCAATGATGGTGGTGATGGTGAAGACGACAGGGCATCAAATCAAGAGACCTTGGCGGACTGTTTTGGGTATTTTGAAGGTAGTCAATCTAACACTCTTGAACTTCTGCGACGGGTGAGTTGGCATTCAAAATGATCTGTATATGTTTTGGCGTCTGAAGCGAAGCAGTTTGGTGTTGAGCAAAGCAATAACCTATACGGCTATCGCAACGACGAATTATGCGCAGAAGTCTTGGCTACGGCGCGACAAGAGATCGAGAGCATGCCCGACAGACTAATTCTTGATTTCCTCGTTCAATATTTCTTTCGAGAGGTCAATTGGATGTATCAGCTCGTGCACGCCCCCACTTTCTTAACGCAATATGAGGCCTGGTGGAAACAAGCATCAGTCACTCGAGTCCTTGACGTTGAATTCGCGGTTCTGGTTCTTGAAATCGGGGCATACGTCACTCAATTCCTTCCCTCCCCTTCCTACATGGCTGATGTGATTCGGGGTGTTCCATTGGCTGATATTAGGCTACATTGCACGGGATCAGCCCACGTGCTTGGAACCATATGTTCCCAGGCCGATGTTGCTGGTTCTATAATACGTGTACAGCACCTGTGCTTGGCTGCGCTGAGAGGACAGTGTGAGGGGAATATGAAGGCATCTTGGCAAAAGACAGCCTCCGCTGTTGGGGTAGCACACATGATAGGCATTCATAGGGAGCTACCAAACTCTGTCTCTGGAGAAAAAGTTGATTTTGAGACGGAGATGCGACGTCGACTTTTCTGCAATCTTTATATCATTGACTTGTAGGTTCTTTTAGTCATTCCCTCCCTTCTTCTCCATAAACCTCGTGCGTTTTCGGCGTCCGCTAGTACTGATCAACGATTCCAAGTCATTTTGCCGCTTGCCTCGACCGACCTCCAACTTTATCAGACAGGTTCTGCACAACAGCCCCGCCGAAAATGCATGTAGCTCTAGATGTTGACAATGATGGCGCGCCAGCCGCATTTATGGAACGAGTCTTGCAATTCAAACTAGCCCAATTTTGGAACCGGCAGACGTCTATGTCGGGACCCCAAGATTCTTATGAGCCTGGCACAGCCGAAAGCCGTTATGAGAGATTTTGTACAGAGTTTCTACCTCAAGTACCGGCACCGTTCGCTCTTATCCCCAATGAAAAATGGGATCAGGTTATTCCCAAAATTGACCAACAGCGACAATTATTACACATAGCCATCTACAGTTCCATCTGTAACAACTTCAGATCTCTTCTTTTCTTGAAGTCTGCACATATCCGTATCTTTCCTGAGTACCAGCAGGGCATTATCCACCAGCAAAAGAAATCTTTGACTCGCGCAGCACTGGGCACATTAGACGCTGTGAAGAGGCTTCACCAGCTGCTAGGCGCAACCCAGACACGTCTGTTTCCTATCGTGTTCCACACATTCGAGGCGGCTGTTCTCCTTTGGGCTCTCACACACCTCAGTGGAACCGGTCGAGATGCTGATGCTAGGTCTAGGCACGAAAGATCGGACATTGATAGCCCGGAATATTCGTCTTTCTCCCGTCCTATCGATCCACTGGAGTTAAGTCAAACAAACATCAGTCATTCTAGGTGCGTAGAGGCAATCAAAGAGGCACATGAACGTCTTGAGGCCTTAGCTGTTTCCAACATTGTTGCAGCGGCTGGTGCAAGAACCCTAGCAAAGCTCTTGGAGCAGGACAATGGGACAGCGAGGCTCAGGAGTGAGCCAGCAAGCGTCCACACATCACCCTCGAACTCAACTATATTCGATGCTAAGGTCCTTGAGCAGGTTTTCGACCTTCCCCTTCCTAGTCCTGCGCTGATGAATGAGGATATCATCTGGTCTCCCAATATGACAACCTCTGATATCAACATGAATTGAGCCCTATATGCTACTGGCGGGTGGGCACATGGCCTATAGGGTTCAAAGAAGCTAGGTACAATTTAGAGACTTTACAGACTACGCGGCGCACTGAGTTTCATACGTGCTACTGACAGGAATGCCAATGCTTCTGATTATGTCCTGTCAAACCTGCCAATTTACGCATATCTCAAACTAGGTACCTTTTAGTGAGACTTTATTTCCATGTTTCCACGGCTGCCTCTTCCCAATCAAACCATCAAAATCATTAGGATAGTGAGCGGCCCCCTCAAGCTTTCTTGCCTTGGGGGCTGGGTAGGCGGATCTGGCCACCTTCATTGGAAGTGCCACGCCGCGAGATCCTTCCAGGATACCCTATTTTCGGACACAAGCGTTGAACTTATGTTGGGGCTACGGGACGTCGTATCAACTGGAATCGAGAAGTCTCGGTAGGCTTGAAGATCCTTATTGACACAGTATAACCATCTCGTTGTCGTAGTAGTGAGGCTCTGTGTTCTCAGCTTTTCTAAGCGGGTTAGCCTAATATTCTTACATGATAATACTTGGAGCGCGCGATCTGTCGGTACCCGTGGGTTAAGGGGCGATCTCAATTCGTTGAAGGATTACTATGATGGTTGGTTAGCTGTAGGCTGTATGACTATTTGGTTACACAGCAGCAGTAAATATCGGATGCGGATGTCCGGCGGGATGGGGGCGGGGCATCATCCATCCAATGCGTGAAGTTAGGTAGCCTGCTTGAACGATCGGCCGAGGATTCTCGGCTTTTTGGTGAGGCTACCCCCCTAGATACCTGGGTACGTATGTATTTCTCGGGGCTTGCTCAAAGGATCCTAATTTATATTGAAGATCGACTTAGGATGCGATGAATACATTAGTCTAGCCATTGGCAGCCCGATCCCGTTCACCCCGGGTTCCAGATATTTCGAAGGTGCATTTCATCCTACTGCTGATCATCCCGCCCGTGTCCTACCCCAGGACCAACCTTACCATCCATGTTTTAGGTATAGAGTGCCATGCGCCTCTATAGGCATAAGCAAATGCAGGCTGGTGTCACAGTAGAGATGGTGTCATTTACGCCTCAGCAAGTTTAATCTAGGTTCTTCACCAACTCTTTTCCGAGACACTGGCAGGCTTGAACCTCCCTTAGATTTACGGGTTCTGTCTTTCTTCGACTTAAGATTCGTGTTAGCTTTTCCGCACTCCCCGACGTCGCTCTTGTCTTAGTCCCCGAGATCAAGTTTTCAAATTCAGATTATCTGTATCCTCCATCTTACAAGCTCATGATGTCAAAATTTTCATCCCTAAGCCCCGCTCAGCAAGAGGCTGTCCTCAATGGTGCCGCGCTCAATCCACCAAAAGGATATACATCGAACTTCGACGATCCGCCGAATAGGGAAGCCGCGACCAATGCCTTTTTCTTCTTATGCTTGGCATTAGCGACACTAGCAGTTTTCGGACGTCTATACTGCCGGTGGATATTGCTGAAGCAGTATTCGCTACCGGACTGTAAGTCCCTCGCCCGCTTTGGGTTCCGATGACAGCGCTAAACCTATGCAGTCCTTTTCATTGCCGGATATGTAAGATGATCTGGAATAGCATTTGACTTAGAAAATTGACATGCTCCCCAACAGGCTCTTCTCATTGCCGATATTGCTCTCGTCTACCGAATGGCTCCCGTACCAGTCATGTTTGTTCATCTATGGAACATTCGTCAGAGGGATTTCATTATATATTTACGGGTAGGCTTCATACGTCGGGTTTTATTCCTATTTCCAAGACGATTTGTTCTGATTATGACTAGAGCGTATTTATCACGTCCGAAGTATACCTATTCAACATTACATTCATCAAAGTCGCAATCCTCCTCGACTGGATACACATATTCATGCCGCGTGGCACTCGTAACTTCCTTTTCTGGGCAGCGTCCATCGCCATTTTTGTTAACGTGGGGTTTTATATCGGTATAATTGTTGCCAACCAAGTCGCGTGTACACCATATGAGTACGCATGGAACAAGCTGATAGACGGTAATTGCGGTCGCGCCAACACCCTCGATGCGACTGTAGCCGCAGGAGCATTCAATATTGTCTCTGACGTGGTAATCCTGCTCATTCCTCAAAGAGTGGTCTGGAAGTTACATATGCCGAGGCAAAAGAAATTCGGAATCTCCATTGTATTCGCTTTGGGACTTCTAGCTGTCACAACAGCTATTCTTCGATTTGTCTCGTCTCTTAAACACGCCAAGTCTCCCGATTTTACATATGATTTCAGCGAAATTCTCATTACTGGTTGCGCTGAACTTACTTGTGGTATCCTGGTAGGATGCGTCCCCAGTCTCCCCAAAGTCTTCGCTTCTGCGAACATGAACGGAATAAAACATAAGCTCAGTAAGAGCAGGTTATGGTCGTCCTTTAGTAGCTCCCAAAAGAGATCGAGCCCGCGATCGATGCACTCGAGACCGCCTTCTCTGGAGCTGGTCCCGCGGGGCCGAGCTGGGCTCTTCCATAAGTTAGATTATCAGGCCACGGGCTTTTCGGAAAGTTCGACGGACTCCCATATCCCAGTTATCAGTGGACGCATATATCAAACCACCGAGTTTCATACCACAGAGACGTGCGGCCCCAGTACTTTTGAACATTGATGCAGGCATTGGAATGAGTAGATTGGTTATTTTAAGGGGGGAAGGGGGAGGATGCACAAAATTATGGGTTATATCCATATCTTTAGTAAAGTAGCCCAGTGTCGTCTATTCACCAAGGTATGGAGACCACCAATAGAGTCTAGATAGCAACATATGCATTATAAAAGTCGAGAATGCCGCATTTTCGCCTTTTGCCTGATTGCGACTAAAGTATAGAAATACATAGAGCAATTCATTCATGGCTCTTTTTACAAGTACACACGAATTTGCTAGCTTGCGTGGAGTAGGTGCGCACTTTACGGATAATGACTTAGCTATCAAAACTCGATTTCCCACCGCCTAAGGCATATTCCGCTATCGACGTTATTGGCACGCTCATTGGCTATTTACTGGATAAGCCCCTGAATCACGGTGTTCTCGTCATTTCTGGCGATCGTACTATTTAGCTCAGTTTTGGAGAGGGAATGCAAAGGAAAGGAGCGCTTGCATCTCTCTTCGAACTCTCTTCAAATCTTTCGATCTCTGCCTGTTGTGAACGTAGCATTTTGGATAGTAAAAAACGAGCATGTAACTGTTAGAGAATAGCGGTGTGATACCCATTAAGAAATAAGACATGAGGTTTCTTTATTCCTACAGTCGGACCAACTAGAGCTTAGAACTAGATTAAGAAGACACCCTCTTGCAAGTATAGAGGAGGTAGGTGTTACACAGCTTTATCCCAGACCATTAACAGGTCTCGCACAGTATAAATACTCCTTAAAAATACTACCAACACGAGGTCAGCGCCCCCAATGCCACCGATTTATTTATAGATGGGACATACCGTACACATACTGTATGTGGTTTCAAATTGATTGGCGCTTTGACCATTTTCAGGCTGCCATCCGCTGTCGAAAGCCTATGTCCGACGGCCGAAAAGCGTCGGCCGTTTGGCCAAATGTCGTTCTCCGAGCTGCCCTCCATTCTGTAATGGCCTAGGCAGGTATCTAGTCTAACCGTCAAAGCCTTGTAGCCCAAACAGACACCATTCAACCCAGTGATTCATCCAAAAAGATCTTTTTATTCTGTTATTCAGTGCTTCACTTGCTTCCATGATGGTTAATATAACGCCAATATGTTCTCAGGGGTTTGCAGCAGTATGCTGCGGATTTGCTGCGCTGATAACTTATGTAAGTTCGCGACGTCTCCCCGTGTCCAGTGTCGCAAATTGACGAAAGACCCCGTAGCTATCCCTGCGCCTAACTTATAATGTCTTCTTTCATCCTTTGAGCAGTTACCCAGGACCATTTGCTGCAAAGTTGTCGGACGCCTACAACGGCTATTATGCTTTCAAGCGGCAACTTCACATTATAACACGACAGAACCATCTCACGTATGGTACGTGCGTGGTGTATCGGATCGGTTTACACTTTAGCAACAAGCTAATCTATCTCCGCTTTAGGTACTATCGTGAGGCAGGGGCCTAACAAGCTCGTGTTCAACTCCGTCGCAGCTCTACAAGGTAAGGTGTAAGACTAGTTTAACTGCATTTTGCTGACACAGAAGCGTAAAGATATATACAGAAATGATAATACTACTAAACCTAAGGCGTATATTGCCTTGGGTCCTAGACTATCAATCCCGACCATCTTTACAGCGCAAGATCGTCAAGTGCACCGAGCAAGGCGACAACTTATTGGTCGAGCCATCTCAGAGCGCTCCATGCGTATATTCGAACCTACTATGCATGACCAAATTGATCTCTTGATTCGGCATATCTTCCATTCCATCAAAAGGCCTCAATCTACCACTATCAATATGACCGAGCGCGCTAGACTTCTCGGATTTGACCTTGCCGGACTCCTTGCATTTGGCTATGATCTCAACCTTCAGACACAAGAAAAGAACAGTTTTGTATTACCAATGCTGGAAGCCGGGTTCTTCTGGAGTAGCGTCTTCCTTCATTGGCCTTTGACACGCAAATTTTCCATAACGTTAGCTACATTAAAGGTTTTTCGCCGATTAAGGAGCCAATATCTTTCTTTAGTTGAACACATCATTAGCTCTCGTACTAAACAGGATAAAAATGCCCAACATGATCTCTATTCGATCGTTGCAGATGAACTAGACTCATCTGGGCCTGATGGCATACGGGCGAGTGAGCTCTGGGCCGAAGCTACTCTATTCCTACCAGCAGGTATGTCATCCACAACTAGCTGTAATTGTGTACTATACTCACCAAAATAACCAGCGGGGGATACAACGAAAACCGCACTAGCAGCTATTTTCTTCTATCTTTCCCAAAACGTTCACTGTTACAACACGCTTGCGAACGAGATTCACTCCAAATTCACAAGCGGGAGCCAAATCCGCGGCCCATCCTTAGCGGGCTGCCAATATTTGAGGGCCTGTATTGATGAAACATTGCGAATGTCCCCGCCGGTCGCCGGCATCCTTTGGAGAGAAGCGTATCCGAGCGAGCAACCCTTCATTGTAGACGGACACATGATTCCCCACGGTACCGTTGTCGGGGTGAATATCTATTCGATCCACTACAATAAGGAGTATTTCCCAGACCCATATACTTTTCGCCCGGAAAGATGGTTAGATGATGCGAAGACAGTGCGCGATGCGTTCGCTCCATTTTCGGTAGGCCCTCGAGGATGTGCGGGTAAGGCCATGGCATATTTGGAGATTTCTCTCGTTGTGGCTAAGATAATGTGGTACTTTGACTTCAGATCTGTAGCAAAGAGTGGTAGTCATGGAAGCGAAAGCACGGGGGTGTTTGAATTATTGGACAATTTCACTTCAAGCCATGAAGGCCCTCACTTGGAATTCCAACAACGGGGAGAGCACTGCAAAGAGTTAGATAGTACATAAGTAAAGTCGCGAACAGACTGGAGCTTTTTCTGGAGAACCTTGATGAGCTGAGAATGATGGTGACTGGACCTACGGTTCCCTTGTGGTAGATACTCATGATAATAAAATGTCTATTGTTAAATCAACGATTGGATTACTAGCGCCCCTCGACTATTAATATCATAATTGTCATTATAGCGAAGAAATCACCCGACGATATATTAGATCACCAACTAACTTAGCGAACTCCATGTCTATCCAGCATCCTCCCCCAGTTCGGCTTCATAGAGTTCTCCTTTCAACAGTTGCGAGAAATTCCTTTCTGTAACTACAAGGATATGGATGTCAGAATGCGCCTGTTAGCTTCTCTTGTCAGGGCTTAAGCTCATTGACGTACACTACTAAGATAAGATCTTTCCACTCCATGTCGTGATCAGTCGTATCGTACGGTTCGATCCGAAAACGTCGGAAAATATTAGCTATCGCGACTAAAAGTTCGCACCAAGCCAGTCTATCACAGAGAGATCTTGTCAGTTGATAAATCAATTTGCAAGCTAGAAATATAGCAGAGGAAACGGGTATGCCGCTGTGGCATTGACCCCTGCTTACTCTTTACCTAGGCACTGGCGAGGCCCTTTGTAGAAGGTTGCTAGATGTTTATCAAGCCTCGACGAGTGGGTAGAAGTCCATCGATCGGGGTTAAATTCGTTTGGCTTAGGCCAGATCTCGGGCTGGCGATTAAGCACATAAGCAGATGTGTGTATGTTCACCTATGAAAATGTCAGCCCAACTGATGGCGCCAGTTATCACCTATAGAACCTTCTCCTCCTCACCCCTGGCTGCAGGAAGCGACCATGAAGATAATATCCTTCAGCTGGCACCATCCTGGGGAGACGTCCTGGAAGCGGATTTCCGAGTCTCAATATCTCCTTGATTGTTGCTGTCTACCCAGGTATGTCGGTTAAATCCATCTTATTAGGTTTGATGTTTATTCTGCTTACTAGGTACGGCAGCTTTCTTACGCGGTCGTAGGTGATCTCTTCGTTGAGTGACGGGAATTCTTCTATGAGCTCATGTGTCAAACGCTGCTCTACTACGGGGCAGGTACAAATCTTGTAGATGCCGAAAATTAAGGCGGTGGAGGTTGTATCATTCCCTGCTATTAAAAGCATTACGAGTTCATCGTTCAATTCATCTAGACTTGGGGGGACGTGGCCTTTAACGGCATTTGGGTCCATTAGTCTATCAATAACCGGTATTCTTGCGATACCTCGAGAATTGGGCGATTTCTGAACGGAGCTCTGTGAAATATATTGTGTTGTGATCCTTAGGCATTTCTAACCAAACAAAGAGACGGGTCAAACTGCTAATCTCAATCCCAGCTTGCAAGGACAGGAAGGGTAGCTTACACGTTTCAAGCTTGTGATCGGGAGTGGGAAAATAACGGTGGATGTTGCTGAAGCGATTTTTAACGACAGTGCTGAAAGCATTGGAAATGCTGTGGCTGTCCAACCTATCTTGAAGGCTGCCTCGAGATATCTGGAAAATTCATTGTCAAAGTTTGGATCAGTAACACATCCAAGCTCCTCCCCGAAGACAATCTTGGAAATGATGTCCATGGTGAAAGCTTTTGAAGCGGCGGTGATGCAAATCGGTGTTGACTGAACGGACGCTGTTTCAAATCTCGCTACAAGCTGCTTGGTCTTCTCTAGCACATCTAGAGCAAGCTCGTGCACCCGGTCTCCCATGAAGGCAGGGCTTAAAACCTTCCTCCGAAGGCGGTGGCGAGCGGGATCTAGTTCGCCGATCAAGGTACCAGGAATGGATATAGCTTGATAAAATTTGGCGGGTTTCACGAAGGGCGAAGTGACACGGGCTAGGTCTTGAAAGACCTCTGGATCATTAACGTGTAGATCGTTGACGCCGATTCTGATCACGGGCCCTGTAGGCATGAGACTAAGCTGCCATTACATAACAGTGGAAAGACGTCGGAGTACGATTACCATAAAGATTGTGAAGCCTCTCAATCTCGAATATTAACTCGCCATTTCGATAGTAATTCCAATAGAACTCCCACCACGAGTTCGATACTACGGCAAGTTTTGATCCGGGATAATGTCGCAAAGGATGCAGATATACTCTATATATCGCTAACGACAACCAGCTGATCAGTGTGCCTACACAAGCAATCGTTGTTATGGTCGCCATTATGCCCATAGACGAAACTGATAGAAATTGGATTTGCAGATTTAGATAAAACTCGGTAATTAATAAGATTCTCAAGCCATTAAACACAGTCCCGGTATTTTGGGCAGTCTTCCAGCCCCGATCATATTCGGCCGACGCAGAGATCGGCCGACCGAGTGGATTTATCAGCACTGCAGCCCGCGTTGTTAGTCGGCCCAGCATGGTTTCAACACAAGCCTTCCTGCATGTATCTAGCTAAGTACCTTAGATTGGTATGTATTACCAGCGAGCCTGCGTAACTAACTGCTAGCCCTATATTGAGGCTGGAGCTGAAGAGAGGGTAAGCTGACGTTGTGACAAGCCAAATGCAAGAACGCCTCAAGTTCCCAATATATTGCACATGCCGCGGATATAAATATACTCATCCTTTAATTACCGGCACTCAGCCATTTGCAGTAACCACCGAGTCTCAAGAAGGATTATGGGGCTGTATATGATGCAGTGCGGCGGCGGCAACGTGAATAGTAGCGCTGTGGCTTCTAGGCCCCCATTTCAGATTTCTAAATATGACTTCAAACTATCAGCCAGTTTAGGAAATATAAAGTATGCTGTGACTTGACCTCTTTAATCATTCCATTCGAACATCAGTTTCGTTGCATCCACGTTGCACTACACCTAAATTCGCAATGGACCTGTTTTGGCTTCTTCTTCTGGTTTACGCCGCCTATGTAGGTGGGAGTTCAGGCGCGGATCCCGTGGATCAATTTCTAAGCTCGCTTGGGCTTGATCCCGATAATGTGTCCCCTGAAGCAAAAAGTCAAGGTGGTACTGAGCTTGTATGCGCTGCTCTAGCCAGTGTGGGTAATTACTCAGCCACCACCACGACTCAGGCAAACGGAACAGTGTATATTCAACAAGCGGATGCTCATTGGTAGGTCTAACAGTGCGCTTCAAAGCTCAGACATGATAACTGACCACTCACAGGTCAGCAACAGCGTATAAGCAACCCCTCTGCATTTTCTCCCCCGTTGACATCGATGAGCTTCGGACTGCGATTCTACTCAGTAACTTCTCGGGCAGTCAGTTTGCCATCCGCTCGGGTGGTCACTCGCCACTTCCCAACTGGGCGAACATCAATGGCGGTCTCCTCTTGTCCATGACGCACATTAGCGATTTGAGTTATAATGAGACCTCTGAGACTCAGCGTTCGGGGATGGGGAATACTTGGGGTGATATATATAACTACTTAGTGCCGTACGGACGTGTTGTAGATGGCGGGCGCCTAGGTGAAGTTGGCCTAGGCCTAGCTACTGGCGGTAAATACGAACCGAGAAACCCCTGAAAGTGTCTATTAACTTATCTGGATCACACAGGGGGGCTATCGCACATGTCGAATGCGAATGGTTGGGTGTCTCAGAATGTTGTGTCTTACGAAATCATGCTATCGAATGGAACGCATCTTACGGCGAGCCATGATGAGAACTCGGACTTGTACTATGCTGCCAAAGCTGGGTCCAACAACTTCGGTAAGTTCTGAAATTCTGCGGGTTGGCTCGTTTATATGTTTCGAACTCGTGTTATCGAATGTGCGCTCATCATGATAGGCGTTGTCACCCATATTACGCAACGGACTTTCCAAATGGGCAAGGTATGGGGCGGTATCATGCAGTTCCCAGGGAATTACTCGACTCAGTTCATGGAAGCGATGTTCGAATACCAAACGGATGGACAACTCGACACAAAATCTGCAGTTCTTCCGTACATCGGGATCAATAATGACACGATTATTACGACCTTTGTTTATTTTGACGAAGTACAGCGTCCAGAAGCCTTCAAGCCTTTTTACGACATCCCTACAACAGTAGACCAAACTATGGTATGGGACAACTTCTATGAGTTGTCCAAGGTCGCAGTTGATTTCGCAGTCCCTAGGTATGCTATTTCAGGTATTGGGCAGCCCGGCCTAAGGAATCATTCTAATAATTGGACTGCAGATGGACATGGGGGGCGACAACTCTCGGTCTAGACAAAGACACATACGCTGGGCTGATAGCAGTCTTCTCAGAGTTTGTCCCGCGCATACAAAATATCACCGGGGGCACCTTGGCCCCCATGATACAGCCCATCTCCAAGACGATGGTCGAGAATTCGAGGGTCCTGGGAGATGATCCGATGAATGTAGATCCTGACCCTCAAATATGTAAGTGCTATTGAAATAGCGATAATCGCAGCTGAACTGCTGCTAGATTGAACTTTTATTAACTTCGTGGTCTTAACTCTAGGGGTCAGTATAGACATAGGATGGTCGTTGGCGGCGGACGATGCGACTGTCGATGGAATTCTGCGGGACTGTCTTGCGGCGGTTGAGGATTACACCAGGTCTCGCGGCGTTTACAAGCCTTTCCTCTTCCTTAATGACGCCCATGCCTCTCAGAACCCTTTGCAGAGTTACGGGCAGGACTCTTTTGATCGACTCAAAGTCGCGAGCCTCGCATACGACCCGACCCAAATGTTCCAGACCCTTGTTCCTGGTGGCTTTAAGTTAAGTTAGAGAGTTGCCTTTTTTTTTTTTCAATTTTTTTTTTTCATAACTATTGTATAAGTAAGTTGACCTGGTTTATGAAACTTGTTGGACGATGAATCTCTGGGTGTGAGTTTGGAAAGGCAGAAATGCGGAATAGCACTCAAAAATTAGGTTGGGGAATTTGGGAGAATGATAGTTTCAATTGATTTCGTCGTCGTCTTAACATGGGCTGTGAAATAAGTGTGGTTAATTGCACCATTCAACCTATACGGAGTTTGTGCTCGTGATTCGTCAATTTTATTTGAGGTACGTGATTATTAACTCACCCAAGGGAAAGAGGAGAACATGCTTTACTTAAGCCGAGATTCCCGCAAGACGTATCCCCATCAAACTAAACATCGGATAGAATAGCATTTCAACATGGTAGCAGCACAGTTTGGTTCCGCTTCAGTGCACGATCCGACGAAGCCGGTACATGCTGGCCCGGAAGATGGTTGGCATGGCGTCGTAGCGCCAAGATCACGCTTTGCCCCGGACTCTGGGAGGTACCATCTCTATATTGGCTACTTTTGTCCCTTTGCGCACCGAGTCAATTTGGTGCGATATTTGAAGGGACTTGATTCAGCGATCGACATTTCCGTCGTTAAGGCATATCCAAAGGGAGAAAACGGCTGGCCTGGCTGGGCGTTCCCTGGAGCTAACGGTCCTGACGATACATACGAGGGGTCGACTCCGGACAAACTCTTCGGCTCGAAATACCTGCACGAAGTCTACTTTAGAACCGACAAAGACTACAAGGGAAAGTATAGTGTCCCTGCACTTTGGGACACTAAAGAAAACACCCTGGTGAATAACGAGAGCTTGGAGATGCTGCGATGGATGCAACGAGGATTTGATGAAATATTGCCCGAGAGGAGTCCGGAGAGAAAACTCACATTGTACCCAGAGCATTTGCAGGCGAAAATCGACGAAGTTGGCGAATGGTTGACGCGCGATCTCAACAGTGGCGTTTACAAAGCGGGGTTTGCGAAGGACCAAGCCGCCTACGAGAAAGGTGTGATACCTGTCTTCGCAGCGCTGAACCAGCTGGAACAATTAATCCACAAGAATGGCGGGCCTTACGTACTCGGAAAGGCAATCACGGAGTTAGACGTCCTGGCTTATGCGACCGCTATTCGATTTGATGTTGTGTATGTGCAGCATTTCAAATGCAATCTAGGCACTATCCGTGGCAACTATCCCGTTATTCATGAGTGGTTGAAAAACCTGTACTGGAATGTCTGGGGATTTAGCGAGACGACGAATTTTAAGCACATTAAGGAAAACGTAAGTCGCATTGATCCACGGATGAGTGTTGGTATAATTCGGATCGCTAACATATGATTAGTACACCAAAAGCCACCATGATATCAACCCGCTCGCCATTACACCCCTGGGTCCTTACCCGGATGTTGAGGAGGGTGTGAACCTAGACTTCAGCAGTATTAAGCCTGGAGTTATAGCACATCCAGCAGTTCTGGAACAGCAGAAAAACCTCCCTGCAGTTTAGACGATGGTGATTGGTTTCGGACGTCCGTGACACATCTGTTGTGCTATGCTGTGTTATGCTTACTAAGGGAACGGAATAGTATAAGACTTGTGGTGGATCCTCTGTCAAGCGCATGTAGAATCTCGACCTCTAGGACTCCTTGAAAGATCTAAATTCAATCCAGCTAGCATCAACTAGACACCTGAATGGAGGACGTCACAATCTAGTAATGTGAGGGGTAGCATGAGATTCATTACATATTTCAGATTTGTCTTACATTCTTATCTAACCAGCCATCTTTGAGTGGCCCGTTATCTATTATGCGTCTTCCTATGCCGGGAAGCTGAACCAGGGAGGTGCTGTAGGTAATAATGATAAGGAAACCATGCACCGCTTGCCAAGAAATGACGAGGACACGCACGGTACTAGCTGAAGATCGTCATCAGGGGTAACTCCAAACTAGATCTACCATTTCAAGGTCCAATGCCTTCTTCGGGGTACATCTCTACAAACGCTTATCTCTACTGACTCTCCGAACCCCCGCAAGCGGCACAAGAACGATACGGTGAGAACCAATGCCTACTTAGGTAGATAGATCTGATGTGTTCATCTACGATAAGAAACACAATGGACAATTCAAATTCATCTCAATCCCAAGCTTCATTGCTTTTGGAGCTTGGAGCTTCTCTATGGGGCATTTCGCATCGTAAAAGGTGCTTGCCTTCCATCTAGGTAGATCACATAACCCTTAGAACACAGCTTAGACACCCGCGATAATGAGTTCTATCGAAGAGAAGAAATCCGATGGCGGATTGAATGCTACTGTCGATTTTGAGCACGGTCGGACCCAGCTTGGAACTCATGATGATGTACAGAACCTCACAGTGCTCGGCTACAAGCCAGAACTACATCGCAATCGGTCGATGTTCACATTACTGTTCCAATCCCTAGCAATCGCTGCTGTAAGTAAAAATGACCTTTCGAGTTTCAATTGAGTTGTTAATACGATTGTCAAGATACCTTATGGATTTGGTGGTCCGTTGATTAGTGCTATCTATGGAGGTGGTGAGTGAGAGTACAGTTTCTTCGCACTCCGTCATATTAACCCCTTGCAGGACAATTACCAATGTTCTTGGGTTGGATCGTAAACTTGATTCTTGCCGAATGCATCGCTCTTTCGCTTAGTGAATTGGCTTCCAGATGGTACGTATATGAATATGACTTCTTTATTCCAACTCATTCCTCAGACTTGCCTATGACTGACACTCGCACAGTACGTAACACCACACGTCTCTTACTCATCCCCGAATCCGAATATACTCCAAGCTGGAAGCCACCAGTCTTTTAGAATATGCGGTATTGATCTACTAACATTTCGAGACATTAGACCCGACATCAGCAGGGCCATATTACTGGTCTTTCCAACTCGCCAGCCCAAGATATCGCACTCTTCTATCCTTCATCTCCGGTTGGACATGGCTCATCGGCAATTGGACGATTACTCTATCCGTCAACTTCGGTTTCGCATCCATGCTCGCTGCAGCCGTATCTCTCTTTGAACCTGACTTGACCTTGGAGGCTTGGCAACTGCTCTTGATCTTCTATGCTATATGCGTCCTCACATTCTTCATAGCAGCATTCGGAAACAAGATTCTGCCTCTAGTTGATACGTTCTGCGCGATATTCACTGCTATTAGTATCTTGGTTACTTGCATCTGCCTCTCTGTGAAGGCGGATGTTGGGAGACACTCTCCGAATTACACTCTGGTAAGTAAACCCCGCTGGATGGGTGTAGAAAGTAAGCTTATTCTTACTTTTAGGGACACTATGATACATCCCTTTCTGGTTGGAATGGGTTTTCATTCTGGATCGGTATCCTACCCTCAGCTTACACGTGAGCATCGCGATACCCAATCTGGTCTCAACCGTAGAAGCTGACGATAGTCCAGGTTTTCCGCCCTCGGAATGATCTCGTCGATGGCAGAAGAATGCGGTGATCCCACTATAAAATTACCGAACGCCATATCCCTTTGCGTACCAGTTGGCGGTATTGCGGGGTTGTTCTTCGTAAGTAGACCCCTTCCTCTCCGTCAGTTGCCAATCCGCCCCTAACCATGATTGCACGGATAGATCATCCCAATATGCGCTACACTTCCGGATTTAACGGACATACTCGACGCACCTGTAGGTCAAGCACTACCATACATATTCGGTAGAGTGATGGGAACCCCTGGAGGCGGCCTCGCTCTAACGGTACTCGTCCTGGTCATCACTCTCTTCTGCTCCATCTCCATCACCGTCGCTGCCTCACGATGTACCTGGGCTTTCGCGCGGGATAACGCGATCCCACTCGCCCACATCTGGTCCAAGATTGACAAGCGTCACGGCACACCCATATTGGCACTAGCCCTCACGACCCTCATCGAGATGCTCCTTGGTCTAATCAATTTGGGTTCTTCGTCGGCTTTCCTCGCCTTCGTATCGGTGGGTGTTATCTCTCTTGCCGTGTCATACGGTATACCGATCGTGATATCGCTGTTCCACACCCGGAAGGAAGTCAATAGTGCGAGATGGACTATGGGGAAGTATTTGGGCTTGATAGTGAACCTCCTCGCTGTCGCGTGGATCGCGTTTGAAGTGGTCTTGTTCTCCATGCCTACTGCGTTGCCGGTGACGGAGGCTAGCATGAATTATGCTATCGTGGTCTTTCTTGGGTTTATGATGCTTAGTGCGATATGGTATGGGGTTTATGCTCGCAAGGGTAAGTGTCGCGACGATTCAACTCCCTCCGGATCCTTCTACGTTGTCATGCAGCTAACAAGGCGCCATGTTTTCAGTTTATCGAGGACCCCCGGAATCCGATGGACTTACCGTCGATTCTTAATCGTGCGTGGGATTGAATGCCTAGTTAGGCTTGCGTGATAGGTTGATACCCTAGGGAAACGAGGTCTCGCTTTCGTGATCGCTCCGATACAACATCATCGTGCCCATGCGCAATGTATGGCCCTTTTAATTAATTTCGAAGGAATATTCAAATATCGCCCCCCAAGTCCATGCCTTTTGATTAACCATCCACTTGCCTCTAGTCGTTCATCACCCCCTCTCCAAAGACAGCATCCTTGCAGCGTGCCAAAAATTGCCCTCTCTTTCATGATGGGAATCAAAACACAACACTAATAATCCCCACGAAAGTGCATAATTATTATATTATTTTTATACTATGAATTTTGAACCCTTTGCCTCATTAAGCATTCATTCCTTCGTCGTCAATACCCATGCAATCACACCAGTCCAAGAGGACCATCTATCTTCTAATACATAGTGCAATGTAAAATACCTACGCTCATACTTCAGTCTCTTTCTCCAAAGCCCCGTTGGCAGCAGCATCTCTAGCTCTTCTCCTCTGCTGCTCCGCGGCCCTCCGTTCCATCTCAGCTTTTCGCTCCTTGAGAGCGATGCAAAACTTAGATCTCGCTCGAATCTCTTCGCCTTTCCAGATGAAAATGAAGGGGATAACGCACATGAGTAAGCTCAATCCACCGAGCAAACTGCAAGCGCCGTCGATTCCAAGGCGCGCAAACATAGGCTTCGTCGCAAGCGGGAGGACGACTGCGAAGACGGAACGGCAAGAACTAGCGGCTGCATTGGCGCTCGCGGCGAATATCTCGTATGCATCTGTGATATAATTAAGCAGTGCCATAAAGATCAACACTGCGATAACCCAATCAGCAATGTTCCACTACAGATTTCCTCCATAAGGTAGCACTCGGCTCCCGGCGGACAATGGGGTACTTACTAAAGCCTCCACCAAAGGGGATGCCAGCCAACATAGGCACGACAAATGGCACACCTGGGCGGGACGACCAACCGAGCCAGAACAAAGATATCACGAACAAAGGACCACCAAGAGTAGCCAATGGGACCCGACGGAATTCTTCTTTTTGCGCCCAGGCGGATCCACGGGCCTTAGCGTTAAGGAGCACGCGATCATATGCGAAGAAGATAGGCACGGCGAGTACCGCACCAGCCCCGACCGGTAGGTAGCACAAACCGGTAATTCCCGGGGATAAGCCATACACATTCGAAAATATGATTGGAAAAGCCTGGAAGGACATGTAGAAGATGGCGTATACCAGTGAAAGATAGAGGCACGTTGCGGTCACAATAAGTTCGGTCAATATCATGCGTATAGGTCGAGTTAGCACTCTCGTGAACAACTGTTTGAAATCATTTGCCTCAAGCTCCCAGGCGGAGTAAACCTGAGCCTTAGGGTCCGCCTTTCGAATCTTTACGGCGCGTTTCGTAAGGAGAACGGGGGCGTAAGTTTCTGGGAGGAATAGGGCTAACACCAGTGTCGCTCCGGCAAACATCAAGCCGACCCAGAAGGTCCATCGCCATCCGATACTTGTCGAACAGAAGCCGGAGATAATCGGAGCTAATAGCGGGCCAAAGACAGTGGTCTCCGCGCATACCAAATTAGCTTCGGGTATAGTATCACTATATGGGCATAAATCGGAGTACTCACGGCCATAAACCAAGCCATCGCTCGGCCGCGTGTGATTGGGTCATTGAAGATATCCGCAAGTATTCCCGTAACAACCGCAATCGGCGCCGAAGCACACACTCCACAGAAAAACCGGAACACAAGCATTGCTGGCCAATTCGGAGCAAGGGCACAAGCCATAGTCCAAATTATGAACATTAGGAAACTTGCCGTGGATAGGTTTCGACGTCCGACATACTCGCTCATTGGACCCCCTATTCAATGGTATCAGCAAACAGTCCCACTAAAGTAAACAGTTATAATCCAAAACAACTCACAAATCATTGGCCCAAAAACATAACCCATTAAGTAAGTCGAAATTGGTAGAACAGACTGTATCTGAGCAGTAACCCCCCATTCTGCCATCATGTAAGGGATAGCCATACTTGGTAAAGAACTCCCCATGGTACTATTCGCAACCGTCATCATCGAAGTTATAACGATCAGAGTTTTCCGCCACTACAATCAAAGTCAGTGTTTTCGAGGCATACTATAATTAGGAAGACAGTATTCCAACCTGGGGCCAATTATATGGATTCTCTTTGTCGTTGGGTTCCCACGATATGATAGTTTTCCCATCATTTTCTTGAGATTCGTTTGACCCCGGTACATCGTCGTCGGTTGGTATTCGGTTGTCCGCTTCCTCTTCTTTGTATCGAGCTTCTGCATCTTGGTTACTGATACTCTGGACTAATTCTGCGAAATGGCTTAAACCACCATCAAATCTTCTCGAGACATTTGTAGCTTGGCGTTGCAATTGCGGCCCAGGGCCGTTTGATGGAACATCCAAACTCGACATAGTCGTGTCGTGCTTGTAGGGGGCTAGTTTTCAAATTGGTTCACGAAATCCGTTAGCAAGGTGGTAAACAGTCAAGCTCTAGATAGACCGAGAACTAGCTATTAAACGTAGGGAGGCGCTAAAGGTAGCGGAAAATCGGCACAAAGAGGAAAGAAAAAAAAAATCCCAGAGAAGCTTTTACCGGTATTGCAAAATGGTCGACCGACTTTTTAATGGGGCGGCCTTCTCGACCCTGTCGGTCTATAATGCCGACGCATGGCGAGCGCGAAAGCCGGACTGCGAGGGATCATCTTACCGAACATGGGGGACATACGCTGCCTGCATGTAAACACGGCCGGGAATAAGCAAACCTACGTATACGACTACGCCTTTTCCACAACGACATGCTATGCGGTAACCCAAAAACCTAAAGCAGGTCCAAATCGCCGGTACCCATAGCTTGGCGCTCGGACGCCCTATAGGACCTATTCGGGACTTATGCTTGTTGGAATAAGAAGCTATCTTCTTCTCCCCGCTTCTTTGACCTTGTGCCCCCCTCTTCTTCCCAACTTCCTGGGTCCCACTGCGGCCGGTAACCGGTTGACGGTGTAAACACCGACCTAGGTACCTAATATTTTGATTTAAATGTGTGTGGACTTAATCCAGGTAGTATCACAATACCCTACAATGTATAAACCGACGTGATATCACCTCATAATGCGCAAGCTACATATCTTAGCGGTAATGTTTCCGCAGCCGGAAGGGATTCCCACAGGAAGAACCGAAGAGTATTTCGAATAGGGACCCCTGTCCGATGAAGTGGGGAATCCTATCCGAATTCAAATCTAGCCGTCATTTTTATGTACGTTTATGAAGTAGGAAAAGCCTCAATGAAGAGGCTGGGGCTTTGTGATTTGCTAGCTATCTCGGGTTAACGTGCATCCGTCCTCTACATAATTCTCAGGTATAAATGATTGGTCACCTAGCTTAATCTCCTAACACCGATCCCGGGTTTAAGCAGAAGAACGGTCTTCATTTTTGTCATTCCCGGCGTGTTCATATTACATCAGACCGCACACCACGATTTAAAATCTATTGAAGTCAGGCAGAAATTGAAAAAAGTATCCATCCGAATGGGACCATCATCACTAACCGGCCTAGTACGTATTATTCATCTACATCCCTTATTATCGCCGAATAATGACCCATGACTAACATGTTACCTATACAACAACGGTTATGGATGGCCAAAATGTGGATGGAGTAGTATTAATAATACAGGATTTTTGATATAGAACTGAGAACTGACTGATAACACAGACGTGTTGAATAACAGGGAGTATTCGTGATACGTGCGACGAAATGTTCAACAACATACGGCAAACGTTCCGCAGCGAATGAAAAAGAATACCAGGCCCTTACATCTCGATCAATGCATCGATATACCGAGCTGCGTAACCCGGAAACCACATTTGATCTTTTATACTCAGGTGGACAACAAAAATAAGACGTTGGCTTAAGGAGGTGGCGCATCGCTCGGCCGTATACCCTCCCTATTGTCTTACACCTACGAAGACCGCGAATAATGTTATCACCCAATTAAACAACCTTACTCATATTTCCCGACATCAACTGACGATGCAATGACAAATGAAATTAGCTATACTAGCCTCACACGATCGTGCCCCTGTACTGATCAGATCATAAACGCTTTCCCCTGTTTAGGTCCGATGCGAGGTAACAATATGCCAAATTTATATTCTAATGAGTGTCTAGGAAGGGCACCCATCATGGTGGCATATAGACATGCTATGTCTGTTGTGTACGGTGAAATTGACTATCCAATTGTCACCTTATAATGCTCACCAGAATCTATTACTCCTAAACCGAGCCGAAATATCGCCATCGACTGTAGCTACTGTCGTTATTGATACGTCAGAGGGGCCCTCTTCCGACCCGGACTTGTTAATGCCTAAGATTTATCGCGACGGATATGAGCCCGATCGAGATGGTCTGAGTACGCTCACAAATTCATCTAATGGTGAGAGAAGAGTTTAACTGGGGAGTGACACTGATAAAAAGTAAAATAAGAGGTATAACGGGAGTTTATCGGTCATAGGAAATAACATCGGCGTCGTCGTCCCCCAGGTTGTTGAAACAAATGGGAACTTAGTAAGGAATTAAATGGTATTAAATCACCCGGTATTATGGTAGATCATATAGAAATGATTGCCTAACTGAGATGTGAACCTCACAACTATTGGCCATTTAACCTGCTTACTGTGGTCCAGCTGTCAGCGATGAGATTTATTGTGGATAGACTCCACGCAGTTGTTTGATATTGCGGCTCAGCAAAGATCTCACCAGGGGCGGGACGGTTATAACGTCATCATGTAAGTCATCGGCTTTAGTCGGTAGGATATATCGCGGAGTTTCCTCTGTCTTGTCAAAATGGCGGTATTAATATGGTTCTGACACTGCTTACTCTAGCGGCAACCTGTGATGGTTAGCCCCCCTGCGCGTTGATCATATCGCCAACCGACCGTTTGACCGGAGATGCCGTGGTCTAATAATTCAATACTAATTATTTTTTGGGTATCTTCAAGTGGGTCGCTAACAGAAACATGCCATACGATATTATCATTATCAAAGCACCAACATCAAGCAAAGCTCGAGGACGCTCGGTTAGCAGCCGAACATCGTATGAGGCTTAGAAGATAGTGTAGATTCTTTCGGAACTAGCTAATATGTCTTATTATAGGTTCTAAGCACAGGGGATACGTACGCTCCACCCTAGCTAACTCTCAGTGTCACTTGTAGATATCTCTAAGCTAAACATCTATAACCCTCAGGAATGAAAGCTCAACGTGCAAGGCGGGAGTAATTCCCATCCGATACTTCATTCTGTCGTATCAGCGGAATATGGTGATAAGGACCCTCAAGAGTACGTCGGGACTTGGCCCTGGCCTCAATAAGAATAGAAGTCGATAATAACTTCAATTCTAGAGTATTGGTATCGCACCCCCGTCCCGAGAAAATCCCCCATCTTCACACGTTCCTGACTTAAATGAAGTCAAGATTCTAGCGCGCAAGAAAATTGGACTCCCGCTAAGGATGTTCAACATTGGGTTAGACAGATATGCCAAGAGCTGCCATCTTACCAGGCTGCTTTCCGAATTTGAAGCTACCTACCCTGCTAGCTATCAACGCCAGCATAGTAGTTTGAGGCTAGTCCACGCGAAACCCCTTATACTACCTCCTTTTAGGAGAGCTGAGAGCTTTCTAGTGCTATTGGTAGATTTTCTCGAAAGTCAAAATTCGTCGTACACGAGAAAATTGTCAAGCTATGAAGCCATACTAATTACTAGATAAACACTTTCAAACAGTTGGTATGGAATTTTCAGCCGACGAAAGACACTACGAACCGTAAATATGTATAATGTAGAACTAGTTAAATTCTTCTAGCTTCACATCTAACCCCTTTGCAGATCATATCCCCGCGGCTTGGACCGAACCCAAGCAGACGGTAACGATTAATTGTCGTTGTATTATCGCTTAAAATGCAAGTCTGCGATCAAAGCGTAGTAGCGTTAAACAATTGCGGCTTAGAGCTCTGCCATTCGTTCGACCGCCGTCACGATAGCTTCGGACAGGGGCCCTGAAGTAGCATTCCGGTAGGTCTAGATCTGGTGGTTAGACCTCGTTATTGAACCACACGTAGGCTTGGAGATGGAGCTATAGCAAGTACTTCGTATGTTCTTTTGTGTTGGCATTTACGCCCATATAATAGTGATTGTACATTTATCGTCTTGAGCCTCCCAACTCGATGGCTTCCTTTTTTTACGGGTTTTGGTGGTAGCAACAGCCTCAACTCTCAGCACCAACTAGGACGCTTCTATGTCCATAACATTCGTTTATTTCCTTTAATTTAATGTTAATATTGTAATAATTAATCATGCGGCCGACGACTTTATGGTCCGCGTTTACCACGCTCCTTGCTACATCCCACGTCTCTGCGTCCTCACTTCACAATCATAAGAGACATTGCCACCACATCGGCAAATGTAAATTCGATCCTTCCAAAAGCCCTAAATGTTGGGGCGACCATTCTTTAAGCACAAATTGGTATGACGAAGTACCGGATACTGGAGTAACGAGAGAATATTGGCTTGAAATTCAAAACAGTACGGCGGCCATTGACGGAGTTGAGCGCGTGGTTCTAACTGTCAACGGTTCGGTACCGGGACCTACGATCATTGCGGACTGGGGAGACAATGTCGTTGTCCATGTACACAATGCACTAGAGAATAACGGCACTAGCATTGTACGTATAGAACTCCCTACAAAGCCCTTTTAGCTATTCAGACTTTATAAGAGAGAACGGTCCTAGCCGAGGTGCCGGCTTCTGTAACAGACACTAATAAATCGCAGCACTGGCACGGCTTAAGACAGAACCGCACGACACAACATGATGGAGTAGCATCTATCACCCAATGCCCAGTAGCGCCTAAAGATACCATAACCTACAGGTTCAGGGCGGAACAATACGGTCATTCGTGGTATCACAGTCACTTTGCAACACAAGCATGGAACGGTGTCTTCGGCGGTATTCTCATCAACGGGCCTTGCTCAGCCCCTTACGATGAGGACAAGGGTGTCCTCTTGCTCAGCGACTGGTTCCATAACACAACTGACGCCCTTTGGAGCACGGCGTCGGCTGGATCACCACCAGTAGCTCAAAATGGATTGATAAACGGAACCAACATCTACGGTAACGGCGGAAAGAGGTTCGAAACGACCTTCGAGGCCGGAAAGCGCCACCGAATTCGCCTAGTTAACACAGCTATTGACACTCATTACAAGTTCATGATTGATAACCATAAGATGAAGGTCGTCGCGGCGGATTTAGTCCCGATTCAGCCATACACGACTGAAGTTCTGAGTATCGGTATAGGACAGCGTTACGACGTCATCGTCGAGGCAGACGAGGATGGCGGCGACTTCTGGCTCCGCGCATACCCCGACATGGCCTGCAGTGCTGAGAATGAGATGGTGAACAACATCAGGGGTATCGTGCGATACGACGCCTCTTCGCATAAGGAACCAACTACCTCAGCCTACGCCTACACCGAGGACTGTCTCGACGAACCAATGTCAAAACTAGTACCCTACGTACCCCTCGACGTCGAATCCCCAACCGTAAAGAAAGACTTCGGTCTAGGCTTCGCCGTCGATACCCACGGCCTCTTCAAATGGACACTCGACGGCACCGACATGCTCTCAAACTGGGGTCTTCCCACCCTACAACAAAGCCTAATCGACCTCTCCGTCTTCAAAACCTCTAGCAACGTCGTAGAGTTAAACGAAAAAGACGCATGGGTATACTTCATAATCGAGAACGGGCCCGCAGCTCTCGGCTTAACACACCCGATCCATCTCCACGGCCATGATTTCTATGTCCTCGCGCAGGAGGCGAATGCGAACTATACCTCGGCTACGCCGTTACAGTTGAAGAACTCGCCTAGACGGGATGTCGCGATGTTGCCCGCGAATGGGTTTTTGGTGATCGGGTTCATGACGGATAATCCGGGCGTCTGGCTTATGCATTGCCATATCGGATGGCATGCCTCGCAGGGTTTCGGATTACAAGTTGTTGAGCGCGCGGCGGAGATACCGCCGTTATGCGACTCGAGTAGTATCGACTCGACGTGCGCGAAGTGGTCGAGGTATGTTGCTATGAAGAATATCGTACAGGATGATTCGGGCATATGATGCATTCTTTAATGTAAATATCGGTCACTCGTCAGCTCCAGTCACAAGAAATCGAGATCACGGCCAAACGCATGTTATGGGACTAAGATATAATAATACAGCTCGTATTGAGTACCTAGGGTAACTATAACTAAATGAAACGAATCTAGAAGAAAAATTCGCCTTATTACAGGCACCGTCTAGTGTCGAAGGGCCAGGAATCCTCTAGCAAAAGGGGGTCGCGAGTTAAGCACAATAAAGAAACCGACCCACCTGTAGCATCAGGGACGAGCAAAAAGCTCTCTCATATTCGTCACTCAGATACCAAGTTAATGTGAGACGAAATTAGGCGGTGCGAATGGAATCGGGGAGCATTGGATTACAACATGATTGGACTCCGAGGGTTTTTTAGTTACGTCCGGTTGAATGTACCCCTGGAGTATGATGTTGGTATTATCGTAACTGTTCTGGACCCTGCTGTAGTACTCATTGAGCAAATTCTCATTGAACTTTTTCTGGGCGGGCGTAAGGTTGCCTTGGTTAATGAGTGTCTCTGGGGGAGGTAAGAGTGGTGGTGCAGGTGGTTCTCTTCTTTCAGTCCTGTCTGATTGCTTGGCCGCCCCACGTCGCTGAAGACTTTCCTGAGTCTCGAGCAGCTCCGGTGGATCTGCAGATATGTTGGAGAACTGGTACGACCTATACTCAACGTTTCCGAAGCCGCGAGCCTCTGGATCTGACAGTAAGTAACGTATAATGTGGCCATGAGTGACGATAGCAATATGAGGGTTAGGATTGGGGTTTGGGTTTTGTGCTGTTGGAGTGACGGCGCCTTTGACCCATTCAAATATTCTCCTTCGGGCTATAACTCCTCGATAGTCTAGGTCGCGGGTTTTCTCGGAGTCGCCTTCCTGGCTAGCGTACCAGTCTTCTGTCATGCCATAAACGGTCGCATCGACAATATCTCCGAACTCATTCTTGATTACTGAAAGGGGTGAGCCGATGTGAGATGGCTTAGTGCCTACTTCATGCAATTCTGGCATTAGGATGACACGGGTACCATTCCAAATTGACGGCCCGAAACATAATATGGCAGTTTGAATTGTCCGTTTCATAGGTGAGGATATAATCACATCTAGAGGGTGAGGGAAACTTCTCTGTACTGCAGCGCATTGGTAGGTCCCGAGACTTGTCAAATATGGGTCGGGAACTTTATCTCGACCCGCTTTATCCTTAGCAAGCTGATGCAGACCCTGTGCGTGGCGGATGATGTGAATCGTTGGTGCCATGGTAAGAGTTAGATTTCTGAGTGAATATTATTAGAGTTGTGTAGTAGTTGTTGTTGAACGTATAAATATATTGTCTAATCGTAGTGAGTTATTATCGCTGTGAGATGGCTGATAAAACCTTGTGAGAATCGGCAGATATTTATATCCGAAATCTCCACTGAACATGCTTCATTTTCAGATCTTACTGCATGTTTTCAATCAATCAAATATGTTCAGGAACCATCCATTGTATGAAGGGGGGGTCAACTTGGGGAAAGGATGTGTTTGTGCTAACAACCATGTATCGTAAAATTGTTAGTCAACAATGTCTCGACTTATTTCGGTCCTAGAATACCACAGAACAGTTTCGATCAACAATATTCGAGCCAATCAGATCGCGGCATAGGCTTAGAAATGGAATCGTTGTACGCTGGAACCACGATGATAATATAGCATTCGTAACACTCAATGTATTAGGTACCTATATCTACGTCAACTTCGTGAAGACTGTCCACGTAAAGGTTCCCACGTCAATACGCAAGAAGGATTAAAATTATTGATTATGAGCAAACCCACTTGCCCCCATTCTCAAGAAGGATTATTGGGGTTATGAACCCCCAAGACAAAGTCGTCCGCTAGACTGTCCGCATAATTAATAGACGCCGGGGATGATGACATATTTCCCCTTAATCTTATCTTCCCCAAACTTCTCTTTGTACCACTTTCCGCCGGACACGGCGCGGGGGAGCATAGCAGCGAATTCGTTTAGCAAGAAGGATCTCGCAGGGACACAGGTAACACCAGCGGCGATCCAAAATCCAAGCCATTCAATCCACTCCGAGAAGTAGTGGGGGTAGAGCATGTACTTGAACAACCCATTTTGGGGTACTTCGTAGTGTTTTTCGACAGTCTTCCCTTGCTGCTTCAGCTTCGCCTGACGTCGTAATTCGCTCCGGCGGATCTCTCGCAGTTCCTCGTCCGAGAAGTAGTTGGCAGCAAGGCCGACATAGAAGAGAACGAGACCAATCGAGAATTGCAGAATAGAGCCGTTCTGGACGTCCCACTCTTCCTGGGTAGTTGGTCCATATGCTGCTAACCAACTGCCTATACTGATGGCGTTGGAGAGCTGAAAGTTAATGGCACTAGCCCAGACCACGACGTGAATAGGGGACATGCTTGGCTGAATGAAGGGGAAAATGATAGCTCGATATGTATAATGGATAACAAAAAGAGCAGCCAAGACTTTGTTCTGCCATGGGAGGTCGGTAATACCGTGCTGAGCGGGTAGGGTGTTCATGATGTATAGCAGAGTAATGAAGCCAGGGCTCTCCATTGTAATCCAGGCAATCCTGCCGGGCAAGTTGAATTTACTCTGGACCGAAGTCTTTCCCATGCCATACCAGGAAGATAGCCATTGGAACGATGCAAACTACGTAATTGAGTTAGTTGGTTGCGCGTAAGGGTGGATAGTGCGATATAAATCGTACCAGAGGGTATAAAGTCCACCAAAAGAGGAGTTTGTTGTAATTTTCTTGGCTCGGAGGAAGCCAGTCTTGAACAATGGCCATGTTGAACTATGAAGGAGCTGGGGAAGGTGAATCTTTGGTTGAGAGTTTGTATAGTAAAGGGAGTGTGATATTCTTTATGGTCACAGAGAAAAACCAGGAATTTTGTTAGAACATGATATTTACGAGAAAAATAGATGGCGGGTTACTTTTTATCAAGTGATCGATTGATTTCATTAATGTAACCATGACATAGAATGGCCATGAATTGCGGAGGTAACTCCATGGGGTAGGCCTACTACTTATTTAGGTAGGTGAGAAGACAAGGGGGTAAGTAAGGGTAAGGGTAATGGAACGGAAGAATAGATGTCCGGTGACCATGTACCTAGGTATCTATTCAGTGTTCTAAGATAATGTTGAAATTATGTACCTCAGACCTATTCTTGTTCGCCAATTAAAAGCTTGTTAATTGTCAAAGTACTCGGTCAAAGAACAAGACTTTTGTTTGGTTAAACTAAGTTGTGACCGAGGGTTAGAGATTGAAATAGATCTAATGGCATTGTGTTGTTAGCTATAAAAATGGGATAAACCCGGCGAAGAGGGAGAGATACTACGTCATTAGCTAAATATCGTATGGTAGATTGTGGCTAAGTCGAAAAACTAATTAACCGTCACTGCCTGAGTGGATAGTAACGCCACATTATTTCCTTACGCCTGGATTTCTTGGCAGTCGCAGTGATACAAAAGAAACAACGCTAACAACGCTAGCTCTCGCTGTGACGTTGATTGGTTGGGTGTTTGCTTGTCAGCTTCAAGGATCCGGGGTTCCAAGGTTTCTTCCATTATAGTTAGCTCAAGACGGATCGAACCCACCTAAGACCTTAAACCTCAAGTACAACCAGTACAACCTTTGATATTCTGCTGCCTACCTACCCTTGCCTCTCACATACACGGCCGATAACCTCCCATTCTCCCCTCTAGATCTTAAAACCTCTCTAGAAAGTGTTTGTAAAATTTTACAATTGCGAACTTTCGGTCCACTCGTTTGTCCTTTCTTTTTTGGTGCCACAATTATCCTACTTAACTATCACGTTGATGACGCAATCCCAAGCTATATGATTGTTGCCTTCGTACTAGAACCACTAGCAACGATTTTGAACCCGGAAGGCCTCCCATATAGTCATAACGACTCCAGAGTATATACCGGATCTGTGGGAATATCTGGGTCTTTATGAAAGATTGAGTACTCGCTCGGCCGTATTCACCTCGCCGAAATACCACCATGGTCTCACGAAAGCCGCTTCCCGACAATGCCTCGGTGAACACCAACACCCCTCCCCCCGCCGTTAGTATACAAGGTGTAAGACAGGAATTGTGGTCTGCTAGCGACTCTGAACCAGATCCAGAAAGAGTCTGGGCTAGGGAAAACTCGGTACCAACCCAACATAGTGGTACCGATGCTACGGAGAACAAGAGTGGGTTGTCGAATGTGTCAGGCGTATCGGATGTGCCTGATGCGCTTCAACCCGGCACCTCTTCCAAGACGTTAGGCTATTACCAGGAAGAAGGAAATCCCTGGGACGAACCTGACGAGAAGAGCGGCGTAGAAACTACCGCGACCGAACCCAAATCAAAGCTAGACGAGATGCCGAAAGCTCTTTGGCCCGGAGGGGCTAAATTCGAGACGAATCCCTTCAAACGAAAACCCGTACAAACTGGTTCGACGGACCAAATTAATCAGGATACCCAAGAACCCCCGACCGTCCCTACGAACCCTCCACCTCCGCCTCCACCTTCTGTACCGACGGTCGCATTTTCCCAGTTAGACATCTCCGAACCCGAAACGAGCACAAACCCCTGGCAACCAGCATTTACCGAGACTAGATCTTCTAGTACGGCTCCGCCTTTGTCCGACCAAGAACCTAAGAGCAATGTCTGGGACTCAGGCTTACCTTTAAAAGTTCCCTCTGCAGGTCAAGTCTCAAACCCTCCCACCGTTTCACCTTTATCTGTTGAGGGCGAACCTCAGGCCTGGAGCAATACGTCCCCGAATCCCCCTTTACAACATCCGCCGGAGAGATCTCAAGACGCGGGCGAGATATTTGATGATCAAAACGCATGGGATGACATCGGATCGAATAATAAGGGAAAACAACCAGACCTACAGACTTCACAAGTACAAACCGAAACTGTCGACGGTTGGAACTTAATCGACCACGAGCCCATGCCAGAGCCAGTACCAGGGACTCTATCAAAGCGAAGTACCTGGGAAAATTTTATGGATGCGGACGACGAGAGGCCAAAGGACACAACAGAGCCAATCACTACTACTGAAGAGCCGGCACCATCTTTACCACCCCGACGAGCGACGGAAGAACAGGCACCGCTTCAACCACCTAGACCGCAGGCTCTGGACGGTACAAATAAGTCAGAGACATACCAAATCAAGAATATTCATTGGTTTGACGCGACGGCGGCTAAGAACCCCCGAAGGTCGCCGATACTTGTGCAAAACGCAAACGGGCCCTGTCCTCTTGTTGCGCTCGTGAATGCGCTTACACTTACTACACCTGCCACTCAGAAGAATTCAAATCTAATCGAGACCTTGAAATCTCGGGAACAAATTAGTTTAGACTTCCTTCTCGAAGCCGTCTTCGACGAACTCATGACCCATCGTCACCCCGAATCTTTACCAGACATGTCCGAGCTTTACGTCTTCCTAAAAGGCCTTCATACTGGCATGAATGTCAACCCACGTTTCATCCCTACTCCTGACACCGTAGCCACCCAACCTTCAGCCCCTGAAGCTCTTATCCCAGGTACCTTTGAAAGTACGCGAGATATGAAGCTTTATGCTACATTTGCCATTCCTCTGATACATGGTTGGCTACCTCCTAGGAATGATCCAGTCTATGACTCTTTTAGCAGACAAGCCTCGTCGTATGACGACGTACAAAGCATATTGTTCCGAGAGGAAGAGCTTGAGGACAAGCTCAGTAACTCGGAGACAGGTCTTACTGAGCAGGAGCAACAGCTTTACCAGGATATCATCATTATAAAGTCCTTCCTCGCTACCTATGCTACCCAACTCACACCATGGGGACTCGACGTCATCACCAAGGCCATTCGTCCAGGGACAGTATCTATATTGTTCCGTAATGACCACTTCTCTACTCTATACCGGCATCCCCAGACACTCAAACTCTTTACTCTGGTAACAGATGCTGGTTATTATACTCACGATGAGGTGGTGTGGGAGTCACTCGCTGATGTTCGAGGTGAGCGAACTGAGTTCTTCTCCGGCGATTTCCGCATAGTCGGCGGCCCTCAGAATCAGCGACCGTCCGGTAACGTTCCGGGTTCTTGGTATAATGATGAAGGGTCAAGCAGCAACACAAATGATGGCGCATGGCAGACAGTCCAGAACCGGCGAGGACGAAATAACCGCCAGAACGAGAGCAGCACCAGCGCACCCAGCCAGAAGCACGAGCAAGAAGACCGAGATCTGGCCCTAGCCCTACAGCTTCAGGAAGAGGAAGAAGAGCGCCATCGCACGGAACAAGCCGCTCGACGCCGGGAAAGCCAACTCTCGGAACAATTCATCGAGCAGCAAGGTCGCCAAGGCACTCCAGCCCGCGGGGCCCATGGGCGTGGTGGCTCTATTAGTAGGGGTGGTGCCAACGGTAGCGGTCCCCTACCCCCAGCTAGAGGCAGCTCGGCGAATCAGTCCACTAGCACATTGGCCAGCCGCGGCAGACCGCCGGTACAGCAAGTTAGGAGCTTGATCCCGCCGGCAACCGGGACGACTACTCACCGCCCCACGAATGACACGGTGGACGATGCGCCCCCCAGTTACGAACAGGCTTCTAAGTCAACTCCGTATGTGCCGCCTGCGGGCCATCCAAGTCATCCGGATAGTAGCCCTAGTAGTGCAACGCCCAGGCGTAGATCTATACTCGGCGGTGGGAGACAAGATAGTAACGCAGGCCCAAGTACGCCAGCTAGAGGTCGGCAGACGACACCCGCCGTTTCGGCGACGGGGGGCGCGACGCAGGGAAGAGATAAGGATTGTGTTGTCATGTGATGAAATGATATTGATATGAAGGAGGGATTCGCATTAGGAATATGAGAGGGTTTATGCATGCATGGCATGGTCATTAGAGATGGTGTTATTTGGTTATTTATGGCTATGGATTGCTTCATGGAAAGGATCGGTTGGGTTACGAAGCGTGTATTATTATGACTATGGAATGATTAGGGAAGCACGGGGTGAAATGAGTATTTGAGGGCTTAGCAGGTAGCTGGAATATAGAATATGGTCTTAAAATGGATTTTTACGTGAATGGGATTATGTATAGTGTATTTGATGGGCTGTGTTGTGATATTTGCGGCTGGCTGTAATTCGGTGACGTGCTGAAGATTGGCCTTGGAATATTAGGAGGGATCGACGGGCAGGTATTTCTCCCGTTGAACAGCAACTCGAGGAGGCTTGCTTTAAGATGGACGAGAAGACGCCCTATGAGTTTGTCTACGAAATTCAACGTATTTTTGAATCTATCGACAATACCCACCTCTACCCGATTTACCCTCACTACTACGCGCACTTATGACAGCTTTTCTTCTTACCATGGCTACCACAATCACTGCCACCACCAGCACAATGCACACACGTCCCTAGATCTACACTAATAGCCCCACCGCCCCCACCGCCATCACCACCGCCACCCCCTCCACATTCATCACCATGGTCTGTTACCGTATCATCGCCATCGCTATCATCGGAACTATCAGATCCACCCCCACTATCTCCAGGCCAGCCACAACCGCCACCTGCAGACGCTCTGAAACATAGCCCGTGGTGGTGGCGGCAGGTCCGGTGGGGATGTCCGTGTCTATATGTGTGTCGGTGGTTTAAGCGATGGGCGTGTTCTATGCAGTACATCCCACCACCTCCTAATCCTGCTACACCGGCTGTTGTTGTTGATGTTGTAGGTATGGTTGTTGTGGTGATGGCGTTGAGACTGGGATTATTACATCCGGGTTCGATACACCGATGCGCGTCGCAGAATGGAGATGATGGGGCTAACGCAACGGCGGGGTTTGTTGCTGTTGTTGGGAATTGAAGGGGAAAGTTGGGAGAGGGGATGGTAGGTGTGGAGGAAAAGAGAGCGGGTGAAAGTGTTACGAGACAGCCGATGGCGCGGCATACGTGGTACTGACATGCGGTGGCGCTAGGTAGTGTCAGGAGGGTGCAGGTTGGGAAAGTGCATTTTGTGGTCAAATCTAAGAGACGAAATAGTAAGTAAGCTTTTCAGCAACGAATAGGAAATAAAAGAGCTATACATACGTTCCTCACAACGTCTCGACCTCTCTCCCCGCCCCTTCATCATACGAAAGGCCTCACACCCAGGTTCTTCACATGGCTCATGGTCGGCACAATGTAAAGGATTACTCGCGCTACCCTCACGTCTGTTGGCGCAGTCCTCACGACGGGTTAAAGCCGCCATACACATGTGGTCGGCGCACCATTTGCCTTTTTCGCCTGTGGCGATGGCGCCCGAGTCGTAGGTCTGCTTTCGACATCCGGAGTCGGCGCATTCGTGGACTACGCAGAAAAGGCCCCGAACGGGGTCGGCGCGGGGGAGGGGGCAGGTTGGATATAGGGCGCAAGTGTGGTCGCGACACTAGAGGGTTAGCAGATGTTCTACCCAAGGATAAAGGAAAGGGGGTAACATACACCCTGCGCGCCCTCGCTCTCAACACGTACCCCGCCGCACCCTGGAGATACCGCGCAGTAATGCTTAAAGCAGTACTTCGCCGCACGATTCGCAGCGTCGATCAGCACGAAAGCATCACATCCATCCGCTTTGCATATTTGGTGGCCGTAGCAGTAGAGATGCTTGCCGGGCGATGGTGACGAGGAACGGGAGGAAGAGGAAGAAGGGTCGACGCAGTTCGTGCATCCCCTGCCATGGCAGGTGTGTTTCTTGCAACATTGACCTGGGCTCTGTCGAGGTTGATCGCATTCCTTTACGCTGCAGGCGTGCTTTTCGCAATACGATGAGTTCTTCCTCGAGCGTGGTTCTTTACAGTGGGACTTGGCGCATCCGTCTAGATGGAAATGTTGTTAGCTAGAGATATGGCACTTCTTAATGTGATGCGGCGCAATTATATCGAATAGAGCAGAAGTAGGGAGGGGAGAGGGTTGAATGAAAGTGAGACCAACGTTCGGCGCAGAACGGGAAGTGCGGATCGTGCCCCTTTCTCCAACCCCGACACCTCCGGCCCGCACAGATGTGTTCGCAACGAATATCTGGAAGCAGAAATCAAATTGTGTTGGTAATTGGTTCTTGATCTTGTCTTCCCATCGCCTCATTCCATCGAACGCCCGCTCTTAATTTTCCCCGATACGGGGATGGGAAGTAAAGGGACCAGTCTACTCACGATGATGGCATATCCTATCCTCGCCATGACCACGCTTGACGCACTTATGGCCCGCGGTACAGACATGGAGTCTACAATACGGCGAGAATACGATGCCGTCGCTGATCCTCTTATTGTTGCAAGTTTTCACGTAGCACTTGAGATCCGCGTGGAAGCAGAGCTGCCAGGGTGAAAGTGCCATGATGGTCGTTCCTCGATTAATAAGGTCTATGAGAAGGCGACGTATTCCGAATTTCTGAGAAATCCATACGAGAAACCGAGGGTCATTCTCTTCTCCTTTTGAGTTCGAACAGTCAAACTTCATCAACTAGGCAATCCCTTGAGTCAATGAGGCTCAAAACCGGCCACGGCACCTTGGCGGCTCTCTGCTCATCATCGAAATATCCCGCGGGTAGATAACCACCATGCTGGCAGGTCCGAGCCAAACACGGCTTGACGTGGTCAAGGGGCGTAGGATGGTAAGGCGTAAGGGTCCTGGTTGGATTTATCAAACATGAAATATGCTTCCACAAGGGTCCCGTAAGGCTGATGGTTAGATGAAGAATCGTGATGTAGTTTGCCACGTTCATCGGATGATAATATCTTCCTACGACGGCCGGTAACATATCAAGAGATCCTGGTTATAGGCCAAGAATGCTTCTCAGCGCGGCTTAATTCACGGTCTTTAACAGCTGTAAAAGAATGCCAATATACCTAAAATTTCGCTAATGTGCGTATTAAGCCAAGTCTCGGGTACCATATATTGCCTCCAGAAACATAAGACATAATTTTTATCGCCCAAATTCGGGTACCCCCGAATTGACTCCAACATAGTCACAATCCAGATACCCGGTAAGGTAATTCCAGAAGCCTCTTCACGTAACACGGCTCGGGCCATTACATCAACGGCAAGCAACCGCAGATTGGGACCAGGACAACTATCCACTCTGTTACTTTACGTACGATCCAACAGGGCGGACATAGGCGAACTTGTATCACACAATCGGGGACAACTGAGATTCATTCATAGCCACTTTTCCTATTTCCTATTCCACTACCATTCATAGCTACGCGTAACGCAACGTTTGTCCAGCCAAGTTTTCCTAGGTACCTTGCTACACCTACACCAAGGCTAGAAAGCCCTCCCCAACCATCAAAACAAAGACCGCCCTGGGGTATCAATCATGCATGCCATGAAAAAAAAATCGTAACTTCTGACCAAGAGAAGAATAATAAAAAGAAAAAACAATTACTAGGTGCGCAATCCCTGCGTTCCTTTACCAATACCAATCCTATCGCATCGGCGTGGCCGCGGGTGTGTTTGAAGTTGTAGTCGCGGAGTGTGGATCTCCCTCGGAGTTTGCGGCTTGAGATGCCAATTCCCTTTCCTTTTCTAGAGCGTCTCTTAGACCGAGTACCGCGGCATCTACACTGCTGAGCTCGTTCTTTTCTGGTTCGTGGTTTTCTACCGCTGGAGCTGTTACGGATGCAGTCATAGGCGCGGGAGGCGCGGTAGTTACTGGTGCTGCTACCGGAGGCGTCGTAGTGGTTGTAGCAGGTGTTGTATGTCGCTCCGTATGTGAAATAGGAGATGATTGCGCGTGATGAGACATTGATGTAAGGGTGGGAAGGCTAACTGGCTGTGGTGCGGGTATGACTGGGCGTGATAGAGGTACTGGTGTGTGTGCGGGTGTTTGGTTTGGTTGTTGAGGGACCCTTGGTGTTCCAGGTTGTGAGTTGGGATGTGACAACGGCTGATGAGGTGTCGCGCTTCTGGGGGCTGTTGCCGCTGGGCTTTGTCTCGATGCCGCGTTATTTTGCAAACCACCCGCTAGGGTTAGGATTCCGTTGACATGAGCTTGCTGCTCCTCTGAATTAAGTCTCGCCTTCTCCTCGGCCTCTTTTCTCGCAGCCTGGGTAGGGGCCCTAGTCTTTAGCTCGCCAGTTACACACTGGAGATAATAAGGCATTTCGGAGTTTGTCTTGAGGAAGAATAGCTTCAGATTCCTAGCTTTATCCTTAAGTTGGACTTGGGTACGATCTGCGAGGATATTGCTGATGGATCCATTCGGGCCAAACAGTGACAAAATCTGTGACCAATGAGGACCCTTCACCATATCCAATCCCATCATGAGCGCTTTTTCCTCCTCGGCACTCCAAGGTCGGCGGGTTGAATGCGAACCTTCGCGACGTGCATGGGTGGATGATCGAGCCGCTGCAGCCTGCCGTGCTCGTTCATAAAGCGCCGGCGTCGAATCACTTTGATTGGGAGGGAGATGATCATTAGCTGTTTGGTATACGGGCATTCCATTGGGGGGATGTTGCTGATAGTGATAGTATTGCTGCTGCTGCTGCGGTTGTGGTTGCGTTTGTTGCGTCTGTTGTTGGGGCTGAGATTGTGATTGTTGAGCTTGATAGTTGTTATGATTGGAAGTAGAATGAGAAGAAGCTATATATGATTAGCAAATATCGATACATACCCGGGTATTAAATGGATTTGCTTACTACTAGATTGTGGGAGTGCTGTCGGTTGATATTGGTTCTGTTGTATACTTTGCAAAGCTAGCATCGTAGCTCTCGAGGCGCTTTCGGCCGCTGATGCGATGGCAGATGGCAATTCTGTGTTTGTAGCGCTCTCTTTCGCCTGCTCAACTGCCTTGGATACATTTTCTGCAAGGAAGGCAGAAAGTTCATCTAACTCATGAGACTCATGGACCGTTTCGCCGCTTGGCTCCAGAGCGCTCTGAGCTGCTCTTGAAGCTTCCGCGATCATAGCATTGATATCAAAGGCATCATCTAAGCCATGATCGACATGACCGTTTTGAACAGGATCCTGAGCGGGATCCTCCGTAGATGTCGTCGTCTCCACTTTACCAGTACCTAGAGACCTGATACTCTCTATATTATCATTGAGGAATGTGCTTAAACTGTCAAGAAAGGCCTCGTAGGTAAACTGTTTACCAAGTGTTTCTAGGAAAGGGTCAGCATTCTCATTCTGTATTCATCAAATGTTTCACACGTACGAGTATTATTAACATCGGCGGACTCATGCAACAGCATGGTCCGGCGCGCTCCCACGCTTGCAATAAACTCATGCTCCGCCGTTGTTAATGGAAATGCCGGGTGGTGTTCTTGTATGGTATTCTCAAGACCTGCTGTTCCAGTGAAAATCTCCTCAAGCAACTGGTCCTTGGCTTTTCCCTGTTCACTTTCCAAAAGTGCGAGGAATATCTGAGTTTTCAGGCCCAGGTATAATTCTGCTGCATCTCGCGGCACTTCCTGGTTCTCAGGGACAAATATTCGTAGGAAATGGTCATTAATCTCCTCCAGTCCAAGTTCGTTTGTACCGAACACACTTGCGCATGCCGTCGCAAGGTTAACTATTCTGATAACTTCTCGTGTTTGATTTATGACGTTTAATTGTTCGGGATACAAGATATTCGAGTCAGACAATAGTTTTCGCTGGCTATCGAATGCGGTTTTTAGTACGGTATATTCCTTAGCAATATCCGAGTCCGAATCACCGCTTAAAGTAGCAACGGTATCTTCTAGGGACTGTTCCGACCACGCGGTGATTATATCCACGGCCTATAAGGTCTTAGTCGCTCAAGTATGGCCAACAAATTTATATAATGCTCACCAAATTACCAAGCGCAGGTATAATATGTTTGCGACGAGTAAAATCTCGAGGATTGCTCCAAAGAGATTCGGGTCGCGCTTCCGTGTTTTCTACAGGAGTATGCGCTTGTGGTTCGAATTCAGTTTCGAGGTCTGGCAACTCGTGAGAAATGTGGTGGATATGTTCGTCATCGTTAGGTGGAAGGCCATCATCAACGCCGTTAGGTTCTGATTGGAAATTCTGCATGGCCTCAGCCTGAGCTTGCTGGACAAGGAGCGCAAACTCGTCCATCTCATTCCCATCGCCGTTCTCAACCTTTGGTCGCTTCTCGTCTCTCAGTTTCTCGCCATCTTCGTTAGGAGTTCGCTGTCTTTTGAGAGGGGAAGGCGGCGGATCGGAGACGGCGTCTATAACCATGGGATCGCTATGAGATGGTTCGGCTTTAATCTGAGGACCTTTTCGCATCATGTTAGCAATGAACTTATTGTACTATATAATTACTAGTTGGTCACAGTAGTAATAAGAAAGCTACTTCTCGCCCGGCGTGAAAAACAAGCAAGCAGTAAGAGTGAGGTCATTCGCGACTTACTAGTTGGCGGCACGACAGCAGCCATGGCGGCCGCAATAGCCTCTGCGACATCAGCCATAGGTCAACTTATTTTACGCGACACTAAGTACATCGGCGTGGAAGGTCAATTGGATGTTAAAGGAGTGGAAAGTGAGGTAATGGTAAAGTTATCGCCGTTTACAATTCACAGGTACCTATGATGGGCATGGATAGGTAAGGTACTGTACTGTAAGTGTTGATATCGGCGAAAAATTTAGTCAAAGCGCCGCGATAAGATTAGAAAAATTGCCCTCTATTCTTGCCCCAAAAACTTTGGATCCTTCCGATACACAAATATTTTGTATTTTTTAACTAATTTCTAAGTAAACTCATTTTCCCTCTTTTTTCCTAGCAGAAAATCTTGAATTTAGTCAATTTTTGCTAAAATTTATTATATATTAGTATTATCAAACACTACATGTTATCTATATTGCAAAATCTAAGTATAGCACGTTTGACAGTGGGAGACCGGATTTTAAGAAATACCTAGCATCCTTAGGTAGTGCAGTTACACACATATCAGTACTCTCCACCGAACTCCGACGTTAGTCAGCAATCGATCAGTAGTAGTTTACAGTGCCAACCGATTACAGTTAACTAAAAGCTAACATGCATTGGATCCATCGGTTCCTGTATACGCCGTAGCCAGGCATACGGCATGTAGGTTACCGGCACAATGGTAGGAACCAAAGTGTAGTTATGAGTCAACTTGATGAAGCAGGGGTAGAACCGCTTCGAATTATGATATATGAAGAGGATAGAGTCTCTCCATTTACTTAACTTATACTTATAGTTGTCCCAATCGCTATTCCGAATAGACACTTACCAATATGGCATCTTCCGCCGACGAGATCCGTGCCACGATCGAGGCTTCATTCACCGCGTTTCTTAAACGCCAAAATGTCTCACCCGGTCAAGAGAAACAACCACCGTGGTCAAGTTATATATTACCAGACACATTGTGGTACGTGAAGCCGGACAGCTTCATAGCGGAACACCCCTTCTTCAAGGGTGTGAAAACGATCGCTGAGCACGAGGAGCATGTGGCGCAAGAAGCTGGTGTGATCGAGGAGTCGCGACACAAAATCCTACACAGTGTCTATGATTCCTCTGCACGTAGGGCCAGTGCTATCGTCGAGCATTGGACGAAGCTTTTCGGCAAGGAACCCTCGGCTATAGAGGTATGCTGGTACGTCGACTTCACGGAAAATGGAAAGATGATCTCGCGGGTAACTCAATTCATCGACACAGCGCTTGGTGCGAAGATGGTTAAAGGCCTGGCTGAGGGAGGATACGATATGGATAAAGCGGACACTAAGAAGTAATTGAGATTTGCTCGGTCTCTAATACCTGGTTCTGTCTCTGAGATTGCCGATAATGAAAGCAAGCCCATGTCTCACAGCCACTTATAACCCCAACCATCAAAATCGCAATAAATCATTTCAGAGGTCTTATAAGCATGAAGGGTCCTAGATGCGTAGTAGTGGACTGAGTCCCTACATATACCGGAGTTTTTAAACGAATCTATGGCTAGTTTCTTGCGCGCTGCTCCTTGACTCGTCAATTGGAACTTCAACGTCGGTATCCATTGGCCCGTAAACTACCACGTAGAAATCGCAAGTAAATAGCATTATCAGCGAACTTCCAGACATGCAATGGGTCAATAAGAGCCGTGTTGTACCTGAGACCCTCAAGGTGCGCTATTAGACTCGCTGCTTGTTAACCCGAAATGACATTCAAGCCACCAATGACTGGATCCCTGCAACAGTGTATACTATCTACTCGATATTGATGTAATTGTCTACATGTATAGAAAATGATTCCAAATCAACTGATTATCATTGAAGCGATTGAGTAACCGATGAGTGAAGAATGAAAAGGCGAATACACCCGACAATTCCAATCACTCCTAAAAGAGACTGCTTCCTGCAGTTAACCGCCCTGTCTCACATTACGTGGGGTTTTCTCCCATCTCCCATCTCCCGGAGGAGCGCGAGTACAGCAGTAGAGGATACAAGGTGGGGTTAACTACCCATACTACAAGTGGACGAAGAAGAATAGGAGAATACATACTCCTATTCGTCCCACTCGCATTAGTTGCAGATTTGTATGTATGTTTCGTAGGTAAGATCGTATACAGTAAACCGAGAACCGTTCGTCCGTGTAAGAATCATAACCCAACGTACAGTTCTGTTGAGAATTCGGCTGGATATATCGTATGTTTAGCAGGAGGTCATCCAATCCTAAATAAGTCGCCACGCTATAAATGTAAGAGCCGATGCATGTAAGCCAACGTAGATAGGGAAATGATTATAACTTATATCCGAAACAGGAAATTCGAAACCCGATAACGACTAATAACAGCTTCAAGGGGCGATGAAACTCGTTGCGGCTCGTGTCCGTTTCTGTAGAATGAGTCTTCCGTTTGTCCGTATGGATTCTTTCACGGACACTGGTCGATGATGCTGCAGCTTCGTCTGCATATACCAGGATGACCAATGTCCAATACCATAAGCACCTAAATAGAGGACGAAAATATTCCTCCGCAATGCGGGGAAGACAAGGTCTTCATCAAAGCTTACATATGATATGATAGATGTGTGCTAGGTATGCATCGGCCGATTTTATGAGATGGTTGACTGGTGTGGCAATGGAAGTCTTCTGCAAAGTGATTAGGTTGTGTAATACCGAAAGTTGATATCCATTCATTCCCTCCATGAATATAAGAGATAATTAAGGGAAATATGATTTCATTATGATATCTATCACATACATCAATAGTATGAGTGGACAAGTGGGCTACAGTAGAGCTACAAAACTACTGCGCGTACAGTAGCTGAGTATACTAAGAGTATATAATTGGTTGATTGAAAACCCTTACATAGAAGAATGATCTTAGAAATATCCTGCCGTATAAAACGCTTTGCCTTCAAGTAAAATGCGGGGAAGCAACAGAATAGACGCGCTCTGAAACCCACTTAAATTCTCTAGTTCTAAGCAAAAAGTGACGATATGCGGAGCTAATTCTTTCTAAATGACCACCTGCTACATCACCTAACCAGGCAGTACCTTGCTAGTACGAAAACTCCAACATTAGGTCAAGTTAAGATGCATTCCTATATACAAACTATCTAAGGCAGCGTGACTGGTCTATTGTCCGATTGACCAATCAATTAGACTCCTTCAACTCCTGCTCCTCCGTGAACCAAACAAACTAAACGCCTCCTGTTACCCCGAGGAGAGAAAACAAGAGCAGAGAAGAAAAAGAGCCCCATGTGTCCGGCAGAGTGGAAATCCTCCGTTCCACTCACTACAAGCACCTAAAGTAAACTAATGTATGTACATATGTACGAGTACGACGATGGTGATACATCATGTACCTTGAAAGTTACCTAGGTACCTAGGTACTATATCAATTGGGGGGGAACGGGTAGCCCTCACCCTCCCCCATCGCCACGCAATGACACCGTAGAGTAATTACCCCGCCTTTTGTTTCTCGTCGGGAAGCAAAGAACAATCATTCCTGGCCGTACAAAAGACTTTGAGTAACCCTCCATCTTCCCACGCATCTATCTACCTCACCTACATATAATATCTTCCAAGCCAACCCCATCTCCAAGCAGGCTCTCTCATATCACTCTACATAATCCTTCGATACAACAGCAGATCCACGAAAGCCTAAATAACCCCCTGCATCGAAACGAAAGGACTCGTTGACAATATGCCTCTTACTGTGCAATTAAAGACACCACTCACTGGCGAGTATACGCAACCCACAGGCCTGTAAGTCAGCACTAAAGTAGCATCAACCACAAACCCCCAGCACCTTTCCACCAATCGAGGATCATTCTACAACGTCTCAATTACCCTTTTCGTCCATTTTCAGCTAACCATTTCTCTTTTCGATTTAATTAGGTTTATCAACAACGAGTGGGTTGAAGGCGTTGACAAGAAGACCTTTGAGGTCGTCAACCCCACTACCGAGGAAGTTATCTGCTCGGTATCCGAAGCCACAGAGAAAGATGTCGATATCGCAGTAGCTGCAGCCCGAAAAGCATTCACCGGCCCATGGAGGCATACCATTACTCCTCTTGAGCGAGGTCACATCCTGACCAAGTTCGCCGATCTCCTTCAAGCGAATTCAGAGCTGCTATCCGCAGTTGAATCTCTCGACAATGGAAAGTCTATCAACATGGCAAGGGGTGATGTCCAATCCGTCATCAACTGTATTAGATACTATGGTGGTTGGGCCGACAAGGTTGAGGGTAAAACCATTCCCATCAACCACGAAACTTTCCACTACACCAGACACGAACCGGTACGTCATAATTGCGGGGTCAAGCGTAGGCCCAGACGAATCACTAACGATCTCTAGGTTGGAGTTTGCGGTCAAATTATTCCCTGGAACTTCCCGTTGCTAATGTTGGCCTGGAAGATTGGACCCGCCCTCGCTACAGGCAATACTGTTGTTCTTAAGACTGCTGAGCAAACACCCTTATCTGCACTTGTTCTGGCAAAATTCATCAAGGACGCGGGTTTCCCGCCCGGTGTCCTGAACATCATTTCCGGTTTCGGAAAGGTCGCTGGTGCCGCCATCTCGTCCCATATGGACATTGACAAGGTCGCTTTCACCGGCTCTACCGCTGTCGGCCGTACTATCATGAAGGCAGCAGCTTCGTCTAATCTCAAGAAGGTAACCCTGGAGCTTGGTGGCAAGTCACCCAATATCGTGTTTAACGATGCAGACATCGAGGCGGCCATCTCCTGGGTTAACTTTGGTATTTACTACAACCACGGCCAGTGCTGCTGTGCTGGTTCTCGTGTCTACGTACAAGAGGGCATCTACGACAAATTTGTAGAGGCTTTCAAGAAGAGGGCACAAGAGAACAAGGTTGGCGACCCCTTCGACGAGCAGACATTCCAGGGTCCCCAAGTCAGCCAGCTGCAATATGACCGTATCATGGGCTATATTGAGGAGGGTAAGAAGGAGGGAGCTACCATTGCAGTAGGTGGTGAGCGCCACGGAAACAAGGGTTACTTCATTCAGCCTACCATCTTCACCAACGTCACTTCCAAGATGAAGATTATGCAAGAAGAGATCTTTGGCCCTGTTGTTGCTGTGGCCAAGTTCAAGACTGAAGAGGATGTTATCCAGATGGGCAACGATAGCGCATATGGGTTAGCCGCCGCCGTCCACACTAGCAATATCACCACCGCTATCCGTGTAAGCAACGACCTACGCGCGGGTACCGTTTGGGTTAACAGTTACAACATGCTGTCGCACGCTTTGCCGTTCGGCGGTTTCGGCGAGAGTGGTATCGGTCGCGAGCTGGGAGAAGAGGCCCTTTACAACTACACCGAGACTAAATCCGTCTCTATCAGGTTAGCAGGCCCGATATACTAAGTGCGAAAGCCAAAAGAAAAAAAAATCAAAATCAATGTATTTGGGACGATCCGGTATGCTGCTCGCTATGTACCTAAGAAGAACCGCGATTTGCAGGTCGATGATACCAGCATGGCTGAAGAAATGGCATATGAGTTCCTGTGTATATCAATATCAACTTTAGCTAGGTAGCTAGTTCGTTATGATGTATATTCCCCTGTCTCTTGGCGAACTGTATTGACGATCGTGTTTTCTTGTCGTGTTCTAATTTTGGCATCTGTTTGGTTTCTTCGATTGACGTCTGGATTGTTCCTTCGATTGTTTAGCCGCACTATACCTTGTCCTGACTATAGACAAGCTCGAGGGTAATGACGGAGAGGGCGAACGAATGGGCAGATTTGGGAAAAGTTGATAATATTAAGAGGTACGGAGGGGAATGGAGGCCTCTTATGTAAAAAAGGTCATCCACCACGTTTCCGCATTTTCTGGAAAAAGGATTCAAGGCCTGGTAGGAGTCATATCATGGTCGTGGGGGCCGATGACCTCGAAATCCTCAAAATAAATCCGCCTTGAACGAACCTGGGTGGCATTAGCTTGGGTTCATAAAGGAATGGGTCGGGGCTGAGCTGAGAGTTAGATTATCCCCCCTTGTCCTTGTTTGTTCATAAGATCGAGCCGTCCAGGTGGATCAGCTGAGGGGTCTGTGCGCATGATAGGGCTGGTATATACCCACTTTCTTTTCGTCTCCACTATTTTTAATTGGCTCCATGGGCACGGGTCGGAAGCTAATGCACCTTTCCTTTCGATGCATCGTCCGCGCTTATGTGCGATCAAAGTTCCTGCATCTTGATTGATACCCAAACCCAAGAAATCTAAGATGGATTATACTATTAAACTACTATACACCCTCCGTCGTAAGCTACCTCCTTGATGAAATTACCACCAATTTACTTCGAACAATCTTATCTATTTTTCTCGTATTTATCGTATTAATTTCCTCGAACCCACAACGGTAAGGCCGTAATGAGGACCATGTTTTTACAAATCCGGTTGATTATGATAACAAAGCCAAATGACCAGGGCCTTTCTAAGACATAGTAAGGTACTCAAAAGTCAACTGAGAGTATTAGTCTTCAGGCGCTTCATGTCCGATGACGTCTAAGTCGGCCCCCCTAATAACTATACAGCCCATCTGTTTGAGGCTGGGATTATAGCTAACCTACCTAGCTCCCCTAACCTGGTGGCCCTAGTCGCTACGGCTTACTTCGTGTACCTGGGGCCGTTAGCAACGTTTGTATCTTGTGAATCAACCTACTAATCCCAAAACCCTCACCCGCCATTACGGTGCCGTCAACCGGGAAACGCATGAGATTCATTCGCAAAGCCCCGTGATAGCAAACCCCTAGACTTTTTAGACTTCATCTGTTGCCTCTCGCCCTCCCCACCATAGCCTCGTGCGGAGGCCTATCAAATGTCGATGCCTAGGATTCATCTTCTTATAATGGAGTCCCCTTGCATACCCGTCCCGACCAACCTTGGCTGGTATATCTCTTCCTATTCGTCTTCACATCTACTAGCTTCTGCATCTTACATTCGTAGTAACTCTGCAGAACGCAGGTTCATCGTGCTTTTATCCAGTCAAAGCTCTTGCCCTGTCGATCATCACCAACGTCAAGACCAAATTTCCACGTAACCTAACCTATCACATTTTCGTTTTTTTCGCGTTGACCCTCAACTCGAGGGAACGCTTCATATCCATATCTTTCCATATGTTCGAATACTACATCCGAACGTCCCCGACCAGCCGGCGCACAAACTCATACCACTTCCACCACGACCACCGCGATCACTCCCACAGCCACCGACACCACTACCGCACGCGATGCTTCGATAACTGCGCCGGCATCTCGCTCGAGCAATGGAACACGCTCTGCGACCAAAATAAATCCGTACTCGCCTCCAACGAGGCGCTGACCTGCGAAAATCAGACCCTCAAAAACGATCTCTCGACTTCGAATGCTGAGAACGCGCGTCTGGTCGCGTGTAACCAACAACTCGGCGACGAGATCGAAGGGTTACGCCGCTCGCTTGACCGTGGGGAAAATGCAGAGCGATTCCGCAGACGGGTTGCTGCGCTAAGAGCAGAGGTTGGGGGGAAGGAGAAGGATGTGCACCGGTTGGAGAAAGATAATGCTAGTCTGGTGAAAGAGAACGCTACACTTACTACAAGAGTAAAAGTATTAACAGAGACTGTGTCTGGGCTTTTTGGGTTTGAGAGACTGTATGAAGATTTTAAGGAGCGGTATGAGAAGGCTAGAAGATTGCTGGCGGCGCGCACGAAGGAGTTGGATGAGAGTAATGCGTTGGTGGATGAGCAGAGGAGAATGTTGAGACGGTATGAGACGCCGTTGCCGCCGAGACGGCGGTATAGTTTTGTATGAGGGGTTTTAGGGGGCTTAGGAATATTGTGGAGTTGTCTTTTGATGGCTACGATGTGGTGCTTCTCGAATCTGCAATTTGGAGGGGCAAACCAAGAATGTGTCTTGTAAGTTTTATTTGCATTTTCTTCATTTTTCTCCTGTTTTCAATTTGCTCATGTTGTTCTAGACTACATCTTGCATTTGGTGGGTTTCATTTTGGCATTTTGGCATTCAGGGGGCCACATAGGATCAGCATAGGAGCAAGAGATGGGTATTGGGATTTTTCTTCACTTCTACATCATGATATAACAATTTTTACATGTACTTTTCAAAACTGGATACCACTACTTCGATTCATTTCTTTTGTTTTTCATTTCTACATTGATTAGTTTTTGCATTAGCTTAAGGCGGGATTTGGAGAGAAAGTAGGGTAGATTGATGAACCCCGAAATCAGTAATTAGGAAATAGATGCAACAGAACTCGCATTTGAAAGCGAAATCATGAGATATAATGAGTCAACCCTTTGCAAATCCCGCGGGGTGAGCATTTTTGAGTCCAACGGTCGGGTGCTTAAGCCATTGACCCGTGGAACTCGGTCTAAGCCAGCTGTCATGTGAGAAGTCATTTCGATGCCCAGCCCACACACCATTGGGGACTAACACATGATACTACTTACATACCCTAACATATGCTGAGCCGAGGAAGTATCATAGTTATCGTCCCACGTAGAAATGCTCTAGTACCCGAAACTGCACTTTCCTATGTCTCACCGGCTCGCCTACGTACTAGGGGTAGTACTACTACCACCACCACAACCAACTCATCAACCACGATCTCAATAATCCTGTATTCATACCGCGAGTTGACCGCGCCCGACCATTAGGCCGTTATTCATACTAGAAATCTTGGGGTAGCTTCATGGATAATGACCTACCACCTACCTCTCGTAGCGAGGTGCTGACAGTAATACCCTTGGCGAGGCTGCCTTGCCGGAGCTACCCAGTAACTCCTAACCCCTTTAACGAGCACACGACTCCACCCCCGCAGGACTTACGCTGAAGTGTAGTATTGTGCGAGTGGAAAAGGCTAAAGTACGCATACAACACGTAGATCGCCACCCGCAGTGGCTTGCTTGTCCTAATTGTCTAGCATGATCCTTCGAACACAGTACTGCTTAGGAAGCTAGGATAGTAGTAGATAAGATGGAATGTCCGAGAAAGAAAACTTGGGATGCAAGTCTCGCTTGCTGGTCTGGTACCTATGTACAACTAGGTTGGCTTGCTTTTTTATTAATTAGCGATTATGCAACCACTATGTGGCGATCCTTGGAACAGCTTACCATCTAGAATTCAGCCGTCGAATTTCAAATTCAAGGTTGGGAGTCTACATAGTTTAATAACAAAATCAATAGATGAATAATTAGACGTCTTAATACTTCAATGTTCTGTATGTTGGTTGGCTGGCGTCTAGCTGTCGTTCCTTGCGGGCAACCCACGGACATTACAGGGTGATCCACAGGTTTTGGTTGGTTGCCGCTCAAGTGATGACCTAAGAGGAGTTCTCAGCCGCGGACCACGAACCCGTTCGAGCGAGTAGGCAGAGATATTTTTGGTACCCCACTACTTTGAACACACTACGTTTCTCTAATAGTTCGGACTTTGTACTGTACGGCTACATCGGCTTCCTCTCTTATCGCTCGGTAAATTCCCCACGGGATGTAGGTAGGACTAGAAAATCATGTACGTAATACCTAATACGTATAGTACCTGTCGATGCCAATGCTATCATTGACAGCTCAGCATCGGTATCACCGGATTGTTCGCGGACTTTTGGCTTGAATCGCGAAAGTGCAATTTTCTGGCTTCCCTTGCCTTCTCCTGAATATCTCGGGAACTAAAAAGTTTTCGATGGCTTGCTAGCCGGCTGTGCTTTGCTTCGGGAGGTAACTTGAATATCCCGAATTGGCGGAGAACAACAGGGTCACCGCTTATTTACACGTGTAAAGAAGATGTTGAGGGTGTGTAAGAGAGTGAATTTCCTGGGTTTACCTATAGTGAACTGATCTTCGTGTATATGTAGCGTAGGAGAGGCTGTTGGGGTCGGTTTCGATACATGTCAATATTGGTAGTGTTCTGGACTTTCAGGAATGGGTTCCTTGATAATAACTCGTTGAAAAAAGTTGGTAGAGGAGAACAAGCTGGGCCAGCCGCAGTGGCTGTACCCTTTAATGATGTAGGGGGTAAGGATTACTAAACTTAGATGCAGTGACTAAGCACTTTATTCATGGATAGCTCGTGTACTTAGGTACAAAATGGTTGCCTACTCTTCCTATCTTGGCTTAGCGAATTCTGTTCATCGCCCCGCAGTTTTTCCACTTTGTTAAGTGGACCAGATCAATCAGATGCTTTCCAAGGCTTTCAAGGTCCGCCAAGTCTCCCCCCATCTTTTTTTCCTATCTGCCTCCCAATTTTGGTTAAGGGACCAGGGACACCAACTGGAGATTCCGTTCTCCTTCAGCCCTGCTAGGCAAGAATCTCAAATCGTGACAAGTAGGAGATCAACAATCAAATGTATTTGATCGGACGTCATGTATTTCAATGCATGAGGTTATTCTGATACCCTTAATGCAGCCCGCCTGTGAGTCATCGATGCGGACCGTTGCTTGTCCTAATCTTTGCTGGCCTCGATTGATTTTTTCTAGATCAATGGATGTCATTCAATCGACCATGCAGAAGAAACCCATGATTCTGGCTGGTTAGGCATTTTTGGTGGGCAGAATGCGCGCCAGTGCGGGATACAGCTTTACTCGACGCACTTGCGCAGAAGACGGCACTGCACTGCCAGAATTAAGATCGCAATTGAGAACCGCTTGACCTACATATCGGATGCGACCCAGAACATTACGTCTAGGTGGATTGTTTTGGGGGCTGAATACCTAGGTACTTGAGCGGTCAACGCAACCGGCTCGATAAGACTTCTGATTTTTTCGGTGAAAAGCTGGCCACCCCAGGGCCCAGCTCAGATCAAGGAGGGAAACACAAAATGCCGTCTCACAGTACCTAGGTACTAGACTTTTCTGGCTGTATCCTTTTCTTTCTTTTCAGGTGCAACAGCTCCCCCATCCCCGATCTGTCAGTTGGCGCGTTACTCGTTGCGTGATGCGCCGTGGAGCGCGGGCTGTCAGCAAGGCATCCACCCATCCCATCTCCTCGATTGACGGGGAGTGTGGGAAACAAGTGTTTCCGCCACGGCGCATCCCTAACCTGGGTACCCTTACCATTATTCTCCGTGGTTTAAAGTGACCCTTGGTATACTTTTGAGGCTCATCCATCGGGGAAGGATGCTAGCTACGGACTAGGGGGTCCGTTGCCTAAAGTATGACTCCATGTGAGAGGCAGCCCGGCTTGCTACATTTTTATTAGTACCGATACCTGCATATATCTGCCGTATTCACAACTGCTGTCGTCGGTTTTGTGGTGTAAGTGTTATACATACACGAAGTATCTTTCGAGACTGAAGGCAGCAATCGGCCATTCTCGAATCACAAGACCTGAATTGCCTTGTATAAGTTTATTCTTATTCCATCTCAATCTCTTTACTTATTTTTCTTTGTAAGGCATACTTCTCATAAGTTCTTTCATCATCGTATACTATCCAGCGATCTATACGGACTTATATATTTCTCTTTACTTAGTTGTTGGCTGCCGTCTACATCTCGGTGACTCAACACTGCCTCCCCCCGCCTATACTTTCGCCCGTCTTCAATCGTCGACTATTCCCATTCGCTCGTCTCCTCCTGCATCGTCGCCTCATTGTGAAACACCCCGCAGGCATCTGTTAGAAGTTGTTGCCCTTTGGTGGTGACATTTAAGACAAAATGTCGGACAGGCATGTCTCATTCCAGCTCTCAAACCCGGCTAAGAGCTCATCGAGAAGTTACCGCAGCCGCGAACCGGGACATGACTCAGGCTTGGGTTCGTCTTCTAGTGAACAGGCTAGTCTAGGTGGCAGACCTGATCGTAGATTCACAGCAGAGGACTACCACGACCAACTCTACAGCGTCGGTGCTCTCCAGGAGGCACTGGGTCAAGCGAACAAGAAAGTCGAGCATTGTCAAAAGAAGTGTGCCGATCTGGACAACGAGTTAACCAGATCCCACAGAAATCTTCGGGACACAGAGAGACTCTACCGCGAAGAGTGCGAGAAAAATGAGAGACTCGAAAAAGTCAATAAAGAACTCGAAGATGACAAATCCGCTCTACAGATACAGATAAAAGAACTTAGGATTGACTACGATCAACTAAAGGATGAATGCGACGACTATCGACACCGCTACCGTGCCATCACAGATTCCCCTATCGACGACACCATGAGCGGCGCTAATGGAGAGCCTTTATCCAGAGTAAGACGGTCGGGGAGCAGGCATGACAAGAGTCGCAGAGAATCGAAAGGCACCAGTAGGAGGCATGCCGAATCCAGTGAAGAGAGACCTGGACCATCACGTCGACGAAATTCGATTAGCGTCAACCCAGGTGCTCACCTAAGCAGCAGTAGAGCCTACGTCGAAAAGATGCCAAGTCCGCAGAGACACTCGGGCAACTACACGGTCGATCTAGCATCGGGTCCTATGGATCCATACTCCAACGTCCCTCGAACTCCCCGATCTGCAGCTCAATCGGGTTACCATAGCGCCAGCGATGCTCCGCCCACGGGGAACTACATCCAATACCCAATACAATACCCAACTTACGAACGTGGCCATCGAAGGATTTGATGTGATTATTAGTTGAGAAATCACACCTAGGAACGCTAAATCGGTCGGACGTTGAGGGTGCAGCTACCACTTTCAACACGGATGTTAATACCCGTCTCCTAATGCCGCCAAACCCATTACCCATGGCCACGAAGCTCATTACTTAGATACTTCAACGGCATGTAACATCATCATCACGATGTAATATCAAAAATCCGTTGCTAGTATCGCCTAGGCACATTGACAACACTGTGGCCGCACGACCCCGCGTGGATTGAGGCCTTGCTGGCTTTGCGGGTCCTTCCCACGGCGCCTCACTCTAGCCCGGGATCACTGTATCACTTCGATCTGTACCACCACTTCATCTTTCTCTATTTACGGGCCGTTATTGAAACCATCCATACGCTGAGATCAATATGGCCTATGTGGGCCGGATAGTTAATGCTACTTACATCATCGCAAGATATGGGTATGAGGCAACAACACACGCCTTCCGCAATTCAGTATACATGTGTTTCTTCACATGGCCACGGCGGGGCTAGCGGCCTCTACAGCTCTTCCCCTTTCACATCATTTTCTTCTATTATTCATATTTAAAAAGTGTTATCTTTTGGAAACGGAAGCGAGTTTGGGGGGTGGCTATTTTAGATACCTGTTTAAAGACTGGGGTTACCGTTATGTGTCCCGCATGTTAGCACTTCGCAGTGCCGTCGACAGTTTCATGTTTATTTTTCTTGTTATTTGGATGATCACTTTTTGATATGTACGTTTATGATTTTTGCAACCATGTCATTGGATTACAATCCATATTACTTGGACTATTGATATTACCTGTAGTGAACAATTAAACGTGTACATATGTAAATTCTATCTGGGAGCAAAAGGAGAAGGCGAATAGAAACAGGGTATACCGACCATCCTTTCCGAAACCTTCATCAGTTATATATATGCGAGCTTTTGTCGCATAAGGCTACCGTGGATTTTAATTGCAAGACGACTCATGATACACAGAGATCTACGGGAATTTTATGTCAGTAAGAATGCTACACAAAACCCCATACCATGCAATTGGTAGGAGCGGAAGCTCACCGGGGTACGTGAGTGGTTACCAATCCGTGTAATATTATGGCGGGGGATCTTCTTGGCAGCCAGATTGAGTCTAATTACTTGGTTATGTAAGTGCAGTATCCACCATTCATACTGCTAGGATTACTTGATGATGGATACATAAGTCTCTTTTTCGATTCTATATGGCGCTCATGAAACCGATGATACCAATTCGTTGGAGAAATGGCGACGCTTCCTCCTATCGCGAACTTATGCGAAAGGTGCTGCGTTCTTGAGTTTGACGATTCTACCTGGCCGGGAGCGTATCAAGCTGGCTCCGGTTCTAAAGGAACTCACCTTAGAATTTCAAAGAAACATCGGAACTACCGGTTCAAACTTGATTATTTTCTACTTGATTCAGCGCCTGAGTTCCCGTGGCTCTCTGATACAGCCGATAAAGGATGCGATTTCTGCGTGATACTGAAAAAGGTCGTGGGGAGGTACGTTCGTGATTGCTTCGATGAGCTGACAGTATCCCTTTTTTATGAGTGGTATCGGGGTGACGACTCGATGGAACTCGATGGCGGATCCTTCGGTCTTAAGTCGTTGGTAGCTGAACTTCTGTGGATTGGGTTGGATGAGAAAGGTGCGCCAGTTTCGAAGGAATTGAATATCCAAGGCAGTTAAAGTAACAGTACCTAGGTGATCACTTAAGTTCGTCGATGTGGCTCCAATTTGATATTGATTCTCCCTCTGGTACGTTGAGGCAATTTTTCATTTATTTCAAGATTGATTGAGATAGTTTAGGCCCTTGCGCCCGATGGTTGAGGCTTGTAAAACCCCCGTACGAAGACGCCCTATGCTCGGAAAATCTTGATATGATACTTCATTGCCTGAATCAGAGCGGGCACTCCGAAATCAGAACATTGCCAATCCCACAGACGAAGGCGGAAGTGTCCCCGAGAACATTGTTGGGAGAAGTGTCTCCAATTAAAATGACCAGGTATCCAACCCGCCTAATCGACATAGGAGGCGGAGGAGGCGTATCATGCCGACTTATCGAGACGGGTTCCAATACTAAATTTAAGGATTCTATCTTGGTTCCATACACTACTCTAAGCTATTGTTGGGGACCTGAAGAGGATAGCCTTTTGCAATTTAAGACGGAACGAAAGTCCTTGCAACAACGGTTGAGTGGGTTCGAAATTCATGAAGTTTCGCCAATCGTTCGTGATGCCATCCGCGTCACACAGGCCCTAGGTATACGATACCTCTGGGTAGATGCGCTCTGTATTATCCAGGACGACAGACAAGATTGGGCTAGAGAGTCAACACGCATGTCCCATGTGTACCGGAATGCGACAGTGACGATTTGTACACCGGCTTCGACATCTTGCCAGCAAGGATTCCTCGCTAGAAATTGGATCGCTACGAGGTTGAGATTTCAGTCGCAGATTAACAAGGCAGTAGTTGGATCCTACACGATCAGATTTATTGGCGACGTGATCCACCCCTTCCGTGCGGCCGTCGACTGCTTGACTTTCTCCCTTTCGTATAGCCAGTGGAACTTACGTGCCTGGGTCCTTCAAGAATACGAAAGTTCGCAGAGGGTGCTCGTTTTTGGTAGAGCGAGAGTGCATGTCATAACCGAAAGCGGTGCGCAATCGGAATCAAGCAAAAGGGTAGAACCATCGATCACCGCTTGTGGAACCAAGTACATTAAAAATGACGAACGCGATGCCGAGACGGCGTACCTGAATTGGCTAAATATAGTAGAAGAGTACTCTCTTCGGAAGCTAACCGACCCTTTAGATAGACTCCCGGCGATTTCTGGGCTTGCAACTACGTTGCATCCCGTAAGATACCTAGCGGGACACATGATCCCCTATATTGACCTATTTTGGACTACACTCATTTCATTCGATACTTTACATTTGACGAGGGAAATGCTATTGGACTCACTACAGTCTCGATACGCGTACGTCGCACCGTCTTGGAGTTGGGCAAGCCGCGGTCAACCGATCGAATTCGGCGAGAGACGATTTAAAGTACTTTCGGGGCCGGACCCCGCGCCCGTTGAGCAAGAATGCGAATTGGAAGGATGGACGTCGTTGACGAGTGATTCGCCGTTTGGTCGCGTATCGAATGGTTGTATTACTATTCGCGGTGTGATTGTTCCCTTTCAATTTCAGATGCGATCGTTCGTGAGGGTAGGCTCGCACGATATACCATGGCGGGCATCCGAAGACGGCGAATATGTCGCCGATATAAGCCTTGACTGGAACGAGTCTGGAGGAAGCGAGTCTTTTAAGGAGTTATCGTTGGTCTTGATCGGAAGCCGCCAGGTGGAGGACGATCTCTCCTGGGATCCTGTCCAGATCGTATACGAACATGAGATCAAAGATGATGGGCCAAATTTGAATTTACGAGATCCTACCATGGATATGTGGGTCATTGGAGGAATCCCCGATGCCTCCCATCTCGGATCGTCGAAGGGGAAGTTTGGATATGATAATGGACGGTTGGTATACGGAATGTCTTCAACAAAGTCAGCAAAAACCAAACGGCACCACGACCAACCGCTGGATAACGCGACGGGAGGAAAAGGCAACGAAATGGGGGGAAAGATTAGGGAAGCCTTATACAGTGAAACCGAAGCTCATACGAAGTTATTAAGTCTGAACTCGAACGATAGACAAGCTTCGGAATCAGGATTGAGCAAATCCGATGATAGATACGCCTATGGTCTTGTCATCCATCCCGCGTCAGAACCAGGGAAATACCTCCGGGTTGGGGTATTCCACTCCGTGCCACGGGAACGTGGTGGGTTGCAATACTTTCGGAAGTATCCGACGCGGACGGTGGAGATCATATAGCCTCGTAGGTATGGGTTTAGTCTTCATAACCGCCCAAACTTGGGAATGAATTTCTCAAAAGGGCCGAGAAGCCTCAGTGTTCAGATTTATTTGACTGGCATGGGGCCGAATGGTTGATTGTACTTATAAGTATGACCTACTGATGAAGAACTTACATGTATGAAGAGATAATAAAACGTGTTGTGTTAGGATATATCCCACGCCAGGTTTTATTTGAGACTGTGAGCGAGACGTAGCGGGCTGTGTCGATGTTGCCTCACCTATTTTTCCGAGAAAAAAGGTCGCCAAATTCGATCGCTACGAATTAATCGTGCTAATGAAATTAGGTACCTAGGTAGTTAGGTAATTAAACCAATTGTGCTTAGTTCTGAAGCACGTAGATCCGTACGTGTGAATGGCGTAGAAGGGTGGTGTTGAAAAAGGAAAGAAGTGTAGGTACGCTGCTGGGGCAGGTAGCGACAGACTACAGGTCACTTGTTACACGACAGACAGGACCCCTTCCCGGAGCCTATTAATTTTGGCGGATTACCACTAAATAGTGCAAGTGCGCCTGGTACTTGGGTAGTGCCTTAAATTTAGCGTTACTTGAACCCTGTCGGGTAACAGATCTGGCAGGTATCTAGGTAGTACCTACAGAAGGTTGTTACTAATACGCGCATAACCAGCTCTGTTACCAGCAGGATTTCCACACTTCTAGTAGCCAATCCGATGACTCCACTTTATTTGTCTAACCTTACAACTTTCTTCAACACCCCAACATCATCATCATCATCGACAACAATTCGTCTTATTCTACTTCACCAAAAAATATTACAACATAATAATAATAATGAGAATGGCTGCCATAGGCGCCTTCCAATATTTCAATGATCTCCCTAAAGAACTTCGTATGTTGATCTGGGAGTACCACTTTGAGAGCGCCCGTATCCACGTTGTCCATCCCGCTCCGGAGAGTCAGAACCGAAATCCAAAGAGGGAAGCACTACTATTCAATTGCACCGTCCTGGACTCCGCAACGAACCTCATCATTCTAGATGGTCGACCTCCGTCTTCCCTCATAAACCGCGAGGCCCATGCCGTCGCCCTCTCACGCAAGCGCGTATGGACCCCAGTCCGATTCGGCAAGGATCTCGCTGAGTCCGTCACTTCGGGCCGTGCTCGCGTGCCGATACACTTCACCCTTGTCGCATCTTCCACCATGACGCTTCCGGAGCACAACGAAACATGTACGCAAGCACCCCCCGTATATGTTGACTGGGATAGCGACATGCTCTACCTCTGTGTGTCACATGCCGAGCAGGCATTTTGGTCGATGCGCTCTGTACCATGGCGTGACCGAGTGCGAAAGCTAGCTGTTCTGGTTCCACAAAGCGAGTTTGATAGGGCAATCCCTTTCGGGCCTACGGATCCCATCCGCGAAGTTCTCGAGTTTATGACGGAGCTGGAGGAACTTTACATCGTATTGGTTCCGGATGCTGCCTATGTCGCCGCTGCGACGATACCCAGCCTTTCGCGAGATACATTTGGATTTGTCCCCTACGTCGAATACCTGAGCGCTGCCGGCTTGGCAAGTAATCACATTCTTTATACACGCACTGCTATGTCATTCGGGGAGGCAATTAACGGTATGCACCGGAAAATCATACTAAGAAGGGTCGTCGACGTGGATTATCGCGCTTGCGGTTTCGGTTACTATCGGCGAACTCCGAGTCCGCCGGTGGTGGTGAATGGTGATCGCTTCAGCTAGTTACCACGCACACTGTGCATCACCTCCTAGCATGCTCATGACAACACCAGTTCAGCAAACTCAGTCGCCCATATGTTAGTAGATGGAGATTCTTCGGGTGCACCATTATGAGGCTATATGTCTATGAGCACCAGCGCTGTGTTATTGCTTAGGGATTATTATGGTACTGCGATTGGTATGAGACATCCTTAACACCAAAACCCTTACCTGAATAAATACAGAAATTCTAATACATTTTACCCAGCGGGTGCTATATACTAGTAGATCTTCGAAAAAGTCCCCGCGGAGGATCTCGGTATTAGGAGATGCGTAGCGAACCCATAAGGATTAGTGAGCACATTTTACCCCTAATTCTCGAAATTTGGCCATCTGCTACGAGTGTTATGCAGTTCCCTGAGATTCTTTCAGCCGACAACGTATGAAATCCAGCATATCGCATAACGTATATTCATGGAGTCATTTGAAAGATTATCGACACCCAATTTCATATTGCATACTGGATCCGTTAATTCTCACGAATAGCTGAGAGCGTCGAGATCGAGTCTCCGCAACAACAGCTAGAATACTAAGTGTTGTGGGTGGCCGGGGGCATGGTCAGAATTGAGGTAGTAGGGGCATTGCGAAGAAGTCTATATATCGTTAAATGCATTTTAGTAGGCGAAGAGCTATGCTAAAACTACCTAGGTAGGAGAGAAGACATGGATGTATGGATTCATGTGCTCCCTGATACTCATTCGTATTACCGCAGGCTAATTTCTTACAGCAGGTGTTTCGTTATCAGAAACGTGGTTGATCTCATTACGGCCCGTCTAGGCCCTCAAAAATTCCGTGTGCTCCTTTGAGACAGCCCAGCCGATTCCGTGGAATGTATATTCTTACGTGAGGCGGAACTACCGCTGCTATCGCTGACAAAGGACAGCTATTCTATAGAATGCAACGATGTTTTATCAATCACAGCTTGTGATGCTAATAAAAGGTACAATTTCGGGATTAGGTGGTGTAATGACTGGTGTTTAGGTACACATAGAGTTTACGCTTTTTTTTCGTAATCGATGCTCCGCAGCCAAACCACCATTGCCGCCGTTTTATCAAACATCTGGTAGAGATTCGAGGAGCTCGATGGCCTTGTGATCTACTAAAGCAGAACTATGTCGTTCAACCATGGCACGAACGCGCGCTTCGTTCTGTAGCTCATAAGGTGCCAAAAGCCAATTGAAGCCCGACATCATCGACTTGCGATACTCTACCATAACTTCCTCATCATCTCTAGAGAGAGACGGCCCACCGAATCGAGATAGCGCACCGAGATAATGATCTAATATGCGCATCTCGTGAGCTTTCCTATCTTCGACGGTCAAACTACCCGATATGAAATACGCTACATCGTGGAAAGTAGAACCCATCTGAATACCCTGCCAATCTAAGAAACGAGGCTCTCCTTGAATTAGATACGTATTTCCAAGGTGTGGGTCGCCATGTTGGAGTGTGAGGAAACGAGGATTCCTTGAGCTATAGTGTTTCTTAAGTGCTGCCTTAATTCGCTTCTCGTCTTTAAGTATATCGGGAAGTGGGGGTCGATTTTCACCAAGTATGAGGTCATCCCATCGAGATGCGAGCGCCCATATTAAACCATCATAATACTCCGGATCGGCCCACGGATATTCGGTATGCTTGCCCCAAGCAGCAGCATGGAGACCTGCCAGTTGGGTAACACCAGCCATGACGCGATCGACGGGCCAGGCGTTCACGGGTTCGCCAAATTCAGCTCCGACGGCCGCTAGGTCTTCCATTATTACGAGGCCCTGGCTATCGTTCTTTCCAGCCCAGTAAGACTTTGGGATGTCCATGTGGCCAAGTTTTGGGGCGACTAGATTGAAGAAGTCGGCCTCTCGTTTGTACAAGAGAGTGATGAAATCCGCATATCGCTCAATGACGTCTGGGTTGAATCCCCCTTTTATACAGATTTTGATTGGTTTCGGCTATGCACACTCGAGTCAAAAGCGTTCTTCAGAGGGGGTGGGCGTACGCAATACCTTGGAGTCATCCCCGTTGCCTTCCTCGTAGGTCAAGGTGAAAAAGAGCTTGCCAGCACTCGCGTTTAGGATGCTCCTGGTGAGCTCAATAGCTTTGACCTTCTGGCCTAGGACACTGGAAAGCCATGATGGCGTGACCTCTTCTATGGAGGCAGGGAGCTTTAGCTGCTCGGGCGATGAGGATTGGTTGCTTGGCATGATCGGGTTTAAGGTTAATTTTTTTTTATCCAGACGTTATGAACCGGAATAGGGGTCTCGCCATTATATAAATCTTCACATACCCGCATAAAGATCTTTTGTCATCCGAATACGGGGTGGCCAGCCCGCCTTGGAGATGCGTGTAAGACTCAGCCACCACATGCAAGAGGCGAACCAAAGAATCATGTGGAGTTTAGCTCCTATATCACCTGCGAGGCCCTTATGAATCGAAGCAAAACGCCTATCCCCGGGTTGACAGGAGTTGAGATATCTAGGTTCGCGAGGAGTTTCCATATTTCTGCCGCTAAGCGCGGGTAGAGGGTTGCAGTTAGTAGAGGTAGGTTACTACGAATAATATTATCTCAGCCCACCCCGGATCATGCCGCGTCCAATGAAGGTCAGATCGACTGATTTTTTACGCAATTAATTGGTTGGAAATATCCTAATGTTACTGGGTGCTTATTTCGTAATTCACTAGATAAGGTAAGCTCTAGATTGTTCCGTCATTGAAGCTATAAAATATCATCGCGACATCCCACTCCTAGTGGATTGGTATATTGCTTTTTAGCGGAGCAATACGAAAATCAGTCCACCCGGCTATCAGCAAACCTTGGTATACATATATAAGCGGTGAATATATATCGAATGCAGGACTTTTTGTTAATTCGCAGCAATACCCGCAGTTTCCCGAAGGATACAAGGGGATATGTGGCGCCAGCGATGGTGTCAATCATCTTAGAAGGCTATCTCACGAACCCGGCGAGTCTAGTCCGAGAACATTTGGTTTTTCGATGATCATGAATTTGACAGCTTATTGAAATTGTTACACAGAAGCTATAGTCTGGTATATGGCAACAATGATTCGATATCGTTCGAAACCGTCAGCCTTCGTACAACCAACATAACCCCTATAGTCTGTCTAGCTCTTACCGAGCCAGCCCCCGACGTAATGAGATTCCCTTCTTCAGAAACGCCTACAGCATGCACTTACTATATAAGTAGCCACCATGCCGTAAAGCCAAATTAAAATTCTGCAATTATTCAATCTGCACCAACAATAAACCTGGTCATGGTTTATTCATCGACGGCGACTTTATTCGGGTGGCTGCACACCTGAGATTTTCTCCAGTATCTCGATCAGCTTATCCTGTCGTGCTGCCTCATCTGCTTTGGTTGTATAGCTGGTCTCTCTGCCCGAGCCTCCAGATCGCGCCTCGCGGGATTGATACCAGAATTTCCCCGTTTTCCCTTCGGAGACGCCTGATCCCTCCGCAAGCATGACGTATGTTTCGATAGAGGCGTTAATGTCATCGGGTGCACCAGAGCCTCCCATTTTCGTAGGAACCCATCCAGGCTGATTATCATAAGTTAGTAGACGAAGAAAACGAGAAGCTCGAACTTCTCTGAAAACGATAACCCTCTAAGGACGACTGCGCCGCTCTGAGAAGCAAAATAAGAAAAGGGGGATAACATAACCTACATTCAGCGCATTACTCGTAACCCCCTTCCCCGCAAACCTCCTCGCGAACCAAAACGCCAATAGCACATTATGCAATTTACTATCACTATACGTCGCGCTCTGCACATCCCTCAACGTCGCATCGCCACCATGATGCATACCACTCGCAACGAAAACATATCTCTTGGGCGGTGGGTCCACCAAACTCGTTAGTATATACGGTGCTAGCGTATTCACCGCGAATAACTTCGGTAAGCCTTCTTTCCCTTTTCCTTGCGCTGAGGCGCCGTGCATTACACCCGCGTTATGGATGATGGTGTCCCATGGCCCGGATGTGTTTAGTTGGGTGGCTAGGGATTGGGTCTCGGAGGTTGAGGATAGGTCCGCGATGAATACGTCTTTGGCTGAGGGACAGGAGGAGCGGGCTTCGGTGGCGCGTTGGGGGGTGCGGGCGTGTAGGTATACTTCGTGGCCCCGTTGGGAGAGGGCTTGGGCTGCGCGGAGGCCGAGGCCGTCGGAGGAACCTGTTATAAAGATACGGACCATTTTGTTTTGTATAGGTAGGTACTAGGCTAGCCGGTGTCCTCTATTTTTACACTTTTCTTACTTGAGGAAGCGTAGAAGCGCTCGGGTGAAACTAGTGAGTTTAGGTTGTCGAGATGATGTTTCTTGAAGTAGATGAGGGAAATACGCATTCCACTACGACGTAATTAAGGAAAGAAAGAAATATATAGGTATATAGATGCCTAGATAGGTAGACCGAGAAGCCTACAGTGTTCACTTTATCAACGGGTCGGGGTTTACGGCTTAGAAATCGGAAATTTGGAGTCGCTGAAACTGAGATCGCACACGGAGTATCTCAAAGCGCATTTCGCTCTTTCTTTAGCCTATTCGAGGTCTAGATCGTATCTAGGGACTTCCGAGGTTACGTGACTGTGAAAGATTGTATTACCAATGCTGCTTGGTACCTATCGTCATCAACTGTGACGGTGACGTCACTTGTCTTACGTCGAATTGAAAGGGAGATATTCGATCACTAGCGTTAAGGTGTGAAAAAGGATTATACGGGGTCTCAAAGGAATTTGAGTGAGTACAACTATACTATACCTGAGATACTAGTGTTGTTGTTTGTGAAATATGTCTGCAAATTCTAAGCATGTGATGGACGCAGAAGGACGTCAATAAAACTGCCCACCGTGTGAAGTCTCATAAAATTCACATTATGATACTGTATAATTTTCGACCAATGAAATAGTCCGTTTGACACAGTCAAAAGCCGTATTAATATTACGGTGGGCAGTTTTTTTGACGCCCTTCTGGGACGATGATAGATTCGTAGATGAAGCGCTTATGACAAGGATTCACTGATTTGTCGTTTATTTGTAAATATATTTTATGAATAGCTCTATATACCTACTCGTATAAGATTAAATATAGGTAAAGAAATTGTGATGTTTATGTACGTACTGTTGCGGTAGAGCATCTTCGGTACGTAGGACCTCAAGGTTGTGAGCTTTGTTTGTGGTTTGGTCATTCTGTAATAGCGAGCGCATCCATGGATCTGACGCATTGGTCCTACTCTTCTTGCCCTGTATTTATGCTTGCTGTGCTAGGATACCACCCCGCTATATACGGTTTAGTGTGGTATTAAGGCTCCAGGGCTAGCTATGGTTAGCACCTGCCCTGCTATACCAATGCGTTAAATGCGCGCCCGCCCTCAGAGAACAATAGCTCAGTTAGTGGGGGTGGGACCTCCAATTCAGCTAGTTCTAATTCTGGACGGGCCTATCTTTCTTTCAACTTTATCAAACCACCCAACATTTATCTTCAATTCCACAGCAACGTCAATCAATCCCCCTTCATAATTATGCCAGGGAACAAATTGGTATAACTTCTATTGACTAGGATCATCTAATTCAGAAATCGCAATCATGACGAGCTCTTCGAGCGCCCGAAAAGCTAATGGCGTCTTGCCCGTTTCTTTGGCGGTTAATGACACACCGAAAGCGACCAAGGCTAAAGAACCTCTGAAGGGCAAGAAAGTTCTCATTCGTCGCCTCCCACCTGGAATGACTGAGACTGAGTTTTGGAATATCCTGGGAGAGCAATGGAAGGATGGAAATGGGAAAGTAGATTGGACCAGATTTCAAGATGGTCATATTTCCCAAGAGTGAGTCTCGTTAACTATACTGCGAATATCACATGCTAAATATCGCCGCGCATCTAGCCCGTCGAACCCGTCGCTTCCTGCGCGCTGTTATCTCCATGTCATACGAACCGAAGACGTTTCCATTCTAGCCGAAACCGTCCAAGCATTGACTTGGGAGGACGAGAAGCGAACTTCCAACGACCCAGCTCTCGTGGGCCCTCCGTACCTCGATATTGCTATCTACCAAAAGATCCCCACTACCAAGCGACGAATAGACTCTAAACAAGGCACTATCGACCAGGACCCCGACTTCATGGCCTTCCTCGATAGCCTTACGCAGGAATTGACAGTGAAAGAGGCCGACGCGGACCAGGTGGCGGAGGACGCTAGCAAGGCAGATACCAGAGTCACTACGACACCTCTGGTCGAATATCTCAAAGAGAAGAAGGCCAATAAGGGAAAAGAGGCTTCTAGTTCGAAGACTGGTAAGCATGGTCGACACGAGTCTCAGGTTGCGAAGCCGAAAGGAAGTCAGGAAGATTCCAAGAAGAAGGGGAAGGAATCCAAGGCCGAGAAAGTCGAAAAGGTCACCGAGAAGGACGAGAAGAAGGCCAAGGAGCCCGTGAAGCTTCTAACTAAGAAATCAACTACTCAGGATACAACCGAGCCAGCAAAGTCTAGCACTACGCAGGCGGCCACGAGCAAGGCAGTTGAAGAGGCCGCGCCAAAGAGTCGACGGGCTAATATTGCTGCGGCAGCAAAGATTCTACAACGTGACCTTGGCCTCAGCCCGGGAAGTGCGCATAGGAGAGCACGCCAGGATGCCGCTAAGGCAGAAGCCGCATCCAAGACCGATACTAGCAAGGAGAAGGATAGTAAGGACACGACATCGACACCCCCGACGGCACCAAGCCAACCCAGTTCATCGGCGCCCTTATCTGCTCCAACTGCCCCGAAAGCACAGGTGGCAGAGGGATCCCGTCGGTCCAGGGGTGGAAAGGCTACAAAACAGGACACGTCCAAGGGAAAAGGGACTGAGAGTGCTAGCAGTACAGCGAAGTCAACCCCGATTATCACACCAACTATCTTGAAGAGAAAGGAAGAACCTCCTCCGACAGGTCCGTCTTCAACTACGCCTGTCGCTACAACTTCGACTGCCACACCTCCCACAGGTCCGAAGGGTGCTGCTGGTAAAAGTCAGCCACCCAGTAAACCAACTTCGCAAAAGAAAGGGTCTGGCCAACCATCTGTTACTGCTGGGGCGACTCGTGCTTTCGTAAAGCATGCAAACCCCTCGCAAGGTGTTACAGAACCGCTACTTAAGCAGGCTATGGAGACCTTTGGTACTGTCACATTTGTTGAAATTGACAAACGCAAGGGTTTTGCTTATGTTGACTTTGGAGATCATGAGGCGTTGGTAAAAGCTATTTCAGCGAGTCCCGTACCTGTTGCAGAAGGCACTGTACAGGTGCTAGAACGAAAGGAAACGAAGAAATCGACACAACCTCCGACACAACCGGCGAGCGATAAAGCAAGTAGTGAGGCTCCGCCGGATCGTCCTAAGCGGGGTGGTCGTGGTCGAGGCCGTCGAGGAGGCGGTGGTGGAGCTAGCACAGCTAACACGAGTGTAGCTGGCGAAGCATCTGGATCTTCTGCACCACCTCCCACTACACCTGCCGACTCCGGTGCTGCAACTGACGCAGGCTGAAGGCATACTGCACCCTGATTCTTGCCTCACTTGCACTATTAATGCTTTTATTCGCGCGTTTATGATGCATGGATTTATTACGGAAATTAGGAAATCGCGCTATCCCTGAGCTCTTACTCCTAATAGGTATTTGCCATTGGTAGAGTATTGTACAGCGGGTGAGGACGAAACTATTTCCAGCGAAGCTCCGGATGCAGCAAGCTATAAGCGACAGCAGCCAACGTCCCACACCGTTGGGCTACGTCGGCTAAGAGCCCAGTCCCATATGGTTTTGGGTTACACACAATAGCGAGTTTGTGTACAGGCTTTGCCATTCCAAGGTGGCCATGAAGCTGCTACTTTAGCATGTTTAGAATTAGCCCTGAATTACTAAAGAATATAGTAAAACTGCGTTACTATTCTGGTTTATTGTTTATGCGTTTACTTAGATTGACGAGATGTAAAGTATGGCTTGCAAAAGCTAACTTAGGCAATTGGTAGATTTTATGGGGCTTTATTTATTAAATATGAGCTACCCCTATAAATATTTGCTATTTTTAAAGTATACTTCTATTAGAACATCACCTATCTAAGGTACTTAAGACAGTTTGCCTTGTGAAAATGGGACGAATAAAGGGGGGAGAGTTGTATTACCTAATATACCCACAATAGTGCGGAATAATTATCAAACCGACCCGAGCCGAGAAGTGGTACCGGCAGGTACGCTCTAACCTCGAGAATCGGCCATCACAACTGGCGCCCGATCCGTGCGGCGGCTAGAATTCAATCAAACCTCTCACATGCATCACCACACAGATTTCCAAGCTTAACGGGAAGAGATAGCTCCGCCGTTTCAAACATTTTCTGGAATGACGCTTTAGAAAAACTACGGAGGAAAGATCACCTAAACCGATCGCGATAAGCATCCCTCGGAGAATTCAATCTAAGATTCATTATCCGTGCAACGATCCGAATATCCACTCCTAGCTTAGGACTCGCCGAAGTCCCACGACGCAACACTAAAATCCACCCGATTCCTTTCGAACGTAGGAGGGCATTGTGACGCCCACGGTAGACACTACCCTGCAATATACACATCCCGATAAAACAACACTTCGGCCTCGTGCTTAGAAGCATAGCTCCCACAAACTTCCAATCCTAGATCAAATCTTGGATCGCAGATCCAAAACCTCTCGTTAAAAGATCAGTATCACTGGAGTTTTCTGCGACAACATATAGATACCGGAGTTTATTGAACTCGGTGTTGCTGGTCTAGTAACTATCGAATTTTAAGTTATCAGCCCTGGATATCCCTTATCGCCGAACATCATTCCTGTCGTGTTTGGCGCGACACACCGAAACGGATAATATATAAATATCAGAAATGGGTTTCCCTCGCGCTGGTGTCCCCAAACCGGGACCGGCGAAGTTGACTGCCGGTGCTGGTTTAGACGAGTGGCTCGAGCAAGCGAAACAATGTCGTTATCTACCCGAGCCGGTAATGAAGGAACTCTGCGAGATGGTTAAGGAAGTCTTGATGGAGGGTACGTTCAAATTAACGCCCATTTTCAATATGTTTCTGCTGGTATAACCTAACCATTTTCTATTATAGAATCCAACATTCAACCCGTTATAACGCCAGTCACTATTTGTGGTGATATCCACGGCCAATTTTACGATTTACTCGAGCTTTTCCGTGTTAGCGGTGGCATGCCAGGCCAGCCCGCCACAGAACCCCCCGCCACCTCCACATCCGTTATCACGTCAGCCGATATCGAACCTCCCACCGAGATTACTAATCCGAAGCTGAAGAAGAAGATAAAGAAGTCGAAGAACACATCTGGAGACGTTCCAGGACTTCCTAGTGATGAGTCGACCAATGTGGAGGAAGAGGACGAGGAGGGTAACGATTCCGTGAACAATTCCCAGAGGAACTCCTCGGACTCCGTACAGCCAGTTAGCAATGCCGATACACGCTTTGTATTTTTAGGGGATTTTGTCGACCGAGGATATTTCAGTCTTGAAACATTTACACTTTTAATGTGCTTGAAGGCTAAGTAAGGCAATCTAGCGTTGGTTATTTAGGGCCTTTTTCTAACAAGTTATCTAGATATCCTGACCGAATTGTGCTCGTCCGTGGAAACCACGAGTCTAGGCAGATCACCCAAGTATACGGGTTTTATGAGGAGTGCCAGCAAAAGTACGGAAACGCTTCTGTGTGGAAATCCTGTTGTCAAGTCTTCGATTTCTTAGTCCTGGCAGCTATTGTAGATGGGGAAATACTCTGCGTCCACGGAGGATTGAGTCCTGAGATTCGTACCATTGATCAGATCCGAGTGGTTGCGCGAGCACAGGAGATTCCCCATGAGGGAGCATTCTGCGATCTTGTCTGGAGTGATCCTGAAGAAGTCGAGACTTGGGCTATTAGCCCTCGAGGTGCAGGGTGGCTATTTGGTGATAAGGTGGCGACAGAATTCAACCACGTTAACGGGTTGAAGCTGATTGCTCGAGCTCATCAACTCGTTAACGAAGGTTATAAGGTAAGCTGCCAATTTCTATGTCTTTATTTTGTATTTGCTAACTGATAGAACAGTATCACTTCCCGCAAAACTCAGTGGTTACGGTCTGGTCAGCCCCGAACTACTGTTATAGGTGTGGAAATGTTGCTTCGATTATGTCCGTGGATAAGAACTTGGACCCGAAGTTTAGTATTTTCTCGGCAGTCCCAGATGATATGAGGCACGTTCCCGCAGGACGACGTGGTCCTTCCGATTATTTCTTATAATGAATGCATTGTATCCTGGATTGCAACCTCGATTACGAAATTTTGACATACTTTTGATACCATTACCTAGGCGTTAAGGGACGGGCCGTTGTTAATGAATGTCTATTTACAAAGCATGAAGATATGATAGGCACAACACACGAAAGGGTATAGACAACACTGGTCAGGGGGCATATGTTTGTCACGCAGGAGGGGATTTTGGCCATGAACACCTTTGTAGCACCCTACAACACGGGAGCAGTCATGTTATATGTATAGTAGGGACTCGGAGGTCTCGTCCGTTACATCGTAGAGTGTAGGGAGCTAGGAATGTTGGGCTCCCATGAACATTGTACTAATTGTGCTTGATGAAACTTGACTGCTTTTGTTACGTATTGTGCCATATACTTGGATTCTGTACATCTCCCAAATTGTCTGGCATTGATAGAGTGTATAAGACTTGAGTATTAAAAAAAACCTTGAAAGTCATTGATGCCGCGAGCTTATGAGCCTTACAGTGGTGACGTTATATGTACCTAACAATCCACAGTCCAGCGGTCGATGTCACTGAGGGGTTACCCCGAGCCCCCAATGTTACCCCACTAATGGTACCTAAGAACGCCGGGACGTACCTAAACTTAATTCAATTTACGCGCTACAGCGCGTCTACAAAAGCCTAAAATTAACCTTATCCATCCTACCGGGAACAATCACAGAGGTCACATCTTCCGTCTACAACTTCTAAACGAGGCGCAAAAACACGCAACATAACGAAGCACCATGGCCTCAAACCTCCAGCGTTCAACGTCCTCAATGGGCACGCGAGAGCGAGAAAAATCGTACTTCGAACAACAGCGTGAAGCGTTGATTGGCGAGATAGCTATGGTTCGTTCGCACCCCTCCTCTTCTACCATCCCACCATCCACTGCCAAAAACACGACAAAAATGAAAACAGCTAACAAGAAATCACCGGATGTAGAGCTTCGAACACGTCCTCGCCAACATCAACAAACTCAACCGCTCTCTCGAAGCCGTAACCGCCGTCGGAAATGAATTCTCCTCCGTCGAGGCCCTATGGTCGCAATTTGAAAACGTAATGGCGCGAGATCCCGAACCCGAGGCTGAAGACGGTAAGACCGTTGTTGAGGAGGGTGGGGAGGAAGGTCAGAGAGGGCGTGCTGAAGAACGGGCGGAGGGTGAGGCGAAGAGTTAGAGATGAAGTGCGAACCTTGATTAGTACGGTATTTCGAGGTAAAAGCAGAATGAATGAGGGATGATACGGGACGGTTGGTCATGACGATACCCGCCTTAGCACTACGAAGCTACGGCACATTTACATTACATCACTGAATACACATATTTCACTAAAGGCGGTAAACACGGGGCAAGAGTATTATGAAGTTTCTTTATTTCCTATCCGAGGCCGTGGTGATGATCGATCCAGTCAGATTTGCCAACGAGCTTTCGTACAACAACGCGATTGGTTGATTAATTATACAGTTCCAATTGTTTCCTGGTCCCAATCCTTGTGTCCCGCGGCGAACCAGAAAAACCAATGTGTTGGCTCCAATGTTGCATTTGCGGCTTCGTACCGGCGTTAGCTACTCGGCGTGTAGTCACAGCCAAAACCGTAACCATAGCAGAGTACAGCGAACCAAGACGGCGACGAGGATGATGATCAACGAACTTGATGACTGATGACTGACGACGAACCAACACCTTTGCCATCCCTTTCCTCCCTCCCGTTTAATCCTTATAGTCATTAGAGACCCCTATACATGCGGAAAAGGGAAAAAAAAACAAGCAAAAAAAGCTTTCTCAGGAACGCCGAATATCAAGAGATCTTGAATGCTAACAAAAGGGCTCAAGAACTCTATAGCAAAACAACAAAAGCGGCGATCCTTACCTTTCCGTTCCGAGGTCGTAAAAGAGAAGGGAAAAAATAAAAGTACCAAATGTCGTTGCGGAAGAAAGTTGTAGAAAAAAAGAAATAAAAATGGTGTCATGCGAGAGTGGTCATTGAGTACCGGGCTTTTTCCTCCCTTTCCTATGAATTCTCCTTCGTCTCGTCTGGTCTCATCTCGTCCAAATATGTTCTCAGAAGCTCGTTAGCTTGTTGTTGTTTACTGATGTGTGTTGTACGTAAATAGTAAGAATAGCATCCAATTGCTACCTCAAATCGCCCCTCACAAGAAGTTGCAGTTCCGCTTCTTCTTCTTAAAAGTACGGAGTCCTGGGATACCACCGCTTTCGCGACCCCCGCCTCCTGATGCGCTACCACTACCGCCGCTCGTTGAGGTGGGCGCGGCGGCCATAGCGGCCTCGAGGTTACGTCGGTCGTTAGCGACGACAGTTTGGATAGCCCTGTCAAAGATCTCGTCTACACCAGTCATCTCCTTGCTACTGCACTCCATGTATTGCGCGCCCATCTTCTTGGCAACAGCCATGCCTTGCTCGCTACTAACGGGCGTCAGACCTTGCGTCTTGAGCATTTCGATACAAGTCTTCTTATGTCGCAAGTCCGACTTCAGGCCGACAAGGATGAGGGGTGTGTAGGGGCAGAAATGGAGGACTTCGGGGTACCACTATATTCTCTATTAGTTTGTTGTTACGACGAGGTCATGGGGAGTAGAATGCGACGAACCTTGTCTAGGACGTTATCTAAGGAGTTGGGGCAGTCGATAGCGAAGCAGACGAATATTAGATCGGTTTCGGGGTAAGATAAAGGTCGCAGCCTATCGTACTCTTCTTGTCCGGCTGTATCCCATAGTGCGAGCTCGACGGTCTTACCACTCGGTTGGTGAGTCGGGTAGGTGATGTAGTTCTCAAAGACTGTAGGGACGTATTTCTTTATTGGTGTTAGTTTCGAACGCGGCCTGGTCTAATCGGGTATTAAGGAAGTTATCGTACCTCTGGGAAATATCCTTGGCTGTAGCTAATCAGAAGACACGTCTTTCCGCACCCTCCGTCACCGACCACCACGATCTTCTTGGAATATGCGGGCGCCTCGGTGACGTGCGTCGCCGACGATTCTCTACCCGTTGACGCGCTCATGACGGTGCTGACTGTGCCTTCGCTGGACCGCGTGTTACGCTCTCCTCTGCCGGTCCCTCGTCTTTGAATACCATTATCGTACTTCTCGCTGATAGCTTGGCTGCCTCCACCACCGTAGTATGAACTGCGATTTTGATAGTTCGCCATAGCCGGGCGGTCCTAGCGAAGAATCAATTGGTGCAAAATGAATTTTTGTTTCGTCGGATTTATGTTTGGTAGGTAAATTGTCTTATTGCACTTAGCAAGCAAGCACCGTAATTAGGCGAAGAAATTAAAATGGTAGCAAAATGGAATTTCAGCGGGCCGAACAATGATGATTGAGAATTGATTGATTAATGGGATAGAATGGAATGGAGGTGAGACTTTTTGTGGTGTCGAGGTCCGGATTCGAGGATTCGGGTTTGAAGAAGAGAAAAAAAAAGAAGAGGAAATGCAAGAGCGGATTTGTTAAAGCCCAATTGCAGGTGAGAATGTGGGTGTCTGAGGCTCAGTTGATTACGCTGGTTGGTTAATCGGCTTCATGCATGTCGTCAGAACCTTGGAAAGTCAATAATAAAAAAGTCAATTGGGGCAGTTGGGGCGTTGACATGGAAACCGCGGGTGACCCGGTGTAGCCCGATGTTTCAGCTTACACAAGTCGAAAACCCCCACTTTTGTGTTGCCAAATCAATTAAGCTTCCGCCGACACAAACACTAAACCAGCCACTCTTTCTGCCTACTAAAGCCACCAAAGCCACCCAATTCATTCCATTTAAGGCAACGGGTATTCCCCATACCTCCAAATTTTCTTCTACACAGACGCGTTTTCATTTAAAATCCATCACCTTTTTTTCCTCCCACCGATTTCTCGCCAGCATTTCTCAAGATGGCGTCCAACGGTTCACCATCCAGCGAATATGTAACTCTAGTCTCCAGTGATGGCTTTGAGTTTGTAGTTCTTCGCGAGGCGACCATGATTAGTTCTGTCATCAAGGGTATGCTAGATCCCAATAGCAAGTTCGCTGAGGAGCGAACTGGTCGCTGTGTGTTTGAGGAGATCAAGTAAGTCTACTTCTACTTCTACTTCTATTCTATCGTCGATTTATCTTTCTCAAGTACTGTCGGTGATGAATCACAAATATTTCGCTGTGTTCTTACTGACAGACCATTCATATGGTCTGAATGACAGCCAACTACACTTGATCTGAGACACTTCAATCTCTTCTCACCTATCACAATAGCATTCATTTGCTATACGTTTGAATGGTCGGAGAACAAGACTAACATATCACAGCGGCATGGTCTTAGAGAAGGTCGTCGAATTCTTCCACTATTGGTACAAGAACCGTGAAAAGGAAGACGTACCTGATATGGAAATCCCTGTTGAACTCTGCCTAGAGCTCTTGATGGCTGCGGATTTCCTAGGACTTGATAGTAAGGTCTCTCCTAGGCAACTTGAACAACAGGTCAAACCAGAAAGCACGCTCACCATGATGTCTCAACTATCTGTAGAAGCAACATAGATTCTCTCGTCACTACCGACCAGATATCAGTCGGATATGATTAAGATCTCATAGACCGGATACAGAATACGGGATACGGCTGGCGTTTTGGTGTCAAGATACCACGATACGATATGATCACTATGAATTTTGGGGTCTAGGTAGAGGCAACGGTTTACGAAGGCGCAATGATATTGGAATTCAAGGTTGCTTAACCATAATTGATCCCAAATTCTTATGGTAGGTATGATGCAAACAGTGTCATGTCTGTTTTAACAAATGGACCCATCTAAGCATATGCTTTCAACTCTGCTCTCCCGTGTGTTGAATCGCCTACAACAGATGGAAGATTGATATATCTTATCCCCCGCACTCTGCGTGGCTTGTGTTTCTCTGTTGAGACCATGCTTTTTAGGTGGGGATACATCCAAATTCCAGTAGAACACATTACTCAATACAACGTTTTTTTATTACCAGATCTATTTTGGGGTATTTAATTTACTATTCCTTCATACGTGACCTTGTGTAGAAACAATCCTCGTGCTATAAACTCATCGGTATCATGAAATTTTCATGAAGCTTGAGATGTGTGTCATAGCATGAGTTTACCTATTCCTCCCACCACGACCACCACCTCGCCATCCACCTCGTCCCCTACCACGTCCTCTTCCGAAACCACCTCCACCCCCCCGTCCGCCGCCTCTTCCTCTATATCCACCACCACCTTGATTATAATTCCTCGGCTCCGAAACAGGCGGGCCCGCTGCCTTCCGTTCCGCTCTCTCCTCGGGGCTCGCGTCCCAGAGATTCGGTACACCAAGCAGTTCACAAAACGCCGTTGTCTGCGGGTTTGTGTATTCATCAGGTTGGTGATCGACACTGTCGGGGTTGATTCCAGGGCGATGGGGCGGAGCTGTGATGGAGAAGTTTCCGGGGACATCGAGTTTGCCCGCTTGGACTATGTTTTCGTCGACCCATGCACGTTCTTTGTCGATCATGGGCTGGTAAGCTGATTCACCTAGATCCGCCGACGTCTGTGCTGTGCGATCGCCGATGGCTAGGTATTGCCCGAAAACGCGCGTTATAGCGAGCCATTCGGGGTCGTATTGTAGACGATAGCGTTGTTTAGAATCGGCGGAGGGTGGGTATGTAGTTAAATGTGTAGGGTCGACGGGGAAAGCAGAACATAGTTGCAGGAATTTCCGTCCTGGGAGACATTTGTCTAGGGCGATGAAGCGGGTGGTAGTGTTTGTGATAGTGGGTGGGACAGGTTGGCCCGGGTTAATCTTTGGCTGCTTAGGTGCTGGTTTAGCGAAGGATGCTGGTAGCTGCGCGAGAAGCTCGTCACTGACTACCCCGCCTGCGGTGGCGTCTGCAGGTAGTGCGGGCTTGGACTCTTTAGGGGGTTCAGCTGGTGTAGGGGCGTCTTCGTCATCTTCTAGGTCTAAATCAATCTCGTCGGGATTTGCAGCAGCGGGTTTGGAAGAGGCTGCTGGGACAGGTTCTTCCTGTTTTTGTACTTCTCCGCTCGTTGTCTCCGTAGTGTCGCCGGGTGCTTTGTAGGTTTTAATGGCAGCGAATTTGCAATGCATATGCGCTGAAAACCAATATGCAGGTCTCAACCGATCCATAACATACTCGGCCGCGGGATTTCCCAGTGTGCCGTCGAAGCTCTCCTGCTTAAAGTCGGGCTTCATCTTCCATAGCGCTCCAGCGTTCCCATGATTCTCTATCGCACGTGGCCAATCGTGGCTCAACCCGATGTCAACCTGTTCGCACAACAAAAGGAGCTTACGTATGTCGATCTCACGCACATGGTAGAAGCTCTTGATGTCGTCCTGGCTAAACGGCAGACGTTCATGATGTGGTTTGCGATAATCGAAGCCCTTCCAGATACCGCTCATCCCTGCTATGCGCAAGGGTCCGAACCGTAGCACATTAGCTGCACCTAAGTAGTAAATATTGGGCGCGACCCAGCCACCGTAGTAAAGCTCCCATAGGTACGAGCTAGCTTCATGGTTTCCAGCAATGAAGATGGTCAGGTATGGCGCCTTCTTTTCGCCGGTGTAATAGCCAGGAAAATCGGCGAGTTGGCGATATTTGGCCGGCACTGACATAACCGAAAGATCTGCGGCATTGCGAGTGGCCTACAGCGCTGTTAGTTTCGCTAATTAGTGCTAGATGCGCTAGAATGGGATTTCGTGTCACCTGGAAATCCCCTCCGATGATAAGAAGATCTATGCCGTCCCAACCGCGAGCCTTGCAAGAGTTGGCCACAGAGGCGTAAATCGCATCGAGCGTGCCATGGCCCTGCGCAATCATAAAATCAGCATCATGATCACCATGAATATCATTGACTAGGTAGACTTACACAACCCTCGACGGCAATACGAACACCCTCAGCTTCATATGTTTTTGCTTCCATGGTACGACGCTTTGTTGTCTTTAGGTGTTGTTGAGTTATGCGACGAACGTCGTGGCGTGGATGCAGTGAAGATGTTAAAAGGTAACCCTGCGACTTAGCGCCAAAAGTCGCTAAAAGTTGTGCTGTCCTCAGGTGCTGCAGAGGGTATCTACTCGCTAAAATTAACAAACTCCGGGGACAACTTGGTTATCATTGCTCTTTCGCCTTTCACTCAATCATCCACTTGCACCTTTCGTCATCCATCTTAACCATTCCATGATGAATTGCTTGAGAGACGCCAAGTGCATTGTTTCCTCCTAGTTTCACCTAACAGGTAATTGCTTTTCGCAATATCTCCCCGGGAAAATGCCGGGACTTCCTCATTCTACGGGCAGTTCTATCAACAACGTTCTTGGTAAAAACATGTTCGCTGTCGAGTTACACCTATCAAGTTATTCAGTATTCTCCACGCGCGAAGATGAAGTATCAACCCCAAGCAGAATGATTGTATCGCTTCAGAATCTTAGGACAGGTACAAGAGCAAGGCTCAAGTGTACTATGCAGGTAGGCAGCTACATTCGGTCAGTTATACATAAAATTTAGTTTCATCATACGATTAGCAACGTTAAATGGTAGGCGCCTAGTGGTAGGTAAACGGGCAGTCTCGACCACCTCTATGGGTTCACAGACGCACGGAAGGCGCCCCTATCTCCAAGCCTTATGACGTTATGGGGCTTGACCATACCATATGTTAAATAAAAATATCTTGAACCTAGTTCAATTCGACATTTCTATTTTTCTCCTCAATTCCACCATACTAATTCGATATCATTTACTTCATTTTATACCTCTCCCCCGGCAGGGTCATATAAATAGTCACCAAAGCCTTAGCAAGTAACACCTATAAGACACAAGGCAACATAAGAGCTATGGGGAAAATACAGACACCAATAACCGTCAGAGGGCGTTACTTCTATGTCGGCGACGACCGTGTAAGTCGCTAAAAAACCAGACACGATCCCCGGAAGCTCAACGGAGGTCTAATTAATGATTAGTTCCTCATAAACGGAGTCGTGTACCAACAGCGTGCCTACAGACCAGGTCGGATATCTGACGATCCATTATCCGACGATGGGCTCCTCGAATTAGAACTTAGTATCCCCTTCATGAAAGTACTAGGAATCAATACAATATACATTCGTAAGTAGAGCGATTAGCGACATACCCCCCCTTAATCTCATCGTAAGCATAAGACTCACAATAAGGGGATACCAGCTTTTGTCGAACTCAACAAAAACCACGATGCTGCCATGAAAATGCTAGCTGAAGCTGGCATATATGTGATACTAGTGAGTTTTTACTCCTTTCCAGATGTTCTTCTCGATTCAATCAATTTTTTGGTGCAAAATCCCACCACTTTCCTCTAAAGCGACATATCTTATTGCTCACACGAAACTACTGGAATAGTGCATCGGTCACCGAAATGAAACAAGTGACGCGAGGAACAGAAACCCCCTTCGTTGGTACAACAGGGAAAATATTTTTTATTTCTTACGAGTTGCCGAGATGATGGCGAAGTACATCAACATCCTAGGATATGTCGTCCCCCATTGTCACGACGGCCATTTCACCGAATCTGCCGTGGCCGTTGTTACCCGCGCCATCGTACGCGATATCAAACGCTACACAAGACTGCTAACTGAGAAGACGGGCATGAGGACCATTCCAGTGGGTATAATGGTTAGAGAAGTTCAAACTATAAACCCTACGGTGGAGCCGAAGTTTCAGTATTATTGTTCGGGAGACGTGTCAGAGACCGTCGACTTCTTCTCGGTACGTTAACCAAACGACTTATATCAAAATCAAAGGCGTATTGATATGTTGCTAATTACTATTTATCTGTCATATAGTTTGAAGACTTCGACTGGGTTGAAAAGTCATACAAAAAGGTCGATGTTGGCGTTGCTAAGCTTATTAAAATGTTCGGCAAAACACACGTCCCAGTATTCTTTGCCGGATATGGCACCAAACCAGAAGCCGCCGACGCTCGTTGCATTGCCGAAACAAATGCCTTATACTCCAACCCTGATATGTTACGTGTGTTCTCTGGTGGCATCGCATGCGACTTCTTCAAAGAGGTTGGGGCACTACGGGGCTTGGTCACTCAAGAAAAAGATTGGGAACACGGCGGTATCTTACTGGAATCAACCACGGATTACAAGCGTCTATGGAGAAGCCTACAGCTTCATTACTTGGATCAGCCACCTCCGAAGGTGCTCCCAGGCTCGGCTTCCAACATGTGCCGGCCGGATCCGCCGAAAGAAGGTGACTACTGTCTACCCAAATTGCTTCCGAAGACTCTGGTAAACTGGGACATGATCGAGCAGAATCTCGACGACAGCGAGTGGATTGACGTCAATCAGGATGTTATTGACCAAAGTATTGACGATGTTATATCCTCGATATGGGAGAGTTTGAACATCGAAGACATTGAGCCCTGAATAATCGGTGATACTGGGGACGTGAAGGTGTAAAACCATATGAAAATGGAGTATAGCATTAGTCTAGCGATTTCTCTAGCATAGCAGCGCTTATAGCTTACCTACCTAGGTAGATATTTAGCTTCCAACTGCACAAAAGCATGAAGGCATAATAAAAATCAAAAAGCGAACGCAAAAAAACACTTTTTATTTCCTTCGAGTGAATAATACTCCTTTTCGGAACTCTAATCAGGTATCTTCATGCTTCTAAAATTCAAATACTCAGCCCTTCCATCTTTTAACCTCCGAATCACCAAAGGTCTCGGGTTTAGGCGGTAGTCCCATTAGCAGCATCCTCACCATATCCCTCAACCTTCATATCCTTCAACCCAAGATCCTCCTCCTCCTGCTCCGTACGCTCATAATCCTCCGTCTCGATCTGCGGATCGACCTGATCCGGATCTACAGCCTTCTGGACGTAGCTGCTAGCCAACGGATCCGTCAGGATAATAGTAAATTTCTTCTCCCCCTTAATCGCCGCATCAATGCCCTCGAAAAATGCATTCCATTGCGAGCGCTCGTTAGAGCTTAACGAGTCCCCACCCTCCGAGGAACCGGTTTCGAAGATTTGGTTGTGTAGGTCGTTGCGGACTTGTGTGAGTAATCCCTCGACAGTTGTAAAGCGGCCCCCTAAAGTGCCGGGATTGACTTGGAGATTCAGCTCAGGACATTCGAGGGAGCAGCTTTCGCTTTTTAGGATATCCCGCGCGAGATCCTCGGCTGTTTCGACTTTAAGAGTGATTTTCTTGCCGAGTTCGGGGATCTCGCCACCGGTCTTAACGTCGTTGGATCGGTAGCCGCAGTCGGTGCATACGGTGGACATTAGGACTACGGCTTTGAAGTGCGGGATATCAACCATTTTCATGTTGGTCGTGCAGGGGTGCATGCAACCGGGGCATGTGGCAGGGAATTCGTAGACTTGGTCAGGGATGATGTCGTCGTCGTCGGTTGAGGGAGCGGCGCCGGTGGTTGGGTCTGCGGGGGCGAGACCGAGGGCTTCGTTTTGTTCGGGCGTTCGGATGTATTCGTGTTTCTCCCACTTGCCTACGCCATCGCGCATGTTAGGGGTGATCCACGAGTTACCCGCTGGATCGTCGACGGAGAGTCGGAAGGGGAAGGCTTCGCCCGCTAGCATAGCCCGGCCTTTCTCGATGATCTCATCGATCTTCGCGTGGATCTCTGGTGCTTGTTCCTTTCGCGCCTCTTGTCCGAGTTCTAAATCATCCATTATAGTGGTCAATAGACCCTCGACGTTTGTGAGTTGTCCGCGGCCCGAGGGGACTTCGAGGTCTAGCTCGATGAATTTGACGATAGCAGTATCGGATTTGACGACTTGTCGTTCGAAGTCGGCCATGTCGGTTAATCGTAATATGTAGCTCGAGCCTTTCGGCTGGATGGTGCCGGCAGCTTGTATCTCGGAGTTGGAGAAGCCGCATTTGTCGCAGGAGAAGGACATGAGAATGACTTCGCGGAAGTAGGGGATCTTAGTAAGGAGCATGCGCGTGGTGCCCTATATGATCGTTAGCAAAGGAATTCGTGTGGTTGGGGTATGATTGGAAAGTAGACTTACATTTTCATGACAGTTCATGCATAGCGACTCAATTTCTTCGACGACCTTCTCGTCATCGTCACCCGTGTGCGCGACACCATTTGTGCCATTAGTAGTGGGGTTGAGGTGTCCAGCTTTCTGGCCGATGGACTCGAAGAAATCAGTCGAGGACTGTTTCTTCGAGTTGCCTTGCTCTTCAGTTGAAGGCATATTCGATCCTTTGTAAACTCTTTAGTTATTATTCGATACAAATAGTTGTATGTCGTTCCGTCGAATATTGGTTTGTTGCCGAGTTAAGGGTGTTGATCGAAAGCGTTCGATTTTCTGCTTGACTCAAAAATTTTGGAGGGGCAGTTTCGGTCTTGGTCGCGGTAGCGCGGGGTTATGACATATCAGGCTTATCAGCGCACCATCGCCTGAGAGCTAGTGATTGCTAGTCCCTGTTGGAAAGGTCCAGAAGCTGAGGCTTCCCAAGGCCATAGTAGCTTCCGTAAGCAGCGTAGCAACCCCCTAGCTGTCATGTACGTAGGTACATAATAAACGTAGAAGGAATCATTGAATTAAGTCACTTCATCATGAAGTCGCTAAGACTTAAACCAAGGCCATTTTGGGGTTTGGAAGCAGAAGATTGCGCTTGCTGAAGTAATGCTTGAAGACCTTGCTTCCTACTTTTAGCTCTCTTCTTACTGTTGGCATTGGCAGAGACCTTGCCTGGTTCCGAAATAGAAGTAGCAGAAACAATAGAAGCTGGTGCACCCAGAACTAGGGGTTTTGAGGATTTTAGTTGGCGACGCCTAGAAATAGGTGCTGGTGGAGGAATCGAAATATCGGTGTAACGATGACACATCTCACAAGTAAATCGTTTCCGACATCCAGCTGTTCGCACGGTCTTCTCATTCGTCCTCTTCGAAGTTCCGTTGCTTCTGCTGTTCTTCCTTTTCCATATAGTCTTGTTAGTATCGATCTTAAGCTCACTCCCTTGCCCGGGGATCATGATATGACCACAGGCACCACAGACGTGTTGCCTCTGCATACCCGACTGCTCTAAATCATTATGGAACATTAACGAGTTCCGTTGTGACATAATATACGCCGAGGTCTCTGGAGCCGATTTCATAAGAAGATGTGCAGCGTCTGTAAGGAAGCCGACGCTTTCGGGAAGAGTGTCGGTCGCCATGGTGAGATAAAATGGTTCAGAGACGAATTCCAAAAGGGTAGGAAATTTAAGGATCCACTGAAAATACAGGCGAAATTTCCTATATCACTTTATACATGTTTGCTTATATGCATAACACTAGCAAGTATATGTAAGTAGTGATGGGGGTTTCCTCAAGGTTGAGATATCGCATTTAGGATTTATTAAGAAGTTAATTCAAATGATAGACGCTTTCTATTCAGCTTATTATTCGTATGTAATGCCATATTCGTCCTCTTCGGTGGTTGTGGTTGGTATCTGCCCCAACCGACACCTCTGAAGGGTTGGCTTAACGAGTCGAAGTACTGCTAATTATTCCGAGAAAAAAAAAGGGGATATAAAATACTGTTCACCTTAGCCCTCACATGTATGCCCTCAGCCCCTATGCTTCCGGTGGCAGTGTATACTCGCTCATCGGCCTCAACGGCAACTTTGCTTTCGTATAAGCCATATCGACCATCTTCATGGCATTGATTGAATCAGCGCCATCTACCCACTGTTGTACCTCACGGTTGCGGATCTTGTTCACGAATTGCTCGAGTTGGTACCGGTATGTAGACCAATCGGGTTCGCCCGGTTGATCGATGCCAATATCGCGGAATGTGTAAGCCTTCACAGCCTTGCAGACCGACCAGCTCTTAATAACACGTTTTGTGGGATCTTCGATCCCTCGTATCTTGAAGTCGTCATCGACTTGGATGTAATGCAGGTACGACGGCTGAAGGTAAACTGAGAACCTGACCTTGCGGATTCGTACTACTTCTAGTCCCGGGGACAGTTCGATCCCCGCCTCTTCGCCGGACACTATAATGGGATTATGCACCACAAGGATTTCGGGTTTTATCTCGAACGAATTCAGGTCACCTTCCATCACGCCGTATCTACCGCCAGGGAACCGGTACCGGGCCTTGAATTGGCGATCGCACCTCGGATCAGACGAACTAGGTTGCGTGACACATTCTTCACATAATTCTGGGATGGTCGCGAATATTCGAGCTAAAACGCTTGCTCCGTAAACACCAAGATCCATAAGAGCACCACCCCCGAGGTCATATCGATATCTGATATTGTTCTTGCCAAACATCAGTTTTGGGGCGAATTGTACGGCCTTGGCGCTGGAGACGTGGTATGGTTTAACATAAGACATGAACGCCGCCCAGGCAGGGTGAAATACGAAATGAGCCGCTTCTAAGAGAACGGGAGCTTGGGGACCATCTAGAAGTGGGCTGTTGAAGAGAGCTTCGGCTTCCCTTGAATTGTTCACCGAAGGCTTCTCTAGAAGTACATGCTTCCCGGCTGCGAGTGCGCGGAAAGCCCACTCGTAGTGTAATCCATTGGGTAGAGGTATGTAGACGGCATTGATGTTAGGATTATTAAGTATATCTGGTAGGGGAGGCGTGCACTAATTTTTAGCACTAAATGCGAATTACAGGTTGATGCCGGGACTTACGTACCCTGATATGTCCTGGCTACTTCTGGTATTCGGTGTTTCTGCGCGAAAGCCTTTGCTTTTAAGAGGTCTCGGGCGGCTACGACTTGAACTATGACTTCAGGATGAGTCTTCGCAGGAGTAATGAGAGCATTTGCCCTAATTCAAGACAATTCGTTGTATAATTAGCACTGCCTTGGTTTCTGGATAGGTTGACTCAGCATAGTATTGGGTAGATGTAGAATACTTACGCAATATTGGCAGCGCCAAGGATTCCGAATCGAAGTGGTGCAGGGGACTTGCGCACGTCGGAAGGATAGAAGAGTTGCCAATTGCGACGAGCGCTGTCAAGTAGAAATGCCATCTTGAAGGTATCGAATACTTGTAGAGATTTCCTTGCTAGAAGTACACTACGGGATATTGGGTTTTAAGTGAAAAAAAGATGAGATATTTACATTTATGGCAACATTGAAATGAAAAGCAGTCACGTTGGAACTTTGGAGTACCCCAGCAAGAAAACATTCATAGTACTTATGTGTTCTTTCCGTGACCCTTTTAGGTAGGTGCCTGGTAAATTTACAGCACATATTAAAACGGTCTAGTGATGAGGAAGGTGGCGTACGTTATGAAACGTCAAAAACACGCCTATCGAAGTACTGATAACACTACCTAAATATTAAAAACTCCGATTCCCACAGAACATTTTCAAACTTTATACGAAACATCTCACACGAAGCAAAAATCAAAGTAATAGTCAGCCGAATATAATCAATTAAATTCGGCTTGCGCTGTATTTAGAAATGCTAAAAGGTATCCAAGCATTTAATCATGAGCATGCAGTATCCTGTCCAGAAGCGCTTTCCTCAAAACTCCTTCGCGATGAAAGCATCAACTACCTTACAGGCTCAAATGGGAGAATGCATTTATAGGACCTTGCCACCAAGGAGGCCAGCAACGGGAGCGAGGATGTTTCCGAGGAGACCCTCAACGTCACCGAGGAGACCCTGAAGTTCCTGAGCAAGTTCAGGAGCGACCTCACCAAGGAGACCCTGGACGAGACCGACAACAGGCTTGGCAATGGGCTCAACGATGGAGAGGACGAGTTGTAGCTCAGGCTTAACGGCAGTAAGAGCATCTGGATACATGTTAGCATTGACCTAGAAAGCATTGGATCCATTGATACTTACCACCAGAGACACCCTTGACGACCTGACCGACAGTGGTCTTGATACCGTTACCGATGGAGAGGACACCGTTCAATAGCTGAGGAAGCTGCTGGAGCTCCGACTCGGCGAGCTGGGGAACACCCTCACCAACGAGGGACAAGACGGGGCTGGCAATCTTGGTAACCTCACTGACAACCTCAAGGAGGGTGTGCTCAATCTGGGGAACCAAAGTGGTGGTGTTGACGTTAACACCCACGACGAGGCCAGCTGCACTTTATGTTAGTGGCATAGAGAATTATGCATCGGATTATGAATCACATACAGATGAGCTTTAGGTCACCCTCAACCGTCTTCTGGACACCAGTGACGGTGGTGATGGCAGTGCTGAGGAGCTCAATGGCACGAGCCTGTTGCTGGTGGACGGCCGGGGCAGCGAGGGCAGAGCCCATGGAGAAAGCAGCGAGAGCGAAGTTGGTGAAACGCATTTTGGCTGTTGGGTATTGTGTTGGTTGCGGTGAAGCGAGTTTTACGTAAGCGGAAAAAGCTGAGGAGCTTAAAGATATCAAGGAGTGACTAAGTTGGAAAGTAGAGAGCGACTAAGTGAGAGACACTGTAAGCTGATCGATTGTTGGATGAGGAAGGAAAAGAAGGAATCTGTCTATACTGACTGGCGACGGCAGATATATACTCCCCCGAGGGAACCGGCTCACCACTTAGACCCCTGAGTTTTGCATTCATTTCGTCCATGTTGATTCTACCCTCATCCACTCTGGTGAGTCTATCATCCTTTCCAATGTCGTCACTAGGTCAAGGACTGGAATAGTGATGGACACTTTCCACCCTCTCATCTTATTGGCGAATAACATTCAGGCACAGGGTCTTGGCAAACATGAATGGTACACAACAGAATGGATACCAGCAGGATGGATTCAGCCAGGATTTACAGCGTCTCATCGATGAGGTTGAAGTCGAACTGGTGCCTTACCAAGCTGCAGGAGAACTATCACCGTGCGTTGTAATAATACAATGCTGTTAGTGCTAGACAAGGGGTTGTTGTCCCCGCGTGGGGCCCTAACGGTAGCATGGTCGATCGCAATGTTACCTACTAGCCCCCATGCTAAAAAGCTTGTCCACTGGTCAAATCCACGCCAACGCAATATACGATGTTGAAGACATTGTTTTGTTGTCAGGTATCACAAGATGCGGTCCTCTCAACCGCGGCGACGGCGCCTTAGATCTTACTGTGTGAAGCCTCTACAACACCAACTCATCTCATTGCTGTCGGATTACAAGACGAAACTACATTACTTGGAGGCCATGTCCACTTCAAATGCTTCGGCTTCTGTAGATCAAAGTCCAAAAGACCCTTGTTGGACGATTATCAAACGACTTCCATAGGCGATCACAACTAGTTCCTAGGTGTTAAATGGGGACTTGCATAACATAACCGGCCAGCCTTGTAAGGAAAGAAGGCTTGCATTGGTCCGCACGTGGCAGATACAGAAACCTCGTGGAGCAAGGCAATAAACTCGGCAAGTACCATTATTGGCGGTTTCGTACGGTCTCTCGTATGAATTACTGACTATTACTTAGGTACATATGTGCATTGTGCGGATACACTGGAATAATGCTCACCGACTCCAACCGACTGGCTAAGTCCCTTGGGCCCCAGTAGCCTTTCTCATTCCCTTGCAGCTCTTATGAAGCGCAATGGATATGTAACAGAAGCGACTGTCCAATTTTATGCCCCTTAATTGGGGGCGACCTGCAGTTGGGTCACAATTTTCATTATTGTTATGCCTTAGGAAATCACAACGTATTATTATTGATCCTTCAATGTTATTTCTCTGTGCCAGAATCCTGACGTCACTCTAGAGACCTGGTTCGCGAAGTGGAATACACTACAAACCCCTGAATGCCGCGATGTCACCATATCCAAACAGAATTAGGTAAGGGGATTTAAAATAAGGTCGGTCAGGGTCAACCTCCTATCCGCATCAGCACGTAGCATTGATGACGAGCTTGACAGTATCCCTATTAAACTTTTAAATAATCTAATATCCATGGACCCTTTCAGTCTGTATAGACTAGATCCGTTGTTTCGGCGATGCCAGCTATTTCCTTTTCGAGCCGAAATTTCCTCGAGGCTGACTAGGGCTAGCCATATTGGCACTAAGTATCCCCATAGGCTGAAGAAGTCCCTCCGAGGAGCATGCTAACATGCGCCATTTAGTCGGTTCGAAACGTGATCTTCTTTTGATAAGATATCTAATATCCGATGTGAATACAATGCGGTGTAGCCGCAAGTCACCATGCAATAGGGGCATGGCTATTCCCGTGGAGCTATCTCCCGTGTGGATTGCCGAGGAAGTTGTTGCTGTTGGAAGCGGATGAACGGAGTAGCCGCGATTCCCGTCTTACTTGAATTACCGGTGTTCTGAGGCTTCAGGCTCATGAACCATCGAGACGGGCACGAGCTACATCGTAGATTCCGGTTACTTGATGCCTATACTCAGCGCGCAAACGTATCAACTTGCATCTAGCTTGGCATTTTTGAGATGCGATATTGAGATACCTCGTTGAATAAAGGGTTAGGTTAGTTGCGTTGCCGAGGTATGCCGCATTTCTTTTTGCAACTTCCAATTCGACTATCGGTCTTCTCCCTTACTTCGGAAGAAATTGGATAATTCTAATAGCAACTCTTCGTATTCGAATATGATCACTCACGAAGCACAATGCGTGAAATTACTTCGAGAATTCCCGAGGCCATGGCTTCCGCGCTCCGGCTCCCGTATAGTATGCCCTCTAGCATACCTAAACCTTCCGGGTACGACATAAACCTTCCGGCGAGTTATTTTTATAACCAGGTGATGCTTCGTGTTCTAGCCGACGTAGAACGTATTCGCATATACCTGGGTATCACCTCCGAGCGGCTTCACATGTTTAACTGCTCAAAACCCGCCACCATTTATACAACTGCATTCCTCGGGATTCGACGCTCGCTAGCGGCGGTGATATCGGAGCAAGTAGACATTGATCCAATACCGTCCTTGAGTAATTTCGCTTGCACTGAGCCGGTTTGCAGGTTTATCTCGCGAGACTTCGCTTTGATCAATTCATTATCCGACAACGGCATTTGAAAATGTTTTCTCCCTACAGGCATTCTACAAGTCAGGGACGACGAGGATGACTCGCCTCTCCAAACTTAATACCAGCCACCAAGATACCTTGCCTGAATCGGCTGCACATTGCTTCGCTGGCTGGCCGACGCAAGGAGACCAAATTAGACAATCTAACTCAATAGGCTCGAATGGGACGAGCGGGAGCTATGCCGTGAGTGCAAGTCAATCAGTTTACCTTCGGGCTATGTGCAAAGTAGCGTAAGCTCATGAATGACCCCAAGACCCCCGGTTAATATTTTGGAATTCCAAATGGAGTCGAAGTTGTTCGACTGTCAAGTGCTGCTAATCGGATACAGCCCGTCGGTATCACGTACATTACAGAACGCTAGGGCCGAATGCGACAGGGTTATAAACCTCGGAATCGTTGCTACACCCAACGTCGACGTGATAACGGGTGTTAATTAAGGGTTCATACCGGATAGATTCAGCGAAAAGAACTTGCTATAAACCCATCCCGATCCTAGATGCCAAACGGCACTCTAGGTTGTGCTAACCCTAAATCGAGGGCTTAATCAAATAGAAAATCGCGATCGCAATCCTCCAGTAGACCAGTATGTCCAACTTAATCGGATTTCCTTCGTCGTTAACCCGGAGTACCATGGGTTTATTGACGATGCGACCTTACCGAATACTAGTGTTATCGAAACCCACCCGCCTGCGAGCTCCAAAATCCAACGATAAATAAGGAAGTGATGCTAAATACTTTGGGTACCTAGGTGGTTTACCTTCACTGCTTTATTCTACAACAGAGCCCGTAGTACGCTAGCTCCCACTATAAGTAAGACATACACAGGCGTTCCGAGCCGCCTACTTCCACTGGTAAGGAAATGCGAAACATCTGTATTAGGGGCTATTAACCGCTAGGAGTAAGACCTACATAAAATTAGGCGCCCTGTTTCTACCTAGGTGGGAACCTGGCGATGATTATATGGTGCCTTTCAAGGGGAAAAGAAGATATAAATGAGCGCTTGCTGAAACTTCGTTTCCGCTACTCGTATAGCGAAATTCTCTACCGTGCGTCGCCATTAGGCATATCCAAATCAATAGCATAAACGGAAGTATAGATGAAAAAATACCTAGGTAGCTTAGCATAGCGGCTATGTTGCTAGTGAGCTCAGCCTGGAAGTAGAGCTAAGCTTTCTCATTTGACCAATCGGAGAGCTTCTACATCTCTTTTTGGTAATTACCAAGAGTATTATAGACATGAACGATTCGAAGAGAGAACATGTAGTTGTTACATATAACTATTATTGGTAATTTCTACCTTGATGAATTATATTTATTACAACTAGATTTGAGGCGCGGACGGGCCAGAATCAAATCCTGTGTCGTTATTCTTTGCGTGTTGCTATGTTCTCCGTAGTATACTAGGGTACTAATAGGGGACGGGGCAGTGGTAAGCACTGCCAAACGGGGGTGCGCTATGCACGATGCTCCCCTCTAAAGGAACCACCAAGGCCGCCAGTTGAGGTACGCCTAGCAGCTGAACACGATCCGCGTATAACCACCTGATTTACGGCCACTAAAAATTCCATAGGCGCCTAATAATGCGATACAGCAGGGTGCCTAGGTAGACAGCTAACCCCTATTTTTCTATTTATTGCAGACCTACCTACCTAGGTACATAACTACGACTAAAACAACCTGCTCCTGATGCAACGAGAATCAATGGCCGTATTAATTGCTGGCTTAGACTCCTAACTTCGATGTTTTTATGTTTTCATAAGCCCAACGTCATGCTACACTCCATCTTATATACCCCTTTTACTATACCATTATAGGGAATAGGGAACAAAGCAAGAAGTTCAACAACGCCTCTCATTTCCAAGGAGACATTGTTTCCGAGCACAATACATTATACGATCAGCTCTAGTATTATAAGTCTAGCAGCTACAGCTGGCGAGAAGCTAGTTTTGTCTAACCAAATTTGCCATCATCGATTACGATCACACAGATGAAAAGAAAGGTCAAGTAGCCATACCCGTCAACAATTAAGTGATTAGAAAGCAGGTAAATCGTAAATCCAGCACAATATGCACGAGTATTCGGACCAGAGTGACGGTGAAAGCCTCACGGCTGACCAGTCTCCAAAATCCCCAGTATTCATATCTGGTAACGGATATAAATACAGTCCCTATGACCGCTACGCTCACGAATGTGGGCACGTTTTTCATAAAGGTCACCTTGTAAGGACCGTAGATACTAAGGTAAAGAAGTATCATGAAGGATTATGTAACCTATGCTGGTGCGACATATTTTGGGATGCCAGGGAGATCCGGATAGGTAAGCCCGAAGGCACCAGGCGATTCAAAGACGGTAATCGAAAACCTACCATCATGTCTAAACCGAAGCGTCCTAGAGGTGCCGTCAAGTATTGGGTTCGTAGAGGACCTGTGGTTGGAAAGGTCGAACTTTATGGGAAGACTACATTATTCTAAGTGGAAAATAGCGTTACTATTTATTTTTTTACCTAGGTAGAAGCGAGGAACTCCATGAAATAGATATTGAAAACAATTTAGGAATCAATGTTGCTATTATGATTATCTGTATCCATCACAATCCATCGCTGATGTAGTTTATATATTGTTTTATCATGGAATACCTTAGGCCATTTTTCATATGTTGCAACGCTAATACAATTCTTCCTATATAGTATGCTTCATTCTTTGTATGACATATTTGATTTTCTATATGTATGTCTTTGTGTACCTACATGTTGAATCACTAACCGTTACTACTCATTATATATATATTACTAGGTAGGTAGGCCAATAGACCAATAGTGATATGTACCTGGGGTATGCGGCTTCGCCGTCAAGGCCTAGAGGGGATGTATCCTACCACCAATTCTACTCAACATGTACCTGCCTCGAACACCAATGTACATTTACTATCCCAGGCTACAACTACCTAAAATATCAAGGTAGCAGTAACCATTGACGCAAATCTAACATATTAACCACTAGTACTTTTGTATCAAATTAGACGTAATATCATACGGGTACCATTGCTTAAGTACCTAGGTACTAAGATATATAGTATTTTTGTAGTTCTCCTATTATTATTTGTCTACTGCCGATTTTACGCAAACACTAGGAGAAGGTCTACTGTGTGCCAGTGCAGGAGCAAAATATGGGGTGGGGGGAGGGTAGGGGGTAATAAAATTAATCGAAAAAAACAAAACGAAATCGAAACAAGACAAAAAAAAACTTAAAGAACTTTTTTTCCTAAGGTCGTAGAGAATTACAGAAGGTACGGTACAGAAGCACGTGAAAAAACAGTGTAAATGTGTGTTTGTAAGTTGTTACTGCAAAAGAAAGCTGAGCCAATCCCGCGATAGCTTCTTTTTTTTTCTGTAGTAATTTCCACTGTGAAATAGGTGGTCCTTGCAACGCTAACTTAGAGTATTAACTTTGCCATCCCCCTGTATTCCCCCGCCGTAAGGCAGCTACGTAGAAGGCAGGAACTGTTTTAGAGGCAAGCACTTGTGTTTATTTAGGTTCCTTCCCTACCAAGGCAAGCACACAGTTCGTCCAGGTCCTCCGGGGGAAGGCACGCCGTGCACAGGTAGTTCCTTCATTATCTGTGAGTGATTGCACCGTAACCTGTTTATTTATTTATTTTTTCGGCGAACTGGAAACCTCTGGGATCCCTTACACCTAAACCTTCCACCCATTGTCACGCCGACTTTTTACACAACTTCCAATCCCTTTCACTTCAAGTAAACCTGCTTCGGCGATAATTCCCACACTTCTTCCATCTGCATCCATACAACTCTAACTCGTAATGTCCGACGAAATGGCTTCGGAAACGCGAGTAATTGTTCCTGATGCCAATGGCAATGGGTGCGAGGACACGCACCCTCTCGCCCACATCACTGCGCAGAATAACGAAGTTCCTCTCTTCAAGAAAATTCCGTCTGAGGTACGTCTTAGCCAGCTCATCTCATCCTTGATAAACTCATACTTAAATGAAGTCAGATCCTCTTAAAGATCTACGAACTCGCTGTCGTTCTCGATGACCCAATTTACCCCACCGATCTCATGGCCGGCTCCAACAAATATACGTTGGTTTCCAAAGGCAAGAAACTACAGCCAACAGTTGTTGCCCTGAGTCAGGTTTGCCGAAAAATCTATGAAGATCTCAAATATTGCCCGATATTCTATCGTGTCAATACTTTTTCCTTCAACACGCAAATATCCTTACATGCCTTCCTGGCAGCTATCACCCCTCAGCGACGTGCGGCGATTCGTTATATTGAGATCGACGAGGGTAGTCTCATAGCGACGCCGGGCGACGTGAGATACTGGAGACACCGCTGGCTCAATTGGAACGCTGATTACCAAAGGAACAGTGTATTGACACTTTTGAGCCAATGTCATGATTTGAGGGAGCTATCATATGTCATACCACCGTTTGAGCATTTCTTAGCAGAAGCCCATACTTCCTTACTCAAAACATACGACATTTGCTCTCCGTGGAACCTGCCTACTTTCCGACTGTTGATTCGAGCAAAGGGTACTGATAGTATTCATACCTATGAGATGGGCGTTGAGGACGGTTTCGAAGTCCCAGCGTGGTTGCAGGAAATAGACCCAGATCCAGCGCATGCGCGCCAACTTAGGCCTATCAATGATGCTCGTAAGTCACCTTGAACCTCATTAGATCACTGTCCAATTTCCTTCAAGCAGCATCTGTACTATTGCCTTCCCTGGTACGTAATAAAGCCAATAGATGATGACTAACTGTTGGATGCTGTAGTGGTTCGTCGAAAGCGCCTTTTCAGACGGGAGGAAAAGAGGTTGAACGACAACAAAGACCCCCAGGACAAGCAATACAGATTCTACCGCCCCAAGTGGTTCGATGATATGAAAGCGAACGTCGGTCTTGCCGTAACGGCCGCACGCATCGATATGCCAGGAGAGATTCGTATCTCACAAGATCCCATAAATGACACCTTTGGTCCAATCTCATCCCGTACTAGAGCTAGGGTAGGATCGTATGACTACTCATCTGGTCGCTGCATACGAGACTTTCCTAGATACAACGTGTATGGAGGATTGGCGTGGTCCGTAATGGAGATCTCAGGGGTCAGATTGAACCACTCAGAAGTCCAATGCAAAGTGACATGCAACGTTGCGACGGCCGACGATCGTCTACGGTACAAGGGACAGCATCGCACATTTTGGACTCCCATCCATAGCCTTGTGGGGGAATACGACCCTTACAGGCTTCTGGAATTCTACAGGTACATGGCAAACCCTAGATCCCCCGTTCCTCTCGAAGGGATGCGAGGTACACTGCCGCCTCGCGAGGTCTCTAAATCTGTGGGAGGCATTACCGGTCTCCTCGCCGAAGAAACCAACGCAGTCTCCAGAAGGGCGTTTTGTCGAAGATGGAAGAGTGTTGAAACGCGTTGGAACAGCCGTTTGGCGAGGCTTGAAAAACGCGCCGCAGTTAGCCCGCAAAACGGGAACAACTCGACAACTGCGGGCGAAGCCCAAGAAGAAGAGGACATGAGCCAAGATGAAACTCAAGTTTCCTGTCGGGGGGCGGGGTGGACGCCGTTCTTTGATCTCGAGTACTAATCACCACACCATTGGAGAGTCAGATATTTAGACAAATAATAAGAAGACCGTATTGAGCCATGTTAATAGGTACAGGGGTACGTGAACTTACACTTCAAAACCTTCAAGTAGCATAATCCTTTCGTCAAGTCAGCACTTTAGTTATGTGTTTTAGACAAGCCACCCGCGCATAGATGTCGGCTCATGTAGTTTTGCAAGTGTCTGGACGCGTTGGAGAGTGGAGGTTCCGTTTTAGCTCTCTCGTTTCGCTATCATCCTTCTTCTTGCCATCCCTATTGTCCGTCTTGCCCAACACCAATCCTAGAGGAGCTGACTCCCTAGTGGGTTTCTTTTCCCTGGATGGGTAGTAGCTACACTCGACCTCTCATCGGAAATATCTTCTCACATAGCGACTACAACGTTGAAGTATTCGTTGTTCTATTGCTCGCTAACGCGAAAGTGTACGGAGATGGCTACTCATTGGGGAATAGGTGGTGGTACGGTAGGTTGGTTTCCGGCGTCGTCAAGACGCTTCACCCGCGGCGTCGCCGGCTAGATTGCGGTTGTCGTTGGTCCCCCAGCATGGGTGGAGAATGCCGTAGGGGGTATCCATTTGCTTAAGGGACATGTTTTTAATGCATTATGGGATATATATAGTGGTTTGAAGTAATTTATAGAATAAGATCCACGAATTTGATTATCGTGATGAAGGGTTGATGTTTCCGTGGTTGGAAAAGGTCTTGGAATGATGGAATGATGGAGGAATAGAGGTTCAGGTTTGGCCCTGTCGATTGCCACCTATTTATACTAATCCTTCCCGTCGCTGCTGCCGAGACGGACCCGTATTATGGATGGAACTGACCGGAATCTGTTGCTATGACGTAAACGTACCTGACGATAAATTGCGGGACAGTGCGTTGGCCAGCGTTGACTAAATCTTAGGCGACGACGGTGTTAGAGTTTAATCGGACGCGGCTAATACCTCATTGGCCGTTTATCGTGAACATCGCGTTACCTTCGTCCTAGCCAAATTCTCTTTGATAACTCTAGTCGTAGGCTTCAACTATGAAGACCAAGTCTGAATCATCTCATTTATGCCGGACTCCTAACCAGACTGAATTTTATTTCATTGAATATCGTCACTTCTTTGATTAGAGGCGGAAATAGTTCCTGGTCTTTTGAAATGTGGCGTGATTCCTTTTGTATGGTCGTAGCCCCTATTTTTGGTGTAACCGTATACGTCATCTACCCCCTTTTCCTACGTTACATAATCATATCGAGATGAGCTTAGATAAGACTTCGAGCCTGCCCTGTGATCATCCAAACGCTTAATAACAGTTATCAGGAACGACTTACAGGCAGCAGAGAACGATCATCAGATTGCGGTTACCAAAATCTAGATATAGATATAAGGTGCGCCCCCCCGATCATTCAGTTCTGACCAGCCCAGGATCAGTCGCACGTGTAGTATACACTTGGACTTAGTGCTACCCATAAGCACCTCCACCACACCATCGACCGAGAGGAGTATCGAACCCCTTTGAGTCCCTAAAATCGATTATACCCCAACGAGCTTCATCGCTGCGGCGGGATATCTATCTCCAGCAACAGGAAAGCTCTCCAAAGTGCCCGTGATAGCCTTTAGATCGTCGTCCGATAGATCTATAATAGCGGCATTCTCCTTAACCCTAGCCTCAGAGCTCGCACCTGCAATGGGAATGATTAGGGGCATTCCGGGTTTCTTGCTTTGAAGCTTTAGCCATGACAAGGCGAGTTGAGCAGGTGAGACACCTTTAGCTTTGGCTAGCTTCTCTATCTCTGAGACGAGGGCGAGGTTCTTTTGGAAGTTCTCGGGTTGGAATCGTGGGAACATGCGTAAGTAGGACCCGTGAGGTAGGTCGTCGATGCTCTTAATCCGCCCCGTAAGCACTAATAACAAAAATTAGGAATTAGTTGCTCTTTTAGTGAACGACTTGTGAGAAATTTCGGCGCTTTCGGGAGCCTTGACCCCTAAGATGCACCAGAGTAGGAGAAGGGAGTAGGTACGGGTAAGGAGTTTTGGTGCCACATACTACCGGCGCCAATTGGCGTGTGCGCAACGATCGGGATGCCTAGCTCGCCGCATGTTGTTGCCACGCCGTTTTCGAAGATGCCTGTCGCCCATAGGCTAACTTCCTGTTCCACCATATCGATCTGGGCCACAGAAGCAGCACGGCGAATAGTGTTCGCGCCAACTTCACTCAACAAGATACCTCCGATCTCCCCTGCCGCCTTCAATTCGGCGAGAGCGCGCACAGACTCTTCGATAGGGGTTTTAGGATCGACGCGAGCAATACCAAAGACGTCGATCTTCTTGCGGCCGCCAAGGGTAGAATTGGCATTGGCCAACATGCGGCGTATGCCATCGGGGGATCCGTCCATGTTCAGAGTACGCATGTCGACGATGCCACTCTTGATGCAGATTACTACTTTATCAGCGTCCTCAGGATACTGAGTGAAGTAGCGTGCTAGCAAGTGTAGTGAGCTGCGTTCTGATGTGCCATAGAAATCGGCCCCACCCCATACGTTTACGCCTGCTGCGAGCGCGGCCTTCAGCACAGCGAATGTCTCCTCGTCTGGTACCGCTCCGCTGTGCGGTGTCATACCTGTTGGAATTCATTAGTCCCCACCATTTGTTTTAAAACCAAGAACTAAGGCTTCGTGAAATGATGGCATGGGGAGATCGTACGCATGAGGCCGAGGCCATTCTGGCTGAGTGCTCTGGCTGAGTGCTCTGGCTGTTACTATAGACATTTCGACCGTGGATATCTAAAACCTCCATCGAAAATAATCTTCTTTCTTCAGCAATCGAGGATCGCCTTCATTGAAAAAAGGTAGGATAGCTGCGGGTTTCGGAATTAGCTGGCTACCTATATCCGACTGTGTTACCAACACGTTTCGATGGACCATAACGACGTCGAATTAGCGAATGAATCGGCGAAAACTAAAGGGCTTCAATCGATGCCTTTGGACATCTAATGGCCTTTGTAGCGGATTTCGTTAAATGCCATCGGTTTGTGACTTTTTATTAAGTCCGCGATATAACGAGACTGGTACTTTAAGTCCGTAAAAGTCTGAAGGTTTTATATACTAGCCCACATCGCCCTTGCATACATACCCTCAATCGTGTCTTGCTACGTTGAGAGAAATACGAAAAAGATGCGACCGTCCATAAAAAGAATAGTGTTACTCCTATCATCTTAAAAAGGACTGAAGAGAGAAGGCGAATGTTGACAATGTTCATGGATACACTCTTGGACCCCGAACGACTTAAGCATCCCGGCTACTTCTAGCTAGGCGCAGTATAGCACCACGCTAATATCGCGACGGCAAGACATTATCGTATCACGCTAGGGATTGTCTTAACTCCACTATGTTATCCCGAAGCATATACCGTCATTCGTTCAGAGGGATATAAGCTTCGGTGGTTCCCCTCCACCATGGGTAACTAAGAGCCTAACATATGTTGCGCAAATTGCCTGCAAGTCATATTAGTATAATGGGGAGCGATATATAACTTTCAACGGATGCGTATGGATTTGACATGGATGAGTCGTTGTGTATCAGCTCTTGCCAGAGCCTCTTGTACCTGCAGAAACAATGTGATACCTAGGCGGTCTTCGGTCCTCCGTTCGTATGCGAGGGACTCCCCAACCAGAAAGAATTCAAAGTCGGACCAATCCACTGTGATTGAATTCTGTGGAATTTCGTTCTTTGGGTTTGTTGCTTTGTTCGATCCCACTCCTTGAGGAATGCACAAGAATGAACTGGGGCTTATGGTATCTTTCAATTGTTGGGTATTTCGAAATATCAGGGATTGAAACCAGCCTGGCTTAGAATCATCTCGACGAATCATCGAGTTCCCGTGGAGGGTACATACAATATCGCCGATTCGAGTGTGCGATGGTCCGATACCCAGCTGTGGCCAGACCAAGCATTTCCGACCAACGTGGGCAATTGGTGGTGACATGATAAACACGAGACGCCCTTTCGCCCAAGCTAACACTTCATCAATATAATCTTCGATATTATCCGACTGCTGAAATGTCGAAGGAACGTGTTGTCCTCCCGTAAGGAGCATAAGCAATTGATGCCACACGAGTTGTGAGTCGTCATTGCTCAATTGTTTATCGGGATCCTCTGCTAGCATCCGCTCTTTTACCGATTCAAAAAGCTTCCTTGTCCATGAAATTGCAAGACTCGGGCTCGCATCCATAGGAAAAGCCTCGAATATGTGGTCGACTACTCCTACGCAATAAGGGTCTTCTAGCGTCAAAGTCTCTATATTTCGTGATTGAGGGTACCGAAGAGCCGAAAACCCCGATCGCAGGGATTGTCGGATAATAGGTAAACGCCAATCGGGTATCCAAGAACATTTCCCATTAAAATGGGAGCTGTCAGATCGATCCATAGCATGTCTAACGAAGTCATTACCATTCAGATCATGACGGAAGCGATCATAGCCGGTTTGACCACGACGTTGCTCGAAACGAGTCGTTACTGAAACGGCAAAATCCCGATATATCTCCTGGGTGGATTTGGTATAATTGATGTTGATAATTATCTTGTCGGAGCTGGACTCATCATCTACAAAAGCCACATCTGGCGCTAGGCCTGCGATGGCGTAGATACGGTCCCTGTCATCAGCACAGCCTGCTTCTGAAAACTCCGCTAGAATTTCTAGAATCCTAAGTGGGCGGCCCGCTAGAACGTGAGACTCCCAGAGGCTTCTAAAGCTTTGAACCAGATGTTTAGGTGCAGTATCCGAGCCCCATATTCTTTGAGGGATCAATAGCAGTCTGAGCCAGGGGATCATAGAAGCCCCGCAGAACAGTAAAATATTGGGATTTAGCGAGACTTCTTGTATAATCCAGCGCCTACCAAACCAGGGCAGTTGGAGAAGCCCGTTGAATGCCCGTTTCAGCTCCTCGATATTCTCTGGGCCTGGCATTCGTTGGGTTAAGAGGGCTATTTTCCTCATATGGGCTTCGCCATCTGAATCACTACCCAACCAAACTAACACGGAAGATGCACCGCGGTAGATCTCCGCCATTCGCGGGATCTGCCTGGCTTTTTCGTTGATGTCATTTTGATTGATGCATATCGCATCGACCCAGAGACGCCTCAACTTGGTCGGTAGTCTGAAGCGAACCAGCGCATCGCGAAGATTCGTCGTAATCCCCAGAGATGAGTTATTTTCGACTATGATTTCCTCACTGAATACAGGCGTTCCCCAAGTATACGATAACGCGTCAAAGAATGGATCTATGTCCAGATTGATGAGGCGCAGGTTGACGTGAAGAGGGGAGGTAGAGTCTAAAGATGGTTGAAGTTCTAAAATTCGCGTATGCGCGTTGTCAGGGAGAGGCGGGTACTTGTAAGGGGGCAACGATTCGGGTTCCCCCATCTTTTTCAGTAGGGCTCCACGTGGTAATTCAGTGGATATCGCTAAATTTCAGGGGCCTCCTATAATCCAGTAGGCGCTATGACGCCCTCCGGTGTATATACCTCTTTAGAAAGTGATGGTTTTCTATCCGAGATGTTAAATAGAGTCATAGGCTTGAGGTAATTATCTAATAGTTTAAAATGATATAATACATGTATACACCATATGTCCTCATATAGATGTTGTTGGTTGTTCCTCGTCTAAGCCTCATAGAATGCGACTTTACCCCTGATCCGTTATAATGGCGCTAACGCAACTACCTGCTAATCTTTAGGTGCTAAATCCCCCCAATGAGAGTAATCCTCTTCAAGGTTAGAGCCCCAAACACCTGCTATTCCTTCTCCAATTATCGATCTATAGCGCGTAATCAAGCCTGTATCTGAGAACTTGTTTGACGAATCCGGTTAACCTTGCTACCATACTCAAGTGAGGTATATAGTCCGCTCGATTCTAAAGATAACCTCAACTAGGATAGAAATGTGGATTGGTCCGTGGATTTTCTTAAGTAGTAGTCATTTGTGGTGTTGTAGTCGCATACTCGGAGTTGGTAAGGAAGCTAAAGAAAACCTATTGTGCGCTGAGTCTCGTCGATGTCCTGCTTAGCGAGCTTGGGCCTGACTTCAGAGAATGTAATAACTTGGGTAGGCAGAAGGTTTGATGAGACAGGTTAGATATTGGGACAGGTCCATCTTTTCAAACACGAATCTGTAGATCATGGCCCTAATCTCCTGAGGTGACCTATTGGAGTTCTATAGTATCGACTGGATGGCAATATTGCATTGATGTTATGACAGGCAAAATATATTAAGGGTTTATTCCTCTAAGTATTTGTATAAATGCCTGGATTTGATCTCTTTATTAATACCTGGATTGGTTGTAAGCTACATGATATTCATGTAGAAGCTTCATTATAAGAAGACATAATCTATTGAGTACGAAAAGAGTATTGAGTGATTTCTCTAAGGGATGAGATGATTTATAATAAATTGCACAAGTTTGCTAGCATGTGTTTCTCAATATTTAGGATCGGTATGTACCCATACAAGTAGGCAATCACGATCAAGCACAATCGCGCTGTTCGCCGTACCTGCCCAGCAGCCTTAGGTACTCCCCTACCGTCGCGACCCCTGAAAACGTAGTATAGTACCCTAGTAATGCCAAATTAGGCAGGGTCGACGGGTAATTCTAGCGTGGTGTTTAGTGAGAATGTTTGCAAAACCGCGGGGTAATGGCGGGGTACAGATAACATTCAGCAGGCAGTCGCAAGCTAGAGCTGCCCCAAACTTACCACGTCATAATCGGCGCGCAGTTCAACACCAAACCTTTCAACCTTTTCACCCTTTCAACTTTTATTTTCTCCTTACGACGACTTTTCATAACAGTACGCCGTCAGATCAATTCACAATGGCGCCCCAAAAGGACGGCGAGATGCCTAGCTATGTTTACGCCATCGAGGAATCCGGCGCTTTGCGCGTGTACACTACCGATGGCAAAGACGTCGCATACCTCAAACACCCACGAGGCTACGTCAAAGCTGTGATGGATGTCTTTCTACCCGCTGGATACCCCAACTCTGTGACTCCGGACTACACGCCCTATCAGATCTATGTAAGTTTCTTTCATTTATTCGCCGATTTCAAATCGAATTTTTGCGACCGTTAATTAATATGAATTATAGGATTCACTTCAGGCGTTTTCTAGCACCATTGCTGGTCTACTATCGTCCCGAGCTGTGCTCCAGGGTTTCGGCGTCGGCGATTCCACATCTTCGGCCACAGCTGCTGTCCTACTTACGGTTCTCCAAGAGTCAACTGGCCGTCTAGCCACAATCTGGTTCGCACACCGTTGTGGTCGCGCTATTGCGCCCGAGTGCAAGTATTACCGATTCCTTGCCGACATTGTCAACGACTTGGCACTATTATTTGATGTGCTATCCCCGGCTCTACCCCCGCCCCAGAAGGTTGCTGCCCTTTGTACCGCTGGTATTCTTCGTGCCCTCTGTGGCGTCTCAGGTGGTGCTTCTAAGGCTGCTCTTAGTGCTCACTTTGCCAAGACAGGCAACCTCGCTGAGCTTAATGCCAAAGATGGAAGTCAGGAGACAGTTATCAGCCTCTTCGGCATGCTCATTGGCAGCTTGTTCCTTCAGGTTGTGCACGGGAAGGCTGCAGTTTGGTTCTGGATGGTTACTCTCGTTAGTGTCCACCTTTGGACAAACTACCAGGCTGTCCGTGCTGTCCAGATGCGTACGTTGAACAAGCAGCGACTATGCATGGTTATCGACAAGCTCAAGCATCGTGTGCTCCGCCCTGATCAAGTCGCCGCTGAGGAGCGTATCATTACCTGGACCAAGCCTAACATCACTTTTGTGGATACGGTTCCGACCCCTCTCGAGATCCAGCGTCTCAACTTCGAGAAGTACGTAAAGGTCGGATATCTTTTCCTCATTCTTCCGGACGAAATCAAGATCTACATGAAGGAAGGTTATTCGACACGAGATGTCCTCCGAGCATACATTGAAGCTTATCACATTGTTCATACGAGATATGAATTTTCGACCGGTCAACCGATTGATGAGTACTACGACGAGCTTTGGAAGAGCCTCAAGGCTGCTGGCTGGGATCTCGAGACCAACGCAATTGAGACTGGTCCTTCTATCCAGTTGCGCCTAACCCACCAGAAGGATTAGACCCGCAGCGCGGTTCTATGGACGGGTAGAAGAGACTTTTCTTTTCTACAACGGTTGTTTTTTGGGCGTTAATGGAGGACTGGCTGGTCATGCGATACCCCTCTACGTGATGCATTTCGGGCGGAAGAGTCCCTACGGATAGGTAGTCACAGGGATTACGAATGAACTACTTGTAACATAAGGTGCGAATGAATTTTAATGAGTAGATTAATGAGTAGATGAATGGTGACCTTCCTGCATCATTATATGGCAACCCTCTATACCCAACCATGCGCCGTGCTACGATATGTACTGGACATGAATTTGTATGCCCTTATAATACACTGATATTTATATAAGTGGTTGGCACCCACCTCTAGGCGATCTCTGTTGATCTAATTTATATCAAGCCAGTGGCTCGCATAGCCCTCATTTTTACCCCCTCCCAAGTATTCAACTTCGGTCTTACGTCGAGGTAAAAAGACAGCTTCCCGTTAGCACCAACAGCTGTGCCACCATTTCGCCCTGCGTAGAAGTCGATAACGTATTCAATCTCCTTGCCGCACCGGTCTACGACCCAGTCGTGTCGGTCGAAAGGTGCCTGGTAGCCTAGCAAAGTATTGAAGCGGGCTCGAGGCGACATATGTGTGCTTAGACCGGAGAAGGAATGGAGGCGTGGGCCGTCGCAACTGTATTTCCGTCATATTAGCACTATTTTTCACCCAATGTATAGACGACCGTCTCCAGAGCTATAGTTTAGAACGCAGAACGTACATAGACCCCCTAACCCAAGGCTCCTCCCAAGCCTTAATCTCCGCCCAAGCGCGCTCATTCACGGCATTATGGATCGGCACGACGGTGCGCATGTCCACTGCGCGCGGATCGTGGCCTTTGCGCTTCATCGCTTCGAAGAACATCTTTTCAGAGGGGTATATCCAGTTCCCGGATACTTCGTCTGCGCCGGTTTCTTGTTCGGTGTTCGCGGGGATGTGTGGGGTGGCGGTTGGGAGGGTCTCGTCGGCGGGTTTGGAGGTTCGTGGGATTGTGGAGATTTCTCGGTCTGTGCCGAGGGAGGAGAGGGGCGGTCGGGGATTTTGGGATTGTGTCGTGGTTGGTGGTGGAGAGGCGAAGAAGGGTATTCGTGGGATGTAGGATGTCCATGATGAAGTCGAGGTTGAAGCTGGAGGTTGTTGTGAGGTTGGTGGGGAGGGTACGGGTGCTGAGCGGGAGGCTTGTTGTAACCACGCTTCGCGCGCTTTATGGTCTACAGGACAGCTTTCGGCGGAATCTTTTGTTGCGGCGCTTGGTATTGGAGGATGCGACGGCGGTAATGATTGCGATTGTGGTGATATTTCGCCATTCGCGGCTCTTGCTTGTGATAACCATGCCTCTCTGCTTTTGTGGTCGACGGGACATGCGGCTTGCGCCTGTTCTTTGGCGTCTGACATTTTCGTGGCTTCGTTAATCGTCGTCTCATTCAGTACCCACGCAAGTGGTAAAATATCAAGTCAATAAGGTGAATTGAGGGTATTCCATTCGTTTCTGATGAGGTTAAGCTAAAAATTCTTGGGTTGCGCGATCCATTGGAACTTTTTTTTTATGGAGACGTCATCGCCCGCGGAATTAGTGGACCAGCAATCGCCAACCGTTACTGTTAACAAGAGAAGACCCCCCCCCCCCCCCCAAAAACTTTACCACTAACAACTTATTTTACACCCTATTTCTTGCTATTAACGCAATCACAAACTTGTTTCTACCATCAACTCATATTGGGTATTTATGATAAGCTATACTATACACATCTTTTAGAATTTAATGGCTACTCAACACGATCGCTCAACTACCACGAACGCAGACACAATCCATGCTAGGAGCTCGTAACTCGCAGTTCCGAAGATCAAACCAGAGGTCCATAGTCCTCATTCTCACTAATAGGTAGAGCTCGCCTTGGCCCTCAACTTTGCTCCATACTTCCATATGAAAAGAGGAAGAGGAACGGCAATTGTAATACTTCCCAAGGCTATAATGCAATTGGACCATCCATACCCAAGCGCCTGGTACATACTCGGAGCAAATAATGGAAATAGGAAAGCTAGCAAGCTTCTGACGAACTGCTGAGCTGCCATGGCGCTGGTCGTATGTTCCGGGTATGCATCAATAACATATGCCGTCACTATAATATACACTTTAGCATTCTACAAGTACTTTGGTTGATATGGAAAAGAGAAGACTTACTCGGCATGCCGGCAAGTTGCATTCCAAACAACATGACAAAGACTCCCACATCGACCACGAACCAATGGACCCGATATTCGGCCGTCCACCCGTATAGCACCAAGCCTATCCATGAGATGATCATGGAGGGGAATAGAAGCGGAATGCGGGACTCCGGAGTGGGGCTGCGTGCACTCTGCCGCTTGTAAAGGTAATCCATCAGAGTGCCCCCGATTTGTGAAGCAGCTACTTCGCCCAACGAACAGGCAATATAGTGCAACCCACTAATTTCTACCGACTGGCCGTATTGCTTTGTCCAAAGCTCGGAGAAAGTTGACAGCACGATATACAATAAACCGTAACCGAACCCAGACTGAAGAGCCGAAATCTGGATGATCGGATGGAAGATTAGAAGTCTAACCGGACGGCTCAAGGTTCGCGAAAGTACTGCTATCGTTGACCTATTACCGTCTTGCCGCTCACTTAGTGTGTAATAACGATTGTCTCCAGTTTCCTTGCGAAGACGTTGGGCACGTCGACGAAGGATTAGCGCACCGAATGACTCGTCGAAGCTGAAAAATGCTACGAATATCATGGCAGCTTGGAAGATAGACGTGGACCAGAACATCCATCGCCAGGTTGTGCGTGCAGCCATGAATCCGCCAATAATTGGACCTGCGTTAACAGTTAGCGGCCTTGATCACCTATTTCTCCCTATATTTTTAAGCCACCTACCGACGGCTGCAGCCAACAGTGGAATGAGTAAGTAAACTCCCAGTGAGCGACCCCTCTGTTCAGGCCGCCATATATCGCCTAGAACGCCCCCAGCCAGGGCGTATATAGCACTAGCACCAAAGCCTGCTAAAAAGCGAGCCGCGATCAAAACTCCCTTATTAGGAGCAAAACCACAAACAATATTCCAAATAAGAAACCACACGTTCGAAGTATGTAGAATGACCTGTCTACCGTATATCTCCGATAGGGGACCAATGAAAAGCGGTCCAAATGCGGTAGCTAGTAAGTAAATAGACAGAGACATGGCCGACTCGGTTGAATTCATGTTGAACTCCTGGGCAATGGTAGTCAGGGCAGGCGCCATGATTGTTGAGACCATGATACGATTGAAACCCGTGGCAGATAAGACATCTGTCACCATCCACTTGCGGCCTGCTGGCCAATCCTGGGGATTTTCAGCATCGTAGGGCTGGTCGAAGGCGACGAGGAAGGGATCGGAATCTTTAGGCGGGCTAGGAGGACCTGTAGCCGTTGGAACTTTGGCCAATTCCAGATCCACGGGATCGGATGCTAGTACGATCTCATCGTGGGTTTCGCGAGACGTCATGGCTAACTTCTTGCTTATTATGAATTAAACAGTTAGGTGAAAAGAAGCCAAGGAAGCCAAGTAAACTAATTTCTTTCTTCTAGGAATTCGAAGAGACGGAGACTGAATATATACAGCCAAGTAGGCCGCGGAAGCCGAAGCCGGAGCCGAAGCTAACGTACGCCAGAGCAGGCATTATAAGAGTCATCCATTTAACGAGCTATCTAAATTCCTCCAAAACGACGGTGAGGAGACGAATACATGGGTCTTTTGGAACGATGGACTGTATGTGCCTAACTACAGAGTAGATGCGCTGATCCGGTTCACGTCGTTCCGGTAGGGACCTGGCTTCCGACCCCCTGTCCCCGACAAGTTTATCAATCAGATAATCTTATCTGATCCTGCAAGTCCACCTCGGCGCGCACTACGGCACCCTAGAAATGCAACCCAACATATTAACTCACACGTGCTAATTAGGTAGGTCGTTAAGCTTAAAAATAAGCCTCTTTTCTTATTTTCAACTCTATTATATCGATTTCTATGAAAAATGAATACGTTTAATTATATTGTTTGATGAGTATACACAAAACCGTGTTGTTGGATGTCCTAAGACCCTCAAATTTGATAATTAGAATGTTTGGATAGACTGTTGAGTGCTAAGTTATAGACGGAATAGCACCTACACGGTTCAAGGTATAGTGGGGAGGGGATGTCTGGGATCCCCAATAGAGCTAGAAGATGTCGCAATGTCTTGCCTAAGTTATGAAGATAGGTCTATACTATTCGCGCTATGAGGGACTCAAGGTAAAAACTACCTAAGTAGCCGGCGCGATACTATCATAGGATGCGTTAGAGGCGCCGTACATAGGCCTATAGCAGAGGGTGTCGGATCAGCGTAGATGGCGAGTTTTCCATAATAATGCTTAGAACTTAGCATCGAAGCTTACCTAATATTAGACGAATTTCGGAAAAGGTCCGATGGAAGGTAGAAATCAGATCGGATGCATCCGATACAGAAGTTGCGAAGGTGCGTCGGAATTGTGCAAGTGAGACAGAATTTCGGATGTTAACCGATGGACTAGCTAGCACTCTACTTTAAATCGCGGGAGAGCTCTAATCAGAGCACTATAATTGAAACCATTCACTCTCCCAACAGTGTAATGCGACAACACCTATTACCTCGGGGTAGATGGACTAAACTTACCTCTTTACAGATGGAGTTTGACCACGCCACTATAATCCTTTTGACGTACTCCTGAGATTTAATCCAGGACCGCCAAATTTTATCAATTTTCTATGACTAGGTTTGCGCGATATGATTCCCTACCTCGCCAACAAGCCGCTTGAAAAGGCGCGGGAACCTGTCTGAAAACGTTCTACAATGGCTCAATTTTAACTCTTACGAATGACATACATTTCCTCACAAGTCTCAATCATGTAAATAACGTGTTCGATATGGGTTGGCCTGCTGCTATAATGAAGGCGTAGACTATCAGCACTCATTCTTCGGTTAGTGGGTGTTAGCGGGTTACTGGAGAAACTCCCCACTAGGCTCCGCCAGCTTCAGCGTGCCTGTCAGCAGCACCATGGTCTAGCAGTATCAGACGAGTGTATTTTTATGTTTATTGCGAGGACGGTAATAACCCTGTCTATTATAAGGTTGAAGAATATAAACCATCAATTTGGCAATTCCTAGGTGACATTAATGAAATGTTATTAGAAATGCTCTTAGCCTAGGTATCCATAAAACGGGTCATCGTAGGCCGAGACGGACCTACAAAGCTACGCGAGAGCTAATAAACCCATCGCCATATTCTTACTTCAACGCTCAATCTCTCTTTCGACTCTAAGTTATCAAAATGGATTCTATATGCAGAATATATACTAGGCAGACTTCTGTACGAACAAGTTAAATATACATTCACACAGCTTCCGCAGGCGAAATTATCGTAGAGTGGCCCTCCGTATCTTCAAGGTAACTCGAACAGCGCCATTAACATCGCGAAGCCGCCAACTTCGCAATCTCCCTCGCAACAATATGCTGACCAGGATCTCTCTGAACTATCTCCCCAAAATACCTCGCCTTCTCACGAATAGCCGCACTAGTCTCATTACGATCCACAATCGTAGCAAAAGCCTCACGAAGACACTCCGTCGTCCAATAGGGGCTAGTCTCCTGACATCCCCAGACGCCTACCCCGATATCTTCTGCCAAACTGGCGAAATTGTAATGGTCTACCCATTGAGGTAGAGCTATCTGAGGGACCCCGTTTCTATTTAGGGGTATAGGGGTTAGCGTTTTGCTTCATGTGAAAGAAGGGCGGGGGAGCTTACCCAAGGGCCTCGTTATAACATCCCGCACCGCCGTGATGCACCGAGGCAACGATATGCCCACTCTCCAGGAGAGCTGTCGGCTCCACGTCTAACCATGCTTCCATCCTCATACGTCCATTCTTAATAAACGGGAGAAGCGGCTCCTTGAACTCGTCACTGTACACCGTACCTGACGCATCTATCGGGGTTTTCCGAAACTTCCACAGGACCTGCAAATTAGGGTTTTCGCTCAGCGTATGCGCAATTGCTTCCGCCATGCTCGAGGCCTGGGCTTCGGTCCACATGTATAAGCTGCCGAGGTTGACGAGTACTGTCGGTCCCCGGGCGAGCCATTTGGCTAGCTCTGGACTTTCTTCCTCGACTGTAGAGAGAGATATCATCATTGGTCCTGTGCTTGTTACATTGGGAGGGGTGTACATCATGGGGATGGAAGCGCCTAGTAGATTCTGTGTGAACCAAGGAACATCAGGACGGTACACATTAAACCAAGTTACACGGTCTGTGAGTCCCTTTGTAGCCAGGTATTTCAGTGTGGCTCTATGATGGGGCATGAGTAGCATGGCGTAGTAGTAGCGTATGCCGAGGTAGATATTCTCTGGTATTCTGCTCCATGGAATGGGGTATGGTATACCGGAGGACCCTCTGCAAGAGATGTTAGCTTAACATATAGGGAGAGGGGAATAGGGGGGTCATGGGACGAACATGGGGTACTTCCATAGCCAGCTTAGGTATGGTTGGTAAATAGCGAAATTATCAATAAGATAGTTTGGGGTGATGACGGAATGTAGTCTATTCCGCTTCCGTGTCGCGTCGATGGCTGGCCGTACGAAAACATCCAACACTATCAGAGAAGGATCTACCTCATCTATTATTTCTATGAAGAAGGTCAGATACGAATAAATCCAACGAGAGAGGATAAATCACCTATAAAACGTTCATAGAGAGTCATGTGGTCTTCCGCTGTCCACGGCGAAACATAATAAGCCATATCCCTGATATTCTCATTGGCGCCCTTGAGACCCGGTGGATGTACAATGTCAGTAACCGTCTTGTTGAGTCTTGCAAAGAAACTTGCAAATAACAAGTGTCCCGGAAGCTCGTGAAATACGATTTCTCGCGTGGATGATGTTTTCTTGCTAGCATGTTCTGCGATATGCTTTAGTCTAGGGGCCATAGATGGGAAAGACCCAAAGTGTATATGAACTTCGGGATGTCGTTCTAGTAGAGCATTTGCTGCTGCCATATGCACGTTTGAAAGACCATATTCACAGTTTACTAGGAATAGAACTGTGTTGTTACGACCCGTAACCGGTGGAGTAACTGATTTTGATCGTGTCTCCCATGGGGAAAGAAAGAGCGCCAGGATTGCCACCAAAATGGGGCCAGCGAGTATTAGACGTCCATACATCGTTCCAATAAGGAATGAAATGGTTTTTGCTAAACAAACATGTTAACATAAACCGAAGCAAAGCACAGAACTCTAGGTCCGGACTTATACTACTCCAGGATCCAGCTTCCCGTCCCACCGAGAGTTTATATCAAATCTTAACATTTAATTCTTTAGTCTGAGTCAGATTTAAGCAGTGACTACCCGGGAAGGGAAGAAGGGGGGTGGCGTAACCTGCTACATGACGCCTATCTTCGATCTGTTTGACGAACCTTGACAATGTCTTGGCGTTGGTTACTGATAACGACATTCTGGAAGCCAACTAACAAATAAATATGATATGTTACAATAGATGGGGCGCTATTGCCCATGTGCATCGTCCTTCATCAAATCGTCTCACCTAACGCGGGAAGAAGCGAGCTCTTAGCCCGCCTCGATAGCCAACGATATTCGCGTGCTCGAACGGCGAGGCTTGCAGAAAACGCGGTTGGTATCATTCTCATGTCTGACATGCATGATGGCTGGCCTACCATTTTATATTAATCTAATATTTTGATAAAAGTAGTATTCATAGCGAGATTGGTGGCGGGATTTGATTGGGGGTATATGATACACATTTTGGTGTTCCACGGAGCCGGAGTCGCATCTAATTGGTGGATTGGATAGGAGGCTTTCCTTGAGAGGCAACTATGGTCTTCTAGTAAGTATATGATTGGGCTACCTGCATGTAGATAGTCGTAATAGGCACACTAAATATACTTCGTGTAACATTGACACTGCGGCTCGATTGTACACCCGGAAGGGCTTTATTGCATGTTGTGGAACTCAAGCCGGGATCTCGCCATTTAGGAGGTACTTTTGTGCCGAAGAAAAATCATATTGACCTGGCTAACCTATAGGCCACAGAAGAATATTAGAAAACGTGGAAAAGGGGTAGTCCAGACGTTTTCTTTAGGCGAGGGTGTGTTGGGGGCGCAGTACCTGAGTAAATAGGCTGTAGAGCCTCTGGTGTCCCAATAACGTTACGACAAGAATCGCAAGTTTAGATGATTAGCCGGCTTTCCGTTGATATTTTGTCCTCTAGGAGTATTTCCTAAAATGATATAACTCCGATATAATATGAAGGTTGTAATATGAAAAAGCGTCGGAGCTGATACGAGCGACTATTCCGGATCGCCGGGCCGTTTTGTCGTAAGAAGCTATTTGTTCGTCCACGTTTGATGGAAGATGATATGATGATATTATGTTCCTTCGTCGTTTGTCTTTATTTAGTACATAATTAAGCTTAATTGTGTTAAGCATTAGACTTCCAGTAACATGAACATGTTACAATGACCCCATACGCTAGCCGCTTAGCTTCTTCTACCCCTATATCTCGCTTACATTATTAGAGTAAATCCGTACTCGATTGTGAATAGTAAAGATACAATGCTCCGTTGTAGGTAAATCTTATTAGATTTAGCAACGTGGGCACAGGACCGACATGTGTTTCTATTATTTATACGATGATATATTTGAGGCTTATTGTTGAGCCTTACCATCGATCCTACTTAGGTATCCATGCTCTGGAAGTTATCTGGTCTGACTGGCGTTTGGTGGAGGGTCCACGCAATTCCCTGCTGGGTGCGTTACTCTAGGTAAACCTCTCATTTACGACTCCGCACCTTTATCGTAGGCTCCAAGACCTTCAAAATCAACAAGCTTAGAAGTACACTAGACCCTTTTCTTAAGAGACCAGTGCTGTTAATTGCTCAGATTATTTGCAGTGTAGCAATGGCTGCGCCATGATGTTGGCCAGAGCTTAACTCGGAGTTAGCCGTTAGTTATGAGATGGAGGGGTAATTCGCTTCAGATACAACACTCTGATATTAAAAAAGATCTCTACATGAACTTCTTCTCTACTGCTTCTTGCTTTTATATCTGTTGTAGATGTCTATAAAATCTCGCTTGATGCCGCCCAGTCTCCGTCTTTGAAGTTGATATCAATCATCATTCGTTCATCCCACATCATGTCGAGTGCACCGACTTAAGCCAAATGCTGATCAGTCTTAATCGGTCCCTCCCCAACACCAGTCTGTATAATCCTGCTTACACCTCCCTTAATCAGACTCGAAGTGGCCTCATCAAGCGGCACCGCAGCAGACGCATGTACCTTAGCACCATCCTTCCACCCATCCGTCGCAGGCAACAAACCATAGAACGTACCCACAACAGACGCACTATTCTCCTCAAGATAGTAAACCACAGCATTCGGACCCGCATCAAAAGTATACGCAGCAACCGTCTTCCCCGCCGCCGCATTAATAGCCTCAACCGCCCTAACCGCCGCGCGGGAAACATCATTCATGTAATAAATCGGGGGATAAGTATCCGCGCAGCAAGCATGGAACGAGTTGCTCTCCTTCATCGTAACCTCCGCGAAGGTCGCGAAATCCTTATTCTGGATCGCGGCTTCGATGGTATCCATATGCTTAGGAACAACATTCGCAATACGCCCCTTGAACAGATCGGAAGTGTGCACAGTCTGCTGCATACCGGATGTCGAACTAACACCCTTCTTCGCGGCCGAGACGACGAGGACTAGAGCCCGCATTGTGGGCCAGTGGGATGCGGGCGCGACTTGTACGGCTTTGGAGTCGAGACCGTCGGTTTGTTCACCGCCTCTCCATGCTACGTATCCGCCGAACAGACTTCGACACGCGGAACCGCTGCCTTGGCGAGCGATGAGGGAGAGTTCGGTCGGGTCGGCGGGGAGTTCGTATAGATCGGCAATAGCGCGGACGAGGGCAGCGAAGCCGGCGGCGGAGGAAGCGAGACCGGCGGCGGTGGGGAAATTGTTCTCGGATACGATCTTCAGAGGTAAAGACGAGAGCTTGGGCAGCAATGGATTCGCAGATTCGAGAGTGGCTCGACGGGCTCGTAGTTCTCTTAAACAGGCCTGTGTACGGGCACCCGTGATATCCGAAGGCTCGCCATTGAGGGTGAGGGAGTCGGGTTGGCCTTGGTAAGACGCGGAGCAGGTAGCGGTGGTGAGGGTGCGGAGGTCGGCTTGTGATAGAGTGACGGAGAGAGAGGAATTGGTGGGGAGATTTAATTTGGCATCGCGTTTACCCCAGTACTTGACGACCGCGATGTTCACCGGGGCGGTGGTGCTAGCCTTGTAGATCGTATCGGACATGATTATGTAGGCAAGTATATCAACTTCGTGGGGGTTTTAAACTTGCTGCTACTGCTAAAGAAGGAAAGGAGACTTGACAGTCGGTGGCTTCGCTGGATGCTCTCATCTTTTTTTATGTTGGTGGATGTCGGTGGAGGGGTAATATCCAAGAGAGATCCATGGATCGCCTAAGGGACAGGGGGGTAGTACCCTTCAGGGACCTATTATCTCCACTTATTGCTAAAATAAGCCTAACACTATTACCCTAGCCCTCCATCAGGCAAGTCCGGACTAGCTGAGCAGAGCCTAGACTACTACCTAACCGCTCCTGTTCCTACCTAAACTCTTAGTGCCCCTTAAGTGATATTCTAACATTATCCATCAACTAATTGCGACTACGAAACAACAACAACAAATCGAAGCATCACTAGAATCACAATATTGAAGCAATTATTCTACTCATTGTATCTATCGTCAGCCCATTATCTTTGATCGCTCATTCATCCCCTACCATCGAATATTTCCCGCAAAGTAAGACACAGTCATCATCAATTGATATCATCCAATAAACCAACATAGGACCACCCGGATCCCGCTATACACCCGGTTCCGTCTACGCATCCATCGTCCAATTCATCCCCTCCATCATTAATCCATCCATTCGTCATCTTACAATCCTTTTGCACTTTATAGAATCAATATATGCGCTAATATTCAGCTCAAGTGCAATAGTATAAACACTCATGCAAACATAAAACAGTTGGGGGTTGATCTCCCAATTCCTAGATAATGCTTGTTGTGTCTCAAGTGTGACGCTACAATACAAACCCGTTCTATCTAAAATACCCCCCAGAATTCGTAGATATGCGCGAAGAATTAATGTCTACCACCCACCATGTCTCTTCCTCGTCAAACTCCTAATCCAAACTATTCGCCCTTAATCTCCGTCTGCCTCTTCATCTTCAGTAGTAATCCCACACACCTCGCCGAAGTCGCGTCCTAAAATCAGTGTCCCGCCTTCAAAGTGTAAGCTACTGCAATACGAGGGAACGCAATATAACATACATAAATGTCCATCCAAATATGAACGGCGACGATAGTCCCAGCCTAGGAGAGAGCAGAGTCCTGAAATAGCTTCTCCTCTAGCGTGGACGGGAAATTGGCGTTCGAGGCTCGCTTTCCCTAGGTTGGTGTGGTAATGGCAAACTTGATGTGATTCCCTAGCGTTTAGCGAGTGACACCAACCATACCTATTGTGTCTTCTCGGGTTCGCAGAATCGAGCCGGGAAAGTCGTGATGCGAGTGGCTCTATGTTGGACATTGAAATGGTTGAGATGAACATATTGCTACGCCGTAACCTTTTCCCCGATGTGATTTGCTGGGTGAACGAGGCAGAGGAAGACCCTCTTGGCTGGGTAGACATCAAAGTAGTGTCCTAGAGAGGGGAAGATCAAAAGAAGGTCTCAGATCGTAGCACGTTATGTGCTCAACATCGGCCATTAGTTCGTAACAAGTAGCGAGACTAAGCATAGGCTTGTAAATATCCGAATTCAGGAAGGCTGCTATTGGAAACCGTGGTTTTGCTAGGTGATGAGATGAATTGGAAATGAATGATGGAGAAGACTGAGTGAAAACGGTGGGAGAGGCTGGTATTTATAGGCGTGAACAGAGAGGGACACCTCTTTCTCCTGCCATATGTTGGCTTCCTGAAAGTTATCATTAGACTTCAATGGTCTCAACCCTCCCGGATAACTCTAACGTCTTTGGCAGGACTCAATGTAGACACAGAGTAAGAATGGCTGCCAGGCAATATACTAACGAACTATGAATGAGTATGACGGCAGACACCTATGCTTGTGAGAAGCAGCGGTTGAACTGTAACCAACGGTCAATCGAGTAGACCACTAGCAATCGAATTAGAAATACAGTTAAAGTAGGTACGAATAGGGGAGTAAGTTTAGCTCAAGAGGTTAGCATACATATGAACCAACTCAGTTCACATTATTAACTCAGATAGAATACTAGGAAAGAATCATCACTTCAACTCAATGCTCATGGTTATGAACAATAAACATAAAATTCTCAGTCAAACGGTCATATAATGCATGGTAACACCAGAAATATGCAGGCCCAAGAAACCGTAAGACACATTGAAAGTATCGCGCGTATCATACGCGAAAATTTTGGATTAGAGTTATCATTATATACGTAGAATTATAAGTCATCATAAGCATACTTCGTACGCAATATTCTTTTTCTCATGGCCTTTAGACTCCAGTGTAAGTGAACCACGAACCAGTCTCCGTGTCATGTGTCAAATTGGAGAACGTGGGCTTGCCGCCCTTTAGACTACCTGCTTCCACGTTCCCAACAGCGGGGGAACCGTCTGTGCGGTGCAAGCTATTCTCACCGGCGATAACCGTAAAATTCGCTAGGGGAATCTCGTATCCGTTACGAACGGTAGTCGTCGGGATACCAAAGAAAGCAGCGTCTACTTTCTCATGGGTGATGTAAAGCTCGTAGTACCCACGGTAGTAAAGATCTTGCCATTGAAGCTCCGAGTTCGCAGCTGTCAACCACTCCGAAGCAGCCCTCGCAGCGTCGATGGTGATGTTCTGCCCAGCTGGGGATGGAGAGCTGACTGCAGACCCCGCAAATTCAACCCCTACAGATCCGGACCCGGTAGCCGGGTCGTAAGGGTGCTCATCGAGCCAGACGAGGTCAGATACCCAGGAGGCGTGCGAATCCCCGGCGAGGAAGACATTGTTTCCAATGTTGTTATCGTAAATGGTTTGGAACGTGCGGTTTCGGTTTGCTTGGTACCCATCCCATTGGTCATAATTGAATGGTAGATCCGCGCCTGAGCTTATGCTTTCGTTTATTCGACTAAACACGATTTGGTTGCCAATGACACGCCACGTAGCTCCTCGAGTGGAACTTTCACGTAGGGTTCGGTAAAACCAGGCTTCTTGACGCGGTCCCATGAGGGTGCGGCTGGCGTCGTTGTAGATCTCACCCAGGTACTCGGTATTCCAGTATAAATCAGTAATGCCTCGATCGTATTGACGAGTATCCAACATGACTAGATCAAACAAGTTGCCGAACTTAAAGTTGCGCCATATTCGTAGGTTATCGTCCATATCAACCTGTCTAATAGGCACTTTTCATCCTAATCAGTATAGAATACTCATCATCCCGGTTTTCTTGACTTACTCCACTCAAAATATGCGCGGACAGCATTCATCTTCCGTTGGTCAACTGCCACTCCACCATCCATTACGAAGGAATCCTCGGTATTGTTCAATTCAGAGGAACCATCGCGCCATGTGTTATCAGCAACCTCTGTATAATGGTATAATTAGCCCGTGACTACAATGCGTGTGTGGATGTGATCGGCGTACCGTGGTCATCCCAGACGGGAATCCAAGGGAAGTTTTGGTGGTTCGCAAGTAGGTCCAGATCAGTTCTGTAAGTAGCGATACGTTTTCGGTAATCATATAGACTACAGCCCCGTTAGACAAGTCACCGGCATTTAGGCTTTCATATATGACATACGTGAAAATCTGTCGGTCTGGGAGTGGGATTCGGTCGAAGGAATTACCCCAACCATATTCACCATTACCATATTCATATATGTAATCGCCGAGGTGGATCACATAATCGACGGAATCTTTTCTGACTGGGTTACCGTACGCATTGAAGAATCCAAACGCTACCCGTCCATGTTAATGGCGATGAACTTGACTGGGCTGATCGAATATGGACTCACGATAATTGCTGCAAGAGTATACAGCAAGTCTCACTGGCTCAGTCACTTCGTCATTCGCAGAAGGAATTGTCTTGGTACGGCCGACGGGAGAAGTATTATTCGAGTTACACACATTGAATTGATAGTCTAGAGACGTGATTAGTAGCATATCACCACGAAACTCATCTAGGACGTCTAATTGTGTTATTACTTACAATACGTGGTAGAAGGTTTCAAGTTCTTGGCTTCAACCTGTAACGAATAATTATTAACTCATAGCTCTAACTCGAGAATCGGGGAGCGCGCGCCTTACCTTAACAGTATAATCAATGTCAGAACTAGTATACGCAGTCCCAGAGTCTACAACATCTTCCAGCGAATCCGAGGTACCAATCTTCCAATCCACGCAAACGGGCGAGTCACTCTTCGCGACATACTGGTCAGTCGAATGGTCGTAGAGAGGAACATAACCCGACACCGTTACGTTGCTTTTGTTGTTATCACTAGACGGTGCTGCTCTCGTCCATAGGATGACGCTATTATCGTACGGGTCGCCGGAAGCGATACCGTGGGTGAAATTCAACTTGCTCGGATCCCAGGGTGCATTCGGGTAGGTCCTCTTGGCTACTTTGCTTATTGATACACCAAGTGATGCGTGGTGCCTCGAAGGAGAAAAGTAGTTCATGTTACCAGTGAAGGCCGCTGAGGCGGTACTGGCCAGGGCCAGATAGCTCAAGCTACGAACCATGATGAATTACCTGATGATGGGATGACCGTCGTTCCTCGCCCATTCACTTGAATGAAACAAGGAACACAACTATATTCAAGAGCTTCCATGGTATTATTTAAATACTTGCATATCAGGCTCCTTTCGTCAACGAGTTGACATCACTGGATGAGGATGTCGCAAGCATGCCGGCATTAAGAGGGGCAAGCTGAATGTAATCATCAAGATCATGATTGGACGCGGATCTGATGGATGAGCTCAATTTCCTAGTCAACGGCGCAGCCCGAGGCTCCAATGCATCGTAGGATTCAATTGTCCAATGAAAGAAACTGGAAAAACCATCCGACCAAGGTACGAAAATACGTAAGCATAGCTCTGAGAACAGGGCCATAATAGAGCCTCAGAAAACGTGAGTAAAATAGCGATGCTCATTGGACCGTTGCGTGTGAACTGCCAAACCTGGTCAACTTAGCTGCAGATGTATAATAATTCCACTTGGTCATCGAGCCAGCATTCTGCATAAGGCGAACACCTCCCGTTTATGTAGACCCAAAGATCTGGGATTTCTAGAAAAGTCCAAAACAATTCAAGTTATTGATAGTCAATACTTCAATTACTTGGGCAAGGGGGCACGAGATACGCCATGTTTCGGATCCGATGAAGATGTACTGTAAGACGGAAAGTTAGCAGTAGAAAAAAAGAGGAGAGAGCCCTGGAAGGTTTTTGGTTTTCTTTAGCTGCTTTGCGCCACCGACGCTTATTAAATCCCGATACAGGTGTTCCTTCCGTACAGTGTCGTTTCTCCACGCAATCGTGTAACTAAAACGGCCCCAAATTGGCCCGTGCTTTCTATTAGATTGGGGCTACTAAGTAATAGAATTAGCACATTAAATCCTGAATTGCTCTTCTCTTTTTTCCCCGACTTTTCCAAGGATCCTATCACTAAATTCTCTTGTTCATTACAACTCCAGCCTTTCCATTGCTACCTAACTTTATCGAGTTTGCAATGAAACATACACCAATTTTCAATTATCATCCTCCCCTGCTTATTAGAATGCAGGGTCAATGTCGCGCATCATTTAGTGCCATTTCCATCGCATTCAGATTGGTTGAGATAAACATGCATTCGATTCTTTCAGCTACCGAGCGTACCAGGTATCAATCGTGTACCCTGCGTCCCTAGCTGGAAGATAAGATGAATAAAAGAAAAGAAAAAAAAAGCATGAGGAAGAGGGGTCGAATCAACAAACCAGTTATGATAAGAGTACCTACACTACTATGCAACAGTAGAAGTACTCATGATTTACAAACTCCTACCGCTCATCTTACGGGACCTCGTGGATCAAGATACTTGCAAGCGTCAGATTCGTGGCGTGGGGTATTGAGAGACAAACCCCTGAACGAACCTATCAACGTTAGCCTTAGGTGGCACGAGGATTATCCTATTTAAAGGCTGCTAATGGATGTTAGCCCAGGATGGTGAAGAACGCCTCATGCGCATGGTGTATGCTATAGGTAAACTTCTTACAAGCTATTCCACGTTTTACGACGCTAAACACCGCCCTTGAGGCAAATCTCTTCCCTACTTACACTAAGTACAGTTAAGTACCTACCTAGTCGGGGAAATCCCCAGTCTTATCTCGTGGGAAACCCGTGGGAAAGCCCCGAGACCTTTCGTCGGTTAGATTGACCGAGTATACCCTTGATTCACCAATGAATCCATGATACCCATTAACATACCCATTACCCATTACGTAGCTTGGTCATTTGGGCTTGGCAGAACTCTCTTTGTAGGTACATAGTAAACTTCAAATCTTCTCGCGGAATTTGATTTTCATCTTAGATTTCCCGTTCTCGAGTTTGCTCCAGACATTCTTTGTTTGCTCTAGACCTATTATATACTTCCTAAGATATCTTACATCCTAAGAAGCATAACCGTTTCTATGCGTTGATCTCAACAATATTTTAGCTACCTTCCTTGTTTTCACACCAAGTATTATTTTCGACCTACTTTTTACCAATTAAAAGCGCAATGGCGCTTGACGAGAATAAGGCGGTAGAAGAAAAGGCGATGGGACGAGAAGATCCGGGTCTTTTCGAAAGAGATGTCGGCGCCGCCGATGATGTTCGGGCGAGCGAATCGGTGGGCGACGCCGAAGAAGTCCTAGCGCTTCAGGACTTGGATCCCGCACTCAACGCGAAAATGCATTTAGTCAACAACGTGAGAATGAACCCATGAGTGAATGTGACAATCCACCCCAATAATATTAACATATATTCAGGCAATTGACGAGATTGGTTGGACTAATTATCACTGGAAATTGTTTGTATTAAATGGTTTTGGGTAAGAATTAATTCAGCGCCGAATGAAGCTCGTGACCACTCACGCGACCTTATAGTTACGCCGTCGACTCCCTAGTTCTCTTATTGCAGAGTAACATTGCAGGTCCCGCCTTCAAGGAATTCGGTGAAGTCGGCTATGACAATGCCCAGACGATTGCTACGTACGTCGGTATGCTCATCGGAGCACTTTTCTGGGGGTTGAGCGCCGATATCATAGGTCGCCGTTGGGCGTTCAACATCTCCCTATTTATCTCCTCCGTTGCGACTGTTGTCTCAGGCGCGGCCCCTAACTGGGCATCTCTGGGTTTCTTCACGGCTATGGTTGGATTTGGCGCTGGTGGTAACCTGATCTTAGACACCACTGTCTTTCTCGAATACCTCCCAAGCAACAAGCAGTGGGCATTGACCTTCTTAGCCTGTTGGTGGGGCATCGGTCAGGCCGTCACGGGTTTTATCTGCTGGGGTTTCTTAGGTGAGTCGAATAATTCTTCGAAATTGCGCCTCGAGATTTTAATGTGAATATAGTTCCGGCCCAGTGGAATTGTGCATCCGCCGACAACTGCCCTAGAGAGTCTAACCAGGGGTGGCGATATGTCATGTACACCTCCGGCGCTCTCGTTTTCGCCATGTCCATTGCGCGTATCACTGTTGTCCGGCTACAAGAGACACCGAAGTACCGTCTAGGAACCGGAGAGGACGCCGAATTAGTCGAGACGCTTCATTCCATCGCTAAGAGATATAACCGCCCTTGCACACTCACAGTCGATAAGCTCGAGTCATGTGGAATAGTAAGAACTGCGCACAGCGAGAATCGCTTTTCGTTTCGCGAAAGCTTCATTCATTTCTCTGGACTATTCGCTACGAGGAAGATCGGCATCTCCACGGTACTTATTTGGCTCTCGTGGACGTTGATTGGACTAGCGTATGTTTGAATCCGAGACTCAGTATTTGGTCAATAAGCTAACTCATGATTCTAGTTATCCTCTTTTCTACGTTTTCCTCAAGTATGTTTCAATGTCCCTTATTACCTACATCCTCACATTTCTAACTTTGTTATAGTGCATATCTTGCCAGCCGGGGAGCTTACGACGGCGTTGGTACTTTCGACACATGGCGCAACTATACACTTACGAATATTTCCGGCATCTTTGGACCAGTTCTAGCTGCGTGGATGTGCAACATTCCCATACTCGGCCGACGATATACTATGGCTATAGGTGCATTAATAACTATGGCCTTCTTCTTCGCTTACACGGCCGTCTCGACTGCTTCACAAAACGTCGGGTTTAGTTGTGCTATTGCATTCTGTATCAATATTTACTATGGAACATTATACGCAGTAAGTACTAATCCTTCTACCAATCACTAAAACATGCCTCCCTTTGTCTTTCTTAACCCCTGTTCTAGTGGCAGAGGAAATACGCCATTAAGATAGGCTACACTACACTAAATTACTAATGCCCTATCGAATAATGGTCACTAACCCGCCCTGTTATAGTATACCCCTGAAGTACTACCAAGTGCTCATCGCGCCACTGGCAATGGTATTGCTGTTGGTTGCAATCGGATCATGGGTATCATTTCGGCTGTCGTCGCTTCTAGCGCCAACACCGCAACCGTCGCTCCGATTTACATCTGCGCGGCGCTCTTCCTCGGTATGGCCGCTATCAGCGCTATCTTCCCTTTCGAGCCATACGGAAGACGCAGTTCGTAAATCCCCTATCATAATTGATACGGCGACGTAGAGTCCAGCGCGGGGGCGCTTTGACCTCTTAGTTCTCCCTTACTGTTTAGTTGGAATTGGGACTCTAGATCCAGGGGTTCTCGGATCCACGAACTACACTAAACATCGCGTGGTGGGGATGTCTAGGATTGGTTATAGATAACTTTCGGACTGGAGCTACCAGGTACTATGAAATATTAGTACCAACCACTAATCCCCAAACAAGTTGGTGGTTCTCAAGGCAAGCCTGATCTGAATTGAAGCTTAGAAGCCGCGGTTAGTAGTACATAGCATATCTAAGTACTATTACTACCGCAAATGTTGTATGATACCCAGCGTTGAATCGAACGATATTAATCGGACACGATATAATACTTCATATATCACAATTACGGCCCCCATGTTTCCCATCCCTTGCGTTCTTAAATGCTACAGTTGAGTACGCTTTCTCGTTCTTCAACACAGCCTAACGGTAAAACGTAGCATCATCGGGTGGCTAGTCCTTGGGGGCAACCTCTTCCGCGACTGCCAATATACTGTTGCTAACATTGCAGCATCGCTCCTTTCCAAATCTCATTAAGATGTGTTATGGCAATACCTGCCTGCGCCTTCCCTCTAGGCATATTTCTGATAGTCCTTACCCGTCGAAGGATAGACTTTGAGCGTAAGTGGTTCGATGCTAAACTTTCATTGCTTCTGTAGAAATGGGAAGTCGCACTGACCACTTGAAGCCTGACGATCAAATAAACATACCATAAATGAAATTGAATGGAGTGTCTAGAGTCTGGAATAGGCTCGGAGCACTTGCGGCCGATTCAATCCACACAGGTTTGCGAATAGCTTCTGTGGACTAAAAGAAGCAGGTGCTCATCGATGTGGACGTACATGTCTATATGTCTCCTCTTGCGGCAGTATTCGTCCCATAGTGGTTTCCCTGAACCATCAATGATTGACTCATCGACTGCCATATGTATGGGAGGCAAGTGCGTATGCGCCTGATGACTCTAACTTTGATCGTAGATGAAGCTAGGACGCGACTTCTTGGAGCACACCCAATAGATCTCCTGCCTAGGTAGGCATCGGAAAGCACGGTTTGCTCTCAGACTTCACCTATTTTGTGGTATCCGTTAGGTAGTAAATCTTTCACGCATCATTTTCAACCAGTCAAACTAGGCGGGCTACATTTCTCACTCTATCTAGACCAACATTGAATTGACTCACTACGTTACTCGCCCAAACCAACCATCATTTCCAATTAAGCTTTGTATTACTTATCATACATATCTATTCTCTTACAATGGACAAAGAGCTCACCGATCACCGATGCATTGCCTGCAACAGCAAGTATGACGTGGTTCGATGCGTGTCTTGCCAAGTAGTCTGGTACTGCACTTCCACAAACCACTCTAGTCATAAGAACCAGCACAAAGAGATATGCCACGAAATTGAGGAATACCGTGAAAGGTTATTGGAGAAGAAGGGAACCCCTAGCGTGGACTAAGGAGGCCTTATACTACTTCGACAAATTCAGAATCTAACTGGAGGAGATGTTCGTGTTTCTCAGCCCATAAGTGACGATAAAGAATACTTTCAACGGCAATATAAACTGATCGATCTCCTCCTTGGAATCAAGACCACTGACGCCCTTCAAGATGCTTTGAAGCATCTCAACATCATGCTCTTGGTGTGCCCCGACGATGAAGTGACCCTTCGTTGCAGAATCTCGGCCGTTATGTTGCGTCTTGGTCAAGAGCAAGAATATTATAACTTCTTGAAAAAGGTGGCACCATGGCCTTTAAAGGGTTGGGTTTTCGGAAGAGTCAGATATCTTCAAGCCATGCGACATTTTCGTCAATGATTCCCTCCCGTTTGGTTTACTTGTTGCCATCACTCTTCTAAAAGTCAAACTTCTCCTGAATCTTGCGGGTCTTGGGAATATTTTCGGCTGGGTCCGGCACGTCATAGACCACAACAAACTCAATTCCGCGATAATTAAGCGACCTGACATGATTAACCATTCTGACCAAACCGCATGTTTTCAGGACATGAAATCTCAGGTTCAAAAACTCTACGATTGTATCAACACATACAATAGATTTTTCTGGCCAGCCTTGGTTACCCCTGGCGACAATCTCACCGCAAGACCCGAGCCCAAGTCCCCCGCAAGCGGCAGCCGGACAGAAATGCGGATCATGTTACAATACTTTCATGCATCCTAGGCCGAGATGCCAGGTGCAATTAGTGTGATCAAGAAGTTGGCGGAGGGAGAGTTCAAAGATTGTGGCATGGTGCTGGAGGACTTCCGTTATTAATGGAGCATTCGCAGAGTCCTTTCACAATATACTGCCTGCAAAGATCTAGTTCCTGTTTAGAGCCTGTCCTAATGCTCATCGACTATTTACAGAACACAGATCCCAGATAATCCTAAGATAGCTGAGAATAAACGCGTCTTTTCTGTCATTCTTGAAAACCTATGCCCTTAACGTGAGATCGTCTATAAGCTTAACAATAACCGAGCAGGGAGCCTTACTAGGTACATATGGGCGCTCATCCTCATTTCTCCCTTTCATCAAATTCAAATTTGCTGCTCTCCCTCAACCACATCTCAAAATTCTGTAGGCGCGGCTCCTCTTTACGCAATGCCGCAATATCAACACCATACCCATCCGTCTCAAACCAGCGGAACATAGCACCAACGTTGCGTGCAACGAGTCCGCGTACAGCCCAACCGACAATGGTCCAAGCCTCTGCGATAACAAGTTAGCGATTCCCCAAACCCCCAGACTGTCAATCTAACAAAAACGAAAAAGGGTACATACGCGGCAACTCGGTCCCACCCGAGACACGGCGGTACACTTCCTGCGCTTCCGCCAAAGTCAATTCATCGCCCGCGAGCCCAATCGCACGGTTGCGATACTTAGGATTCGGATTCGTGGGAAGGGAGTCTAGAAGCGCTTTTGCGCCGAAGAGTCCGATGTCCCGCACGCTGACGACTTGAAGTTTGCGGTTGGCGGAGAGGGTGTTCCATAGGCTGGCGAAGACTTTGCCGAAGGTGCCGCCGGGGTTTACTGTGATATGGTTAGTTGGTGAGACATGTTATATATATATGGAGTAGGTAACGGGTGGAAGTGAGACAGAGATAGTGAGATGCACCCGCCGTCAAACATGCGAATACCCTCACAACCCCCCCACATAAAAACTCACAATTATCCATAAAAGCCACCGGCCTAAGTACCGTATACGTAACCCGTCCCCGCGACTCCTCCACCGCCTTCCTCAAATGTAACTCTACATTATGCTTCTCAGTAAAATGCGGGATATCCGTCGGCGTATCCCAAGATTTCGGTTCACCACCACGATCGACACTCGAAAACACGAAATGGATCTTCCTGTCATTCCCTTCGTCGTCTTTCCATTGCTGCGTTGCAGCTGCGGTGAAATCGATTAAAGCAGTCGCCTGGGGCTCCTCGTCTGGTGGCGTGGTGTAGCTGAACACGGCGTCGATGTGGGGGTGTGCGCCGAAGATGGGGCCTGGGTCTCGGGTATCGCCTTCCACGACGGTCAGGTCTAGAGCTGGGTATTTGGAGGGTAGAGCTTGGGCTTTGGGTGATGAAGCTGAGCGGGTTAAGGCTAGGATTTTGATTTTGGGGGTGGTTTTAGAGGTGGAGGAGAGCTGGTGAGAGAGTTCCGACAGCACGTAACCCCCTTGTTGGCCTGTCGCGCCGACGACTAGGATCGTGTAGGTAGACATTCTGGCGCTATTTTCTCGATTGAAGAGCCTTGTAAACGCTGTGTAATATGCGGTGCTGTATGTATATTGCGATCGGTAGGTGCAGTTAATTAAATTAAAGGTCGAAAAGATATCTCTGGATTGCAGAAAGCCTCCTGCAGAGTCGGGTACTAATAAGGTTCCCGGGTCGTTTTGTATGAATGCTGCTACCCGAAGTTCCTGTCCGACGTGAGCCTCGAAACTGATTTTCCAGAGTTAGTAATGTGAATATGCACCCGTCCGCATTGCAGGTGATGGTGGCTATTTCTAAATGTAAATACAATCCCCCGGTTCATATTAAATTGAACCTGCTCATGTCTTTGTAATACTTAATTCAGAAGGTCGGCTGAGACACAATGGAATCGTCTACGTAACCAGGTAATCCACTCCTACTTGTTGGTTATGAATGTGGTGTTGACGCCACCGATCATTAGCTTGCTCTCGGTCCCGAGCGGCGGTAGGCGAAACAACCGATACTCACTTGACACAGCGGCCATTAGCGAATCCGATGGGCGAATAGGCGACACAAAGTCACAAGGTGCAGCTCGTAGGTTTGCTATTAATTATAAATGTTCAATTGCCTTTAAAAAGTAGGCTCAAATCGTTAACTTTTGGATAAATGCTTCATACCTTTCGTGTATCATTAACTGCGAATATATCTGTATGTGTTTCGTGTAAATCCGACTCTAGTCCTCATATCGTAAGATTTTACCGAAATCAATCGAAACCAAGTCTAGACCTTCGCTATCCCCTAATGCATATGCATCAGCGCCCCTCGTGTAAGAATGGGCGCCGCTCGCTCGTATTTTCCAGGTATAATGATTGCGCCACGGGATGCAGGTGAAATGAAGTCGGCGTTATAAACCGATTTCTCCGTTCTCACATGGCCGGTCCGTCCCATGCATCCCTTCTCAAATGGCAAAGCCATGCTCGCTTGTGCGGGAAGGATATTTCCCGTTCTTTCGAGAAACCTGCAGTTTGGAGATGATGGATGAATCTATAAATAGACATTAATACCAACCGAAGAATTGGATGTCGTGATTTAACCCACTTCGTGTTATCTACTCTAGGTTCAAGGTAGATATTCATCGTCCGATAGTCCGCCTGCCAGCACCATTGGATCAGGCTCGAAAGCCATTGCTGTACCTTACCCCGAGCCCATTCCTCCCCGATCAACACGTGGACGCCTCTATCAAAATCTTGCGCGTCGTTTCCCATGTATCGCCCGAGGGTATCTTCTTTTACCCAATAGATTTCGAAATACCCAAAAGGAACGCCATCCCACATTGCGATAGCTGGAAATGAGTGGCGAGACTGAAGGGCATTTGAGAGGAAGTTAGGCTGATATCCACCCCAGAAAGCCGACACCCTCGGGTTGGCCAGCCACATCTGAAGGAGTGAGCAATCGGATAATGTGTTCAAGTGGGTACTCTCCCTCTCGTTTGGTCCGACAGGCGAAGTACAGGGAACCGGTTTTGGCGAGAGGGATGCAACACGGAATGAAAGATACTTTCCAACGCTAGGTACAAATCGCGTGTAGAAGACTTCGCCCATGTGTGGGGGCTTTTGGCGCAGCGGATGCCGGACGTTGTTCGTTATAATGTACTGCAATGGCGCTGGCGGGTAGTAGGTCGGCAAGTGGGAGGATGAATAATATGGTCCGATAGGGGAGCCAGGCGTCTCGGGCGTCAAGTGGTTGGAGAGTGATGCTAAATGGCTTGAGTCGCTTCTAACTGGAGAAGTAGGGCGACTATTGTTGGGGGATCCGGGATACGAAGAGTTGTGCTTCACCGGCTGTAGGGTGAAAAGGAATAGGCCGCAGTGTATTTGCCAGAACATGCGTCGGGTAACAAACATGCGATCCCACCCGCGATTGTTCTCGCTAGAGCTTTCTCCGACAGCTGAATCTAAGCTCGTTATTAAGCCCATCCTCTCGAGCTTTGGTATCATATTCCGCGTGCGCAAGACTCCATCGCGCTTAATTCTAATGCGCCAGTCGCCTCTCGGTTTCGCATCCGGAGGGGCATATTTCGACTGTTCGGTTTCCACGTACGGCGACGGTTCGGGTTGTTGAAAGTACCAGTAAAGTGAAACCCAAAGCATCATAGCTATTTGTCGCGACTGGCTGGCATGCGGCTTGTACTCGCTACTTGAGGGATTCGAGATAGACGATATGAAGATAGTGTCATTTTGCAATGTTGGCTTGCTGTATTTATGAATATGGCTCTTTCTAGAGCGCGACTCATTCGCATCATCTTCGAGAGTAAGATTGTGTAGGTGGTCTTCCGGGTTATCTTCGCTGTGTAGTACAACTGTCCAGCCTGCGGGGAAAGGCGCTTGGTGGTTATTCAGCTCGTTGGATTTGAAGAATAGGCCAGAGAAAACAGGCTGAACCGTGAAGCTCTGGCCGTCTGGCAGATAGACAATGGATGGCGCCATTTGTTTAATAGTCCGGAGTAAGGCTGGCTAGGAATGAGGTATAGAGATCTAAGGTAGGGGAAGATTTAAGAGGGTAAAAGATAAGAGCTAAATATGTATTATAGGTATCATGTCGAGAATGATTTCACCGATAAAGCTTAAATAGGTAGGTACTAAATACTTATGTTTGCGACAGCATACTCATATGATAGACTGATCTAGAGGGCAAAAAGAATTATAATATCATGTGGTATAAGTTTGGACTTGGCGAGGAAGAATGAAGAAATAAAATCACTATCGCGATCGATAGTATGTCATTGGCAAGTCAATGTGGGACGACTTGTCCCATACAGATTGACTATAATCAGCGAAAGCAAACGGCGACTCCGTTTCGTTTCGTCTTGTTTCGCTCCAACATTTTCGTAACGTCATACCATACGACCGGCGCGTGGGAGCGGAGGACTGATGGTGGGGTTGCGGTTACGGAGCTTCCTTGTCAAAAATGTTTACTCCTGTCATGCGATAGGGGAAAATCAGGGGACAGTGGTGTCAGTCTAGGGCTGTTGATCTAGAATCCTTGGACTTCCCCGGATTCTGGTAAGCCTTGCCAAAGCCCTATGTTGTCATCAGGGCGACTCTAGCTGAGATGTACCCGTGTACTAACAGCCTAGAGCAAAAGTGGCGTTTTCCTTACTTATCCAATGAGCAAACATTCGTTTTTAAGCAAGATGAATCATCTCGTAGTAGGTTCCCGAATGTTGAAAGACAGCTGGAACAAATGGGTTCCAGCCAACATGCGACTAAAATACGCTAGTAATCTAGCTGTCTGAAAACACATTATGACCGGTATGATGTATCGGGATTTTGAAGTAGTCTACGGCGGAATTCTCCAATGTCTTTTCGAATGTGTATCCACTCTCTTTTGGAACAATTAAAAAATGGTCAGTTCGACGATTTAAAAAAAATTGGTGTTAAACTTAGAGGGAATAAGGTGAGGGAGAAACCGGAGCAAGAGTTTTTAGCCTGTAAAGTCCCCTTAGGTAATAAGGCTTAAATCTTATAATGCTGTTTTATCCCTTAAATGGGCGGGGATATGCATATAATAAGTAGGTGTTAAAATACCTAGGTATGCACCAATTGATGTGCAGGCGAATCAATTTTCTTATTATTATTGTGATAAGCAATCTCAACTTCGAGACAATCTTCTGATGAGTCACGCAACAACTTCATAAACAATTGTGACTTCGTCAGTATTTTGGAACTTTAATTCATCCGAAAGAGAGCGACACAAAATATGGCGTCGAACACCAAACCTGGCGAGAATATGCTATGGGGAGGCCGCTTCACCGGTATGTGCTACAAAATATTTTCTCCCAACGTAACACAAGATTTCAACTTCCACAAGATTTGAATGTTCATGAGATACCATGGCGACAGTAACTCATTACTTGTGTAATATGAGGCTATTTTTAACTAAACATACTAACTCGTCTTAGGTGGCCTCGACCCTCTCATGGTGGCCTACAACGAGAGTATCCACTTTGATAAGGCGTTGTACAAGCAAGATATCCTGGGCAGCATCGCTTTCGCCCGCGCCAACACGAAGGGCGGCATTCTCACAGCGGACGAATTCGCTAAGATCGAAGAGGGTCTTCAGGCCGTGATGAAGGAATGGGAAAATGGCACATTCGTCATCGTGCCTGGTGTGGATGAGGTGAGTCCTTCCCCCGCTACCCCGCCAAGATAAGTACTAATGGTATACCCCAGGACATCCACACCGCCAACGAGCGCCGACTAGGCGAGATCATTGGCAAGGAAGTTGCAGGCAAGTTGCACACAGGCCGCAGCCGCAACGAGCAAGTAGCCTGCGACATGCGCATGTGGCTCCGTGACGAGCTGCGCAAAATCGACGCACACCTCGTGACCTTTCTACGCGTCGCCGCTGAACGCGCCGAGCGCGAGGTCGACCACGTCATGCCCGGCTACACGCACCTGCAGCGCGCCCAGCCCATCCGCTGGAGCCACTGGGTCATGTCGTATTCCCTAGCCTTCGCGGCTGACCTCGAACGTCTGCGTGAGGTTATCCGTCGAGTTAATAAGAGCCCCCTTGGATGTGGTGCGCTAGCGGGCAATCCGTTTAATATCGATCGTTATATGATGGCGAAAGAACTCGGTTTCGAGGGCTTGTTGTGGAATTCCATGGGTGGTGTTGCGGATCGTGATTTTGTGGCCGAGGCGCTGCAGTGGGCGTCCATGCTCATGCAGCATGTCTCGCGATGGTCTGAGGATTTGATTATTTACTCGACGGCTGAGTTTGGTTTTGTTCGTCTTGCGGACGCTTACTCGACTGGAAGTTCTTTGATGCCGCAGAAGAAGAACCCGGATAGCTTGGAGTTGTTGAGGGGTAAGAGTGGACGTGTGTTTGGACAGATGGCTGGGTTCATGACGACGCTGAAGGGTCTACCTAGTACTTACAACAAGGATTTGCAGGAGAGTTGGGAGGCTATGTTGGACACAGTCAAGACGGTGAGCGACAGCATACAGATCGCGACCGGTGTGTTGGCGACGCTGGATATCAAGCCTGAGAAGATGAAGTCCGCGCTTGACCCCTTTATGCTTGCCACCGATATCGCTGATTACCTGGTCCGAAAGGGGGTGCCATTCCGTGAGACGCACCATATTTCAGGCCGTGTAGTAGCCCTGTCCGAGAGTACTGACACACCGATGAACGAGCTCACGTATGAGCAGTTGAAGTCAGTCGACGCCCGTTTCGAGCAGGATATTGCTGAGTATTTCGACTACGAGCGAAGCGTTGAGATGCGCTCTGCTAAGGGTGGTACTAGCAAGGAGAGTGTGCTGGAGCAGATCAAGGTTCTTAAGGAGGTACTTGATGCCTAATTTTGCGACATGATTTTGCCAACTGGGCGTTCTATATACAATTGGCGAGTATAGAATATGATGAGTCTTGTTCAATGGTAATTAGCTTGACGGATGACTAGGGGAAAAATTACTCAGGCATAGACAAAAAAAAAAAAAGTTCTCATCACAGGACCATCATTAGCAATTACCATACACAATGTGTTAGATTGACCATACTGATGCTATTCGTAAATTCTATCTGTCTACGTGTATTATGCGGGTATCATGACTCGTTATTTTTCTCTGGCTTATGCCTAGAATTCTCCTTACGATCCCTATTCTCGCGCTCATTATCACCACCTCCATTCCGTTTCTCCTCTTCGTGTTCGAGAACTTCCTTAACTCCCTCGCCGCCGAGATCCTTGGTTTCATCCCAATCGACATCGTATTCTTCGGCTACAGTCCGAATCTCCCTTCTTAATGCATTTGCATCGTGCACTAAGGTCTCCCATTTCTGCGGTTCGAAACCCCTCTCCTGGTAAAGGATGTTCTGGCGCCGCGAAACAGTGATCTTGAGCGCAGCTTGGTAACTTAGGTCCCGACTGATGAAAAGAAACCATAGATAACCACCCATGATAGTGGTAAGACCCGCGAGATAAGTAATAGGCTCCATGAGATCCCAACCAAGGTCAGTGTGGAAGGTAAGGAAATAAACCGCGCCCCACCACCCCGATAGAACCACAAAACCAGCCTTGGCGATGCGATGCGCGCCCCGATGAGCTAGCATATCGCACTCATACTTGATTTTCGAGAGCTCATCAATCTTATGAGACATACGCCGTAACCGAACACGCATATAATGCGTGCGGTCATTAAAACTAGGTACGCCGACGCGCATCTCAGTATTATGTCCCGTAATCTCGATCGCGAATTCGCGACCACGCGCAGCATCGCGGATGAAATCACCGATCTCAGTGCTACTACTCCATCGTACCCAGTCCTTGTGTTCGGGAGGTGTATCAGCGCCCTCGCGGCCTAATCCCGAGTACGACGCGATGTTGGGTTTGTCCCGCTTTGCTCCTGTTTCTTGCCCCGACTCGTCCTTTTCCGAACCTTCGGCTAGGAAGTACACGCTGGGCATCTTCTCCCGGTCATCGCTGTCTCGGATCGGTGGTAGCTCGGCTTGGATTAGTCGTTCGAGGTAGGAGAGTGGTTGTTGGGGGTGGACGAGGAGAGCAAGGGGTTGGATGTCCTCGTTCTGTGCGAGGGAACGGAATTCGCCTTTGTTGCCTTGCTCATCGTGTGTCGCATCGACGGGTAGGGGGATAATTAGTTTTAGGAGGCGGGTCGGTGTTGTTAGAAGTTTACCTAGTTGATTGTTAGCAACCCCCGGTGGGTAATTTGAGGACGATTGGATATACCCTTTGTCATGGCTTTGTTCATTTCACGTCTCGAGTCGTTGACTGGAGGCTCATCGGCGCCCTCCCTCTGCCAGGGGCGTTTGATCTGTTGTTTTGTAGCATCTTCGATTCCGGCCCGGACCTCTTTCTCGTGTGCGGCTTGGTCTCTCTGGTTGGTTTCTCTCGCCGTCTCGTCACTAAGGTCTACCTTTCTCAAGGGATGTGTTGTCGCAAAATATCGGAAAGGGGTGTTTGGGTCCGGGTTTACTCTTCGGGTCAGGGGCCAAGTATTGGAACTAGCAAGACGACGACCAGAAAACCGCCGTATGCTCGAGGCTGTCAACTGCGAATACGCCCTGAACGCATAGCTCATCGCTGCTTTATTTCCTACGTTGTACGCCAATTAGGCATTTGTTGCTACTATAGCTGTTATGAATATATGTAAATAAGAATTACTTACATCGTAACTTGCACAGCTCTAAAAAGCTGCCGGACTAAAAGCTCTAAGGAAGAAGTTGACGTATAAGATGTATAATTCCACTATTTTGAACTTGCTTTCTCTCATGACGTCACCTTGTGTTGTTCGCCTTGTTAAATCGAAGAGCTGTAGGTATCACACGTGACTCCATTTCCTGCTTTCCTTCCGTTATGTAATCGTACGGCTTATATAAGCGGCGGGTCGAAGATTATACAGACTTATGCATATTCCTCCTCGCGACTCATATTCTGTCTACCTAAATGTTGTTGGTTTCAATTCATTTTCAAACGTCGCCCAGAATCAATCCCTCACTGTATCCTGCCTTTTCTCGGATTTTAAGCTGAAGCGTAATTAAATATTACGCAGTCATCAGGGCGTCTTACCATCAGATAACTTATTTCTTACTCTTCTTGTGAAGCGTAGGACTTTTCGTTTCATTTTGCGCACGTCGAGGACCTGTCATGGCTTTATGCGATCGACCAACGACAACAAATGTCCATCAAGTTAGGTAGTCATGGCCAATTGTCAAGCCAACTCTACATCTTCAGCTGTTTCGAATTTCGAATTATGAGGGTGCCCAAGCACTGACAAGTCAGCCGCGGACGGGGAGAGCAATCCGAGACTGCTTGCGCCACTTTTCGTATCCTTACGTATCCGTTGGTACCTTAATTTTTTATGCCGTGAGGCTGGCGATCAGATCGTCTTAGCGTTGTTGCTGCTTTAGTACATGATAGATCCACTAAGATTACGCCGAGCTATTCATTCAACATAAATGGGCATAAGCACGGGTTGTCCTTTATGAAAGAATTAGATCCTAATTACGAAAACGGTCGCGAGAAACGGAGTTGTAAGCAGAGAATTTTCAGTATTCATTCAAGAAGCTAATACTGTACTCATATACAATTGAACCCCCCGGTGATGGGTGTTCAAAATTGGTACCTGGCCAATTTCGTCCTTCTCGCGCATCGCATGTCGAGGTATAAATGATGGAAAGGTAAGCGGCGGCGACTCTACTTGGTTCGCATTAAGGTATAGCACTTTCGAGATGGCGCTGGCTACTTTCTTAACCGTGTTCTTTCTAACGCTTCCCTTTACGTTGGCCCACTCATGGGTCGAGCGATTGAGGCGCCTTGACTTGAACGACACTATGGTTGGTGATGTAGGGTATATGCGTGGCGCCATGTCTCGTGTTGACCTAGCATTTAATGACCTGAAACAACAATACCTACTGCCACCGGGCGGCCGGGACGCGAGCCTGGGAATTATCCCCTCTGATTCTATGTGTAGGGATACTCTGCAAGTCGGGGACTTTAACTCGACGTCCCCCCCGCTACAAGCGCGGCCGGGTGAGCACATCGCTCTCCAATACCAAGAAAATGGGCATGTTACTCTTCCTCAAAATACCCCTCAGAAGCCCCCTAACAGTACCGTATTCATCTACGGCACGTCAATGCCTTCTGACAATGACATTCCTTTCCATTCATCGTGTTTGGAATACTAACGGCACCGGAGGTGACAAGCGTGGTGTTCTTCTAGGCACCCGGCCCTTAGACGATGGTAAGTGTTACCAGATTAATGGCAGGTCAATATCTATAAAACGACAAGAAACGTACGCCAAAATTCCTACAGATCCGCAAGGAGCCGATTTATGGTGTCAAAATGATATCCAGCACAAAACAAAACGTTACCAGAACCCGTTATATACTAGCCTTAAAACCCACGATTTGCTGTGAGGCTGGAATGAGATAAAGAAGGCGTCGAGTCCTTCATTCGACTATTGGGACGGTGGTCTGGCGACGAGTCCTCGTCACCATCCTCCTCCTCCTCATCGCTTTCTCCAAAGCCTTCCTCTTCGTCAGTCATGGAAACTACCCTTTCCTTACTTACAGAGTAGTAATATCGATGTTCTGATTCTGTTTCATTATCGCGGCCACTACGTGAACGTTTTTTCGAACTCGTAGTGGAAGCTGTGTCAATATCGAGTAGAGTGTCTATTAATGGAATGTCACCAGTATTCTGCACATTAAACGAGGATAATTTCAGAACGCGGGTTTTCTGTACGCTCACGTACAAGAATCTTGATTCGGCCTATGCGGGAGAATATCTGCAGTGTGTAGTTACTGAAGATAGACCAAGCAAAGCGGGCGGAAAGGAACTCTGGAACAATGCTATATAGTTGCTGTAGTTTTCGGTTGTGATACAGAGGTTCTTTTTCGAAGAGATGCTGTGGTGACGAATGCAATATATGAGTTGCCAGTATATATTTACCGGTATTCTTGTCCAATTTTGGGACCAATGTCAGCTCCTTTTGATCCAACATCCAATGAACGTCGGATCGAAGAAGTATTGTATTGCCTAAGTCATCTATGAGGTCGGGTAAAGATCGATTTAGGCAATAGGTATACATCGTATTAACCTCGAACCATTTCCTTGTCAGCTTCGCTTGGGGGATAATATGTGCTTGTTAACTCGCACAAAAGGATCGCGTTATTCGACAGGAGACATCGCGGCTTATGGTGGCGTCGCGACTCACTTTCGGGAGGGCTAGGTATCTATCGATCGGAAGTCGAGGGATATCAAGGGATTTCCAAAGAGAAGGTATATTATTATGTGGGAATTCCCAATGACTAAAATTTGGGGTTATGGGATACGGATCTGTTAATTGGGATTGGCTATTAATATAGATAACATTATGCTTCGCGATCAATACGATTAAGATGATATTATGTATAAGTAGTAGTATAGAAGAACTTGCCTTTGTCAGACCAACCTGGTAGGTGAAGCCAGTATTTCTTCTCGCGGAGGATCCCATCTGCAGATATCGGGATGGGATTTGAGGGATCGGGAGTAAGGGTAAGATATGCGCGCGCGTTGACTGGAAACCAAGCATTACCAACCAAGATGCAACACGCGTAAAATACCAAGTTATAATCAGCACCGCCGTCGTCTAGCGCGGGGAAATTTAATAGTGGTGTTGGGTAGCAAGGATGATGGATATCGATGCTTGGAACCTCTTCAGCGGTGGCAGCATCCTGAGATATTAGTGGGGATAATGGCTGCTTTAAATCCATTGCGCATCACTAGGAAATGGATGTTAAAGAAAGTCGAAGAATGAACTATTATGTATCGTCAGTCACGTTATACGTATGTACGTAAGGATTGGAGTTGATGGAAAAGGAATAATATTGTTTCCGGACCAATCAGATTCGGTGAATCAAATGTCTAGCCATACAATTACAATACCTTGTAAATCCAGATTGCCATATTTTCCGTATCTAAGCATAAAGTCCACGTACAAAACCGTTTAGTGGACGATTCCGCCATGGTATGTGTACAATTCCAGCATAAAGGGTGTACAATTACGGCTTAAAGCGGCGGGTTTTGAATACGTACCTAGGTACCTTATCAAATCTTGGATAACAAATTCCAAGCTGCTACCAATTAGAAAGACGATCCGTCCTACATAGTATATCTTGGGGGTTGGCAAGCCCCATTAGGCAACAAAGACCAGCATTTTTTCAGCCCAAGCCGATGCCTAGAGTGGCTCCAAGAAATCATCAGGTTTTTCACCGCGAGAATTGATGCAAATCTATCGGTTAAGAGAGGGAATTTCTCTCGAGTCTCTAACTTTTACGTTATCCGCGTCAAAATGGCTGTAGATCAGTCGCTTTGATGGATTAATGCCAATTCATCCATAAGAACCCCGGGTGTTAGCTTCTAGTTGATGCTTATTCCCCGATTCAGAAGCTCCGGGCCAATAGCTATTCATAGGTTTTTCATAGCCGCATCGCATGGTTCTCCAACAAGAAGAGTCGGGCACTGCCGCAAGGCAGCCCACCAATCAAGTCCACCCATGGATATATGGACCCGACTGTATGTTTCGCTTACCGCTACGTAAAGACGTAGCTGACGCCCTACCTATCCCTTGCCGCGCAATGGCCTTGGCACCAGCCGCTGAATCTCGGATTCGGCACTCTCGGATCTTGTACACATGTAGGACTTACGATATTTTAATAACTAACACACAATGACATAAGAACTCCGGCCGTCTGCGGGTAAGAGGCGTAAGAATATGGCTTATACATATAGATATAACGCCCCCCACGGGTAGTTGCCTTAGTTTGTTAAGAGTTATTGATCTATATCAACTTTCTTAGTAGTTACTGGTCCCAGAGATATCACAAGCTCTACTTGTCTCATAAGCCTTTCTTTATACATTTTATTATATTTATATGAAAAAATTTTATCGGCAGCCAGGTCTTATTGTCTCCTGGTTGGAGTGACCTGATCCACGACCTTTGTCTTACGAATCCATGCCGAATACGATACGATATTTCTAGGTCTGTCAACATTGTCGGACTTACAGATGACATAACAATCGTTATCATATTCATCTAAATATCCTTTACTACATTTTTTCCAATTTCAAGGCGGCGGTCCAACAAAATGGCATCAGTCGGCGACGATTTTAAGAACCAGTTCATCATCGCTATCGTTGTGGCGGCTGTTGTAACTCTAGTTGTCTTAACGCTTGTTTGTGTTCTGGCACAATTCGGACCACGCATTTGTGGCCGAGTCGCAAGAAAGGAACGTTGGTTTGGCCCGACACTCGAGGAAGGACAGATACAAGAGATGCCTCTAGTCGGTAACAATCATCCGAAAGGTTACGCATGAGCATATCAATGCTTTCAGCACATTATATCATTACCTAGCATGCCCAGAGTCATCATCGTACGATAGCAAGGCGAGAATAGAGCAGACCCGCTCCTATCGGATACCCACGAAGACTCGAGCACGCACTAAATACCCGATGGCAATATCATCGGCCACGTACGCGGCGTTATTTTAGACACTCGCATCCACCACGTGAACCCCCGAACTCGATATCACATCAGGTCAGCGCCGCCGACATAGACTGAGCGGAGACATTCCTTTAGACTGGCACGGATGGTTCAGGTTTAGAATAATCTCTCAGGAGTAGGCATTACGGTGACGGGGAAGGAAGGAGACCTCCATGACAGGTTTACATAATTGGGTGGGAGTATCCTTATACCAAGGACTTACGATACTTGAAATGAATCTAGATCAGAAGATACCCCTGAATAAGAACATAGTACAAGATCATCGGCTCCATGACCACGGGACTCACCAGCGAAAAGCGTACATAATTAAGGCTACATTCTAACAGGCTCTCACTTGCGTCTATTAGATACGAGCAAGTTCTATCCCTTTAGCCATGACAAAGATCGGACCAGTTGCGCAATAATCATTCGATTGGCAGCCTAGACGACGTGATAAGAGAAACATTCATGGAATGTCGCAGTGGAGTACGTTATCCGAAAATACCAACCTTTACGGTTGGGCTGTAGACCGCATTTACACAATAGCAGGATGTCCAGACCCTTACTTTAATCTTATAGCGTGTTCAACTAAGCCTCAGCTTGCGCAAAACTCATTCTGGAGTTATGTCTGCGTGGCATTGGCCATTGACGAAGGTGACATATGCGATCAAAGAAATACCAAAATGGTCAATTATGCTAACTCAGCTTATAAGCAGGAGAGGACCGCGACCCTTCCAGTTCGCTACATTGGGTGCCCACGGCCAAGGAGCCGTTTCCTTCGCGAACACAGAGTAAAGATATAGATTCTATTATATGGCATCTCCCCAGTTACCGGAAAAGCTTCGCCGAACTACCGGCTCGGGTAATCGACGTTGGACTGGACGGACAGGATCCATTCTTACATGTTTCTCAAGGGGGTCAGGGGGCGTATCTCGCTCTCAATCACCGATATGAATGTCCTGGTTGGGACCCAACGTTTGAATCCATCCCCCAAACATTCCACGATGCCATAGAAATTTCGCGGAGCTTGAATATTCAATACCTATGGATTGATACTGTGTGCATGGTTGGGGATGAGAAAGCCGATGATATTGCCGATGTATATTCGTACGCGTCTCTGACCCTTTTTGCGGATCGAGCTAGCCATATCGACGACGGCCTTTTCCGGGGCGTCGGTTCAACACAACCCCCTCGAATACTGCGATTCACGGATGGAAAATCAGGTATAACCACCGAAGTCCTCGCTTATACCCGACTAAACACAAGCATAGAGATATCCATACTCGATGCGTCTGACTTATTCTACCAGCAGCCTGGTCAGAGAAACTCTCAACCTGATGGCAGAACTGGGAAAATATGGGAACACCTTCTACAAGAAGAATGTCTCTCAGATCGGAGAATCTGCTTCACGGATACAGGAATAAAGTGGGACCGCGAAGCGTACACCTGTTGTGAATGTGACACGTCCATTTACGAAGACGAAACTAATCTTAGGACCATCTTTTTTCAACTCACCAACTCCGATTGTTGGGAATACGAGGACTACCCGATGATTCCCCTAAAACGTTGGCAGGACCTCATTGAACGATATACATCTACGAACCGAGCCTACGATTCTAAGAGACTCGTGGCAATAGCAGCCATAGCGTCCAACATCCCAAGGCCGCCGCAGGATTACCTTGCTGGTTTGTGGCGCGGTCATCTCGACAAGAGCCTTCTCTGGAAAGCGGCCGAGCCATTTTCCCAGTGCCGTAGGATAACCGAAGGCGGCGTACCATCGTGGTCATGGGCTTCTATATCCGGGCCGATACAATTTATCAGGCTCCAGTGGTATACGGATGCAGATTCCGATATAGACATGGACGTGGATATTGATTTGGATACAGACGATGACAACCGGTTTACATGGCAAATATTGGGAGCCTGGTGCGTCCTTCAAGATAATAATGACCCCTATGGACCGGTTAAGATAGGATCCCTACGGGTAAGGAGTCAAGTCTGTACAGTGAGAGTCGAGGAGATGCCAGAGTGCATTAACAAGCTGGGCATCATGCCAGCTCATTCGGATCTCTACATCCGTCCTTTTCTTCCTCGGGTGTTGGAGTTGGATGTTCCAAGTGATTGGCATATCCTAACATCCGAGAGTCCGCCCCAGTCCCAACTCGTAAGTGCCGCAGTGGAAGATATGATTTCCAAGGAATATGGCGCATCACGCATATTGTGTCTACTCCTGAGGAGTTCACCAAGTCGCATTGGCTGCTGGGAGAGAGTTTGTTACGTCCCTCTCTGCGATCACTTGGATTTGTGGAGATCATGTTTTTCTAAGGAAGAAATTATCATCGTCTAGCTAACGGGCCAAGAAATATCGGCTTCAGTGTTAGACCGGTGGTGACACAACATGCGCGTTTCGCAATTCCCTAACCACGCGAATCCTCTTGCTTAGATAGGTATTTCCTAATAACAAGTTAAACACAGCCACTATTTTCTTTATTTGAATGCCTCTCCTAGCACCTCAGTGAGGGTATCTAAATGTACTAACATAGCCACCATCGGGGGCATAACAGGCAACAATGGGCGGCCTCGCAGCCTTCTCAATACGCGGGGTTGTACTTTGACTTGACACAAGTGCGATGTGTAACATGGTCCGCACCCCATATGCAACACTTTGTCAACAAGGGTTGCGTTCCGCTCGTCACAAAGCCATGGCCCCTCTTGTACGGCGTCTCGTCGCTGAGCTTCGCATGACTATCCGAGGCGAACGAATAATCTCAGTGGAGATATGATATAGATGCTCACAATATTCAATCAGCACTACCCCCCACATAGCTTTAGCCGAATGGTCAGTCTGTATCGTTTGACCTACAAGTCCAGTGACTTTCTTTTTACACGCGGTGCCAGGTGGGCGATCCAAGGCGTTCTGTCTAGGTGGAATGGGATGGGGAAATGTAAAAAGGTACTCCGGAGTACGTATAGGGTTATACAGTTCTCATTAACTAGGCGTGACTGAGACCTACATAACAAGGCTGCGAATGGGGTTGCGCGTTGCCGTTTGTATTCGCCCGTACTTGGTCCGCGGAAAGCAAAGTACAGATAATGCAACAGACCGCGGCCCGCTGCAGTAAATGACGAATGAGTTGTCAGGTAGCATTCGTCTGATTGGTGACCAGCGGATTACGGCTTAACATGTGTATCACCACACATGCAGGCTCTCCAACTAGGTACCGTGCGCCAACATATGTGTAAACGGCCTAGGTGAGATAGGTACCCGATACCTCAACTCCCACTTCATATCTAGGCTGAAGCTTTCCATACAACTTGAAATTGTCCCACCAAGTCTTTGGTTCCCATTCGTTTCAAAATAGATCAAAGAAGTTCAGTCTACTGGTTTTCATTATCTACCTATCTGGCAGGTAAATTCCAACTCCCTTCGCCCCTGAGTCGAGTACTACAGGCAGCTACCCCACTATTATAGCCCATGATGGTGAAGTTAACTGACAAGATGGCTATCGCGGATGCTCCGACGGGCGTGGGCAGTCTTGGCTCTACTTGGTCTAAACATCGACTAGACCAAATTAATGAAGCCCATATTAATGGGATCAATGAATCCATCTCCCAATCTCAAATAGTAGTATGCGGCGATACCGCCTCAGGGAAGAGCTCTGTACTAGAGCGCCTGACTGGCATCCCATTCTCTCGAATGGAAGGCAATGTGATAAAATTCCCCATTGAGATGGTTTTTCGGCATACGGACAGGAGGCAGCAAATCACCGCAACTATTCGGCCTCATAGCAAGCAATGTCCCATCGCCCAAGAGAAGTTCAGGGGCTACACCCGCGATCTATCCAATATTTCGGAGCTACCCGCGGTAATGGATGAAATGATCTCCAAAATTATCCTTTATGACAAGGGGTCTCGTTCTATGGGTGCTATCACTGCCGACACGCTACGGATTGAAGTAAAGGCAGCCCATGGCCTTCATCTGTCGATAATTGACCTGCCTGGATCCATATCTCGTCCTAAAGCATATGATATAGAGGGCAGGTCCAACTTACTACAAAGGCTAGCAGAAAGCTACCTCTCGGATACTCATTCGATAATATTAGCTGTTATTGAGGCCTCAAATGTCACCAACCATGGTGTAATGGGCTTGGCCCAAAAATTCGACCCAGAAGGCCAGCGAACCCTAGGTGTCATCACCAAAACCGATTCCATAAAACAAGGAGCCGAGTACGAAATTGCGAAACTAGCGAAGAATATGGGCAATCACAAACCGGAGCTAGGATATTTTCTACTGATGAACCCTATCACCTCCGAAAGGGAGGCTGGTTTAACCTTAGATGCTCAATCTCGCATGGAAATGAGATTCTTCTCTAAACCCGCTTGGAAAACACAGCGCCTCTTTTGGCATCGAGTGGGAGTTGAAAACTTGAAGTTATTCTTACGCGATCTCCTTGAGGAGCGTATTGAGGTTGAGCTCCCAAATATATGGGAGGCTACTAGTGACAGGTTGTCTGAAGCCGAGCAAGAACTTAAGGCGCTTGGAGATCAACGGTCTACAGTTAGCGGCGTCCGGGTATTCATGACGGGCCTAGCCATGCACCTCTCTCAATTGACCCGTGCTGCTCTTGACGGAAACTACCACGAGCTCAGCGCGGAGTTCTTTTCGGGGCCCAAGAATCGACTACGAACCGAGGTTCACACCGCTAACAAAGAATTCGCCAATTACATGCACGATAATGGACAATGGAGAAAAATAACGACCAGGAGTGGCATCACAGACAATCAACTCCTCGTGACCAAGGAAGAAATGATTGGATGGGTGAAATCTGTCAGTGCTTACTCCCTAACTTATATATCAACGTAATATTTAATCCTAATTAGGTGTATGAACGCCATGAGGATATAATCCCCGGGGTATTCCAGAGTGCAGTCTTCACAGAGCTATTCAAGGCACAATCGAGCCGCTGGTCAACTATTGCGAAGAATCACGTAGACAAGGTATTTAGAATAATATCAAACTGGATTACCCGAGCGGTTTCTACCAACGCTTTAGACGGAAAGCTACTTTGCTACCTTATCTCTACTTACGGGAAAGGCCTTGACCAAGCAAAAGATCTAGCCTACGAGGAGCTAGAGAAGCTATTAAAAGACGAAAAGCTTCCTATCATGAATCATCGTCTCCACGCAGAGACCATACAGCACGTGCGGAATAAAGTCGCTTCAGAAGCGTATGCAACAGCTGTGGAAAAGGTAGTCCGAAAACGTTGGGGTAGCGACGACAAGTTGATCACAGCTCGAGAAGTACTTGAAATCATCCGGAGTAAAACAGTCGTCGGGCTAGATAAACAAGCACATATCGAGACAATAGCATTATTGGACGTTTATTACAAGGTACGGTATTAGTTCCTCGCTCAAACGATACTTCATCACTTATTATTGACACAAACACTAGGCAGCATTGTCCACTTTCATCGATAATGTATGTCGCCAGGTGGTCGAACGCCATCTTCTATCTGCGCTACCGTCGATATTCTCCCCTCAGGGAATAACTGAGCTAAGTGAAGAGGAACTTTTTCGCATAAGTTCTGAGACTGTAGCTCAGCGAGATAGGCGAGCCCAACTTGAATCCACAGTAAACAGTCTTCGAAAGAACCTCGCGGATCTTCAGAGGTACTCTATAAAGGCATGAATCATTCGATCGTCGCTTGAAAACGAAAAAGTCGCTCGAGTGTTAGCTTTGTGGGTCAATAGGTGCGAGATTTAAAGGGTTCCTTTCCCACCCCCCTGGACTACAATGTATATTCCAACCAAGAAGTACCCTTTCAAGCAGTTCTTGCGATTGATTTGTTCCAGTCATTTCTACTCTTGGTTAACTGGTCATCATGAGGGATAGGGGTAAATTATCAAATTATGAGGGAAGTAGCATAATAACCATTTCACAGCTCAAGATGAATGCGCGCGTAATTGAGTAATATTTAGAAGCTAAACGAGTGTCATCAGGCCATGATATAAGTTAAATCAAATCAGACTTCAGCAGGCATAATCCCTTTCATCATTGTTTCCAGTCAAATCCGCCAACTACCTAGGTAGTTCATCCAAGCAAGTTCCGTGCCGTTTTCAGCGTTTCGCTTAGAGGAGCTTGACGCAGTCAAGGATGCTGACGTTGATAGGGCCCTGTAGTAACATAATATTGTCAGTCAATATTCTCACAGTAGTGGTATATGGCTATTGTATAACCAAGACAGGATTCGTACCGAGGAGGGAAGGGTGCTGCAGCAATAGGTGGTGCCACCGCAGGGCGAGCCAAGAATTGGGAGGATGCAGTCCAAAATGCTATTAGAGCAGCAAACCTGGTTGGGTTGGTTGTTGGGGCATTCGCCACTCTCGGTGCGGGCTTGGACGTCGGTAGGGACAGCAATGGCAACAGCGGCCAAGGTGAAGAGAGTGGTGATGGTGCTGAACTGCATTTTGAATGTTGTAGAAGGGTAGTTCCCGAAAAGAGAGAGACTAAGGATTTGTAAAGAGCTGGAGATCGTTGTAGAGACTGAAGACTGTTGATTGATGGTCTGCGATGATGATTTTTCTCCAGATATCGACGGAATCCGTGGATCTTATATAGCCGTCTAAGGTGCTTGTCCTTCGCTCTAAATTGACACCACGCCTATAAGCGCGATGCTCTGTGCTGGTGCCTGAGCTATTTCCCCTGATACCGCATACTAATCGCTGGCGTTCCGCCTCGGATATGGTGTCCTAGTGATCGATTCGATCTAGATGATCGCTTGGTTGAAGATGCTCCGCGGCGGCATCTCCACTGCCAGCCACAATTTCCTTAGCGACGTTCATTTTTTCTCACCGTGTGACCTCAGTCGTACGTTCTGCTATAGGAACATTCCGGCTTCGATCATCGATGCAAGCCACCGAGTTACATATTACTTCTATCGGACCTTGATTTACTAGCCAATGAAGATAAACAGCCCACTCTTCATTTTCAGCTCTCGTGGTGTAACCCAGTTCTAGATTCAGCCACATGGTCAGGGGCACACAGCTTCGTCATAACAAAAGTCCTCGGGGGTACGCTAGTCGACCCCAGATTACAGGGTGCAGAAATGGTCCATTTTCGGACGGGAACAGCTGTTCCGGGTCCAGAGCCCGGCCGGGCCTGTATAATCAGAATGGAAGGCGGCAGCGATCCGCTCCCGCACAGAAGACCTGTTGGGATGAATATAATTATCCAAGGCGAAGAGATTCTGCAGCTAATTACGGATGACACACACTTAATATGAGGTAGTTGGATAGTTGCCCATTGCCGTTATGATCCCTAATTTGTGAAGCAGTGTAATATGCACAAAATAGGGACAGCTCGCACAGCATTTTACCTAGGTAGTTACACGGAATATGTTGAAACGTCATGATTACTCTCCGGGACTTGTTCCCAGCGCATATATGATGAAGCGGCCAGCCTTATGCACCGTATTTTTTTCATTGGCGGCAAACATACATCCACTTACAAATCCTTGCTAGGGCCATTAGGAAAGGTGACTTGTCAATCCTCATGACTTTCACACTTTATTAGGATCTAGTTTCTAGATATCGCCCGAGAAGTTAGTCGATCTAAGCTACTAGCTAACTTGTAAAGCTGGCATAGAAGATTCTTAACTCTCACCGCAACTATATCGAACATTAGCATTAAAACTAACAAGTGTAGATATCCCCACAGCGGGATCATGACCGGGATACTAGATATTCAGACTAAGGGACTACTATGGCTTATTCTGAGACAGGCTATAGAATTGCCCAAGTTACCCTTGGCCAACCATGAGCTTCATGCAATCCCTACTAAAAGTAAGTTAACAAGATTCGGTCCTCAATAAACCAAAGAAATTGTTGCTTACGACAAAAGACAAATTCAACGATATTTTTGCATATCTTGGCGAGTTTTCGAATATACACTCCGCGTCATCCGTCGTACGATACTACTCTCAAGTCAGCGTACCAAAGGCAATGGCTGGCTGAACATAAGCAGCCCATTGCTGAGGGGGATTCATCCGCTTGGTCAGATCTAGTATTGAGTTTAACCAGATATTCGGTTCCTAACTACCGTTAGTCTCAGAGCTATTTTATATACAACAGTTCTGACTCGAGAACTCCATGAGCGTAGCACGGCTTGCTATCCCCTAGGTACACGACTCTATTTACTTAGTATTCACTTTGAATGCCAAATTGACACTGTTTTTTGCCTTATCAACAGCTAGTAACGTCTCATATTCGCGCAGCGTATCGTATATCCTTTACAAGAGACGTACGATTCTCAAAGTTATCGAATCCTTCATGTGCTGCTTCCAAGCGACAATGGGGAACATGCATCTCTTAGCGCTGTTGTGCGACGTTATCGCGATGTAAGAATAGGGGTATGAAGGAAAAGGCCCCTATTCCGACATTTCTTTTAGGCAGTGGCAGGTTCAATCGGTGGGTGGGCGATGCAGCTTGATCGAGGCAACTCGAGGATCTAGACTTCTTCCGAAGCGCTTCGAATGGTTAATTTCGCAGGAAAATGCAGTGTCGATGGGTCCTATTGATCGGGTCCTTACCTATATGCACTACTCGATCAGCAGGGTTGACTCCAGGTTCGTGGAGAGAAAATGGTTCTAACCTACCTAAGCCATACAGTGATCGCGTTCTCACCTTCCCGACTCACCGGGCCTTCCTTCAAGCCGCGATAACATAGACTATTAGTTAATTGTTGCAGCACGAGGACTTGAAGCCGTTGGCTATTGGAAGATTACACGAACATGCATCTTACCGGTGAACGAGAAACGTCTAGATGAAGTTGTAACCACGTAGGCCCCGGACTCCGCATGGTTGGTAGGACTTAATAAGCATAGCCCTCTGTATTACCAAAAGCAAGCGGTAATACGAACGCCACGTTTCCAGGGGTTTCCAAATGTAGGTGGCTTGGGTAGGGCCAGTCTAGCCCTTCGATTTCTTCCCGGAAAATAAACACAGGTCATCCTTTAGATTGTAATCTATGGGCATCATGTTGACCGTGTCCCCGGCGCTTCTCATCTATTCTTTACAGCTTGTTAGAATGTTGCCATTTTCGGCGAAAATGGCAACATCCGCTTACGGCATGCAGCTGTATAGTAGCACGTCAATCGATCAATGAGTGTTAATTTTTCAAACTTCAACGCAAGGGATGTGCCTCACTGTTTGTAAACGGGATGTTGTCGCTCCACTCTTTGCGAAGTACGATTATTTACTGACGTTGAATGGGAAGAGTCGCAGATTATCCACAACCAGCCAGTAATGATTACCCATTGCCAATACTCCAAAGCTATAAGGCACATCGATCCTGACAACACTGTGGGCCGATAGGCGTGTTGTGGACTATGGGATTCAAGAACAACAACCACACTAACCCATTACATCGAAGCGCTTGGGAATCAAGATACCCTACAGCTCGATCGATTCGGTATTTTTCTAAGGTCATAGCATTACCAAAAATAAGCAAGTTTTCAAGCTCCGCGATAGACAATACACAGTATGAGCGAGCAAAAATTGAACAGTCACTGATAGCTCATAAACAGGAAATATCGAAGGCGGTGACATGGTACTTATTTGCTCGGCAGACCACCGAGCGACACGGGAAGTTCCATCTACGATGAAATATGACTAGAACTGACATTCTAGTTATGTCACCCTAGCTGTGGAGTTCTGTGGCCTGACCACCATTCCTTCGCTCATGTTTTCCTTGATTTCATCCTCAGCTCGAGATTTTCGATCGGTACTAGGAATCTGTGGATAGCAAGGCCTCTTCTCATGGCCGATTGCCCCTCCGGCTGCCTACTTCCCACTAGTTGCATGGCCTCCCGACGGCTCTTTTTCTCCGGCTAGTTCAGGTCCCTGTAGGGATGAAGTTGGAGATGAGAATACCAAAGAAGGGGTAGATATGCTAGAGCAGAACCTTTTCATGCAGTCAATGTATAGGACCTCCCTTCTACCCCATGTGGACGCCTGGATATGTTTCCCTGACGCACTCAGGTATCTTACTCCTACTCCCTCTCAAGCTCTCATTTCATGGTAAAAGTCCTCTTAGTGATATTAGAGCGCGAGTAAGGATTGTAAGTATTATCTTCCACCGATAATATAACCACTTCCTATCACGATAGTGAAGAGCAACCAGAGCGCGTAGGAACATCAATACTTCCGAAGCGTAGAATAATATTCCGTGGTAAACTTTCGTAGATTACGTATCTAATTCAGCTGTGGTCCGGGTATTAGTTACATACTTTCGATTGATTCTGGAAAATGGCATAAATGGGACAAGGTTTCAATCACCTCCAATCTACTTTCTGATAGGAGGAAAACAATGATATCAGTCCAAGTTCCAAAACTTGGGACGTGTAAGGTTGAGGTTATTCCCAACTTTGAGATAAGTAATAGGATAGCAGCTGGAGCCGGCTGGCAACCAGATGACACGCCAAGGGACGTCATTGCTCCTGCCCCACCAAGCCTCCCATTAATCGCCTAAGGAAAGCATCACGCCTACCATCATTATCCAGCTGCCTACGACAACCAAAACTTAATTTCTCTGCCTAACTCCTACCAAATCAACTACGAGATACCTAATAAAACGCCAACTTATACATACGCGAAAACCCCCCAATAACTAACATCACCTCCCCAACCAAACCCCCTCCCCTCCTCACCATGAACCGCCTCTTCGGCAGCGCGCCCAAAGCGCCCAAACCCACGCTCAACAGCGCCATATCCAACATCGACGGCCGAATATCCTCCTTCGACGTAAAAATCGCCTCCCTAAACGCCGAGCTCGGCACCTACCAATCGAAAATGTCGAAAATGCGCGAAGGGCCAGGAAAATCCGCCTTAAAATCCAAAGCCTTAAAAGTGCTTCAAAGACGAAAACAATATGAATCCCAAAGAGATCAGTTACAGTCTCAGGTGTGGAACATGGAGCAAGCGCAGACTATGCAGGATAACCTGGCGGGTGTAATGACTACGGTGGACGCGATGAAGACCACGCAGAAGGAGTTGAAGAAACAATATGGAAAAGTCGATTTAGATAAGATTGAGCGCATGCAGGATGAGATGGCGGATTTGATGGATGTTGGGAACGAAATCAACGAGACCCTAAGTCGCGGGTATGAAGTCCCCGACGACGTCGACGAAGCTGAACTCGATGCTGAGCTGGAGCTACTAGGTGCGGAGATGGAGATGGAAGGTGCTGGTATGGAAGTTGGTGGTGTGCCTGATTTCATGAAGGACGAAGTGCCCGACTTCATTGACGAGCCGCCCGAGACGAATACCAAGGTACAGGAAGCAGCAAGGTGACGACGATACGGGATGTTAGCATCAACATCAGCACTTGTTTCCTGGGTAGGACAGAATTACAGAAGCTACGGGAGTCACAGGAGTTTCCACATGTGTATCTAGGCATGAAGGGTTTTTGGCGGACTATTGATTTTTCATTATCTTCTATTTGCTTCAATGTTCCTTTGATCCTCACTATGAAAGATGCCGTGCGTTGACTTTCCGTATGACCGCCTTTTGCTGGATCATACAATACCAACATGATCAGAATGCGCCAAAAAAATAATTACCCAGCCAGTACCTGTGCCAAGCGGCCCTACTCTATAGTCCCGAAAAACTCCGCCGCCTCCTCAAGTTCTGGATCTCCATTGCAGAAGTCCCACCCCACTATGGTGCTCGTCTGACTGCAGCAGATAATACGTCGCGCGTCGAATTGTAACTTGAAAATTCTTGCCGGGCTCGTGTCTGCTTGTGGGATATGTGGGTGCTGTTGTTGTTGTGCCTGTGCTGGCACTTGCGCATGGGCTGCAGCAGCCTGTTGGGCTTGCGGGAGCTGTTGTGACTGGGATTCTGCTTGTTGGTATGGGCCATGGGGGTTGACGTTGGTGAGACTAGGAGGCGGGCCGCCGCCGTTGCCATGGTTGGGAGCAGAGATAGTAGATAGGCTGCCGATACCGGATCCTAATTGGGTGGGTGCCGCGTGGGCTTGGGGTTGAATAGTTTGAGATGTTGATGCCTCTCCAGCAGGTGATGTAGCGGAGAGAGCTTGTTGGACGGATTCCCTAATACGATTCTGCGCGATCTGTGCTCTGACCAAGGCGGTGTTAACAACTTGCCTTAATTGTGAGCGAACGAGCGCATTTGTCTCACGGTCGATCGCCGTTTGAATGTGTGAATGATATGTTAACATTGTAGGGTAGGCCGATAGCGCTTGTTGAAGAGCAGCTGGTCCTTGGGGAACACACGTGTCGATCATTTGCGTGTATGATGAAGTAGTTTGGGGGGTGATGGTGGCGATAATAGGGTGTTCGACATGGGTAAAATTCGAGTGTGAGGCCTGTGGTAACGACGGTGGTGCACTTGCAGGCGAAGTCGGCGCATTACGACCAGTAGATGAAGCGGCTGCTCTCGAGGCAGAGTTGCAAGAGTTTTGTCTAAGAGCAGAAGCAGCACCCTCTTCCTGTCGAAGTGTATGTGCAACCTTCCAAGCGCCCTCTCGATCTCGTCGCCAGATTATGATGGTTTGATCATACGACCCCGACACTATTCGCCCATAAGGACCACCGCCGCCGCCAGGAGGTAACTTGGCTCCATAAGCAGTAATATCCTCGGGGCGGCGGCTACCTGCGTTGTGGGGTCGGCGTCTCAATCGTTGGGTTTCTTCGAGATCGCCGGAATTTAAAGCTTTGAAGTAGGCTTGATCCACGGCCCTTGCTTCCAGTCGGTCTTGCTCGACACTGTAAGGAAGATCGCCGAATCCAGCTTGTACTGTCCGGACTAAATTTCCGTGTGCTCTGAGACTTGCAACCTCAAGACCCGTTTCCCGATCGAAGACCTTCACTTCGTTGTCACTGCTTCCACTTACGATACGGCGGCCATCGTACTGGACACACGCAATACCCTTATTATGCCCAAGGAACGTTCGTTGACATTGCTGATTTGGCCAATCCCACACCTTAATATGTCTGTCGCCACTAGCGGAGACAATTTCTCGGTCACAGATTTGGACCGCGTTCACGGCAGCTCCGTGTCCCTCGAGGCATGCGATCATTGTGTAGGGTGGCTTGATGGCGGGTTGATTAGTTAATGAGTCGTCGTATCCGTAGTTTCTGAAGTTCATAGGCACAGGGCTGACGCCACCGTATCCGACATCTCCGGGTCGTAATGGAACCCTATTGAAGATTTTTATCGTCTTATCCTTAGAACATGTTACGAGAATTCGTTTGTCAAACTTGACGTTTAGGACCGATTCTCTGTGAGCTTTTTTGAGTCGTTGTATAATCTCGCCAGTAGAGAACTTCCATAGGATGACATCCGAGTCACTGCTTCCGGAGACGATGAGATCTTCATCAGGGTCTGAATCGAACTGTAAACATAAGACCGATCCTGAGTGCCCCTTCAGAGGCGGTCGAATGAGCCGTCGTGTACGGATATTCCATATTCGTAATGTGCGATCTCGACTACCACTGACAAGGTAATCGGAGTTGTACTGAAGACTGTAGATGCACTCGTTGTGTCCCTCGTCAAGGTGATCCGGATGAGGTAATTGAAAATTCGTGTACCGGCCACGATCCCAATTACGCTCTAATCGTCGTCTCATCGTATACAAATACTTCCAATTGATCTTATATCTTCGGTCGATTATATCGTAAAACCAAAGCGTAGATCTTGGTAAACGGGAGGGATCCATAAGTTCAGCAACCGCTTTAGCTTTACCTTTGGAGATTTGAGAATTTCCTTCGTCTTGCATCGGACTGGGCGACTTCATCATCAGGTTGCCCATATGCTGAGTGACGCTAGCATTGCTTTGCATAGAAGAACCACTGTCCCCAGGTCGACGAGAAAATAAACCGGTCTTATTATGCATGTTAGATATATGTTTTTGCCCGCTGAAAATCTCTGTCTTAGCCGACATAATGGTAACACTTACATCTTGAGAACCAGGCATAGGGCCTTGGGCAACTGGCGCATCAGCATCTACCATTTCGAAGTCTTCGTCGTCTCTCTGTTTCGGGTCGGACAGAGCTCGTTTCTTGTTCACGTGCCCATCTTCGAAGGATTCAACTTGTTGCGATGCGATCTGGGAGGCGAGAGATTCGTTCATTCGTTGTTCGGCGGCGAGGATCTCCGATGGTATAGCTTTCCACCCTTCCAAATAGAATAGTCGTTCCCAGAGCTTGCGATCTAGAGCCAAATCGTACCAACCTCGACAACACATAGCGACGCGGATTAGGGACACGGGGTCCAGGTAGCCAAGGATTTTGAGGCATATCTCGGGCGGTAGACGTTCGACGAAGTTAATGTAAAGGCGGGGGTTTAGTTCGTTCATGACGATGTCTGCAATCATGGTCGTGGGCAATTCGTTAAGAATGAGCATAGCCAGTCCTATGATTTTAAAGTGGTTTTTGTTTAGCGAACAGAGTTCGAACGGTGCAGTTTAGTTGATAAAATAAGTTGAAAGTAAGAATAGTAACTAAATTCTTAAATGCGGTGTATACCCATGTGATGTGCGTATGTTTATGTTTATGTGTATACGTATATATTTGGTATATTGGTATATCCGGTTGGGAATCAATGAGGTGTAGAGGTGTTTAACTTACGAGTCTTCTGGTACACCGACAACGTGGGTAATTGAGCCGATAGCCATGCCGGTATATCGGCAGCTGATCGCTTTACCGTCAGCGATGCATTACTGGCAAGGCTGCCCGAATCGGAGGGATTAAGGGGATGCTCCGAATAACCCTCGTCAGGCTCCTGTGCGGGAGAGAAAGGATCCATTTGTATGCTGCAGTTGCCTCGCGGCTTAGCGATAAATTGGAATTGAGGAGTATTATTTCGCTTGTATCTCGTAAATTCGATTTGAATGCTTATTTATACGATAGTACTATTGAAGCGTTCAGGGTAGAAAGAGGGCGACGATTGTAAACCGTAGTAAGGCGGTGCAGACGGTGCAGTCAGTGCAGTGCAGCGCAGCGCAGTGCTGTACCAAGTTTGGTCCAATAAACGTTGTGATGGTGGTGTTGCGATGTATCACCATGCGAATCGCAAATGAGGCAAGCAACAAATGCAAATCGCCCGCCCGAATGAAATGGCCATGCGTTGTTGTGAATCGACGAAGGGAGATAAATGAAGAAAGAAAGAATAAAACAAAAGAATGAGGAACCCCGAAGTTGGTAGAAACTAGTATGTTATTCAGAAAAGATGTCTAGGTTCGCGATCATAAATCTTAAGGAAGATTTACGTACTTTGGAGAACCTTGGAAGTTGGAAACAACCTTGAAAGGTAGTAACAGTAAGGTAGCACCGGAGCGTTGGAGTGTCTAGTGTCTAGAATGCTTGATGCGTCCAGGCGTCTCAACTAACAAGTCCCCTGTGGAGAATAAACTCCGTACCAGTTACCTTAGCAGCCTAGAGCCTTATCGCCGCCTTTCATTGGTTAAATTCGGACCCTTGAGGTTTATCAAATGTACCTGGTAGGACCAGGAAGCAACTGATGTACGTCTAGGCTAACAAATACAAAGCTTTTTAAATGCATCTTTTGTTAGTGGTCAGGTACAATACCATGTCGATAACCCACCCCCCTCTCCCCCAGTAATATTGGTAACGCCGGTTAACATTAGTGCAAAAGCCTCGACCTTCAATTGGTATAGGCGTTGTAAGTCTTCCAAAGCCTAACTCCAATTTGATATGACGATAAATAATATCATATAGGAGTATACCTGGGTGAAGAGTATAGCGTGTTACTTTGAACCTATTCCCTACCCATATCGATATTCTACACTTAAGCGATTTGGTATATACGGCCAATAGTTTAATAATACAGATGTTACGTCGATGGTCGCTAATGAGAACCCAGCGGAGTCGCTAACAGCACTAACAGTCCCCAATATTATTCCAATCCCGCTCGGTACCCAACCGAACCCATTCATACCGTCCAACTGGAAGATCACCATTAAACCCAGATAAATAGGTATTCGTGAAACAAGGGTGATTCTAACACCCATTTATCGGTTCATTCTGCTACGGTTGGGAATGGCATTTGAGTAGATGTAAGAGGGCATTAAATGGAGAAAGCCGGCGACGTTGTTATTTATCTTCTTACTAATAGTAAGTTTGTAAATAGTGAAACCGATTGTGATCACGAATGATGGGATTGCTATATAAGGAATAAAAAATACCCATACGCCCATTATTTTCCGTTGACTTCGCTTAGAACGAAAAAAAGGACCATGGTGTTAGTGGGTTTGCTTTCGGCATAAATATTCCGAAGGAATTGTGCTAGATCGACGGATGTGCTTGGTCGATTAAATTAATGCGATTGTCATCAATCACAAATCCAGAGAAGTATCTCGTCATATCTAGACTCTTCTACCTGAAGTAGGTTTGTATGATCTTCTCTGATCATTGTTCAGCGCTGGGACCTAACCGGAAGGCCATATTACTGCCTACAAATTATGAAAAACACGACGACCGGGTACGTGGCATAAGGCAGACATGATGCTATGGTGATAATATTTGAGATTGGTCCTACCAAACTACTGTTATAAGTGTTTGCTTCAATCATCTTGTTTACCAGCCCTACCATTTACAGCCAAAATCACGATGAAATATATTGCAGGTAAGGCTTCTACAGAATACAACACAAATAGGTAATGTTTTATTTTTAATATATCCAGCATGTGACTCTTGATATGTCAGGTCAGCCTTAGACAGGACGTTAGGGGGGAAGCATGCATAGAAGCATTACAGAACTTCGACGTCTAGCCGGCTTAGGGCGTCTTATATATTTTCTTTTCCACTTAATCCCTGCGTTACTTGACTTTCTCGCCGCTGTCATGCACGGAGGATACCATCACACCGTGATCACTCCATTAGGCCTGCAGGATCCGAGATCCCCGTGTCCCTACCCCTTTTTCATGCTGCCGATGGATATTATTCTTTAGGTTAGTGTCATATTCCATAGGTAGTCTAACTTGTATATCTTTATTTTACAGGTATACGCTTGTGGGTTTATACACTTACGAATTTCTTCCCAACAGACAACAGTATAAAGCTGACTCCCTATGATTACCCGCATCGAACATACGTAACGAAGATAGACTACGTAATTCCTTTATGACGTCGGAACACCCTTCGAGTCTGACTGCTGTCACTTTTTGTGTAAGATCCCACCAAAACCGAGTCGAAAAGGATCGATCCATCATGTGGAGTGACCATGGCTTACTGCATTGCGCGACGAGTAGCCAAGAAAACGTGAATGCCAAAAATCAATTAGAAACAAGCCAAATACCACCCGAACCCGACTTTTAAGGCAGGGTTTTGGTACTAGCTCTGTGTCGTATTTAGGCGGGTTGATGTAATACTCGAGGATATTTTAAGGGTTTCTTGCAGTAAGGCTTCATCCTAGGTACATACTGAAATGTTTCCAGACCGTCGGTTCATCGATAAACCTTTTCACCTTGTTGTTTGATGTTGTAAGATAAACATTCCATTCCGAATCCTTCCGAGAGAAACATTAAGCCTAGTGTATGTTGAGCTTTAGCATCCTTAGCATATAGTAAGTGCTCAATCCTTATTCGTGATTAGTTTGCTCGTCGAGGTTTATTTGAGGAATAACATGACTACCGATGCCGTCGTTTGTCGGGGGATTATCGTGATAGGTGCTCTCCCAAGTCACCTATAGTAGGTGGGCGAAGGACGGGAAAGGCGTGTCGATCATGGTCAATTCAGGATGACGATTTTTTGCCCAGTGCAACGGGATTTAGCCCTGTTGGGAATAGACCCGGGGATTCGCTAATTTGAAACAATCAAAGACCCCATCACGATTAATGCCCAATTGCGGGAAGCCTGTTAGCACCTACTGTAGATAGGTACATCACCTGTAGTAAGTCTAAGTCACCGTTCGTTTCGATGGAATACCGCATCTTAAGTAGGTAGGTAAGTAAGTTAGTAAGTGAGTAAGGTAACTTGTTTAGGCATCTACATTTCTTATTTAGTGATGCACTTATAGAAATGTCAGTAGTAGTGGCGGTGTAATTGCGGCTTCTATCCGGTTTAGGTCTTATTCTTTATGGTCGGTACCTAGGTAGGTATTTGGTATTTGGTATAGGGCCTAGCGCATTGACAACCACCTGCACTGAACCCAATACCGATACCTTATCTTAGCTGCTTGGGTGCTTGAATTAGGTGGGTGAGGGGCATCAGGTCATCCTACCTTTATTCCTTGTTTTTTTTTTTTTTTTCTCTTGACAATCACCAAGGTTCTTGGTTTTTGTTATCAAATTAAGAAGAAAAAAAGACAAGAAAGAAAGAAGCGATAGAAACATTAATAAAATAGACTACCTAAGCAATCACAAGAGATATCAATAAGATAGGTCGAATTGTGCATATGATATGCATTATGAAAATGCCTGGTATCTCGATGGTAATGTATTCCTATGGTGGGCTGGCGCTACAATGCGCTTCTAGTGTAGCAGCTACCCATCAGTGGTGTGGTGTGGTGAACCACTAAACTCATGTGGATGTACTTCCATAGCTGTACGGTGTATCGATAGGGGTAGAGGTACTGGTTAAGTGACTAGGAAACCCTCTATTTGAAGGTACAGTGATTCGTATCGGCTGCATTGATACCAGTCACATGTTAAGGAAATACATAAAGAAGGAAGAAAGCAACCTAAAAATTGCCGATTAGTATGTAACGATAACTAACCCATCTAGGATAATTGACCATTGGATTAATCCTGATCGTCGAACTAAACAGTCGGCATAACACCCAACAAAAACTCCAAATTTTTTTTTTTTTTTTTTTCAATTCCATAGTCTCATAAACTGTCGTCGCAGTCTGTCGCAATCCACTAGACTAACCAAATCCACCACTACACAAGTAACCCACACACGGACACCGTCCACAATCCACAATCCATAATCCACCTAATCTTAGGTACCTGTCTACCTGACCTTGCTTTATTATTCGACAAAACCCACACAAACGTTTGTTAAATCGATAAAGCCACAATTATACTTGACGGTCCGGCCAACTACTTCATCCTACATACACTACATACATAGCCTTATGTAGGTACAATTTACAATTATACTGCAACCGCCCACCTGACCTGCACGCTGCACCGCACCGCACCACCGCACCACCGTAACCACTTGCACCCAGATCGGCAGAACGAGAAGAGAAAGGCGCCAGTCCGCCTAATTCTTCCTCCCACCTCTTACTACCTCTACTACCCCCAATAACCGCCGAGCGCGGTCTTCTCGACCTTCGATGTTTCAAGTCCCCTTACTGCCCTAACGCCGTATTTGCGATACGAAACAGCATATCGAGCATTACGAACATCCAACTGCTGATATATCCGTCATTCCATCGCCCTGCGTCAGGATAAAAAAGAAAGCGCAAAGTTACTTGAGTTACTTGGGACAATCCGCGTGACGGAGGTTGATTCAGGGAGAAGAAAGCAAGAGGAGGCGACTTCAGAAAAGAAGAAGAAAAAGAAAGGATTCATTTTCTTCTTCTTCACCCCATTCCACCGAAACGATTCTAAATTTCCGAACGCGACAACGCTGAAGTTATTCATTTGTACGGGTCCCAAGTTGCGATAGATCTCAAAGGACCACATCTCGACCTCGAGTAGTATCTAGCGGCGATCTCACCGATCCAATTCCCAAGCCCCCGCCACGTCCACTTTAAGCAATTCATATCCTGACTCCTTTCGCTGCTTCGAGCCAAGGCTCCTAAATTGACGACACTTGTCCCGCCTGCCCGCCTCGACGCTCGGTGACGATTACTAACGAAAGCACGGTCATTCTTTGCGGTACTCGCATGGGTTGATTAGCATGGCACATGCTCCGGCACTTCTACGGACGAACACGGCCCCCGTATTTCCAGCCGACAACAAGTACGGTCCCATGTCAACATCTACTATGAGCAGCCTCCGTACGAGCCAGTTGTCCGGCTCGACAGCTCTCAACTCATCGAATTCCTCACTTACTTCCATGTCGGCTTCCACCATTGTTCCTCCCGCGAGCAATGGTAACGTCGTGCCCACCGCAAATATTATCAACCAAAAGGCGGACGCCTCCAGATCGCTCTACCAAATATGCATCGCATTGAAACTGCGACTCGCCCGCGTACCCGGTTTCGAGGCACACCTCGATGCTCTAGCATCGGCACCGGGCGGCGAAGATGGACCCGTGGAATCCGTTTGGAACCTGTTGCGAACGGGTCTTCCACTCCTGACCATATACAACAGCTTACAACCAGAGAGCCCACTAGAAATCGATCCCGCAGCTAGCGAGGCAAGGCGACCCAAACTAGCCATCTTCAAGTTCGTCGAGGCCTGCATGAAGCAGCTAAAGATCCCCGCTTCCGAGTCCTTTGTGATCAGCGATTTGATGGGTAACGATACTACTGGGTTTGTTAAGGTATGTCTTGCTCGAGGTATTCGCCCGTGCACATGGAACATCCCAGTCTCCGTAATGCTATGAATCAATACGCTGACATCTCCGATTAGGTTACCCAAGTGCTGAATATTGTTCTGGACCGCGCTGAAGAACGAGGCCTTCTCCTACAAATCCAACCTTATCCAGAAGATACTGGGCCCGTAGTACCCGGGTCTCAGATGACGTATCGCGATCACATTATCCAGGAATTAGTCGACACGGAGCGGAAATACGTTCAAGATCTCGAAAATCTTCACGACCTCAAGAGGACATTAGAACAGAAGGGTGTTATCCCTGGTGATATAATCCATCAAATATTCCTAAACATAAACTCGATCCTAGACTTCCAGAGACGCTTTTTGATTCGCGTCGAAACCGCCAACTCGATGACAGAGGAAGCGCAACGATGGGGCGCACCTTTCGTCACATACGAAGATGCTTTCGACATTTACCAACCCTTTATCGCGAACCAACGGAAAGCGGGCCAAATAGCCAGCCAGGTTTTCGATAAAATCCAACTAGCCGAACATCCTGTATCGTTTGATTTTAATACATTGGATAGTTTCTTGCTAAAACCAATGCAAAGATTAGTTAAATATCCTTTACTGTTAAAGGTGCGGAATTGATTATCTCGAGACGATCTCATACTAACTAGAATTAGTCATTGTTGAAGAAGTGTGAAGACGTAGAAATCAGGGCGGATTTGACTGCGGGTATCGAGGCGGCGGAACGAGTGCTCACGAAGGCAAACGAGGCGGTCGATCGCGATCTTCTAGATGAGGCTTTGGAAGAGTTAATACGGAGAGTAGACGATTGGAAGAACCACCGAGTCGAGTCCTTCGGTAGGCTATTATTACACGGAGTGTACACTGTCATCACCGGTCGCACCGAGCAAGAAAAAGACGTAAGTCTTGTGAAAGTAAGACGCCTCAACCCAGAGGAGCTTAATGCTGATGATCTTTTAGTACGAGATTTACTTGTTCGAATGCATCCTCCTATGCTGCAAGGAAGTACAACCGAATAAGAGCAAAGATAAGAAAGACAAAAACAAGACCGCTCCGAAGATTCCGAATAAGAATAACAAGCTGCAGCTTAAGGGACGGATATTTATGACAAATGTGACCGAAGTTTTGTCGTTCGCAAAACCAGGTAAGCAACGCGATGATTCATATGTGGAACTCAACCTAATTATCCCAGGTTCGTATACTGTACAGATATGGTGGAAGGGTGATCCCGGCGTAGAAAATTTTGTCATCAAGTTTTCCAACGAAGAAACGATGAAGAAATGGGAAAATGGGTTAGTCGCACAGAGAAAAGAAAACGCCCCGAGCGCTGCTGCAAGCCCCGAGCAAAGCACTCCAGACTTTGCATGGATGCGGGGTCAAAACCAACTTGAGAATCCTTACGCCCAGCAGGAAGACGATGAGGATGAAGAAGAGGAGGCACCATCACAAGTGTCGCCACCAGGCGTGGGCTTTGGTGGAGTTTCGACTGGCGGAGTTATGAACCGTAATGCATCTAGTACAAGTTTAAGAGCTCGCTCCGCAACCGCAGAGAGCACCCAGTCTCTAGCAGGAATCGCTCGAGCACCGCCGCCACGTTTCCCTCTTCCGGCTCCCCCAGGACAGCTGAGCCTCCAGACCCAAGGTACCGCACAGTCGCCAGTTCCCCGTGCGGGCGAATCGTACTTCTCTCCCACGGCAGAGTCTCCCGCGTCCTCGCGGACAAGTACAGCGAGTACTATGTTCGCACCAACTGGTCAGTATCCATTCCCAAGGACTGGAACGCCTCAAGGGGGCTGGGAAGACAATAACCGTTACACCGCACCTGCTATGCCACGAGCTCCTTCGAGAGACGGGCCTTCTCCATTGAGCGGGCGTAATCCTAGAGGACCTTCGTTGCCTGTGATGGCCTCACAGCAAACGCTAGCTCAGCAGCAACGTAGCCGGTCATACAGCACCCCGGACATCAACGGGCAGCCGAACGGGCGTAGGACTAATAGTAGTACTCCTGTTCCCGCTGTACCTGGAATTCCACCCCACCTTCACCCTGCACATGACGCGAACATCCCGCGATCTCAAACTGGCTCTCCCAGACAGGATGTCCCAATCCGTACTAATACCCAGAGTCCAGGTGTTCCGCGTGATAGGTCAACCCAGCAGTCCGGTCAGTACGGAGGAACCATGTCCCAGTTCCCTACACAGCCCGTATACCCCCGACAGACGACTCCCGCTCCAGTAACATCTTCTGGAGGATCAGTACCTCAACCGTTGAATCTTAACAACCAACAGCCTGTCTCGCCGGCACTGGGTACAGCTACGCAAGGCAACCCGTTATCGAGTCCAGACCTTCCGATTCCTGCACAATTGAAAGTGAAGGTGAATTGCGACAATGGGACGTACTTCACGCTCGTAGCACCGTTCAATATTGCATATCAATCGCTTAGAGACCGTATTGATGCTAAGCTTTCGCGATTCACAAACAGCTCGATTGCTAAGGGCAATCTGAAACTGCGATATCGCGATGAGGACGGTGATTCCGTAACAATCGAAAGTGATGACGATATTCAAATCGCATTCTCAGAGTGGCGTGAAGGTTCGCGTAACATGTATGCTGGTGGCGTCGGAGAAATAGAACTTTTCTGCGTCGGCGAGACTGATTAAACGTCCTCAACAATACTCTGCGACAGAATCTCGAAGGCCTATTCTAGGGACAAATCACTTACGACCAAAGCTTCTCAGAGACGACCGAGGTACAATACTCAATTAGCTATGCCAATAATGATATGGTACGCACCAAAAGTTAACGGGCTATATCTTGATACCACTTCATTTCACCTTTCGGATCATTTATCCAACGACGTTCTTTTCACGACTTTACGATTCTTGCACATATTCTAGATACCAGACCTTTCTTGGTCACTTGCGGACTGGCTTTGGGTCCCCGCCAGATCGAAAAGCAACTTCACATTCTTTTTCAGGTTCTGATGCTACGTCAGGACAGTCCTCGGTCGTTATGGATATAACCTCTGTCCTTGGTATTTTTTGGGAGCTAATGAGCCTACAACCCTGTCGGACTCTGAGTCCTCTATTCTACAACATATTCAACTATCGTTTCTGTCCCTCACTGCGCAAATCATAGTCGTAGCTGAGACTTTTTTTCGCCGAGATTGGGTAATATGGCTACTGGCTTCTTGTCAAGAGCCATGTGGGAAATAATCAGGGATTTCGGACTTCGACCACATTTGATAACCTTTGCACAGGACGGCGCTAGTTAAGACGGACGGCGGTTCTGCTATTTCTGTTTCGCGCATCTGACTTCACAAAGCATGAGAGAGCAAGATGTTTGTTGCTGCAGCATTGGCGGGAGTAAACCTAGGGGCTTCATACTGTCGGTGTAATGTGGAGTCAGACGTCACGAAGTTGATAGCCATGAAAGCTTTTATATTTTTGAATGGGGCATGGCGAAACGCTAGGAGCTGAGTCCTACTCGCAGCGCTTTTTTCAAAGGAGGAGCTGAGTTTGAGAGCTAGTGGCCTATATATAGGTGTACCTCAAATGAAGATTTTTTTTTATAAAAGAATTTTATGCGTCGCTTTGTTGGTTAGATATTTAGAGCTTCATTGGCCTACATAGCTGTCATCTAGGTAATATATCTGAGATTCTAGCTCTGTATTCCGAGTGCGTAGTATGTGAGCTTACTTAATGCCATTGTAGGAGGCTGAATGGTGACGGACATGGTCCTCCGCATTTTACCTATTTCGTCTAGATTAGTTGACCACCGTCCCCTCATGGTTCTTAATATGAATGATCATGTAGCGTGCCATTGCCTTGGAATATATTCGAGTCGTGTAAATGAACAGGTGGCGTTGGTGGACTTATAATCTAACTGTTCTGTCGATCGTTCATCCCTTGAATTTTCGACTGGCATACTCTTATGTAACTAAGTCATTATATTTGACTTGTGGCTTGTTCAAAATATCTTTATTTTATATATCCATAAAGTCATAAGACAATATGCTCTCATCTCTCGCTTCCCGCCTGCTCTTAGCCTGCGTGGCCGTAGTCCCTACGGCCTTGGCGAAGCCGGAGCAGATCCGCGCTGTATCGTCACCTATCTTCCACTATTACCTACAAGCGTACCCGCAGGATCGTACGTCATCACATGTCTCTATATACCTAATTCTAACCTATTTCATCATCCTATTCTAGCTACCCTTCCTTGCCTCATCTCGATCTGATCTACGAAGCTAACAGCATACTTTAAAATAGCTACGATCCCAGTGATGGGCCCTGAGTCTAGCAGCGAGTACTTTGATATCGGTACTTCGATTAAGAGCACCAATACATCGAAATTCTTGAATATTGGAAGTGACTCAACGTCGTACAAGACACTTACGTTTGCGGAGGCGAGCGCGACGGATGCTTGGGCGCTTGGTGAGTGACTATTATACCTCTAGAACCCCCCTTCCATATTGTTTCCAGCAAAGGGATGGCTGAAGTTTGTAATGGGTTATGATTACTGATCCTCGAATTCGTAGAGGGCGATACTATCATCACGAGCACGGGAAGTAGCTTCGGCCGCCAACTTAACTTCCTAGTCTGCCAGCTTAGTGGTAGCTATTGGCAGGTGTACCTACAGACGGGCAGTGACACGCCTTCGGGAAAGACTTGTAGCAATTACCAGAGCTTGCATTTGCCTTGCTTATGTTAAGGTGGGGAGGGTCTGGATAGGGGAAAGGGGGAAGTTAGTGATATCATATAGGGAGCTAGTATATCAATAGTCTAAAGCTCTATTCGAAAGGCGGCTTGGTAGCAGAATCTCCTTGCGCATAGTGAGCTAAGCTTTTAGTCACGAACCCTTCCATATTATGTATGGCAGTCATCAGTCGTCCAATCTATGGTGCAAGGCTGATATTCTTGATCATTTCTTCATTCGTTATTGTATGTAAGATCATGTACTGGCGTTTATTCCAAATATACAGTTTTCGTGTATAGCAGTTGACGATCGCCGCCGGTAATTCAACCTCAGACCTAACTCGTTCGTGGATCAACCCGAAACGCCGTCTTTTGCCTTTTTCATAGAAGGGGGTTGTATGCCACTCCATGTTCATCCGCCGTATCGTACAGAGCCGCAAAAGTCCCTCCTCATGGCGCTGTGTAGATGTTTACCAACCCATAGGGACCCTTGAACTGCGGCGATTGTAGAACGCATCCCATATATTCCTCGAGCAAAGTATTTTATTATTTTCTTTTCTTCTCCGCATACGTAAGTTTATCCTTGAATCGCGCGAGGTGGTAGTTGATTTCGCTGCCCCTCGGCGGGGAAGGTTGCGGTGCGTCCATACAATTTCGTAAGGCTTGTTCGACTTGTGCGCATCCCGCTGTGCTATATCCCGCAGATGCCCAACATGCTATTCAATCAACACCGTTAGTCCAAGTGCATAAGTATAAAACGTCATTGATCCTTATGATAATCTTATTTTAGAGAATCTAGAACGTAAGGCGGCGTCAGCGCGTACCTAGAACAGAGGACATGAGAGCTATGCAAGGACGCTCCCTCTGACCATTCGGATTGCGAACTCGGAGGACCTTGACGGGTGGGAGGCGAATTGGTTTTTGAGAGGCCGACATCTCGAAGGATCGAAATCGGGGTACCGGATCCGACAAATTTTTTTTTCTTATTTTCGGCCGTAGGTGGGATGGATGCCGTCAATCGAAAATGGCGTGGGCCGAAATGAAGCTTTTCGTAAGAACGAAAAAAAATTACAGGGAAGTTTGATCTGGCAAAGAAAAAGATTGGTCACGTGGTAAGATTAGATTATGCAAAACGCGCGAGGTGTGGGGTTATTCCAGTGGATGATGTACTTTGGTACTTCGGGTCATTATTTTTAGGTACCTAGGTACTTAGTCTGGCTGTAATGGTGTTGAAGAGTTTCATCGAATTGCTTGTCTCGACGCTTATTTTTTTATTCCCCTGCACCGTCCGCTTCGCACCGCTTCGCACCGCACCAACACCAAAAAAGCCGCCTAACGGTCGGTCCTGCACATAATCTGATAAATTAAACCACCCCATTCCCGATCCACACACCAATTGGAGATAAGATGGAACAGATCACAAGCCTTTTGCAGGTTCCAAGGTTCCAAGGTGCTTAGGGTGAGGTTACATGGCATACCCGTCACTTAGACTTCTTACTTCTTATATCCATATGTACTTCTTACATTTTCTTATGCTATGATTAGTAGCGTATAGCGGTACTACGTCGTACACGTAATGCCCAGGATACTGTTTCCCAATTGGCACGAATCGCCGACTGGGAATAGGCCTTGTCCAGCGCTGGCTACACGAATTATCGATTACTCCGAGTTCTGGCCGCGACATCGGCCTGGCGTAAAGAGGCGTTTTTAGAGGAGTTAGCCGCTGGATGGAGTTGGGGTCTTGCAAAAATTGGGAACAAGCTGTCAGAACTAGATCTGTCTAGCAGACTAACTACACCTCATTCTAGTTTCTTTGAGCGGGATCTCTTTGAGATCGAATGATTCATGACCAGCAACTTATTCGAGAATTTTACGAATCGGGCCAGCAGTTCTCTAGCAGTTCTAGACGCCAAGTTCAGCTGGAGAAGCTTGTCGTCAGTTAAGCTCAGAAGGTGGACCATTCTACTGCGAGTTGACACCATTCGTGGATAAGTTCTTGTCAATAGCAGATGAGAATAGATGGAACTATACCTGGAGTAATCAGTGATCACCAAACGGGATCTCATTCCCAATTCTGATCCAGGTTTTTTTGATGTCATGAGCTGATTCGCCTTCCGCCTGATCGATCTCGCCTAGCAGGTCGCCATGTCTCACCACCTCCAACAGTGAAGATCAGTACGACTAGCAGCAGGTCCCATTCTTCCCATTCTAGTCGTCGTGTAGTAAAAGTCGCGCAGAGACTAGCGAAGGTCCCTTAACGTCAAAAAACTGCTCTCGCGTCCCCACTCGCCCGTGGTCTCGACGTAACGCTGCCGAACTATTGGAACGCACCAACAAATTCGAGGATATGATTTTCCTTGCTAATTTGATTAGTTGGATCATTAGTACCCGGGCGACTTTTTTTGATCTTTTTGATCACGCTTTGAAATCCTCGGTTGGTGGGTACTGATTGATAAGATAAATTCTCGTACCGATCCACTTCTTGCAGTATCTGATCGGCTAGTGCACCTAATCAAGTCTAGCTGATCCGGGTCCCTTGGCCACTAGCTGGCCTGGAATGCCCGAAGAACCTTCCCCCTTGAGGGAAGCTGAATTTTTGCACGGCTCGTAGGTCCTTAGTACTCGTGGTACAAACCACACCCTACCTTGCATTCCGATTCCTCCTCTCAGCTTTTGGTACAGAGTTGGTACAAACCGTGGGGATTTTCATAAGTTATATTTACGTAATTGACTATTTCATAACGAAGTAGAACATATAGAGTGGAACGATAATTTTCCTTTCATTATTTTAGGTATGGTTTGCTACTAGCTTTAAAGCATTTTCCGGAACATCGCACCTTTCTGGGTAAGGAACGAATTGAAGCTAGATCATTCGTTGGTGTTTTTCTTCCTCTCTTTTTTTTTCTTGCTAGGTAGTTACGAATCATGTTCATCATCTAACGGGTTGTTATGTCTTGAACATTTCGGCCTGGCCACGGGCAGTCGCCATCCACTTCGGTCGCCATTGTTCCCCACTCTTTCTAGCTACACTCGTGGCTAGACCCAACCCAGAGATCAAGGTTAGTTAGGTTCCGCCGGTTCCCACTCACCTTCGTACGTACCTACCTTCTTCGGGACGGGTGGTTCAAGGTAGTAGGAGCAACTGTCAATGCGTTTTGAATAAAAGGGCACTCTTCCTACCTCAGAATTTGACTCGTGCTTCCTTCAACCACTTCATCCAACATCCCTACAACCCTCTCGGCTGGGAATACTATTATAATAGTATTAGTATATCTTCTTTTATACGTCCAAGTATAGAATAGTATACGCTATAACCATAGTTTTTTCGAATAACCAGGTTATCCCACGCGCTTCGCCAAGATTGATCACTTACCCGGTTATCAGTCAGTCGACATAAGACGCGCCGCATTTATACATAATATCTCAGACCCCAATTTCAACTGAGGAATTACCCCGAATTCAACCGCCAAAATGAGAGGTCCGCTCGCTCGGTTCTCTCACCCTACCGAGGTGCCGGTGGAGGAGAAAACTCGCCCGGAAAATGACAAAGAAATCGGAGTAGTCGACAACCAGCCTCGTACCAGCGAGGCCGATTCCGACCCGGATACTATCGACGCCCAAGCCCAGGCCGGTGTGCAAAAGATCGAAGCCACTACTAAGGTTTGGTCGAGGTCTAACCTCATTATGGCCTATGTCTTGTAGGTTACACCAACAACCGACGCTATTTCACTTTCCAGCTATTAACAAAATTGCAGCATCTGGATCATCTACTTCGTCGACTCCATGCAACAGGGAATGGGATCTCTTTTGACTCCCTATGTCACTAGTGCTTTCTACCTCCACTCTTTGACTGCCACTACGAACGTCATGTCTGGTATTATCGCCGGTATCTCGAAGCTCACTTTGGCTAAGATTCTCGACATTTGGGGTCGTCCCCAGGGTTTCATGGTTGTCGTTATTCTAATGACTCTCGGTCTGGTCATGATGGCGGCTTGCAACGGCGTTGAAACTTATGCCGCTGCGCAAGTTTTCTACTGGGTCGGGTAAGTTTTGAATTTTGCAACCTTTTCCCTGGGCATCCTATTAACTCTTCTTAGATACAACGGTGTTAGTTACTCGCTATCCGTTTTCATCGCCGATACTTCGTCGCTAAAGAACCGAGGTCTGATGTTGGCCTTCATCTCTTCGCCGTACATCATCACTGTCTGGATCACTAGCCCCATGGCTCAGAGCGTCCTTGGTGGTATCGGCTGGAGATGGGGATTCGGTATCTTCTCCATCATCACCCCGATTATGTGCCTACCGCTTTTCTTCCTTTTCACCTACAACTACCAAAAGGCCAGAAAGGCTGGTTTGATCGTCAGCACTCCCAGCGGCCGAACTTTCTGGGAATCAGTCAAGTACTACTTCTGGCAGTTCGACGTTATCTGCCTTATCCTCGTTTCCGGTGGATTCGCTCTTTTCCTACTCCCATTCAACATCTACTCTTACCAGTACTACGGCTGGAGGGACCCCCTAACCATCTGCTTGATCATTTTTGGTGGTCTCCTCCTGATCGCAGCTGTTATCTGGGAGAAGTATTTCTCGCCTGTCAAGTTCATGCCTTGGGAGCTTCTCAAGGACCGAACTGTTCTCGGTGCTTGCATTCTCTCCGCCGTTCTTTTCGTCGAGTATTACATCTGGACCGCCTACTTCACGTCCTTCCTTCAAGTTGTTCTCAACCTTAACGTTACTCAGACCGGTTACATCAGCAACATCTACTCTCTCGGATCTTGCTTCTTCAGTTTCATCGTCGGTCTCGCTATCCGCTACACCGGTCGCTTCAAGTGGGTCGCTCTTTACTTCGGTGTCCCGGTCACTATTCTCAGCATTGGTCTCCTCATCCACTTCCGTCAACCCGGTACTTACCTTGGCTGGATCATCATGTGCGAGATCCTTTACGCTTTCGCTGGTGGTGCTTGTGTTATTGCTGAACAAATCGCTGTCATGGCTGCCGCTGGCCACCAGCACGTCGCTGTCGTCCTTGCTATGGAGGGTATGTTCAGCAGTGTCGGTGGTGCCATCGGTTCTACCGTCTCTGCTGCCATCTGGACTGGTCTATTCCCCGCCGCTCTAGCCAAGTACCTACCTGCAGAGTCCCAGGGAGACCTTACCAACATCTACAGCCAGCTTACAGAGCAACTCGCTTACCCCGTCGGCTCTCCGACCCGAGACGCCATCGTTCAAGCTTACGGTGATTCCCTCCGGTGGATGTTCGTCGCCGCGACAGCCATCACCGTTCTCGGCATCTTCAGCGTTGCCGCCTGGAGGGACATCAAGGTCAAAGACTTTAAGCAAGTCAAGGGCCGTGTAATCTAAACCCAACTAAAACACAAACTAAAGCAAAGTAAAGTATATATACACATGTGTAAGGATATGAACACGAAAGAACTTGGAGCATCTTGGCTTCTTGAATAAACACCACACAAGAAAACGGGGCTTTGGGGATACGGTTTTGGATATAGGGGGGTTTACTTGGGGATGTTAATGGATGGGTAGCGTTGAAGCATTGGCAAATACGCATTGGAGTGTAAGATGATACAACGATTATAGACTTACGATACCTGCTGGTTCGCTGAATCACGCTCATTAGAACAGTCATCTAATGTTGAATTAAAGAAAAGTTTGGTTAACAATTTTATTTGCAATTTCGATTGGGTGATTGCTGTACGTAAAACGATACTCACCAAGTATGAGCAAGTACCGTAGAAAAGGCACTAAACAAGCTCCTACTTAAAAGGAAATACGCTACGGCTTATAAGTGCCTAATAATAGACTTAAAATACTAATGGATTTCCCTAGCGCACTAGAAAACCCGAGTTAGCTTGTCAGCTACTTCGGTAGAGCTAAGGGAAAGAAAACCGTCTTGACCCAGGTTCTTCAGGGTCTTTATTCTTGTGGCGGCGTTTCCGTCTCGAATCAAGTATTTTCCAATCCATAGCCCGTAGAGCCGCGACAGCTTCCGCGTTCTCGTACTCCCCATGTGCCGTGTCCAAATCAGCACCTGCCATTCGCAGCATACGACTAAGCTTGGCCTTCTTCTGTACTACAAACGCGTAGTAAAGTGGTGAACCGTATCTCGTGGAATACAGATTCATGTTAGCCTTTTTCTCAACTAGAAGTTTGACGCCGTGTTTCGTAGAACTAATAGCCGCATGTAGCGCAGTACCACCATCCGGAGTAGCAGCATTGATATCGGCGCCCGATGCGATAATTAAGCGCGCAATGCCCATGTTTTTCCTTTTCAATGCAGTCATAAGAGGTGTCCAAACATATCTGCCATAACCGTTAAGATCGGCGCCAGCTTTAATCAGTATCTGGCATAGAGCCCACTGTTTTTCGAAGATTGTGACTTGTAGCGGGGTACCGACATGTCGAACATTTTTGTTAATATCTGCTCCATGCTCCAGGAGTAACGATATCATTTTTGCTTCGCGAGTTTGACACGCCTTGTGGAGAGCGGGTACGGGGACCGAGCAACTGTCTTCGAATACCAGGTTTGGGTCTGCGCCATGTTCTAAAAGCGGTTTTGCATCTCTGTAACCGCCGACCAAACTCGCAGCGAAAATCAGAGGTGTCCACCCATAGTGAACCATGCCATTCACACCCGCACCAAATTCGACGAGGGTATTCCAGATCAGTGGATCTTTATGCGGGTATGTGAAGAAAAGAGGAGACCTGCCATTGACTATCATGTCTTCGGGCTTTAGTAAGCCACTGCGCAGCCATTCAACCAGAACATCGTAGAATTCGAAGACAACGCAAGCCAACCACGGGAGTCCTTCGAGAACCGAAGAATCATACATGGAAACACTACTCCCACTGCCTTGGAAGACTGAGAGGGATTCTATCCATATATCATACGCCGAACTCCCCTTGAAAGGGCTGTCCAGGAATCGTACCATTAGGTTGCGAGTAGCTTCAGATATAGCTCCGGCAAAAGGCCTAGCCTGTTGGTCCCACACCATCATTCTTTCCGTCCAATCGTTATCCTCAGGACTATATCTTTTGGTAATAGGTTGTTTTAAGTGGAATAGGTAACGGAGGTGTACACTTAGTACGAGATCGTTCGCCTGTATAGGGTCGAAATGATATGATTCCAGATACTCCTGTACCGATAAATGGGCAAATCTGCAGATATCGAAATTTTCACCCATTTCCACCATCACTAGATTCTTGCATGTTTTGAGTACCATATCAATAACTGCGCCAACATCGACATCTGGTTGGAAAGGGCCGTCCGGGCTTTGAAAAACAGCTATCGCTAGCTCAAAGGGAGTCAAAGGCTTCCAAGAGCACATCATCCATTGGAATGCTCTATCAGCAATGTATCGTTTTCGCTTGTCGATACTTTCGTAAATGTCGTCGTACGATGCCTTAAGGCCCTCGGGAAGTCCGTCTAAGTGCTCGTATACTAGATGTGCGAAATCCAGTTCAAGTAGACTATCGATGTGAAGCACTACCCATTGAAACCTATAAGTAAAATTAGACTCGATCATATAACTAGAAAAATTAGACCCTACTTACATTCCTTGGCTCTTTCGTCGGAACGTCTGGATCACTTCGTCACGCATTTCCGGGGGCATCCCAGTTCTGCACCATTTCGTTTGATCAATTTTATGGGCGACATACTTGTCGATGTCGGCCTGGTTGTCACTTGCTTGGATCCTCAAATTGTGCCCACCACCGTACTTCTGTTTAATATCGTCGTCGTCGCGACTGGCGATAAATACCTTGACAAGTCCGGGGCTTGTACTTACGACGTCATCAAGAGCATCTATCAGAAGGTGCCGAGATTTGTGGTCGCATTCATCCAAGCCGTCGATTAGAACAGTTATCTGAGCATATCCTTTGCTAATATCATTTAGCAAATCCCGGCACTCCTCTATGGTAAATCGAGAGGATGCGAAACCTGTTGCTTTTTTTCCGTGGTACCTTTGACGTGTGCAATCCATGATATCTAACTCTGATTGACCAGATTTCGCTCGTACTATTTCTGGCTTGGACGATAATTGCCTTATTAAGCTTCGAAGTACAGAACCGGGATCCTGGCGATCCGATCGGTTCCTATCGCAGAAAAAATAGGCAAACCCTTCACTATTTGATGTAGTATCCAGAGTCGAAGATATGTCGTCAACAACTCTAGTAGCCAATCTAGTTTTTCCTGCACCCGCTGTCCTACGATATCAGTACAATACACAACCATTAGGGTTCCGATACTCACGAATCCCGTGTAACCACAGCGTCGTAGAACAGCTTGAGTCTCTCCATTGCGCATACTTCTCATGACGAAGCAACCATTCACAGGTACCTGTAAGACGGCTTGCCCTCGCATTTTCATAATCTGACTGGTAAGGGATATCCGATATCCATTTTAGCATATCGATATATTCATTCGCTTGCATGCTCGTCCATACTCCGTTGAGTGCGTCGTCGACTCTGCAAAACCCTTGGTCTAGAATGCTATGAAGCTCACTAAATTGGTCTGTGACGCTTTCGAGCCCACTTATGACACTTAGATGGTAGCAATTGTTGGCAGCCCTCTCAACCTTTTCTGCTTCATCCTCTAGTGCTGTCAGTCTCGCTGAGAATTTGTCGGGTTGAAAAGTCCCTTTAATTGTTTTTTCAAAAAGACCCCTTTCGCAATACTCTACCGACATAGATATAAATGAGAGTATTTCTTTAAACAAAGTGATGATCGAAGTCTTGAGTGGGCCGGTTACATTGTCGCTAAGGGCGGGACGCTTCTCGCTGAGATATAATTGATGATGGATCCTACACCGAAGACATAAACTAGTTATTCTCTCGAGGCCTATGAGTAGTTTCCCGGCATGTTCGTTATTGATAGTCACTGCCTTGATGGTGTTAGCCACTCCTGTATTTCGGGTGCATGACGAAGATATACCTGAAGCAGGAAGCGAAATGCTGCCCAAGGAAGAGCAGCATGCGTCGGATCGAAACTAACCGCGACATCACCGACTTCCTTGAGTCTGTTCAACCAGACTATAATCTTGCTTGCGAGGTCTCTAACGACATAGGTTTTTGATCCGATTGTAACTTTCAGCGCGTTCGCGTCTGCTTCGCGCTGCTTCTTCGCTACTAGAGCCTGTAATTCTTCTATATATGCCTCGCCATCGGCAATAAAAGCACCATTAGAGGGCGACAAGTACTTCTTGAATTTCTCGGCACAATATTTATCGCTTTCAGATCCGTCAGATAATAGTTGCTCCGCCTGTAGCCAGAGCTGATTATATCTACTGAGTAAAACATGGTTAAACCCAATTTTTCCAAAAGCAATTAGAGGCGGGAGTTTTTACTCGGAGTTAGAACCAGAATCGATCTTAGCCAAGGAATCAGGGCTTTCCTCAGAATCACGGAATAAAACGAGCGCGGTTCCCGCATTTCGTTTATTGCTGGCAAGCTTCGGTTTCTTCCATAACGAAGATAATTTGGCGGACAATCGGTCTCGATGCCGGGAATTTGGCGAAGAAGGCAGTAATCTCTCCATTTCATCTGGTGCGAGTCCTGGGCCCGAAGCCCGCAAGTGATAGTTATTGCATACGTTCTTGCGTTCAGATTGAGAAATCGAGACCAGGGTTTGATAGGTGGTGAGAATATCGTTTTAGTTAATATGTACCTCGGTAGGAATCGGGTTTCGCTAAGGCTTAGGAAAGAAGCTCAATTAGTTGTTGCGACAAAGTGAGCCGTGCCTCGAGAAATGACCCAAGAAGCAAAGATGTTTGCAACCATTAGAAAAGTAAGGCATCTAGCTGATGTAAATCATTTAAATCTTAGTTTCCCATTGCCGTCTACGCTCTGCCTCCGTCAACCAGACCCAAATGCTCGTGATCGAGTCTTCTGTTTGAGGCTTGCTGCCTGTGGCCTCCCATGTAACTGCGGGGTTTCGTTGGGCTGCATCCTCTCGTTTTGGTAGGTACTGGTCCAGGGCAGGGATCCGCGCTGGCGGCTTATAGAGGCTTATGTGTGGCTATACCTAGCTTGAACAGTGAAGCCGAGAGAATATGATTCAAGAACCTTCAGAAAACAACCACCAGTATCTTCAGTTTACGTGCTTGAATAAGACCCCCTTCCACTACTCTAACATATCATATAATCACCTAGATAAGTACCTGGTGTTCGTATGTCGTTTTAGAACCATTTCATTGTGAGGCGACTTCGGTAGGGTAACAAGGTGTTAATGAATTCTTATCCAATCAGAATCTGCAGAAGGATAGCTGAGGTATAGCACACATCGGCGGGGCAATACGCCTTGCAGTGCGCCCTAGTGGGTCACCACCAAGGAGTATCTAATCCGAGACTCTCGATCTCCATCGTCAATCTGCAGTGCTGCGCATCTCGAGACGCCACCCCGAGCAATTTCCGGTCCTTGCTGGCGTTTTTTCTTAGGTCGGATAGTGCACTATGATCTATGCCATGCGTGGCGTCAGCGAGCGTCGTCATAACTAGCCGGAATCCCTCCAGCTCATTACCTTGCTAATTCTTACTTCCCTCGCCAATCTGCCTCGGTCAAGTCGATCACCGCAATATCGGCAAGGGATGGTATCTCTGTTTTCTGCTTCTTGCGAGCCACATTTGTACGGCCATCATCCAGACTCCTGTTTTCAATGCCCTCATCGTCGAGTATGATTATCGGGGCTCTTTCCAAAATACTCCGGTTCTGGACAGCCGCATTGTCTAGATTGAGCGCGTTTGCTAACCCCTTCTTCAACTTGTCGCTAACGCCTAGGAGACGGTAATTTTCATTTTCTACAAGCGAGTTCGAATTCCTCTTTCGCGATTGCCCGTCTTGGCTCGGGCTGTTACATTCTGGGTTCAGTTTGGCGAACTCCTTGTTTCTATCTCCAGCTGCAACCTTTTTCGGCCTTCCTCTCCGAGCCTTCTGTGTGGCCTTCTCCATAACATTCGGCAGTCCTTGCTTAATCACACAATCCAAAAGAATAGCCTTGACTTCTTCAAATTCACAAGCCTGGCCTGTTTTTGGATCGCGCAGGGGGATGTCCAGCAGTTCCGGTATGACGAGTGTCGGATTTACTGAGACAGTCCCCTCCTTCTTGGGTCCCATTGGAGTTTTCTCCATAATGCCGTAATCAAACTCGCTATGTCTTTCTCTGAGACGGTGGTTAAGCTCGATAGGTACAAGGTATTCTGCCGGCCAGCTAGGATGCTTCCTAGAATGAAAATGTTCTAATAGAAATCTATACCGAGCAAACAAGTTAGGTCTAAAGGGCCGGAACCAGTGGATTACTAAGCCTCCTAGCTTACTGTCTGTTGAAACGTTCGGTCGACTGCAGCTTTGTAGGACCCTTGGGTTTGGAAATGTATTTGGAGGGAGTGCGAAATTCTTAGACGGATACGCATCCTTGACAATTCGTAAGAGCATAGCTCGCCATTTGCTGAGTTCTCGGTGTTGGTTCGAGACTGATTTAGCCAATATCGTAGCAGCCTCTTCAAATTTGTGGTGTTTCGCAATTTCCAAAAGTGTGCTTGTACCGACGCTAGGGAGGCCATCTGCGTAGTCGCAACCAACCAAAATAGCATACATCAGCATACCCTCTTTAGATAACTTACTACGGTCAAGAAGACCGTCCGCAGTGTAAACGAGGACACTATCCTCGCTTTTGAAATCATGTCCCTCGGGTTTATGAAACTGCACGACAGTTTTGCACCCAAACATGAATGTATCGCTGTCATCGGACCAGACGGCATCAACCACACCTAGCTCCTGAAGCCTACCGCACTCGGCCTCCGCTTCTCCCGGAGCATCGTGCCTAGGTACGCCTAGTTGGTCTAGCAACTCCTTGAGAAGAGCAACATTGGATGCACTGTAGTTTTGTCCGCGAGGCCGACTTTTCCAAGGTTTGTTGGGTCCATCAAACACGAATATAAGTTGGACGTTCATCCGTAAAAGATAGCAAATTCGTTCCATAATGCTCCTTTCTCTTGGATGTGATCCCGGAGATTCTGGTACGGCGTTAGACTAATGGCTACAGGAAAGGGGGTGGGTTCGCAGTCCACGTACGTCGCTTAATTTGACTCTCCTTTTCAGGAGTTATGTTCTTGTACCACCAATTCGCTTGGTCGATAGCAATTCGAAGTGGTTGGCGGTGACGCTCAAAGTGCTCAGAAGACCATTCAACGATTGAACGAGTTTGACCTACGGCCCTCTCCTTTAAGGAGAAACTATAGCAGACACTCAAAGTTAGCCATTAAGAATTTGACGTGATTCTGAAAGCTCACCTACCCTCTTAGACCCATTGTGGCTGCTAAATACGATTGAATCCCGCTTGGTGAGCAGTGGTTTCTCTACACCGCACGCGAAGAAGTCGGCAACAAGCTCCAACGCCACCAATTCAGTAGGTTCTCCAAAAAATAGAGCAACCATATATCAATATGTTCAACTGCTGTGGTATATAAATAAGGAAAAGGTTTGGGGCAATACGCGTCAGATTGACGCGGTGGTGGTATCGTTTTGCGATCTGTGCGAAATTGATCTGAGGGTGCGAAAGCAGGGGTTAGGATGGGAGTGTCGCAATTGAAAGTTGGTTGAAAATTGTAGGTTTCAAGATTTTATATTTCTGGAAATTAGGTGAGGTGAGCAAATCAAGAATGTAGTCAAGGTCGCTCCTGCATTAGTATCCAATCTGTATGTTGTTGCCCTAGTTGAATGCTCAAGATGCATGGCAACTGCTCGGAGGCACCTGCCGACCCCAAGCATCCCAACCGCCCGGACAGCCATCACGTATAAATTGACTGGTATAGTAGTAATAACCCACTATATTAACGAATAGCTACCTAGGTAAATAATATGTACAGTAGTCGCATTAGAACCTTTTAAAAGTTATCAAGATCAATCTCGGGCCTCCTGCGTCGCACTTGGATCCTTGACTTCTGATCAACACCCCGAACGGCCTCAAATGATCGCGGAGCCGGTCTGCCCTCACCCGGAATGAACCTCCAATCGTACTTAAGCAACAAATGGCATAGCGCAATCTTCACTTCATTCGAAGCGAAGAACCGACCGGGGCACGCATGTTGACCGTGTCCGAATGTCATGTGAGCCGGACTAGTCGTAACAAATTGCCAGCTATTGGTACTTTCCGGACCAGCCTGTTGTCTCATCTTCAGGAATCGGGCGGCGTCGAACTTTTCCGGTTCGGGGTAAATCGCGGGGTCCGTGTAGTTACCCGCTACCTGAACTCGGGCGCCTTTCGGAAGTACGGTGCCATCGGAGAGCTTAATATCCTTCTCGACGTATCGGTGCATAGAAATTTCTCCCATAGGTCGGAGGCGCTGCCCTTCCTTTAGGAAACTGTCCATAAGCTTGAGTTTGTATAGCGACGTCTTAGCCCAACCGTTCTCCCCGATAACCTGGACGATCTCCTCTCGGAGCTGCTGGGCTACCTCGGGGTACTCGCAGATATCAAAAAGCGCCGAACAAGTAACTTCCGTAGTCGTATGAATAGCGGCCATTGTCAGCGAAAGCTGCCCGGCAACATAATCAACGTCGTCTTGTCCCTTCGCGACTTCGTACATCCAGCCAATCGTGTCGGCGACCTTGGGCGGCTTTTCGCCGGCAGCACGCGCCGCGTCGACGGCGGCCCTACGACGCTTCACTTCGGGGTTGATCAATTTGCGAGCATCTCTAACAGCATTTTGCAGCGACCTTGACTGTGGGGCGATCATGTAAGCGATCCGTCGGAGGGGGGATGGGATAGCCCTCAAGATCCGGGAAATAAGGAAGGAGTCGACAGTGTAAGTCTTAGAAATATCGAGCCATCTTCGGTTTCGGCATAGATCCTTTCCTAGAAATACCCTCGATGAGAGTCGAGCGACAACTTCGAGCATGTCGTCCCTAATTTGCCGGGTGTTCCATGCCTCATCTTCACCGAAAACATCGTGCAATGATGCGGCTGTTTCCTCCACAAGGTCGTCGGTGACCAAGTTCAGCGATTGAGTTAATTTCACTCGTACAGTTTCTTGTATCAGATTTTCATCACGTAGACCGAGTCGGTGAGCCTCAAAACCGGGATAGTTTACCATAAAATCCTAACATTGTCAGCATTTCCATCAGAGTGCACAAGAAAAGGTGATATAATTACCTTTCCGAAAGCCTTATTGAAGTTCAGCGCGGGATGATTGCGGATCTCATCCGCGTACTTGTTGGGCAAGATGATTTTCGGGCCAGTACCCGTCATAATTTGGAATGGCCCAGAAAACTATAACACCACCATCATCAGTAAAATTGTTTGGATTGAATCTTTATCTCGACAGGTAGCCCTACCCGTCGACGGCCTTCAGCCAAAACCTCTCGCCCGTGCCATAGCCAACTTTTTGTTGGGCTAAGCCCATTGACCGTTACGACAGGAAATCCAGCAAAAGGTCGATCCTTGGTGATTAGTGAATAGACAACGCCAAGCACCAAGGTCGCTATGACCACTTGGAGGGATACGGGGAATCCCTCGGGAAGGACCCGTTGAATAGCTTCCATTCTAAACGCGATCAGTAGGGCGGATTTGGGAGCATCAGAGTCTCTACAACAAAGAAGATCGGGAAACTGGGGTTCCAATGACTTATATTCCTAGAAATTGCTACATAACCAAACTACTGGCACCCTCGCCTATCGAGCTCCTGTTTCAACTCTCCGCATTCTCCACGTGGTGCATACCGTAGTGAGTACCATCGCCGCCATACTAGCTAGTTCCAGACCCAGCCGAGCGGCGGCGGGGCGCGGTCCCTATTAGATAGTGCGAAGCGACAGCCCCTCGAAGACGAGAAATTTGGATAGGTAGCATGAATATACAAAAATGTGTATAGTAAGGTTGCATTATACTTGACCAGCGGCGATTTAAAGCCAATCGTAGATTAATAGCGAATACGGATACGGAATACGAATGCATAATTGCTGCTTAAAAGCCAACCCGTACAGCGGCAGTTACGCCACCCGAGACATGCTGCATAGTAAACAACCTATCCCAATGTGACGTCAAGTTCATCAACAGCCGGTCTGGGTTTCAATATTCTACCAATCGCATCTGTTAAATATCAAATCCAAATACCCTAGCCAAAAAGGGAGTTTCTTTACTCCGTTGGAGAACGACCACATCGGGGCCGAAATAACTCACCCACCCAAAGCCAATAAACATATTTTATGCTAGAAAACTACTACATTCATATGAAAATGACCTGGAAAAGAAAATAAGGGCATTAAGACCCAGCTCTTAGTCGCTCTAATACACATACCCCTAAGGACCTAGGTACTTACTCTTATTCATCATATATATAAACATCACCCAAGAAGAGTAATTTCATGTCTTTAGTAATACTATAAGGCTCAAGAATATTGTTGATATTCCCGTATACTCTGAACAATCTTTTCGCAAATTTGTTGTAAATTTCTGCCAAATTAATTATATTTCTAGATCAATATGAAACAACGGCTCGAAAAATAACGTCTATGCGCAAGCACTAACGATCTCGCGGGGTTAGGTTGCGCAAAGACCTCAACGAGCCAGAACGTCTCCTAGAACCAGAGGGGAAGCCCTAATTCGCGATCAATGAGTTAGATAATTACAGCACCCCTTTTTACTGTGCTAATACAATAAGCTAGCTTGGTAGTGAGCCGCGTCGGTCCGTAGTAGATTTAGAAGACAGCTGGAAAAGCACGCTACGATTCTAGAAGCTAGAAACTAGATGGGCACCTTGGAAAACTAAGTCTGCGTGATTAGACATCTCCGGTTGCCATTATTCTCAAGGTGTTTTTATGCCTGTTCTATCAATATTTAAAGGAGGCTCCTAGTATTAGTTACGTGCCGAGGATAATTCCAACCATAAAAGATAATGAAGAACAATTCGCAACCGCAGGTTTTTTAGACTAAGGTAAAAGTTGTATACATTTAAACTTAGGTAAATAGGCAAACATTTGTTCCCTAATTACAATCATTATGTGAGGCTAATTCCGCATGATAGTGGACATAGAATTGAGCTTAACTCTCAGTTAGAGCACTAGTTCCCTTATAAGCTAATATATGAGGTATCACAACATCTATAAGACGCGATCCTTTGTGGAGACTCGTACGGCTTGGAGTGGAATCACTAGAATCACGATAATCTCATACGTTACGACCTTAGTCTCTAAAACTAACTCGTCGAGTCTAACAAACCCCACCATCTTGAAGTGAAAAGGCCTTCTGTTGCGAGGCGAGGGAGGTGTCTTTCTTTTCGCAAACTTGAGCTTGGCTGATTAAGATAGCTACTTGGTTTGCATCGCTCCGAGTCCGAGATATGTCTCCGATACGTCTTATCATTAGGCCGATAAACGTGGAACACACCTAGACTTCATTTCCTGTTTCTCTTCGCATGGCATGTGTTTATTCGCGAAATCGTAACTTGTAGTCGATGGCTTATTCCCGTGTAGGTATAGGATCTGCTTATCTTACTATATATGTCTTAACGCCGATGGCTTCAATCATTCATAACAAGTTGAGCCCGATACCAGAGAAATAGTAGTACAGAAGATTTAGATTTCATTGCGATGAATCTCATGACCCTATCAGATAATTCATTGGTGACATAGCTGGGGAGTTAATTCAAGGTATAGTTCTCTTCGACGCTTTCAACAATTGATTATATAAATTACCAATTTAGACCATGTAGTACAACGCGAGTCAAGCAACTAAACAAAACGGTGAATTCGATTTACTTCGATTCGGCGATAACAGATCATGAGAGAATATCAATCTAAAAATGGATATCTCCAAGTAAATTTGTTCTTTCTTCTTGATAAAGTCTCCGTTCGATGATGACTAAATGGCACTATAAAACGGGAGCCACGAAAAATTATTAATAAGGGTCGGAGTTAATGCACGCCACCCTCGTAAACTCCCAAAGACCGTTCTCAACCGAGCACTATACACGGGAACAGCATGGAAAGACAAGCATTGCGTTCATAGCCTCGATGAAGTTGAAACGTCATGAATCAATTGAATAGAGATAGTTTCTTATTGATTGAACAAAAAGACATAGATCACGGATGTAAGTCGGGTCTAATCGTTTATCACCGTACGACGTGCTTCAATCGTTGCAATAGATCCAGAACGATGGCGCCAACATTGGTGATAATCCGCGTAGGTGGGTAGCTTTCCTAGTAAATCTCGCGACGTGATGGTTTCAATGGTGCTAGGCTGTGGATGCCGCGGGCGCCGCTACTAGATTAGCTGCTCTTCTAGGAGATGCGATTTTAGATATAAGTTTCAGTCCGCTTCCAAGATACCTGCTCTCGATTCGTAGACTACATCAGTGGACATTCTAATCTTTCAGAGCATTTCGTGACCTTTTAAAATCCAATTTTCAATATTCAATCAGCACCATGGCCCCTCCTAAGACGATTCCAACCCGCCAGATAGGCAAGAACGGCCCTCAAGTACCCAGACTTGGATTTGGGTTGATGGGAATGAGTGTCGGATACGGCACAGTAGGGTAAGTCCGAACAATTCTGGGCGTTGCTGGTGGCTTGCAGACTAACTCGGTTCAAAGCTCGGATGACGAGCGCCACGCAGTTCTCGACCGAGCCTGGGAACTCGGAGAAGTTTTCTGGGACACTGCCTATTGCTACGGTGACAACGAAGAACTTGTGGGCAAATGGTTCAAGAAACACCCAGAACGACGAAACGATATCTTCTTGGCCTCGAAGTGGGCTCTTGAGTATGAGGAAACGCCCCAGGGACCGGGTGTCAAGGTTGATAGTTCCCCTGAAGCCTGCCGACGAGGGTGCGAACGGTCGCTTCAACGTCTCAATGTTGACGTTATCGAACTATTCTATTGCCACCGCTTCGACGAGGTGACCCCTGTGGAAAAATCGATAGAGGCCATGGCCCAGCTCAAGAAGTGAGTGATTCGATAACGATGAGGATACAATTGCTAATCCATGGATTAGGGAAGGCAAAATCAAGTACCTTGGTTTGTCTGAATGCACTTCCAACACGCTTCGCCGAGCTCACGCTATCCACCCGATCACTGCGGTCGAGATTGAATACAGCCCCTGGACGTTGGACATCGAAAACGAACAGGGCACCAACCTGCTTGCTACCGCTCGAGAGCTAGGAGTCGCCGTCGTGGCATACTCTCCACTCGGACGCGGATTCTTGACTGGTCGCTACAGGTCTCCGGATGACTTCGAACCGACAGACTATCGACGAATCGTGCCGAGATACAGCCCGGAGAACTTCCCCAAGAACTTGGAGCTAGTCAAGAAATTTGAGGTCTTTGCAAAGAACAAGGGACATACGCCGAGTCAGTTGGTTCTGGCGTGGATTTTGGCACAAGGAGATGATTTCTTCCCTATTCCCGGAACCAAGTCGGCTAAGTACTTGGAAGAGAACTTGGGTGCTTTGGACGTCACACTTACTGCCGAGGAGAATAAACAGGTTAGAGACATCATCGGTGGTTTGCAGGTCATTGGAGGCAGGAACACTCAGCTTGGAAACGTCCCACCTTCGACGCTTCAGGACACTGTTCCCTTGTAAATTCTACAGAATTTCTGTAACTTGATTGAGGATAGCTAAGTAGTAAATTAGCGGGCGAGAAGATGAATCTATTTTGCTTTGTGCGGAATAACCTTCGTAACGAGACTTCTTAAATCGCGTGGGGTTTGAATACATGTTGATGAATAGTTACTTTCCAGCTAGTGAAAAATGAAAGAATTATCCGATCGTTGCAGTTTATTTCAGGGGGTGCTACAAGGGGTGCCCATCGCGGGGCTTTGAATTCATCTGGTGTTATTTCCGGTTTTGGTCGCTTATAGGTGTGCCGACCTGTTGAATAGGTTAGCTTAAGATGCCACTTTCATTTTATCATTGGGACCTTGGTATGGCACTCAAAGGCGAGTAAGTATATTGCACTGGTCATTACTATGCCGGCCTGCTTCTCTACTGTTCGAAATCCCCAGGACCGAACAAGATGGCCATTTAGATGCTTGCAGTACCTGCTGACCATTAAACCCCGAAGCACAGGTTGTCGCCGTCCTGCAAATAATTTCAACGTAATAAACCGTAGCTGGTTAGTGCCCTATATCCGAAGCCGTATAGATGTTATATCTGAGCCGAAACCATACCATTTTCAGCTGTTTTCTATTCCATAGCGCCTCGTTGAAGCAAAAAGAAAACTTCGTGGAAAAGCCGCTTTCCTATTTGATGATAGGTATTGTTACACGCTTGTTGCTGACTCGTTCTATCGCCGCCATAATTGGGTATTGTACTCTAGTCCTCGTCTCCGAGGCCGTCGTCTTCCTCGTCCATTTCGTCGTCCTCCGCGGCATCATTATCATCGTCATCATCTTCCTCGGAACTGGTTCCTGAGCCCTCACTCTCACCTTCAGAACCAGGGTCGTAATCCTCTTCGTCTTCATCTTCATCATCCTGTAGCTGTTGCTCCGCCTCCAATTGGGCTCTTTCTAATTCGGTCATACCGTCATCACCATTTTGACCGTTGGCATCTTCCTCTGCGCCATTGGCGTCTTTCTTTCCTTTTGCATTTTCCGCTAGCTCTCGCTTCGCCTTTCGTTGGTCTGCCATGCTACGATCTTGAAGGCCGTGTCGCGCGACATAACTCTCATTGATACCTCCATAATCCTCTTGGTCCAGCATCGAGAATTCAAACTCTTCGGTGGCTTCATCGTCTCCATTCTCGCCCGTAAAGACCTCCACGACCATATTAAAGGTCCGCTGTAATACGCTTGTGTAGCTGATAGCGGCGATTTTATCAAGCGGTATGAATAATAGCGGCTTTTTGAATCCCCATAGAATTCCGTTCTCTAGGAAAAACAGGTAACCATCTTTAGATCCCCTGAATGCCTTCACATGAACTGCTGGTTCCTTCGGTCGGTGTGGCTGTCGAACCTTACTGTGGAACTTGCTAGGATCCGCTACGACTATTTGCACATTGTTCCCGGCCGCCTGAAGACATTTGTTCAGGGCCCAGTTGAATAGCGTGGTGTAAGAATCGGAAACGGCTGAGGCGGCGCTGGCATTAGGTCCACCAATTGAGCCAGGCTTAGGAGCACCGGCTGAAACTGTAAATACCAACGGATCCTCAGCCGGCGTGCCTGTTTTTGTCAAGGAGTAAGAATTTCGGGGAAACAGAATGTAGTTGTGTTGGACCTGTGATTTCTCAGGTACAGGGAGGTAGAAGGCATATTCTGCACGCGAATTGATTAGTCTTAGTACAAGGTCATGATCTCATAGGCGAGGCATACCGATATCCTTCCATGCAAACACTATACCGGGCGCGGGTGTAGTTTGGCTTGGAACCCGAGCATATATGTGTTTAGGGGTGAATACCAATTCGAACTTCTTGCGCTGCGGGATAGAGACGGATATGTCCTTAATCTCCAACAGGATATTCTCGCTCGCTACATCCTCTATCGTGCTTGATGCTGTGGTGTTCGGTCCATTCCCATTTTGGGAGGGTTCGATATCGACTCGGCGTCTCTTGAGTGAGGATCCGGATGGTTGATCGCCAATCTGTTCGTATACAAAGTTTGCAATTTCGTTGAATAGCTTCACGCGCGACGGGGAGTCTACAACCCATCAGTCAGTAATACGGTCTTATTGGGTAGGTGTGTTGGGGTGACATACCAGCAGCCTTCTGGATGTCTTGTACGATGTCCGGTCGCGACTTGAATGCAGAGTCCAATTTCTGGATGTCTAGTTTACTAGCCATGGCGTAGAAGTGGACTTCTTGGGGTAATTACCCCTGGATACGATATCGAGAAATGTTCGATAGGGCGTGGTGCGAATTGGCGTTGATTACGAAGAAATTAATGTTGATGTTTATGTTATGAAGTTGCCTACTATAAAGTGCTGAGGTGCTGAAGATAATCAGGCTCTAGTGCTATATTTTGCGCTAATGTTCACTACCGTTCAGCAAAATGACGTACAGAAATGCCCCTAAAAAGTTTATACTGCTACACGCACGAGGCTGAAAAATAAACAGCAAATTTAATTTAAGCCTGCTTTATCGCCTTTATCTCACGGTCGCAACGGGCTTATCTAGCTTACCTAGGTACCTCGGCGCCTCGCCTGTGCGCCACGTGCGGCTTTAAATCCGCACCCTCTTGGGTTGAACCCCACACCCAGTCCCTTACCACCTTACCTCCTCGCCTTACCATTACTCTCTTCTCCAACGTCAGGCATTGAGCTTCTCAAATGAATTGATGGTATACCACTGCAAACGGCATCGACCTAGTCCACCTGTACCCATATCTGGACTATTCACATTTGCTATAATTAAGGGGCATCATGTCTTTCCCCAATATCTGGCATCACCGGAAGGTGGCCGATACTTCAGCCAAAGCCTGTGAGGTCTGCTACAAGCCCAGTACCAGCGTACTCATTACTCCAGAAAATAAGGTAAGCTATGGCTTTATAGTGAGACTATGGAATGACCGTTCCTGATGTAGCTGCCGTCAGGATTTCTTCTATGTGTGTATCGGCCATATAAAAGATAGAGGCTTCTGCACGCCTATTATTGACCAGGAGGCTGTTGCGGCTAAGAAGAAAAAGGAGATGGAAGAGGAGATTGAACGAGCTAAAAAGGAGTATGAAGAGAAACAACGTAAGAAAAGGGAGAAAGAATCAAAATCTGGCGAGGAGACGGATAAGGCCAAAGACGCCAAGGATAACGAGGAGAAAGATTCGAAAAAAGCCGAGAAGAAAGATGATCCAAAACCGGACAGCAAGGTACGCATTTTGAATGCATACCCCATTATCCTACTGATTGATAAGTATAGGATAAGGCGGATGATAATACATCACCAAAAGCGGAAGATGAACCAAGAGTATTCGCATTGCAAAGGTCTATATTAGTTTCCATTCCAAATAGTATTGCTTGTTATTGATGACATGCAGGACCTTCTATCAACAACGACTTGACAGGAAACGCCAAGCTGAGATGGCCAAAAGGAACCGGGAGCGTTTGAACAACCCTAATTTCTTCCCCTCTGTGCCCAAGGACCTGCCTTGAGAAGCCAACTCCGCCTGCATCGGACATCCAGCTCAGCGAGTAGTATTTTCGAAGCGAGGTAACCACGCTGAACCCCAAAGATAATTCTGGCCTATACTTCCGCCCGCCCTTAAACATATATAAGCTTATGGGGGCTAAAGTACCACATCAAGCGGGAGTGGCTTTCCGAAGCGGTGGTCGGTACTCGGTGTATTGTCAACCTTCATTGGAGCCCATGTCCTGTTTGCTGAAGAATTAACTACGACATACAGCCCAAGTACCTTGAAAATACATGGTACTACTATAGGTTGATTGAGCATCTCTCGATTCTCGTTACCCAAACGTACCATATCTTGGGTCGGCATACTACTGCGAGAATGCATATGGCTTCCCATTAACACACCATTTCCCCTCTCTCTAGGGACACACCGGTCAATTAACCTTGTTGCATTCACTTAGTTGCATCTAATTTGACTAGGTGGCTTGCCTTCAAAAGTGATAGCCTATATAGGATAAAGTATTGATAAGCTGACCGCCAAAGGCTGGTGGTATGTATATCTGAGCGAAAGGCTAGGACCCTACGAGATGCCTTATAAGGCTGACGATGTTTCTCTGTTAATAACGGGATCGGCCTGCGCCCAGCCCGTTTCAGCACCTAAATTCTCCGCCTTACCGTTTGGACCCTAATTGAAGTTTAGCGCGATTCACATTTCGGATTCGGATTTTAAAAAGCTTGTGCCTCGCGTTTTGGTAAATTTTGATGCGAGTTGGACAAGTTGTTGGCGAGCTCCCCACTCCGGTCAACAATCTCGTCGGTTCTGCAGCCCGCTGCAGGAAGATTAGTGCTTACATTGCATCGACAACGCACGGTACCAAGCTTGATGATACCATTATGAGCAACGAGGCAGTGGATGCCGTGACACCTAAGACCTGATGTGGTTGATCTACGGGGCATCTCCCGTGTTTTGATGAGTCGATGCACCATGAATGCAACCGACACTTTTTCGCGACAAGGTCACGAGGATACGCTAGTCGTACTCGCAGCCGGAAAGTTGTATTACCTTCTTCCAGAACGGACATAACGCATGATATGGGTGTGACGATGAAGAGGTGGGTATCGCTCTCTTCTGCAACTGTATAGGGCATATCGGTACCGTTTTAAGAAGCTATGTGAAGTTGCAGGAAATGTAACATTTCATGTGCAGCATAGACTCGGGTTCACACACTGGTGTACATCGGCCATACTCGGTTTTTCTCTGGTTAAACGATGCACAGAGGTATACATCTTGACATCAGCCTTATGATGGGTAGCACGAATCGACTAGGTTTTTCGAGCCGTCCCTACCGCTATCAATTGTCAAGGGTACCATGCTGTGGCCATCCGGATCTATCGCGGCGATCGTCCATGGTAATTCTTATGTAACCAACCCAGGCCTTCTACGCTCGGTATGTGCAATATGTGGTGTTCTCTATGTTCGTATGGCTCTCCTGCACATTTTTCTATATTACGTGTTGAATAACCATATCGGGGTTAGGTGGCTGGCCAAGTCCCTACCTGCTCGGGGAGTGACGGGCATAAACACCTAGCTTAGCCTAGTTATGACCACTAAAGCCTACGTATACAATAAACATCGGCGCCCTGCATAGCCAAAATCCGACACAGGCATCAAGAATGATTGGACACCGTCGGCCCACGCTTAAATGGCTGGTAAGGCCTGTTATACGGCCTATATTACACTCACTGATGCTTACTGCTCGTGCTCAAGTCCTTTGGAGAATGCTAGGCTACTACTAAACGGTTTCGATCCGGCTCGTGAGCCGGCCCTATCCACTGCTTACTCCCCATGCGCGGGGCTGTCTAACATTAAGATGCATATTAGCGCTGACGTACTATAGATTGGCATACACCCCCCCTCCGATCCTTCATAGAATAGGTTCAAATAATTCGTCCACGATTCTCTATGAACACCCCATAGGGCAAGGATTTGCTCAAGTACTGCTGGTATAGCCCCAGCTGCACCTTCGAAGTGGCCGGTGCTTACGACCTACCCACAATACGTACATGGTACATCTTCGGCATAGGGAATCAGCAACATTCCCAGACTATCAGAGGGACAATAGGATATCCCACTCAGTTTTGCATTATGACAAAGCTGACTGACTGACGGATTGTGGGGGGATAATGTCAGCTACAGAAATTTGCCGGATTAGTACATATCTGCTTCCACGAGATAGCGTTATGTTACGTGACACTTTTCTTCACATGTGGTCACTTTTATCAGTGCATACATGTACTACCCCACCAGCCTTTGCCAGGACGAAAAAAACTCTAGGTCGCCATAAGACATGTACATGCTCTAGATGGCTAGTTAGACTTGGTGAGAGATACAACAGTATTATGGTCAGCTATTTCTCTATTTCGCTTACTTGAATCACCCCTGAAGCGAATTTTTACACTTCGAGGGTACGTATCCGGGTTAAAAAGAAGACTACATCATCCTTTCACAATAGACGAGCCAGCTAGAAAAAGGAAACAAGAAATAGGATAAGACTTGCTCTCATAAAATAGGCTCTGGGTGTCCATGTCGTTGTGTGAATCGGTATTCGGCCTAATTTACATAAAAGATATTCTGGGGCAGTTTACGGGAGTTCCTTCTTCGAATCTAAAGTACCCCGAAAGATCAAAGGGCAGTTGCTCCTGTGACCCGGGATTTGTTCCGACTTCACGGGTCCGCTTTCGAGTTACACAGACCCCGAACCCGGTGTTCGGCATCTTCCGTTATAAAATATAATCCTTCTTACGAGCAAATTATTTGAGTTATTTGGGTGTGTCAGGTAAAATAGGCAAAACTGAGGTACGCGCTAAACACCATCAACTCCGCGCTATTTGGCCGAGATGGAAAATTAGGCGCCTCAAGCAATTAAAACTAGTTTTCGTACGTCTGAGACAGTGGCTGAGTCTACCGCCGCGCCGAGCCGACCCCTTCAAGCCTAGGCTGCATAGGGCTGGCGGCTAGCCCTATGACCTTGGGCCATAGAGTTACTCGGCATTAGCCGTTTTGTTACCTAAGGCAAGTCTAAGCCCTTCTCTGCTTTGAAATCAAATCATCGGCTGTCTGAAACCGATCGGGAACTAAATTTCATCCAATCTTACTATATTAATTATAACCGCACACCTTTCACAGCGTATTCCCGCTGAGTCGCAATGTGTTCCCTAATATAGAGGGAAAGATCAATGCCACATTATCTTGGAGGACCGCAGATCAGAACTCCGGCCCGGTCCCCTCCGAGTCAATGATAGCACTCCAGAATCATACTTCGTACTACACAGCGTACGCATCTTATCATCGTACTGCGGCTTGACGCACGGGTTCTCATGTCGTGTTACCTCGCTCTAGGATCGCGAGCGTACTACGTCAGGGACACGTTGCCCCTATTCTTTGCCTAGATCTTCATTCATGGTAGTGCGCGCACGAGAGCAGAGACACCCCTAAAACCTCGGGGCCTCCGAGGGATCATGTTTCTATCGGGGCGTTTCCCCATATATTTCGTCGGCTTTTTGGTTCCGAAAACAACTTGCAGTTCGATCTCGCAGGTTGGGTACCCGACAGCTTTTATGTAGTGGATATGTCGGTATGCCCACCGAGCCGAAAAATGAATAAATTGGCAGTTATATATGCATGCATACATGACCTATGCAGGCTTATTGATTTTTCTATCTTTTCGTCATTCTGCTTATATAGTTCGGACTTAGCATACCTACATAACCCCCAAAAAGGGGGAAAGGCGCGGGTCATCCGAAGTCAGATCTTTCAAGATCCTCATGAACCAGCCGAACCAATCCGATCTTAAGCCCAGGAAAGTAACAATTAAATCTCAGCTTACTATTATATGTACCTAGATATGTATCTAAGGGGGCTTAAATTTTTTCATTTTTTACTAGACCTTTTTGACCCCCATTTTTGAGGACTGATCACACCGAGAACCAACGTCCCGGCCGAGGAGGTACGGCCGACAGGAGAAAAATATCACATGAGATCGGCTCGGTCGTATTCCCACTCTCGGTGGCCCTTCGGACGTAATATCAAATTTGGTTTGCTCGCTTTATACTGCCAGCCGTCGCCGCGTTCGTGCATGCGCCGCACGGCTACTTACAACTAGTGTCATGTTATTACCATTGTGTGTGTGCTAGACGAACTTATCGATCGTTGGGTGGTGTGCATAGATACACAGGTAGTAGTTCATAGGTGCGTATCGTCTATCGGGCTTTGGTAAGCCTCACAAAGACCGCAAATCATATCCAACCCCAAAATCCCCGAATTCTGACTTTGGGTATCCTATCGCAATGCTCAGCCAACCAACTAACGATAATAGCGTCAATAAGAAAGAGAGAGGGGGATTTCTGCTTTGAGCCGAGGAATCAGGGTATGCAATATGCACTTGACCCCCAACATACATACATTATACCTATTATAATCATTAACGATTGATCGACCCGTACGCCATCTTTCTCAGACAATGCTCATTCGATGATCTGATCCTGGGGTTTTCGCAGTCACGGGAAGCAGGGAACTTCTCTCAAGGGGTGGCTGTCACAGCAGCTAGAAAGAAGCAAAGCCAAGCAACGAACCTGCTTCCTACCTGGGTAAGTAGATACCCGACATACAGATGCTACTTACATGCATAGTCCCGCCTATAATACAGGCCTCTTCAGGTATTCTACCCTCTGCCGGGCTGGCCGCGGTCCCCTACCCGTCACACCTGCATCTCGATCCTTCCTTCTAACGGATTTCCAAAAGCGCGCATATCCATCGTCCATCCCCCAACTCCCACATCGCATTTCAAGCCACTCAAGCCCCCGGGAATTCTCGTCGTGCTAACTCGCAAGTCCCCTCAACTGAAACATGTACGTTACGCCAGACCTATGTAATCCCGCGCCTCATCTCGAAGTCCGTGCCTCCTACTTGCCTCTACCACCTAACTAACCTTCCTGCTGTGCTACTCCGCGGATGGTGGTAGTGGTAATGTTAATTTGTGATAGCAGGTGCCGATACGCGTTTGTTGATGGTTAACTGCTGACTGCATATCATCTAAATTACTACGTATCGACTTACGTACATATAGACCTACATACCTAGGTACCTATCTAGGTAACTTGACCTACCTGGAGAGAGCGGGGGAAGCAGGCCGCAGCCTTGCCCTGGCGAAGCTTTCCGGTCTTGGCCCCCGAGTCCTTCTTTCAATGACAACGCCAACTTGCAGCGACGACAGATGTGCCAAGAAGGTTATACAGACGTATATCCATCTAGACCTTGAATCCAACCCGGCGTTTTGCTTCCTACTTGAGTGACAAGCATATAACCGGCCGCCTCTTCGTCATTTGTGGTACGAACGCACGCACGGGGAACGGGGTTAAGAAACGGGCCGTCCTGCGAGTCAGTAAAACCAACAAAAAAGCAACTTCACCCAGGGTTTCTCCCGTGTACCTGATACACACAGGTGCATCTATACCCCGGGTAGATATGTAAGAGTGAGGTAGGAGGCAGGTATGGATGTAGATACGATCCTAGGGTTAGAATAAGACTAGGGTTACTAGGTAAGTGGGATGCATAGGGTAAAGAAAGGGGCCTAGAATATAGCTTAATTCGGCGGCGACTTCACATGGATAATGACGACGACCAATTTGATGGGGGAGGCACAGCACATTTCATGTCGCCGACACCAGTTCATATAAGGAAAACAAGGCCGTTACCAACACCAATATCTTTACAAAAAGACAAGAAATATCCATCAATAGCAGGTCAACTATAGGACGCCGAAAATACTCCACACAAGCTTCGACAAGCTTTTTTTCTGGTTGTTGCTTTCGATGTTGCGCCCCCTTGCCAATTCTTCATCCCACTTTACGTAGCATCGTGATAATAAAAGCTATCTAGTCGATCGGGAAAAAGCGTTACCAACACACTTTCAGACCCTGAGAATCCTCATTTCTCAAGGCCTGTCAGTCAAGCCCTAATCCACCTACGATGCAATGTCCCTTCACCTGCCCGGCCGAGAAGCAACTGCAACTGAACAAAATCCGCAAAAGTTCCAAGAATTTCCCCAATTATTTTTTTCTTCTTCTGTCTCCCTGCGCAGGCAACAGCTCCGAAAGAAAACCCGCCAGACCGGTTAACCCCTAGGGCTCCCCCTAGGTACTAGGTATGTAACAGAGACGCACCGCCTCCTTGCTTGTAATATTGACATGTCACCAACCAATGCGAAAAGAGCGATGGATGTACACAGTAAAGGGAGAGCGTTACCTGGGCCCTGTCATGTTCCTGCATGAAAGGAGCCTTTTTTTTCTTAGTGGCGCGACGTACCTACGTATGTAGATCCAACAGTGAAAATTGTTATTTCCCAAGAATGGGGAACGGATTTTACATAATTCTTCTAGTACATTTCCTTCAATGTTCTTTTTTTCTTTTTTTTCTTGCGTGCTCGTGCTTGTTATCTAATCTAAGATTACCCTGCCTGCGCGGTGCTTTTGTCTGAGAGATCGAAGATCTGAATAAGATCCAATGGGAACGCGTGGATTTTCCAGGTGAAACCGGCGTCGAGACGCTGAGAGCAAGCAAGCTTGATCTGTGGAGAAAAATACATTATTATCGTGGTTGACTAGATTTGATAACGTAACGAGACTTTGCTCTGTCAGCAGCGCTGACCTCTTTGTCATCAGCTACTGCAAGTAGTTGACGTGGTTTCGTGGGGAGCTTGGGTCAAGGATCTAGTTGCGGAGGCTCAGTGGTAGAGCTTGACGAGCGGCGCAGTTTAATTCACAGCAAAATGCGATAATTTGAGCCTGATACGATAACTATCCGAGGCAGATTTTGCTAATCTATTGAGAATAGACTGATTTGCTGAGCCAAAGAATAATGGTGTCTGGGCGTTAGTAATTTCCGCCTCTATTTAGCTCCGTTTATTCAGACACCCGTTGTCCTAGGACCGAAAAAATAATTAACGAAACCGAAATGCGCCCGCCGCGATGCGATATTTCTGTTGCGAAGAGAGGTCAGGGGATAAGATAGGTATCGGTGATTGAAAACATCCCACCTTTGCACACCGACAGTTTCTTTTTGCGGGAAGGGCTGACAGGTCGCAATCATGGTGATCTCATCTCGGGGAAGCGCATGCCGCCAAATAGAGCTTTGCGAGGTAACAGGCTAATCCCGATTGCCTATGTATCTGACGGGATAAAGAAAGGCGGATTGATCAACTCGCTTACTTTGGGACTTTTCAAAGCGCCCCGACTGGCGGCGTCTGATACATGGGATTGACTCGGGTAAAGCGCCACGGGTGAAGATAGCGTCAGCAAGTATGCTGTTTAGCAAGCAGAACAACGTCAACCAGATCGCCAGGTAACACGGGGGAAACGGGAATGCCCTCGAGGATCAGACGGTAAGCAGGGTTGCGACCCCAGGTGTCTTGCGAAAAGGGGTAAGCCCTATACCTGAAGCGTACAATCGACAGGGTTAGTGGTGTGCGTCTGACATTATGCCGTAAGAAGGTAGGTCGATATGCTCTATGTGATATCTGATTGAGGGTACATTTTGCGAAGTTTCTTTTCATAAGAGCTGAAGGGGGAGGTGTGTACGGAGAGAAAATGGTGTTAAACAAGGCAGACAAGTCCCTGTGGTCCAATTCGACCCTTGAGATATTAGCGGCGGGTTAGGTAAGATACCTGTTTAGGGGACACTGGAGGGTAGTGGGCAGTTTTAATGTCAGCATCTTGTTGGCTCGTGCTTGCGCCGTATTCACTCTGGGCCAAGTACCTAATTTATTGTGAGAACTAATGCTATAATTATTGTTTTGGTTAATATAAGAGGAGGCTTACTCGATGAATTGCTGGGTAGGAATGCTTATGATGGTGACAATGACGATCATTAACAAATTTTTCTACTCTGTTATAAGTTGCCGTTCCGTCCCGGGGGCAATCGGATTGCAGGGGGGTCTGTACGACGCGGAGCTACCTCATCAACTCGGCTCCGGTTGAGCGAAAAGGCCGGAACTATCCACTCTCCACAACTACATCTTAAGCCTTGCCATGCAAAACGACCGATCGTAGCACCGCATTTAGCATTTGGGCAGGATAGACGACCCTCGAGGGCACCACCTTCTAAGGCAGGTCGCATCCAGGAGAGAGTCTCAATGAAGACATGAGCGCAATTCGGAGATTCTGGCCGCTCAGTAGGATTTGGAGTGTGCGGCACGACGAATTTCGGTGTCGCAAGGATACGTCTACACTTCTTACAGCGAACTTCCCTGCCATCTGCCTTATCCGCCTCAGCTTCGGCAGCCTCATCTCCCAGCTCCACTTCATCTTCGAAACGGATCTGCTCAGCCTCAGGTGCCTGGCGTATATCCCGGGATTCTTTAAGCATTCTTTCATATAGCCATTTCTGGTATATAGGATGTTGCTCCACAGCGCTATCGCTCTCGGCTGGACATCCCATCTCCCACCATATCTCAAGCTGGCGCATGAAGCCGTCATTAGGCGAAGCTGCTCCGCGCCCCTCGCGGACCCACTCGAGGGCTTTCTGTACAGCTTCCTTAGAAGTTTGCCGCCGTCGAACTGCAGAGGTCACCGAAGGAACAAACTGCTTGCCTCCAAAGCGGTGGGGGTATTTGTAGAGTAAGTAAGCAATCACACAGGTTACGGAGCGCGATATGCCCATAGCACAATGCACATAGACTCCGCCAGGAGAGGTACCATCATCTCTAGCTTGTCGTTTTTCACTCGCTTCTTTGTCCTCATCATTGGCCGATGGATATAACCCATTTTCGATGAAGCGTACTGCAGATGAAAAGTAGACTAGTAGATCGGTATCTGAATCGTCCATTACATCAATACTCATATGCTTGAGACGCTTTGCTTCCTCGCCCCATTTGTCGAAGGAGAACTTAATGACTGAGAGTACGTGCGTAACATTTTGGTCGTAAAGCTTTTGACGATGTCCCTCAAGGTTCAATGCCCAGGCTCTATGGCTTATGTCAGTTCATTACCCAGCCAAGGTTGAATCATGCGGGGTGGGGAAGACAATATTGGAAAATTCGAGATTACCCTCCAACGTAAAGATTATCGGCTCCAGGGACCCTGGAAAACGACATGATGTTTCTTCGTATCTCAATTATTTCAATTGTATCGTTTGAAATAATACATTTCTTTAATTTCGTAAGATATATGCTCAGATAAAATGTCGTCTATAAGATTTAAGCCAAGTTATGAAAATGAGTCAAGGTAGAAGAGTAACAAAATGCTTATCCACAAAAGATAAAATTTGTGAAAATCCACCACATCGCTGCAGCAAACCAAATGCTAGGAAATTTTACCTACTTTTCTTTGGCGGAATCGGGGTAGCTTTGTGCCACATGAGAAAAACTGGGCCCATACAAGCTTTGGCCCCTCAGTGTACCAGTATACATAATCCATACCCAAACCTCGGACTACCTGAACTAGCCTAATGTCGGATAACAATGTGGCGCCCGCGGCTGTGCAAGCGCACGTCAAATCTCAGTTTAGAGTTTGCTGCTTCCCTCCCGGTAGGGCTGAATCATGTGACGTGTAAGGCCCGTTTTTCGCGCTAACCCGCTAAAAGTATTAAATTGGGATGAATGGGCTGACTTGCAGCAAACTTACCCGCGGTATCCCAGTTACTTCTGCCAACTTTCTGTCCAATCGATATACGACATGCATCCCCTTTCGTTTTTCTTTTTCTTTTACCCAACTTGCTTTTTTTCTTGTCTTTCTCAAGATCTCCAACTATGTACATACTGAACCCCCCCTTTGTATTGAAAACCCATAGTATTCTTTCAACTCAATGAGCTCGACATTTTCAAGGTTATGACGTAGGGTTTTTTGATTATTTATTTTCTCGTACTTTTATGACGAAATTACGCCCACATATGATTGCAGATGCAACAGACAGAAATCCAGGTCGCTGCGGATAGCGTCAGCACCGGCATTTATATGTATATAGGCTTACAAGCCCCGCCCGAAAAGACATGGGCACCACCCCATGCTCTCTCTTGGCTTTCGTAGGCACCCGTATACGATGCATATGCGCGATACTCGTTAATTTCAGTTTACGAAACATGGGATCAAACAAGTGAGTTATCATTTTTTTTTATTATTGATATACAAACTGTGGACGTTTCTTGTAACAAGTTGGTTCTTGAAAGTCGACGTTGATGAGAAGACTTGCTTGCTGCGTTCTGATATGTGCCAAGCAGCAAATACCCGTTGCAACGGAACTGTGTTCTGTCAGCTACATTGGTAGCAAGCTGTCTCTCGTAAATTAACCATTAACAACGTAGAGTCCACCCTACTACATCCCAATACGTTTTAGTCGAGCCTAGAACCCTGGCTGGAATACTGTGGACAGAGCCAAATGCCTTCTCAGTTTGGGCTACCGTAGGATAGGTAAATGTAATAGTATATCGACCTTCTCTCTTCAAAAATCATGCGGCGACCGACCACTGAAATTTTTTTCAAGTCCGTGGGAAGGCGGGAGATCGGCAAAGCAAACCATGTTGCTCTTGAATGCGGTGAGACTCGCAGGCGCACGGCGCGCGCGATTACTCTTTGCTCCGACTGTACCGCTTCTATCCCAGCGCCCAATTGCAGGCCGGCTGTCGTGCATCAAAACGGGCACCTACTTCATCAGCCAACGAATCAATCTCCCTGAGTGATGCGCATCCCAACCCATAGGTTCCCATTTTCCCTCGAGAACCCCGCGCAGTATTGCTACCCAATCCCGTCATTGCTAGTCCGTTCAATTCGCTCATCTCGCTGGTTGCGGGGGTTCTTCATCGAGCATGCATGCGTTTTCCAACATATTCGTCCATTTACCACTAGTTCCCGCGTGGCTGTGCTTCAAATGTTGTCGAAAATGATCTGCCCGGTAAAATTTCTTGCTCGAGTTACACTCACGAAACTTATGCACTTCCTGGAGATGCCTTAACCGTTCTTCCCAATCTTGTTCTGTTGGTTGTCGTGGACGCCCAACTCCGCCGTGGCGCTCGAATTCTTCTCCGCAGTAACCACATGTGTCGGCCTCTCCTGGCCGATTGGAGCTCTCATGAAAAGCGCGGTCATATCTCGACATGAGTAACGCCGAACAGGACCAACTATGTCTCCTAACGTGGAGACTGTTTTGGTGGCGTTCGGCTTCATTCTTGTTTTTGAAACGATTGCCGCAAAACGAGCATTCGTATTGTTTCTCCGCCTCATGTGCACTACAACATTCGTTAGCAACCTATAAGATCTTACGTATTACCGCTAAAACAGTGAATGCGTCGTAGAACCCACCTTAGTTCTTCCTGTGTCTCGAATTTTTTGGGCTTTTTAGGACAACATTCACACATATAAAAACCTCCAGGTATCTTGGAAATGCCAGCTTTGGACACTTCGCTCACCTTGCGTGGCGACGCAAGACGCCGTGTTTCATTGCTCAAATTTCGTTGATGCGGCACACGCGCAAGTGCAGTGCGTGGCGAGTGACCAAGAGAATTGGGCATGCTATACGGAGAATTCGAAACGACATCAACAGGGGAAAGTCCTCCACTGGATAAACCACCGGGGGATCTCGCGGCAAATGAATTCATACTTGAAAGATTAGTAGCAAGCGAGACAGTGGAAGCAAAGGATCCACTCCGGGTGGTAGACGGAACAGAGGGTATAGAGCCCGAAGGGATGCCGCTGAGACGTGGTGTCGGCGACGCTCTCGATGCTCCCTCGCGACGACGTAATGGGTCGCATGAACCAGGCATACCCTGCATTGGGAGATCATCGCCAAGCGGTGAAGATGCCCGCCTCTTTTGCCCAATAGCTTGATGTTCCGAACGCGATGTATAGTCCTCTACCTGTGACCGGTCCTCCATAGGAAAATCGGTGTCGTCTCCATTGTTATCATAACTACTATGCGTAGATACCGTTGCATCGTCGGGTAACGAGCCACTGTTGTTCCTTCTTGTCCGCGAAAAGGGCGACCGGTCCATATCAATGGGCTCTATGGGAGAGCGATATTCGCTACTGGAGGCCCCGTAAAAAGATGGTGGACCACGTGGTGAGAGTGCAGACTGCAGAGGTGTGTCCGTGTAACGACCCGGGGAGTCGATAACAAACTTATTGCTTGGTCGGATAGGAAGGGAGAGTGGTGTAAGTTGAGGATGTAAACGGTGGTCAGCCGTGGTCAGACTGGAAACCGGGTTGTTGACAGAAGTACTAAGGCTGGGCCGTCGAGGCGGCGACTTATTATCAAAGGTCCTTCGGGAGTCTAGCTTTTTTATTAATGCGTTATCATAGTCGTTGTTGGTGTGTGGTTTGTTGAATTGGTATTGGTCGTGGGACATGAACAGCTTCTTAGGAAGTGAATCTTGAGATCTGAGTTGAAAATTTGGTTAGTGTTCCGTTCGAATAGTATAATCGCTGATGATAAGTCATATAGTCATACCCTAACGACGAGATAGTGGAGTTAAGACTATGGTACCCTTCGTCTCTATGAGGTCGTATCGGATCGCGTTCATTTTTATTCCTACCAAGATAAGCCCGGTCGTTTTCGTTTCTTCGACTATCCCAGCTCGTGCTCGAATCAATTGAAGGAATGCGGTCATGCCTAGGGGGCTGCCCTAGCCCGGGCACAAATTTGGGGGGAGGTAATGGTGGAGGCGCAATGTCTTCGGCGAGACGACGGCTGTTGGATATCGGCATGGGAGTAGAGGAGGCCAATGTCGGCGAGAATCTAGATTGCATGTGGGAACGGCCCGATCCTCCATAGTGATCGAAAGGGTTCGAACCCTCGACGTATATGGCTGGCGGTGTGCCCCCTGGCTCCCTCGACACATATCTTGGGATCTCCATATTGTGTTCCCCCTTCCAGTGACCGAATCGAAACGGAGTCGGCTCTATTCACTGTGAGCCAATGGTGATATTGCCACACTTTAGCGGTAGCGGTGAGTAGCTGAAAAAGGGCGGAACGCAATGTTCGACTGGTCGAATCAAGAGACGAAAACCCTTCCGAGATAAGAGAGCATATATGGACTTTTCAGAGTTGGCAAGACGGCGATAGCGTTGCGGCGGGAGAGTTCGTAGACGTATGAACAAGACAATGATCTGATCCCAAGTCAAGAGGCGTAACGTCGTGGAAATAATGGTAGTGGTGGCAAATATACGTGTCGGCAGCGCCGGTGTGGTTTGTGAAAGCTCGTACTTGAGAAACAGAAGAGCGTGGGAGGGTATTCTAATATAGTAGGAAAACGTAACTCGTCGTGATAATAAATAACATATAAATAATAATAACACGATGATAATACACCGAGATAATCCCTATGAATGAACCAAAAGAAATACAAGGTATTTGGAGCCTCAATGAAGCAATCGGGCTGAAAAGATCGGGGGACGAGGATGGCGGCGATTCTCAAGTTCAGCTGGGGAAAGCGGCTGACCTGCTCGGAAAGAAGTAATATGTCGTGTCGGTCGAATAAGAAGAGCTTGACCAATTGTCCCTTGCTCTTTGGCTCTTTCTCTTTCTGTCGACGGCTTGACACTACTACAACTCTCTATTCTCGTAGGCTGATAGGAGTCGGACGAGGCGAAGAATATTAGTAGGCAGAGGCAACTAATTCTTTTTTTTTCCTTCTCAGACCGAGCTGGGAGTGGAAGGACGGCGAAGTAGGCGTTGGAAGTAAGGAATAGCAGCAGGAGGAGAATCGGCCAAACACTCGCACTCGCAAGAACCCATTCGCAACCTTTTTTTCTGAAAGGGTTCCTAGAGAGTTGAGAGAGGGGCGAGTTATGCATATTAAAACTAGATCAGAGCAGAAGAAAAGACTAATAACCCACACACTCACGTAACGAGAAAGCGCCCTACAAGCCTACCAGCCTACCTACCTTGCTAAACTGTAAGTACCCTTGTTATTTTTGCTACCCTGTAACCTTGCTAAGTACCTACTTATGCGTGGGTGGTGGTTCAGCCCTTCAAGAGAGGGACAGGGATCCACGGATTCTTCAGATTTAAACTAGCGCGCTTTTCTTACAGGGGTGCTTTCGTAGTTCTCAGAGTGGGGAACAAGTCGCTGCTAGGGCTAGTCATTAGGTACCTAGGTACCTCGCCTGTCGTACACACTTGAAAGATCCCTGCAAGACTGGTTAAGGCGAAGGGGCGCAGGGGGGTGAACCTTTGGGGTGTGTCCTGAGAAATGAGGTTGCGTCCAGGGGGGAGTAAACTCTCGGGGTGTGCGCGAATTGAATGCATTCACCCACTTAGTGTACAACTGCAGGTGCATGTCCTCTTTCACTTCGTACCCAAGTACCTTTACTCTGCTACGGGAAAATGAGTACGTACATACATGTGTAATACGTACCTAGGTTCCTATGCATTGTGGGTGGGATCGAATGCGACTTTCTCAACCGGCACAGGGCTGCACCTCTTACTGTCCGCCTTCCACTAAAGGGCTGGAAGTTAAATTGGTGTACCTACACATTTTACGATTGAAGGTGTAAACGATGTATATATATATGCTATATGCTGTAAAGAGGTAGGTAATTTGATAGGCAGATAGAAAATAGATATATACACCATCGATTTTTACCTTGTGTTCATGTGTGTAGGTAATATGGAAGAGTAAGTCCCCATGTAGGAGGTACAGTACGTAACGTAGTGATACATCATTGATAATAAGTTATGTACGCATACTTCAAATTTATATATATCTTACCTTTACAAATCGGTTATACATTTCTTCGGGTATGTAGGTAATATGTAATATTATAATCTGTATGCGTGGTATGTAATAGATGTCTCATCGATGATGTCGATGTCCTAAAAGCCGTCTTTCCACCAACGCACACCTCGTAACTTGTAGACCTAGAAACAAGGTAGGGGTATGCGCTGCATGTTACCCGCTGTTGCAGCAGCACATTGACCAACAAGTCCATTTTAAGAAAATGCACACCTTTTGGACGTCTCTGGCAACGTCCCGAAAAACGCGAAGGTCCTCACAAAAGTGCCAAAAAAAAAAAAAAAAAGGTCTGTCTTTCAGAACACCCTACTACACACACATTGTGTTACTACTCAAGTACTTGGATGTTGTAGGCTATCATATGTTGTATCAATGTAAGTAGGTACATTTGCGCAACTTTGAACAACTTACACGGCTGCGTATTATGTTACTTACTGTTACGGAGAACAATAGCGATACGGTGATCATCGGACGATGTTTACGTATACTGCATACGTCTAGTTTTCATCCCTTAATCAGATGCTTTATTGCCTCTTGCAACCATGTGCTCGGTTTTTTCCGTCTCCCTAACGTGGTCTATCAAATTGCGTATGGGGACCTTGGGAGGCGGTCTTCGGTCCGACCAAGGTAATTTCCCAAAATCTCAGCACAATCCCACGTTAACTACTACCGGGACGTGGTAGCGGCCGGTCATAACTCCAAATTGAGCCTCATCAATTAGACGGCGTCGTTAAAGATGGGGATTTCAGCCTTATAAAGCCTTATATAGGCATATAGACTGTGTGGGATAATTCCCAATCTAGCCAAGTGATCGCAATTGCTTGCGACAATCGTCATGTTAATCATCAGCCCCAAACACCAACGCGTCCTTCATGCGAACCTATCTCCCCTAGGTCTTTACGTCTTAGGACTGTGCTTAGGTATGTAGTGTGAGTTACGGCGAAGAAATACACGAGTAATACCCGGATATTAGGTAGCGTCGTTACATAATCGGTGTGCAGAACCAAACAAGCTCCCTATTATTGAAGCTTGGATGACTAAAATTGCCGAACACCACATTGGGAAAATACCCGCCGCAAATGTTTGTGACATCCCACCTGAAAACTAAGACCACCACGGTACATCACACTCGGCATGTTACGTATCGATGGGTATCGACGACGGGGGTAAAGGGGGGCTATCATATGGAAATGACATCGTTTTATTCCACCGTACTGTGAGAAGATGATGAGGCACAACGTTCTTACCTACAGAATCAAGGATCCAATGCGAAATCCTGTCATCAAGCAAGATCTATGTGACCTATGACCTTCGCATCAGGCCAGCATAAGTAGACCGCCGGACATTTGTTGCTGAGCTCAAACAGAATCTGACAGCGGCTTACTTTACTCTAAGACGGATAGATCACCATGGCGCAATTACGATTCGGCAAATCAAAGTACAGTAGGTTAATATGTCTGTATGTGTGGGTGACACGCAGTAGGCTTACACGAAGTTAATACATAAAAAACATGTGTAGTCGCTGATGCATACGTACATACATACATACATACGTACATACACTTGTTTTTTCTAGCTTGATGTTGCAGATGTAGAGGTGAGGTACATGGAGAGAGAAGCATGCCACTTTGCCGCGTGATCGAGAAAGACTTCGGGAGGACATCGAAGTACCCTACATTACTACACTACTGCAAGATGTTTGTCTTGTACGCCTTAAAAACAACCTAAGAACTAGTAAGAACCTTGGAATTTTAAAGTCTTAAAGCCACTTTAAATCCAGATTTTCAGTTTGTTAAGGTTTCCCCTCAGCCCTACAAGCCCTTCCCGGACGATAGTGAGGAGATAATAGTTCTGATTGGTCCCGCGAACTATTGCCCCTACCGAAATGGTTAAAGCTTCCAGGTCTCCCCTTTTCCAAGGTTTACGCCCCTCTTTGATTCCTTCCGACATGTCATTACCTAAAATACGATACCTAGGTATATCAAGTATCACAATAAAAATAAATTAAAGTATTGGATATATTGAATCTAGCTCTTACGCCTTAAGTCGATGATAACTACACGTCTCAATAGAAACTTTCGACAACATGACAAACCACACGGAATACCAAAGGATGCGACAGGCACGACTCTCCTTCTAATTAAGTACCCTTTAATCATGACTTTGATCAATACTCGCTGCATGTCACCCTGGCTACGTCAAAGTTGACCATTCTGCATCAAACAACAAACTACCTAGGCAAATAAAATAGTATCCGATATCATTATCCGATAGATACCATTGAATTAAGCGCCCTCAACTCGGCGGTCGTTGTTGCCGAGTTGATATCTCAGTGGCGAGTGTCTCTGACTGGTTCGTTAATATCCTGGGCGATGCAAAAACTTGGGAACTTTGCATGACCTTCCATCCGCAATTCTTCACCAGCGCTTTCGACTAGGTACCATATCATGCGATTCGTCCCCTCCGACCAAGATGCCGACCAGATCACATTGCAACCTACACAAAAATCAATCTTATTCAACCGTCACGGACACCGAAAGTTCCAATGTTTATTTTAGATTAGACAATCAATGGGAATTGTCTGCATTGGCATCAATGCATTTTAGAGACATTGATTGTTATGAGAAGAGGCCAGTCAAAGAGACTAAAAATAGGGAGGCCGGGTACCCACAGTACAGAGGTAAATACTGATTCGGGTAATTTATCTCGCCCGAGCTCGATCCTACGAACTTTTATCACCAAGTTCTTCATCTTCAGAGTCGCAATCCGGCCATGCCTAGGACAAATTCCAAAAGAGCCGCCAAGGCTACAGATCGGGACCTTGTCGGTTCCGCAATGTTTCCATCTTTTGCTTCATGAATAAAATTAACTTCATGTGGGTGTCCACTCAGAGCGCTTCGTATAATGCACTAATGAAGGCTAGTTGGCCTACGACACACGTTTCTACGTCTCATTGACGTCTCCTAGTCTCGTGGCTAGGCCTTGGTAATATTAAGACGTGCCACAAAATCGCCTAGAGAATGAATCTCTGATGATCTGCTACACAACGTGGCGTCTCGCCTTACTACTTAACCCAGCCTGCCAGGTACATGACGCAGGAAAACGTCTGTACCCTACAAGGCTTTGATGTGTCCCGCTGAAACTGTGTTACAGTTTACGGTAGGGCAACGAAAATCCAATAATGGGATTCGACATCTTTCCCGTTCCGTCAAGTGTTGACGCCCTTTTCCGCACCAGCCTATCCGATCATCTTATAAAAAAGGGATCGGACGGATCCAAGCTAGGTTCAAAAGGACAAGATACTAAAGTGACGCTTCGTTTGAGTAGAAACATTATTTTGCGGGGATCCCGGAGCAATCGGTCCCGCTCTACCCAGTGTTCGCCGACGTTCTAGAGCTTTTAACTTATACGTAAACAGGCAAGAAGAATAACGTCCGCAATCCGGGGGGATTGAGATTTGACGGTTTCACGACGGACTGCGTGACTGAACACTTCGGAGTCCCCTGGGACATCCGCCTAGTCTGATAAGATGGTTACCAAAGTTACACTTTTTAAAATTTTGCTCTTTGGTAGTGAGGCGTAAATGGGGATCTAAACTGTGCGAGGTTTTGGCGTACCACCTCGGCAGACAACAGGCGAGCCGCGCACAACGGGACGCAAGGCACATTGGTGACAGTGCAGTGACTTTGATTCGCTCCGAACGGCAATTGTCGTTCGAGACTGAGACATGATTCGCGAATATCCTTGCGTAGGGCCGAATTGGCTTGCAATTAAGGCGCTAAGACGTCAAAATGCCGAAGATCTCATTGCCACTTGGGTAATGCAAGATCTAGGAGGACTGGCTGAGGGAGATGTGGATCCTCCGGTCGCCCGGCTGCTTCCGCCCCCCTGTGTGCTATGAATGAATGAATGAATTTGAAGGAACCCAGAAAATGAGAGAATACCTAGGTACCAACCAAAACCTTCCGTGACTTCGATGGAAACAGGCTTGGAAAGTGTGGTTTCCATGATTTCATATTCCGCAATTCAACACCTATCATCTAATCGCATGAAATCCGAACTGGGCGGTAAAGAGGAGGCGATGAAAAGCCAAGGCGAATGTTATCATCTTGTAACATTCTAAATA